CCAAACTACTGTATTTGATAAAAAAAAACATTTGATATAAAAATTGGAATATTTATCGGATAAAATGAAGATGTGCTGTGATTACGCAATCAAAACGCAATGAATACATAATGAAAACACAAACTATGTTGGCCAACCAAATTGTTCGAAATCTTAATTTTTCCCTTCCAAACTACTGTATTTGATAAAAAAACATTTGATATAAAAATTGGAATATTTATCGGATAAAATGAAGATGTGCTGTGATTACGCAATCAAAACGCAATGAATACATAATGAAAACACAAACTATGTTGGCCAACCAAATTGTTCGAAATCTTAATTTTTCCCTTCCAAACTACTGTATTTGATAAAAAAAAAACATTTGATATAAAAATTGGAATATTTATTGGATAAAATGAAGATTGTGCTGTGATTACGCAATCAAAACGCAATGAATACACAATGAAAACACAAACTATGTTGGCCAACCAAATTGTTCGAAATCTTAATTTTTCCCTTCGAAACTACTGTATTTGATAAAAAAAAACATTTGATATAAAAATTGGAATATTTATCGGATAAAATGAAGATGTGCTGTGATTACGCAATCAAAACGCAATGAATACATAATGAAAACACAAACTATGTTGGCCAACCAAATTGTTCGAAATCTTAATTTTTCCCTTCGAAACTACTGTATTTGATAAAAAAAAAACATTTGACATAAAAATTGGAATATTTATTGGATAAAATGAAGTTGTGCTGTGATTACGCAATCAAAACGCAATGAATACATAATGAAAACACAAACTATGTTGGCCAACCAAATTGTTCGAAATCTTAATTTTTCCCTTCCAAACTACTGTATTTGATAAAAAAAAACATTTGATATAAAAATTGGAATATTTATTGGATAAAATGAAGATGTGCTGTGATTACGCAATCAAAACGCAATGAATACATAATGAAAACACAAACTATGTTGGCCAACCAAATTGTTCGAAATCTTAATTTTTCCCTTCGAAACTACTGTATTTGATAAAAAAAACATTTGACATAAAAATTGGAATATTTATTGGATAAAATGAAGTTGTGCTGTGATTACGCAATCAAAACGCAATGAATACATAATGAAAACACAAACTATGTTGGCCAACCAAATTGTTCGAAATCTTAATTTTTCCCTTCCAAACTACTGTATTTGATAAAAAAAAACATTTGATATAAAAATTGGAATATTTATTGGATAAAATGAAGATGTGCTGTGATTACGCAATCAAAACGCAATGAATACATAATGAAAACACAAACTATGTTGGCCAACCAAATTGTTCGAAATCTTAATTTTTCCCTTCGAAACTACTGTATTTGATAAAAAAAAACATTTGATATAAAAATTGGAATATTTATTGGATAAAATGAAGATGTGCTGTGATTACGCAATCAAAACGCAATGAATACATAATGAAAACACAAACTATGTTGGCCAACCAAATTGTTCGAAATCTTAATTTTTCCCTTCGAAACTACTGTATTTGATAAAAAAACATTTGATATAAAAATTGGAATATTTATTGGATAAAATGAAGATTGTGCTGTGATTACGCAATCAAAACGCAATGAATACACAATGAAAACACAAACTATGTTGGCCAACCAAATTGTTCGAAATCTTAATTTTTCCCTTCGAAACTACAGTATTTGATAAAAAAAAACATTTGATATAAAAATTGGAATATTTATTGGATAAAATGAAGATGTGCTGTGATTACGCAATCAAAACGCAATGAATACATAATGAAAACACAAACTATGTTGGCCAACCAAATTGTTCGAAATCTTAATTTTTCCCTTCCAAACTACTGTATTTGATAAAAAAACATTTGACATAAAAATTGGAATATTTATTGGATAAAATGAAGATGTGCTGTGATTACGCAATCAAAACGCAATGAATACACAATGAAAACACAAACTATGTTGGCCAACCAAATTGTTCGAAATCTTAATTTTTCCCTTCGAAACTACAGTATTTGATAAAAAAAAACATTTGATATAAAAATTGGAATATTTATTGGATAAAATGAAGATGTGCTGTGATTACGCAATCAAAACGCAATGAATACATAATGAAAACACAAACTATGTTGGCCAACCAAATTGTTCGAAATCTTAATTTTTCCCTTCCAAACTACTGTATTTGATAAAAAAAAACATTTGACATAAAAATTGGAATATTTATTGGATAAAATGAAGATGTGCTGTGATTACGCAATCAAAACGCAATGAATACACAATGAAAACACAAACTATGTTGGCCAACCAAATTGTTCGAAATCTTAATTTTTCCCTTCGAAACTACAGTATTTGATAAAAAAAAACATTTGATATAAAAATTGGAATATTTATTGGATAAAATGAAGATGTGCTGTGATTACGCAATCAAAACGCAATGAATACATAATGAAAACACAAACTATGTTGGCCAACCAAATTGTTCGAAATCTTAATTTTTCCCTTCCAAACTACTGTATTTGATAAAAAAACATTTGACATAAAAATTGGAATATTTATTGGATAAAATGAAGATGTGCTGTGATTACGCAATCAAAACGCAATGAATACACAATGAAAACACAAACTATGTTGGCCAACCAAATTGTTCGAAATCTTAATTTTTCCCTTCGAAACTACTGTATTTGATAAAAAAAAACATTTGATATAAAAATTGGAATATTTATTGGATAAAATGAAGATGTGCTGTGATTACGCAATCAAAACGCAATGAATACATAATGAAAACACAAACTATGTTGGCCAACCAAATTGTTCGAAATCTTAATTTTTCCCTTCCAAACTACTGTATTTGATAAAAAAACATTTGACATAAAAATTGGAATATTTATTGGATAAAATGAAGATGTGCTGTGATTACGCAATCAAAACGCAATGAATACACAATGAAAACACAAACTATGTTGGCCAACCAAATTGTTCGAAATCTTAATTTTTCCCTTCGAAACTACTGTATTTGATAAAAAAACATTTGATATAAAAATTGGAATATTTATTGGATAAAATGAAGATGTGCTGTGATTACGCAATCAAAACGCAATGAATACACAATGAAAACACAAACTATGTTGGCCAACCAAATTGTTCGAAATCTTAATTTTTCCCTTCGAAACTACTGTATTTGATAAAAAAACATTTGATATAAAAATTGGAATATTTATTGGATAAAATGAAGATGTGCTGTGATTACGCAATCAAAACGCAATGAATACACAATGAAAACACAAACTATGTTGGCCAACCAAATTGTTCGAAATCTTAATTTTTCCCTTCGAAACTACTGTATTTGATAAAAAAAAACATTTGATATAAAAATTGGAATATTTATTGGATAACATGAAGATGTGCTGTGATTACGCAATCAAAACGCAATGAATACACAATGAAAACACAAACTATGTTGGCCAACCAAATTGTTCGAAATCTTAATTTTTCCCTTCGAAACTACTGTATTTGATAAAAAAAAACATTTGATATAAAAATTGGAATATTTATTGGATAAAATGAAGATGTGCTGTGATTACGCAATCAAAACGCAATGAATACACAATGAAAACACAAACTATGTTGGCCAACCAAATTGTTCGAAATCTTAATTTTTCCCTTCGAAACTACTGTATTTGATAAAAAAAAACATTTGATATAAAAATTGGAATATTTATTGGATAAAATGAAGATGTGCTGTGATTACGCAATCAAAACGCAATGAATACACAATGAAAACACAAACTATGTTGGCCAACCAAATTGTTCGAAATCTTAATTTTTCCCTTCCAAACTACTGTATTTGACATTAAAAAAACACATTTGATATAAAAATTGGAATATTTATTGGATAAAATGAAGATGTGCTGTGATTACGCAATCAAAACGCAATGAATACACAATGAAAACACAAACTATGTTGGCCAACCAAATTGTTCGAAATCTTAATTTTTCCCTTCGAAACTACTGTATTTGATAAAAAAACATTTGATATAAAAATTGGAATATTTATTGGATAAAATGAAGATGTGCTGTGATTACGCAATCAAAACGCAATGAATACACAATGAAAACACAAACTATGTTGGCCAACCAAATTGATCGAAATCTTAATTTTTCCCTTCGAAACTACTGTATTTGACATTAAAAAAACACATTTGATATAAAAATTGGAATATTTATTGGATAAAATGAAGATGTGCTGTGATTACGCAATCAAAACGCAATGAATACACAATGAAAACACAAACTATGTTGGCCAACCAAATTGTTCGAAATCTTAATTTTTCCCTTCGAAACTACTGTATTTGATAAAAAAACATTTGATATAAAAATTGGAATATTTATTGGATAAAATGAAGATGTGCTGTGATTACGCAATCAAAACGCAATGAATACACAATGAAAACACAAACTATGTTGGCCAACCAAATTGATCGAAATCTTAATTTTTCCCTTCGAAACTACTGTATTTGACATTAAAAAAACACATTTTAAAGAAGAAAAAAAAGAGATTCAATAGGTTTTTTCTATAACTTGATTGATGACGTCATTCATGGCAAAATATGGAAGGCTTCCTGATTTTACCATGTATCATTTTTTGAAAAAACTTCATTGATTCATCTCGGATTTGACATTGGGCACAATAGAACAAAAAAACATGGTAAATGACGTGGGAAAACAGAGCAGTTAAAATTCGAATTCAAATTTTGGTGCGCGAAAAAAAATGGCGCCAAAATTACGGTACAAATATTTGACAAGAGACTAGGTGCGGGCGAAATTGGAAGCCTAGATTTTTTTGGGGGAAATTTAAAAATGAAATTTTTTTATATATCACAGAAGGGCGGGAAAATTGAATTTAGAACATTTAAATTCAGAATTTTTGAAAAAAAGGGAAAAATTAAAAATTTTTGGGGAAACCCGCAATTTTCGAGACAGAGAGAGAGAGGATATGAGATTTAAATGATTGTCAGGCTGAAAATTTCAGATTTTGGCTGAAAATGCGGGATTTTCAGCTAAAAAATGCTGAAAGTCTCATATTTTCACGTTTTTTGATATCAAAAAAAATTTGAAAATTCAAAAATCGCGCCCAAAAAAAAACTCTTACCACATATGGATTTATATTTCTCACCACAGGCGGATTATTTGCGGCTTCTCGCGGAACAGCTTGTGGTCGACGTCGCGGTCTTGCGGCGGCAGCGCGGAACACCGCTCCCGGCAATCGTCCCTCATCGTCTTTCTCTTCCGCATTCGAGCTGCTCTCCTCGTCGTTGTCGGCGGCTTGCGGTGCGGCGGCTTGCGGAGCTGCAGCGGCTGCCGCTTCACCCAAAATTTCTTGAAGGAAGCGCATGTTTGCCACCGGATTCACGTTGTCCGCGTCTCCGCCGCCGTTTTGTTGCTGTTGTTGTTGTTGCAGGTGACGGACTTGATTGATTCGGGCATTCTGAAAAAATAATGACTTTTCGCTTTAGCCGATTCCGCGCGGAAGATTGCGGAAAAAATATCATAGTCATGTTTAGGCTCAAAAGAAGAGCAAATTTCAAGAGACTTTCCATTTTTGGGTTCGAAATAGAGCTAAAATCTGATTTTTTCCAAATTTAGAGATGTTTGAGCGCAATATAAAGCAAAACTTCCGAATTTTCAGGCATGTTTGAGGCATGTTTGGGCTCAAAATGGAGCTAGAACTCTAAAATTTCAGCTCGAAACCAAAAATGATTCTTCTTATGCTCAAAATAATGCAAAAAATCAGATTTTTCAAATCTAGATATGCTCAGAAATGAAGCTGAAAATCCGACTTTTTAGCTCAAAATCGATAGTTTGAAGTAAAGCCATGTTTGGGCTTAAAATCGAGCTCAAAATCTGAAATTTCAGCTAGGAATCAGATTTTTTCGAAGTTTAGTCATATTTGGGCTCAAAATGGAGCTATAAATCTGAAATTTCAGCTAGAAATCAGATTTTTCAAATCTAGTCATGTTTGAGCTCAAAATGGAGCTAAAAATCTGGAAAACTCACACCAGTCGGTGGTGTTCCTTCAATCGGCGCATCCAAAAAGTCCCAAATCAAATTGGTATCATCATGTGAGCTCGAAACTATTTGAAAATCATCAAATTGCAATCGGAATACTCTGCCAGTGTGTTGCATGAGTGACGAAAGACAAATATCGCCGGGCATACTTCGCGGATCCAGCGCCGCTTTCAAATCCCAAACTTTGATTTTTCGGTCGTAGGCTCCGGAAACGATGCGTTTATCATCAAAGCGGATGCATCGGACCAATTCTTCGTGACCTTCGAGAACTGGTAAACATACTCCAGAATGGATATCCCAAAGTCTGCAAAAAATAGAGGGTTTTGGGGAGCATTTTGAGCCCAAATTCGACTAAATTTGAAAAAAAATGTGATTTTCAGAATCCTGAAGGCTTTCGGAGCATTTTGAGCCTAAATTCGACTGAATTTAGAAAAAAATTGAGATTTTCAGAATCTTGACAGCTCCAGGAGCAAATAGAGCCCAAATTCAGTTCGTTTCTGTTCGAAAATGTGATTTTCAGAATCCTTAAGACTCCAGGAGCATTTTGAGCCCAAATATGATATATTTAGGACCAGAAATGTGATATTCAGAATCCTGACATCTCCAAGAGCATTTTGAGCCCAAATTTGGACAGTTTTGGACCAGAAATGTGATTTTCAGAATCCTGAAGGCTCCAGGAGCATTTTGAGCACAAATTTAGTTAGGTCTGGAGCAAAAATGTGTTTTTGAGAATCTTGGGAGCTTTTGGAGCAATCTCTACCGAAAATCCAAATTTTTAGGAAAAATCAAGAATTAGAGCTCAAAATAACCCAAAAATCACAATTTTTGAGCCATAATTCAAAATCCATCTCAAAATTCGTGAAATTCTCTCAGGAACCTCAAAAAATCCAAAATTTTTGGAAAAATCAAGAATTAGAGCTCAAAATATCCCAAAAATCACAATTTTTAGCCGTAATTCAAAATCCATCTCAAAATTCGTGAAATTCTCTCAGGAACCTCAAAAAATCCAAACTTTCAGGGAAAATCAAGAATCAGTGCTTCACAGAGCTCAAAAATCCTTATTTTCGAGCCATATATCAAATTCTATATCAATATTCCTAAAATTCTCTCAGGAATCCCAAAAAAGCCAAAGTTTCAAAAAGGTTAAGAATTAGAGCTCGAAAGAGCTCAAAAATGATAATTTGTGCGAAATATACTAAATTGGGTGTCAAAATTCCTGAAATTCTTCCAGGAATCTCATAAAAATCAGGAAAATCAACTCTAGGGTTATTTTTGGCCAAAATCATTGAATTTTATGTCAAAATTTGGCAAATTTCCCAAAAAACTCACCTAATAGTATTATCACTACTTCCACTAACAACCAATCTTCCACGATATTGTAAACAAGCGACTCCTCTTCGATGTCCGGACAAAGTTTGCAAAAATTCCAGCGTGTCCATCGACCAAACTTTGATTGTTCGATCTCCGCTGGCACTGACAATATAGCGATCATCGAAATCGACAACATTTACAGCGGCTCGATGTCCGGCCAAAACTCGGCGAATATTGATTTCTCGTGCCGAGACCATGTCCCAGACGGCTATTGATCGATCTTTTGAGCTGGAAATCGGGATTTTCAGAAGATTCAGTGAAAATGGAAGATTTTGAATCCAAATATGAAAAGCTGTGAAAAATTTTACAGCACTTCGAAGTTTTCTAGGGTGAAATTAAGTTCTTGGAATTCAAAATCAAATTTTAAGCTATAAATAGTGATTTTTGAGTTTTTCAGTGAAAATGAAGCATTTCGAGCCCAAACATGATAAGTTTTGATGAATCTCACAATTTTCTGGGTAATTTAAAAGCTGGTGGAAGTTTAGAGCTTAACCTATATTAAAATCAGGTTCCTGAAGCTCTATGGATTATTTTGAGCTCGAATTGTGAATTTTCATAAGGTTCAATAAAAATGAAGCATTTTGAGCCCAAAAATTGGGATTTCGGTGATTTTTAAGATTTTCTAGGTTCTGAGAAGCACCAAAATATACCCTGTTTGTGCTCAAAATTCTCGCTAGGATCTCAGAAATCCCATGGAGCCCTCGAGAATCGTTGAAATCCCCCGAAAAACCCACCAAGTGACCATAGTTCCATTGCTGAATCTCAAATGAAGAACAGCTTCACAATGATGAATCAGAGTTTTGAGACAATCACCGGTTTCCACGTCCCAAACACGTACTGTGGCGTCTGATGAACCTGGATAAAATTTGGGGTGAAATTTTGCCACTTAAAATTTTTTTGAGCATTGATCATGTTAATTATTGCCGTTATATTGAAATTTCGAGTATTTCGACACCAAAATCGATTATTTTTGGAGTTGAAAAAAATGGAGAAATTAACATGAGTAATGCTCAATTTTCATTGAAATAGAGTAAATTCCAAAACTAACATGAGCAATGCTCAAATTTTCATCCGAATATATCAATGTATGTGTCGAAAAGCTCCAAATTTCATGAAAAATTCAAAAAATAACATAAGCAATGCTGAATTTTTATTGAAAATAGGTCAAATCTGGTGTCAAAAAAATTAACATGAGCAATACCCATTTTCATCAAAATCAGCCGAACTTGGTCTCAAAAAGCTTCAAATCTCTCCCAAAATTCAATTTTCCATGAAAACCACATAAGTTTGGTCTCCAAAAGCTCCAAATCTTTTCAAAAATTCAAATTTCCCCTAAAATCCCAACATACCCAAAATAATGACCCGATTATCTTACTGCAAACACAAAACACTTCCCGTATGTCCGGTCAACGTCATTCGACACAAATAGTCTTTTCGATCCCATATTTTGATGGTATTGTCGCGGAGTCCCGATACGATTTTCTCATCGTCATTCTGTAGACAATAAACACCTTTCGAATTTTCGGAATGACAATTGAAACGTGTCAATTTGTAGTTGCCACGTCGCCAATTTATATCGATTACAAACGCAGTTGGAAAAAGGGTCCTTTAAGGATGCCGAAAGTATCCTTCAGGGATGAGCTCATGTGTCAATTAAGTACCTCACAAAGATCAAGTTTTCAGTTTTTGCTGCTCAACAAAAATCACACCTCGGCCAAAATCATGGTTTTCAAAATAAGAAATTGTACGTGAACTTTTTACAGTATGAAAACTGTGAATTTTTCAGTGTTTGACCTCTAAAAACTCTGAATTCGTCAATTTTTGACCTCTGAAAACTGCAATTCAAAATTTTTCAAAAGTGTACTCCGGCCAGCCACAGATTGGCCGAGGTGTGACAAAAAGTGCAAAAAGTTGGATAAATTTAAGAAAACGCAGTTTTTAAATTTAAGAAAACGCAGTCCTCATGTCAAAAATATTTTATCGACACTGAATAATGACGTTGTTCAGGAGGGTCGACTTATCCAAGTCGCAATTTTTCGATAAGTAAATCTATGTTTTTTTTTAATTTGTAGCTTACAAGGGAAGTAAAAAGGGTTCTGAAATTAACTTCTGATGAAACATAGTGAAATATAGTAATTCGACCATGCTGAAAACGATCCCGAAGTCGAAAATTGCTATAACGCACTCTGAGCCATCTTTTGGAGCTTGGTGTAATTTAACCGCCAGACAAACACCAAAAAAGGTCGGAGAGTGTGCAAAAAATGAAAAGTTTGGAGCTCCAAAAATGGCTCAGAGTTCGTTATAGCAATATTTGACTTCGGGATCGTGTTCAGCACAAATACTATATTTCACTACGTTTCATCAAAAGTTAATTTCAGAGCCTAAATCACTTCCCTTGTTAGAAAATAGGCTGATCCATTTCGAAAATTTTTGGAAAATTCTGTCAATAATTTTGACTTTGGTGAATCGACCGTACTGAACATTGTCATATGCTTAGTTTTTGATAAAATTTTCGTTGACATGAGTCATGGACCCTAGAAAACGCGTTTTTCAGAAAATTCTCGATTTTGGGCTTATTTTTGTGCTCTTCAGAGAGTTGCGCACCAAAAACTAAAAACGAGATATTTCTCTGCGTGAAAAACTGTAGAAAATATGTCTCATTGAAAATCTTCGGTGACTGGCAAGTTATCAGTGGTCACACATTTTTCCCGTCATAAATTTTTTCTCGAGTTTCGGATAAAAATTATATTTCAAAAAACTGACTTTCAAAAAATCCTCCTTTATTTGGTCGAAATGTCCAGTGAGTCGAATCGTCCGGCGGCTTTTCTGAAAAGTCAAATTTTCTAGGTTTTCACAGTATATTTGTTTACCTGTACAATGAGCATCGTTGAAGGGTTTAGACTGTCTGTAAAAATAATTTATTGAGATTTCCGAAGATTTCAAGAGAGAAAATATTAAGATAAGAGGTTAACAGAACTAAAGTTTTACTATAGGACTATACTTTAATAAGATAGGTGGATATTTTCGATGTTTTTCATACTTTTATCATGTCTGCTGCTCAGATGTAGAGTTTTATTTTTAATATTTTGGGCATATCAGATGACAAATTTTGACAAGATTTCGCCAACTCGTTTTTGCCAAAAAATTATTTTTGAACGAAATTTTCGAAGCTGTTGTCAAATTTCGACCAAAAAGCCAGATGGAACGAGTTCAGTCAAAAATTAATCAAGCTTTCACTATCTGTGATGTTTTACACATTCCAATAGTCTTGGACAACTTAAAAAGTTATTTATATCAAACGGATCGTCGCTTGTTATGAATAAATAGGAAAAATAATGAGAAACAATGCACAAACGCACAAAAAACTGATTATTGAAATCTGAATGTATTCTCCTTGAAGAACTTATCGGAAATAGCAACAACACATGAAATAGGTTTTACCGAAAACTTTCTGAGTCTGATAATCAAATATTTCTATTGAAATGCATTCTTACATTTAGTCGTCGAAAAACGGGTGTTTTCAAACATGAAATCTCGCCACAGACACACCGACTAAAACTTTGAAACTCGTGTATGCAGAGAATTCACTTTATAATTAATCGCATGATAATGAAACGTAGCTTCTTGAAGTCAAAATAGTAAAATTGGTTGGTTTACGGAGGGCTAACGGTCAATTAGTTGAAAATGTAGAGAAGTCCTAAAATCGAAAATTTCTCATGTTTTTCAAAGTTTATTCCTTGAATCTCAAGTAACGCACTATCAATAGCAGTTTACATTTATATCGCAACCTGTTTCACACGTTCTACGCTCGAAAACAACACAGAAAAAACGAAAAACAGAAACAAAGAAAACTCAGACAAGTTGAGCGATTAATCGGCAAGCAAAGTGAGCTGACGATTAATCGTCTGAACAAAATTAATACAGGCGATTAATCGCTCAGCCAGCAGCTAATTCAAGTTGCTTAGCGATTAATCGCCCAACTTGTCTGAGAAAAAACGAAAAAACGAAAATGAATTCCGAGAGAAGTACACACTCTGCGGACAACACACGCTAGTTGACGCGCAGTTACACATTTTCTTGTTTTTATCGGAAAATAGGTTTTCGGAAAACCCCTATTTTACAGGATGAGGAGAGAGTATTGCAGGAAAGATAGAAGTAAGGAAAAGGAGTTGGGTGAGTATTTTGGGGTTTGGGTTTTTTCAAAAAATTATTATTGAAAATTTGATAAAATTATAATTATGAGAAACATTTTTGTTTATTATTTAGGTTAGTTATAGGATAGTTTTTAGAGAGATCAAATCTATATTTTTTAGAAATATTAATTTTTTGGTATTGTCAATCCGAAATTTTTTGACCCTTGGAAGAGAATCGATATGGCCCAGAAAACCAAACATTTTTTTTTTTCAATACAAAAGATGAAAGAAGCCGTCTGAAGTCTACTGTAGTGGTTTTCTCTTCCACGGCTCTAAATTTTCGAATTGACAATAGTATTTTATAGTTTTTTTGTTCAACAAATTATTTATTGAATCCATTTTTGATAAATTGATTGATCATATTTTTAATCCTAGGATAATAATATGTGCATGTATTGAATATTCTGATAATTTCGGTATATATAGTGTTAAGTGTCATTCGTAATGAACTCTACAAGAAAATTATAAAAATGTTATAAAAAGAAATAATCATGGAGGTACTTGACTTATCTGTGGAAACTGTTTTTAATAAAGATTCATTCATTCATCTAATTCATTCATTCATCTAAAATAGAAAAAAATTGTGTTGGTTTTCATTTGTTTCTCGTGATTCGACTTCTTAAACTTCTGGCTTGCATCCCATAAAATTGTTCGACTTCTTGAACCAATTGCGCAAAAAATGAACAATTGTTTTTGTAAAGTCTGAAAATGAAATAAACAAATGAACAAATAAATAAATATACTTATGAAAACTTACGTTGTTAGTTCAATGCTCACATTGTCTGGGCATATTTTGGTAATATGACCAGGATTTGAAATGGCATCACACAACAATTTCGTTTCAGCGCCACCCAATTTCCGGATTTTCTCGATAACCTGAACTCAGAATATTACATCAGTTTCATCATCAGTTAACCCTAATTCGCTAAAAATCTTTTGAAGCCTTTCGAAATAGATTTAAAATATTAATCATTTTTTCATTGAATTTCGTCGATTTTAGACCCACAAGATTGTATCAGGTCTCAAAAAATTGGGGTAAATGTTTCTGGTAGTATATTACACTCTGAGTTTCGTAATATTCCCAGAAAAACTCACTTTATCCGTTGGTGATTCCAATTGATGAACCGTACTTCCAGCGACGCCACGATTGGCTCTGCGAGATTCAGATTCAAAGTTTATTTCTGGATTCACATTTTGGGTGTTTTCGCGACGCGTCAACTGAAATCATCATAACATTAAACTTTATCGGAAGCTTGTTAGTCAGAAAATTTGGGTTTTTAGTGTAGTGAAATTCAAATGGGTTCGCATCTCCCCATAATATTTTTCAAATAAACATAGAAATATTGCACTGAACTGGGCGTGCTCACCACATTCCGATCCTGGAATCACACGGCGAAATGTTTTCAGTAAACTTATTTTCAGAGCGAAATTTGAAAAAAAATCCATATAAAACGGAATAAAAATGGTTTCAAATTTCACAGATTTGGCATTACGACTTACTTCATTTCCTAGTGACCAACTATCATTACTTCCAATTGTCGTTTCAGTTAGTGTATACTCGCCACTTGTTTCATCCCAATCTGTAGAGTTTGTCATATTCATCGATGATGATTGATTTGAGATATTCCAAAGTTCCTGAAAAAAATGAGGTCTTCTGAAAGATGTCGGCGTAGACAAATGCTTATAGTTGGACCAGTTTTTCGGTTAGTTCGTTTGTTTGGTTTTGAGTTTGTTCATGTGAAATAATTTAGATTGATTTCCAGTTTTGGGTTTTGTCATAAGACTGTGCTGGAAAATTTTCCCGAAAATAATTTTTAAAGTACAATTTTTAGGAATATCTTAAAAATCGTTGGACAATTTTCTCAGAGTCTAGCAAAACTGGTTGATTTTCCCATATTTTAAAAACAAAACTAACTTTAGCTGAACATGTGAGATCGACAATTGATGTTGGCTTTTGCTCAATTGGTTTCGTTGTTGGTTGTTGTTGGGTGTTGGATTTTGATGGTGTAATTGTGGAAATGTCAGATCCTTTCATAACACGATTCATTTGTTCGACCGAAAGCTTAGCCTTGTTTTCAATATGCTTGAATATCAAAATCAGCTTCAGCTTTGATTCCACCGGCAAACTTAGCAAATTGACACATCCATAATTTTCCAAATTTCCAATGATCCAAGTAAGGAACTTGAAAACATCGATGATTTTTGCGCACACATTTTTGTCATTTACCTAAGAAAAAACAATTCAATTTCAGAAAAAATTACTTAAAATCATACCAATGGACAAAGAACACCAATATTAGATTGAGTCATTGAATTTCGAAAACTTGACAGAATACGAAGTATTGCTTGTCGTTTCCAATGCGACCTCAAATCTTCATTCAAACTGCTGGCAAATGCAGGATATTCTTCTTCTGAAAAAGTAAAGATAAAAATGATTGTTGTACAATAAAATCTTACTTGAACCATCAGATGAAAATACGGTGACAAATGACTTCAGAAGATGAAAAGCAGTCTAAAATAATAATATATAAACTAAATAATATCCGAAAATTATCTCACTTCAAAAACCATCAAATCCAAATCTTCGAACATTTTTGATCTTATATTATCCGGAAGTTTTTGGATGTATGTTTTGGCGAATTCTGGTTCTTGAGTCAATGAAATTTTTAGCAGAATATACCAAACGTCACATATGTATTGACAACAGATTTCCATTGTTCCAACATCATTTTGATTCAACAACGGGTTGATTTTGTCAATCAATTTGATATTTATTTCATCCAAATATTTTGGAAACTCATTCATTAGGCCAACAACATCATTCGACGAAATTATTTTTCTGAAATAAATAAATCATGATCAACAAATTAATTTGAAAATTAGTCTCAACTTACATTAAATTAACTAATTTTGGTCGACCGTTTTGTAGGGAGCCCAAAATATTGGTCCGAATCAGTTCGAATTCAGTTTGTTGATATTTTTCTAATCCGAACAATTTTATCAAAATATAGGCATCCCATTCTGAATCGAAACAAAGTTCGCAAATTGCATTGAATTGTCTTCATTCATTTTTTGCGCACCCAATTTTTGAAATTAATGACAAAAATTTGACATCGCACTTTCGGATGAACATGCTTCGCACATATCTCGATAATTTTTCTTCAAATTGATCCCAGTTCTCTGAAGAACAATAAACTTGGAACACATCGTGATCTTGTTTCTTTGCTACAAGATCATACCCGATTGATTTGATTTGAGATTCCTGAAAATCAATTTTTAGTACTTTTTAAAATGTATAAATTTTTCTTACATATTTTTTTCCGAACATAAATAGAACGTCCAGCGCAATTTTCAGATTTTCATCATTGCCTTGGCTGATAGTTGCAATTAGTTCATTGGTAGATGGCTTTTTGTTTGTGAATCCAAGTATGAAGTCGATGAATGAGTTCTGTAAAAAAATCATTATAAATTGGGAGATGTTATTCTTATAAACTACCTTTCTATTTGTTATTATTGTATTTTCATTTGTTATAATATGACGAAGAATGTTTGAGAAGAAATAAGAACTAATGTTTCCCAAACATTCATTTTTTCTTTCGTTCAACGTCGGATTCGACATTGGAAAACCTAAACAATGATTCTTTTTAGGGACATATCCAAATTTGATCAAAGGTCACGTGAAAAAATTAGTAAAAACTGGAAGGGTTTTTCTAAAAGGGGGTTTGCCCCAATTTTTTTCCTTTTTTCCTGCCAGCCATGTATTCTGCCACGAAAACACGTTTTTTAAATAATTGATTCGATTTCATCTTTTTTTTCAAAAATGTTTGGAATCTCATTTTGTTCCCTTCGAAACTACTGTATTTGACATTAAAAAAACACATTTTAAAGAAGAAAAAAAAGAGATTCAATAGGTTTTTTCTATAACTTGATTGATGACGTCATTCATGGCAAAATATGGAAGGCTTCCTGATTTTACCATGTATCATTTTTTGAAAAAACTTCATTGATTCATCTCGGATTTGACATTGGGCACAATAGAACAAAAAAACATGGTAAATGACGTGGGAAAACAGAGCAGTTAAAATTCGAATTCAAATTTTGGTGCGCGAAAAAAAATGGCGCCAAAATTACGGTACAAATATTTGACAAGAGACTAGGTGCGGGCGAAATTGGAAGCCTAGATTTTTTTTGGGGGAAATTTAAAAATGAAATTTTTTTATATATCACAGAAGGGCGGGAAAATTGAATTTAGAACATTTAAATTCAGAATTTTTGAAAAAAAGGGAAAAATTAAAAATTTTTGGGGAAACCCGCAATTTTCGAGACAGAGAGAGAGGATATGAGATTTAAATGATTTTCAGGCTGAAAATTTCAGATTTTGGCTGAAAATGCGGGATTTTCAGCTAAAAAATGCTGAAAGTCTCATATTTTCACGTTTTTTGATATCAAAAAAATTTGAAAATTCAAAAATCGCGCCCAAAAAAACTCTTACCACATATGGATTTGGATTTCTCTGCACAGGCGGATTATTCGCGGCTGCTCGCGGAACAGCTTGTGGTCGACGTCGCGGTCTTGCGGCGGCAGCGCGGAACACCGCTCCCGGTAATCGTGCCTCGTCGTCTTCATCCTCTTCCGCATTCGAGCTGCTTTCCTCGTCGTGGTGGTTGTCGGCGGCTTGCGGTGTGGCGGCTTAGTCATGTTTAGGCTCAAAAGAACGCAAATTTCACGAGGCTCTTTATATTTGTGCTCAAAATAGAGCGAAACTTCCGAATTTTCAGCTCAAAATCTGAAATTCTGAAGTTTAACCTTGTTTGGGCTTTGGAGCCGCAATTCTGAATTTTCAGCCCAAAATCAAAATTTTTCGAATCTAGTCATGTTCGGGCTCAAAAGTTAGCTAATAATCTGAATTTTCAGCCTATAGGTCATTTTTATGCTTGAAATCAAGCTGAAAAATCAAGAAATCTGAATTTTCAGCCCAAGAACTCTAAAATTTCAGCTCAAGACCAAAAAATTTTCTTTTATGCTCAAATTGATGCAAAAAATCAGATTTTTCAAATACTTCGCGGATCCAGCGCCGCTTTCAAATCCCAAACTTTATAGAGGGTTTTGGGGAGCATTTTGAGCCCAAATTCGACTAAATTTGAAAAAAAATGTGATTTTCAGAATTCTGAAGGCTTTCGGAGCATTTTGAGCCTAAATTCGACTGAATTTAGAAAAAAATTGAGATTTTCAGAATCTTGACAGCTCCAGGAGCAAATAGAGCCCAAATTCAGTTCGTTTCTGTTCAAAAATGTGATTTTCAGAATCCTTAAGACTCCAGGAGCATTTTGAGCCCAAATATGATATATTTTGGACCAGAAATGTGATATTCAGAATCCTGACATCTCCAAGAGCATTTTGAGCCCAAATTTGGACAGTTTTGGACCAGAAATGTGATTTTCAGAATCCTGAAGGCTCCCGGAGCATTTTGAGCACAAATTTAGTTAGGTCTGGAGCAAAAATGTGTTTTTGAGAATCTTGGGAGCTTTTGGAGCAATCTCTACCGAAAATCCAAATTTTTAGGAAAAATCAAGAATTAGAGCTCAAAATAACCCAAAAATCACAATTTTTGAGCCATAATTCAAAATCCATCTCAAAATTCGTGAAATTCTCTCAGCAACCTCAAAAAATCCAAAATTTTTGAAAAAATCAAGAATTAGAGCTCAAAATATCCCAAAAATCACAATTTTTAGCCGTAATTCAAAATCCATCTCAAAATTCGTGAAATTCTCTCAGGAACCTCAAAAAATCCAAACTTTCAGGGAAAATCAAGAATCAGTGCTTCACAGAGCTCAAAAATCCTTATTTTCGAGCCATATATCAAATTCTATATCAATATTCCTAAAATTCTCTCAGGAATCCCAAAAAAGCCAAAGTTTCAAAAAGGTTAAGAATTAGAGCTCGAAAGAGCTCAAAAATGATAATTTGTGCGAAATATACTAAATTGGGTGTCAAAATTCCTGAAATTCTTCCAGGAATGTCAAAACGAAATTGTTCGAAATCTTAATTTTTCCCTTCCAAACTACTGTATTTGATAAAAAAAACATTTGACATAAAAATTGGAATATTTATTGGATAAAATGAAGATGTGCTGTGATTACGCAATCAAAACGCAATGAATACACAATGAAAACACAAACTATGTTGGCCAACCAAATTGTTCGAAATCTTAATTTTTCCCTTCCAAACTACTGTATTTGATAAAAAAACATTTGATATAAAAATTGGAATATTTATTGGATAAAATGAAGATGTGCTGTGATTACGCAATCAAAACGCAATGAATACACAATGAAAACACAAACTATGTTGGCCAACCAAATTGTTCGAAATCTTAATTTTTCCCTTCCAAACTACTGTATTTGATAAAAAAAAACATTTGATTTAAAAATTGGAATATTTATTGGATAAAATGAAGATGTGCTGTGATTACGCAATCAAAACGCAATGAATACACAATGAAAACACAAACTATGTTGGCCAACCAAATTGTTCGAAATCTTAATTTTTCCCTTCGAAACTACTGTATTTGATAAAAAACATTTGATTTAAAAATTGGAATATTTATTGGATAAAATGAAGATGTGCTGTGATTACGCAATCAAAACGCAATGAATACACAATGAAAACACAAACTATGTTGGCCAACCAAATTGTTCGAAATCTTAATTTTTCCCTTCCAAACTACTGTATTTGATAAAAAAAAACATTTGATTTAAAAATTGGAATATTTATTGGATAAAATGAAGATTGTGCTGTGATTACGCAATCAAAACGCAATGAATACATAATGAAAACACAAACTATGTTGGCCAACCAAATTGTTCGAAATCTTAATTTTTCCCTTCGAAACTACTGTATTTGATAAAAAAAAAACATTTGATTTAAAAATTGGAATATTTATCGGATAAAATGAAGATGTGCTGTGATTACGCAATCAAAACGCAATGAATACATAATGAAAACACAAACTATGTTGGCCAACCAAATTGTTCGAAATCTTAATTTTTCCCTTCGAAACTACTGTATTTGATAAAAAAACATTTGATTTAAAAATTGGAATATTTATTGGATAAAATGAAGATGTGCTGTGATTACGCAATCAAAACGCAATGAATACACAATGAAAACACAAACTATGTTGGCCAACCAAATTGTTCGAAATCTTAATTTTTCCCTTCCAAACTACTGTATTTGATAAAAAAACATTTGATTTAAAAATTGGAATATTTATTGGATAAAATGAAGATTGTGCTGTGATTACGCAATCAAAACGCAATGAATACATAATGAAAACACAAACTATGTTGGCCAACCAAATTGTTCGAAATCTTAATTTTTCCCTTCGAAACTACTGTATTTGATAAAAAAAAAACATTTGATTTAAAAATTGGAATATTTATTGGATAAAATGAAGATTGTGCTGTGATTACGCAATCAAAACGCAATGAATACATAATGAAAACACAAACTATGTTGGCCAACCAAATTGATCGAAATCTTAATTTTTCCCTTCCAAACTACTGTATTTGATACAAAAAAAAAGTTCTTGTGTCAGCATTTTTATATCTCGAGAGGTTTTTATATCTCGAGAGTGCATTGCGCGGACGTTTCGCTAACAGCGGAGTATAATTTCGCGGACGTTTCGCTAAAGTTCTTGTGTCAGCCGCGGATTGGCAGATTTTTGGGTTTCGCGAACCGCGCCGTTCCAGCCAGACCTTCTCTGAGTCGATCCCAATCCTGTCGTTTTGTAGTCATCCATCTTCCTCGCTGCGCTATCCTCGTTGTCGCGTATGCGATACAATTTATCCTTTTTATACCCTCCCTCTCGAGTCCACCCGTGTATCCGCGAAAAACTCAAAAAAATCAAATTTTCTAGTCAAAAAATTTCGCGGAATGCGCGAAATGAGACTCTCTTTGGCTGAAGTTTCGCTGAATCCGCGTAATGATTTTCACCCAAAAATTGGGAAAAAATCGTCCGCGGACCGCGCCGTTCAAGCCAGACTTTCTCTGAGATTCCACTGACAAAACTCCGATGTTTACAGCACGCCGTGATATCGGCCACGTGGAATGCTGGTGATGTTTTGTGACACGTCACATCGCAATATGACACGTGAATTTGACACGTGGCAAATGACGCTGCAAATTTTGGGATTTTCCTCGAGATTTGAAGGGAAACTCACCAAAAATCCAGATAATCACCGCGAAACTCCAAATTTTCATCATAATTTCTCTGAAAATCTCCGAAAAAAGTTCATTTTTATAGTGAAAATGTGTTTATTTGAGCAGCTCGCCACACAAAATTTTATACAAATAAATTAAAGTGCAAAATGAGGAGGTCTGGAAATCTGGATTTTTCCAGCAAAAACATGAAAATCAGTGAAAAATGGATTTTGAGGCCAAAAATTTCTCGCGTCGCGCCTTTTTTTCTTCCTCAATTCGCAATTTTTCCTCCTTTTCCAGCTTCATTTCCTCCTCGAATTTCGAGAGTTTTGTTTGCTCTTCGATCTGGAAATTTTGATTTTTTGGCTGAAAATTTGAATTTTTCATGAAATCTGAAAATTTTCGAGTCCAAACATGAAAAAAATCAGAAATTTTCAGTCAAAAATCGGTTTTCAGAAATTCCTAGGCTGATTTCAGCTGAAAATCATGATTTTTCCTGTTTTCACCCCCGGAATTCTAATTTTTCATGAAATTTCGAGATTTTTGAGTCCAAACATGAAAAAAATCTGAAATTTCCAGCCAATCATCGGTTTTCAGAAAATCCTAGGCTAATTTTTGCTGAAAATATCATTTTTCAAGTTTCTTCGCTTTTAAAATCTTATTTTTCATGAAATTTCGAGATTTTTTGAGTCTAAACATGAAAAAAATCAGAAATTTTCAACCAAAAAATTGATTTTCACACATTTCTAGGCTAATTTTCGCTGAAAATTTCATTTTTCAAGTTTCTTCACCTCTGGAATCCTAATTTTCATGAAATTTCGAAATTTTTGAGTCCAAACATGAAAAAAAATCTAAAATTTTCAACCAAAAATCGATCTTAGCTCAAATTCAGCTGAAAATCACTTTTCCAGGCTCAAAAATACTTGAAAATTCCAATTTTTCCCAAATTTGCACTCAAAATGCTCCAAATCCTTTAAAAATTCCAAATCCACTCCTCAAAATGCACCAACCTTAGCTTGGAAAAAGTTAGCCGCTCCCAAAACACCCTCCTTTGCCACATCGACACTTTCCGCGAGTGTTTTGAAAATTTCCGAACACGACAATTCGCCGGTTGCAGCAAGGCGGAAAATCAGCAAAAATTCACGTTGTGAGATTTTTCCATCGCCATCTTCGTCGACCTGTGAGAAAAATGGAATTAGGGTAAGTTTTTGTGGATTTTAGGTGGCGGGAGAGTGATTAGCGTGAAATTTTGGTCTAGAACACTTTTTTCTAAAAAAAAATAAAAAGTTTCGCAGGCAGTGGGGTTCGAACCTGTGACCTTTCAGTCACCAGTTCAAGCTCTAACCAACTGCGCTAGCGGACGTGTAAAACGTTTCCTGGCTTAAATTTCACGCTGAAAACGATGCCACCAACCTTTTTAATCAATTCCTTCAACGCAATATGTGTTTGCGCCTCTCCTAATCGCTCCATCATCCGTTTCAATTCTTCAAAATTGATAAAATTATCAGAATCCTCATCGTATTTCTTGAAGGTGTCCAAAAAGTATTGAATTTGTTTGCGAGTGAATTCGGTGAACTCGGCATAGATCGAGATTTTCTTGTTCATCTTGATCGGCAGACATTCACCTAGAAAAATAAAATTGAGACATTTTCCGGGTCGCTGGGACAAAATCGGACATTTTTATAGTGATTTTCGAGTTCCTTGTGAAATTTGCGGAATTTTGATATCCCACAAGGTACACTTTCTATCGCGGGGACACCTTGTCCCAGCGCTACGACAGGATGTCCCGGCGATAGAAAGTATACCTTATGGGATATCAAAATGACCGGATTTTCATCAGGAATCTCGTGGGTTTCATGAAAACCCAAAATTTGTCCTAGCGCTGGGACAAAGTGCCCTAAAAGTAGTTTTTTAGCAAAATATATCATTTTTAGTATCAAAATGGCCCAAATTTCATGAGAAATCCCAAAAATTCTGATTTTTATCGCTGGGGCACGCCGGGACATTTTCCAGAACTCACCAAAAGTCGAAGTGTTTTCGTCGCACATGTCTACTGCAAAATCCGAGTTTTTTATTCAAACAAAAAAAAATGGCGCGCGAAGAAAAAACAAAGAGAAAAGAACCTTGAGTAATGAGATTTTTTGGCGCCAAAAAAAATTTCGAAATTTTTTTGTTGTTGGAAAAAGTGGTCACAAGATTTTTCGATTTCTAATAAATATTGGGGGGAAAATGTGATAAGATTTTGTTTCCTGGCCAAAACAAAAATAAAATGTTTTTGTGGTATAAAAGATACAAAGTGATGACTAATACGCGCGCGAAAATAGGCTCCGCCCATTTTTCGGACAAAAAATGTGTTGGGGGAAGTCTCCCAAAGGTCACTAGACGCCTTAATTTCAATGGGATTTTTAGAAAACAAATTAGACAAAAATTGTACAAATTAGAGGTGTGAAAAATGTCCCAGCGATAGGGGGAAAATCCGGACAAAAGTGTCCCAGCGGTAGAGAAGCTTTACTTCTTCCTATCGAACATTTTTCATGAATTTTTGATGAAAAATGTCCCAGCGCTGTGCAAATTCGGTGTCAAAAATCGCAGAATTTTCTCGGAGAATGTCCGAAATGTCCCAGCGATCCCCAAAAAACCCTCACTAACCTTCCAAAATCTTATTCCTTCGCTCAAGTGCCTCGTTCAATTCTTCCGGATTTTCTTCAATTTTTTTGGTGGGGGTACTGTAGGTGGGGGTACTGTAGTTGCAGTTTCCAGTGATAAAAGTGGATCACATTGTAGGCCAAGTGGGCTGAGAGCTGCCGGGTTACGGTCGGGTTTTTTCGGGGGCTCTGGTCTGGAAAATTGTACTGTAGATCGAGGGTACGGTAGCTGCTTTAGATCAAATTTTGGGGAACTTTCAAGTACAGTAACCTCTGGGAAGTTTTGATCTACCAAAAACCCAAAAATTTGACATCTACAGTAATCCTAGGCTTGTTTGGTGTCAAAAAACGTGGATTTTCAGGTACAGTAACATCTGGGAAATTTTGACCTACCTGGCCTCCTCCTTCTGTATCATCTGAATCAACTGCGGCGTGGGAATCGGCCCGGTTTTTCGGGCCACCAACGGTGTTGTGGGCTTTGGTGGTGGCGGTGGTCCAGAAGCAGGCCGTGGAGAAGGCGGCCCGCTTGAACTCGGGGCCGGAATGGCAGGCGGGCTACAAGTTGGCGGAGGCGGGAAGAACTCATCTCGATCTTGAATCTGAATCAGATGTTCAGGTGGTGGTGGAATTGTGAAAGTTGGTGGTGGCACAGGTGGAATCGGAGCATCGAGTTCCATCGATTTTTCGAGTTCCTCAAAGTCGCGAGTCTCTTCCGATTCGCGGCGTCGTCTCGATTCCTCGTCAAGCGATTCCGGGCTCCGCGCGATTTTTCTGGGAGTTTCTTCGGGGTGAATTACAAGGCTCGTGGAATCTGAGGTGTCCTCTTCAGAAATTCGAGCCAAAGGCTCAGCGGAGGGTACTTCTGGAGCTGCAGGAATAGAGGGCGGAGCTTGAATTGGCGCCTGAAAAATTCATGACTATAGTAGATGTATCGGGTTACCTGAAGATTAATTGTTGTTTTTGTTTCTTCGGGAAAATAATAGGCCTGTTTTAGGCCTTTTTGGACCGAAAGGGGCTTTCCAGGCATATTCACACTTTAAATTTTACAAATTTTGATTCCTAACTCATTTTAAGGCCCCCTAATCCCATTTAGGCTCAAAATTTGGCGATTTTTGAGTCCAAACTTGAAAATTTTATATTTTTTTCATGTTTGGACTCAAAAATCTTGAAATTTCATGAAAAATTGCAAAAATTCAAAATATTTCAGTTTTTTTGCTTTAAAAATTTGATTTTAAAAGTTTTTCAACCCCTGGAATCCAATTTTTCCATGTACTTTCGCGATTTTTGATTCCAAACTTGACAATTTCCGATTTATTTCATGTTTGGACTCAAAAATCTTGAAATTTCGCGCTCTAGGCAAATTTGAGCTCAAAATGCTCCAAAATCCCAAGCTCTCACCTTATACGGTAACTTCATCAATCTGTCCAACTCGCCAACTTCAGTCTGCTCCAATTTTCTCGATTCCAACACCTCCAACTCTTCCGCATATTTTTTCGCGCGCTGTGCAGCCAACCGCTTCTCCAGCTCATTTCCATCCTCATTTTCCCTCACGAATTGTTGTCGACGTGGCGACGCGTCGCGTGTCGCATGCGTCGCGGCTTTCGCAATCACTACAACCGGCGCGGCGTTGGTTCGCGGTGCGGCGACTTGCGGAACGGCTTCCAATTCACGTTTCTCTTTTTCCAACAATTCGAGGATCGATCTTTTTGGTGGCGGAGATCGTGGATCGATTTGTTGGGGTTCTGATGGGATTGTGATTGGTGCCAATGGTGAAATCTAAAAAAAAATAATTTCGCAGGCAGCAGGGCTCGATCCCCCGACCTCTCACCCCACAATCAAACCCCTAACCACCTGAGCCAATTCCTCACCTGTGAATTATTGTTATTATTATTCTCCTCCTTCCTCTCCAACGCTTTAAAAATCAAATCATCGATCGAATTCTCGGATTTTGCCACATATGGATTCTCGACAACTTTTTGCGGCAAAATTGGAGCTGGAGGTGGTGGCTTCTTGGGCTCAGAAGTTTGCGCTTCGGATTCTAGACGTCGAGCCAATTTTTCGGCCAATTCTGGAGAGGCCATGACTGGAAAAAATCAAATTGTGTCAATTTTTCGCTTTGGAAACAAAATTTGGAAAAACAACACTATGACTAATGAATTTAGCAAAAACATTGAATTTTTTTTGACCTAACAAAATAATTTCAGAAAAATTGAGAAATTCAATTGTGAAATGCATTCTTCCATTAAAAATGATACAAATTTTTGTAGTTCTTTTGGAGAATATTTTGACACCAAAAATCTACAAGCAACAAAAAATAGCACAAAAATTCCTGTGCCAAGAAAATGTGTGGCAGCTTTTTTGCGCGCTTTTCTCAGCGCGTTTTCAAATATCCGCAAATTATGTCTACGTCTCTTCACACACTCGTACGCTCTCGCAAATTTTTGTTTGTTTTTTTCTGTTTAGACACACACTGTGTTCGAAAAAGACAATAATGAAGAGGCTCAGCTGATAAAAAAAATTTTGTAGAAGATTTGGGCGGGAAATTCAAATTTTCCTCGCGCAAACTGCAAATTCTCTCGGACAAAGCTTGCATAAAGTAAAAAAAAAGTAAAAAAGTGGTCAAAAACAAAACTGACTCATCTTGTGAGCCTCTGGATTTTTAAAACACTTTACACTGGAGTTTATCTTTTCCCGGCTCAATTTTTCTCTGCGTCTCTCAACCACCTGTTCTCTCTCTCCTGCTGAGAGCTTTTGGTAAAGTATATTTTTTATAACTTTTTTTCTGACCGATCGGATGAAAAGGATGAATCACATTTTGTTACAAAAACATTTCGAAATTTTCTGGGAAAAAAATGGTTTGCTCGTACATGGGTTCAAACCTGAGATGAATAGATTCGACGTTTTCAGCACGAAAAATTGATCTATAAATAATTTTGGAGCCCGATTTTGTGTTATTTTTGACGGGTATGTAATAAATATTCAAGTTTAAAGCAAGTCAAGTGATCATACACTCCGGTTGAAGCTTTTTCACATTATAATTTTCGTCCAAAAATCAGTCCGGATTGAAAATGAAACGTGTTCACCTATTTTTTTCCATCCACGTGAAATGACTCACTATAAAAGAAGAGGAATTTGAGAAATGAGTCATTTTTTGAAGATTCACTTATTATTATATTCATACCTAACTATCGATTTTGTTAAATGAATCCAATCGTCAGCGAAGAACTCGAAATTAAACATACATTCAATGAAATCTCGGATTTGAGCGATTTCACTGTTAGTGATGATTTAGTGTCAAACAATATCATCTGGAATATATCGATTGAACCGCTTCACAAGGAGCCGGAAAATGTCAAACTCCTTACGGTGAATCTCTACTTAGCCCAAATTCAACCACCCATTCAAAATTTTATATGCGAAGTGAATGCAAAATTCGACTTTTGGAAAGATGATCAAATCATCGGAACTCGCGCATTCCCGTTTGCACTCTGCTATCGAAATGTGCGTCAAAATTGGGGATTCGCACCTTTTATGCAATGGTCAAATTTGATAGCTCTTTTGGTTTCTGATACATTGACGATTAGAGTCAAATTTACATACAAGTTCTATAATTTTGATTTGAATCGGGAAGATTTCCGAAGTTTTCCGGTGAAATTTGAAGTTGGAAGATTGTTTGTCAACAAACAGGTTAACGTTTTTGTTTTCGGAAAATTCAATTAAAACATTTTGCAGTACGTTGCAATGTATTCGAAACATCTCCAGGAAGAATTCAAAAAATCACCGAAATGCCTCAAAATCGAAGATGAATCTGTGAACATCAAGGATTTCTGTCTTCTCTATGCAGCAATTCATCCAAACCCTATTCAAATAACTGGAAAAACATTCGTCAAACTTCTCTATTTAGCGAAGCGATTCAAAATTGACAGTCTAATCGAGAAATGTGTGGAAAATGGGGCGAATTCGCCAATTATTCCGATTATCGAAAAATTCAGAGGAGCTGAATTACTTGAGCCGGATAATCGGTTGATGGTAGGCTGCCTGGATTTGTTCAAAACCCCACGTGATTTCAAAATCTTTGCGTTAGATCCGGATTTCGAAACATTGAGGGATTCAACTAGATTTACAATATTAATGGCGCTGGTTAAGATGGTTTCTTGATTTTTCTTAATGAATTTTGAAAGCGAGTTTTTCTCTGATATTTTTTAACCCGAAATTTGACTGAAGATTGCCCCAGAATTTCGAAAAGTTAGCTGAAAATTGTAGAAATTCATCAAAAACTTACCATGAGCAATTCCAATTTGGAGATGTCATTTTGAAGATCTTGAAATTTCCTGCAAATCTCTCATTGCCACTTGAATTTCAAGCAAAAGCCAAAATTCAAATCAAAAATCTTCATAATTATAATATCCTTCTTCTCAATTCACATTTATAAACAGGCGGCGAAACAGTCAAACCCAAAACCCTTTCCATCGATACCGTATCCTCCACACGTATCTCAAAATTCTTCAACAAATTCGCGAAAACCAAAAATAATTCGGCTTTTGCCAGTGATTCTCCCAAACATTGTCGTCTGCCAATTGAAAACGGCAAAAATTCCTCGATTTTTTTCACATTATAATTTTCGTCCAAAAATCTGTCGGGATTGAAAATGTGAGGTTCGTCGAATATTTCCGGGTCATTCATCAAAATCGAGACCTGCGGAATTATCAAATCTCCTTTTTCAAATGAGAATCCATCGATTTTCGTTGAAATTCCAACAGTTCTCAACAAATTGAATGGCAAAATGTTGGCGATTCGTTGAATTTCATTGATTGTTGCCTGAGTTAGTGGAAGTCGCGTTTTTTCGGCCAACGAGATTTGGGAAATTTCGCCGAGTTGATCCAACTCCTCTTGCACACGTTTTTGAATTGACGGATTTTTGGCGACTAGAAGAAAGGCCCATTTTAGGGTGGTTACTGTGGTTTCCATGCCAGCGAAGAATAAGTCGAGAAGGAGCATTTGGAGTTGAAGATCACTGGAAAAATTTGCAATTTTTTGACACCAAATAAGCCTAGGGTTACTTCTCTAGTTTAACCTAGATCTTAATCTCTAGTTTCCACCCCAATTTGTCTAGTTTGATTCTTGACTTTTGAAAAATTATCTAGTTTGACTCCTAACTCATGAATTTGTCTAGTTTGACCCCTGACTCATGAAATTTGACCTAGATCTCATTTTATAGTTTGATCTCTGACTTCTCTAGTTTGATTCTTGAATTTTGAAATTTTTTTAGTCTGACCTAATTTCTATTCTTTGATTTTTTTTCGAAATTTCTATTAAAATCTGGATTTTCTAATTTTTTTAAAGCTAAAATTTTTCAATATGAGCAAAACCCCTCATATTTGAGTTCAAAATGATCCAAATTTTCCCACTCCCCAAAAAACCCACTCAAAAAATCCGACATCCTCCCCACTGCGCATCCTCCGCTCCACCTCTTTCATATAAGCATACGTCAAATCCTCCACCTCCGCCTGTTCTTCCCGAATAATGTCCCATTTCTCGCGATGCTCTGCAATTTGCTCGGCTAAAAACGCACAGAGTTGTCGCTTGATGTCCATGAGTTCGAGCCATTTTGAATTCAAAACTGGGATTTTTGTGGTCCACGGGCACGTTATGTAGGCTCCCATTATTGATTTCATTACGATTTGTGATTGGCGATCCAGGAGATGGTGCAGTTTTGTCATTTTCAAGTCGCCCTGCAAACTATTGTCTAGTTTGAACTCTTGATTCAAGTGCGCTCTAATGAGAATCCAAGCAAATTAACTGACCTGCTTGAATCTGCAACTGAAAAGCATATTATTGATAATGTTTCCGACGCAATTTGCAATCGGCGCATTCAATTCCACTTTTTCTTGCCCATTTCTGCTCTCCTTCCCCAAAAAGTCCACAAGAGCCTCGACTTCCAGCATGATTTTTTGTTCCATCAAAGGTCTGCCGACTCCGAAATCGCGAAGCGTGTGTAAAGCGAATCGCCGTTGCTCACGCCATTTGTCACCATCGATTTGCACCACACCATTTGCGCCTTCTGCAAAAAAATCACAAACTTCATTGAAAACTGGAATTTTCAAGCATTTTTGCTCTAAATTGTGATTTTTGGACTAAAAATCTCAACGAATTGCTCGAAAATCGAATATTTCAATGAAAACTAGAATTTCCAGTATTTTCAGCCCAAAATTTGGCTGAAAACGATGAAAAACTGGATATTGCAACTTTTTCTCGAAAAAATAAAAAATCTTGCGCGTCAAATAAAATGTTTTCCAGTACGCGAACAACAAACACGTCGCACAAATGCACAGTCCGCGGTGGCGCCCATTTTCAGCATTTTGTTTTGCGCCCACGAAATCACGATTTTCAGCTTTTTCAAATTTCAGAAGTGTTTTAAGTTGATAGAAAATGTTGCAAACTATGATTTTGACTCGTTTTCGCTAGGAAACATGTAGTTTTGATAAAGTATCTAGATATTTTTAAAGTTTTTGTTAGATTTTCTCTTTTCCTCCGTTTTTTTTTTCTCGAGACAGCTTCAAATCAAAATATTTTCTGTTTCAGACATGTTCAGTGTTATCGGAAATGCTTATCGATTCTCGGGGTGAGTTTTCAAATGCAGAAGTTGCTGAGTCAAATGAAACATCAAAATTTTCAGATTGATCGACCGTGGCGGTTTTGGAAGATCAATGTGATGCGGAAGGAGCAACAACAAAAGGAGCAACTTCAGAAATTGAGAGAAGTCGACAAGAAGCAGTAACTCGATAACCATCAGAAAGACCTACAACACCATCAACGATGAATTTCTGAAATCGAGGCATAAATAATAAACCTGTTTTGATTTATTGAAAGTAAATTATCGATACTATTATTTTTCTTGTTTCTTTCTGATATTCAACCTCGTTTAATACCGAGAGCTATTATTTGCAGAGAAAGTTTAGTTACAGTTCAGGGGAATCAATGGAATCGCAAGAATCGATTGATTGGATTTGTGAGCCACCGTGGAGGTTATTCAAAAAAGAAAGAGGGTGCAAACCAGCAAGGTATTCTTTTTTTCTTTGAAAAATTGCCTCAATCGAATCATGAAATCTATTCAGGTTTTCAACAGCAAATACCCTGTCATCTGGAGCGGAATACATCGTGGAATCTAGCGGTGTCTTCGCCGCTGAAGAAAAAGCTGGTGCTAAGAAGGTTATCATCTTCACCATTTGATGCTTGTTGCTGATGAAGTAAATTTGGTAGGATTTTTTTCATTTTTCGACCAGGAAACGGTATCTTCACAGCTAGCCCTCGATCAGGAGCTAATTGTTTTGCACATGTCTTGTTGTTTTTATCTAATTCCCTGCATTCTTGTTCATCAAATCTAGATTTAAAAGTCAGAAATTGAAATCCTTGATCTATCTAACTGTCTCAATCCAAGGTTAATAAAGCCCAGAGTCAAAGTTATAGACAAACTATAGCCCTTTATCCTAACCCATAATTTGAACCAATTTCCTTGAAAATGGTCACATTTTGGCATGGAAATCGGATTAAAGAGTCATGGACATAGACTTGTAAGTGGAAAACAACAAGTGATTCGTAGAAGTTCATAGTCACAGTGATGGATATTATGGCGAATTTCTTTAGTGTTGTTTTTTTTTAATCAAATCTAGATTTAAAAGTCAGAAATTGAAATCCTTGATCTATCTAACTGTCTCAATCCAAGGTTAAAAAAGCCCAGAGTCAAAGTTATAGACAAACTATAGTCCGTTTATCTTAACCCATAATCTGAACCAATTTCCTTGAAAATGGTCACATTTTGGCATGGATATCGGATTAAAGAGTCATGGACATAGACTTGTAAGTGGAAAACAACAAGTGATTCGTAGAAGTTCATAGTCAAAGCGATGGATATTATGGCGAATTTCTTTAGTTTTGTGTTTTTTTTAAATCAAATCTAGATTTAAAAGTCAGAAATTGAAATCCTTGATCTATCTAACTGTCTCAATCCAAGGTTAATAAAGCCCAGAGTCAAAGTTATAGACAAACTATAGCCCTTTATCCTAACCCATTATCTGAATCAATTTTCTTGAAAATGGTCACATTTTGGCATGGATATCGGATTAAAGAGTCATGGACATAGACTTGTAAGTGGAAAACAACAAGTGATTCTGAGAAGTTCATAGTCACAGCGATGGATATTATGGCGAATTTCTTTAGTTTTGTGTTTTTTTTTTCTTGAATCAAATCTAGATTTAAAAGTCAGAAATTGAAATCCTTGATCTATCTAACTGTCTCAATCCAAGGTTAATAAAGCCCAGAGTCAAAGTTATAGACAAACTATAGCCCGTTTATTCTAACCCATAATTTGAACCAATTTCCTTGAAAATGGTCACGTTTTGGCATGGATAACGGATTAAAGAGTCATGGACATAGACTTGTAAGTGGAAAACAACAAGTGATTCTGAGAAGTTCATAGTCACAGCGATGGATATTATGGCGAATTTTCTCGGTGTCTTTCTTTGTGTTTTTTTTAAATCAAATCTGGATATCCTAACCTATAATCTGAATCCTTCGATCACATTTTGGTATGGATTTTTTTTACATTTCAACGTTTAAATTTGAAATCCTTGATCTATCTAACTGTCCCAATCCAAGGTTTTTTTTTTTCATTTTGAAAATGGTTTTTATTGTCGATTGTTTTTTGTTCACGCTGTGTTTGTATTCTTCATTTTTAAATTTTTGTTTGAAGAAAAAAATTCAGGTTTTTTTTTATTACAGGAATAATTGAGGGACCTATGACAACGTCGCCATTGCCACTCAAAAACCGTCGGAGGATTTTCAAGGAAAATTGATCTCATGGTAATTTTTCTTACTTAACAGGAAACTCCGCGAAATTTTCGTATGCAATGCTGCTTTTATTTTTTTTCGCATTTATACCCGGATTTTGTACATTTTTTTGTTGAGTACACTACAAATGTAATTATGTCCTAGACACCATTCCATTAAAACCTAGTTAGCAAAAAAATGACTTTGAAAAATCTAGTTTTTTCGCACCTCAAAGCGAAGCTGACCCATAATTGAGACGGTAAAATAATTTGCGAAAATTTTGGACATTGCTCATGTTAAACAAGAACAGAAAAAAGAAAACTAACCCATGATAGAGTCGGTGATAAAATTGCGCCAACGATTCGAAAACGCGTCAGCATTTTGCACAAAATATTTTCGAATTGTTGTCAAATCACACACCATCACCAGAGGAATTGGTCCGATCCAAACGGTGAAAATTGGGCCGAATTTTCGTTTCCAGTTCAGGAACAGTTCGTCAATGCTGCTGGCTGGAAATTTAAGTTTTTTTTGGAAACTTTTGATCTTGAATTTAGCAAACTTGGAATTTTAATTTTTTAACGATGTTTAGGATTTTACACGAGCTTTTGAAGTTTTGTAAGATTTTTTTCTTTTATTTGAAAAAATGTTGCTCAAAAAATCTGCCTGAATCTTAAATTTTCAGTTGTCAAAGTCCTTCTGAAATTCCATGAAGTCTAGAATTTTAGCCGGAAATCTGAAAATAGCTGAAAATTTGGTGTTCTCGCGCAGGGAAATATATCGTCAATTTTTTTTTAGAATTTTGCTGGCAATTTTTTTTGCTCAAAAAATCTGCCTGAATCTCAAATTTTCAGTTATTTTCTCAAAAGTCCTGCTGAAATTCCATAAATTCTAGAATTTCAGCCGGAAATCTGAAAATAGTTAAAAATTTGGGGTTCTCGCGCAGGGAAATCTATCGTCAATTTTTTTTTTGGAATTTTTCTAGCAATTTTTTTTGCTCAAAAAATCTGCCTGAATCTCAAATTTTCAATCATTTCCTCAAAAGTCCTGCTGAAATTCCATGAATTCGAGAATTTCAGCCGGAACTCTGAAAATGGCTGAAAATTTGGGGTTCTTGTGCAGGGAAATCTATCGTCAATTTTTTATTTGCCACGTGGCAATTTAGAGCTATGAAAAAATGCCTGAACCTTGAATTTTCAGTCATTTTCATTAAAAATCTTGCTGAAATTCTAGAAAAACTAGAATTCCAGCTAGGAAATCTGAAAATGGCTGAAAATTTGGGGTTCTCGCGCAGGGAAATCTATCGCCAATTTTTTTTGGAATTTTGCTGGCTTTTATATTTTCCTCATTTTAAAACTACAGTAATCCTAGGCTCATTTGGGGTTAAAATGTTAGATTTTTTGCTCAAAAAATCTGCCTGAATCTCAAATTTTCAGTTATTTTCTCAAAAGTCCTGCTGAAATTTCATAAATTCTAGAATTTCAGCCGGAAATCTGAAAATAGTTGAAAATTTGGGGTTCTCGCACAGGGAAATCTATCGTCAATTTTTTTTTTGGAATTTTTCTAGCAATTTTTTTTGCTCAAAAAATCTGCCTGAATCTCAAATTTTCAATCATTTCCTCAAAAGTCCTGCTGAAATTCCATGAATTCGAGAACTTCAGCCGGAACTCTGAAAATGGCTGAAAATTTGGGGTTCTTGCGCAGGGAAATCTATCGTCAATTTTTTATTTGCCACGTGGCAATTTAGAGCTATGAAAAAATGCCTGAACCTTGAATTTTCAGTCATTTTCATTGAAAATCTTGCTGAAATTCTAGAAAAACTAGAATTCCAGCTGGGAAATCTGAAAATGGCTGAAAATTTGGGGTTCTCGCGCAGGGAAATCTATCGTCAATTTTTTTGTTTGGAATTTTGCTGGCTTTTATATTTTCCTAATTTTAAAACTACAGTAATCCTAGGCTCATTGGGGGGTAAAATGTTTGTTTTTTTTTTACTCAAAAAATCTGCCTGAATCTCTAATTTTCAGTTATTTTCTCAAAAGTCCTGCTGAAATTCCTTAAATTCTAGAATTTCAGCCGGAAATCTGAAAATGGCTGAAAATTTGGGGTTCTCGCGCAGGGAAATCTATCGTCAATTTTTTTTTGGAATTTTGCTGGCTTTTATATTTTCCTAATTTTAAAACTACAGTAATCCTAGGCTTATTTGGGGTTAAAATGTTAGATTTTTCGCTCAAAAAATCTGCCTGAATCTCAAATTTTCAGTTATCTCCTCAAAAGTTCTGCTGAAATTCCATGAATTCGAGAATTTCAGCCGGAAATCTGAAAATGGCTGAAAATTTGGGGTTCTCGCGCAGGGAAATCTATCGTCAATTTTTTTTTGAAATTTTTCTGGCTCTTATATTTTCCTAATTTTAAAACTACAGTAATCCTAGACTCATTTGAGGTTAAAATGTTAGATTTTTCGCTCAAAAAATCTGCCTGAATCTCAAATTTTCAGTTATCTCCTCAAAAGTCCTGCTGAAATTCCATGAATTCGAGAATTTCAGCCGGAAATCTGAAAATGGCTGAAAATTTGGGGTTCTCGCGCAGGGAAATCTATCGTCAATTTTTTTTTGAAATTTTTCTGGCTTTTATATTTTCCTAATTTTAAAACTACAGTAATCCTAGGCTCATTTGGGGTTAAAATGTTAGATTTTTTGCTCAAAAAATCTGCCTGAATCTCAAATTTTCAGTTATCTCCTCAAAAGTTCTGCTGAAATTCCATGAATTCGAGAATTTCAGCCGGAAATCTGAAAATGGCTGAAAATTTGGGGTTCTCGCGCAGGGAAATCTATCGTCAATTTTTTTTTGAAATTTTTCTGGCTCTTATATTTTCCTAATTTTAAAACTACAGTAATCCTAGGCTCATTTGGGGTTAAAATGTTAGATTTTTTGCTCAAAAAATCTGCCTGAATCTCAAATTTTCAGTTATCTCCTCAAAAGTTCTGCTGAAATTCCATGAATTCGAGAATTTCAGCCGGAAATCTGAAAATGGCTGAAAATTTGGGGTTCTCGCGCAGGGAAATCTATCGTCAATTTTTTTTTTGGAATTTTGCTGGCTTTTATATTTTCCTAATTTTAAAACTACAGTAATCCTAGGCTTATTTGGGGTTAAAATGTTAGATTTTTCGCTCAAAAAATCTGCCTGAATCTCAAATTTTCAGTCATTTTCTCAAAAGTCCTGCTGAAATTCCATGAATTCGAGAATTTCAGCCGGAAATCTGAAAATTGCTGAAAATTTGGGGTTCTCGCGCAGGGAAATCTATCGTCAATTTTTTTTTGGGATTTTTCAATTCTAAAACTACAGTAATCCTAGGCTCATTTGGGGTTAAAATGTTAGATTTTTTGCGCAAAATCCTTCAGTACCCCCAAAAACACTCACCAACCACAAAACTTGGCATATTTCCAGCCAGCAACCATGGCGCTGGTCCAGGCGGCAATCTTCGCCTCTTCCAAAAAATCTCATAAACCACGTAGGCCCCAAAAACCAAGGTCCACGAGATTTTGGCCCCGAAAAGTAGTGCCCCAACAATCAGAAAAAAGTTCATCGACGGATATTTTTTGAGTATAAAGGAAGAATGGGAGAAAAATGGGAGGAGGAGGAGGCAAATTGTGTCAGTGAAAAGTTAGGCTTCGGGCGAGAGAGTGCGGATTTTGGAGAGAGTGCAGAAATGCAGAGTGAACGATTCGAGACGATAACACAGAAAACAGTGAAAGTTGGATTTATTTCGAGGTTCAGTTCATCCTAGTGATTTTTTAAAGGACATTGTGTGTTTTTTTGAGGCATTGCTCATGTCAATGATTTTTTTAATTCGAAAATTTCGATTTTAGACACGAAAAATCCACGTGGAACTCGTTTTAGTCAAAAATTTTATTTTGTTAAAGTTTTTGGATATTGCTCATGTTAATTTGTACTTCCGTGACTGTTTCTCTACATATTTCTGACACATTGCTCATGTTAAACCAGTTTTCTACTTTTGTATCCTTCTCCTTTTCAAAAAGCAACATTTTGCATGAAAGATTTTGAAAAGCGATAAAATTATGCATAAATTTCATTTTTACACTGTATTTCATAGAATTTTTTGTTTTGACGAGAAAAGAAAACAAAAAAACAAGTTTTTCTTTGGAAAAAAAATAAAGTTTTGGGATTATCGTGTAGTTCTCGTGGACAAGTCTGTGAAACATCAATTTTTCTCAAATTTGTGAGTACTTGATTGAAATGATTTATTGATTGAAAATTTGGATTCAGGTCAATTCAAAAATTTAGGCACCAAAAATAATGCGGCGAATCTGATATCCTCCAAAAACCGCTCGATTTCTTCGCAATTGCAAAGTTTTCTTTTGCCCAATTTCCGGAGTCACTTCGACTATCAAATATTTTTCCCCGCCATTTTTTCCAGTCTCAAAATAGGCTTTCCGATTTTTTTCGGCGAAAAATGTCGGAAGTTTAGTTTTAAATCTGCTCTTCAAGTGTCCGACGTATCGAGCTGTAAATATTGATTTTTAGAGCCAAAAATGAAATTCCACGGGGAAAATTTCGACCTACTTCTATTCCACACACGTTTACTACTTGTAAGTCTCTCGAAATCTTCTGAAAAATACACATTTTTCACACCATCATAACCTTGAGCCTCAAAAAGTTCCATGAACGCGGCGGCGAATTTTCGCTCGTGTTTGGAGGCCAACGAATTCGAATTTGAACCGGCCCAAATAATCGGAAGCAAAGCGGAAAATAGCAAGAATTTTCCGAACATTTTCGATGCGAATATTTTTGGGCAAGATTCGGAGCTTTATGCAAAAATCGATGATTCGATCATCGAATTATCGAGGTTTATGGGAATTTTTGCGCGGTTTTTTGAACTGCGAAAACTGTGCCGCAAAATTGCATTTTCAATCTTTGGCAAAAAATAATCTTCGAAAGTATTGCCTTATGAAATCACCTGACAGAAAAAATTCCGAATTTTGATCTATCAGATTAAAAATTTGGAACCTTTTTAAGCACTAGGCTCATTTTTAGGTCAGTTTTAAGCTTGACAGGCTTTTTGAGGCCCATTTTCAGATCTGAGCCCTCAAATTTGAAAAAATTTAGGTTTAATTTCCTAAAAAAATTTCCAAAAATTAATCTACTGTAGAAAAAGTCAATTGAAATATTTTATTTTCAGAAAAACAAGTCGAATTGATTTTCAGCCGCTGAAATTTTCTTAATCTGATATTTCGCAGCCAATTGCGGTGCCGGAACATAGACAAAAACAAAATCGTGATGATCTATAACATGAGTCACGATCAGATTTCGGTTGGCATCGGATTTCGCATTTTTCGGATTGTTGAAATAATTGTTCGGATGCTCTTTGAGGAAACGGCTGATGAATGGGACTGAAAATGAAATTATGATAAGATTTTAAGGTACGGCATGGTTTTGGGGGCGTGGTCTAATTTTATTCAAGATTCATAGGAAATTGAGCCACGTGGATTTTTGGCGCCAAATTTGAAATTTTTGAATTTCGCGCCAAAAATTTCTCCAATCATATTTGGTGTCAAAAAACGTGTAATTTTTGGCGGCAAAATTGACATTTTTGAATTTTTGAATTTCGCGCCAAAATGGAATTTTGACACCACAATTCAAATTTCCACGTGGCAAAAGGGTCTAAATTTTTCTGAAACTTTGCCTAAATCATTTTTGGTCTCATTCAAAAGCCCGTGAACTCACGAGCCTGATATTTCTTCCCATCGAGATTCACAAACTCGAAATCCTCCGTGAAATACTTCCGCAACACCTCAACCGCTTCAACTCCGCCATGCACAAGTTTCTCTAACTCATCCTCAAATATGACAGCGTGATGCAACGCGTTCAGAATTGTTTTTTCCGCCCTCATCAACATGTATTCGCCGGGCAGGTTACTGTATTTCCGGAAGAAATATGTGTAAAGTGTGGCGCTGACAATGTGTTTTGCGATGAGATCCGCACCGATGTCCGCACCGTCTTTCTCGCGCAATTGTGCGGAATAGATGCCGCGTGGAAAATGCTCATGATTTTGCAAACTATTGATATATTGCCATTTGGACTTACGGGTTCCGTTGGAAAATTTGAATTCGAAATCATTTTCAATCATCCAACTAGCAACTGTCAAGTTATATGTTTGAGCTCGAGATTTGTAAGTTGCAGCAAAGTTTGCAGCGGCTTGATGGGCCGGGGAGACCCATTCTTGAGCCTGCACTAGGGCCTGGGCCTGAATTATGGCCAAGAGAAGGATTATAATCATGGTTTTCTGCAAAAATTCTGACGAAATTCGATTTTTTATATGATTTGATGCGATCAAAAATTTGTTCCTTGTTCAAGGGTACTGTAGGCGAAGTACTGTATGCTGATGATCGAATTTGATCGGCTGACGCAATATTTTTGCAAAAATGTTATTCAAGCGCCCCCCTGAAAAACAAAGAACATCTAATCGAATAAATCAAGATCGAATCAAGAATACCGTATAAAATGGAGCCCCAAGAATCTGCAAAATCAGAGCAAAGCTTCAGAAATGAAGTTCTACATCCTCCTTCTTCTGACGATTTCAAGCGCGAGTTTGAGAGCCCAGGACCAATATCAAGACCATGAATATGTGCCGGAGCAACACGATCTTGTAAGAGATTTCGGCGAACTTATCGCTCACAGCCTTCTGAGACACGATGATCCTCTTGATGGAAATGATGAACTTTCGTTGATCAAAGTTCAACAATTCGAAAATTACTTCAAATCGTTGGCCGCGAGCAAAGGAATTGAAAAGGCTACCGAAACTTATTTGGTTGACGGATTTACGGCTGAAAGAGTTGGCGGAGATGTTTTGGATGCTCGTGAGTTTTTTCGCGCTTTTTTTTCTTTTTTTTTTCGGTAAATTTTTGCTGGTAGATCAATTTTTGAAACTTTCTTCATACCATTGCTCATATTAAAAATTATCTCTAACATGAGCAATGGATTCACAAAATTCCCGGTAAATGTTTTGCTGGTAGATCAAATTTTTGAAAATTTCTTCATGCCATTGCTTATATTAAAAATTCTCAGAGGATTTCAATTACTTCTAACCTGAGCAATGCTATTTTAACTCTCAAAACCCATGTTTTGCAGGCCGCTACACCGATTTCTTGCGCGGCCAAAACCTCGACGAATATTTTGCCAATCCCAGACACGCTCACTACGAATCCAACCACGATTTACACGTGAACCACGCCGAAAAAGGCACACACGATGTGTACAAATTCTATTTGACAGAGGACAAAAGTGTGGGCGGACACTACAAGCTGAAAAAGATCACCATCAATAATGTGCCGCATCGTCGTCGCCTGCGAGCTGTTACAGACAATTCGCGACTTGCGACTCTTAATTTGGAAGCCGCGATTGTTGACATCGCTGGAAGTGATCTATTGAATGCTAGGAAATATTTCACCAATGATTTTCGATTTGTTGCTGGAGCTGGAAAAGTTTTGGAAACTGGTGGGTTGAAATTTTAAAAATTTGGGGCCAATTTTGATTAGTTGAGAGCCTCAAATTAGCCTAAATAACCTGAATTTTTTGCAGTACCATTCTTGACCAAAATCGTGCACCCAGTCGGCGTGGCCAAATATTTCCACGCTCCAATTTCCACCCGATTCGACGCCAACAACACCCTCATCTTCGTTCTTGAACAGGATCATCAGCGCTTCGAATTCCGCGCTATCCGCGCACCAGAAGTGCAAGGCGCCTATCGAATTCAATCGGCCGGAAAATTGGCGGCGAAACGACGCGGTGGAAAAAAACATCGGTGGTCGAGCAGCAGCAGCAGCGCAAGTCTCAGTGTAATGCATGAGACAAGTGATTATGTTGAAGCATAAGTTTGGGGGTTTTCTAAATAAAGCATTTCAAAAGCACAGCGTTTTATGGGCCTGAAACGAACCTAATAAAGTTCCAAGTTTTGTTTTCAAAAGACTTTAGAGACCACTTAATATGAGCAATATTTTCGGGCTCTCATAAAAACATTAACATTGTGATTTGCAAAAAAAAAATTCATTTTCAAAGCCGGCCAACTGCAATTCTCTGAATCTGCCAAGCATACCACTTTTGTGGAGCCGGAATATAAATCGATTTGTAGTAGACATGATCTTCAATATGAAGCACAAGTAGATTTCCTGTCGAATAGTCGAATTTCGCCTCTTCTATGGGTTCGAAAAAATTTGGGGCGTTTCGCGTCGCCAAATAATCAATCTTCCCTATAAAAAAACGCTCAAAAAAAATGAATCTTCGCTGTCCGCAATGAACACCATGACGCAAACTTGCACACAATTTTTTTGGGCAGCTTGCCAATTTTCTCCACAGAGCGTAGATTAAAGGGAGGACGATTTGTTTACTTGTCGGGTCTCGTCGCGATGTGACGCGCTGCTCGAATGTTTTTCATTTTCTCTTTTTTTTTTTCGTTTTTTCTCTTTTTCGCCGAGGTTGCCATCTGGAGGCTGCGGAAGGTATGTTAAACTAACATCTTTTTACTTCTCATAACCAACTAATTTCCAGGCGCCGCTCTTGCTGCCATATGTTATGCTCAACGCGGAAGAAAGAAGTGAGTATTTTACGTTTCAGAAAGAGAAAGTTTTCAATAAATCTGCAGAAATCTTTAAATTTTGCGAAAAAAATTTTTTTCAACTGCGTTTTTCATTCACAGGAATTTGCGAACAGAGTGGAAACCAGTTGAAGCGGGAAACCAGCCTGATTCGGGTACAGAACTGGCTGGAACCAGTAGGGTTTCATTGGATTCCAACTGGTATTGCAGGTGTTGCTGGTTTCCAATCTGTTCGCAAATGCCTGTGTTAATTTTATTCAAACTCAGGAAATCGAAAGCGTGCTACGCCGCGTTTAGGGGCTTTTCGCGTTCACGCTGCGCACAGAACTCGCGAAATAAGCGATATCTGAGCACCGCGTGAACGCCAAAAGCCCCTAAACGCGGCTTAGCTTTCGATTTCCCGAGAAGACATTTGTTTTTTGGGTTTCTCTCGCGCGTTTCCAACTTCAACGTTCAAAGTAATTTTCTTTCAGCCAGCCGGTCGCGGAGGTATCCGAAATGAAGAGGCGACGAATCTGGAATGAGGATGCAACAAACCGCTCGCGCTTTTGGAAGATGATGTAAGTTTTTTTTAACTCAAAGATAACTTTAAAAGCCAAGAAACCGCTTTGAAATTGTTCAATTGTACAATGCCTGGAGAACATGCCCTATAACCACATTTCCTGTAAATGTTTACTTACAACCCTGGATTTTAGTGGTGGTTATAGGTCATGTTCTCCGAGTATTGTACATAACTTGAAAAAAAATTAATTGTAAGCTATTTAACTTTATTCTAATTCTCTGACTTACTTCTGATAAATATTGGGCCAAAAATTAATAAGCTATTATTTTTTATTTTTAGATGCTTGAATTCAAAATAAATCCAAAAACAACGCGAAAAAGTCAAAATTTTCCAAATAACGATTTATTTAGGTGCCAACTCAATCGGCAACAATTACGATACTGGACCATCCAACATCTCGGTAATTTTAATTTTGTGTATTGTTTATTTTTTCAATAATTAAATATAATGAAATTACTACCTTCATAATGTGATTCTCCGAAATCCCGATTTCCGGGTGAAAATTAAAGTGCTGCCAAAAAAGCATTTATGTGCACGATTGCGTTATGGTGTTTGCGGTTTTGCGTTTTTTTTTGGTTTGGTTTTTTACTGGAAGAATTTGTCTCGAGCTAATTTATGTTCTCGGAGTAGAAATCCCGAGTAAACTTCTACAAATCTGCACCAAGTGAACAGATGATTATGCCCGGTGATGAATGAATAAGTTGAAGCATAAGCGCCCTTGGTCCACTAGTGTATTGGACTGAAAAAGAGAATTTGCCACGTGGATTTTCAAAAAAACTCACAAGATGTATAATTTCTGCCGTGATTATTGGTGAAAATAAAATCCGGTGTGAAATACATTGCGAGCATGTGAAGAGCATCTTCTCCAGTCGATAGATCTCGCAATCGATTCTCGAATTCGGTGGCAGTTTCGAGAGCCGATTTTCGTTGAGAAGAAGCTGAGGGGATGGTTAGGAAGAAAATTAGGAGAAAAATTTTCATATTCATTTTGGTAAATGAATAATTTCTGGAAATTTTTAGATTATTCATCGCGAAAAATGTGATTAGTCATTGCTTTTGGAAAAATTCAAAATATTTTGAATTTGTTTCTGATAGTTTGTATTGCTCATATTAAATATTCATAAGCAGAGAGAATTCTAAGATGAGCAATGATTTAGGTAAAAAAGTATGCCAAAAATTCAAAATTCAAAAAGATCTTTAACATGAGCAATAGAATTTAATTTTCTAGTTTCCCCAAAATTTTCAACAAAACTTCGAAATATTTTGAATTCCAAATGACTAATGAAAATTTTTCGCGATGATTAATTTGCATTTCTTTTTTCCAAAAATATTCATTTTTCAAAAAAATCATGAAAATATTTTCCCTAATTTTTTTCCTGGCTTTCTCAAAATTCCAAATCGTAACTAGTGGGAGACTAGCTCTCGAAGCCGCCCAAAAATTCGAAAACGGTTTGGAAGTTATCGCAACTCATGAGCAATTTTGGAAAGAGTTGCTAGCATTTTTCACAGAAGATTTTGTGTTCATCGATGATTCCAAGGAGAATTTTACAGCTTGTGAGTGGACGCGGAAAGATTCCGCATTCAAAATTATATTAAATTAATTGCAGTTCAATACATCGATCTTCTGAGTTCCCGAAATACCAGCGATCTTTTCGGGCCGATAAAAGAGGCAGAATTCGATAATTCTGCAAATCTTCTTGTTCTTCATAATGAAGAAGGAACTTTATATAAATCCAATTATATACAAGCTCCAGAAATTGATTTACAATGGAAAATTGGGAAAATTGAAGTTTTTCAGGGAGTTTGGTGAAGAATTTTTGGAATGAAATAAAATTTTATAACATGAGCAACACACAATTTTTCAATCACATTTTTGTTCTTCTTTTTTCTTCGTCGAAAATTTTTCATGACAATTCTTATAAACTTCAGTTTTAAAGCAGTTTTCTTCGCATTTTCCGACTGGAATCAGAAATTTCTCGAAACAAAGTTTGCACACATTTTTCATCACAGCTTCAACAGCTGTTCCTTTAATTTCGGCACAATTTGAATTTGCCGTGCAGAAAATTGGATGTTGGACTAATATGAGCAATGTGACGGTTGTTTTGAAGTTGATGAACATTTTTGTTGTAGTCTTTGTGTTTTGGCGGGTGATTTTTATAGTGTGAAATAAATATGTTCATGTGATGTCTAGAAGTCGTATTTTCTGTGGGAAATTTGAAATTGACACGTTTTTTTTTATAGATCAAATGTTTTCTACAGTACTACAGTACACTGGAAGATCAAAAAATCCCCCAAATTGTTTCGCAGGCTTCCAAAAACAGAACAAAATCAATTACTAATCGAATCATGCGCCTTTAAAACCTGATGTGAATCTGAATCTCCACAAAAAATGCGATTTTTCGTATTGATTTTCGCCTGCACTTGCGCCCTCGCGGCCAAAAAAATGTTAAGGGGAAGTCCTGCAAGCCGTGCCAAACATCTCAACAACGCTTTCATGGCCGCCTATCGAAAATCGGGCATCGACGGAGTTCAGGCATATTTCGACAACAACTTCTACTTCAAGGATTTTGTGGGCGCGCATTTCACTCGTGCTGAATACTTGGACGCTCTTCGAAAAGGTCCGAAATTGGTGCAACTCTGCTGGCGATCGAATGGCCAACAAATCGCAAAATTGCGCAAGAATCCGGATGGTTCCGCAAACGATTTGCTAATTGTTGAATATTATCATTTTCATGTTTTGTACGATTTGACGTTTGTTGAGGACAATTCGCTGAAAGGCGGGTATCGTTGGCTGAAAATGGAGCCAGCTGTGAATTGAGGCTTAATAAAGTTATTTGCATGTAGATTTTGGGCCACAAAAAAACAATTCAAAAAAATTTATTCAAAGTGCTCCACCGGTAATTTTATTCATCCTATGAATTCTCATCGCATTATCCATTTTTTGACGAATTTCATGGTCACTGAAAATTTTCAGGGGATTTCCAGGTGTTCCAGGTTTTCTGGTAGTAGTGGTTGGAAGTGCTGAAATTTTCAGATTTTCAAAAGACACAATTTTCAGACTCACGTTTTTTATAGTTCTCCATAGCTGCTCTCAGAGGTTTTGCATCGAAATTTGAGAAACTTGGGGGAATCGCGAAAATTTCGGTGAAAAATAGAAGTTGGATAAAAAATATTTGAATAATCATAATGTTCAGCTGAAAATTCTGAAAAAAATTTCAAAGAGAAATTATCATAATTTCAGAGCCTGAGAAAATTTGACTGAAATTACATGTAATTGTTTTTTTTTCTGGGGGAAAGTTTGAAAATTTTTGACGCGAAAATTTGAAAATTTAAATTTTTCAAATTGGCGCAAAAAAATTCACGTGGAATTTTTCGAATTGAGAAATTTTGGCGCGAAAATTTGAAAATTCAAAAATTTAAATTTGGTGCCAAAAAATCCACGTGGAATTTTTCGAATCAGGAAATTTTGGGGCGAAAATTTGAAAATTTAAAAATTTAAATTTGGCGCCAAAAAATTTGTAAATTGATTTTACGCGCGAAAATTGGAAAATTCAAAATTTTGAATTTTTTGAATTTACATTATTCATGTTTGGTGTCAAAAAAACGTGGAATTTTCGCGCTAATTCAAGAAAAAAATCAATCAATAATCCCGAAAATTCATTCAAAAAATCGATAAATCAATCAATAACTCGGTCTGATCTCAACAAATTGATATCCACCCAAAAGCGCGCGGTTTTCCACCAATTTCGCGTCATATTGATGTTGTCCACCCAAATGGAAGTAGCTCACAACGAGCACATTTTTGGGCTCGAAATAGGCGTCGTGCACTTTTTCAAAAATTCGACGGATTTTGAAGCCGGCCAGCAATTTTAGATAGGTTTCTGTGTGAAAAATTCGCGATTTTTTTACTCTAAATATGCCGCGTGGCAAATCGGCCTACTTACTCTTATCAAATTCTTGTCCGTCTTTGAAAACGGCCCGAAAATCGGGCCGAAAATATTCATCAACACCTTTGAGACCAGCCTCTTGATAAGCCGAAAGAATCGAGGTTTCCAATATTGCGATATCATTTTCAGCCAGCGATGACATTCGGGCCTGTGCTGGGCCAAAGCCTATTAGGCCCAATGTCAGGCCGAGCAGGAATGTTTGAGCTTTCATTTTCTTGAGGGCAGAAAATCGTAATTTTCTGTGTTCAGAAGAAAAATGCTGGTTTTTGAGCTAATTTTTGATTTGATTAGGCGCTTGGGAACAAATTTGACGAAAAAAAAATTTTTTTGTTAAGAAAATTCCACGTATATTGTTGAAAATCTGAATTTTTGAGTTTACACGTGGATTTTTGCCGCTTGAAAAAATGTCTAGACATAACTTCAGATCTGAAAAATTTTCAAAAAAGAAAAAAACATTTTTTTTTTTGAAAATGAACTTCAAGTTTTCACTAATATTTTTCTCCCTATTCATTTTCCCACTTAGCCGAACTCAAGAAAATCCTGAAACTCCCAATTTTTTCTGGAAAACACTGCAGAAAATTCAAAAATGGACTGGAGTTGGCGAAACTTCGGCTTGGGTGGCGAAACATGTTTACGATTTTTTTGATGAGGAAAAAAATTTCACTCGAAGAATTTGGGAGAAGTGTTGGGAGGCTGAGAATCGAGATAGGCGAACTCGCTTGCAAAATTTGATTTTGGATTTGAGGAAATGTTTTGGACCTTGACAACTTCATAAACTTATTTTCCAAAATTTGATCTACTTTAGTCCTTCATCTTTTTCCCAATCAAAAAGTTCTCTTTTTTCATCAGGCCCCATAAAAAAAGCCTATCAAATTAATTAAAATAATGTGACCCCCGCACAAAATTTTCCGCATAAAACCCCAGAATTCCGGGAGCAAAATCGATTTCTCTCTTTCAAAAAAAAAGAATGAGATTCTCGATTCTCACAATTCTGGCACTTCTCTGCGTCTCCACAATTTCCGCAGGTTCGCGGAAAAACCGCGTGTTCCGCGTCACTCACACCAATTTCAACGCGGATTGGAGCCACTATTTGCTGCAACTCGTTCAGGAGGCCTATCAGAATTTCGGCAAAAATCAGTGGGCCGAGCGGATTGACCAGCGCATTCGCGCCGAGCAAAACGGAACGCGGATGACTGTGTTGTGGAGCAAGAAGGATTTTGTGGTCGCCTGGTATGGAAGTCCGAAACATTTCATGACTGATAATGGGAAATATTATTTTGATATCAGTATTTGAAAATTTTTGGGATTTTTGGGAATAAATTGTTCATTGGGAATTTGTGTTATGACGTGGCAAATTTAAAGATCTACAGTAATCCGGTAGATCAAAAATCAACCCAATCTAATTGTTCTCCCATGTTGAATCAATGCTTCGCGCCAAATTTGATTCACATAATCTTCCGAATAGTTTTTCAACAGTTTTTCTTTATGACCTCTCAATAAATCGTGAATATCATCTGAAGTTGGAGCAGAAGATGAAGCTGGTAACATCGCAAATATGGAAAATATCACGAATAGCTTCATGACTAAAAATGATTTGAAATATATTTTTTTTGTTGTGTAAAATGAAAATGAATAAACCGTGTGAATTCTGAGAAGATTCTGGAATTTGGATTTTTTGGCTAATTTTGAGCCAAAAATAACTTTTTTGAAAATTTGAATTCAGCGAAGAATCGCCAAGTTCTCAATAGAGCGCGTTTGCAATTTTTAGAGTGTAATGTTGAGTTTTTCAACTTCCCGCGATCAATTTTAAGCCAAAAATGGCCTGGAATTTGAATTTCGCAAAAAAAAATCCAAATTTTGATATCCCAAGTTCTGAATCAAATTTCCAGCATCTTTTTACAGTAACCCTCTAATTCCACGTGTCATTTCCAATTTTTTAAAAGCAATTTCGCCCCCATACCATTAATTATTCTAATGTCCTCCAGAAACATATAAAAATCAATCTTAATAATAAAAAATCACAAAAAAAAATGAGAATCCACGTATTTTTGTTGGGCCTGGCCCTCCTATTTTGTCTACTCGGCCCAGTTGAAGCGGGCCGGAAAAAGCTGAAAATCATCGAATCCGCTTTGGACCGCCCATCGACAGATTTACTGGCCGAAATCGTCAAAGACACCTATCACTACAAGAAGAAGGGAGGTGTCGGAAAGTGGGCCGAGAAGATTCGCGATCGGATTCAGAAGAAGTGGGCCGGTCTGGATTCACATGTCTTTGTTGGACGCAAATCGCTCAACGGATTTCATGCGCACAAATATCAGGTGGCCTTGAAGTATGGGAAGTATCGTGTTACCATGTATTTCAATTTTTAGAAGGCCAGGCTTAAATTTGGGATTTTTCTTTGTTAATAAAGGGATTATTTGGGAAAATGCGCTCTATTGAGAATTTGGCGGTTTTTTGCAGAACTCAAATTTTCAAGCAAGTCATTTTGGTTTTCATTTTGGGTTTCTAGGCCGTTTTTTGGCTCAAAATTGAGCACGGGAAGTTGAAAAACACGCTAAAATTAGCAAACGCGCTCTATTGAGAATTTTCCGATTTTTCGCAAAATTCAAATTTTCAAACAAGTCTTCATGCCATTTTTGGGTTTCTAGACCGTTTTTGGCTCAAAATTGAGCACGGGAAGTTGAAAAACTCGTTGAAAATAGCAAACGCGCTCTATTGAGAACTCGGCGATTTTTTGCAAAATTCAAATTCTCAAACAAGTCTTCATGCCATTTTTGAGTTTCCAGACTGTTTTCTGGCTCAAAATTGAGCACGGGAAGTTGAAAACTTGTTGAAAATAGCAAACACGCTCTATTGGCTTGGCGATTTTTCGCAAAATTCAAGCTTCTAGCTCAAATTTTCCCTGAAAAAATCAAATTTTTTATCGAAAACTCATCAAAAATATCATTTTTCAAGCCCTTTGCCTTGGTGAATTTCCCAAAATCCTCGCCGCCATTTCCATTCCTTTTTGCATTTCGGCAAGTGTTCGCAAAGTTGCCGGCATCGGTTTTTTCCCAGGAATTCCGCGCATCCGCTGCTCTAGACATGCTTCTAGATCATCGCAAACTTCTTCCGATAACTCGAATAATACACGTCGCATTTCTTTCTGGAATTTTGGAAACTAATTCAAAATTCTTCAAATTTCCCAAATTTTAGCTGAAAATGTTCAGAAAAATCTGAAATTTTCAGATTTTCAGCCCAACTCACGTGACATTTTGTGTAATGCAACAACCAATCGATTCGATCATCGCAAATCGAAGATCGATCAACATTGAATCTTAAAACTTGCTCGGTATCCACCATCTCAACATCCAGAAAATGTATATAGACTCGGATTTTTGTCTGGAAACATTCAAACATTGCTCATGTTAGCAGAAAAGCTTGCGCGCACTCACCCTCAACTCTTTCAGCAATTCATCAGCACTTTCAGCTAATTTATTCGCATCTCCCGCAAAATCCGCCACCAAATCCACAATCAGCGACAGTTTTTTGCACAAATTTCTCTCAGTCTCCGAAATTTCGCCACGTGTCACTAGGCCTTGATTCAGCGGGCTTTCGGGCCAAGGGTCCGCGATTACGGTATTGCAAGAGGCTCGGTCAATCTCATCGTTCTGCAAAAAATTGTGGTAACCGCGACGCACACGCAACGCGCTTAAATACCTGCGAATAATCAATCGATATTTCCGATTCACGCATCGAAGTTTGCGATGGACTTTCGGCGCGGTAAAACGTGGCATCTCCAAGACGACGAATCATGGTTTTCAGCTGAAAATTTGAATTTGAAAAAATTCCACGTGGCAAATTTTCGCGCCAAAATAAAAAGTAGGGAACAATTGCGTCATTTTGACACCAAATACGATAGGGTAGGGAATGTTTGGTGTGATTTTTGACTGCCTCAAAAATCTTGACATATTTTCCCTACTCACCCAGATTTTTGAGGCTGTCAAAAATCGCACCAAGGCGAAAAAATTCTCGAAAAAAATTTTTGATTTCAAAAAAATGACGAAAAACAAAAACAAGTCAGATCAAATCTCACTTTGACCCGATTTTTTTTTTGGTTTTTGTTTTGCCGAAAAAAAATGTTTTTTTTTTTCAAAACAAAATCGCGAAAAAATAAAAATTTATCAAATAAATAAAAATTACCCAAAAAAAAAGAGAAAAAAAAAGGGAAAAATCCCGAAAATCCATAAAAAATCCCGTTTTTCTCGAGAAAAAAGATAAAAAGACTTATCAAATTATATATTTTGGCTTGTTTTTAGCCGCGCGCGAAAAACGGGTTTTCAAAAAAAAAAATTCCAAGAATCCCGAATTTTCAAGGTTCAAACATCTTGGGACCAAAATTTGAAAATTCAAAAATCAATAAATAAAATTAAAAAGCGTGACACATTTTCCTCAAAATTTCCCCATTTCCAATCAAAAAATTCCTAGAAAATGCGACTTTTCTCCTCAATTTTCTTGATATTCCTCGTTTTTTGCACCGAAATCGTATTTCTCGCGTCAAATCCTCCAGCAATTGGCACATGCACCAAAAAATACAATCGCACAATTTATGTGCATCCGGGAAAGCCGAAATGGTGTGCAGAGTGTCGAAATGAGAAAATTTATAAGGTGCCGTGTGAGTGGGATGAATAAATTAGTTTTTTTCATTGATTGCTCATATTAGATTACAATTGTGAAACTATGAAGCCGAAAAATTGGCCTAAAAATGCTCTTTTTGAGCAGCTGTTAGTTCATTCATTTTTTGGAAAAGTCACAATTTTCAGCATCAATCATAAACAACTGTTTCTATCTGCTGTAATTCATACTTTTCTTGTTTCTTAACAAAACAATGAGTTATGACGTGGCAGAGTTCAAAAAGTCCCTCCTTAAAGCTCCGCCTATAGGAATGCTGAAGATATAAGGCTCAGCTAATCACAATCACTAGCTAGCTTGGAGAAGATGAGTTCCCTGAAGTGGCTGATTGTCTCAACACTTATCTATTTATCCACTGCATATCCATTACAGGTTAGTATCAACAAGACTCTAGTTTATGAGACTTAACCTAATTCTAACAATAATGTTTTAGGAAGAACTCCCTACAAGAGGACCATTCGCAACCGACGAAGCTGGACGTGTTATCTATCCAATCACGTGGCCAAATGGAAAACTTTTAAATACTGATGATTCTGATAACTATGTTCTTGATGACGATTCAATTATTCAAAAAGACGATTATGGAAAGCCTATGGGACCTGATGGAGAAGTTCTTCCAACTGATAAAGTCGGAAACTATATTCATCCATACCTCGGAAAAAATGGTGAACCTTTGCCAACTGATATCAATAATCGACCGATTTATCCGATTGTTTCTGCTGATGGCACACCATTTCCGACTGATGCTTCGGGAGTTTATGTGAAATCGGATGGAAGTAGATTTGTGACTGATTCGAGTGGTCAACCTTTGGATAATGACAATGTTCCGCTTCCAACTGATTCACCAGGAAGTTATGTTGCTTGGGAAAAAGTTCTTGTTGATGGAAGTGTTATCATTGAAAATTATTCCCAATCAGTATTTAATAGATTCTTAGTTTTAACGGAGTGAAAATAAAATGCTGAATTCCCATTCTGAATTCTAAAATTTTGTTTGAAAATTTGAATTTTACAAAGAATCGCCCTAGAATCTCAAAATTGCTCAAGAAACCCGAAAACGTGTTCAGGAACTAGACTATTTGAACATTTGAATTTTGCGAGAAATCGCCAAATTCTCAATAGAGCGCGTTTGCAACTTTCAGAATGTAATTTTGAGTTTTCCCACTTCCCGGGATCAATTTTGGCCTTAAAAATAACCCAGAAGCTGAAAATTTCCCTGGAGCTCGAAATTTTCAATAATTACCTTATAAACCCACCAGAAATTGTTTATTCAATCAATCAGTGCTCTCATCAAAATAAATATGTCGATCTTCGAAAGGCATCGAATTCTGTCCGACCAAATAAAAGCTCGGGTCACTTCTGCGCACCCAAAATTCCTGCAATTTCCCGAAAACTGTTGTGTGAAATTTGAAGCTATACGTTTCCTGATTGATATCGAAAACCTTTTCGATGTACTGATCGAATAATTTGATCTCCTCGGGTGTGAAATCCGAATCGTAACTTGTGTTGTTCATCAAATTTTGCAAAATAATCTTGCGCTGTTTGTAGTGCCATCTACGTCGCAACTCTTGCGTCGGAAAATTGCCAAGGGGTGCGTTGAACGCGGAATCCGCAGAGGTCCAAAGCAATAAATCGTCATAGTTCATCTCCTGGACCGATCCGTCATGCCATACGACCAGGGTTCCGAACCGATTCTGAATTTTCGGTTTGGGTCGGGTCAAACCGAAAAAAAACCCACCCAAAACCACCCACTGATACCCAGTTCTAAAATAGAACCACCCAGAATCAAAGCTGAAAAAACAGTTCTGGTTCAGACTTGACCCAAACCCGACTCGAACCAGACCCACGCAGAACCAAACCCATTTTTGGAGAACCAACCCAGACCCAGACTCAATGGATCAGACTCGGGTAAGACTCAAACTCATTCGAGAATCAAAAATATCCACCCGAACCAATTCAACCCAAATCCAACTCAAATCCAAACCATGTGGACTCGGGTACCCGGGTAAAAATGGTTCTGAAAAAACAATTCAAATTTATTCGATAATATAATAATTCACCAGTTTTTTTCCCAGAAATATTTTTAAGAAGTTTATGTTTCGCAAACTTCAGAAATTTTTAAAACCATAACTAGCGGGTATAGGGAAAAAATTTCAGTTTTTGTTGAATTTTTTCAACGAGAATCAAAATTTCAGTTTTTTGTTGAATTTTTTCAACGAGAATCAAAATTTCGGTTTTTGTTGAATTTTTTTCAACGAAAAAATTTGTAAATCTGGAAGAGCTTCCAGTTTTACAAATCCATCATTTTCGAGCCAATTTTCATGATTTCAGTCTAAAATTATTTGAAATTCATTTAGTGGGCATCATTCGAGTAATATGCAAAGAAAGCGTTTGAAAAAATAGTTGAATAGTCGATCAATGAAAATCGAATAAATGTTTCGATAACTGGTGAATTATTATATTATCGAATAAATTTGAATTGTTTTTTCAGAACCATTTTTACCCGGGTACCCGAGTCCACATGGTTTGGATTTGAGTTGGATTTGGGTTGAATTGGTTCGGGTGGATATTTTTGATTCTCGAATGAGTTTGAGTCTTACCCGAGTCTGATCCATTGAGTCTGGGTCTGGGTTGGTTCTCCAAAAATGGGTTTGGTTCTGGGTGGGTCTGGTTCGAGTCGGGTTTGAGTCGAGTCTGAACCAGAACTGTTTTTTCGGGTTCGGTTCTGGGTAGTTCATCCATTTGTTTGTTCTGGATCTGGGTCCAACCCACTCGAACCAGACCCGATCTGCCCCAAGAACCGACCCAGTTCGGAACCCTGCATACGACAACATATTCATGGAAAAATATTTTCTTGAGCTCCTCCATAGTCATCAACCCATTTTTGGCGTCAATAATCAGGGTGTAGGCGACAGCTTTTGCCTCCAAATTTGAAATTTTCGCGGCAAACGTGGATTTCAAGATGAAAATGGTGAATAACACAAAGATTTTCATGATTTTGTGAATTTTTTGGGAGTAGGGGTGTTTTTAAAGACTAACATGGTTTTTGATAGGTCTGGGAATTGTCTATGAGAAATTCCGAGGTTCATTGGTCGAAAAAATGGATTTTTGGTAAAATAATTATTTTTAAGGGTTTATCTTCAATTTTAAGACGAAACAATACAAATTCTTCTACAAATAATGATCTGAGTGAACTTAAAATGAAAAATGAAGCTTAAAAGACATTATTTGTAAAAACGTAAACTTTACAACAGAGGCCCGGACAAAAAAAGTCATGATCTCAGAATCGGCCCAATTTTTTTCTTAGTAAGCCCCATGAGTGGGGAACTTTTTCCACCAGGTTAGAGATCATGATATCGTTTCGCCAATTTGGTGGGACCGGGTGAAGGGGAAAATTGTTTTTCGAAAAAAATTCGTAAGTCGGTTTAACGTTCATATTTTTCGATGATTAAAAAAGCATTTTGCTCGTCTTTTGACGCTCTTTTTGATGGAAAAGATCACGAATTTCGATACTCTATCCTAAAAAAATTTTTTTTTTCGCCATAATACAACATTGCTTAGGAGTCATTTCCGCTCTTTCTAACCGCTTCCAAAATGTTCCTCGTGCTTTTTTACCCATATTTAGCTACTTTCAAAAAAATCGCCGGCACCTATCAACCTCGGAAAATCACCTAAAAGGGCGCCACTCAAGCGCGCGCGCTCATATAACACACATATGTGCGTGTGTGTGTTTGTGTGCATTGAAGGATTACTGTAGGTGGGAGAAAAAGTTAAAAAAACGACTTTCTCGTGGAAACGATGCAAATTACAATGAATAGTTCCCAAAATGAAGTACCCCAAAGGCATTTTATATGCAAAAATTTTGTTTTCGGACTTTCAAGGGGTTGGACTTTTTTTTTGATATTTTTTAGCTCTGAACTTTGAAAAATCGTATTTCCACTTACAGTGGACAAAAAAGTCGAAGAAAAAGGCATAATGGATCTTAAATATCGCTCTATTGACTGAAAATAAGAGTTGTTAAAAAATAATTTTTTCGACCTAGAAAACTTGAAAATTTCAGAATAAACAAAAACATTTTTGAAATTGTTTTTACAAGGGAACCTTTTTTACTCAACACTCCAAATCTTGATGAAATTTCGTCCATAGACAGCTTTTCGGGTCATAAGAACACCCTAAAAATTTTAGTCTCCCAATGGACCTCTGAGCCAAGTTCTGGGCTCTCAAAAGTTCGAAAATTGCTCATAAAAGTCATCATAGCTCCATTTCAAAATAATTTGTGGGAGAAATAAAATTTCAGATAATGATCAGCATAGTCGATTTACTAAAAAGTACAACAATAAAACTTTTTTTCGAAAAATTTTGAATTTTTTTATTTTTCGGCTGAAAATTCATGAAAATTCATATGTGTCTGCTCATTCTTTTTTCATAAATGAATTTTTCTTGAAAATTTGATTTATTGATGGTTTTTGGGTAAATCGACCACGCTGATCATCATCTGCTACTCAGTTTTTCATAAAAATGATCGAGAATTGAGTTATGATGTATTTTATGAGCCAATTTTGGCAATTTTTGAACTTTTGAGAGCCCAGAACTTGGTTCAGAGGTCCATTGGGAGACAAAATTTTTAGGGTGTTCTTATGACACCAAAAGCTGTCAATTGACAGAATTTCATCAAGATTTGAAGTGTTGAGCAAAAAAGGTTTCCTTGTTTGAGGAAGTATCAAGTGTTCTAGTGCCAATTTTCAAACTCTGCGTTTGAAGTTACGTACAATAGCATGTTAAAATTGATAGGTGTCCGGTCCCCAGTGGTACTGGAAATTGATTTTATGTTTTTCTCGGAAATTTTTGAAAATGTCCAAAATTCTTACGCTGTCAACTATTTGCGCCAGAAAAGCCGCTATGACCAGCAACCGTGCCTGGAGAACCACTTTAACTTGGTACGGCGCCTTGCGAGTTTTTATATCACGTCGTTGCGCTTTCAGAGACCACCAGGCAAGGTACGGCACTTAAGCAAAGAATTAGAACAAGAATCCACGTCTTGATAGCCACTATTGCTAATTACTGCTCCTAGTGAGCAACTTTCACTAGGATCACGCCTAGAACGCCTAGAAACACGCCTAGAAAGTAAGACTGACAAGGATCTACGTCTAGAGAGCAGCTCTGGGAAGGATTTACGCCTAGAAAACATCACTGACAAGGATCTATGTCTAGAAAGCAAGTCTGACAAAGATTCGCGTCTAGAAAACCATTATTATAAGAGTCAACGCCTAGACAATTGATCTGGCAAGGAGCCGCGCCTAAGAGAGCTATCCATGATTTTTTTCTAAGCGGGACTCCTTGCCAGAATGAACTTCTAGGCGCGGAACTTTGTCAGAATAGCTTTCTAGGCGTAGTTCCTTGTCAGTATTTTTTTCTAGGCGTGAATCCTTGCCCGAGCTGCTCTCTAAGCCTGAAGATTTGCCGGAATGATTTTCTAGGCGCAGAACCTATCTATGATGATTTTCTGAGTAGTTCTAACATACTACTGTACGTAACGTTAAACGTAGAGTTTGAAAATTGGCACTAGAACACTTGATACTTTTAACAACTCTTATTTTCAGTCAATAGAGCGATATTTAAGATCCATTATGCCTTTTTCTTCGACTTTTTTTGTCCACTGTAAGTGGAAATACGATTTTTCAAAGTTCAGAGCTAAAAAATATCAAAAAAAAAGTCCAACCCCTTGAAAGTCCGAAAACAAAATTTTTGCATATAAAATGCCTTTGGGGTACTTCATTTTGGGAACTATTCATTGTAATTTGCATCGTTTCCACGAGAAAGTCGTTTTTTTAACTTTTTCTCCCACCTACAGTAATCCTTCAATGCACACAAACACACACACGCACATATGTGTGTTATATGAGCGCGCGCGCTTGAGTGGCGCCCTTTTAGGTGATTTTCCGAGGTTGATAGGTGCCGGCGATTTTTTTGAAAGTAGCTAAATATGGGTAAAAAAGCACGAGGAACATTTTGGAAGCGGTTAGAAAGAGCGGAAATGACTCCTAAGCAATGTTGTATTATGGCGAAAAAAAAAATTTTTTTAGGATAGAGTATCGAAATTCGTGCTCTTTTCCATCAAAAAGAGCGTCAAAAGACGAGCAAAATGCTTTTTTAATCATCGAAAAATATGAACGTTAAACCGACTTACGAATTTTTTCGAAAAACAATTTTCCCCTTCACCCGGTCCCACCAAATTGGCGAAACGATATCATGATCTCTAACCTGGTGGAAAAAGTTCCCCACCCATGGGGCTTACTAAGAAAAAAAATTGGGCCGATTCTGAGATCATGACTTTTTCGTTGTCCGGTGGGTTTTGCAGTTTTACAAAGAGTGTCTTTTAATTTCAGTCCTGATGACTTGAAAACGTTTTTAAACGAAAAAAAAAGAAAATGCAGAATTCAAAAATATTTTTCGCGCACACAGCAGTAGCAAACACCACGACGCACAATTGCACAAAAATGTGTGTTCGAAATTTTTTTTTCAGGGGTTTTCAGAGGGGTTTTCTGTTTTTTCAAGCTGTAGAAGAAGAACTGCAATTTGCGCATCGCGACAAGACCCAACTCTTGTTTCCAATGTTCCTTCGAACAAAACCACCGTAGTAATTTAGTTTTTTTCTTTTCTTTTTTTCACTGAAAACTTTATTTTCACGGTTTAAGCTGTAATTCTTGTTTTTCTTTTTTCAAACTTGCTATTGACTGATTTTTCAGAATGATTCCGTTTCAAAGCTTGGGAAATACGTTGAGATGGAAATTCGAGAAATTTTCGTCATTGGGAAAAGAAGAGCGATTCAGTGATGTATTTTCAATTGGTCCAACCAGCTGGAAAATTGCTGTTTGCATTGATAGTTACTTATCAATCCGTCTCTACTACGATTCTGAGAACAAAAATGAAAAAAATTGGTTTTGCGAAACCGAAGCTACATTCAAACTGTTGAGACAAAGTGGAACTGGAAAGAATAATGAGAAGATTTATTCGAATGCCTATAATTATTTAAAACTCTCTTCGGGTTATCCAAAATTTGAGAGTTGGAACACTGTTTATCATTATGGATTTCAAAAAAATGATTCAATTATTGTGGAGATAAACCTGAACTTCGTATTTCATGATTTCTCGAAGAAAATCGATAATTTTACCGATATTATTGTCAATGTTGAAAACACTGAATTCAATTTGAACAAAGGAGTAAGAAATTTACTCTTTAATAAATATCAATGATTATTCAATTTCCAGGTTTTGTGCTCGAAGTCCAAATATTTTTATGATTTATTCATCACTCAAAAATCAACAGAAAGTGCTGTTAAATTGGACAATATCACAGCAAAAGACTTCTTCTATGTTTTAATGCAATTCAATCCAAATCTCAAAATAATTAAAGAAAATAATGATTTTGAAACTCTATTCAAAATCGCAAAGGATTTTGGAGTTCAATCACTTCATCAATTATATGAGCAATATCTTATTTCGGATGAATGCGATTTCAAAATTATTCAAAAAGTCAAAATAGCCGAAGAGAATGGTTATGAGTTTTTGATGAAAAGTTGCATCGAATCATTGAAAACTGTTGCTGATGTTAGAAATGTGCAAATCGATGGATTATTCTCGGAATTGAAGGAGACTACGAGATGGCGTATTATGATGCGTGTTTTGGATTTTGTTTGATCGATTGTTTTTTGGGATAAATATTTGTTTGTTTGGTTTTTTTTTGTTGTTGAATTTGGGTGAAAATGAATTCTTCTTTATTAATTTCAGGTAATTTTAGACAATTTCAGCAATTCTTGAAATATTCTAGACCAATTTTCCTCGCTGGAAATCATAAAAATAATTAATTTCCAGTCAAATTCCCATTTTCAGCCTCAAAATCCATACCCGGAAGTCACAACCACCATCAAATGGCAAAAATTCTGCCATTTCTCATCTCCGTTTTCCTTGCCTTTTCGCCAGCCGCCGTAAAATTCGATAAGGCGGGAGAGCACGCGAAACGCGGAGACACCAGACACACTTCCTCATTTCTCTTTTTCTCTGCACTCTCTGCACTCTCTCGCTTTCTCGCTCTTTTTTGCGGGCCTTGATATTATACGCTTTTTGCATTTTTTTTTGTTTTCCGCCGTTTTTTGGCTGGAATTTTCCGGGAATTATTGATTTTTGCAGGTTTTTGAGGCGGGTTTGCTGAATGCAATCGAACCTTCAGGTGAGTTGAAGATTTGGCTTAAAATTCGAGATTTTCAGCATTTTTTACCATGGGAACTGAAAATTGAGCTCAGACTCAGAATTTCAAGCTTCCAGGCTCATAAAAAAGCCGAAAATCTCGTATTTTCAACAAAAAACATGGATTTCCATCTCGCAGAGCTGAAGAATGCTCAAAATCTGAAAATTTCAGCCCTCAAGCTCAAAAAATGTTGAAAATTCCGAAAATTCAACTTACGGACCTTGAAAATGCTTAAAATCCTGTATTTTCAGTCAAATATCAGGATTCTAACCTTCCAGACCTTAAAAATGCTGAAAATCATGAATTTTAGGCTTCCAGACCTTAAAAATGCTGAAAATCTCAAATTTTAAGCTTCCAGACCTCAAAAATGCTGAAAATCTCGAATTTGCAGCTCCCAGGCTCGAAAAAAGCTGAAAATCTCGAAATTTTGGTTCCCATACCTGAAAAAAAATGCTGAAATTCCTGAATTTTTCGTCCAAAACTGAAATTTTCAGCTCCCAAGCCTAAAGAATGCTGAAAATCCCCAATTTTCAGCCCCCAAATCATCATTTCAATCAATATTTCGAGTGTGTCAAAAACAAATGGAATACAAATCAGGAAATTGCCGATATACTGTATGCGGCCCAGTCCGACCCGCTTTCCCAATGCATAACTAGTCATATTTTGGTGAAGCCCAATTCGGGGTGAGTTTTTGAGCCACGTGAATTTCTTGGAGCTAAAATTTGCGGCTTTTTGATACTAAATATGATAGGGTAGGAGAATTTCGGTGTGATTTTTGACAGCCTCAAAAATAGAGCTGGCTGGGTAGGAGAATTATGCTAGGATTTTTGGTTGACATATTTCTCCTCAAATTTTTAAGGCTGTAAAAAATCACACAAAAATTTACCTACCCACAAAAATTTAAAAAAAAACGTAACGTGAAAATTTTCTGGAAAATTTTTATTTTCACTTTTTTTCGCGTTAAGAATTGGTGAGTTTTTTGGGAACCCGCGAAAATTTTGCTTAAAGGGAGCTACAGTATCCTAAAATTCCACTCGGGATCCAAAAAATCGAAAATTTCTGATAAAAATATCATAACAATTCTCAAAATGCTCCAAATTCAACGAAATTTACAATTTTTTGATCTACAGTACCCCAAAAATCCAAATTTTCCACTCAGGACCCAAATAATCTTCCCGCGCTACGATGGTGCCTGGTTCAAAAACGACGAATTCGTGTGGCGGAGGCGGCGCGAGGGAAAATTGGTGCGCGAAGATCACATGAAGCTGAAAATCCACAAACAACAGGTGATCAGTGCGAATTATGTGCATTCGGCGATTTGTCCCACGTTTCATCGCAGGGTTTATTGGTTGACACATGTGAGTTGGAAAATGGCGGGATTTTGGCGCCAAAAATGTGATTTTTGCTGAAAAATGAGCCTAGGCTCGATTTTTGCAACATTTTGACACCAAATATGAGGGGTAGGAGAATTTTGGTGTGATTTTTGACAGCCTCAGAAAATTGGAAGGTAGTAGAAATATGTCAGGATTCTTGGCAACCTTGGAAATTTTGAGGCTGTCAGAAATCCTGACATATTTCTCTTACCCTCTCGAAATTTCGAGGCTGTCAAAAATCACACCGAAATTCTCCTACCCCGTCATATTTGGTATCAAAATGACGCGAATTTAGCTCCCCAGGGTTACTGTAAGCAAAAAACCACAAATTTCCTCATTTCAGAGCCCCGCCTACGTTCTGGTGCACTATTTGAATGAGTCGAATGCGGAAAAGGGGATCCGGAAGACGGCGGAAATCATTGCGGATTGTATGCACGCCAATAATATTCACCAATTGACACATCAACAATTGACCCAGCAATTGGTGCCGATTTGTGAGTTTTTCGGGGATAATATGAGCAATGCTCGAAAAATCGTGATTTCCCGCTTAAAATTAACCCAGGATCAAATTTTGTCTCAAAAAGCTCTAAATTCTTCAAAAATCTCAAATTTTCAGACGCCCATTGCTTAAAACCAGAAGAAGTTCAAGTTCTAACAAGTTCAGTGCTCGAAATCCTTCAAAATCTCCAACAACAACAAACTGCCACGTCATCAACACCCGCAAATTTGCCGACTTCCAGCAACTCGCCACATTTCCAGTTGGAGCGACGAAATTCGTGTAGTTCGGCGAGTTTTCGACGTGGATTGAGTTCGATGGCGCTGAGAAGACAACCGTCGGCGAATAGTGAAATTGATGCGAATTATATTGGTGAGCTGAAGTTTTGACTGAAAATTTGAAAATTTTGAAGTTTTTTGACCCAAAATTCGAGTTTTTCGGTCAAAAATGGCCTAGAAACCATATCTTGGTTTTCTAGGTCATGGACTAGTTTTTTGTTAAGAAATTAGCCATATTTTTTGGGCGTTGCTCATATTAAACAAGTAAATTTTTCAAATCAAATTCATTTTCATTTTGGATTGCTCAGGTTAAGAAAAACGGTTAAATTTCTAACGAAAAAGCTAAATTTATCGATTTTTGGAGGATTGCTCATGTTAAGCAAGAAATTTTTCGAAAATTTAAAAATTAATGTAAATTTGGGATTGCTCATATTAAACTCCGATTGTTTGAAAAAATAGCATTGCTCAGATTAATTTAAAAATCAGTTTTTTTCATTTAACCTGAGCAATGGTCTGAAATTTAGATGAAAAATTAGGGATTGCTTATGTTAAACTCAAAAATTTTGCAGGTACAATGATGAAAAAATACGGTTGCGTCACCATCGAATCGTCTTCCGCGTCGCCTCCCGAAAAATCCTCGTGTCAAAATTGCCGCGTGGCGACGCCGCGCGGCGACGTCGCGATGCCCAGCCGCTCTCCTTCCGGCGACGATGCGACAAGCGAAATCTCGACAGCCGCCACTTCCGCCGCGTCAAAACTCGCCGCAATCGTCGCAATTTCGCCGCTTGCGGCAAAACCCGGCGATGAAATTCTCGTCATTGGTCCGTGGTATTTAAAGGGACACAGCTATGACGTGGCGTTTGGCCAGCAGCAGGTCCCGGCACGATTAATTCAAGCCGGTGTGCTAGCGGCTACAGTACCTCCAGCCGCCGGTGGTACGGTATCCACAGTACCTCTCCGGGTGTACTGTAACAATTTGATGGTTTCAATGTCCAAAGAATTCGGTGTAATTTTGGAGGAGGAAGAGAGCGAGAGAGTGCAGAGAAGAAAAGTGCCACGTGACAGTGAGGATACGGTAGACGCGAGTACTGTATCTGAAGAGGTACTGTATCAGATTTTGGAGAAGTTGAGGATTCTGGCGTATGCTCTGGGCGTTTATGAAGTTTGGGAGGTGAGTTTTTGTTGGGGGTACGGTAGGCTTGGGATACGGTAGATCATAATTGCCTAGAAAATCTACAGTAACCCTTGGGTGCTAAAAATCCTGACATATTTCTCCTAGAAATTTTTGAGAATGTCAAAAATCACACCAAAATTTTCCTACAAGTCATATTTGGTGTCAAAATGACGCAAATTTTCGAGCCGAAAAAAAATCAATAAATTTTTTCGCAGCAAATCTCACCCACCTTCACACCCAACGAATCCACACTCACCAATCTTGTTCATCAAATCCACCGGAGTTTCGTCGCCTCAACCGCTCTACAAACTCAAATCACCACCATCCACCATCAGCTATTGGGAGATCACCAATCGCCCGCCAAAACCCTACTACACCACGTGGCACAACTCGATTTTTGATCTACTTTTTGAGGCGTTTATACAGGTACTGTAGATTTGCTGGGCTAGAAATTTGCGATTTTCTGACACCCAACATTGCTCATATTAAAATTTTCAGAGATTTTCAACGTTTAATATGAGCAATGCTCTAAAATCCACTTGTTTTTTTTTGGTCTTTCAAAAAATTGATTGAATTTTCCGATTGAGAATTCAGGCTTCTCTGAGCTAAGCCCGAAATTAGGCCTGAATTCCAGCCGAAGCCTAACTTAGGCTTTAAAAAGGCCTAACAAGGAATGGTTTTCAATGTTCCCCCAAGGAAAAAATCGAGAGTATGTGGAATGTTGAGGGTTCCCATGGGTAAGAAAAACCCTAACGGGAATAAGGAGAAAAATGCCTTATTCTCGAGAAAAAATGTATTTTAGGTCGATTTTTACACCATTTTTTGATTTTTAGAGCATCTGTAACTCGATTTTGAATCTATTTCATGAACTTTTGAGTCGTGGAAGTTGTTCAAAATGGTCGATTATGTGTTTGTGAAACTTTTTATCAAAAAATTAGACATTTTTTGAAATTTGGTTTTTTCAGTCGGGGTCTCGATTCACACAAACTTCTCCTTCACAACGAAAACGTTGATTTTCTATGAATTTTTCAAACTAGAAATTTGATTTAGTGGACTTTTGGGACCAAAATTATTGTATTCCTAATTTTAGTCGAAGTAATACTAAAGTACGCCGGTTGCGCTACAAATGGATTTTTAGACTGACATTTTTCATCAATTTTGAAAAAAGTTTCGATTTTTCTAAAAAATTTCATCGCAAAAATCAATAACACCAAAATTTTCTAAAACAAGGCATTTTTCTCCTTATTCCCGTTAGGGTTTTTCTTACCCATGGGAACCCTCAACATTCCACATACTTTCGATGTTTTCCTTGGGGGAACATTGAAAACCTTTCCTTGTAAAACCAAGCCTTATCTTGATCCTAAGCTTCAAAAAGGCTCTAAAAGCCTATCAAAAAGCCTTATCTTCATATACCTCATTTTAAGGCTTAGCTTAATCCAGGCCCATTTTTGAGCCTAAATTTGGATCCAGGCCTAATTCCTGAGTCTAAAAAAATCCCTCTAATTTTCTTTGAAGGCCTGAGTTTCAAAAAGGCCTGAAATCAAGCCTACTCTTGATCCTGAGCTTTGAAAAGGGTTAAATGCCTGAACCAAGCCTAAATTTGGGCCTAGGCCTAATCTTGACCTTCAAAAGGGCCCTTAAAGCCTACAAGCCTAGTCCTAGTGATGATTTTCCAGCTCTCCTCGACCATCCCAGGCTACCACCGGGAATTCGACGTTCTCGCCCGCGATTCCACCGGCTCCACCCCTCTCCACCAAGCAGCCCGCCAAAATTCCACCAAAGTCGCCAAAGCCATCCTGACGCTCAACGCGAATGCCATCGATGTTTTGGATGACCGTGGCCGAACCCCGGCCGATGTTCTCAACCCCCAAATCTTCCCAGTCAACGCCACCGAACTCTGGGTGCTCACCAATGGTGAAACTGTCACGCGCGAGCATCTCTTGCTCTCCAAATTGAGCTCAAATTCGAAAAGAGTTACGGCAAGTTGCTCGAGTTTTGGTGCGGCCACGGATTTTGCGGATTCCGATCCGATAGATCAAAATTTGCACGTGGAAATCTCGATGGACACCGATGTTCATGTACCGGATTCGCCAAAAATGGCCAGATTGTTCCACGTTGTCACGAGCCCCGGAATCCACGTCACAGATATGGCACGCGCGAAAATGGCCGATTTGGCCAGGCAGATTATTGAGGCCCTGCCGGCGAGGATTAAAAGGGGTCCCGGCGAGAATCCGGGCACGTTTTTTGATGCGGATGTGGATCAGGTGGATTTTGGAGCCCGTGAGTTTTTTTTTGGAAAATTTGGGATTTTTTGACACCCCACACGACGTTTTATTGAAAAATTTGGAAATCTTCTAGGATTACTGTAGAATCTAATTTTGAATTTTTAAATTTCCCGCCAGAATCTTTTTAGGATTACTGTAGATTTCCGAGAGCTGAAAATCTAATTTTTGAATTTTTGAATTTCCCGCCAGAATCTTTTAGGATTACTGTAGAATTCTGAGCGCTGAAAATCTAATTTTTGAATTTTTAAATTTCCCACCAGAATCTTTTAGGATTACTGTAGAATCTAATTTTGAATTTTTAAATTTCCCGCCAGAATCTTCTAGGATTACTGTAGATTTCTGAGCGCTAAAAATCTAATTTTTTGAATTTTTAAATTTCCCGCCAAAATCTTCTGGGATTACTGTAGAATCTAATTTTTTGAATTTTTGAATATCCCGCCAAAATCTTTTAGGATTACTGTAGATTTCTGAGCGCTAAGCAAGTAATTTTGAATTTTTAAATTTCCCGCCAAAATCTTCTGGGATTATTGTAGATTTCTGAGCGCTAAAAATCTAATTTTGAATTTTTAAATTTCCCGCCAAAATCTTCTGGGATTACTGTAGATTTCTTAGGGCTGGAAATCTAATTTTTGAATTTTTAAATTTCGCGCTAGAATCTTTTAGGATTACTTTAGATTGTTGGTGCCAAAAATCTGATTTTGATCCAGAATTTGACCTTGGAACTTAAAAAAAAATCCCCAATTTTTTCTGCAGAGCACAATCCGATGCTCTCGAGCTCCGGAAATTCCATGGATTCATCCTGCCATCAATTTTACGACATGATGGTTGTTGATCAACAAAGTACAACTGGCGGATCGGTGGACACGAGTCGATTTACGAGCTCATTTGATAAAGGATCATTTTCGGAGAGTGAGACACTGGATTTTGATAAGTTGGTTTTTTGGGGGGAATTTTTGGCTGAAAATCTGAAAATTTCTGAAATTTGCAATTTTTTGAAACCTCACAAGCTATAGGGGCTTCTCAAGGCGTGGCTCCTCGACAGCATATCTCTTAAGGCGCCACTACTTAACATATAGCTTCTCAAGGCGCGGTTCCTTGACACCAAAGCTTTGAAGGCGCGGCTCCTTGTCCTCAGAAAAAAAAATTTTTTTTTCAGAGATTTGGGCGAATTCTTCACAATTCACCTGGATGCTGGAATCGACCCAATTCAGATCAGATTGGCGAATTTGAAATATAATGGTGAGTGTTTTTAGTTAGGGCCAAAATTTGATCTACAGTACCCGCTTTAATATGAGCAATCATTTCAAAATTTATTTTTTCAAAGATTACTGTATTAATATGAGAGTAAATTTGATCTACAGAAAAATATTTATCAGACTAGATTCTAGTCATATCTACAGTACCCCCGTGAACTACTGTAGGTCAAGTCTCTGTTCGTTTTTTGATGTTTCTCCCCGTGCGCGACCTCAAAATTTTTCTCAAGTACCTGTCTGACGTCAAACAAACTGTGCTTTCTGGGCGAGCGCGAAATCCGAGGTCACCTCATATCTCCCACTTGAGCCAACTCCCTCCTGTGCTCTTTTTTGAGCACATCTTTTTTTGTTGAATTGTTTCTATGGTTTTAGAACATTTTTTAAGACTTCTAGGTCCAGAGAGCACAAATATGCACATTTTTTTGGAAAAAATTGATTTTTCTTATCTTTATGAGTTTTCAGCTCATTCTTTTTCGCTGCACAAATTTGAATGTTTTTGAAAAATTTTGTATTTCGGGGATTTTTTGTACACACCCCCGCGTTTTATATTCTTTTAAAAAGTATCATGTTACTGTACTCCCCCTTTTCAAGTGGTTTAAGGAATTTAGCCCAACTTTCATTTATCCTAAAGAGTTGGGCCTAAAAAGCCTGGATTTAGCAAATATTTTCCTCCAACCAAAAAAAATCACTTTACAAAACAAAGAAACTTTAGAACTCGGATTTTTTTTTTCGTTCTGATGACGTCAAAACAAAGTGTGTCAGGTGTTCGTGCAGAATTTTTGCGATTTTTCGTCGGAAAATCGCAATTTCTCCAATTTTTGTGCAGAAAATCAGATTTTCTACCGTTTTTCCATTAAAATTTACCAAGTTTACATCGAAAGTTCGATTCCTACTGCCTGCGAACATTTTTTTACGCCTAGATTTTTTTGTCCAAAACAATTTTTTTGTAGTTCTCCCGGTGTAATTTATGTTGATCTTTTTGTTTTTCCCGCTCTCAATTTTTTTAAAAATTCAAATTTTTCCCAAAAATTCCACACTTTTTAGCCACCGGCTCTCACTTGTCGGGTCTCTTTTTTCGCGCCACCAAAAAAAAATCAATCGATAATGGTTTTGTCGCCGTACGATTTGAAGAAAGATCCGTTGGACGCGCAAGATGCGCTGCTTTTTCGCGCCAGTTTTTGTGGTAAGACTACTGTAGCTTGGGGTACTGTAGATCAAAAAATCTGCTCGGAAAATGCGATTTTTTGATGTGAAAATCATCAAAAACTGGTAGAAATGTGGGTTTTTGGGGTACTGTAGATTACGGTTTTGGAGTACTGTAGGGAGGGTACTGTAGATCAAAAAAAAATCCTGGATTTTTGGAACCAAACTTTCTCGGGTTACTGTAGATCTTTCAAGATACTGTAGATCCTAGAAAACCTGAAAAATTAGGAGTTTTGGGGTACTGTAGAGGAGGTACTGTAGATCAGCAAATTCTGGATTTTTGACGCCAAATTCTATCAGGTTACTGTAGGTTTTGTGACGTGAAAAATCGAAATCCACGTGTCAAATCTGGTTACTGTAGATCAAAAATGTGGCACCAAAAAATTGCGGTAGATCAAAAAATTCCAGAATTTTTTTCCCGTAGGTTCTCGAGGTACTGTAGATCCTAGAAAAACTGATAAAATTAGGGTTTTTGGGGTACTGTAGGGAAGGTACTGTAGATCAAAAAAAATTCTGGATTTTTGGAACCAAAAATCATCTGGGATACTGTAGATTTTGGCGCCAAGAAATTTTGTAGATCAAAAAATGTCCAAATTTGCCTTACAGACGACGAACAACGCGACGTCTACGAAGCTGCAATGGTAATTCAACGCGCCTACCGCGAATACCGCGCGCGGAACACGTCGCGTCGTCAAGAAGACCTCGAACGCCGTGCTGCACTCAAAATCCAGGGTTGCTATCGTCGTTACAAACAATTCTGCTACTTCAAAAAGTTGCACAACGCCGCCATCGTCGTCCAAAAACATTTCCGGATGCGGAAACGCGGAGAAGCGGATGCGAGCGGTGACGCGGCTACGGAAGCGGTACCCGAACATCCGACACTCGATGGACATGCGATTCGAATTCAAGTGCCGCAAACGAATTCGTCGTTGTCGCTTCGCGAACATCGCGCCGCGACGACTATTCAACTCGCGTATCGCGGACATCGCAAGCGGCAAGCGGCGGCGCGGAAAATTCAGAATTTTATGCGACAAAGTCGCAATAAGTGAGTTTTGGGGGAGGGGTACTGTAGGGATTACTGTAGGAGCATTGCTCATTTGAAACTCAAAATATTGCATTTTCACTGTAGATCCTATAAGTTTCCAAGAGTACTGTAGTTGAGCTTACTGTAGATTTGGAATTTTCTAGTTTTCCTTCAGATCTTGGACTCATAAAAGGGTACTGTAGAGATTACTGTAGATCAAAATTTTCAAGATTTCTAGTTTTGAGATTTCTTGATTTTCCAGGAGTACTGTAGTTGAGGTTACTGTAGATTTGGAATTTTCTAGTTTTCCTTCAGATCTAAGGGTACTGTAGGTTACTGTAGATCAGGATTTTCCAGATTTCTAGTTTTGAAATTCTTTGGGATTTCCCAAGAGTACTGTAGTTTTCAAACTTTTTTTGAGATTACTGTGTATTCCTTCATTTTGCAGGAGTACTGTAGGTTATAGTTTATCTATTTCTACAGTAATCTGGATTACTGTATCTCAAAATGTACTTTTCTAGCGATCACCATGTTCAATTTTCAATGGTAAGAAATTTTTTTCAAAAATTTTTTTTGAAAAAAAATTTGAAAATGTTGTGATGTAGTTGTGATTTTTTTTTGATTTTTTGCCGCCAAAAATTTGAATTTTGAAATTGATTTTTTTTGCAGACTTCGGAAAATGCATGCGCAAAACGACGACGTTGCTCCGCCAATTCCGGCGTCGCCAAACCACCAAAAAATTTGAATTTTTTTTGAACCCCGAACTTTTTTTTTTTCATTTTTTCCCTCGTTTTTTTTTGGCCAAAACGGTGATTTTTTACGGTTTTTCTGGAATTTGTATAGTCATTGTGTATATTTTCTAATAAATTTTTCATTGAATGTTGCCACGTGGCATGGGTTACTGTAGATACTGTAGATCAAAAAATTCCGGATTTCTGATGCAAAATTTACTCAGGTTACTGTAGTTCTAAAAATCTGCTCGAAAACTGAAAAGTTTTAGAGTGCTGTAAAGATGGTACTGTTAAATTCTAGTTTTTGTCGTTCTAGGAGTACTGTAGTTGTTTGGCAATGGTTACTAGAGATAAATTTATCAAATAAGTAAGTTTTATCAAAAAATGTAAGATTTCAGAGCATAGAACTTTTCAGATTTCTTCTTCAATTTCTCGATTTTCCTCCTGAATCTCCTCAACTTCTGGAAATGAACATCTTCCTTCTCGATTCAAATTCATTTTTTGAAGTGCTTCGCTGACTTCGGAATAGATGCTATATCTTTCCAAATTCAATTCATCAATGATCTTCTTCTTATTTTTCCGATCCATAGTTTCCCATTTGCCCGACATAGCCTCCTCAAATCTGAATGTGTAAATCTGACGGATCGCCGGAAATTTTCGGTCGAAGAATTGCATTGCGAAGCGCACATCATCGTCCGAAATATTGTTCATTTCGGCTTGTAGACCTAGATCGAGAAGTGTTATTGTGTCCAAATATTTTTCGAGGTTTGAACGAGTTCTGCAAAAATTCGGGGTTTTTTTTGTACAATAAAATGTGAGCTTTTTTCGCGCCAAAATTACTAAAATTTGAAAAAAAAGGTTGCCTCGAAGGGAGATCGAACCCATGACCTAAAGATTGCAAGACATGTGTGTTTACCACTAGGCTACACAGCGTTTTCGCACACAATAGGAAAACAGGTGGTTTACGGGTCGACCACCCGTTTAGGGGTACTAACGCACTACTATTCGACCACTATCGCACTACTACTGCGAAAGTGGGTTGAGTGGTGTTGATAGTGGTGGAATAGTGTTGTGAAAAAATCAGCTTTTATAGATTGGTATATGTTCAGGAATACTAATATTGATATTAGATCACTTTTCGCTGGCGAAAAGTTGATAGGAAACCAAAAAATCAGGCACCTCGTTTTTTGGTAATAGTGGTACGGTAGTGGTCCAAAACGGGTGTTAACGTTTTGAACCACAGATGACAGAATATTATCAAAAAACACCATAGATTGGTGAATAATTACATTTTGCCAACCGATTTCCGCGTTGCAGCCAATAAATTCATAAAAACTTCTATTTTTGCCTTAGTGGTGGTTTAGTGGTCAAAAACGGATGGTTCTTCCCAACACTTTCACAGAGAAATTCAATAGGAAGAAAAAGTATGAAACTAGAATAATGATCCTCGCGGTTCATGCAAATACAAACTTTGATGATAGAAAGCACTTCAGATACCAATTTTACACAATTTTAGATATGTTTTTCATCATACCCACTTTGAGTATCTCGCTGAATTTGCCAGAGTCGGATGTATGTAAATTAAATTTTTTGTATAGATGTTGTATATCATTTTGTTCGCCTTTCAATTTACAACTCAACTGCGTTTTCAGTTTTTAATTTGGAGTCCATTGAGAAAAAAAGGTTTTTGTGTAGATTTACGCGGAGACGCTAGTGTGTGGTCTCGCGGCGGAATACACAGTTTGTGTGTTTTCATTTTTTCTTTTTTTTTCGTTTTTTTTTCTTTTTTTCCGTTTTTCTGTGGTTTTGTGTCGTTTTTAGAGTTAGGAGTATAGATTTTTGTGCTAAAAGTATTGGAAAATAGTTTCCTGATAGGACAACTGAAAATTTCCACCGAAAACAATTGAATAACGTGATTTTTCGATGATTTTAGGCCTTTCAAAAAAAATTTTCACATTTTCATCAGAAATATGTTTGGGAATAGTCTCAAATATGAATGAATAACTGAGTTCGAATTATTGGTGCTTGAACAATAAAAACCATCTGATTTTCAGACGTTTCTTGACCTTTTCGTGTAGAATTATAATTCTAGACGAAAAGGTCAAGTTTAGAGAAAAATTTCAACACATTGAAATGGAAAAATGTAGGAAACCAGCTGATAATTTTAATTTCTTTCTGTAGGTTCATAACAATGTTTTTCTTATCTCATTTAGTTTCCTTTACTTTATATTTATCCGTGTATAAATATTTGTAATGTTACGTTTTCAGCTGCGTTGCTCATCGAGGCGTTGCTTCAACGATAAGATCGTCAAAAAATGAATGGTTAGTTCCTCAGATAACCAAACTTGAAAAAAAATGATTTGCTTTTAGGTCAGCTCTTCATGCAACATCACATTCAACAACATCGACACAATGGCGTGAGATGAAGAAAGGAGTCGAAAAACTTTGAGGTAAGTCTTTCTATATCAAAACTGTTGTGGCCGGACGTGAAAACGGGTCAATTGTACAATACCTGGAGGACATGCCCTGAAACTGAAATTCCTGTAAAAGTGTACAAACCTTGGACTTTGTTGAAAATTACCTGGAAACGAGAAAAAGATCTGAAATTTCTCGGTTTTCTACATTTTTACAGAAAATTCAGTTCCAGTGAATGCCCTCCAGGTATTTTACAATTAACCTAGAAATGGAAATCGAGATACCTTTGCCAAGGGAACTTTTCGAAAAACCGCGAATTTTTTCCAAACATTTTGTGAACTCGGTCTAATAAGAATACCGTAAAATTTACTGATTTAATGAACTCAACATTGTGAAGACTCGAAGGGGTCGTTCATGATTTTTTATTTAGAATTTCTTCTAAAACAGCTCGATAATTTATTCTATGACACAATTCACAAAAAATTTATTATCATACGACTGATTTTGAAGTTAAAGAAACTGTTTCGGAACAAAAAAAATGAATTGAAAATCATAGAAATTTGGCCTCAATCTGAACTTTTTGCAGTGATAGGATAAATTAAAATAGGAAATGTGTCATGGGATAAATTATGGACCCTAAAACAACTGAAGTAGCCGCTAGAGTTTTGAAAAGTTACGCCATAATGTCACACACCCAAAGAAAAATAGCATGATCTAAGAAAAATCTATTAAAATTTCAGATTCAACATGCTACCACCAGGAACTACCATTCACCGACAACAACACCAAGTCTCCAACCATCCACCGACAACAACACCAAGTCTCCCAACGTCAACACTTGGCCAACCACCGACCTCAGGAAAACGTCTAATTATAATTATCGTTCGTTATATTTTTGAGATAAATTTTTTATTTATAACTAGTGTGAAATATATGAAAACCTAGGAAAACAAAAATCGACCACTAAAGCAGCTGTTTCCCAGTACTATTTTTGTGCGCGTAGTAGCTGTAAACGTGTACCCGTCGGTGTACTCGCGCACGAGGGGTTGAGTACCCGTAAACGGGTGGAAAACGACCCGTAATGCACCTGTATGCGAAAACCCTGTGCTACGCGCTCCTGTTTTTTTTAGCACGCAAATGTTTGATATATGAAACGAATAAAAAAATGTGCTACAAATCTACAGTACCCTTGGCTACTGTAGCCCCAAGATTCGGAATGATTTTTTTTTGAATTTTTTTGCCACGTGGCAAATCTACAGTACTCTTTAAAAATTTCTTACGGTTTTTCCTCAACGGCACTCATCGTTTTGTTAATATCTTGAATTGGTCGCATTCGATAAGTTCCGCGATATTGTGAAAATCCCAACATTTTCCGCATTACCGAATTGAGAGTGCCAAATTGCGCAACTGTTATCAACTTATAGGTGTGAAGTTGAGCAAAGATTTGCATCGAGTAGCTTCTTCTACCCAATTCATTGTATTCTGCCACTGTTAAACACGATTCGGCGATTTTTTCGAGTTCAAAAGTCACGTTGAATGTTGGTGTTGTTGATGTGGAAGTTGGGATAACTCCTGGAAAATAAATTATGAGCTCAGATCTTTTTCCTCAGGTTTTCCTTTTAAAAATCCTTACCTGCATCCAATTTGAGAGCAAAAACCAAGAAAATAATGGATAAAATCAACATAGTCACAAAAATAATGCAAAGAATGGATTTATTGCACAAAAAAAGGCGTCCCAAATAAGCCACGCCCCCTTTTGACCTCCTGTAGCGGTTTGCAACGCGGTTTTGTCTTGTTGTTAGTATCAAACAAAGCCTAGACTATAGTTTTGTCACATAAAATGTTTTGACGCCAAAAAACATAAATTTTCTGAAAAAACAAAAAATACGTTTCAAAAATTTGATAAATTTTTTGTTTCTTAATTATTTTTTGATCAATTGTAAACTCCTAGTCGTGTGAAAACAAAAAGATTCCTAGCTGAAATTTATCTGAAAATTTTGTCTGAAATTACAGTTTTACAACAGAAAATTGCGAATTTTTCAAATTTTCCATCAAAAAACGTCAAAAATTCATATAACCACCACTAAAACCATCACAAAAACCCCAAAAAACGCCAAAAAATGCAAATTTCGTCCAAAAGAATTACACATATGTCGATTATCACACGTGAAACACGTCGAAACTCCGCCCAACTTCTCGCAAATCGATTGTGCCTGATGACAGGATTCATTTGGTAGACCTGTGGCTTTTGTTAGAACTGAAGGGCCGCATCCGCGAGCTGTGAAGGGCTCTGAAAATTGGGGATTTTGCTGAAAATTTGGTGAAAAATGATGCATTTTGAGGTATTTTACGCTAAAAATGAGCCCAGGAGCCAAAATTTGATTTTTTGGGTCTCGCAGCGATCAGGATTACTGTAGGTGCCTTTAAATTTGAAATTTGAGCTATGAATGTCCCTACAGTACGCGAAAATTTGATCTACAGTAAGATTTTTCGCTTTGGGACCCAAAAATATTCATGTTTGGTGTCAAAATGCTTCATTTTGGGTCCTGAAGCGATCTACAGTAATTTTAAAGGCGCATGGCCATATTTTTGGCGCCAAAATTTGATCTACAGTAAGATTTATCGCTTCGAGACCCAAAAATCCGAAAATATTCATGTTTGGTGTCAAAATGCGTCATTTTTGGTTCTGAAGCGATCTACAGTAACCTACAGTAGTTTTTGGCGCCAAAATCTACAGTACTCCTCACCTTCAATATTTTGGCACTCGAATTTGAAACAATTCACAGTTTGCGCTTCACACTGCATTGGATTGAAGTTTTTCTTGTCTCCAGAATGACACCAAATTCCGCCGGCTGAAATTTTTTGAATTTTGAGATTTCTGGCTGGAAATCTGAAATTTTTGAGCCAAAAATCAATAAATTTGGGGAAAAATTGGGTTATGACGTGGCAATTTTAAGCCTAAAAGGTTTCTAGCTCAAAATTTTCCAAATTTTCAGAATTTCAACTCAAAATTGTCTGAAAATCCCAAATGTTCCCCAAAAAAAACTCACTAGTTTGCGCAAAACTTTCAGGAACTCCAAAAATCGCCAGAAAAACGAGCGAAAAATTGAAAATCCACATGGCACAAATAAATAGGGCACTAAAATTTAGAGGAATTTTTAAATGATTTTTTTTCGCGAAAAATAGTCAAAAATTAAATAAGTTAGGCTAACTTGGATAGATTTTTTGAGTAGAACAGTAAATAATTACACAGTGTAAGAGTATTTATTTGTTTACCTAGCCTCACAGAAGAAAATATCGATTTTTGGGTCAAAAATTTGAACTACAGTAAGATTTTGGTCTCGAAGCGAAAAAATCTTACTGTAGATCAAAAACTTGAATTTTCAACAATAAAAATGACTATTTTAAAGGGTCATACCGTAGTATTCCACATGAATTTTTCAAAGTTTAAGAAATTTTGTGATAAAATTTTTTCAAAAAAAAAATTTGTTTTATGTTCTTTTCTGACCAGATGTTCAAGAAAATAATTTTTTTTTTCGAAAATTTCGAAAAAAAAAATCCAGAAACCTCTTAAAAATTCCATAAATAATTGATTTTTCTCGATAAAAAATTTTATTTACTTTCAACTTACTGGAAAAATATGCTTTTCAAAAATTATAACAACAAAAAAAAAATATTACACGTGTCACAAAAAAAATACTGTAGCTCAAAAACGTGAAAAATTTGGGGGTAAAAATGAGCTGAAATTCGGGAAGATTGGGAAATTTTGAGCTATGACGTGGAAAAGTTCAGAAAATTCAGAAAATTTCGAATTTCAGCTCAAAATGTTCAGAAATATCTGAATTTTTAGCAAAAAATCGAAAAATTCCCAATTTTTTGAGCTATGACGTGGCAATATTCAGAAATTTTGGATTTTTCTGAAATTCAGCTCAAAATGTTCAGAAAAATTCAAATTTTATCTCAAAATGCTCCAAATTCCCCATTTTTAGCTCCATTTTCAAATTTTCTCCAAAAAAAACTCATAAGGTTGACTCATGGCGGCTCGAAAACTTTGTCGTGAAGCCGACATCTCAGAAGAAGGGGGCGGAGCCAAATTGGCTGAAATTCCAGCCGAAAAATGGGCGTGGCTTCCAGATCCCCCGGACGCTGTTGAAGATGTTGGTTTTGAGGGCAGAATCACATTTCGCCTGAAAAAAAATAGTTATGCGCCTTTGAGATTACTGTAGATCGCTTCAGGACCAAACATGACCCATTTTGACACCGAACATGGCTATTTTTTGGTCCCGAAGCTAAAAATCTTACTGTAGATCAAATTTTCGCGTACTGTAAGAGCATTCATAGCTCAAATTTCAAATTTAAAGGCGCCTACAATAATCCAAATCGCTTCAGGACCCAAAAACCAAATTTTTAGTAAAAAAATCCGGGATTTCAAAGGGACATACCGTAGTAAATTTGAATTTTTCTCAAAATATATCATGTTTGGTGTCAAAATGACGAGAAAATTGTGGGAAATTCAAATTTTGCCACGTGGCACAGAAAACTCACATTTTCGGTTGTCCTCCTCCGCCTCCGCCACTACTTCCGCTTGCCTGACTTCCAGCTTTCCGCACCACGTTTTGCGGAAACGGCGAGACGGGCATCGACGCGTAGCCGCTTACCTTCAAAAAATGATTTTTTTTTGAATTCGGGAATTTTGGCGCGCCAAAAATCCCTGTGATTACTGTAGATCATCGCTCCAGGACCCAAAATTCGGTGAAAAATGCGATTTTTTGGGTCCCGAAGCTCAAAATCCTACTGTAGATCAAAATTTTGGCGCCAAAACTTTCACGTGCTGAAAATTTGTCTGAAAAAGAAACAAAAGACAAGTGAAGTTTGTGTGAAATTTATAGGAAAATTCAAATTTTTGAGCAAAAAATCTGGGAAAATGCAAAAAATGGAAAAAATAGCACCGGAATTCAAATTTTGGGAGAAAAAATTCAAAAAAAATTTTTTTTTTCAAATTTTTCTGTGCAAAAAAATCAAAGGACAAAACACATAAATTATTACAAAAAAATAATTTTGCAAAAAAAAAATGAGAAAAAAAATGAGGAAAAATAAATACATGCGGACTATTGGGGGGAAAACTTAGAATTTTTTTGAAAATTTTGAATTTCGCGTCAAAATTTAAGATTTATCGTTCCAGGACCCAGAAATTCAAATTTCAGGTCATTAAATCGTTTTCTAGCTCAAAATTTCTCAATTTTCATGAATTTTGGATCAAAAAACTGCAAAAATTCCAAATTCCCGCCCAAAATCTCCAGAAAAAATGCTCTCAAATGTGCATAACATACATGCGCGATGATGAATCGCCGTCGCTCACCATAGAAGCTCCTTGAGTTGGCACAACTCCTCCAGATTTCGGTGCATAAATTGGAGCACCTTGCGGTTGTGTTGAAACGCATTGTGTGGTCCATTGATAGCGCGGACCGCCGTCCTCATTTCGGAATCGAGCATAATCTGAAAAAAAATCGATAATTTTTGAGTACTGTAGTTTTTGGAGCGTAAAATTCGGATCAAAATGAACCAGAAAAATCTGAATTTTTAAGTGTTTAACATGAGCAATGCTCAAAATTTTGAATCTTTTGGTTTTGAAGGGAAAAATCCTACTGTAGATCAAATTTGAGCGCCAAAAAAGGCGGTGTGGAAAATTTTGTTTTGAAATTATTTAGTTTTTGATTTTAGACTTAAAAATCTGAATTTTTAAGAATTTAACATGAGCAATGCTCAAAAATCCTCGAAAATCCCAAAATTTCGAGTCTAGGCTCAAAATTCTCCAATTTTTATAAATTTTCCAACAGAAATTCCAGTTTAACATGAGCAATGCTCAAAAAATCCCAAATTTTAGAGTCTAGGCTCAAAATTCTTCAATTTTCATGAATTTTCCAACAGAAATTCCAGTTTAACATGAGCAATGCTCAAAAATCCCGAAATTTCGAGTCTAGGCTCAAAATTCTTCAATTTTTATCAATTTTCCATCAGAAATTCCAGTTTAACATGAGCAATGCTCAAAAATCCCAAAATTTCGAGTCTAGGCTCAAAATTCTCCAATTCTCATGAATTTTATGTCAAAATTTCTCAAAAATTTCAAATTCCCACCCAAAATTCACTTACCAGAACATTCATCGCCTAATACATAATAGCATTGTTCGGTGAATGTAATCTTATTAACAACATGAGCAATATATTTCAATTTCAACAATTCGGCCGCGAATTTTCGAGCATCTTTTCGTTCTCGCAAACCTTCGACATGATCCAGAAGCCATTCGACCAAATCGGAACCTGAAATTAATTTTGGGTTAATTCGAGCCAAAATTCGAGAAATTTGATGAATTTTGAGCCAAAATTCAATTTTTTCATCAAAACTTGAACTACAGTAAGCAAATTCGCTCTGGGACCCGAAAATTTGAAAATTTCTGGATTTTTGAGCATTGCTCATGTTAAACTGGAATTTCTGATGGAAAATTGATAAAGATTGGAGAATTTTGAGCCTAGACTCGAAATTTCGGGATTTTTGAGCATTGCTCATGTTAAACTGGAATTTCTGATAGAAAATTGATAAAAATTGGGTAATTTTGAGCCTAGACTAGAAATTTCGGGATTTTTGAGCATTGCTCATGTTAGTCTGAATTTTTGCATTTTTCGACCCGAAATTTGAGAAAATCATGAAATTTTGAGCATTGCTCATGTTAAACACCTAAAAATTCAGTTTTTCGAGTCTATTTTTGGGTCAAAAATCGATTTTTCCTGAGAAAAAGCTAGCCGGGCTTAAAGTTCCCCAAAAATCCCAAATCCGGGCTCATTCGGGCCCAAAAAACTCACCCAAAAACGACATGGGGATCGGAATTTTCAACCAAGTTCGATTTTTGATATCCAATCCACTGTTGGGCATCGCCATCACTTCAACAATCTTCTTTTTGTCGGTTGCCAGGTCCAATTTGATTTGTGTTCCATTTCCACCGCCAACTACCGTATTCTGACCATTTGAGCCGTTCGAGGTTACTGTAGATGAACTTTGCGGGCGGCCATTGGCGTGAGGAGGCCAATCACCGGGTAAGGGAGTCGGAGCACCTTCGACACCTGAAAAATTGGAGGTTTTGAGGAACATTTGGGCTTGGGGGTCTTTTGGGGCTAAAAAGAGCTCAAATTTCAAATTTTTGAGGTAAATTTGGGCCTGGGGGCTTTTTGGGGCCAAAATAAGCTAAAATTTGAAATTTTCGGAAAAAATTTGAGCCTAGAAGGATTTTGGGAGCAAAATGAGCCCGAAGTTAGAATTTTTTGGTAAAATTCAAGCTTTGGGGCTTTTTTCGCTACAAAATGAGCTTAAATTTCAAATTTTTGAGAAAAACTTGGGCTTGGGGGGCTTTTGGGGCCGAAACAGGCTAAAATTCAACATTTTTGAGGAAAATTATGGCCTAGGGGCTTTTTGAGGATAAAATAAGCTCAAATTTGGAATTTTTAATAAAATTTAGGCTTTTAAAATGCCACGTGGCAAACATTATTTTTTAATTACGGTATGTTCCTTTAAATTTCGTTCAGGTTGCTTCAAGGATTAGGAACAAACACAGGATTACTGTATGCACCTTTAAAATTTCTCAAAACAATTTTAAAGGCTTCTGAAAAAGCTCATGGGCTCAAAATTCATCAAAAATCTCGAATTTTAGCTCATTTTCAGCCAAACTTTCCAGATTTTCAGAGCCATACCTTCAACAATACTCGGCATTCCTCTCATCGCATTTGTGTGTTGAATCCAAGCCTGCGTGTCAATCGGTCGAACCGGTTCTTCTCGACTATTTCGCGGAATCGTAAAACAACTTTGTGGTCCGTTTTCGAAACTTTTGGCTACTGTAAGTTTGATGGGTCCGCGGCGGCTTACAGCATCTCTGAAAATGATGGATTTCAGGTTAAAATTTTCAGAATTTGACGAATTTCAAGACAAAAATCATGAAATTTGGCCAATTTTGAGCTGAAATTCGTGAAAAGCAGATATTTCAGACGAATTTCAGCCAAAATCTAAGTTTTTTTTTCATTTAATGACTAAAAGAAGTCGAACGAAAAATATTTTAAAACCAAAATATTTATGAAATTTTTGAAACGTACATTTTCCAATTTTTGGAGCAATTCAAAATTTCATTTAAAAATGAACCCTACAGTAAGATTTTCGCTCTGGGACCATTTTTGGAGTCAAAAATCGTGTTCGGAATCAAATTTTCATAATTTTGATGGTCCCTGGGTCAAAATTCCTCTATTTTCTTGGATTTTAGGTCAAAAATTCGCATTTTCAAGGTCCCTAACTTGAAAAATCGCTCCACGGTAAGATTTTCGCCCCAGGACCATTTTTAGAATCAAAAACGTGTTCTGGGTGAAAATTTGACGTTTTTCGAGTCAAAAAATCATCCTACAGTAAGTTTTTCGCCTCAGGACCATTTTTGGGGCCGAAAATCGAGTTTAGGGTCAAAATTCCCCAAATTTTTCAAATTTTCCACCAAATTCTCACCTCAAAACATCCACCGCTTGATCATTGGTAAAATTCTCAAAACTAATATCATTAACTTGCAAAATCATATCACCCGCTTCAATTCTGCCATCCAAAGCAACAGCACCGCCTTTCATGATGTTCGCCACATAAATTCCATTATCGCCACGTGTCGATGTTTGTCCAACGATGGAAATTCCCAAAAAATTGACCGTATCCATGTTGAGAGTTACGGTAAATACGTCTAAACTCATCGATGATTCAGTGATACTGGAAAAACTCGAAGCACGCGAGGGTTTTCGGAAATTTCGCCGATTTTTTCGCTTTTTTTGTGCCATTTTTTCGTGTTGTCGAGAGACGGAGGTGAAATCGGTGGTTGTGGAGCCGCTGAAAATTAATTTCAGATTTTTTGGGCTGAAAATTTGAGAAGAGCTGCATTTTCTGAAAATTTTGAACCTAAATTCAACAAATTCTGATAATTTTAAGAATATCAGATTTTTGAGCTGAAAATTCAAATTTAATGAATTTCTAAGCTGAAAATTCAAATTTTCTGAATTTTTTGAGCTGAAAATTCAAATTTAATAAATTTTTAAGCTGAAGATTCAAATATAATGAATTTTTGAGCTGAAAATTCAAATTTTCTGAATTTTTGAGCTGAAAATTCAAATTTAATGAATTTCTAAGCTGAAAATTCAAATTTTCTGAATTTTTTGAGCTGAAAATTCGAATTTAATAAATTTTTAAGCTGAAGATTCAAATATAATGAATTTTTGAGCTGAAAATTCAAATTTAATAAATTTTTGAGCTGAAAATTCAAATTTAATAAATTAATGAGCTGGAAATGAGCATTTTTAGCTCTAAATTCAATTTTTCCGCCTTTTAAGCCGCTGAAAATTAATTTCAGATTCTTTGGCTGAAATTTTGAAGAGAGCTGGATTTTCTGAAAATTTTGAATCTAAATTTAACAAATTCTGATAATTTTAAGAATTTCAGATTTTTGTGCTGAAAATTCAAATTTAATGAATTTTTGAGCTGAAAATGAGCATTTTTTGTTCATAATTCAATTTTTCAGCTGAAAATCATGATTTTCAGAGAAAAATTCAAAATTTCGTTATTTTTTTATTAAAAAATTAAGCCACGCCCCTTTTCTTGCAATTTCAGGGCACATTTTTCAGGAAAATTTAATTTTCATGAATTTCGGCTAAAAACAATCGGGTTTTCTCGAAATTTGATTGAAAAACCTGGAACATTTGAAAATTCTGATAATTTTTAAGAATTTCAGAGTCTTTTTGGCTGAAAAAATCGCACTTCATGAATTTCCCCGCAAATGTCTCCTCTTCACAATTTGTCTCTCTCAAAAATGAAAAGGACATTTTTTTTCTCTGATCTCAAAAAATGAGGAAAAATAATTTGCCGTGCTCAAAATTTATGAGCTCAAATTAATTCCTTCAAAAACTCCGAAACAGAGGCCCGTCACTTGTTTTTTATTGCATTTTTCGGAAGAGAAATGCACTTTTTCACGGATTTTTCGGAGCAAAAATCGAAAAATTCATGAATTTTGGCTCAAAAAATCAGATTTTTCTGGAATTTTCAGTCAAAAACTTGGTACAAACACATCTCTTTTCTGCGAAATACAGTGATAATAGTCTGATGACGTGGAATTTGTAGTAGAAGAATAGTACAATTTTCCATCGGAACTTTGAAAATCGTCATCGGTTTGGTAGCCGCTCATTTTTTTCGGGAGGGGAAAAAATTGCGAAAAAAAATTTTTTTTGGGAAAAATTCTCCCCATTTTAATCCCGTCATCAATCATTTTTGGGTGAATTTTTTTCTTTTTTTCACTTTTCTAGACCAATTTTTGGCGCCAAATTCAAATTTTTGCACAAAAATCAACATTTCCCGAGTTATGACGTGGCAAAAAAGAGCCCCAAAAACTCACCGATCATCTTCATCCGAAAATATCCGAGCATCGGATTCCGAGGCTATTGTCGAGTCTTCCAAATGTTGTCGGCGGTGTCCTGGAAAACAAATAATTTCGAGGTGAAAGGTCCGGGGATCGATTCCCATTGGGAGCAATCAAATTTTGTTTTTCGGATTTCGTTGTGAGACCTTCTGGCATAAAAAAAACCAAAAATCATTTGCTAATTAATTAAATCAACTAATTAGGTGCAGTGCATTTTTCACTTAGCCCAACTAAATATAGAAAAATTCAAAAATTCGAGGGACCATGATAAAATCTTCAGGCTTAGTTTTAGGCTTGAATTTAGGCTTAAAATTAGGCTCAAATTTGGTCTAGTCATAGGCCAAAATTAGGCTTAGTTTTGAGTTAAGCTTCAGGATTAAACTAGGCTTGGTTTCAGCATGAAACAAAGCCTAATCCATGTCTATTTTGAGGTCTATATTTAGACTGGCCTTTGGGCCTAAATTAAGGCTTACTTTCAGGCTCAAATTTGGTCTAATCATAGGCCAAAACAAGACTTATTTTCAAGTCTAAATTGAGACTTATGACCTAAGCTTAAGGTTCTAATTTAGGCTAAGCTTCAGGCTTAGTTTCAGGCTTGAATTTAGACCTTTAGGCCAACTTTCAGGCTTAGTTTTAGGCCCAAAACCAAGCCTCACCAATCAAATAAAACGAAGCATTCCCGCTGAGCTCCGAAGTCAGTGATAAATGACTCGTCCGATGCAAGAATCCAATCAAATGCCTGCGCGGCGACGCATCCGGTGCCGCATCTTTCACACCCTGATACGTGCTAGTCGTGTTACTTCCCCCGTATCTTCTCTTGGTGTGCGTTGTTGTTCCCAGCGAGTTATGCGAAGTCTCCGCCAGGCTCTCCTCTTCATAGAGCGGTGGGAGAACGGGTGGCGGGATGAGTGACATAGTTCGAGCCATTGGTGGGAGTTTCCTGCGGCCCGCTGGGAGGCTGAGGGGTCTGAGTCTATCCGTGGATACAATTTCCGACAGGGATCGCTGGGTGACCTGCGGGCGATCGGGTAAATGTTCGATGACGAGTTTGGGGAGCGGGGAACGCAGTGGGGACTTCGGAAGTGGTTCGGGTTCTGTAGGTTCGTCCTCCTCAACCGATAGCTTCTTCTTAAGCCTAGCTCCTATCGTGGCGTCCGATCGGACGAGCCTTCTTTTGGGAGCCGGGGTAGCCGCTGGAGCAGAAGTAGGAGCTGAGGTCGCAACCGGAGAGCTGATGTTGGGCTCCGAAGGTCTCGCTTCCAACTTCAGGTTCGATCCCAAGATCTTCTTCGACAAACTTCGCAGACTCCCCGATCTTCCCTCAACTTCCGAACCTTCCTGCTTCGATTTCAAGCTGCTAGATCTTTCCTTCAACGTCTCCTGGCTTCGAATCGACGTCTGACTCGCAGATTTACCCAAAAATCGATTCACCAAATTCCTAGCCGGCGATAGGCTTCTAGGCGATTTTGCCGATCCCAAGCTTGCCTGCGATCCCAGACTATCCGATCGTCCCCAGATCTTCTTCTTGATATTCTCCGCCAAATTTCTAGCCGGCGATAAACTTCTCGGCGATGTTTTCTGGCTCAACAAGCTCTCCTTGCTCTCCGATCTACTGAAACTGAACAGACTTCGTGATGATGACTTCTTGAGGCCCTCAGGCTCTTCTTCAACTTCCGGGCTTCGCTTAAAAACCGGGGTAGGTATATGAATTTTGCTAGGCGATGGTGATCGATTAACCCAACTCGGCGCCGGCTCTTCAACCGAGTTCCAATTCAAAAGTCGATTTTTGAGCGCTTCTTTCGCATCGGCCCTCTTCCGCTTTCGTTTCTTCTTCTGATCTTTCTTCTTTCCTTCACCAATCTGAATATCCTCCACAGAAGCGACCAAACTCTTCAAACTGGCCAATCTCATAAGCGTTCCGATGAACATCTGACCAGCTCCGCCCTCTTTATTTTTATTGCCACCGAGATGCTGTAAAGCGCTTTCACTTTGCCGCTTTTTCAGCTGTTTTTTGCTCAAAATCTCTTCGGTTGGTAGATTGGTGTAGGTTCGCTTCAATTGGTGCAACACTTTGGATTTTGGCGGCGGCGCGGCATCGAAATCGTCGTCGAGTTTCGCAATTGGTGGCTGCGGTGATTTTTTCGTGGCGGGACCTCCGCTCAGGTTTTTCGATTCGAATCGAGATACAATGGTGGTGACCAGGCTACCACCACCACCAATTTTTCGTTCTGGCATGGGATTTAAAGGTGGCTGGAAGATCAAGAGATTGGAGAGAGAGAGAGAGAAGAGACGCAGAAAATCTCTCAACTACAGTCTAGTTTAGAATGAGAGATGCAGAGACAGGTTAGATATCGTGGAAAATGAGAAGACGCAGAGAAACAGAGCGGTCACAAACCACAAATTTTAGAGATAATGGGATTTTGAGAGAGACGCAAAGAAAAATCTAGAGGATGAGAGATGCGCAGGACAGCTAGACACTAGAGAAAATTGAGAAACGCAGAGAAAATGGATCTACTAGAGTGTAGGAAATTGTTAGAGACGCAGAGAAGCCTAACAGTTAGAGAGCAAAGAACATTGAGAGACGCAGAGAAACCAAACCCAAAAAATAATGTGCAGTTGTTAGAGACGCAGAGAAACCAAAGAAAAAGTGATAATTATATTTCAAGGGACGCAGAGAAACCAAACCAAACCAAAAATACTGTGCAATTGTTAGAGACGTAGAGAAACCAAAGCGTAAGAGACCACAAGCTACAGCGAGACGCAGAGAAGCCATACAAGAAAATAAAAATGTCAGCAACAAAAAAAACTTCAGAACTAACTCTATCCAATATACTGAATCTCAAGTATCTGGTGCACTGTTTGTCGAAAAAAAAACGCAATGACATACACAAAAAAAACTGGGGAGATATCAGTGTGTAAATAGAACAGCAGAGAGCACTTCAGGAGGCAAAAGAAGAACCCAAAAAATCGCACCAAAAACCACCTTGTCCGCGAGAACTACACAAAGCGGTCAAAAAGAGCACAAAGTGAGAGCCAAAAACAAATCTGATAGAAAAAGTCGGGAGAGATAAATGAAATGCGAAAAAAAATCAATCACATTTTCTCTTCTTTTGTTTTGAAACACGGAAAAAGATTTTCGAAATCAAATAAAAACATAAATTATTTCGGGCTCCAACTGGGATCGAAAAAAATTCGCGAGAGCAAAAAGGTCAGGTGTTTCGAGTTAGCGTAACTCTGGGTGATCAAAGATGATTTGGGGGAGAAACTATTTTTAAAGAAAAGGAGGAAGGAACAAAAGTGCATGGGAAAAAAAATGATGAGTTATGACGTGGCAAATTTATTTTTGGCGGCAAATTTTGATCTACCATGCATGCTTGTGGGTCTCACAACGAAAATCCATCCAAATTCTAGCGCGAAATTCAAAAAATTCAAATTTTCACCAACCTCCTCCCAAAAAATGCGGAAATCTCCTGGCGTAGGCATTTTTCAAATAGCTCGGCACAGCTGCAGAAATCATTGATTCCGAATCGGTTGACATCACTGAAAATCGATAATTTTTTGGCTAAAACTGATGAAAATCCACAAAACTTAATGAAAAATCCAATTTTTCCACATGTTTTCGTATAATTTTAATGACTTTTCATAAATTTTTTGTGGGAAAATTTTCAAAAAAAAAACTCACTTGAATTATCAAACTGGTAGGCGGCATGATGATAATTTATGTGTTTATTATTTGGCGGAGCCGGCGCTGGAACCTGGAAAAATTTGAATTTTTTGAGGTGAAAATTCGAATTTTGCACAATTTTTGAGTCTGGGCTCAAAATTTCATGAATATGGGCTTAAAATTCATGGAAAAATCCAAATTTTCAGTCAAAAAATCTGAAATTTGATTGAAGTCTTGAATTTGAGCTTAAAATTGAGGCTAAGCTTCAAATTTCATAAATTTTCGAGTCTGGGCTCAAAATGCATGAATTTGAGCTCAAAATTTCCAGAAAAATCCAAAATTTCAGTCAAAAAATCTGAAATTTGATTAAATTCTTGAATTTGAGCTTAAAATTGAGTCAAAGCTTTAAATTTCGAAACTTTCGAGTCTGGGCTTGAAATCCATCGAATTTCATGAATTTGAGCTGAAAATTTATAGAAAAATCTAAATTTTCAGCAAAAAATACTGAAATTCAATTGAGAGCCTGAATTTGAGCTCAAAATTTCCAGAAAAATCCAATTTGTCAGCTAAAAATACTGAAATTCAACTGAGAGCCTGAATTTGAGCTTAATTTTAAGCCTAAGCTTCAAATTTCATAAATTTTCGAGTCTGGGCTCGAAATTCCCAGAAAAATCCAAATTTTCAGTCAAAAATCATGAAACTGAGCTTAAAAATCGAACAATTTCGAATCTAGGTTCAAATTTCATCATTTTCAGCATAGAAAACCTAATTTTCAGTCAAAACTCCCCAAAAACTCACGGAATGTTGATTTTTCCTCATCCGACTTCCACTACTTCCACCATCTGAATGTGTAGATCCTTCGATTGTCAACAGAAACAACTCGAATCGACCATTTGGTAGGGGGATCAATTTTTGAGCATCGTCACGAACTTCGGCTTTGACTTCGCTGAAAAAAATTGATTTTTGGTAAATCTGAGGTGAAAAACGTGAAAATTGATGAATTTTGACTCAAAATTCATCATTTATCATCAAATTTCGGCTCAAAATACAAAACTCACTATCCCGAATCCGGATCCAGCGCTTTACAGTAATACTTGAAATTGGTTCGCATCAGGACTCGTTTTACGTCTCCCAAGGTGATCAAATCTGGTGGCACGTGAACTTCCATCAAATATAGCGTCGTTTCTTCATCGATATGACAGTAGACCTAGAAAAATTAGGTTTTTTAGGGGAAAACCGGGGTGAAATTAGGATTTTTCACGAAATTTAAGGTTTTTTGAGACCCCATAAGCTTAACTTTAAACGAAAATTGAAGTTTTTCGTGGTAAAACCATTTTAAAGGTGCATAGCATATGTTTTTTCATATAAAATAGGTTATGCTCCTTTAAAAAGGTCCCACGACGAAGTAAACTCGATTTTGACAGAAGTTTAGCTTATGGGGTGTCGAAAATCGTAAAATTTCGTGGAAAATCCGATTTTTGAGGTCTTTGAGCTTGTAGAATATCAAAACGACCCAAAAATCAGGTTATGCTCCTTTAAAAAGGTCCCACCACGAAAAAACTTGATTTTGACAGAAATTTGGGTTATTGGGTCTCAAAAATCGTAAAATTTCGTGTGAAATCCGATTTTTAAGCTCCCCGATCTTATTTTGTATCAAAAATCGCAAAAATCAGGTTATGCTCCTTTAAAAAGGTACCGCTGCGAAAAAACACGATTTTTTCAAAATTTCGGCTTATGGGCTGTCAAAAATTGTGAAATTTCGTGAAAAATCTGATTTTTGAGGTCTTTGAGCTTGTTCGGTGTTGAAAAACGCGAAATTTCATGAAAAATTCAATTTTTGAGCTTTCTGGGATGATTTTGTGACAAAAATAGTCAAATTTAGACTCAAAAAATCGCAAAAATCCCCCAACCTTCGTCGAAGTCGTCGGAAAAGGTTGCTTAACAGTCGTCGTCGCTTCAGAAGTCTGCGAAAATCGCGCACTACACTGCGATTTTCCCTCAAAATAGTCATGCTCATTTTCTTCCTCGTCTTCATCTTCTTCCTCCTCTTCACTATCATTATTCTGTTCCTCATCTGAATCTGCCACGTCATCATCCGGATTCCTATCACGGATTTTCAGCCGTTCTATAACTGTGCACGGTGTAGCGATATCTGAAGCATCTAGCGAATCGTCGAAACGTGGCGGTGTTGTTGTCATGTCTGAAAATGATGGGAATTTGGCTGGAAATCGAGGAATTTCATATAAAAACACGAATTTTAGACAAAAAACTCACAATTTCCGTCATTTTTTAATTTTCTAATGGAGGAAAATTTTTTTTTAGAAAAATGAACTGGATTTTGAGGGGGTCACGTTTAAATTCGCAAAATTTCAAAAAATCACAGAATTTTTGACCAAAAAACTTGAAAATTCAAAACGAAATCCCTAATTTTGCGCGCCAAATTCAAAATTTTCAAAAGCAACTCATCAATAAAATGAAACAGGCGTGAAAAAAGATGAAAAATGTGCAGAGCGAAGAAAAAAACCGAAAATGTTTTGTGTTCGCGAAAAAAAGCGACGAGAGAGTAGCGTGTTGTGAAGAGACGCCAGACACGAGAGTGTGCAAACACGGCGACGCACAAATGCACACTATGAAATATGAGGAAAGGGGGGGAGGGTAGTTATGTAATAATGGCAAAGTTATGGTGACATATGGTGATGTAAGATTGTTGGGGGATTAATAAAATTATATAATTGGGTGGATTTTGATGGCCTAGGCATGCGGTTTTGGGAAGTTAGGCCGGGGAAAAAAAGATAGGAAGAGTTTTTTTTTCTGAATTTTCTTACAATACTAGTATTCTCCAAAGCAAAAGCGACATTGGAGAGACTCTCAGGGTTCCCATATGTTATACATTTAACGTGTCCCTTTTAAAATCCGGGGGGGGGGGGTTCCCATTTTTTAAATTCCCCAAAAAATACTCAGCAATTGACTTCGTAGACTGACTGTACAAATTGAAGAAGTGTGAATACAGCGGATGAACGCTGTACCTACACTTTTTTTTCCCGAAAATTGTAGGTTCATTTTATCTTCAGCGTAGCTACGAAAAAAATCAAATCCGTAGCTACGCAGATGCTAAATAGTTGATACGCACACCTTAAATTCTAACGAGAGCTGCCAAGCGTCACACAATCAGAGATGAAAACGTACGTACAGCGTATCTCCGCTGTAGCTACACAATTCGCGGACAGAAATGAAGTGAAGTGACCGCTCTATATTATTTTTGAATCCGTAGCTACGCCGATGCTGTTCTGTAGCTACTTTGTAGATAAACGGATGTTACTTATGTGCAATTCTCTCTTCCCCGTTTTCGTACAAAGTATCAACGAAATTTGTACAGACAGTCTACAGAGTCAAGTGCTGAGTACAATAGGCGAGCAGCGTGTTTTCTATTCTGCAGCGCCTTTTTCGCGTCAGCGCGTAAGATTAAATGTTTGCGGACCAGCTAGTGTTGACACACACTTTTAATTTTTTCGTTCTTTCTTTAGGTTTGGGATTTTTGAATTTCCCGGGTGTTTTATGAACTAGAAAACCAATTTGAGGAGCTAGGCCATGAAAAAATGAATTTTAAATGCGCGGACTAGTTTTTCACACCCAAAAAACCTAGGCCACCCTTGAAAAACCACCGGAAAACACCAATAAATCTTCATCGCCAAAAATAAAAATAAATCTCCGGAAAATAGTACTAAAAATAAAAAGGATCGGATTTCTTTTTGAAAAACTTCCAATTATTTTCTTTTTTCTTTTCAAAAGCAGCAAAAATATGGAAAAACGGGGGGAAAAGAAATTTCTTTGGCGAAAAAGCCGAAATTTGTCGATCTCTGGGGATTTTTTGGGGGAAAATTGGCGAAGATCGCAAAAAATCGAGGTAAAACACGCAAATGCGCTCCAGTGAACAAGGTGTGTATCGGTGAAAAATTCAAAATTTCATTTTTTTTTTTCTGAAAGACGTCCAAGGGACCACACAAATAAGAATGAAAATGAAAATGTGAAAATATGACAGATGTGCCACAAAAAAAGAGGCGAGAGAGTGTGTGAAGTGGAGAGAGCGCACAGAGAAAATACATTGTGCGCGAGAAAATGACCCTTTGAGAAAGAGAGGAAGAAAGAGCAGCCACCAAAAAGTTGGTGAGGGGCGAGAGAGTGTGGGGAGGAGAGAGAGCGCAGAGAAAGAGATTCAATTATTTTAATCCGGGTGATGGCTCTTTAGAAATTGTATATTGCGAAATTGAAATTGAAATTGAAATTTGGTGGGAAAATTTGCCACGTGGCAAGGGTCTCACAGCGATCTACAGTATCTTTAAAGGAACATCGCAATTTTTTGTTTGCTGTAAAAAAAACTATTTTTCTTTAAAATTCATGGTTTTTGGGTCCCGCAGCGATCCACAGTAAATTTAAAAGTAATTTTTGGAAAACAAATCGATCAATAAATTTTTGAAGCACCTTTTTGTATCTTTTTTGTATACAAAAGACAAATAGAATCAAAAATCCACTTGAAAAATCGAGGGAAAATCGATTTTTCGTAAAAAGTAATTTATTTTCAGGGAAAAAATACTCCAAGTAGTCTGAAAAAATATGAAAATTCCAGAAAATTTCAATTGTGCCTGAAATTTTGGTCAAAATGAGCCCTGGGCTCGGAAATTTTCAGATTTTTCAGACATTTTTAAGCTTAGACTCATTTAGGCTCATTCAAAAGCCAAAATTTTTTTGAGAAATGAAATGTGGGTCCAATTTTTTTTGTGCAAAAAAAAATTGGAAAAAAATGGAGCCAGATGTTTTTCGAGAGACGTCTAATTGATGTGAGAAAAATGGGCGAAAATTTTTGAGAAAAAAAATTTCGGGGAATTTTTTACACACAAAAAATGACCGTAATCACTGGTAGATCAAAAAAAGGCAACAAATTCATTTTTTTTTTCTGACACATACACGTTAAATTAATTATATTTACAGGAAGAAGACACTAAATAAGCTCATAAAATTATTGATTAATTAATTAATTAATTAATTAAGTTCCAGCTTTTCGACAACATCATACACCGAATTTTGAAGGCGGGAATATGTTCTGTAATTAATTAATTAGGTAATTAATGAGTTTAACATGAGCAATGCTCATTTTAGTCCAATTTTCATGATTTTTGGATTAAAATTCATCAAAAATTTGAATTTTTCAATTTTCGCGCGCGCTACCGTACCTGCACAAATCGTACAATCCCGTTTTGAGACCATTTGTGACGTAGGCAATTGTCAGCTTATTTTTGAGATCCGTAATTATCATCTGACATCCGTGACCGGTGTGACCAAACCCGTATTCTGTCTGTAAATTAAATTTTTTTGCGGGTTACTGTAGATTTTTCGCTGCGGGACCCAAAATGGTGCATTTGGACACCAAACACGGTGATTTTTGGGTCCTGAAGCTAAAAAGTACTGTAAGTTCCTTTAAAGGATGGGTCTCGAAGCGACCTACAGTAATTTTAAAGGCGCATGGGCGAAAATAGTCATGTTTGGTATCAAAATGCGTCATTTTGGGTCCCGAAGCGAAAAATCTACAGTACTCCCTCCCAACTCACACCAGCTCTTTGAATCGGCAAATAGAAGAAACCGTGTCCTTTTGCCACGTGGTCGTCAAAAATGAAATCCGTATTGTTGACAAATGGACTTGAGATAACTTGAAGCGTCTTTTGGCTCACCAATTTTCCGCGAATCACCTGATCAAAAAGTCCCGCCAAACTTCGAGCATTTCCGATTCCGAGAGCTGCAGATTGCTCCAATCTGGAAAAAATTCGAGATTTTTGAGGCTAACATGAGTAATGTTTGAATTTTGAGCCAAAAATCGAGAAATTTGGATAATTTTGAGCTATCATGAGCAATTCTTGAATTTTTCATTTAAAAATTGCAAATTTTCGAATTTTTCAGGGGTCAAAAATTGACTAACATGAGCAATACTCCATTTTTGTCGAAATTTCGAGGCTAACATGAACAACGCCTAAAAATGTCGAAAATGCGAATTGATACCAATAATGATGGGAAATGACAATTTTTGAGCATTGCTCATGTTAAATTTCAAGTTTTTCATGAAATTTGAGGATTTTTGATATCCCACAAGTCTGGATTTGATTTTTGCACCAAAATTTGAATTTTCAAAAAAAATACTTTTTTCTTTTGAAAATTGAATTTAAGCTTCAAATTTTGAGCGTTGCTCATGTTGTTGACCAAATTCAGTCAAAAATACATCAAAAAACTCAATTTTTGCAAAATTTCGCCTACCTATGATAATCCGGATTATTGATTGTACATCTCGAAACCGCTTCCAACCACGATGGATTTTTGACAACTTTTTGACAGGGGGTGATCCTGAAAAATTTGAATTTTTGAATTTCGCCGCCAAAAATCCCTTTTAAAAATAGTTTTTTATCAAATTTTTCGACTTTTTCGACTCAAAAATTTTTATCAATTTTTTTTGATAAAAAACTTTGAGCCGGAAAAATTGATTTATTATTTATTTTCTTTCGTTTTTCAACGGAACAAATATCGCTTCGGGACCCAAAAATAGTCGTATTTGGTGTCAAAATACGCCATTTTGGGTCCCGAAGCGAAAAATCTACAGTACTCCCAATCATACCTTCATCAACTTGAAAAGTGATCCCAAATATTTGAGCACTCTTGTATCGTACCACATTTCATCCAATCGATTCGCCATACTTGGAACCGACATTCGAGCAACTCGATGTTGCTCACTTTTCGGTAGACCAATATGATAATCGACTCCTGAAGCGAAAAAATTGAATTGTCCAGGGTTACTGTAGGTTTTGGCTTGATGAATTTTCAACCAAACCCGAAAATTATGGACTAATATGAGCAATGCTCCAAATTTCTCGATGTTTGGCTCAAAATCCATAAAATTTTCCAGATTTTTTCCCACCAAAAACTAAAGTACCCACCTGTTTTCGCGGCAATTTCTTCGCGGAAAAACTGTCCAATTCCACGTTTCTGCACGTCGACGTGACGAACAATTTGATCCAAAATCCAACCGTAAGTGTAGGCGTGGTAGCTGCAAAGAAAATTTGAAATTCGCAGTTTTCGCGACTGGTGGCCGAGGTTTTGCAGGATTTCTAGGCCACCACGGAAATTTTTCAAAATTTGAACTTTTTGGTGTCGAAAAACGTGGAATTCTGGAGCATAGGCTTATTCGGACTCTAAAATCGTGGAATTTTCGAGCCTAGGCTTATTCGGGCTCAAAAAATCAACATTTTTGGGCCGAAAAGGCTCTAGGCTCAAAAAAACGTGAAATTTCTCAAGCCTGGGCTTGTTTGGACTCAAAAAATCGAAAATTCCAGCCCGAAAAGGCCCTAGGCTGAATAGAATTTCAAAAAACGTGGAATTTCTCACGCGTAGGCTTATTCGGACTCAAAAAATCAACATTTTTAGGACTAAAAGGCCCAAGGCTTGTTTGGACTGAAAAATCGTGGAATTTCTCAAGCGCAGGCTTATTTGGACTCAAAAAATCGTGGAATTTTCGAGCCTAGGCTTGTTTGGACTCCAAAAATCGCAAATTTTAAATTCTCTTACCCAGCCTTAGTCCCAGGCGCCCATTTCGGTGGTTCATTCTCAAAAATCTCTCGAATCCTCTCATGATCCGCCGCAATTTCCTCCGTAATCGGTGTATCCAACCAAGCCATTCCACTCATATGTGATAAAGCTTGATTAATCGTCACATTTCCCCGGCCATGTTTTCCAAAACCAGGCCAAAACTTGGCCACCGTATCATTGTAGTCCAGTTGGCCCCTTTCATATAAAAGCGCCACTGCGAGGGCTGATACCGCTTTTGTCGTCGAAAATGTCACTGTGATCGTATCTTCGGCCCATTTTCGGGCCGCCTGTTTATCCGCGTAGCCTCCCCATAGGTCGACAACACGTTTTCCGTCCAGATAAACTGCGAACGCCGATCCTTCGATTTCCCAGCCATTTTCAAAGTTTTTTCTGGAAGATTTAGGGATTTTTGGTCTAATATGAGCAATTTTCCATTTTTTGAGCCCAAAAATCAAAAGTTTTCCAAAAATATGTGAAAAATTATTGTTTTTTCGCAAAATATTTTGTTTTGGTTTTCCGGGGAAAAACAAAAAATTCTTCGAATTCCTGAAATTAAATTCAGGATTTTCTTTGTTTGAAAAATAGAAAAGCTCGTGAGAAAAATCAATTTTTATCGAGAAAAGCTCAATTTTTCAGCAGATTTCGAGAAAAAATAGGAATTTTTCGAATTTTCCTCAAAATTCTGGAATTTTTGCTTATTCAGAAATTTTCCTTGGTTTCCCCTGGAAACCAACAAAAAAACCTGGTAGGAATAATTTAATCATGGAAAACAAAAATCGATATTTTTGTGAAAAATTCGATTTTTGCAAAGTCATAACTCACGCTAAAAATCAAATTTTTCAAAAAATGAACTAGAAATCGATAAATTTCAAATTTTCTCACAATTTTTCAAAATCGATTATTTTTGGAAAAAGCTCATGATTTATCAAGTGCCTTTGATATTTTTGGAAAAATCGTTAGCTTTTCAAATTGACAAGCAGCCTGTGCCTTTAAATTTTCCAGAAAAAAAACTCACAAAAACACGTCACGGACCGCCGCAAATCGTGGATCCACGTGTCCACCGATCTCAACCCGATGTTTCGAATACAATCTATCCGATAAAAATCGCCAGCCCACCGAGGCCACAACAATCGCCAAAACCAGTTTTAGTAGTACAGGTGAATTCATCATTGTGTCTGTGTTTCAAAAGGCAAAAAAAGAAGAAAGTGAAGGAGCCAGGCAGCCGAAAATTCTGGGGGCGGAGTCTGCAAAAAAACGTATTATCAACACACAAAAAACGAAGAAAAGAAAAAAATGCATGCACCAGATAAGAGAAAAATGTTGAAAAACCTCCAAAAAACAGTAAAAAATTTGAAATGAAATGAAAAACGGGGGGCTAGAACGTGTCAATATTTGAACACGTCTTTTTCTCAATATAGTGCAACACGCCGTGTTTACACTTTTTCGCTTGATGGTGTTGTTTTTTAGGGACAAGTTCATGTAACAAAAAACAACAAAACAATAATAACAAATTGATGAAACGATAAAGTGGGGGAGGTTTCAAACAAAGAGGGTAAAACAGTTGAAAAACAACAAATTTAGATGAGAAGTTTTTCGACGTCCTCCTTGAGTTTTTGAATTTGAGGTTTGAGTTGAGATCCTTCGTTTTGGGTGATTGAAGCGGCGATGACTGGGCGAGTGACTCCGCAGGCACGTCCCAATGCAGCCTTGCTCTGGAAAAAATTTGTTTTGGATTGAAAATTGGAGATATTTTACTTTCTAGAAGTCACGAAAAGACTAGGGTTTCTAGTGCACTTTGTGTTTTTCTATGAGCAAAAGAGTTTTTATAACCTTGGAAAAACACTATATCTTTTGAAAGGCCTTTTCAAGTATACAACTTCAAAAATTTTGAAAACAAAACAGGTTCCTAATTCAATTTCAGACTGTAGTTGATTTGTGTTCGAAAAACGAACAGACCACACACTTTGACCCAAAACTACGCAATAAATTTGATTTTGTTATCATTGGCAACATAGTGTTTTTTGTTTTGAATACAGTACAAAAAATTGAACCCGGTATAGTAGGCTATAGTTACATTTTTGATTGTTGATTAACGGAACAACCTGACGTGAAATTTCGAAATTTTGTCCTAGAAAAACGTTTATCATATGACGGGACTGCTCTCTAGGAACCCGGAGTTAATCACTTTTTTGTTGAAAATTTTCCTGTTCGCTTGCCTTTTTTCCTTTATGATAAGGGTTGTAAACAAAAGAACTCGAGACAGAAATTTTGACAATTGGTAAAGAAAAGTTCAGGGGTTTCATGATATTCAAAAACTCACTCTAACAAAGACGTATGGTACATTCTTGTCCTCACACAAGAGAGGCAAGTGGAGAATGATCTCCAAAGGCTCGGCATCAGCAGCCATGACGATGACCTGCAAAAATTAGATCATATATTTGAATTCCAGGTATTGAATTTAGAAACGTACTTCGGCGATACCTCTGTTCAAAGTCTTGGTAGCCTCGTTGGCACCTTTCTTGAGTTGCTTGTAGTTCATGGCTTGTTGAACAAGATCCATGAGCTTTTGCGAAAGGTTGGTGTCGGCCAATGGGAAGGCCTTCGGATTGACTCCATCATCGGCCATTTTCGTCTTCTTCTGCAAAATTTGAAGATTAGGAATGATTGTGAAGAGGATTAGGAGAAGAAATACGATTTGGAAGGATTTCGGGGGAAATCGGAGAAAAACAATGTTGTCGGGCTTTCGAAAACAAAATTGAAAAAATTAGATCGAAAATTAAACCCATACGATGATTTTGAACGTTTCTAGAATTCCACTTATTTTGATTATGTAGTTAGAAAGTCATAAAACCTGCTGAACTCCGAAAAAAATTTAAAACTTTTCCTTGTGCAAAATTTCTATTTTCATCAATAAAAACCAATTTTCTTTGGAATTTTATCAATCAAAACTTCAAAACCCAATAAAAACAACACTTTTTCCACTAAAAAACATCGAAAACCAAACAACTTTGCTCAGAAAAACAAAAAGAAGCGCTTTCGAAAAACGAAAATAAAAAACGCGGCCTAAAAAAGAAGACGCATGTGTTTATTTCTCTCGTTGGGTCTCGTCACGATCCAATGTTGGCATGTTGCCAACTTATTTTTATTTTCGTTTTTTCGCATTTTCGAATTTTTTGTTTGTTTTCCGAGATACAAAACAGTTTTTTCAGCCAAGAAAATGTCCGGGGAGGAGAAGGAGAAGATTCGAATCCTTCACGTCGCCAACATTTCGATGGCAGCGACAAGAGACCATGTTTATAACATGTTCAATTATATCGGCAAAATCGAAGATCTCAAAATCTATCCATCGGAAGGAAATGTGACATCAAGCACCACAAGCAAGTCAGCTTTTGTCAAATTCGATGAAGAACGTTCAGTTGAAGTTGGTCAGCATTTAACCAATGTGGTTTTGGTTGACATGGCGATTATTTGTATTCCCTATTTGCAAAGTGTAATTCCCGACGAGGCGACATTCTTCAACAGCGGTGGAAGTGTTACAGCCGGACAGCGACAACTCCCACCACATTGTTCCAATAAAATCCAAGAGATTGGCGATGGCACAAGCTTGGTGAGATTTTCCCTTCAAATTTTTTTATTTTTCCAGCCTGATTCGCACCGCCCACTCCCCTGTGCATCTCCTAGGAGTCGCCAAAAAGTCCCTTTTCCCTCGAAACCTTCCTAATTTCCCGATTTTTTCAGTTGCTTACAGTCGACCCCACATTGGAACAACTCGGCCTCCCACAATATCCAGCATTGCCCGGCGACACGGATTCGGCGAAAGTTGAGGAGATACGACGCACGATTTATGTTGGAAATTTGCCAAAGGGTGTGGATGGCAATAAGGTGATGGAGTTCTTCAATATGTATGTAGGAGAGGTGAGTTTTTTTTTATTTTTTGGTGAAAATTGGGGTCCTGGAAGTTCAAAAACCCTTCATTTCTCAATAAACCTCCTGAATTTCTCTCAATCGTTCACTTTTTCTGCGGCGAAATCATCGAAATTCTCGATTTCCTACTCATCTTCGACATTTCCTCAAAATTTTTCGAACTTTTATCCTTGAACGTATAAATTGTGTTATCCATAAGCCATTTCTCATAAATCAACGAAGTCATACAACCATAATACAGGCAATTAAACCAAAAAGATATCCACCAAATCATTCGAATCGTCCCATTTCCCATTGCTTCATCTAAAGCGGACATCATTACACGGGGACCATAATACACTCCGAGATAGGCAAATCTGCAAAATTTTGTATTTGTTGATCAAATAACCGATAGAAAATGTTTAAAAAATGAGCCGGACCTTGAAATTCCAGTCATTTCATAATTTTTTGCCTGAAATTTGTTGAATTTCAGGCTTGAAAATCTGAAAATGACTGGAATTTTATAGGTTCCGCACAGGGGAACCTATCGTCAATTTTTTTTTGCCAAACCAACCTCGCCATATACAAAATCCAAGCAATCGCACACACAAAATCCATAACATCTTCGCTCAAATCAGACAATGGTCTCGGAAATGACATTTCCCACCATTTTCGCATTCCCAACGGCTCCAGAACGAACTCATCGCCACAAATTGTGCATTTTATGTGACCGGTGGCTTTTACCCATTGCTCCAAACACGGGGTGTGTGTATAAGCGACGGAGCCCGAGCACGAGCATGGGCGGATTAGTTTGTTGGTTTTCTGTGAGGAAATAATTGTATTTAGAGCATAAATCTGCCTGAACCTTGAAATGTCATCAATTTTCGTAAGAAATTTCCGTCAAAACTAGAATTTTTGACCGAAATTCGAAAATTGTTGAAATTTCCGGGTTCTCGCGCAGGGAAATCTATCGTCAATTTTTTTTCGCTCCAAAACCTGAAAACCACCGTATTCTGTTTCAAAATACATCATTTTTGGTCTTGCAGCGATCTACAGTAATTTCAAAGGCGCAAAACCGTACCGTTTCATAGTCGAAACAAATTCGACACACCACACTTTGTTGTTGAGCATTTGTCGAACGAACACTTCTTTTCGAGCACATTTTTGCGAAATTTCAACGAGTAGAAATGACGGGGGATTTGGGAGGCCAGGATTTTTTATACGTGGGGGATTTGAAGGGTCACGTGGAAATTTTTTTGAAAAAAAAAAAATTTTTGCAGGTAATGTACGTTCGTCTGGCAAAAGGTTCTGAAGGTCTACCATGTGCCTACGCATACATCGAATTTTCGCAACAAACCTCAATCCCGATTGCCCTGCAAAATAATGGAATCGATTTTCACGGCCGACAATTGCGAATTCAACATTCGCGCGTCGCAATTCTCAAACCGCAACAAAAAACCGATAGTCAAGCGCTGGAGGAGGTCGAAGAGGCGATTCGTCTCGGCCGAACTGGCGGCGATGATTCGTCGTCGCGCGACAGGCGACGTTCTCGTTCGCCACCGCGTCGCACTAGTCGCCGCTCGCCTTCGCCAGTGCGACGACGTCGATCACCGTCGCCGCCGCGACGAAAGAGAAGTCGGAGTCGCGATCGCGACAGGAAGCGAAGCAGAGATCGAGGAGATCGTAGAAGAAGTCGTAGTCGTGATCGAGACACGAAGAAGAGATCGAGAAGTCGTGAGAGACGCAGGGAGAGAGAGCGAGATTCGAAGAGGAGAAGTAGATCACGCGAAAATCGCAAGCGAGATTCGTCGCGTGAACGAGATAGTCGCAGAAAGAAGGAGAAAAGTGATGATGAGCAATTGTTGAGAGAGAAATTGTTGGAAAAACAGACGAGTCGAAATAAGGTGAGAGGATTTTTGAGCTGAAAATCTGGAATATGAGCAATGCTTCGAATTTTGAGCCAAAAATCGAGAAATTCTGACAATTTTGAGTTAACATGAGCAATCCTATGAGTTTCGCTCAAAATTCTTCAAATTTTTTCTCAAAAAATTTGTATCATTGCTTATGTTAGCCAAAAAATAAATGACAAAACACAAAATGTCAAAATTTCAGAATTTGCACTCAAAAAATCCAAAAATTAAACTTTCGATGAAAAATGCAACAATTTCCAGAAAGTATTGAACTTTGGCTCAAAAATATCCTAAAATTAATTTTTCGATGAAAAATTCAACAATTTCTGAAAATCTCGAATTTTAGCACAAAAAATTCAAAATTTTCTGAATTTTTGCTCAAAAAAATCCTAAAATTTAATTTTTCGGTGAAACATTCAAAAATTTCCAGAAAGTCTTGAATTTTGGCTCAAAAATATCCTAAAATTAATTTTTCGATGAAAAATTCAACAATTTCTGAAAATCTCGAATTTTAGCACAAAAAATTCAAAATTTTCTGAATTTTTGCTCAAAAAAATCCTAAAATTTAATTTTTCGGTGAAACATTCAAAAATTTCCAGAAAGTCTTGAATCTAGCCCAAAAAATTCGAATTTAATTTTTTTTTTTGCAGGATTCATCGGATAGCGAATGGGAAGAAGCAAAACCCTCAAATGGCGATGGTCGAAAACGAAAAATTTCAGAATCAGCATAGAAATCTCTACTGAAACTACAAAATTGTGACAAAAATCATGAAAACCGGTCTCAAAATTATTTCTTAAAATTTTAATTCTTGAATTGAATTACAAAAAAGTCTCCATTTTCCCTCAAAATTCTCTCTGTAAAAAATTTAAAAATCAATTTTATTTTCATCTATTTTAAATCGAAATTCCATAAATAATAAGTTATGAGATCTTTTTTTTTTGAAAATTTGAATTTTTCCGGAAAAATTCAGAAGCCCTTTAGTTTTTCGTCAAATTCTTGACGAATTTTGGCTGGCAAACTTGAGTAGATTTTTTCGAGCTTTTGAATTTTTGCCGACTCCGTCAATGACACGTCACGCATTATTTCGACAACCTGAAATTTATTTCTGGGTTACTGTTGGTTTTGGCATGAAAATTTTGAATTTTTCATGTTTTTTGCATCATTTTGACACCAAGCATGGCTATTTTTTTTAATATTTGCAGATTTTTGGCGATCTACAGTAACCCATGTGGCAAACCTACAGTACCTTCTGAAATTCTCCAAACGCTTCTGGTGACATTGCTTCGACGGCTGAGGCCACAGATTTTTGACGCCGTGCCAAATCCACGTGGATTGTATTACGGTACTCACTATACTCTTCCTACAAAAATACCAGATTACAGAATTCCAGATTTTTTGGGTTACTGTAGGTCTACTGTACCTGTCGATCTTCTGACATGGATTTCATCAATTCTTCTATTTTTTGATTTTTTTCAGCTCCAGACCAAGTTGGATGTTGAACTATTGCGTAGAACTGCAAGAATACTGTAGGTGTACTGTAGGTCAGAACTACTGTATTTAGGATTACTGTAGCTCATTTTGGAGCCAAAAATGTGACCTACCTTATCCTGCTCCACAATATCGGCTCCCTTCAAAAATGGTGGAATAATCCTTGTGGGACCTTCTGGGGTCATTTTTGGCGGCAAAATCTCGGGTTTCCTTTGATCTACTTGAAATTCGCCGGAATTGGCGCCAAAATTCGAATTTGGCGCGAAAATTGGAGGCTGAACTTGGATTCGTGCCATCGGATTAAAGGTGTACGTGGATTTTGGTGGTGCAGAATTTGGTGCGAAAAAATTCTGAGGCGGATTGTTATTGTAGGCGAAACGATCCGCGTTTTGGACTTCTGCAAGAAAATCGGATTTTCTAGGGTACTGTAGATTTAAAAAAAAAACTCACGTGGAAATCCATAGCTCATCGGAAAAGTGTACTGTTGCGCTAAAATTGCTGGCACCACAAAAAATACAAAAATTTTGAACAACATTTTTTTTTGATCTACCAAAAACAGGAGTACTGTACTCTTTTATATATCCCGGAAAAACAAACAAAAAACTTTTGATTTCGAAAAAATTGTGTGAAAAAGTTTTTTTGGGGAGGAAAAACTTTCTAAGGAAACACTCATTTTTTTCTATGTTTGTTATCTTTGGCAAATCTGGATTTTTGTTATTATTACATAATTTTTTCGCGCGCGAAAAAGACTGGTTTTGGGCTCCGCCCCCTTTTTTGGCGGCAAAATTAAAAGTTCGCGTGGAAAAGCGAGCTTTTCTATGCAAATTGCGCTGATTCAAAAATGCTCCCATAGCTCAGCTGGTTAGGCGCGCGCTTTTTGTTGGTGAGGTCGATGGTTCAAGTCGCGCCGCCCGTGAACTTCTTTTTAAAAATTATCTTTCTAATTAATTTTTTTTGCAATCTCCAGATGGCTCAAACCGAGCTCAATGCCACCTGCCCGCTTTTCATTTATTTTAGCATTTTTCTGGTTGCTATGGTGATTTGCTCGGATATTTTCTCAATTTCCCCTATAGTTTAGCGTAGAGATGAGTGTGTTCGGGAATATTATGAGTCTTCAAGATGTCCTGAATCGTCTACCTCAATTTGAACATCAGGTAACTCGAATTTATTTTGGGTGAAAAATTTGGATTTTTCTGTGAAAAATGGTCAAAAATCACGGTTTTTGGGTCAAAAATCATCAAAATTCTCCAAATTTTTTGCAGATCAATCAATTGAATCGAAACCCGCGAGATTCTCAAAGTAGTCAAGCGAATTTCGTGCGGCAAGCTCGTGATCTACACAAACAACTCGACGAGCACCGGAAACGCGCGGAAAACGTGAAAACCGAGGATAGTTTCAAGAAACGACAAGTTTTGGATCAATGCGAGGCGTTGAAGATGCGTTTGTTGCGGATTTGTCCGGAAGTTGAGCGAAATTCATCGATTTTGTCGTCGGCACCAACTTCACGGCATTCTATTGAAGAGTGGGTTGAATTTCGTGAAATTTGGAGTTTTTTGAGTACAAACATGATGAAAATCCGATTATTTTGAAGTTTTCAAGAGTTCAACATATTTTCATCGTATTCTCCAAGCTCAGGGCTCTTTTTAGACACCCAATTTCATATAGTAATCTCAAAATTTGAAAAAAACAGATTTAAGCCACGCCCACTTTTCTGTACCGCAAGAACAGGGAGTTTTCAAGGGTCCAGAATATTTTTACCGTATTCTCCAGGCTCAGGGCTCTTTTTAGACACCCATTTTCATATAGTTATCTAAAAATTTGAAAAAAAACAGATTTAGGCCACGCCCACTTTTCTGTGCCGCAGTTAAAAAATCGAGATTTTTCAGAGAAGAACCTGCAAAAGCACCCAAAAAATCCACAATGTACGCGGATTCGGATTCTTTGGACGCGGATGCGGAAGACGAAAAACAAGCCACGCCCCCTCCGGAGCCCAAAAAACGGACGCAAATTGCGATAACTAAAAATGAGCCGGAAATTTGGGAAAAACCTGAAAATCAGCCAAAACAAAAAGAAGAAGAAGAAGTGGAAGTTGCTGGAAATACGTTTCAAGTGCTGAAAAACTTGGAGCCCGCCAAATTTGGTGATTTGAAAATTTACGAAGGTGATATTTTGGAGATTCTCGAGACCAGAAATGATGGTTGGTGGATGGCGAAAAATGGAAAAGATGAGCAAGGTTGGGTGCCTAAAACATACCTTAAGCATTTCCCTAAGCCTAAGGAACGCTCTAAGCTTTCAAAGAGGCTTGGAGTTAGGGATAGTGTTATTGCGACAACACAATTTTTGCGAAGGAATACTAAACCATCTGTGCAACCTATTACTACTATTGATGTTTCGACTTTGCTTCCAAACGCTGTGGTAGGTCAAATTTCGAATTCTTCTTGATTTTCTGAAAATTTTGACACCCATATTGCCTAGGTTTCTTGCAATTTTCTTAAAGGCACATGGAATTCACTATAGCTGGGATAATTTGGGTCCCGCCACGATGCACTTTTAAATCCAAAATTTCGTGGTGAAAAATATAGCAAAATGTAGGGAATTCTGAGCTCTACAAGATGCATTGGGTCTCAAAGCGAAATGTGAACATTTTTTTAAAGTTCAAAATTTCCCCTCGAGATTTAGCTCATCGTGTAGAGCTCGAAATTCTGCACATTTTGCTATATTTTTCGCCCCGAGATCTCTACTTTGAAGGGAGATCGTGGCGAGACCCAAATTATGCGAGCTGGAGTGAATTCTATGCGCCTTTAAGAAAATTTCACGAAACCTAGGCAATATGGGTATCAAAATTCTCAGAAAAGCGAGGGATTTACGAATTTTTAGGTCCCTGGTGTCAAAAATGACCAAATTTTTTGCAGACAACCTGGACCGGAAAGCAAATCACATGTCTAGGCGATGCCTATCGCTGTGACCATCATCTAACCTACGCCTGCCATCTAACTCCTCGTCTCTCTCATACAAATCTAGGCTTTCACGATCTTTTCTGGGTCCAGGATTTGGACCAGGTCCGAAAGAGGAATATCCGGATTTCCAGGCTTCTAAGGATTGTCAGGCTTGAGGGAATGCCTCTGACGTCATCAAAAGCTATTGTGAGACTAGCGCTGTTGGACGAGTCACGAAAACGTGGCAAACAAATTGTGTCGAACGTCGTCACGCAAATGCCACGCGTCAAAGGTGCCACGTGGCATCTGACGCGCGCGGAAAGCCGCGCGGAAGATCAGCGGAGCCTGGAGAATTCGGATATTTTCTTGCGGTCGAATTATTCGCTGGCCAGTGTGGTTTTGGTGATTGAGGCGTCGCTGATTGTTGCGACTGGAGAATCGGGATTCGAGGAGCGAAGTCTGGGAAACATCAAGATCGGATTGTTGAACGATGAAGGACAGCCCAAGGTAGTTAGCCGAACTTATGTGGAAGTGTTGAAGCGCGAGAATTTGTTTGGTATTAGCGAGGGTTTTGGCGGGGATTTGGAGCAAAATGTGGAACGACGTGTGTTTTTCAAAGTTATGGATGTGCCGAAGGATAAAGTGCATTTTATGGAGTAAGTTTTGGCCGGGGGATTGTGTAGTTCTCTCGGACTCTGAAATTCGTAATCTCCATGGTTTTCCAAGAATTTTGATACCCATATTGCCTAGGTTTCGGGGAATTTTCTTAAAGGCGCATAGAATTCACTACAGCTTGGATAATTCGGGTCTCGCCACGATGAACCTTTAAATCCAGAATTTCAGAGTGAAAAATATACCGAAATGTTCAGAATGTTGAGCTCTACAAAATGGTCTGGGTCTCTATGGGAGATTTTTGAATTTACATTTTTATGTGACCCCTTTCCTTTAAAAAATTAAAAACATTTGGGTCTTTTTTTTGCCACGTGGCATCTCGAAATTCGTAATCCCCTCGATTTCCCGAGAATTTTGATACCCATATTGCCTAGGTTTCCTGGAATTTTCTTAAAGGCGCATAGAATTCACTACAGCTTGGATAATTTGGGTCTCGCCACGATGCACCTTTAAATCCAGAATTTCTGGGTGAAAAATGTACCAAAATGTTCAGAATTTTGAGCTCTACAAGATGCGATTGGTCTCGAATTGAAATGTAAAATTTTTCTTAAATTTTTATTTTCGCTTCGAGACCCACTACATCTTGTAGAGCTCAAAATTCTGCACATTTTCGTATATTTTTCACCTGGAAATTATGGGTTTAAAGGGACATCGTGGTGAGACCCAAATTCTGCAAGCTGTAGTGAATTCTATGCGCCTTTAAGAAATTTGCAGGAAACCTAGGCAATATGGGTATCAAAATTCTTGGGAAAAGCTGTGGGTTTCGAATTTCCACGTGGCACAGCGCTATGGGACCTCATTTTTCTCCGAATTTCCAGCTCAATGCCCGATGTGCTTCTTCTGAACTCTCTATACCTTCCATTTTTCTACTACTACCGCCGGCGAGCCGGAACCCTTCTGATTCGCGACAATCCAAATCCCCTGAGCTCCGAAATGCACTCCGATCCACTTTTATCGATTTTTCCCGAAATTTCCGATCAACACGACATCATGGACGCGATGCTCCAACTTTGGCGTGCAAAATCAAAAATCACCGCGAAAAAATCGGAGGTCGATCAAACCATCGAATTTTTTCAAACATTTTTGCACACCGCCTACTTCATGTTTGCCACACAAATCATGCCGAATTATGAGATTGGTGATGACGTGGCGTTGGCCGGACGACAGAAAGTTATTCGAACTTTTTTGGAGGCTTTGAAGGTTGGCAAATTGAAGGAGTTGTTGGCGATACAAAAGTGTAGACCGTGTAATATTTATGACTATAGTTTGGATTTGATGGGAGCCCACAGTATTGATTGATTTTTTTTTTGAAATAAATTATTGATTTTTGAGCTTTTTCGTGTGAAAATTTGCAAAAAGCAAAAAAACTTTTTGCCGGCGCCGGGACTCGAACCCTTGACCTCGCCGACAAAAAGCGCTCGCCTAACCGTCTGAGCTATGATCGCGTTTTCGGAATCGAGGCAATTTGCATAGAAAAGCTCGGTGTTCCCCGTAAACTTTAAATTTTCGCGCGAAAAAAATGGGGCGGTGCCATTTTTCTGACGCGTAGGCCTAATTTAATATGCATAACACCTGTCGCAAATCACTTTTTTCCCTCTATTTTCGGCTTTCTCGGAAAAAAGTGCATTTACATTTTTATTGAAGAAATTTCCATATTTTCCCATTGTTTTTTAAAGCCACGCCCACAAAACCGCGCCGCACTTTTCTACTTTTTGCTTGAAAAAACGAGATTTTCCTTGGGGTTTTTTTGGCCAGATTCAATCATCCGAACAAATTTCAATTTCCCTGGTTGTTTTGGAGTGAAAACAAAGTTTTTTTGTTTTTTCTCACAACCAGGGCACAGAAAAATGGGCGTGGCTTAGTTGAAAAAAAAAACAATTTTTGTATTTTTACGACTATTTTTGTATCTGTTTTCCATGGAAACGTAGCTATCTGTAAAAAAATCTCGTGATTTTTTTGTCGAAAAAAATCCGAAAATTTTTTTTGTGTTTCTCAAAAATACCCTGGGGATTGATTTTTTGTTTGCGGTCCCAAAAAATCCAGGAAATTTTTTTCGACACAATTTTCTTGGCGTCTGCTTGGCGCCATAAAATTGTGCCATAAAAATTCATATTTATTCATTTCCTACACATTTTCTTCTGTTTTCAATGTGCAAAAAAATACATTGGATTTGTTCTCGAGAACTACACACACATAATTTTTTTTGGAAAAATTTCACCACAGCTTGTAGAGCTCAAAATTCTACACATTTTGCTATATTTTTCACCGCGAAATTTAGGATTTAAAGGTGCATCGTGGCGAGACCCAAATTCTGCAAGCTGTAGTGAATTCCATGCGCCTTTAAGAAAATTCCTAGAAACCTGGGCAATATGGGTATCAAAATTCTTAGAAAACACTGGAGAACTCGAATTTCCACGTGGCGAATCGAATTTCTTCACCTGAAATCCTCAAATTTCCCGTGCAAATTATGTTTTTCTGAAATATTTTCCCCCTCACAACAAAAAAAGAAGATGTACAATAATGGAATTATATAATCTTCCCTCCTCCTTCTTCTTTTTCGGCTATAAAAAAATTCCATTTTTTTCTATTTATTTTTCTCCCTATTTATTTTTTTTTCATTCGAGCACTCAGAAAAACAAGCCCGGATTTAGTAGTTTTCGGGAAAAACAGATCCTGAATTTTGAAAGTTTGGGTCTCGCTACGCTTTTTTGCCACCTGGCATCTAGATTTTCGAAATCTCCTCGATTTTCTGAGCATTTTGATACCCATATTGCCTAGGTTTCTTAAAATTTTCTTAAAGGCGCATGGGATTCACTATATCTTGCACAGTTTGGGTCTCACCACGATGCACCTTCAAACTCAAGATTCCTGGGAGAAAAGTATAGCAAAACGTGTAGAATTTAGAGCTCTACAAGATGTGCTAAGTCTCGAGGGGAAATTGTGAATTTTTGAAAAATTAGATGTGTAGTTCTCGAGGACAAGATGTTTTTACATGCGTTGTAACGTGGAAATTTGAAATCCCCGTGATTTTTTGAGAATTTTGATACCCGTATTGCCTAGGTTTCTTGAAACTTTCTTAAAGGCGCATAGATTTCACTACAGCTTGCAGAATTTGGGTCTCGCCACGATGCATCTTTAAGTTCAAAATTCCTACGAGAAAAGTATACCAAACTGCTCAGAATTTCGCGCTGAACACTATGCTTCAGGTCCTGAAGCGAAATTCTCAACTTTTCCAGAGAAAGCCCCCCCCCCTTTAAAGGGGGTGTATATTTTTGCAATATAATATATCTTTCGGAGGGCAAAAAAAAATATTAAATGAGTAGAGTAGAGTAGAGTAGCAAAAATTTGAGAGCGCCCAATTATTTTCTCCCTTTCTCCATTTTTTTTTTCATTCCGTTTTTTTGTGCTTCTGGAAGAGCCGCCGCGCAGCTCAGTAATGAGAAAGAGAAAATTGCACCACAGAAATTTATTTGCGCGCGCCGCCGCCGCCAATTTATTCCCTTTGTTCCACACAATTTTATTTATGCGTTATTGTCCTGTTATTGACATTTTTTGTGCCTGGAAAAATTTATTCGTCTCTTGTCTTTCAGCTCATCTTGTAGAGCTCGAAATTCTCTACATTTTCGTATATTTTTCTCCCAGAAATCTTGAATTTAAAGGGACATCGTGACGAGACCCAAATTATCCAAGCTGGAGTGAATTCCATGCGCCTTTAAGAAAATTTCACGAAACCTAGACAATATGGGTATCAAAATTCTCGGAAAACCCTGGAGATTTCGAATTTCCACGTGGCATCGCATTTAAAATCACCTAGTCCTCTTCCGAGAATTTATGAGCATTTAAAATCACCTTGTCCCAACTACACATTTAATTTTTCAAAAATTCACAACTTCCCCTTGACACGTAGCTTATCTTGTAGAGCTCAAAATTCTACACATTTTGCTATATTTTTACCACAAAATCTCTAGTTTAAAAGGGACATCGTGGCGAGACCCAAATTATTCAAGCTGTAGTGAATTCTATGCGCCTTTAAGAAAATTCCAGGAAACCTTGGCAATATGGGTATCAAAATTCTCGGAAAATCAAGGGGATTTCGAATTTCCAGGTTTCAGAGCCCGAAACATGATCCAAACTTGTCCCCGAGAACTACACAAATCAACTTTTTCTAAAATCCTCCTAATATGTATATATCATTTGTCGGGCTTGCGGAACACATTCACATTCACATAAACAAAAACAAACACACAAGCGCACAAAAATGAGCACATGAAATATTTAAAAGGCTTTATTTTTTCTCCTTCTCCTCCTCCTCTTCTTTTTTCGTCTGTTTTCAGCCACCAAACTCGGCAAAAATATTCGTTTATTTTTCGCAAATTTTACCAGTTTTCCAGTGTTTTTTTTGTTGGTGAATGAAATTCGATATTTTTGTGGGAAAATTGACGACATTTGTCTAATTGTTGACTGGAAAATGTGGTTTCGTGTTTTGGATCATTTTTGTAGTTCTCGAGGTCAAAATCATTTCATATGCGATTCCACGTGGAAATTTGAAATCTCCAGGGTTTTCCGAGAATTTTGATACCCATATTGACTAGGTTTCCTGCTATTTTCTTAAAGGCGCATGGAACTCACTAAACCTTAGATAATTTGGGTCTCGCCACGATGTACCTTTAAATCTAAAATTTCGCGGAGGGAAATATAGCAAAATGCTCAGAATTTCGAGCTTTACAAGATGCTCAAGAGGAAATTCAAGAAAAAAAATAATTTTTGATATGACCCCCCCCCCTCCTTTAAGAAATTTTTTTTTTTTGAGAAAAAAAATTCAAGTTTTCTCGTGCTCTCAATAGGTCGATTTGATGAGATGAGAGGGGGGAAGAAATTCAAATTTCCTGTGCAAAAAAAGGGGAAAATTGGGGGCGGAGCCCCCTTATTTTCGCCATTTTTTATGTGTGCCGCCGCCTTTTTTTTGCTGTTGTCGTTCCACACAACTTTTTTCTGCCTTATTTTTTCTTTTTTTTCCTTACTAGAAAAAAGTCAGGTTTTTTTTCAGCTAAAAATTCACTTGGCAAGCTTCCAAGACCCAAAATGTAACCTTAAAGGAGTATATTTTTAGCTAATTTCGAAAAAAAAGTTTTTACGGGCCAAAAAAGATCAAATTTATTTCATTTCTCATCCAATTTTCGACCCTATTGTCTATTTTTTGGGGCAAATTTTCTGCTCCGGAAAAAATTCCCAAAAGAAAAGAAAAATTAGGGCACTTTGTGTGTGTTTTCTTTTATTTTCCGAGTCTTTTTCTATATTTTTGCCTTGTCTTGTGACTTTTTGAGCGCGAAAAATTGGAAAAATTCACTTTTAAAGGTGCATGTTGGGTCCTGACATGATCAAGGTGATTACTGTATGCACCTTTGAGCTTTAAGAAAAAAATTAAGAAAAATTTCATGCAAAAAATTGAAGGTGCATACAGTAGTTCTCTTAATTGTGTTAGGAACTAGCACATTTAAAGGAACATACCGTATCAATATCACAAAAAATCGATAATTTCGATATCATATGACGTAGAAATTTGAAAATTAACTTTTAGCGCAAGAAAAACAATGTGAACCTTTAAAGGAACATACCGTACATATCTTAAAGAATTTTTTTTTTCAAATTTTGTATATTTTTGCTTTCTCTGAACTTCCGAAAATTTAAAATTTAAGAAAAAAAAATGTTTTCAGAGATGTCTGACAGTCAAATAATCACTCTAAACGTGGGCGGCACCATATACAGTACCACGCGTCAAACGCTCCTCAAAGATCCCGCAACTCTGCTTGCGACAATCGCATCATCAAGTGACGTCACAAGCGCAACCGACGCAATCATCATACTCGCAGATGGCACAATTTTCATTGACCGCGATGGTGCGCTCTTTGCGCATGTGCTCAACTTCTTGCGCACCGATAAATTATCGCTTCCGGAAGATTTCCGCGACACTGCGCGGCTGCGCGATGAAGCCGAGTTCTATGGATTGGAGAAAATGGCGGGGGCTTTGGCTGGAGCTGCGATTTCTGTCAGCCGCCCGAGAACTGCGAATGGATATAATAATGGAACCGGAGCAGAAACTGGTGAGATTTGAGGGCTCTGAAGGGAAAATTTAAATTCCTTGTGAAATTCTGGACCTGGGGGAGGTTTTTTGGACAATTTTGGCAGAAAATTGGATTTTAGGTGACCCCCTCACATTCAATAAAGGGGGGGGGGTGCCTTTTTTGTTCACGGGTCATTTTTCACGCGGAATTCAATTTTCCCAGTTTCAAGACCGTGAAATTCAGATTTTTCGTGAAATTTTGATCCGGGAAAGTGGTCTAGAAGGTCGAGGAATCGATTCCTGGTGGGAACTAATTTTTTGTAGACTTAATTTTTTGGTTCAAAATTTCACGCTGAATTCAAATTTTCAGCTCTAAAGACTTAAAATCACGAGCTAAGCTCAGAAAACCATGCTAATTAAATTAATTCCGAGTAAAAACGTGCACTTTTGCAAAAACTATGTTATTTTTTGTGTCCCACTCGTTTCCTTCCTTTTGCTTGCTTCTTCCCGTTTATAATTAGAAGACTTGTCTTTTTTCGCTCATTTTCCTCTTCTTTTTTTGCTTGAATGACATCAACGGAAGGAAGTCGGAAGAAGCCGTGTAATTTCAAATTAAACACTACTCTAGCTGCTTTTTTTGACATGAGCAATAAGAAACATTTTTTGAAGGGCAATTTCTTTTGGTTCTCAAGTCTTCAAAACCAGAAAATTCGGGAAAAATTGTTTTAAAAAAATTTTCGAAAAAAAAAATTAGTTCCCACCAGGAATCGATCCCCCGACCTTCCAGACAACATTATCGGGGCAAAATTTCACTGGAATTCTGAATTTTCAGATCTTGAAACCAGAAAATCTGAGTTGAGCGTGAAAAATAACCCGGGAACAAAAAAGGTACCCCCCCCCCCTTACTAATTGTGAGGGGGGTCACCTAAAATCTAATTTTTCGCCAAAACGGTCCAAAAAACCTCCTCCAGCTCCTAAATTTCATGAAAAATCCAAATTTCCGCTCAAAAATCGATAATCTCTAATTTCCAGGCGGCTACATCACCCTAGGCTATCGTGGCACATTTGCATTCGGTCGAGACGGCCAAGCTGACGTGAAATTCCGAAAATTGCACCGTATTCTGGTGTGCGGTAGAGCGACTTTGTGTCGCGAAGTTTTTTCGGACACTTTGAATGAGAGTCGAGATCCGGGCGGTCCGGATGATATTGAGAGATATACTTCTAGATTGTATTTGAAACATCAGTGCTTGGAAAGGGTGGGTTTTGAATTTTTGAGCGAAAATTTCTAACTAATTTTCGACCGAAAAATCACAAAATTTGATGAATTTTAGGCTAAAAATCAAAAAATTTGGCCAAAAATGGGTACGGTATGCTCCTTTAAAGGAGCATGTCGGGTCCTGCAACGATTAAGTGAATAATTGTATGCGCCATCGAATTTTCAACAAAAATTTGAATAAACTCCACGTGGCGAAAATTTTGAAAATTCAAAAATTCATACAATTATTCCTCTAATCGTGTCAAGACCCCAAAATGCACCTTTAAAGGAACATACAGTACCTATTTTTGGCCGAAATTTTTGATTTTTAGCACAAAATGCTCCAAAATTTTCAAATCTAGGCTCAAAATGCTCCAAATTGTTTGCAGGCATGCGATTTGATGGCCGAAAAAGGCTTCAAACTGGTCGCCACGTGTTGTTCGGGTGCCAACGGTTTGTCGGCCACAAATCATCCGATTTTGGCCAGTAATATGGGCTCAATTTCACAATCTGTGAGTTTTTGAGAAGGTTTTTGCTCAAAAAACTTGAAAAAATTGACTTTCAAGTGGTTTTTGCGGGGGAAAATTGGATTTTTCGCAATTTTTTTTTTATAGAAAATTGGGATTTTAGGCCTCCTAGGCTCATTTCAGGCCGTTCTCCACGTGTTCAAAGGCGCATACCGTACTCTTTTTTGCAGGATCTGATGAATCAACGAAACTGCGGTGATTACGAAGAGCAAAGATGGGCTCACTACACGGAATATGTGTTTTTCCGCGAACCGCAAAGCGGATACATCACTCCGTCGCCTCGAGACCTTTAATTATCCAATTTTTGATCACGTTCCTTTAAATTACTGTAGTTTATTATTGATTTTTACTGTGGAAAATGTAAAATTTCGGCTTTTGATGAATTTTATGCGATTTTTGTATGAACATTATGATGAAAGGCAAGATTTTGATATTTAAAGCGAAAAAATTTGGAAAATCTGAAAATTTCAGACAAAATTCGTTGTTGTTGTTGTAGTTGTGGTTGTTGTTGTGGTGGAGGTGGCGGCGGTGAATCTGAGACAATTTTCTGACTCAAAATTCAAGATTTTCGTGATATTTTGGGCCTAGGCCCGTTTTCAGGCCAGTTTAGACTCAAATTTCCTGAAAATGCGAGATTTTCGGGTTATTTTGAGCCTAGGCCTGTTTTCAGGCTCAAATTCCTTAAAAATTCGATATTTTCGGGATATTTTGAGTCTGGGACCCTTTTCAGGGCATTCTAGGCTCAAATTCTCTGACAATTCGAGATTTTTGGGTTATTTTGGGCCTAGGCCCGTTTTCAGGCCAGTTTAGGCTCAAACTTCCTAAAAATTCTAGATTTTCGGGATATTTTGAGCCTAGGCTCTTTTTCAGACCAATTTAGGCTCAAATTTTCTGAAAATTCGATATTTTGAACTTAAAGGCCCCTTTTCAGGCTTTTAAGGCCAATTTAGGCTCAAATTTCCTGAAAATTCGAGATTTTCGGATTAATTTCAGTCTAGGCCCGTTTTCAGACAAATTTAGGCTCAAATTCCCTTAAAATTCGAGATTTTCAGCTTGTTTTGAGCCCAGGCCCGTTTTCAGGCTTCCCAGGCTCAAAATGCTCCAAATTCGGCCCCCAAAAAAGCCTCACTTTGCAGTTCTTTCTCCTTCGATCACAACTTGCGTCAATTGTCGGATTTGTCCGTTCGGCGCCGCGCGGAACAATAAAATCAATAATTTTCCGCATACAAATGCCAATAATAGGATAAAGATCTGAAAAATTCATGAATTTTGAGATAAAATTCATTGGTACTGTATGTTCCTTTAAAAGCATGTTGAGTCCTGCCACGACCTTTAAAGGAACATACCGTACTTATATATTTCTGGTGATTTTTTCAGGGTTTTCGGCTCAAAATTGAGTATTTTTCACAATTTTTAGCTCAAAATTAGCAAAATTCAAAATCTCACCAAGAAAAATGCGTAAGATACGATAAGTCGAGTGCTGAAACGCAGTGAATCGATAAAATTGATGGTTAGAATCAGTGAGGAAATGCAGGCGGCGACGAATGAGATTACGGTGGTGATGAAGACCAAAAACGTGGCGGGAATCATGGCTGGATGGCCGAAAATTGAGATTATCTAGAAAAATCGAGATTTTTTGAGTCAAATTTTGCCTCAAACCTTTCTATGATAACCAAAAACATGAATCACATTATTCACCAAACTAGACACCAAAATAAATGGCAAAAATGTGATCACAAATCCGGTTCCTTCGTATTTGAACGCAGTGCAATAGTAGGTGATAATTCCAGCCAAAGAGAGAAGCTGAAAATCGAATTTCAACTAAATTTTGATGAAAATCACCTACCGTCTGACTGGCCATCAATACACCAAACGGCCATTTTTTCAAAAATCCAAAATCCGCCGATTCCGACATGATTTCGCCTGCAAAATGATACAAAATAATATAAACAAAGTTTATTACTGGGGAATATAAACAATTGGTTTTTTCTCGCGGAAAAATCGATAATTCAGAAGTATTTAGTTTCTCGTCGTTTTCTTTTTGAAAAAATTGCTGAAAAGCCGAAATTTTCAGCATTACAACAGCGAACAAAAAAACTAATTAAAATTGGCGTGGCCGAACAAACGCGGCCTAGAGAACCAAACAAGTTGTGTACTTCTCCCGGACAACATTTCATTTTTTTTTTTGCGAAAATCGCGCTCCTCCTAATTTCCCAAATTTCCAGGCAAAATGGAGGTTGTTCAAAAGCGCGTGGCAATGCTGACAAACTGCGAAGTGTTGGAATTCCTGAAATCGCAGAAAAAAGACGAAAAATCTTCGGAAAAGCTGAAAATGTTGAACACGGTGGTTCGGGAGACGCGGAAATATTTGCACGCATCGCCGGCCGCCACGCAAAATTCGGATATGATTGAACAACTTTTGCCGAAGCTTAAACCATAAAATGCGGTGAAATATGGAACCAAAAACAAGCGTCTCGCACTTTGAAAACCGCTCACAACAATATGGATATCGATCAGGTTGGTATTTTTCTTGCGATATTATAGATAAACTGGAGGTAAATATAATTTTTCTAGGTACATGATTTGATGGAAGATATTGCTGAACAACAAGAAGTTGCAAATGAAATCCAGTCAATACGGGCATCGATGAAGACGATTTGATGAGAGAATTGGAAGAATTGGAGCAAGAAGAACTCGATAAACAACTTCTTGATGCAAATCCTGCTCCAGTATCTCTTCCTGATGCTCCACGTGTTGCACTTCCATCTGTTCCATCTCGCCAAGCCAAAGTCGCTGCAACTGCTGACAAAGATTTAGAAGACCTTGAAAGTTGGGCCAATGCTCAAGAAAACGTGTTCAAATATGTGAGTATCGAACTTCTATCATTCATATTTATTAGTCATCAAAAAAAATTATTAAAGAGTAGTGAAAATCTTGGTCTGAGCAACATGTGTAATTTTGCAATTATTTTTGTGCCCAAAAATTTGGCACAAAATAGCATTTCTCAAATTGCGATTCAAACAGAAATACACCAGAAAATTGATAAAACTGAATAAATTAACACTCAAATGTCCGACCAAAAATTCGAAAACTTCGGGAGTTTTCTGAAAAAAAAGATCATGTGCCATGACAGGGTTCTGCCACCAAAAACTCACATTGTCGCCATATCGAAAACCAATTTTAGCCAATGTATAAAAACTCATAATTATTGATAAAATCAGCGAGTTCATGATCAAATTTTTCGAATTTTTTTCACGGTAAAATTTTCTATATACCAAAAAATTCAAAAACAGGCCAAAAAATGGGGAATTCGGTAGGATTACTACATTTACACGTAAAATTAGCTTTCGATAAAAAGTTGGAATAACACATTTGTCATCAAAATAATACATGTCAGAAATGAAATAAATTGTGCAATTTTTCGAAAATGTTCTCATTGATAGAATACTTAATTGGATTAGCCAAATTAACACAAATATTTTGATTAATTCATAATTAAAATTGAATTTTAATTGCCACGTGGAAAAAACTCCATAAAATACAATCAAATATCGATTATCTACATTGATCCACAAAAACCATTCAAAGATATCAAAGATCTTCTCGATTTTTATTCCAAAAACACTGGAATCAATAAAGGGGTCCGAAATAATCGTTTTCAAAATAGATTCAATAATTTGCAGAATGTTCTTCGATCATATGGAATGGCTGTTATTCGTCAACCACTTTATCTAATGTCTGAACTTTGTGAATACGGTGCACTTCGTGAATATCTTCGAGAAAATTCGAAAACAACAACTGACGCAGAAAGAGTTGAATTTTGTCTCGGATCAGCAAAAGGTGTCGAATATTTGCATTCTCAAAGATTGATTCATCGCGATCTGGCAATCAGAAATGTTCTACTCACCGAAGAAAAGATTCCAAAAATTTCGGATTTTGGTTTGGCAAAAGTGACAGATCGATATGAAATGAAAGAACAATGCAAAACACCAGTTCGTTATCTTGCTCCAGAAACACTTGAGAATTATATCTTCACACCGAAATCCGATGTTTTCTCATTTGGTATGGTTATTTGGGAGATTTATGAAAATGGACAACAACCGCATGATGGAAAAAATGCACAAACAATTCGAGATTTGACAAAAAAACAACAATTTTTGAAATTGAATGAGAAAGCGCCAAATGAATTGCGAAAACTTGTCAGTGATAAAATATTTGTGCCAGATCCGGAGAATCGATGCAATATGAGTACTGTAGTTCAGACAATTGAAAATCTGGTCAAATAGTGGAAATAAAGTGATTTCTGAAAATATGAACTTGTTGAATTTTATTTATTTTGGAAACCAGGATGATCGAGTCCCGGAGTCAGAATTTCGGTATTCCAATTCAGAATTAAAAATTTAGTTTGCAATTTTCACGAAACGACGAGCCGAGGTGTTAAATTGTTCGTAAACAAATATCTGAATTCTGAAATTCTGAAAATCAAATCTAAAACTCATGTTTCCTCTTCCTTCATTCATTTTTTTCATTCAAAACCATTTCCATCAAGTTTTGTTGATTTGTTTTTTTTGCAACCACAATCTTCACTTTCTTCTCGTGTTCTTCATCTTCATCAGGAAATGAAAAAAGAGTTTACTTGACAAGAATGTGTTGTGGGGAGAAAAAAAATAAATAAAATGCATAATATATACAATTTTTGAATGCAATAAAAAAAACGATACAATGGAAAAAGAAAAAAAAAATATTGAATGAAATGCATAAGTGTTGAATTGTTTAATTTCAATTCGAAAGTCTTGTGATTGTTGCAGGTGAACATTTGAAAGCCAATGATATTTGTTGACAAACATTCATCTTGTTTCTGGGGAAATCTATCTTCAACATTCTGGAAAATTTGCATAAAAATAAATTAGTTTCGAAACAAAACACGTGTCCTAAGGAAGTCTCAGGAATGAAACAATTTCAAAAAACTTACTCTCGGAGAGCAACTCGAGCAGCTTCTGGCAAACTTTTTCTGCCTTCGGTTTCATATCCGTTGTGAATAATTTCATCAAGTTGACTTATAGTTCGAAAGACCATTTCCTTTTGCTCTATTTGGCATTTATCCACAATCTCCAAACACTTTCTCAAATTTTCATTTCGAAGCGGAATCTGTAAGAAAAAAACACTGATATTGTAACCCTAAATGCTATTCTTACATGTGATAATCCGGACAAATTCGGACCTTGCAATCTTTCTCCAGCAACTTCGATCTGTTCAAGCTGAAAAATAAAAAATAATGTAAATAAAATTATATGCTAATTTACATTGCTCATCGAGTAATGTTATCAATCCGATTGACGCTTCAAATAAATCGATTGTATCTTGATTATCGGGAAATTCAATGTGGATATATTTGATTCCTTCCCTTGCATATTCTTGTTGAGCTTGCTTGAAAATTTGATGATTGTACTGTTGCTGAAGTTTTTCATTAGCAAAATTTATGCAAAACTGCTCGAATGAATTGACATCAAAAACTTCGAAGCCGTATATATCCAATATTCCAATCGTATTTTTCGTTGAAATTGATGTTATTTTCTTGTTGAGTGCTTCATTGATTTGCATGACCATGAAATTGAAATAATGATGGTAGACATGTTTTGCGAGAGCATCGCGTGATCGAATTGCTTCATCAATTGTCAAATATTTTGAGAATTCTTCACTTCCGACTTTAACCTTTTTCTGAGTTAAGCAACTTCGAAATTCATTTTCATCAACATTCCAATAAGAGCACAGTTTCTCGATTTGGGCAGACGAAGAGGGCTAAAAAGAAAATTTGATTATTATTTCGAAAAATAAGAACTCACCGATATTATAGAGAAACCATCTTTGAGATCAAAACATATGTTGCCGATTTGCAAAATACCAGCCAAAACTTTGCAATAATTTGTGATTTCTTTATCATCGCATACGAGCTTGCGAAGTGCAGTTACAAAACCATCAAATCCATTTATTTCATCAATTTCAGCACTCCGGCTTTCTCCGCCTTTCACAAGGTAGCAATAATCTTGATAATTTTCCAAATTCAATTCTTTAACCAAATCATGATTTTTTGAAGAACACATCTGGTAGAAGATGTTGAAACTTCTCTCTCCTGGACCTTGTATCACCAGCCGACTTTTCTCCAATAAATATGTTGTAATATTCATTCCTGACACAATTCTTCCATCATCACAGAATTTCCCTTGAATAAATTTCCCGAAGCGAGATGAATTTCGATTTTGAGTGGTTTGTGCATTACCAAGACTTTCGATTATCTCATTGAATGACGCAATTGATTCGATTCCAATATCATCTGTTGTATTTGAAGTCGAGTGCGCTAAATACTCCAAGATATGTGAAGTCGTTACTGTTTTGCCAGCTCCAGATTCTCCTAAGCAGACGATTGATTGAGATTCGGAAAAGGTTCTTAGATAATAAACAGCTCCTGCGATCAATTGATAAACATGCGGTGGAGATTTTTCGCTAACTTTCATCGCAGTATCTTGATACAATTTCATCACATTTATTCCATAAAGATCTTTACATTTTTCATATGGATTGACTGAAAGTAGGATTTTTCCGCAATAGGTATACACTTGTTTTTGGTCGATGAATCTTCTTTTCAATGAATTCAGAACACCAGCTTCGTGTAAATACAATAAATCACTTATATCATGTTTTCCAATGAATATTTCTGGGTTTCGCAGAAGGGGTAATTCGTCCACTGATGCAAAATGAATTTCCTCAATCTGTAAAAATAATTATTCAAAAAGTGTTTTGCTTTACAACGAATAAAACTTACCTTATCCCGGATTCTTACTCTCAAAACTCGCCGACACTCATCCAAATCATCCATCAGTTCACCTTCAACGAAAACCAATTTTTCGTCGCGAAACCGAACATTTGCTCCCTTCTAAAATTAAAACTTTGAATATAATACGATGAAAATTTTAGGTCAGCCCCAATTTTGGGAAAAAATAACTAAAAAGCTTACCCGATAATTGTCCAATATTGCTGAATTCATCTTCACACAATAAATTTGCGTAAATATAGCAACACACCGACCGAGAAACAACTAGAACTTGCGTAAATATAGCAAAACACCGACCGAGAAACAACTAGAAACACACCGACTGGCGAGACAACTGCAAAATTATCCATAGGGCGCCGTTTCATTTTCAATTTTTTTTTATTGATTTTTTTTCGAATTTTTTGAAAACAGCCTTTTTCGTTGTTTTTCCGAGTTTCTTGATAACGGTTTTGATATTTTCAATTGGTAACTTATGACCGGGGTTCGTGCAGCTCAGAGTTTTTGAATTTTCCTTCGGTTTTTTTACTAAAAACATTTGGTTTCATATTTAATGTTGAATTTTCAGATCGACGAGCCGAACGCCAGACAGATAGCAATATTTCCAAGAGAATTTCAGCATTTTTTCGACAATGTTGGATTGTTCAATTTGTCGATTTTCAATGGTGAGTTTGATATACATTTCGAAGGTTTTTCTGGAGTTGTTCGATTCCTGTGGTGTTTTGAGAACTTTATTCGCGCATATCCCATTTGAATTCAAATTTCAATGGGTTTTGAGGTGCAATTATTAAGCATTTGAGCATTTCCAGCAAAAATTCAACTCAAAATTCTCCAAATCTCCTCTTGAATCAGCTCGTGGATTGAAACTTGATGAACGAGTTGCCGCAATGATGATGCTCCGATTTTCGCCACTTGAGCAAATTCTATCGGATATCTATCCGAGATTATATCGATTGAATGATTTGGCGGTGAGTTTTTTTGAGGGTTTTGATGATATGCACAATTTTCAGCGCAAAATTTCAGTCAGGAGTATTTTTTCCAGTCTTTTTTGCAAACTTATCTGAAACTCTTCCATTTTTCAGCTACCAACATGTTGTGATGAATCGAGTTGGCCACGCCCACATTTTTGTAGCAAGTATTTGGTGGAAATTATCAAGAGATTCATGAGAATTCGTTGATTGAAAGAGACAATGATGTATCGAGACGAGTAGTTGCATTCTTCAAATATGTCTCACTTTTACGATTCTATCTTGGGCCCATTCTTATTATTAAGTACGTTTTTTCGGGCAAAAATCACGATTTTGAAAAATATCTGAGTTTGATTACTTCACAGGTCCGAAAACAGAAAATTTACTCATATTAAAATCGACTAAAAAAGAAATTTTGGGTTTTTCAAATTTTTCTTTTTGATATTTTTTGAAACGTATTTTTTTCGAGGTTTTGAAAGTTGGGAGAAAAAGAAAAATGAAGCTTCTATAGCAAAAAAATCAGCTCAAAATTTCACCCTAAAACCTTCCAAAAAAGCACGACCTCTAGATTTTCAAGGTCATTTTGTAGCTCTTGCAAAATGAGCCTGAACTTGAATTTTAGAAAAGTTTGATTTTGGCTCAAATCTGGATTTTTGATTAGAAAATGAGCTTCGAATCAAAATTGAGATGAAAATTTTCAATCTAGTAGAAATCGTCGGATTTTCAGAGAATAATTTTAGTATCCGAGTTTGATAATTCTCGAATTTTTAATTTCAGGTTATTTTTTGGCTCTTGAAATTATCTGCAAAATGAGTCTAAACTTGGTTTTTAGCTGAAATTCGTATTTTGAAAAAAAAAAAACTAGAAACTTTTTCAGAGAAAATGACGAGAAAATCCCAGAAACATCTTCAAAACTAAATAATCAGTTCAAAATTTTGAATTTCCCTCCCAAAACTTTCTATTTTTGCAGAGAACATGCTGCAAATCGTGAATTATTTGTTCGTCGACTTGTTGATGATCGAACCGAATCAACTCATTCTTATAACGAATTTTTGCTACATTTAAATTGAGAAATCAATAATTAGCCCCTTTTCCTCTAAAAATTAGTATTTATTTCATTTTTTCTGATGTATAATATAATTCTTAATTTTTTGTTAACAAATTCTTGAGCTCAAGAATTTTTTGTTAACAAAAAAAAACTAATTAAAATTGGCGTGGCCGAACAAACGCGGCCTAGAAAACCAAGCAACTTGTGTACTTCTCCCGGACAACATTTCATTTTTTTTCGCGCTCCTCCTAATTCCCAAATTTCCAGGTAAAATGGAGGTTGTTCAAAAGCGCGTGGCAATGCTGACAAACTGCGAAGTGTTGGAATTCCTGAAATCGCAGAAAAAAGACGAAAAATCTTCGGAAAAACTGAAAATGTTGAACACGGTGGTTTGGGAGACGCGCAAATATTTGCAAGCATCGCCGGCCGCCACGCAAAATTCGGATATGATTGAACAACTTTTGCCGAAGCTTAAACCGTTTAAGGTGATTTTTAGAGTGTGAAATTTGGTGAAATTGTAATTTTTGCAGCTAACAACTGCTGAAACACTGCAAATCATCAATTTGAGACCAAGTGCACCGGCAGATGTAAGTTTTTCGCAAAAAAATGAGTTGAAAATTGACCTAAAATCTATTTCAGATTCAATTATTAGTCGAAGAAACCGAGGAGCGATTTCCAGCTGAAGAAGAGCTTCAAAATTTGGTTGACGCCGTGACTTCCACTCTTCCACCACCACCACCAAAACGATGAAAGTTTTTTTTGAAATTTTGAATTTTGGTGCGAGAAAATTAGAGGTTTTTGATGAAAAATCCACTCATAAATCCCCCAATTTTCCAAACCAAAACTACAAATTTCGAAATTTTTCTGTAAAAATTTGTTGTTCTTTTTGTTGTTATCACCATAGTTACCCTTTTCCTCGTTTTTTATTTGGTTTTAATGAAATTCTCTGAATTTTCAGCTGTTTGCGTCAAAAAACCCAATTTCCTTCGCGAAATGTCAATTTTCGCCGAATTCTCCATCACAACATAACAAAAATGTCAATCAATTGTCATCTCTGCTTCTCTGTGTCTCTCCGTCATCCCGCACTCTCTCGCCGCCAACAATTTTCTCTCGTCGTCTCGCACTCTCCACTCTTTCCACACTCTCTCGCATCTCCTTCGTCTTTTTTGAATTCGCATCTGCCTATATGTCATTTACACAGAGACATTTTTTCAATTTGCTGATTTTTTTTGAAATTTAAGTTTTTCGCGCAAAAATGAGCGCTACGTGGAATTTTTGGCGCCAAAGTGACGTGGATTTGAAAAAATTCAAATTCAAAAGTTTCCCGCAATTTTTCTCTGTGCCGCTCAAAAATTCACGACCTCTATCAATTTTTTGACATTTTGACATTTGACACACAGATTTCCCCCTGACTTGAGCAAACAAATCACAAAAATCTGTCAATTTTTCCCTAGCGCCACAAAATATGATATTCAAATTTTATTTGATTGTTTCTCTCAAAAAATAATCGAATCATATGTTTTTGTATTCCTTATTGGTTTTCGTCACATTTTATGGGGCCCTTTTTCCCAGAAACAACAAAAAATCCAATAAAATTTTGATTTTTTGCGCAAAAAATCGCATATTCCTTTAAAGGTGCATGTTGGGTCCTGCCACGATTATTGTATGTGCCTTTAAAGGAACATACCCCGTACTTACTCAATTTCCCAAGCTCCGCCCATTTTTTGCAATTTCATCGCACAGTTTTTTTGATAGGTAATGGACGCCGACGCGTTTTTGTCGTTGGTCAAAACCGAGGTGAACGTGGAGGCCGCACAACATCAGAATTCCACAGAATCCACCAGCGACGACACAATCAATAGTATTGATTGGAATGAGACGTGAGTTGTTTTGCTGTGAAAATTGAGCTGAAATTCCGGATTTTTAGCTCATTTTCAGCCAAAATTTGAAAAAATCACGATTTTCGGAGCACAATGAGCCCAGAAATGATGAATTTTGCTTAAAAATCGGGGAAAAACACACGGCGGACTAGGTTTTTAGTTTGGTTTTCTAGTCCTCGCGTTTCTTCGGCCACCTTTTTCGAAAATTAATTTTCGAGTTTTTGCTCATTTTCAACTGAAAATCACTATTTTCGGAGCAAAATGAGCCGAGTTTTGCTCAAAAATCGGGGAAAAACAGCCGGAGGACTAGGTTTTTAGTTTGGTTTTCTAGTCCACGGCCACCCAAATGTTTTTTTTTTCGAAAATCCACGATTTTTGCAGAGAAAATGGCGAAAAAGTGGCGAAATATCGAATGTTTTTCGATACGCGCGAGAAAAAGCTGCAGGAGAAAATCGAGTTTGTCAAAATTGTCTATCGATTCAAAAATCAGCTTTTTGGCGATTGCGATGGTCATGAGGTGGGTTTTGGCGCGAAAATTTGAATTTTTGGCTCAAAATTCATCATTTTCAACATACAATTCAAATTTTCAGGTAACCCCGCGCTCAAAAGAAGACGCGTGGAAAAAAGTGGCGGCCGAAGTGGAACAATACGGCCTCGAAAGTTACAAAGGCAAACCGTGGGCTCGACTGCGCGATCACGATTGGCAATACGTTCGAAGACACGCCCTTTCAAGGCATGAAAATACGAATCGGCCGATGGGGAAGTTAGGGTAAGTTCGGGCTCAATTTTTGGAGCAAAATGAGCTAAAACAGGTCATTTTTCACCAAAAATCTCGTGCTTGAGCTCATTTTTCGTCAAATTCCATTAAAAACTCCAATTTTTGCAGTGAACTCGACCGAATTGTGCTCGAAATCATCTCGACAACCGCTCTGGCAAATGCGGTGAACCAAGCCAACAATTCGCAACTCTTCATCTCGCAAAACTCCCAACAAAATGTTTCTGTGGAGAGCAATAATAGTGTGGAGCAGTATTTGAAGACGTTTTTGGGAGCTGTAAATCAGGACAGTGCTGAAACACCGGTAATTTTTGCGATTTTCTGAAAATCCGCTGAAAATCATGAATTTTGAGCCAGAAATCATGAAATTTGGACAAAAATAGGTACGGTATGATCCTTTAAAGGTGCAAGTTGGGTCTTGGCACGATTAGGTGAATTATTGTATGCGCCTCTAAATTTTCTGCTAGAAAATTGGTTTTGCCACGTCATAGCTAATTTTTAGCGCCAAAAATCAGCTATGACGTGGCAATTTCAAAGGCGCATACAATTACTCACTTCTTTGTGTCAGAACCCAACTTGCACTTTTAAAGGAGCATACCGTACCTATTTTTGGCCAAATTTTTTGATTTTTAGCTCAAAATGCTCCAAATTTCTCAAATTTTTGCTTAAAATGCTCCAAATTTCCAGGAGCTCAACGCCAGTTTCGAGATCAAAGATCAAAATGTGGTGCAAGCGGAACCATCCTCAAATTTGCTAGTAGAAATGTTGCACAAAGTCGGCGTGCCGCAATGTCTCTCAGTCGACGCGGCGGCGAATTTCGCCGCCGCGCGGAAATCGCCTATTCCAAATTCCGCGTCAGCCGCATCCGGAGCAAAGCCGAAAATGACGTCACGCTCGCAAACAGCTCCCTCAGTTGTGCTCTTCAACACACCGCCGCCAATCAATAATTCACCACCTGGACCTTCGGCCTCTCAAGGGCCTCCGCCGCACAAAAAAGCCCGGATTTGGCCCGAAAAAGAGCTGGATTTCGAGCAAAAGCGGGAAATTTTGATTTTGAAGAAAATGGAGGTCGAAATTCGACACTTTGAATTGGAAAATGAGAAATTGGAGAGGTAAAAAATTATTTTTTAGGCCGTGGCCTAGAAATTCTTCGGCCACCATTCGTTTTCAAAATCATAATTGTTCTTTCAGAGAAATTCGAATTCTCGAGAGTCAAGAAAAACGTGCTGCAGAATTGCATCAAATCGAAATGCGCGCCGCCAAAGCAAAATTGCAACGAGGCTCCGCCATTGACGAGGGAAATTTGTGATTTTAGGGGTTGTTTTTTGTTGTCAAAATTTGTATTTTTTAGTCATTTTCGCCATTAGATCTCATCTTTTTTTTCTGACTACTGTGAACAACACTTTTTTGTGATAAAACGGGACACTTCTATTCTATTTAATGTATTTTTTCTTCACTGTATGAATAAATTTGTATAAATTATTGATTTTTGAAGTTTGATGCTCGAAATCTCTCCCTTATAAAAAACGAAATCAAATTTGGCGTCACATTAAATGTTTCTTTTCGTGCAAACACCGCTTCGTTTTTCGAAAAATCAACACGCGTTGCGAGACACGGGAGAAACATTGTGTGCGCCTTTGATGAGGGGTACGGTTTGTCAAAAAAGGAATATATTTTTTAAAAGCCACGTTTATTTTCTCTCCCTCATAAAAAACGAAATCACTGAAAATTTGGCGTCACATTAAATGTTTCTTTTCGTGCAAACACCGCTTCGTTTTTCGAAAAATCAACACGCGTTGCGAGACACGGGAGAAACATTGTGTGCGCCTTTGATGAGGGGTACGGTTTGTCAAAAAAACGAATATATTTTAACCCACGTTTATTTTTTCTGGAAAATTAATTACTTAAAAATATCGATTGGAATCGGCTTGTTCGTTCTCACACATTCTCGAACTTCTTGTGCATATTTTTTATAATCACTCATAAATTTATCAACTTTTTCACTTCTTTCCAATTTTCCTTCTTGAATGAAATATTCCAAAAGACAACAGTAGAAGAATGTAGTTTGAAGTGGTGATTCTAGTGCATCATGACGTACTTTCCGAATGTTTAGGAGCAAAATAAATGAAATTCCTTCTGAAAAATTGTTTTTATGTTAGTCAACACCCAATTTTTTCTCAAGTTTGCTAGTTAAAACTTCAACTTACCACCATAATAAACTTCATCCCAGGCCTCGATATCAAGTCGAAGAATAAAATAAATTGATGCAAAAGTGGCAGATCTTCCAATTCCATTATTACAATGAAATACCATTGGAATATGTGATTCATTCTTATTTATCAACCATTTATACAATTCAATTGTCAATTTCGGATCATCAGGTGCTGTATTTTCAGGCCACCAAGATACATTAATATGATTAACTCTTCTTGGTTTCGATTCATTTGAATTTTTATCAAACAAATGTAAAACAGTCCAAGTTACACCTTCCATCGGATCTTTCTCTTTTCTCACATATTTTACTTCAAAATTATCATATTTCTCGTCGCCTTCTTTAGTTGGATAATATTGTGCACATTGTTCAACTCCATTTTCAATAAATGAACAAAACATAACAATATATTCCACTTTTTCTTGATAAATCATTGCCCAAAAATCAGGAATTGTATTCGGAAGTGGTCCTTGTGTCAATATATTTTTTCCTCGATATTCGCTAACATCACAAACCAACCACGACGCATTAATATAATCGGTTTTTCGATTTTCTAGAACAACTCTAGAGCTATCCATACATTTCGGTTTTTTGTATCGATTTAGCGTTGGGTTCGCATCAAATGCTTTGAATGTAGGCCGTTTATACATTTTGTCGCTGGTTGCGATGTTGAAACCAACGGCTACATTTCCTTCTTTTTCGAATGGTAACTTAAAATATTTGTTTTAAGAGGCAGAAAAGATCTCACATGCACATACTTGTGAATTTAATCAAGCTGATTGAACTATCAATCGCCTGAACTAAATTTTTCTCAGCTACTTCCGGCGATTGATCGCTGCTAGCAGGCAGTTCGCTGACTTACCGTAGTCTTAAACGTTTTCGCGAACATTTCCAGAAAAAATTTATAACCATCTGGATTTATAGCAACGGGTTTTTCATTTCGATATAAACTGATTGGTTCAATTTCTTCGATTTTCTCAATTTTCCTCGATTTTTTAGAGCTACTATTCACAATTGGTGGTTCTAGCTTGACTTCAGGTTGTTTGACAGATTCCTCTTTTTTCACTGTCTTTTCAACTTCTTTCTTCAAAAGCTCATTTTTCTTCACAGGTCCCGCTATTTTTTTCTTTTTCGAGCATCCGATCATAGAATAACCAAATGCAGATCCGATTAGAAATATTTGTAACATGTTTGTATTTTTGAATAAGCTAGGAATAATTGTTCAAAAATTGATCGGAACCACGTTTTTTTTCTGGGTCACGTTTCACATTTTTTGACAGACATTTTTTTAAATTTAATTTTAAAAAGTGGATTTTCAAAATAAATTTTAAGTAACTGCAACAGTTATCTGAACTCTCGTCGACATTGAAATTCTATTTTCGCGTGACCTAGAAAACCAAACCTCGCCCATCGAAAAATCGGAATTTTTCCCCGAAAATTCCAAGAAAACCACTAGAAATTCCCAAAATTATTCAATTTTTCATAAAACCTCCAATTTTCTCCCGAAAACAATAATTAAACATTTCCTTTTCCTCGTGTAGTTCTCTCGGACAACAGGATTTTCATGGCTAAGTATCAAACGTCTACGCAGCCAATTTCGAAAACCCCTGAACAAAGTCCAAAAATTTTTACCTATGACGCTGAATTTCTGTTTTCAAAACAATTAGCTTTTGCCTAATCCGCCGGTGACGTTTAATACTCAGTCAACTCAAAGTACGCAGGCAAATTTGACACTTACAGTAATCATTTATTAACAAAAATTCCAGCATTGCTCATATTAGTCCGTCTCATTATACTCCAAGAGCTGCAATCCATCATCCACGTCAGCATTTTTCAATAGAGCATATTTGATCGATTTTCCAGAGCCCGCCAATATTTGAACCACATAAATTGCACTATGATAATTTTTGATCTCCAAAGCATCATTCTCGGATGCGCCTTTAAATACCGTAATCTCGCGGCTCCTGAGGCGCCGCAGAAAATTTGCACGAAAAGCCTCTTTGATGCCACGCGACGCGATACTGTAGTGAATTTCGGGGTAGATCAAATTTTGGAGCGCCGTGAAATTTCCCTGGGAAGCCAGATTTTTGAAGTTGGCCACAAATTTTTGCACCGATTCCAGTTGGGTGCAATTTATGGTGGATAAGATGAGCAAGAGCAGAAAAATTACGGGGAGCTTCATGATTTGGAAAAATTTTGAAATGAGGATTTTTTTTTTGGAAAATTTTAAAAATGCCGTGTTTTTCACGTTTTTTTGCAGGTTCACGTTTTCAAAAAAATTTAAAAAATTTGAATTTTTGTATTTTTTAACGAAAAAATGTATAGATTGCTCATATTAGCGAGCTACAGTACTTTTAAGGAACATAGAGATTGCTCATGTTAATCTACAGTAGCCTGGGCTTATTTGAAGTGTCTAAAACGATCTACAGTACTGTAGGTGAATATAAAGGGACCTAGTCTTGCTCAAAACAGTCCTACAGTAATTTCAAGGAACATATGGATTGCTCATGTTAAACTACAGTAATCCTGGGCTTGTTTGGTGTCAAAACACGTGGATTTTTCCCATTTAGAGCCGAAATGATGTCTGTGAGAAAAAACTCAACATAAAACTGTATTTTCTGAGAAAAATCGCAAAAAATGCGCGTTTTTCTGATTCTCTTCGTAGTTCCTCTAACTCTGGCTGATCTTGGAGATGATGCGAAAAAATTTCTGGGAAATTTGGTGGCCGGAATTGTTGGGTATGATGGACCACTGAAACAGCCAAATTATGGACGAGATTGGACCTGATTTCGAAAAAAATGTGGAATAAAATATTTTTGATTTGATGTACCTGAAAATCCACGTTTTTTGACACCAAACAAGCCTAGGGTACTGTAGATTTTTAGGGCCAAAAATCAATTATTTTAAAATTTCTGTAGATCAAAATGTTTGCCCTAAAATCTACAGTAACCCAGGGATTGATCTGAAAATCTGATCTGGAAAAACACATGGATTTTCAGCTACAGTAATCCACAATTTATTTTATCCAATTCTCATCGAATTTGCGAGTTGTCCTGATTCTCGAGTTCGAATTGGCTGCTCAAAAATTTGCTCAATAGTTACGGGTACTGTAGTTGAGGTTACTGTAGACGGTACTGTAGCGAAGGGTACTGTAAGTCTTCCTGGTCGAAAAATTCCACCAAGATAAGCATCGGAAATGGAAAAAAGTAGAAAAATTGGAAATTTCATGAAAAAATGTTTCTAGAACAAAAAGTCTAGAACTAATAAAGTGTCTGAGAAGTTTTTTGCGCCAAAATCTACAGTAACCCTAGGATTAGCTCAAAATTCATTTTGATACCAAACAAGCCCAGGGTTACTGTAGATTTTGGCGTCAAAATTATGTTCTTCAAAATTTTTCCCAAACTCTAGACAAAAACTATAAAAAGTTGGAATTCTTGTATTTTTTTCCAAAAAAAAACATGAAATCTTTCCAATTTTTCATAATTTTAAATATTTTTGCCCCAATTTTTGCTGGCTATTTTCAAGGCGGAAAATGGCACAAAACTCCGAAGATTCAGGAAGTTACGACAACTATTGAACCTATTTTTGAGAAAACTCGAAAATCAGGACAACTTATCACAACTTCAACTGTTCGACCCAAAAAAGTTCAGAAGGTTATGTTTGCAGGATTTGTGGTTATTGGAAAATGAATAAATTCGTTTTGACGCCTAACAAGCCTTGGGTTACTGTAGATTTTAAAAATTTTAAATATTTTTTGAAGACGTTGCTGCTTGACAGAAGGTGTATTAAGGATTGGCTGCTTGAAATTTGAGTTCACAAGGGTTAGCGCCTTGAGACGCATAGAAGCTGTCAAGGGTTGGTTGCTATATATAATATATATACTGTAAACTTTGTTCAAAAATTGTTTTGCAGCAAGTGCGCTCTATTGCTTTTCCATAAACAAATCCACGTGGCATAATACTTCCTGAAAATTCTAAAAATATCCGAAAACTGCTAATTTTAGGTTGCAAAATCATCATTCTCATCCAAACCTCCCCCAAATTTTACCTGGTTTCAAAAAAATTGCAGATTTTGTATGTATTTTCAGATTTGCGTAAATAACTAGAAATTCCAGGAAAATGAGTGATTCACAAATAAAAATATCATCATTTTTTTCTATTATTTCAACAAAAAAACACAATTTATAATAGTAAGTATAATCCGCTTCTAATCTATTTTCAGAGAGGAAATATGAAAATAAAAAAAAAAGTTTTTTGAGTCTGGAAAAATTTGGCTAATCTAATCCTATTCTATAAAGATGTGGGTGGAGTCTGAAATAAATTTTTGGCACAAAAATTGATCTACAAAATTTTTTGCCATGTGTGATTTCCATAGAACATTTATGTCCTATTTTCGATCTACAGTATTTCTGGGATACTGTACTTTTGCCACGTGGATTTTATTCCCGGATTTTTATATTTTTGCACTAATTTTGCCCTTTTCTCGAGATTAATTCGAAAATTTCAAAAGTTCAAAAAAGGCTTCCCCGAGCCACGTGGCCGACATTTTTCCCGCCAAAAAGTTTCTGACTTGAAATTTTGCGCTCTACAAAATCAAACATCCGAAATTTTAGTCATTTTCCCCAATTTTTTTCGCATTTTTTGTGACTAATCAAATATTTTTTGTAATCAAATTCACCTTCGTCACTTTATTAGTTTCTGGTGATTATTATTATTTTGTTATATTTTTTGCGGCTCCAAAAATTTATTACTCCAATTTTTGCGGTTTTTTCTCTCAGTCTGGAAATTTATAATAATTGATTCAATTTCAGGGCTGAAAATAGCCTGGAAATTTTTTTTGCGGGTACAGAAGCACCTTGGAAAATTGTGCCGAAAATTCCGAAAATTTGGATCAGCAAAAACTACAGTACTCATTATTTTTTAACAATAAAAAATCGATCTACCAGGTTCTGGTTACTGTAGTTCCAATTCTAAACCACATACATCTACAGTAACCCAGGAAAAAATTGTTCCAAAGAAGTTCTGAAAATTTTGTAGATCAAAATTTGGCATCGTTTTTGGGAGTCTAGATTTTTTGGAATCTTGAAAAAAAGTTCTAATTTGATTTTGAGGGGGTACTGTAGTTCTTACATCCAGGGTTACTGTAGTCTACAGTACTCTAGAAACCCTATCCAAATTTTTATCATTCCTGGGTATACTGTAACTCTCCAGAGTAGATTTCTGGTTAGATTTTTTGATCTACTAAATTTCTGGAATCTTGAAAAAAGTTCTAAAGCACCTACAGTACCCGCGGAGTAATGTACCTACAGTAATCCGTTAACCCGGAACTTTTTTGCCACGTCATCATGACATATTATTTTCAACTTCCAATTTCTTTGAAAATTTTTTCTAAAAATCCACGTCATCAAACGAAAAGAGGCGGAGCCTATTTTCTTTTTAGCTCCGCCCTTTTTTTTTGGCTAATCTCTTTTTCCACTTTACTTTTTAGTATAAAATTTATGCGAGCAGAATACAAATTTGCTCAAATTTTGTTCGTTTTTGGTCAACTTGGGCTCAAAAAGTTCGGTTTTACTTGAAATTTTCCCAAATTTTCAGCGGAAAACATGCGATTCTGCGCGATTTTCTTGATTTTTGCCGGCATTTTTATGGGACTCGCCCAAGCTTCGCAGCAGATTCGAGATTATGAGACGATTCGACGGCAGGCGATGAAGAATATCGCAAGTTTGGAGACGATTTTGGATCATCGCGGTGTGAAGAATGGAAGGCATAAGGTTAGTGGGAGATTTTTCGCGCCAAAAAGTACAGTAATCCGAGATTTTAGCGCCAGGAATCGATTTAACAGGTTCGATTCACTATAGGTCAAATTCTACCTACAGTAACCCAGGGAAAAATTGTGCCACAACATTCTGAAATATTTTGTGGATCAAAATTTGGAACCCTTTAATTTGGAGTACTGTAGTTAGGCCTAGCGATTATAGAAGCCTACAGTACCCCAGGGAAAAGATTGTTCCAATAATTTTTGTAGATCATTTGTTCATCTGAAATTCATGGGTTACTGTAGCTCAAATTTCAGCGCGAAAAATTGCAAAATTCAAATTTTTCCAGAATCGTCGAATCGGTGGCAATATTGTGATGGGCTGAAAATCATCTTCGCGATTTTTTTGGATTCTTACGGTGTACTGTAGACGGGTACTGTAGTTTTTTATATGGATTACTGTATTATTTGAATTGGATCAATAATAAATCTTTATTAATTAATTAATTAAAATCTTGAAGCTCAAAAAACGGGGTAGAAAAACCAGTACGAAAATTGGAAGGGGAGTAAAAAATGGCGCGAAATTTGAAAAAAAAATTCAAATTTTTCCGAGCAAATGAGTTCCGGGCGCCTCTGGATCTTCGGAATGGAAAAATTGCTTCCACAAAGTGTGAAAATGTCGTTTCGAGATACTGTTGATCAAATTCCCGCGATTATCCTGCAAAAAATCGATAATTTTTAATTTGGGGGTACTGTAGGCCGATTTTTATTTCATAATTTTCATTTTTCCCCCAAAGTTCCTGGAACTTTTGAAAGGTTTCTTCATTATTAATCTTTTTTTTTTTCGAAAAAGATTAATTTTTTCTTAAAAATTCTGAAAAAATGATCAAATTTTTGCGCGAAAATTTGAAAATTCAAAATTTTCAACGTCACAGATAATCTCGGTTTGAACTCGGGATTTTTTTTGAAAATAAAAGATTTTCAGGATTTGTTCTGACTGAAAAATAGAAAAATATGAGAAATTTGAACTTCAGGGGGTACTGTAGTGTAGGAACTATAGTCTAGTTATGAAAAAGATTAGAAATTTCTGTAGTTCAGAGAAATTGATCTTCCAAATCTACAGTAATCCTGAGATACTGTAGCTCTCATAAAAATGAAGATTCCAAAAATGCTGTAGATCAAAAATTTTGCCTTAGAAATTACAGTAATCCTGAGATACAGTAGCTCTTAAAAAATGGTATCCATTGAAGATTCCAAAAATGTCTGTAGATCAAAATTGTTCCCGCCAAAATCTACAGTAACCCACCAAAATTGAGTCACGCCTGGAAATTTGAACCCGGCTTTTTTTTTCACAGACAAATCTGAGATTATCCCAAAATCTCTGTGGGTTGATCTAGATTTTGACAAAAAAAAATTTTTTTTTTGGAAAACAAAATTTCTGACTTGGAAAATGACTCAATTTGGTTGGTTTGCAGGCAGAAAAAAAAGCAAACTACAAGGGTACTGTAGCCAAATTTTGGCCCCAAAACTCACAAAAGCGAATTGATCAAAACTGTGGTTCGAATCCTTTTTGTTGACCCCAAAAAATCCCAAAACTTGCACATATTCAGCCTGATCCACGAAATGATCGCCTGAAATTCGGAAAATTTCTAGAAATGCTGAAAATTTCAAAACCTGATTCATCCAAAAGTCGAAACATATAATCAACATAGGCTTTTTGCCACGCTGGCTCTTTTGGCGAATTTTTGGATTTCCAGCACAGTTCGAACCAATCTGATAGGGTTATCTGGAAAAATGAGGGGGGTACTGTAGGCAGCTACCGTACTCCTGGGAAAATTTGCGATTTTTTGAGACCAAACATGGCATACTTTGGGAGGTACTGTAGGTTACTGTAGCTCATAATTGGGTTACTGAAAAATATTTCTTGAAAATTATACGTTTCAAAATTTTCTCATTAAATCTTGAATTGATGGCAATTTTGATAGTTGATTCATAAATTCAATAGGTGTAGAAAATTTTCAAATTTGAAGAAATTGCTGAAAATTTCAGAAAAAACTGAAAATCCCAGACAAATTAGTAACTCTAGTAAGAATTGTGCCGAAAAATCCAAAAATTTTGTAGATCAATTTTCTCCGGGATGCTTTTGGGGTACTGTAGCTGGGTACTGTAGGTTTGAAGGTTACTGTAGGTATCAGATAATCCGCATTAACCCAAACCCACAGTACTCTGAACTTCTAGAGAGCTACAGTAACCCAGAGAAAAATTGTGCCAAAAAGGTTCCAAAAAACCTTTTTTGTAGATCAATTTTCTCTGGGATGCTTTTGGAGGGTACTGTAGCTGGGTACTGTAGGTTTCAATGTTAAATTACAGTACTAAGGTTCTAAAGAGCTACAGTAACCCAAAAGAGAAATTGTGCCAACAAAATTCCAAAAATCTTGTAGATCACTTTTTCCGGCTCAATTTTTCGCGCCAAAAAAGTACGGTAGATCTACCCGGGCTCAAATTTTCACGCAGAATCCGAATTTCCCACCTAGAATCCCCGATTCCCCGCCCGCCACCCACTTTTTCATGATCCTCCTTCCCGATTGCCTCAGTCAACTTTTGCCAAATATCCGGCAGGCACAATTTGGCAATGATGAACACGTCGCTTTTTTTGCCGCGAACCTCGCCGATCACATCGATCAACGCCTTGAAATCCTTCCATTCAATGATGCCATTGTGATCCAAATCTACAGTAATTCATTTGGGTTACTGTAGCTCTAAGGGGTACTGTAGGCTTCAAAAACTCACCAAAAAACGTGGTAAACGCATGTTTCCATTTGCGCTCCAAAAATTGACGAACTTCTGGCATTTTCTGAAAAAAAATGAGACTTTTTGACATTTTTTCATTTTTCAGCGGAAAAAAAAAATTTTTTTCAAAAAAAAACATGTGTTTTGAACAGGTGGAACATTGACAAATAGCTGGCCAAAGGTCTCGAAGCGAAAAGAAAATAATATAAAAATATATATATTTAAAGGGACATACAGTAATCCTAGCAGTTTCTGAGCGCCGAAATCGTAATCTACATGGAATTCCGGTCAGTTAGACACCCATATGTCTATGGGTCTCACAGCGTTTAAAAAATGGGGTTTTAAAGGGACATACAGTAATCCAAGCATTTTTTGAGCGCCGAATTCGTGATCTACGCAAAATTCCCGTCAGTTAGACACCCATATATCTATGGGTCTCAGAGCTTTAGAAAAATGGGGTTTTAAAGGGGCATACAGTAATTATGGGTGTCCAAAAAACCGAAATTTTCTGAAAAATCCGAATTTCGACAGCAGAACTTATGAAAACTTCTAGAAATTTGAGAAAAACCCAAAAAGGGAGATTTTTAGGAAACATCGAACCTGGTCAAAGGTAAGCTGCTGCTCACAATCTGTGTGCTCCCAACAACAAAACACATCTCTGCGTGTCTGGCACTCTCTCGAGTTTCTGTGTTCTCTAACATGAGAAATTCGAGACATTCGCGAAGAAAAACAGTTGTTTTCTCCATTTTTTCGGGGTGAAATATGCTCGCGGCTCCGCGGAAAAAAGTGAGAAAATCAGGAAAATTTATGAGACTAATGAAATTTGTGACAAAAATGCATTTTTTTCGGATTTTCTCAAGTTAAAAAAAAGACACTTGAAATTTGTGAATTGGTTTGTTGACACGATTTTAGAGCAGAGGTCAGCCAGATTTTGCACATTTCACGTAACTTTTCGAGCTACAGTAACCCTGGATTACTGTAGATTTTGGCGCGAGAAAATTGAACTGAAAATTGAAAAAAATTTTGATCTACAAAATCTCAAAATTCAAATTTTTCCGATTTTTTTCTGCTGAAATTTTTCTCCTTTTTCTGATCTAAAGTAGCCCTGGATTACTGTAGGTAATTATTTAGAGCAAAAATTTATCGACCTTTTTCGGATTCCACAAAAATTTGAAATTTCAATTTTTGGTCTAATTTTTACCTACAGTACCCCGGACTACTGTAGAAGTTTTGGCGCAAAAAATGACCTACAGTAATCCTATTTTTCAGGTGAGAAAATATGATCTTTAGAAATTTCCAGAACTTTTGGAATATTTTTCTACAGTACCCCTTGAACTCTCAGATTACTGTAGATCTATTTTTTGACGCCAGAAAACTTTCAAACTTTTCAAACAGAAAACTTTTCAAAAACACAACAACTGACATTTTTCTTCTCGAACAACCAGTCAAAAAAACACAGGGAAAAGTTTATTTTGAGGTTTTGAGGTAGCTCTTGACACAAAGTGAGAGTTTCAAGTTTCAAACTTGAAATTTCGCAATCTTCTGAAGTCAAAAATCACATTTTTCTGAGCGTAAATCGAGATTTGGGCCAAAATTTGGGCCCTGGGTCCATTTTCGGGCCAAAAGCTAAAAATAGACATTTTCCCCATGGAAAAACCATATAAAATGTTGTCTAGCAGACACTAAAATTTCAGATTTTCCCCAAAATTCCGAAAAATTCTCTGTCAAAAATGAGAACATCTCAAATTTTTGGTCTAATTTTCCTTCCCGCCACAATTTTTGCCACGTGGAATGTGAACGTGATGTTCGGATGCCACGTGGACGGCTGGAATATGTATGTGGATTTTTATAATGCGACGGGCCACATGATTTTCCAGTCGGGACAATACAATTCGGGACCACAGAAGAAGGAGATCGCTTAGACGATTACTGGGCCTGTGCTAATGGTGATTTTTCAGATCGGGAATTTTCAGTTTCCCCTTGAAATTTGGAGCAAAATGACACCAAACAAGCCTAGGTTTAGGCCTAAATCTGGAATTTTTTAGGTCTCTAAGCCCCCTGCCCAATTTTAGGCTCAAGCCCAAGCCCAGGCTTATCCAGTATCATTTTTCCAGCCGTCAAAAATCACAATTCATCACGACTGCGTCAAAAATCTCTACATCTCACATCAAAAAAAGGCAGTCGTCAGATTCTCGCTACCGTATACCCCGCTTCTTTTGCAAATTCCGAAAATCCAGGATTTGGGAACGGTTACGTATTTTATAAATAAAGAAGTGCAGAATAAGAATAAGAAAGAAAAGTAGATTTTTGTTGGGTAAATGAAATTTTCCATTGCTCATGTTAAATTTATTGATTTATACATATTTCTGTTTCTCACACCTCACATTTCTTGTCCCAAAAGCATCATAAAAACTCCCCCAAATTTCCATTTTTCAAAAAAATGTCGAAACTTCTTCAATTTCTATCGATTTTCCTCCTAATCCACCTAATTTTCGCCACATTCAATGTAAACGTGGCATTTGTATGTCATGAGACACGAAATTGGCATTTTCACATCGAATTTTTGAATGCTACTGGTAGTTTGATTAGTAGAAGTGCAACTTTTCAACCGAGAAGATTTCGATTTTTCGGGCAAATCGAGGGACCTTATGAGAAGGTGATTTGGGATAGAATGATACCAAACATGCCTATTTTCATGGGTTGAATCCCAAAAACATCAGAAAAACTCACAAAAAATCAAAATTCCAGCCATCGATCATGTCAATTCATCACAATTGCATCACAAAATCCGAATTTCGAGCAGAAGGCATGAAATTTGATCTTCCATATTCGCCCGAGCAAAAACATATTCCAGAAATCGATAACATTGGGGAAATCACTGATGAATTTACAGCAGCGCCAGATGATTGGATGAGATTGGGAGAATCTAGGGAAAAATGAGGTTTTTAATGGAAATAAATGGATTTTTCAAACTCAGCGTGAAATTTGCGTTAAAATGATAACAAAACGCTGAAAAAAAGTGAAAAAAACAAAATTTCAAAAAAAATGGTTGACCACGCCCCTTTTCGCAACCTGCGGCATGCTTGTTTGCAACCAGCGCACACTTTTTATTTTTGGATATAATTTTTTTTTCAAAAAAAAAAGAAATACTAGTTTGATGCGCAGTTACAGTATTTGTCTCAAAGAGAATAGTGTATTTTTTCCCATGTCACGTGGCAATCAAATGTTCCCACGTCATCAAATTTTCTGGTCTAGAAAACATCAAAATTTCGCCATTCTCATATCAAAATGTTCCAAATCCTCTCATTTTTTCTCATTTTTCCCGCCATTTTTGCCACGTGGAACGTGAACGTGGATTTTGGTTGTCGATCTCATGCGCGCTGGCAGATTTACGTGGATTTCTACAATTCCACGGGTCATAGGTATTTTCGAAGTGAAAAAACATATGCTGGTAGAAGTGTAATGCACAAACATAATGATATGATTCGTGGGCCGGTTGAGAAGGTGCGAAATTCAAATTCTGCTTGAAATTTGGTGCTGAATCTGAAAATCCGCAAATTTCAGCCTTCTCACATCGCCTTCTACCACAATTGTATCGAAAAATCCGAAAATTCTTCGAAGCTCATGAAGTTCGAAGCAGACTACTCGAGCTTCAATTATGTGATCACACGAATGGACAATATGGGAAAACCCGACATTTCGAAATATTCGGGAAACAATTAGAGAAAATAGGGAAACGGGTGATATTTGGCGCTTAATAAAAATACAACTTTGAGATTTACAGATTCAGCATGAAATTTGGAGCAAAATGAGTCTAGATATGGCTAGACTTGACTTTTACAGTTGAACCTGAACCTAGGCTTATATAGGCTCATTTTGATCCAGAATTCAAGCAGATTCTGAATTTCTCACCTTCTGAATTTCATTGAGAAAATTCATGGTTTATCAAAAGTTTATCTGGTGACCCTATGCACTTCCCTTGTAAATCCACACAGTTTTCACATCGAATTTTTGAATGCTACTGGTAGTTTGATTAGTAGAAGTGAAACTTTTCGACCGGGAAGATTTCGATTTTTCGGGAAAATCGAGGGACCTTATGAGAAGGTGATTTGGGACAGAATGATACCAAACATGCCTATTTTCATGGGTTAAATCCCAAAAACATTAGAAAAACTCACAAAAATCCAAATTCCAGCCATCGATCATGTCAATTCATCACAACTGCATAACAAAATCCGAATTTCGAGCAGAAGGCATGAAATTTGATCTTCCATATTCGCCAGAGCAAAAAAAATCGATAATGTTGGAGAAATCACTGATGAATTTACAGCAGCGCCAGATGATTGGATGAGATTGGGAGAATCTAGGGAAAAATGATTTTTGATAATGAAAAAAATTAAATCCAATGCAAAATGAGCATTTTTTGTTACCAACGTCATACTTTTAATTGATAACAATTCAAAATCATCCGGAAATTTGAGCTGAAAATGTATAAAAACATGTATACCAACAATATATAAATCTAACCTTATTTGCATCTTCAATAATACCAGAGGGGCTTCGCTGGCTAACGCCATCTACAGTAGTTTGACTTACTTTTTACTGATTAATTTTCCGGTTAGGGAAAGAGAAACATTGAGAAATGCCCAAAAATTGTTCGCTTTCTTCAGAAAACAGAAAGATCAGATAAGAAACGTGTCCTTTAATTTTTACATGTAACTTACTTCTGGGAGTACAAATTCAAAATTGCGATTATTTTCACCCATGTCCATACGTCGCATAGCCTCGTTTCAAATCCACCAGTTCACACCCCTATTTTTGAAAATTTCTGGCAAAAGGGATAACTCCCCCCTCTTTTTTTTTTCCTTTTTTATTTTCAGCTTTATAAACTTGACAACATACATGTTTGATAGACTTTAAGCTCAAAATTGCTTCATTTCGGCAAATATTCTCATTTTCACCGCTTTTGAGTCAAATTTTAATTCAAAAATTCTAATTTTTCAAAAACAAAAAAATACGTTTCAAAATTTTGATATAATTTATTATCAATTTTTTCAATGCTATTGTATTTGATCGTGGTGCTATTCGTATCATACACTTGGAGCATCGGATCTGGAATATTTATAGGTTACGATAGTTTGGCAAACTTAACAACTTACGCTTATCAAACCAGGGGATTCTTCGGCAGCAGACACAATCCGTTTGCATTTTGTACATTTTCGTTTTTGCGGCACAACATTCAATTCGAAATTTTTTTTAGTCAAATCTGTCAACCAACTTTCGAACCCACCCGTCGCCCAAAAAAAAATGTTTTCTTTTTTTCCCGAAAAACGTTTTTTACTTTTTTTTTTTGGCGAAAAACATGTTTTATATGAATTTTTTCGTTGCAGATGATCAGAGATGGACAATTGATGGATTTGTGACGATGGAATGTTGATGAAATAGTGTAAGTATTTATATTTTTGTAAAAATAGACGTTCATGTACATGTTTTTGATCACATAGAAAAAAACAAAAAAAAATTTTCTTTAGAAACGGAATTACGACCAAAAACAAGAAATTCTGAAAAATGAATAAAATTTTTTTTAATCAAGAAATTGGGAGGTTAGATAACCACCACAAATTTTCTTTCACTTCAAGGTCTGAGTCATTCTAATTTTTTTTTCTCTTTTCTTTTATCTTCTACAACATCCCATCAAAATCCCTCTCTATAAATTATTTATATTACATATCATCCCCAAATATTAATTTTACTACCCACCTCATCCTTTTTTTTTCTCTTTCTAACACCCTTTCTTCCCCACAATTTTTTCTAATACACATTCCAAAATGGCCCACTTTGTCTCTTTTCTGGACCAACGGGTCTTTCTTTTATTTATTGTCATCCACTACGTGTGAAAAATTTGTCATTCTCTCTTCTCTTCCTCTTACTATTATTATATGTAGTCGTTTGATTCAATAAATGTATATATAATATAGAAATTCGAAACGTGACCTTTTAAAGATTACGTGACACGAAACAAAAATCTCGATTATTCTCGATTATTCTCGACGATTAACCACTAGCTACTAAATTTACTAGAAAAATGACTGATTCCAATATCAAAGAAAGAATTTTGAAAGATTCAGGAAAAATAAAGAAGAATGAATCACATTTGAATCACTGTGCAGAAGCGATAGAAAAAAATGACCGAAATTGTAGAACAAAATGGAAAAAGTAGGTTGAAGGAAATAAATTCAACAAGAAAAATAGTTCAAAATTTCTATTTACAGTTCTGCAAATTCAACGAGCGGAAACCTATTCCGAACTTCTACATTTGAATGGGACAGATTTAACTAAAAAAAATTTCGAATTGAATGTTGTGCCGCAAAAACGAAAATGTACAAAATGCAAACGGATTGTGTCTGCTGCCGAAGAATCCCCTGGTTTGATAAGCGTAAGTTGTTAAGTTTGCCAAACTATCGTAACCTATAAATATTCCAGATCCGATGCTCCAAGTGTATGATAAGGATAGCACCACGATCAAATACAATTTTTGCGAAATCCCATTTAACATGGATAAAAATCATGGCAATTTTGAATTTGTACTCCCAGAAGTAAGTTACATGATTAAAAATGATCGAAAGATTCAACAAATTTTCCAGAAACGATATTCAAACGATACATCAAAAAACAAAAATATCGATAGTGCAAGTTTCCACAATTGTTGGAAATTTAAGCGATATCCATGTAACGTGAGTTTTAGTTCAAAGGGTGGGAAATTTTCTTGTAAGTTTATAATGCTTCGACGACTCTAATTTCAGAAAGCATTCGAGAGAAATTATGCGATTTTCAACAAGAAGTTTCCTAAGCAAATGTAGGACATTGTATAACATCGCTGCGCCAAAGTAAGTGCTCACTGCTGCTCTTCAAGCAATGATTTGTTTTTTTTCAGTAAGATTGCATCACCTGAACGAAAAGTGAACGAAGTTTTCGAGTTCCATGTTATTGACTATTATACTAAGAACATCGTAGAAAACGAGATTTGATCACTCGAAGCTCTTGAGCAAACCTTGTTTTTTTAAATAAAATTTTGATGAAAAAGAGTTTGAGCGTTTAACACCGTATTCTTATTGAGAGAGAAAAAGTTCCCCTGAAGACGGGAAATGTTGAATTTTACGTGCAATTTACGTTTTTTTTTCCAAAAACCCTCCAAAAAACTCACATTTTCTATCAAATCCGGGGCTTCGCACATTGCTCATGTTGCTCCAAAACTACAAATTCAAATTTGCCGTTTTCCCCGTCAAAAAAACCACGTTTCCTCGGTTTCCCCGAAAAAAAAGAAGACATGAGAAAAATTAAAATGCGCATTTACGATAAACAACAGGCACACACGTCAACAAGCGGAGTGTCGTTGTTTTTTGTTTGAAAATGAAATGAAACCAAATGAAATTTTTTTGAATTCATTTATTTTTCGCGTTTTTTTATAGGGAAGATCACCAGACATCAAAAAATCGAAAAAAAAACCATAAAATCCCAAATTCTTATAATACTTCATAAAATTTTAATTAGTCTATAAAAATTCAAAAAATCTTTATATAAATGTCTCCGAAAATTCCATGAATCAAGAAAAAATGAGATTTTTCCTACTGTTTCTCCTAATTTCACCAATTTTTGGCTATATTCAAGAAATCCAAGAAGATCAAGATCAAGAAGAATGTGTTGAAGAAGACGGACTTCAGCAAGATGCTGGAATTTCAGTTCGAAAAACCATCTACACAACAAGATGCCGTGATGATTATCAGATTTTCTATCGGAAAAACCAGAAAACTGCGGCGTGGTGTTTGAAAATCAAATTTTCACAGAATCCCATAAGTCAGGTTACGGCCAAAAAAATGTGTGCGGAGGATGGAGCGGTTTTGTCGCTTTTTGATAATGAGGAAGAATCAAAACAGCTTTTTGGTGAGAAAAATTGAGATGAGCAATGGTTTGGGCTCCTTTTGAGACCAAACATGGGGTAGAACAATTTCTAACATGAGCAATACTATAGAGCTCACAAAATCTGATTTTTAGACACTAAATTTAACCCAGGAAAATATTTTAACATGAGCAATGCTCTAGAGCTCGAAATTCCTGGTTTTTACAGTCCAAATTCGATCTGGGAGCAGTTTTTAACATGAGCAATGAGTTCGGCTCATTTTTTGGCTCATTTTGACACTAAATTTGATCTAGAACAATTTTTAACATGAGCAATGCTCTAGAGCTCACAAAATCTGATTTTTGACACTAAATTTGACCTAGAGGAATTTTTCTAACATGAGCAATGCTCTAGAGCTCACAAAATCTGATTTTTAGACACTAAATTCAACCTAGATTACTGTACCCTACAGTACCCTTCAAAATCATCCGAATTCCAGCAAAAAATCTGAAAATTTCCAGCCAAACTCTCGGCGGCCGAAACCAACAATCAATTTGTTCGAATCGACGGCGAACGAAAATCGCACTGTCATTCGGATCAGAGCATTCGATCCGATCCGAGTTGTCGTGCTGGCGAGGTACTGTAACTAGCTACAGTAATCCCCACGGGATACTGTAGAAAATTCGGCGAATTTTGAGTGTAAACACGACTGGGTTGGGTTACTGTAGACTTTTTTGATCTACCAAATTTTGAAGCAGTACTGTAAGTACAGTCATGTTTATACTCAAAATGGTTCTCTACAGTACCCCTAGATTACTGTAGCCATCAAAAATACCGTAATCCTCTCAGGCTTTCAATATGCTGAACAGTCAAACCGATCCGAATTTCACCAAAAACAGTTTCCTGCCCGGTGATCCGAATTACGCGTTCAAAGATCCCAAGTGAGTACGGTAGGGGCCCTACAGTAATCCTACAGTAACCCTAGTCATATTTATAATCAAAATGCTCCAAATTTTGTGCCACGTGGCAAATTCGCCGAATTTTCAGCCCAAACGCTGAAAATTGCCTGACAATTTGGACGAATCGTCAAAAAATCATCGATAATGCGTGTGTTCCGAGCCCACCGCAAGGTCCGATTCGAGGAGTTTTGTGTGGCAAAGAGCCCGAGGACTAATATGAGCAATGGTTTTGATTTTTGGAATAAAGCTTTGATTTTGCAACTAAAATGAGCAATGCTCAAAAATCCCAATTTTTAGCCATTAACATGAGCAATGCCTCAAAATGCCCGAAAATACCAATTCTGAGCTCAAAAAACACATTTTTTCAAGTTTAACATGAGCAATACCTCAAAATTCACAAAAATGACGATCCCGGGCTCAGAAAATCTCAAATTTTCCCAATTTCACAGTTAAAATGAGCAATGCTCAAAATACCCCCAAAAATACCAATTCTGGACTCAAAAATCCAAATTTGTGCATGAGCAATGCTCTGAAAATTGTCGAAAATCTCGAATTTCAGCTCTGAAAGCACTGATTTTTTCAAATTCTAATATGAGCAATGCTCAAAAATCTTCAATTTCACAGTTAATCTGAGCAATACCTCAAAATGCCCCAAAAATACCAATTCTGGACTCAAAACTCCAAATTTTTGAAGCTAACATGAGCAATGCTCTGAAAATTGTCAAAAATCTCGAATTTTGGCCCTGAAAGCACATTTTAAATTATAATATGAGCAATGCTCAAAAATCCCCAAAAATAACCAATTCTGAACTCAAAAAATCCCAAATTTTCCCAATTTCACAGCTAACATGAGCAATATCTCAAAATTACCCAAAAATATAAATTCTAGGCTCAAAAAACACACTTTTTTCAAGTTTAACATGAGCAATACCTCAAAACTACCCAAAAATATCGTTCGTGGGCTCAAAAAATCCCAAATTTCACATAATTAACATGAGAAACCTTCAAATAAACTTCATATATAAATAAAATTGCGGGGGACCAGAACAAAGTTAAAAAGAGTAAAAAGGGTCCGAAAAATTGGTAAATTTTGGTGTTAAAAAACCGGATAACTTAGATTTGCTCACAAAAAATCGATTTTTTGAGGAAAAAAAAGTTGTGAGGACCCATATAATGACACAAAAATCGATAATAAAATTAGCACAAAAAACGGCGATTTTTGGGGAGGAAAAAAATAAATAGCAAAAAAAATATATATATATGTATATATAATATGTATAATATTGGACAAGAAAACACGGTGTTTTGAGATTTTTTGGAAAAAGAGGAGGGGGCTTTTGGCGGGGCCTGAAAGCCTAAAAATAGGCCTGGGGCCCGAAATTTTAGGCTTGTGACGTGACATTCACATTTTCCGAATTTGAACTGATTGTTGTTGATTCGTTGGTGCCGAAAACGAACAACACGTAGCGGAGCTGCAAAAAATGAAGATTAACATGAGCAATGCTTCAAAATTGACCAAAATTTCAGATTTTGAGTCCAAATTTGAAAATTTTTTCACTTAATCTGAGCAATGCCTCAAAATTAGCAATAAAATATAGAAATTTCCAAGAATTTCGCAGTTAACATGAGCAATGCCTCAAAATTAGTCAAAAAATCCAACATTTTCGAGAAATTTAAAGTATTGCTCATGTTAACTGAAAATTAGGGAATTTTTGAGCTCAAAATCATTGTTTTCCGCTAATTTTGAAGCATTGCTCATGTTAGCTCTCAAAAATTGCAAACTTCCCACATAACATGAGCAATGCCTCAAAATTGGGCAAAACTAACGATTTCGGGCTCAAAAAATCGCAAATTTCCCACTTAACATGAGCAATGCCCCAAAATCCACCAAAAATAACGATTCCGGGCTCAAAAAATCGCAAATTTCCCACTTAACATGAGCAATGCCTCAATTTCAATTAAATAAATATAGGGCTTACCTTTCTTCGAGTGATATGCTCAAACAAATCCGGTGCCAATTGATTCATATATCTGGTGACAATTTCATTTGGAGCAAAAATGTGCACTCGAGATGGTTGATCTTGCTGAAACTTGGATTTTAGGTCAAAAATCGAGTTTTTTGACTCAAAATTGGTCAAAAATGACCATTTTTTGGCTCAAAATTGGTCAAAAATCGAGTTTTTTGGCTCAAAATTGGTCAAAAATGACCGTTTTGAGCTCAAAATTCAAAAAATGCTCACCTTTTCCGTCGAAACCGGCGGCAACAATCCAATTCCAGCAATTCCTTTCGCATTCAAATAATCGACAAATGCCGTTTCGAGCATTTCCGTCGATTTTTTGAGTTGATCACGATCCAATCCAGCCGGAACACCGATACAACAACAAAAATCATCGCCGGTCAATAGTTTGTAGAGATCTGCAAAAGAGAAATGAGTTAGGGTCATTTTAAGGTGGTTTAAGTGATTTTTAAGGTCCTTACGATCATTTTAAAGTGGTTTAAGTGATTTTTAAAGTCCTTAGGAGCATTTTAAGGTATCATAAAGTATATTATAGTAATTTTAAGGTCTCCCAAATTTTCACCCCATCTTGTTTGGTATCAAAATGCTTGAAATTCTATTACCCACCAAAATCCTGGCATATTTTCCCTACCCGCTCCCGAAATATCACTTTATTCCCCCTACTTTCGTCTTTAGTATGATCTCTGATTTATTTTCTTCCGTTTTCCCAGTTTTTCTCAAACTAGTAAACAAGCCCCTGTGTGGTCTGAATAATTTTTGCACGCCGTGCACTTTTTGTTTTTCATTTTCTGTTTTTTTCGGTCTGCGTTAGTCTAGAGACTTGTTTTTCTGTTTTTTTTGTTGTTTTTTTTGCTTCCTCTTTTTGCACGAAAGGAAATATAGAAGGAAATTAGAAGAATTGGCAAAATCCCCTAGAGTTTTCAGAAAAAATATGATGATAATTAATTAGAATATGAAATTTGAAGCATTTCGATACCTTATATGATATAGGTAGGTAAAAAATGGTGAAATTTTTGTCAGAATTCCCTAGGGTAGGCAAAATATGGTGATATTTCGGTAAAGGAGGGGATTTGAAGCATTTTGATACCAAACAAGGTATCTTTCAGTCGAGTAGGTAAAAAATGCTGAAATTTCAGTCAAAATTCCCTAGGGTAGGCAAAATATGGTGATATTTCGGTAAAAGTAGGAATTTGAAGCATTTTGATACCTCATATGATATAGGTAGGTAAAAAATAGTGAAATTCCTGTCAAAATTCCCTGGGGTAGGCAAAATATGGTGATATTTCTGAAGCTAAAGCTAATTGAAGCAATTTGATACCAAATAAATAATAGGTAGGTGAAATATGTCAAGATTTCGGTTAGGTAGGTAGAATATGGTGAAATTTCCATCAAAGTAGGTCAAAAACAGTGAATTTTTTGTCCAAAAACCAAAAGGTCCCCCGTAAAGTACACAAAAACCAATCAAAAACAAAGCCAGCAACAAAAACTTGATTTTTACTCCCGCGCCGGGACGAAAAACAACAAAAACAACAGAAAAAAAAGTGCAACACACTTTTTTTTGCGGTCCCCAAAAAACAACAGACTTGTTTGTCTAGTACACTGTACGTAGTGAGAGAGTGAGAGAGTGGTTAGAGAAAATAGAGAATGAAATTTTCTGACTGGAAGATTGGAACAAAAACAAGGAAGTAGGAGATGGCTGGTGCAAATTTTGACACCAAAAATTAACCTAGGGTAGGGGTTGGCGGTCAAGATTTCAAACAGGAAATTTCCAAACTAGGCTCTAGTTTTTGCTAGTTGGAAAAACACCTGGGGGAATTGAATTTTGGTAAACAATTAGCTGGAGTAGAAGACTAGACTCTAGTTTTAGCAAAATGTCAAAAATCCTGACATATTTTCCCTATCCTAGTCATAATCATACTCAAAATGTAGCAAATTTCAAGGCGGTCAAAAATGTCACCATATTTCTCCTACCCTATGCATATTTATATTCAAAATGTAGCAAATTTCAAGGCGGTCAAAAATTTCACCATATTTCTCCTACCCTATGCATATTTATATTCAAAATGTAGCAAATTTCAAGGCTGTCAAAAATGTCACCATATTTCTCCTACCCTATGCATATTTATATTCAAAATGTAGCAAATTTCAAGGCGGTCAAAAATGTCACCATATTTCTCCTACCCTAGTCATATTTATATTCAAAATGTAGCAAATTTTTCAAGGCGGTCAAAAATGTCACCATATTTTCCCTACCCTAGTCATATTTATATTCAAAATGTAGCAAATTTCAAGGCGGTCAAAAATGTCACCATATTTCTCCTACCCTATGCATATTTATATTCAAAATGTAGCAAATTTCAAGGCGGTCAAAAATGTCACCATATTTCTCCTACCCTATGCATATTTATATTCAAAATGTAGGTGATTTCAAGGCGGTCAAAAATCCTGACAAATTTCTCCTACCCTAGTCATTATTATATTCAAAATGTAGCAAATTTCAAGGCGGTCAAAATGTCACCATATTTCTCCTACCCTATACATATTTATAATCAAAATGTAGCAAATTTCGAGGCTGCCCCAAAAAACTCACGTGGAATTCCAGTCTCCAAACGCAATCGTTGATTGATGCGAATTTCGGTGCGTTGCGGATGCGTCGCGTCTCCCAAAACCGATTGCAAATATTCGCGCGAACCACTGACCAAATGCAAACTCAATGGGACTTCGGAGGATTTCATCACAATATTTCCACTCCATGAAACTGGGTACCACTGGAAAATGTTGAAAATTATTGGCATTGCTCATATTAACCCCCATTTTTTGCTCAAAAATCCCCCACTTTAGCTCATTTTTCGTTGAGAAAATCATCAAAAACTCAAAAAATGACTAATTATAATTGCATATTTTCAGATTTTTTTGTCAGCCCAGAAAAAAAGTGAAAAAAATTTGAGATTAGAAGAAACCAGTTTTGATAACCTTGGAACCAATTTTTTTTTCCAAAAATGGCAACATTTTTGGGGGAAAAAATGAAAAAGAGAAAGTACAAGTAAACTTTGGAGAAATTTCAGATTTTTCCAGAAAAATCGGGCTAAAACCTGAGCCTGAAGTGTGAGCCTAGAATCTTAGAAGATCATAAGACCTTGGCCTCTTATTAGGGGTAAACTTAAGCCTAAAGCTCAAGCCTACCAAAAAAGTACACCCAACCTCTTTCCAGGTCCAAAAACGTTCCCCTAATCAACTATTTTCCATGTTGTTTTCTAGTTCCAGCTAAATATTTTCAGACTTGTTTTTGCTCTACTTCCTCTCCCCTTCTAGGGGAGGAGGGCTTGTTGTTGTTTTTGAGCACAGCCACAGCTCTTTTTTGAGCACGAATTCCAAGAATAACTGCTCAGCTCAGTCTGACAGACAACTATACAATTCTCTGACTCATTTTCATATATATAGCGAAAAAAAAAGGAAAAAGGGAATACAGATGGCAAAAACAACAAATAATAATAATGCTACTAACAAGGAATGGTTTTCAATGTTCCCCCCTGAAAAAAATCGAGAGTATGTGGAATGTTGAGGGTTCCCGTGGGTAAGAAAAACCCTAACGGGAATAAGGAGAGAAATGCCTTGTTCTCGAGAAAAAATGTATTTTAGGTCGATTTTTTCAGCATTTTTTAGTTTTTAGAGCATCTATAACTCGATTTTGAAACTAATTCACGAACTTTTGAGTCGTGGAAGTTGTTCAGAATGGTCGATTACGTGTTTGTGAAACTTTTTATCAAAAAATTTGAAATTTTTTGAAATTTGGTTTTTTCAGTTGGGGTTTTTCTGATCAAATGGTCACAAAAAAACACAAAAAATAATTTTTTTCTTTTTCAAATGAACGGAACTCGTAAAATTTAGGACGGCCAACAGACGTAATTTGGTCCGTAGAATCCGAAAATCATAGTCTCGATTCACACAAACTTCTCCTTCACAACGAAAACGTTGATTTTCTATGAATTTTTCAAACTGGATTTTTGATTTAGTGGACTTTTGGGACCAAAATTATTTTATTCCTAATTTTAGTCGAAGTAATACTAAAGTACGCCGTTTGCGCTACAAATGGATTCTTAGACCGACATTTTTCATCAATTTTGAAAAAAGTTTCGATTTTTCTAAAAAATTTCATCGCAAAAATCAACAACCCCAAAATTTTCTAAAACAAGGCATTTTTCTCCTTATTCCCGCTAGGGTTTTTCTTACCCACGGGAACCCTCAACATTACACATACTCTCGATTTTTTTCAGGGGGGAACATTGAAAACCATTCCTTGTAAGAATTCGAGGGAGAAAACAAGGAACAAGAAAAAGTGCATGAGAATTTCGGGGAAAATTAGGGCAATTTTGGGGAAAACATTTGGATTGCAAAAATGCACTTCAAAAAGGCTGAATTTAATTTCAGGTTAAAATTTCAATTTCAGCATGAACTTTTGAAGGTGCATATTCAGAACTTGAAAAAAAACTAGATTTGAATTCAAGACTAATTTCAGATCTAGAATTTGGAGCTTCCGACGAGCTTCTGTCCATTCTCAGAACTTTTTGGAATTTTCAAAAATCCAAAGATCATCCCTAACCTATAATTCCAGAAATCCCAAAAGATTATCCGAGAGTTCCGCGAAATCGCCCAAACGATCTCCGAGTTTATCAAGTGTTCAAAAAACAACTACAGGGTGGCGCATAAATATAGGTGCATCGTTTTTTTGATGTGATTAACGTATTTTCAAATATTATTTTATGATATTTGGTGAAATCCGAACTAATAGGGTCCAAAACAAACACAAATGATGTTTACATCAATATTTCAAACTATCATGATGTTTGGACCGGTCGAGTATGTTGAGCTCGGAAAAAATTTGCACGCACCTATTTTCAAGTTTGACCACGTGTAACTTCACGTTGGGAACATGAAACCTAACATGTTAATACATCAAAATGTTCGAAAACTAAAGAGGAACAATGTTAAAAACATACCCATCATCAATAAATAATCTGCTTTTTAGAATTCATCAGTATTGAACACCCCCTGAAACAGAAAAATCAGCCATTTTTCGCTCGAATATTGTTTTTTCGTCCCAGATTTCATAATTTCACAAAATATGTTGTGATCGAAGTTGGATTCAGTGTGAAATGAGTTTTTTGATAGTTTCTATTTTTGTTACAAACATAAATAACGTTTATCTTACTTTTTGTGCCTTCAAATCTTTGAAAATCAAAAAATCTGAAAATTTGAAGTTTTGACTGAAATTCGAAATTGTTTCGGGACAACCAAAAACTAGGACTGTGAAAAACTCAAAATTAGCCTTTTTTTAAATGTATCAAAACTTTAGATCATACAAATTGACTGAAAATCAACTGAAATTCATGGGTGAAAAAATTCCTTTGGACCTGCGTGCTGATTTTCGAAATTTTGAAAAATTGAATCTAAGTTTGACAGGCTTTCCGGTCTTCAAATCAATCAGTATTGTTGAGAACACTTGAAGATAAGATAGATTAACGCATTAGCTTCAAAATTATGTATATAGATCCCAGAAAAAATTTTGAGAAAATCGCGGTAAAACCATATTAAGAAATTTGCATCATGCACCTATATTTATGCGCCACCCTGTATTTTGTTGCGAAAACCAAAAGATAGTGCATCGTTTGTTTGTTTGCCCGAGGAGCAACTGGGGAGGAAAAAATTGATGATAAGCTCGATATTTTTTCGGGGCAAACAACGTTCCAGAACGATAAAAGTTCCAAAAAAAAATGCAATTTTTGATTGTCAGCACATTGAAAAAGTGCACAAAGAGCCGATAAGGAACTTGAGCAAGTTCTAGAAGTCAAGAATATCTAGATCATAACTTCAGATTTTCTATAGCAAGATCTAGAACTTAGCGAGTTAAATTCCCAAATTCCACAAACAAGTTCATGACCTAGATCAATATCTATGAGATCAGAAAAAGATCTACAACTTCCAGGAATCCAAGCTACAACTTCAGAAGATCCTAGCTCACCTTCTCAAACCCCTCCTCATCGCCAATCATCTCAACATCTCCCCTCTCCTCTCGATGCTTCTTGCCCAATTCAACCAACATCTCAACCGATTCTTGCGAGAGTGGCTCAACTTCAATTGGCGGCGAATTCGGGCCTGATGACAAACTTCCAATGGACGGAGTATCGTCATCAGTGCGCGATAGGATTCTTCGAAAAGCCGATCCCGCCGAGCCCATCTTCTCCTCCTGATCCTCTTCCATCTCCTCATCATCACCAAGTTCTTCAAGGAGAATCACATCCAACCGCTTCATGATCTCCCGATTGAACATCTCATTTTTCGCCTTCTGCTCCGGCGTCAGATTCTGCAGCCACTTCTTGAGAGGTGGTGTGGGTGATCTAGGAGGTGGCGGGGGTTGGGGAACCGGCGCGCTTCGCTTCCTGAGATGTTCCATCGTGGGAATCGGGGCGGGGAGGGTTCTCTTGAGGCTCATATGATGTGCAAGGAGGTTTGCATGGTTCTGCTGCACGGGCTGTTGCTGCTGCAACATCTGATTCATCTGATTCATCATCAACATCCTCGCCAAATTCTGATACATTGGTGTGCTGAGAATCGCCTGCGCCCCCAAAATCGCATCCAGAGCAGCCGGCTGTGCAACAGTGGGTTGTGGTGGTGGTGGTGGAGGTGCAGGCGCCGGCATTCCCGCAGCCAATTGCTGCAATATCGCTGCCAAATCCATCGGCTGTGCACCTCCGCCGTCAGTCATTCAAATGAGGTAGTAGATCAAATTTATAATATCACAATATATAGCTAGAATCACAGCATAAGTTCAAAAAACGAGGTAGGAATTGTTGTGTAGAAGAGCGAGAGACAACAACTGGGCCGAGAGAGTGAGAGAGTGACGAGAGAAAAAGAGACAAAGTGGGCGGAGTCGGGGGGCTGGGAGAGGGCGCCGCGCCTAGGGGACACATCGACTCGACTCTCGTCGTCTGCACTCCGCCCGTTCACCCGTTCCCTTTACGCTTTTGCTGGCGGCTGACACTAGCAGGTACAACACACTTCCAGAGGCCACCCCTAGGCAAAAAATGTTTGTGTATAGATGGATTGATGGCAGCATGAAAGAAAGAAGGAACGAAAAAAGAAAAAGAAGAAGAAAGCAACATTTTTGTTCGCGTCTCTAGTTTGATCAGAGGAATATTTGGGCAACTGGGGGAAAGGGAAAAGTGCATCTTTTCAAATGTTGGTCAACTTGTATTTTTTGGCAGCCAGTTTGATTCATTTATTTATTTTTTTTCATATCACATCACATGTTGTCTGCACTTTTGACACAACAAAAAAAGAAATGAGAAACATTTTCCGGAAAATGTCGCATGATATTTGTCAGAAGGAATGAAAACGAAAAGTTCAAAGGGACAGGAAGGCGTAGGAGTACGGTATGCACCTTTAAATCTCCGAAATGTTCAGATAGGCCGGAAAGCGTAGGAGTACGGTATGCACCTTTGAATCTTCTAAAAAAATCAAAAGGGACGGAAGGCGTGGGAGTACGGTATGCACCTTTGAATTTCTAAAATGTTTGAAGTGACATAGTTAATTGGTACGGTATGCTCCTTTAATGTTCCCATGCACCTTTGAAATACCTTCTCAAAAGTCTGATAGACTATAAGGGTACTGTATGATCCTTTAAAATCCCCCAAAAGCTTCTATCATTGTATGTCCCTTTAAAATCCTTCCAGGACCACTCTAGATTACTGTACCTCCCTTTAATTAACCTCCCGTGCACTTTTTCCTCTAAAATCCAGAAAACCAGAAATTTCTCTTCAAAACACAAAAAATGTGTGCATTTTTCGTAAATATTTGCACACACATAGAAAAAAAAATGCGAAATTTACGGGAAAAAATTTTCAATCAGAAAAATGTTGGGTTTTTTGGATCGGGGCAAAGTTCAGGCTTGTCAGAAACTAGGTTAGGCTTTCAGGCCTAGGTTCAGGCTTGTCAAAATATGGTTTAGGCTCATTTTTCCCCCAATCAAAAACTCACCCATCTAGGCTTATTTTAGGCCCCTCCAGGCCCATTTCAAGCCCCCAAAAAGCCCGAAAAAAACTCACATCCGGAAATTTGGCAGTAATCGGTATCGGCCGCAAATGACATCGCCCCAATCCGGTCAAAATGTGACTTGGCGCAACTTGTGCATGATTTCCATTCGTCACAACACAACCATTTGCAATCGTCGTCACAGTTACCGTACCCTGTTGAGATGGTGCAACCGGTGGCAGGGTGGTACTGTAGTCGACGCCATTTGTGGCACTTGTTGTTGGTGTGGCGGCTGTGGGTGCAATTTGATTGGCTGTCGTGGCTGCGGCAGGAGAGGCAGAAGCTCCGGCTGCTGCAGCTTCGGCAAATAGTTGAAGCTGCGCAATTTGTTGTTCGTTCTGTAAGAAAATCGGACTTTTGAGCTACTCTCTGCGTCTCTAACCTCTACCCTGGTAATCTAAACATTACAGTAATTTTTCTCTAGCTTCTCTAACCCCTCTGCGTCTCTAACACTCCTCCGATTTTTGTTCAAAAATCGCTGTTCCCAATTTCTTCAAGGCCACAAATCCTTTCTCTTTTCATTTTCTCTAACTATACGTACTTGTGTTATTTATGTTGCGAAAATCGGTTTCGAACGAACAAAAAAAAGAAGAAAATTTTTCGGACACCCGCGATACTGTAGATTGAACTAAGTGGAAGGGAAATAGAGATAGGCTAAATTGATTTTGACATTTTTTTTATGAGATAAGACGGTTTTTCAATGCTGTAGGTCTGGGAGAAGATAAATTTTTTGAAAATGAAAAAAAAACCAAGAAAGTTTTGGGACTTTTGTAGCGCAAAAATGGTCAGATTACTGTAGAGTTTCCAGGCTCTTTTGGGCCAAAAAATCCACAGTAACCTAGTCAAATTTAGCCTAAAAAAGCAGGCTTTTTCGGGGCAAAAAATCCACAGTAACCCAGTCAAATCTAGTATCAAAAAGTGGGCTTCTTCGGACCTCGAAATCCACAGTAACCTAGTCAAATTCAGCCTAAAAATCAGGCTTTTTCGGGCCTCGAAATCCACAGTAACCTAGTAAAATCTAGTCTCAAAAATCAGGTTTTTTCGGGCCTCGAAATCCACAGGAACCTAGTAAAATCTATTCTCAAAAATCAGGTTTTTTCGGGCCTCGAAATCCACAGGAACCCAGACAAATCTAGGCTCTAAAATCAGGCTTTTTGGACCCTCAAAGCCCACAGTAACTCAGCCCAAAAAAAAATCCACTCACCATTCCACCAAAATTCGGATACTCGCGCGCAAATCGCTGCTGCAACATCTCGAGTTGTGTCTGTAGACGTTGATGTTCGGCCTGAGCTCGAGCCTGCGCTTCAACTTGAGCCTGAGCGGCCCGGGCCGCATCGGCTCGAGCCTGCGCGGCCTGTCGCTTCGCCAAATCGGCCTTCTCCTTGGCTCGTCGCTTCTCTTCCTCTTTTTCCGCGGCGGCCGCTTTTTGTCGAGCTGCGGCTTGCGCTTGCGCTTGCGCCGCAGCTACCGCAGCCGGATTGTTCATGAACTGCGCCAAAACTTCCGCTTGCGCTTGCAACAACATTGGATTGATGCCAACCGGAAATTGATGGTGTACTGTGGAAATTGGAAGGGGTACGGTGACTTGTGGTAGTGGTACTGTAGATGTTGTTGGAATTTGTTGAGCGACTGTGGTTGGAAGTACTGTAGTTGCTGGCAGGGGTACTGTAGATGATGACGTGGCAGGGATTTGTTGTTGTTGTTGTTGTGGTTGTGGTTGTTGACGATTTCCATTGGTGACAATTTTTGGTGACTGAAAAAAATGGGATTTTCAGATTTTCAGTGGAATTTTTCTAAAAAAAAATCAGGCTACAGTTCGAAATTTCAAGATCTTGGGAAATTTTCAGTTTCCGGTCTCAAATTTGAGTCTAAATTCAAAATTTCAAGTTTCAGAGCTTGAAATTGAGCTCACAACCTAAATTTGAAGTTTCAAGGCTCACAAATCATCCCGAAATTCAAAATTTCAAGCTCCTGGTCTTTAAAATCATTGAAAAATTCAAAATTTCCAGTTTCCGAGCTCAAATTTGAGCTAAAAATCCAAATCTGGAGTTTTCAGGATCAAAATTAGGCCAAAATTCCAAATTTTAAGTTTCCGGGCTCATATTTGAGTCTAATTTCGAATTTGAGCTTAAAATTGAGCTGACAACTTAAATTTAGAGTTTCTAGACTCAAAATTAAGCCCAAATTCAAGATTTCAAGTTTCCGGGCTCAAAAATCATCCTAAAATTCAAAATTTCAAGTTTCAGAGCTTGAAATTGAGCTCACAGCCTAAATTTGGAGTTTCTAGGCTCACAAATCATCCCGAAATTCAAATTTTCAGTTTCCGGGCTCAAATTCGAGCCTAAATTCCAAATTTCAAGTTTCCGAGCTTAAAATTGAGCTGACAACCTCAATTTGGAGTTTCTAGGCTCACAAATCAAATTCAAAATTCCAAGCTACTTGTCTTAAAAATCATCCAACAATTCAAAATGTCAAACTCCCAGGCTGAAATTGAACAAAAATTCAAGACTTCAAGCTCCTGGGCTCAAAAATCATCCCAAAATTCAAGATTTCAAGTTTCCATGCTCAAAATGGAGCCAAAACCCCCCTAAAAACTCACAAAAGTCGCCTTGACTTGAGCCTGAGCTTGAGCCTGTGCCTCCTTCGCCTTCTGCTCCTTCTCACGCTGCTCTCGCTCGAGCTTCCTCTGGGTTTGGATAAATTCCAATGTCGAGATCGACGGGTTGACCATTTGTTCCATCTCAAGCTGTTGTTGCTGATTGAACGCGATCATCGGATTTTCAGGCGGCCTTGGTGGGGCCAAAACAACCGAGCTGGGCCTGGGTGGAGCCTTGGGCTGTTGTTGAGCCTCAGGCACGACCTTGGGATGAAGCAACGATAGTGGTGGGACTTTGAGTTGTGGTTCAGGCTGAGTCGGCTTGGTCTGCTGCAGCTTGGCCTGAGCTTCGAGCTTAGCCATAATCTTCTTCTGAGCCATGGCCTCTTCATGAGCCATCGCTTGAGCTTTGAGTAGAGCCTGAGTCTTCAGAATGATCTGACTCGGGGTCTTCTCATGAGCTTGCTGCTCCTTCGGAGGCTCTTCCTGAATGTGAACTTGAATTAAAGACTGAACATCCGGCTCCACTTCGGGCTCCACTTCATCAACCACCGGTTCCTCGCAATAAATCTCCTCGAGAATTTGCTCGTCAGTAATCTCATATCTTCCCGATTTTCCCGTCGAACTTGGTGTGATTGCCGAAGTTGAGGCTGGTGCCAGCGGTGGCGGTTCAATGGTAATCTTTTGTTGGTGACGAGGAGCAGCTGAAGTGCTCGAGTTAGCCAAAGTCTGCTGCTGATGGCTGGCGTGGATGAAATCATGACTCGGATATTGCGGCTCCACATCATCGTCTTCATCGAATATCGATTGAACCGCGTCGGCAGTGTCCTGAAAATCAATTCAGGTTAGATATAGGGATTGCTCAGGTTAGGTAGGGCTCTGCGATCCTGGCGCCAAAAAACGTGCCAGGGTTGCAGGGATAGAGGAGAAGGGGGTAGGTCAATCTGTGTTTGTGGGCGCGTGGCTTCGATAGGCCACGCCCCGAAAACTGTGCGGCAAGATGAAAATAGGCTCCGCCCACAAAACCATGCACAAAAACCATGCGGCCACACAACAACAAAACCAAAACTCTACCTGATCCTGATGTCCTCGCGCCGCACGCGGATCCACAATAATCTCAATCGGTTGCGGTGGAGGCGGAAGCGCACGCGGAGTGTTCGAGTCGCCGCCGGCGGTCGCAGAAGGTGACGCAAGTGATGACGTGGCACCCGGCGGAATCTTACACACTTCGCGCTCCAGTTCGCGAATCACATCATCTGCCGAATCATCGGAATCCGAAGCACCGGAATCCGAATCTGAAGATGACGATGATGATGAATCTGATGAATCGACGGGTGGACCTTCGATCGATGTTGTCGATTCGTCGAGATCTTTGGAAGTTGAAGGTTCTTCCGAAGTTTGTGATGGGACTTGCTGCACCTAAAAATCACCACAACAATGACAAAAAAGAGAGAGAAAATAAATTGACAGATTTTCATGCATCGCCATATCAAATATCAAATTTTCTGGGAGGTCTCGACGCAAAAATGGTGTAATTTTCTAAACTATATCAATATGGGTGTCAAAAATCCTAAAATCACCTGGGGAATTCGAAAAACATTGTGAGAGATCGAGAAAATCGCAAATTTCTGAGATTTTCAAAAATCGAAAATTTTGGAAAAATTCCCTAGGTCAAAATTTGATCTAAATGGGTTTATGAAGATTTTTAGATGATCAGAGCATGTTCCTAAGGCCAAGCGGAGCATTTTAAGCCCAAAAAAGCTATGATTTGAAGAGTTTTGAAAATTGGTGCATTTTTGGCGCCAAAATGGTGCAATTTCAAAAGTTTTTCTAAACTATATCAATATGGGTGTCTAAAATCTTGAAATCCCCTGGGTAATCCAAAAAACATATTGAAAGCCCAAGAAAATCGCAAACCTAATCAATACGGGTCTCAAAATTCCCCAAATCACCCAAGGAATCCCAATATTTCCCTCAAAAAACTCACCAAACTCGCGTCAAAACTCTTCACCGACGCTTTCGTCGCCAACAATCGCGGTTTCTGCTGATTATGCTCCTGAAGTGCTTCCGAATCCATCGATGATACCGATGTTTTGGGTGTAGGCGAAACAAGCTTCTGATTATTTTCCGTCGAGTTGGTTACCGTACTACTTTGCGACGCCGACGATGAGGTACGGTATCGCTGACGTGGCGAAATCATAGCCGGAGGTCCAGTAGCAGCAGGTTGCGCAGTTGATGTTGAGGGCGAGGCAAGTACTGTAGGTGGTACTGTAGTGGCTACAGTAACCGGCGGAGGTGGTGGTGTTGCACCATCCGATGAAACATCTTCCAAATTATTCTCGATCGAAGTTGATGGTGCCGCCCGTTTTGACGGTGGCGGTTTTGTGGAGCTTGAAACTTGAGCTGCAGTTTCAGATGGTGTTGAAATTGGTGGCGGCGAGGGATTGGTGTGACGCCGTTTTTGACTACGGTATTTTTCCATGATTCGGTTAATCTGGAAAAATTGGAATTTGAGGTCACATTGCTCATGTTAACTATTTATTGAGGAAAAAAATCCACGTGGCTAGAACTATTGAAATTTGGAAAATTGGAACTTTTTAAGCTGAGAATAGAAATTTCTAATATGAGCAATAAATTTCATAAATTTTATTTTTTCAAAAAATTTCCAAAACTTGAAAAATTAAAAAGTCGATGTTTTTGGCCAAAAATCTTCCCAGAGTCAAAATGTAGCTCAGATTTCAGTCAAAAACATTTCCCAGCTTCAGAAACCGTAATTTTCACGTTCCAGAGGTCAAAAATAGCTCAAAATGTAGCCAAAAGCCTGATTTTCCCAATTTTTCAATTCAAAAATGATCTCATGTGTAAAAATCGCTAATTTTCACGTTTCCAGGATCACAAATATGGTCCCAGGGTTGAAATTAAGCTATTTTTTGGCTCTAAAATCGTCCCAGGTCAAAATTTAGCTCAAAATTCATGTTTTTCGCTCGAAAATAGCTCAAAATGTAGCCAAAACGTGATTATTTCAATTTTTCAATTCAAAAATGATCCCAGGTGTAAAAATCGCTAATTTTCACGTTTGCAGGATCAAAAATATGATCCCAGGGTTGAAATTAAGCTTGAACTTCATTTTTTGGCTCCAAAATCTTTCCAGGTCGAAATTTAGCTTAAAATGCAAGTTTTTCGCCCAAAAATAGCTCAAAATGTAGCTGATTTTCCCAATTTTTAAATTCAAATCTCCTCACCTCTTCATCATCCTCCTTCCTACTCTTCTTCTTCTTCTTCTCAACCCTTTCCTCTTCTTCATTTTCCGCCATTTTCCTCTTTCTCTTTTCTTTTTCCTCCTTCTTCTTCTCTTTTTTCCGTTTTTTCAGCATTTCTGCTTCTTCTTCTTCATCATCCGAAATTGCTCCAAACACATCATCCATACTCATTTTCTTCTCCTTCTCTTTTTTCTTCTCCTTTTCAGCTTTTCGTCGTTTTCGCCGAATTTCAGCCTCATTTTCAGCGTCATCTTCGGATCCTTCTCCAGAACTCGATTCTTCAGCCGATTCTTTGCTTTTCTTCGATTTCTTTTTGGATTTCGCAGCATTGCTCATATTATCCGCATCATCTGAATCTTCTTCTTCTCCATTATTTTCAGCAGCTGAAGATTCTGATGAATCCAACAGAATTCGACGCTGAAAAAATCGGATTTTTTTGAATAAACAATTGGGGATTGCTCATGTTAGAGACTTGAAAATTTAGATTTTCCAGGTTTTTGAGAAAACACTTTTAAAAAGTCTAAGAATTGCTCATATCATATATTTTTGAACTTTTTAAATTCTGAAAAAATCGATTTTTTGAGTGATTGCTCATGTTAAACTTTTCAAGGTTCAAAAAAATTCGGAAATTCTGACATGAGCAATTTTGGTGTCGAAAAATGCAGAATTTCCTGTAGATCAAATCCAGGATCACATGGCTACTGTAGATTTTGGCGCCAAAATACAGTAATGGTATTTTGACGTGACAAATTTCACAATTTTTTGAAACCTATTTTTTCCCGAATTATTTTTGGCGCCAAAACCTGCAGTAACCTGCAATACCAGTTTTTCAGACTAATATGAGCAATCTGAGGGACTTCGGGTTAACATGAGCAATTTTTGGAATTTTTATCACAAAAGTCGCCTAAAATGAGCAATCCTGAGAATTTCATATTAACATGAGCAATTGTGAAATTTTCATAACTTTTTTCAGACTAATATGAGCAATATTGAAATTTATATCCCAAAATTCACCTAAAATGAGCGATTACCTTCAAATTTAGTATCATAATACTCCCCCGACTTCCCAAATCCAAAAATTTCCCGACTCACCGGTCCACCCTTCTTCGCCGCTCCCCGAATCTTCTCCAAACTCTCATTCTTCTTCTTCTCCACCTTATTCCTCCGACTCTTCACCTTCTCAATAATCGATCCCTCACTCAACAGTATCGCCAATCGCCGATCCCTCTGCTCTTGCGTCAAATCCTTATCTCGAACTTCTGCTGCTGTCGCCTCGTCGCCTGTGCTCTCCTCACTTCCCGTACTCTCTCGTTGTTGCTGCTTTCTCTTCTTCTTCTCCTCCTTTTTCCTCTGCTTCTCCTTCAACCTCTGCTTCTCCTCCTTCTTCCTCTGCTTCTCTTTCAATCTCTGCTTCTCTGCTGCTGCCGCTGCTGCCGCCGCCTCTTTCTCTCGAATCCTCTCCTTCTCTCGCTTCTTTTCCTTCTTTCTCTCCTTCTCCTTCTCTTTCTCCCTCTCTTTCTCTCTTTCTTTTTCCTTCTCTTTATCCTTCTTTCCGGAATTCGGAGCCAAACCTGGAGCTTGCGGACTTGTCAAAGTGCTGCCCGGTGTGCTCGGCGCACTATTCTTCTTGAAACTCGGCAAACCCCAGAGGCTCTGCGTTGGATTGAGCATCTTATTTATCACATTCTCGCCAACAGTGGGTGTTTTGGGCACATTTTCCGACATACTTCGAGACTGAATCCCAGCAGGTTTTATTGGATTCTGCAATCCAACAGGCACCGAAACCGAATCATGTCGTTTGACCTGAGCAATCGTTTTCGACGTCGAATCTTTTTTGGTGGGCGCAGGGGGTGACATCATTTTGGCGCCGCCTGCGCTAGGAGGCACCGGAGCGGATTTTGGCGGGAGATATGGTGGTTGTGGTGGTGCGGAGAGGATGGGTGACGGCATTTCTTGAGCATTCGACGGTTGACGGGAGACTATGGTGGCTGGACGTTGTGATAGCGAGATTGATGAGTGACGGGATGATGTGCCCTGCAAAAATAGTGGGATTTTTGAGAGTCTCCAGAAGTGATAATGGCTTCTGAAGCTTGCGGATGATCTTCGGAGCTTTTAGAAGCCGAAATCTAGGCTTTTTCGGGCTCAGAATAATTCCAATGAGCTCAGAAATCCAAAAATCACCAAATTTAGATTCTAAATATTCCCCAGATCCTCTAGATTTCGAAAAACGTTTGATTTCAGAAGTCCAGATGAACCCAGAGCTTCTGAAATCCCGAAAATTCAAAATCTAACCTCATCGGGGATCAAAATACCCCCAAGAACCTTCAAATTCTAAAAAACTCCAAATTCTAGGTCAAGGTGGTCCCAGAGCTTCTAAACTATCAAAAATCTCTAATTTTGAGCTCAGAAATCCAAAAATTCCCAAATTTAGTTAATAAATGATCCTCAGAATCTCTAGAATCTAAAAATCCCCAAATTTGGGCTCTAATTGCTCCCCTGAACTTCAGGAATCCAAAATCTTCCCAATTAGCTCAGGAATATTAAAATCATCAAATTCAGATTCTAAATGATTTTCAGAACCTCCAGAATCCAAAAAAAATCACCAAATCTGAACTCTAATTGCTTCTCAGAATCTCTAGAATCTGAAAATCATCAAATTTAGGTTCTCATTGCTCTCCGGGACCTCAGGAATCCAAAAACTAGGCTTTTTCTTCTAAATTATCAAATTCTGAATCTTAGGCTTTAGATTCTGAATGATTTTCAGCACCTCAGGAATCCAAAAACTAGGCTTTTTCGGGCCCAATAAGCTCTAGACTCTAAAAACCATCAAATTTAGATTCTAAACGATCCTCAGAACCTCTAGAATCCAAAAATCACCCCCAAAAAACTCACCCCAGGACTCATCAACGGTTTTGGTGTCATTCCAGTCATCATGGCCGCTGTCGATGTTGAGATTGTCGAACTCGACGGTCCAGGAATCGCAATACTCAACGGTGGCGGATGCGATTTCGAATTTGCCGGCGGGATAATCGGTGCAACCGCACTTGTCGTCGGCAGAATATCGGCAAACTCATTCACAACTCGCTGCCTCTCCAAATGACTTAGCCTATCTCGAATATCCGCGAGCTCTCCGCTTCCTCCCGACACTTTTTTGAGACCAAATCGCTTGGCGGCGGGGCCGTTTCGATCAATATTCTCCTGGTTTTGATTCAGATTTTGGTGGTTCAGGCCTGAATTCGGGCCTGAATTCGATGTCGAGATCGCATTCTGATTGTGTGAAGTTGAAGTTGACGTTGATGGAGCGCCTCCAATCGAAATCGGGTGAAGCGGATGATAGTTTTGTGATGTTTGAAGAGGGGTTGATGTTGCCAGAGGTGTGGCTGGTGTTGAGGGTTGAGATGTTTTGAGACGTTCGCCAAAGATGTCGATTTTCTGGAATGATAAGTTGGATTAGAGAGCATTTTGAACTCAAATCCTGGAATTTTAGATGAAAATTCTTGAATAAACGTGGAATTCCAGATTTTCCGAATTTTCAAAAATCAGATTCAGGCTTCAAAATCCTGCAATATCCGGAATAATTTTTGAGCTAAATGTTTTTTTAATTTCAGGTCAAGTTTTCAGCATTTCAAAAAATTGGATTATTTTAGCCTTCAAAATGCCGTGTTTGAAAAAGCCAAAAATTTAGATTAAATTAATTCAGGCTCCAATATTCTTGGCTCATTTTCAGCTAAAAACTTGAGGGGTTTAAAATTAGGTTCTTCTGATTAAAGGCCAGAAAATTCCTCATTTTCAGGCTAAACTTTTCAAATTAAAGCTCCAAAACCCCGTACCAACCTTCTTGATCAACGAGTTATCAAAACTCTTGGGCGGCGGCGCGCACAACAAATCCAGCGAACTCGGCGGCGGTGGCGGATAATTCGTCACACCTTCTCCATCACTCACATAATCATCATCATCCGAAGAGCTGGCCATAATTGCTCCACCAGATATCCTTCGTTGAGCCGCCTGTTGACTCTGATGTGAATGGCTAGAATTGTGATGGTTGTGGCTTGAATTCGAGCTATGATGTGCTCCAGAATTGTGATGTTCTTGCGGTTTCTTGACAATTGATCCAGAAGATCGATTCGATGATGAAACTGCAGCAGGCTTGTGTGAAGAACTTGGCTGCGAAGAATTTCGCGGCACCGGCCACGTGTCATTTGTTTGGTGTAAGGCTGCAGAAAACATGTTTTATTAGTGTTAATATGAGCAATGCTAGATTTCATTCGTAAAATTGATTAACATGAGCAATGCCCCAATTTTTGTGTGTGTTACGGAAAAAGTCTAAGCATTACTCATGTTAGTCTAAAAACAGGATTTTTTCAGGGAAAATTGGTGTTAATATGAGCAAAACTCGCTTTTCTTCAACAAATTGTTTAACATGAGCAACTCAAAATTGAAAATTTCGAGGATTATAGTTGAAAAAACCCAGGACTGCTCATAATAGTCAAAAATCGTGATTTTTTTGAGAAAAAAAATCTAGGGATTGCTCATATTAGTCAAAAATCGTGATTTTTTGAGAATAACCACAGGATTCCTCATATCCGTTTTGAAACCACTAGGATTGCTTAGATTAACTTTAGAAAAATGCAAATTTGCTCATTTTTACTCAAAATTGTCTAGGATTGCTCATATTAATCAAAAACCCTTGATTTTCAAGAAAGAAAATCTCAGAATTGCTCATTTTAGTTAAAAAAAACCCTAAAATTGCTCATATTAACTCAAAATTCACCAGGATTGCTCATATCAATTTTCCAAGGTTTATGGAGTAAAAAAAAACTCAATTTTCCCACTCCCAACATCCCAAAACACTTACAAGGCATATTCTCGCCAAATCGATAAAACAGCAAATTTGTCTTGGGCGGGCCGGCCCGCCGCGTTATCGCCTCATTGTTGCGCGTGTATGGAACACGGTAGACGGGGATGCGAGTGGCGTTGCGGTTGCGCGGATCTCGTGGGATAATCGGCGCGTTCGGCGGCACTTCGAGCGGTACCACTAGTTCGGGTCGGATGTTTTTGAGCGGTGTGTGCGGGGCTTGAGAAGATGATGTTGAATCTTGACTGGGCCGCTTGTGTTGAAGATTGGGTTGGGGTGGTCGAGGTGGGACCGAGGGTTTTGGTGGAGCCTGGAGCTTGGACCTGAGACGTGCTTGGCGCTTCCACAGAAGCCTGAACTTCAACCTCCTCCGGCGGTGCTGGCGGTGTCGAAGGTCCAACGATCGGAGGTGGTGGGGGCGGAGTTGGCGGCTCAATAATCGGCGGCGGTGCTGGCGGGGGAGCCAACGGTCCTTCCGCAAAGAATCCAGAAGCCTTCTGATGTATACTTCGCACAACTGACGGTGATCGCGTGTCTCGACTGCGATGCGACGCTTCCGAATCGCGACGATGTCGCTGGCGACTTGGTGAGCGTCGATGTCGATGTGAAGTGTGTCGAGAGGAGGAATTTGATGAGTCTTGTTGATGTTTTCGTCGATGAGGGGAGCGAGATTGACGGCGAGATGAGCGATTTCGACTTGATGAGTTGGAGGAACTCGAGCTGGAGCTCGATGAATTTGATGTTGAACCTGATGATGATGATGAAGATGTTGACGAGGTTCGGCTGAAAACATCAGAACTATTTCTAAAAATTTGAATTTTTCAAAAATTCGCTAAATTCTCAATAGAGCGCATTTGCTAATTTCACGGTAAACAACCGAATTTTGATATTCTAGGGGTCTATTTCGGCGGGAAATTTGAATTTTCATAGTTTTTAGGGTTAGAAACGACGTAGAAGGCTAAAAACGGCTTTGAACCATATACTGGGTGTCTAAAAATTTGAATAGTTCCGAATCCCACCAAATTCTCAATAGAGCGTATTTGCTAATTTTAGAGTAAAATCGTCGGATTTTGATGTTCTAGGGGTTACTTTCGGCGGGAAATTTGAATTTTCAAAGTTTTTCAGGGTTAGAAATGCCCTAGTAAACCAAAAAATGGCCCATTCCAGACAAAATTAATGAAAAAAGTGGAAAATGTGACAAAATGAATGATTAATATTAAATCTCCTTGGTTTTTTCTCATTGTATCACTTTTTGGAGCGGGTTTCCGTGGAAACCGAGATTTGCACTTTTTCCTTTTCGATTTTTTGGATTATTATTATTCATTAGTATAGAAATTTGAGCTTTTTCGGCTTAAAAAAGCAAAAATATTGTTTGAAATCGGGGACTAGGTTTACAAATTTGTTTTTCTAGTCCCAGAGTTCAAGATTCTCTAAAAATGCGGTTTTTGGTGTCAAATAGCCCAGAAATCCAAATTTTAGGGATTTTTTAAGGAAAATTGATTTGAAGTCGAGGACTAGGATTCCAGATTTGGTTTTCTAGTCGCCGATATGAAAATTCTCTTTAAAAATGTGCTTTTCGGTGTCAAATAGCCTCAGAAATCCAAATTTTAGGAATTTTCTACGGAAATTTGGTTTGAATTCGGGGACTAGGATTCCAGATTTGGTTTTCTAGTCCCCGAATTCCTTAAAAATACTCATGTTTGGTCTTAAAATGTTCCAAATTTCGCGCCAAAACCTACAGTACCCCCCAAAAAGCACCCACCTTCTCTTCTTCGAGCCCATCGTCCTATCTCTTCCCGATGTCCCATTTCCTCGATGCCGCGACGACGCTTGCGTCTCATATCGTCGCGGCGGCGGTCCGCGCGGAATTGGCCGCGTCGACGACTCGCGACTTCTTGATCTTCTTCGCGACGACGACGACGATTGTGGTGTGCGACTGCGTCGCGAGTCGCGATGTCGCACCGCGGCCGCCGGCGCAATTTGCGTAGCCGCCACAAAACTCGGCATGTTGGGTGGTGGATTGGGTGGCGGTGCGAGAAGCGGTTCGGCCACTTCCTGCGGGACTCCTAGAGCTGGGAAACCCGGTGGAGGTGGCAAAATTGACGATGAAGAATCCTGAGTTAGTGTATGTTGATGTTTGCGATCGATGAAATGCTCGTAGAGTCGTTCCGAGCAATAATCCGCAGCTATCCGCTGATCTCCGTCCGGAAATTTGAAGTAACTGCAAAAAATCGGGGTTTTTGGGGAGAAATTGGTCCATAACATGAGCAATGCCTAATTTTTTGAATATTCAAAAATTAGGAATTGCTCATATTAGCCTTCATCTCTTCAAATTCAAGCTCCAAACAATCAGTTAACATGAGCAATGCCCAAAAATTGATCATTGCTCATTTTAGAGCCCAAAAATCCCAAAAAAAAAAGCACTCTAGCTCAATTTTTTGCGGAGAGCTTTGCACAAATGAAATTTCATTTGGGGGGGGGGCGGTTAGACTTAGGCTAAAACTAATGAAAAAAGAGCCAGAAAAATGGGTTTCCGGGCTCATTTTGCGGAGGGGTGAAAAATGGACCAAATATTGGATTTTTGGATGAAAAATTGGCCGAGAAAATGAAATTTTGGCAAATTTTTAATCAAGAAAATGATTTCCGGGTAATTTTTCAGGCTTTCGGAGCAATTTTCGGGTTGAAAATTGACATTTACAGAATTTTCAGATGAATCTAAAGCAGAATAAGAAAATGCTCAAAAATTAGTCCGGAAATTCCAATGTTTTTCCAATTAAGATGAAAATATGCCTTAAAATGCCCTAAAGATCCAAGAAGCCCTTGAAAACTCATATTTTTAACGAGTTTTAGGTCCAAAAGCCTGAAACGGCCCAGAAAAAGCCCCCAATGGTCAAATAATACAACTTCTTCACAAGGCTAGGCTACAAAAAATAGCAGAAAAAAATGGAGAGAGTGCGAGACACAAAATGACGAGGGTGGAAATAGTGTGGAGAGCAGAGAGAGTGAGCCAGACATACAAAGACATCCAAAAATGGATCTTCTTTCTTTTCAGGCTTCTTCTTCTTCTTCCTCCTCACTTTTTATGTCTAGCCGCTCTCTTACTCTCTCGCCTTTTTCTAATTTTCTTTTTGTGTCTAGCATTCTCTCAAGCGAGAGAGAGAGAGAAGAAGAAACTGAAATTAAACCGGGTGGTCCCTGGGTCAAAAAACTGGCACCCAGACCGAATTTGAGGCTTTCGGAACCAAAAATCCATAGTTTCAACCCAAAAATGCTCCCGGAGCTCAAAAATCCCCTGAAAAACTCACAAAGGCTTTGGTTGACTTGAGCGAATTCGATTGTAAGCCTGCGTGGCGGATTCCGGTGACGTGAATACAATAATTGCCTGAAAAGCAAAAAAAAAAAATTGAAAATTGATTTTTTTGAAAATATTAAAAGTTGGAAAAATTTCGGGTAGATCAGATCAAAAAATTTTTTGAAAACAATTTTTTCAACCTGAAATTGAAGAAAATTTGAAAATGTTTAATTTCAGGTCAAAAAATAGCCAAGAAACAAGATTTGAACATGTTTGAAAATTTGAATTTTTTAAAAACCCGGCAAATTCTCAACAGAGCGCATTTGCAAGTTTTGTCGGATTTTCAACTTCCCGGGGTCAATTTTGATGGGAAAATCGAATTTTAGGTCATTTTTAGTCAAAAATTCCAGATTTCCAGCTTACCTGCTTGGCTCTCATATCAACATTCACATCTCCAACATCATCCGAAAGTGTCCTCAATTTCTGAACAATATAATCCATCTGCGCTTTTTCGGGCAAATTTCCAATCCATAATTTGTTGGAAGTCATTGATCGTCCAAAATTTGGCTGAAAATTTCAGATTTGATAAGAAATGGACAATTTTGACCCGGGTTTTCGAAAAATTCAAAAATTTCCAATTCATCATTAAAAATGACTCATGTTCAGCTGAAAATTGTGAAAAAATCCAATTTTTATACAATAAAAAGTGGGCGTGGCTTAATAATGAGATTTTTGATATCAAAACATTGCAAAATGTTTATTTTTAGACGATAGATAAGATGAGCAATCGGATATTTTGTTGAGAAACAAAAACATCACAAAAAAATCATGAAATTCTCTAGATTTTCATAGTTTCCGGCTTATTTGAAAATTTGAATTTCTCAAAAACCCGCCAAATTCTCAATAGAGCGTATTTGCCAATTTTAGGGTTAAATCATCAGATTTAAACGTTCCGGGGGTCAAATTTGATGGGAAAATCGATTTTTCATGTTTCCAGGCTCAAAAAAACCCCAAAAACTCACCCTTCCCTTCTTATTCGCTCCCAAATGTGCATTAATCGCTTTGACACTCGAATCAATATCAGCAAATTGTAGAAAAGCGAAAGGACTGGGCGATTCGAAATTCTTCACATCCACATCCAGAATCTCGCCAAATTTCGAGAATCGTCGCTTCAGATTCTCTTCAGATATTCGAGATTCCAATCCACCAACATAAAGAGTTCGCGAGGCTTTAGGGTGGAAAATATCAACTTCATCTTGACTTTGAAATGAGCCCGAAGATGAATTGAGGCCGAGGGCCGATGAATTTAGGCTCATTTGACTGGGATTTTGGCTGGATGCCAGATTCGGCGGAATTCCACGTTTATAAGAGGCGACTTGTGATTGGAGTACTGTGGATGGTAGTTGTTGTTGAGTTATTGATTGATTTTGTGAAGAAGATGAAGCGCATTTTATTGAATTTGGTAGATCAGATGATTCTTTTGTTGAAGAAGATGTTGATGGTTGAGATGATGTGGCGCTGAAAATACAGATTTTGGGTGCGAAAATCGGAAAAATCCGATATTTCTAACCTATTTCCAGCATTTCTAAATATTTGAATTTTCCAAAAAACCACCTAATTCTCAATGAAGCAAATTTGCTAATTTTAGAGTTGAAATCGGGATTTTTCCAAGTTTCTGGGGTCAAATAAGGCGGGGAATGGTAAAAATTGGTATGTTTTGATCCTGGGAACCTTTTTAACTCAAAAATTGATAACTTTGATCTTTTTGAAGCTTAAATTGGCCCAGGAAGCTCAGATTCAACTGAAAATTCAGGTTTAATCTGAGCAATCCTATCAAATTTAATCTCAAAATGCTCAATTTCAGCTCCCAAATCCAAATTTTCCTAAAAATTACCTTGAAAATGGCGCCACACGTAATCTGACACGTTGTCCAAGAATATTTAAATACGGCTCTTGTTGAACTTTCTCGTGGTCGATTCTGCAACAAAAATACTTGATTTCGGATCAAAATTAATCAAAAATGATGAATTTTCGGTCGAAAATCGTGAAAAATCATGATTTTTCACCCCAAAACCCGTCCCGAAATCCACCGTACCTTTGAAACCAAACCACAGCCTTTCTTCCACAATCACCGTCGTTCTCAATCAATATTTCTTGTAAATTTCTACCGTATCTCTTCAGCGCCTCTTTGATATGCTCCTTTAATGTTCCCTCACTTCTAACCGGTAGTTTTTCAACAATTATCGCCTGAAGTACTGTAGTTGATTGGGGCGCTGTTGTTGTTGAGGAAGATGTTGAAGAGGGAGTTGATGAAGTGGAAGACACGGGATTTTGGGCTACTGTAGCTGCTGATGTTGATGGTTCGCTGGAAAATTTAGATTTTTTTTGGAATCTAGGTGAGATTTGGAGCATTTTGAGCCCAAATACTGTACAAATTTGAAAAAAATTGGCGATAGGTTCCCCTGCGCGGGAGCTGAAATTTTCTGAAAATCCTGAGCTTTTTCAGCTGGATTTTCAGAAAATTACAGATCCGGCAGGTTTTTCAAGCAAGTTTAGGTGATTTTTTGAACCCAAACTCAATTTAAAAAAAAAAAAAATTGACGATAGATTCCCCTGCGCGGGAGCTGTAATTTTCTGAAAATCCCGAGCTTTTCCAGCTGGATATTCAGAAAATTACAGATCCGGCAGGTTTTTCAAGCAAATTTACGTGAACCTCAAAAATTCAATTATCAATTTTTTGAGCTCAGAAAACAGTCTGAATCCATGTTTTAAAATCAAGTTTCGGTCAGAAATCGTAATTTTCTGATGAAATTTCATCAAAAAATCAGGATTCCCGGGTAAAAACCCATAATTTTTAGTGATTTCCGGGTGAAAATCGTCCATTTTCGCACCCAAAACCCTAGCGAACACCCAATTTCCCAATCAAAAAACTACGCACAGTCAGTCAGTCACACAGCAAAAAAACACGGTCTATTTTCCCCCATTCTCTCTGTCTATTATTTGTGAAAAGATAGATCAGACAGCGCGAGAGAGTATGGAGAAATGCGAGAGTGCAGAGGGAAAAAGGTCGCGGGCGCAAGGGGCGCGCGCGCCGGCCAAACAAAACAAAGACAAGAGGAGCAAACGGCTCGCGCGGGGTCAAAAAGCGAAAGTTAGAGAGTGTGGGATTAGGAGAGAGTGCAGACATAGAGATGAATACAGGTCAGGTGGAGCGTATTTGCTTCCGGGTGTTGTATTGGACAAAATACTTTTTGCGCGGGAAAAATTGATTTTTATATAAGTTTCAGTCAAAAACCGCAATTTTCCCACGATTATAGCTTCAGCTTGGAAAAAGTATGAGATTTTTCGTACTTCAGATATATTTTTCTTGAAAATTCGTTGGTTTTTGATAGAATTGTGGTTTTTACCAATACTTTTTTGTATTTTTCATGAAAATTACCACATTTTTCACGCTATTTACCTAGTTTCCCTGGAACTTTTCGCCCCCTGCGATTCCCTAGTCAATCGTTTCAATGTGCTCTTTTGCAACGCAATATTAAACACATTTGCCGCGTTTTCTTTGGGTTTTGGCATTGGCGTAAGTCGAAAACTTGTAGTCGGAGCACTTGTATTCAATGTGCTTAGTGGATTTGTGACTTGAGAAGATGTGCTGCAAAAATTTGCGATTTTTTAACATCAAACTCGATATTTTTACCTTTTCATTGATAAATCTGGTTCATGGAAGTTAATAGTGAAAGGAATATTTGAATCCAGCAAATGCTCTCCTTGATATGCTTTTTGTGCACTTCGAACATCATTGAAACTAACGATTACACTCTTATCCGCCGGATTTTTATCGATTTTCTGGACTTTTCCGTAGATCGCGAAAAATGCGGTGATTTTTTCGATTGTCAGGTTTTCTGGGAGACCATGAACTGCAACATGTCTCGATTCTCTTGATAAATTCATTTGAACCATGGTTTCATGCTGGAAATAGATAGAGTTTTGCTGGAATTTCGAAAAAAAAATGATTGTTTGAATTCCCGCGCTCTGCAATTGTGCGTCACTGTGCAAACACCAACGCGCGAAAACAAAAAAACAAAACTCACTTTTTCGCTTTTCTTTTCTTCTTTCTGCTTTCTCGTGTGTTAATACGAATTTTTTTCTGAAAACAGACGATTTTTATGAGGCGCAAAATGATTCCAATAGACAAATCAATAAGAAATGACGTGTATTTAAATGATGCTTATTGAGAAATTACGAAAAGGTCACGTTACATTGCCCAAATTTCATCAACACATTATTTTTTGGGCCAGAAAATTGAATGTGGATGGAGTTTTGGTGCAAAAATCACCGGAAAAGCCGGTGTAAGCGGATTTAGTAGGTATAAGGAGATTTTCGCGTGATAAGTCTCGGCTAAAAACGAGGTTTTGGTATATATACGAAAATAATATATAACTAGCTTTTTAGCTGAGAAAGGTGAAAATTTAGAAAATAATTAAGAAGAGACAGGTGAAATCAAACTTTTTGTTCAAAAAATCGAAGTCTTGGCTGACAAGATTTCATCGCAGAAAATACCAATTTGGTACGTTCACTGTTTCAGACAAAAAAAGCTGAAACAAAATTTGTAGCGAGAATTTGACGAAACTCATATTGAAGTCTAAAATTCTGCATTTTGTAGGCTAAAACTACGAGCACTACGCTTCTAATTTTCAAATAGAAAAGAAACCTGCCGGATTTTTGAGGTTTCTTGGGCTGACAACTTTGAGCTTAGAATTTGAGCTCAAGCGCAGCCCCAGGAATTTCCTAAATCCCTCCAAAATAATGCTAGAATTCAGCCGGATCTGTAATTTTCTGAAAATCCAGCTGAAAAAGCTCAGGATTTTCAGAAAATTCCAGCTCCCGCGCAGGGGAACCTATCGTCAATTTTTTTTTAAATCTGGAAGCAGCTCTCGAGCTCGAAAACTAGAAAATAATAAGATTGAGATTCAGTTTTATGAGCCTAAAAGCTAAAAAAAAACCATGGTGTCCTTAAAGAACCTTGGCAACCAGCCAATCTCACAATCTCCCGCCAAAATCTTCCCGGCAAGGTCATCCCTCCCTTCTATTATCTAAAATCAAAGGTAGTCTAATCGCGCCCCACGGCTAAAAATAGTTGTATGTGTGAGTGACTACAAAAAAACAGCAAATCTCTCCAAAATACAAATATATATTTATATATATATAATATGTGTATATATATATATATACATAGAGAGACAGAGACAAGTTAGCAGTTATGTTTCTCTGCGTCTCTTTCGCACTCTCTCCCCCATACGCCACGCTTTGTTGTGTCTGGCGTCTCGCACTCTCTCGCCTCTCCACATACCGCCCATCTTTCTTCTCTTCTCTTTTCACAAAACATTCGATTCGCCTTCGCCTAGTCTTCACAAAATATATATATATATATACACATTAAACGGCCTAAAAAAGGTTTTTAAGGTTCTTAAAGTATATGTAAACGTATTTTAAGAGCTTTAAGATTCTCGGAAGCTTCATAAAGCCCGAAAAAACCATCCCAAGCCCCCTCAGACATATTTTTTGGCCCGAATAGGACCATTTTGGCCGTTAAACGAGCATCGTTAATGCTGATGCTCGTTTTCCCCGCAAAAAGGGGCGGTCAAATTTGGGTTTCAGATAATTGCCGCTTTTTAGCTGGCCCGACTCTCACGCGACGTTTTGGCCGATGGATAAAAGCCCTTTTTATTGGGCTTCGATTTGGATCAAGGACAAAAAAACAAGGAATTTGAGAGAGAGCTAAATATTCTGAGAAAACATTAAAATCTAGGGGTTTTTGGCTGAAAATTCGAGATACTTGCCTAAAAAATCGATAATTTTAAGCTTGGAGAGCTAGATTTTTCAAGAAAACTGAACATTTTGAGCTGAAAAACTCTGTGTTCCATTGAAAATTCATAATTCTTCTGAAAATCAAGGGTTTTTTGGTGAAATTCTAAGATTTTCGCTGGTTTTAGCCTGAATATCACATATTTCGAATTTTCACCTCAAAAATCCCCAAATTTTCAGCTAAATACAAATTTTCAGCCATCCAAACAACAACCAAAACAATAACACCACCCATTCTTCATTTCTCCCCTTTTTCCCAATCAATAATCAATAACAGTCTCTAGCAGTCTGCGTCTCTCTCAAATACCACACTCTCTCACCGTTGATTATCATCATCTCATCTTTCTTCTTTACAACAACAAAAAAATGGACAGCCAGTCAGCAGAAAAAAAAAACAACGCGACCTCCAACACGACACAATTCATTTTTCTCTAACCGTCTTCTCCACTCTCTCATCTCACAACACTCTCTCGCTGTCTAACAGTCTCTCCTGCTCTAGTCATTTCCCTCACTATTTCGTCACCTTTTGGCAAATTGCCCATTACTCCGTCTGCACTCTCTCATCTCCCCATTATCCCTCGTTGTCTAACTGTCTCTCCTACTCTCCTCATTTCCCACACTCTATCACAGCCTCTTGGCAAATTGCCCATATTTTTTGCCTCCCTTCTGTTTGAGTGTGTAAAAAGGGGGATGAGGGGTTTTGGAAGGGTGCCAAGAGGTTTTTGGCGCCAAAATTATGCTACAGTATTCTTACTACGCTACTTTTCTAGTATTCACAGGATTCCAGAAAATTCTGAATTTTATTTTTGAGAAAAATTAAAGTTTTTGAATAATTAAATTTGGGATTTTTTGGAATTCTGCATTTTTTTTTGAGGAAAAAGGTGAGTTTTGGGGGAACATTCTAGAATTGCGCTCCAATGCAAAAAATGCGGGAAATCCCAAAAATTCAAAGTTTTTCTCTGTGAAAAAATGCAAATACGCTCCATTGATAAAACCCAGAATTCCTTGAAATTTCAAATTTTCCCAGTGAAAAAGTGCAACCGCGCTCTATTGATAAAACCCAGATTTCCTTGAAAATTCAAATTTTCCCAGTGAAAAAAATGTAAGCGCGCTCCATTGATAAAACCCAGAAATCCTATAAAATTGAAATTTTCCCTGTGAAAAAAATCAAACACGCTCCATTGAGAAAAACCTCATTCATTATCAATATGATATACGATATATACAACACAATTTTTTTTTAATACTTGGGCTTAGGCTTACAGAAAAGGGGCCAAAAGGGCTTTTTGGAAAAGCCCCTTGGCCTACCAAACAACACATCGTTTCTCGGGGTTCATACGACTTCCGGGCTTGCATTGGAAGGCCTGCGCAAATTCAGGCTGATTCGAGAGGACCACATTAACACGGGCCACTTCAGGACTGTGTGGGTCGGTTAGAATCTGATTGGTTTTCGCCTCATCCGTTTTCGATCCACACCAAACTTGCGCATATCCAATATAGAATAATTGCTCATTGGTGACTTTTTCAAAGCCCGGCAATCGAGATTCGGCCCCATGTTTAGCCAAATAGGCCTGGTAGGCTTTGAACGACTCTTTGACTCCTCCATTATCCGCAATATTTTCGCCCAATGTCAATTTTCCATTGATATTCATATTGATTCCGGGGATGACGATTTCGGAATATTGATTTTTGATACATTCGGCTTTTTGGGCATATTTTGTGGCTGTTGTGTTATCCCACCAATCTCGCAAATTTCCGATATTGTCAAATTGTTTTCCAGTGTCGTCGAAGCCGTGGGTGATTTCGTGACCGATTACAGCACCGATACCACCGTAGTTGAGGGCTCTGCAAAAATTTGGGATTTTTTTTTACCCAAATGAGCCTAGACTTAGGCTTAGAAAATTGACGATAGGTTTCTCCTGCGCGGGAGCTGGAATTTTCTGAAAATCTCAACATTAAGCTGTATGTTCCGAAAATTACAGATCCGGCAGGTTTCTTAAGCAAATCTAGGTGATATTTTGAGCCCAAATTCAATTTTTTTCAAAAAAAATTGACGATAGGTTCCCCTGCGCGGGAGCTGGAATTTTCTGGAAATCCTGAGCTTTTCAGCTCGATTTTCAGAAAATTACAGATCCGGCAGGGTTTTTCAAGCAAATTTCGGTGATTTTTTGAGCCCAAACTCAATTTTTTTCAAAAAAAAATTGACGATAGGCGCGGGAGCTGAAATTTTTTGAAAATCCTGAGCTTTTCAGCTCGATTTTCAGACAATTACAGATCCGGCAAGTTTTAATCAACATTTCAGGTGAATTTAGGAAATATTTGGGGCTGAGCTTGAGGCTCAAAATCTAAGCTCTCGAGGTTTTCAGCCCAAAAAACCTCAGAAATCCTAATTTTCGAGTCCAAATAGTCTAAAAATCTCGAATTTCAGGTCGAAATTCAACATTTTTAGCTCAAAATGCTCCGCGTAAAAAACTCACTTCGGAAATTTGGCATCAAAGAATGGATTCTGCAAAATTCCAGCTGGGAATGCGATGGCATTCTTTCCAGGCGAATAAAATGCGTTGACAACAGCAGCTCCGGAAATGAATTCGTCGCGATTCACAGGTTCCAAGAGTCGGCGGAAATTGAAATTATTTCTCCAGGTCAAAATTTTATCCGAAATTTGTGTATAAGTGTCGGTAGGTTCAGTGGTGATCTGAAAAGTGGAATTTTTTGAGTCCAAATAAGTCTACAGGCCAAAAAATGTTCATTTTTTTTCGTTCCAAACCCCTGAAAAACTCACTCCTTTATACCATTCATCCAACTTCTCATCGCTCAAAATGAAATCCGGATAGGCAATTTGTTTCAACATTGCTTCTGCTTTTTCCAACGCAGCTTTTCTGGTTCCAGAATCCATCCAATCATTTACCAAAAGCATGTTTCTGCAAAAAAAAACATGGCTGAAATTAGAAATATACGGGAAATTCTGAAGGTTTTGAACCCAAATCCGAAAATTTCAAAAAAAAAATTGACGATAGGTTCCCCTGCGCGGGAGTAGAAATTTTCTGAAAATCTCAACATTAAGCTGGATTTTCAGAAAATTAAAGATCCGGCAGGTTTTTCAAACTAATTTAGTTGATTTTTTGAGCCCAAACTCAATTTTTCTTCAAAAAAATTGACGATAGGTTCCCCTGCGCGGGAGCTGGAATTTTCTGAAAATCTCAACATTAAGCTGGATTTTCAGAAAATTAAAGATCCGGCAGGTTTTTCAAACTAATTTAGTTGATTTTTTGAGCCCAAACTCAATTTTTTCTTCAAAAAAATTGGCGATAGGTTCCCCTGCGCGGGAGCTGGAATTTTCTGAAAATCCTGAGCTTTTAGGCTGCATTTTCAGAAAATCACAGATCCGGCAGGTTTTTCAAACAAATTTAGGTAATTTTTTGAGCCCAAACTTCTCATTTCAGCTATATAAACTTGACAATCTACATTTTTGATAAACTTTGAGCCCAAAATTTCTTCATTTCGCCAAATATTATCATTTTCACCGCTTTTGAGTCAAATTTTGGTTCAAACATTCTAATTTTTCAAAAACAAAAAAATACGTTTCAAAATTTTGATATAATTTATTATCAATTATTTTCAATGCTTTTTGATTTTGGGCAATAATAAATCAAAACCAAAATTCTCAAAATTTGGATGAACGTTTTGAAATTATCGATTTTTGAATCAAAATTCGTAGAAATTTCAATCACTCCCAATAAGTGATAGAGTACAAAGCTTAGAAAATGTCTTCAAAATGTTTTCTCAAGTGACATCCCCTTCCAAAACTGGTTTGAGTGATAACCCCTCCTCGGGTCGATTACCCCACGCATGCGACGTATGGATAGGTTCCCCTGCGCGGGAGCTGGAATTTTCTGAAAATCTCAAAATTGAGCTGTATTTCCAGAAAATTACAGAACCGGCTGAATTTTGGCAATATTTTAAAGGGATTTAGGAAATTTATGGGGCTGAGCTTGAGCTCAAAATCAAAGCTCAAAGTTATCAGCCCAAGAAACCTCAAAAATCCAATTTTTAATTTTTTTTGAGCTGAAAAAAATTGACGATAGGTTTCCCTGCGCGGGAGCTGGAAATTTCTGAAAACCCTGAGCTTTTTCAGCTGGATTTTCAGAAAATTACAGATCCGGCAGGTTTTTCAAGCAAATTTAGGTGATTTTTTGAGCCAAAACTCGATTTTTCTTCAAAAAAAAATTGGCGATAGGTTCCCCTGCGCGGGAGCTGGAATTTTCTGAAAATCTCAGCTTTCAGGCTGTATTTTCAGAAAATTACAGATCCGGCTGAATTCTAGCATTATTTTGGAGGGATTTAGGAAATTTCTGGGGCTGAGCTTGAGCTCAATCTCTAAGCTCAAAGTTATCAGCCCAAGAAACCTCAAAAATCCAATTCTTCCACACATAGCCCTCACCTAAAAGCCTCCTGAAGATCTCCAATCATTTCCAGTGTCGTCGCCTTGGCTTCCGAATTGAAAAACTTCTTGACATACATACTTCCAGACGCGAAACTGAGCTTCGAAGTGGCCACAGATACACAGTCTTTCCATCTCGGTTGTTTTTGTTTTCTACCGTACATGGCGAACAGGAAATCCTGTTGAATATCCTCGTATTTTGTTCCAATTTCTCGGGTATAAGTTCCGGCGAATCGAAGAAGAATGTAGTTGGTGACCAAACGTGGATTGGTGTCTTGGAGAAGTTGCGAGATTCTGGAAGAAAATTGGGGATTTTTGGGTGGAAAATAGCCGATTTCAAGGATTTTTTCAGTCAAAAACCAAAAAAAAACCCCCCACTTTCTCATATAATCCAAATCGGCGATAATAACATCAGGATCAGATTTGATATAGGCATGAGTTCCGAATGGAGTTGTGGCTAGGAGCATTTTTTGCCAATCAATCTGGAAAAATCGATTTTTAGGTGAAATTTCAGCCTAACGTTGAGGTCGAGAGCAAAATTTGGAAGATCTCAAACATGCTCATTTTTACTAGATTTCAAGACCAGGGCTTCTAACAGGCCTTTTTGAGCTGAAAACTGCCCCTAAGAGTCATTTTTAGCTCAAAAATGCTGCCCCGAGCCCAATTTCTGTCAGAAAAACTCACAATTGGTACCAATTTCTGCATTTCACTGAATTTCCGAATATTATAAAGTTGTGTATAATTTCTCTGATCCTCATCTGGCACAATAATTGCAGCCCATTTCGTCTCGAATTCAATAATTTCATCAACATCTTTCTCCAAATCTACTTGATTTAGGACAAGTCCAGCGTCTTGGGCGTAATTTTGGAGTTTTGCCAAGATGTAGGTGCGGTAGGCTTTGAGTTGTTTTGCGTATTTTGTGGGTTTTAAATAATAGTCACGTGTTGAGGAGCCGAGGCCAAGGGATGATTGGGAGAACTGGAAAATTCGATTTTTTGGCTGGAATGGGTTACTGTAGCTGTTGTCAATTGTGTGCAAACAGTTCTGAGTGCACACAACGCTAGCTACCGTATACCAGGTGGTTTTTTTTGGGTGTTTTGCTGGAATTTCCAGTGTTTTCGACAAAAAATGATAATTTCCAAACTGCCACGTCATAGTTCACGTGGAAAATTATCGATTTTTCCCATTCTTACCGACAACATTCGTCGCGAAACATTCATCGAATCCTGATCCGCATAAAAATCGATAAATGGCATCGAATCACGAGCGGCGATAACATTGATCAACAATTTGGTCAAATCGAAGTTCGATTCACGCCATTTTGAGCCGTGGAGCATTGGCCAATAGCCGAATGTCTGAAAATAAGAGTTATCGTGGCGAGACCCTTCATGCGTGTTGAAAAATCAAATTTCTTAGATTATCGCGCCGAGACCTAGGTCATCCGATGCGCCTTGAAATTCTGCATCTGACGCTACCTAGTGTAAAAGTTTGAAAAGGGTTTTTGTGAAGATATCGTGGCGAGACACTTTATGCGCCTTGAAAAATGATTTTTTTTTGATTTTCGCGCTGATACCTAAATCATCCGATGCGCCTTGCAATTCGGCATCAAACCGTACCCAATTAATTAGAGTTTGGAGATATTTAAAGGTACATCGTGACGAGCTATGCGCCTTTAAATCCTATACAATATCGGTATCAAAATGATCGCCTCTCTCACACTACCTTAATCTTCTCGAACATATCTCTCGGTCCAACCGAATTCTGTGTCTCCGTATCCATACAAGCCGCATAGATTTGTTTAACAACTCGAACCGAGTTCGATTTCGAGATCGATGTGTTGTCTTCGAAGAGTTGGCGCATTTCGGCGAGAAGCTTCTCGCGAACCGCCGTGAATTGCGAATATGAAGTGAGATCATCTGGAATTGGATTGGCGTCGATGAATTTGCGACAGGCGAATTCGAAGAAATCGTCGCATGGGTCGAGCTGAAAGTTTTTGGTTTTCTAGGCCGCGGACTAGAATTTCGCTCACCGTAAAATTGACGGAGGCCTCGACCAACTTGGCCGCCTGTTTCCAGCCATCACTTGAGCCAACCGGCACACTTGCACCATCCACCTCGCTAACCACAAATGGTGCACGGCATACTGCGATGCCGAAAATGGCACAGAATATCACCCAGCAGCGCATCGCCACCTGGAAATTTGAGAAATTTCGGGTGAATGAGATGGAAATGAGAAAAAATATTTGAGAGCGGGGACTAGGCTCGATATTGGTTTTCTAGGCCAGAAACTTGTTTTGGGGCTAGAAAAAGATCCAAGAGCTGCCAAAAAATTTTCAGAAAATGCTCGCCTCCGAAAAAATGTTTATATATTTAAAACAAAAACTCCTACACACTCGGGGAAGAAAAATTTGTTTATAAAATTTTTCTCATCCTGGCTGTGCTCCCAAATTTTTTTTCGGCCTCTAAAAAAAGCGCTTTTTGACGTCACAAAATTTTTTGCTGGGCTACTGTAACAGATAGAATTACAGTTGATTTTCAGCCAAATGATTAGAAGAAAACTGAAACCGAATAGAAAAAAATCAAGTATCAAATCATCAAAAAAAAAGACACGATAGCCCTTTTTTGGACGCCCTTGATAAAAATCTTCCTTTTTTCACTATTATAGTGGGAAAAGGAGAAAACTGGTTAGATTTCTATCTTTTTCGTAAGGATATGTGGCCTAGAAATGGAAGATTGGGATTTCTAGGCCACCAGGAGCTTAGAGGGGTGGAAATTCGGCGAAAATTGGACTAGAAAATCAAGTTTTTGGATTTCTAGGCTACCGGAATCTCAAACAAACAAAATCCTGAACTAGAAAAACAAATATCCGGCTTCTCGACCAAATTTTCAGGATCTCTAGGCCACAACTAATCTACATAGAGCCAAAAGCTCAAAATCAAAGTCTTGGCCTAGAATTCCAAACCTAGTCCACGATTCGAAAAAGCCCAAACGGAACATTATGACCATATTTGGGAGATGTTGTTATTATTGTCAAAAATGGGCGGAGCCGAAATTTCTCGCGCGCGCGAGAGCGCAAATATTTGTAAAGCGTGTTTTGACATTGCTGCTGCTCTCTTTGTTATTAATTGTGCTTTTAAGTGAGTTCGGTTCTAAATTTGGAGACAAATTGGTTCTAATATGAAAAATCACAATAGATTGAGAGCGAAATCATGCAAAGAGCACACACAAATAAAATATGGTGTTCCAGAGTTTCTTTTTGGAGAGCACACTTACCGAACACTTGAGAGCTGGGAGAAAACTAGAAATGGCGAGAACCGCCGAAAAAAATGGAAAATAAAAATTTCAAATTACGCGCGTGAGAAGAGAGCACGCGAAAATGAGAGAGTGCAGAGTTTTGTGTGCAGTTGTGCGTCGCCGTGTTTGCACACTATTTTTTTACTTTTATTTTTTTCGCTTTTTTCAAGCGTTTCTCGGATTCACATGTCGAATCAGAATTTCGTGGCACCGTTTATATCAGCTGGTGTTCGACAAGATCTTCATGCACTATTCAACAAGTTCAATCAATTGGATTCCGTGCGGTTAAGCTATTTCACATCGATTTTTCGGGATGTGAAATTCGACACGATTTTGCATCATAGAATATCGCCCGCGGAATACAGAGAGCATGTCGAATTTGTGCTTCAACAATCCGCCAACTATTTCCGCACACATGATGATTATCAAAATATGCGAACTGTCGCGCAGCGGATTTTTGGGATTTATACAACGTATGCTTTGTACCATTGTCAACCATTAGACCAAATTTGTAAAATACGAGTTACTACTCAACAATTGCGAGATTTATTGGATTTTGAAAAATATTTGATTAGCGAAAAACATTTGGATGCGGCTGCTTGTATACATGTTTTGATTGCAAAGCAAGCGTTTCATATTTGTCTTTTTCAAAGTAGTGTAAGTTTTTTTGGTTCTTGATTTAGGTGAACTTTGTTGTGATGATGTTCCCTATTTATAGTACGACCCCGCTTGCCATAAAAAATACATGAACGAGGAAGAGACTTGGAAAATCGCAAAAGTTGAGGAACCCTTCGACTGCCTCCGGAAACTTGCCGAAGGCGAGGTTTTCAATGAAATGTGCCTTCTTCATCGCAGTTATATAAAAGGAAAAGAGAAATTCGGGATTAAGGCGAACTATATTGATACGAAAAACCCGCTAGAAATGCTGAGAGAGACTATTGAAACGCATCAAAGATTACTGAAAGTTCGACAGGAAACGGGAAGGGTTGTGAATTTGAAGCAGCAACCGAATTCTGAAGATGAAGGTGAAGCTGAAGATAGAGCTGGAAGTTCAGCGGATGTTTCTGCTGGAAATAGTCGGGGTGATGCTAGAAACAAGGCTTATACATCAAAGTTTAAGCATACTAGAAATCGCCGATATTTGGATCCAAATATGGAGGGTAAGAGAATTTTGCTGAAAATAATGTTTTCAGACAATTTTCAATTAACTAGATGGTTTTTATGTTTTTTTTTTAATCATAGAAATTGTTTTTGATTAAAAATGAGTCATGTTCGGCTTTTCATTCAAGTTTTTCCGGGTGAAATATGATTTTGATTAAAAGTCGATAAATTAGGAAAAAACAAAATATTGATTTTTCAATTTTTGGAAATGGTGTTGTTTTAAATTTGAAAAAAAACCTAGCGAAAATTCCAATAAAATTTTATTACCGGGAAAACCACATTAAATTTTTCAACTGTTTTTCTGAAAATATACAATTTTGACGGAAAATCCTGTATTTATTTCAAATTTTTAGCTGAAAATCTTCGATTTAGAACGAAAACTGAAAAATGCCGGTACCCAAATCCCCCTTATTCCTTCACATTTTCAAAAACATTCCGAAAAAGTGGAATGTTCCATATTTCGGTGATGCGAAAATGCGCGGGAATATTGTGGGAATTTGGGTACCCGCGCATGGGGAACCTATGCCCAAATTTTGAATTTTTATTGGGAATCTTGGAATTTTCGTTCTAAAATAGTTATCTGAAAAATGCCGGTACCGAAATCCCCCTTATTCTTTCACATTTTCAGAAAAACATCTCGAAAAAGTGGAATGTTCCATATTTCGGGAATGGGAAAAAGTGCTGGAATATTGTGGGGATTTGGGTACCCGCGCATGGGGAACCTATGCCCAAATTTTTCTTGAATTTTTCCAGAAAACTTTGGCCATCTCAAAACATTCGGCGATTTGGCTCAAGAAATATTGGAAGAAGAAGAAGAAGAAGATCAAAGACCATCCACTTCCACATTCAAAAGTCCAGAAAAAAAGAGGAGAAAAAAGCGAGGCGAAGATATTCAAGCACATGACGAAGATGCGGAAGCTGCTGAAGTGCTCAGAAATTCGCTGGACGGGATTTTCAACCCGGAAGGAGAGCTGGAAGCTGGAAATTCGAAAAATTCAAAGAAAACTGCGAGAAAAGCGCCGAAACGAAAGGAAAATGCGAATATTATATCAGTACCTGGGAGTGAAGAAGGGGAAACAAGAGTTGCGATATTGTCACCGGAAAAGAAACCGAATATTCCAGGTTTGGTTGAAAATCGATATTTCCTGGTGAAAAATTCCAAATTTTCAGAACAATGGACCTCGCGACTTCGAAATATCGATAAAGTCAAAAGTAAAGCAGATAAGGCTTTGGAGCGAATCGAATCGAGAATCAAAAAAGAAGAGGAATCTGGCGCATTTTGAATTTTATACATTTTTATTCTGAAACTAACTTATTTTTGATAAATATTGCATTTTTCCTCCAATTATCTCTATTTCTTGGTTTTTCTAACCCATAATCTTATCGAATTTTTTTCAGACAAAATATTAACCGAATTTCAGATTTTCTAGGATCTCGAAGGTTTTGAACCGCATAATTTAATAGTCTGCATAATTATTATGGAAAAAGAGTGAGTTTTGGAGCTTTTAGGATTTCCGGGGCTAAAAAAAGGTCCAATACTGAAATTTTGAGCCTAGAAATATTTTCCAGATCAAAAATCACTGTAGATCTGAAAATTGATTTCGAAATATTTCATTTCCCCCCTGAAAATCAAGTTTTCCCAATTTCTCATCTCAAAATTTTCATAATATAAAAATGCTGAAAATGTTTGTTTTTGTTTTTTCATACACTTTGAAATATGATGAAACCCAGAAGTTTATTGCTAACCATAAAAAGGTATATAAAATTTGACTGAAAATCTAGAATGCCGGTACCGAATTCAGCAAAAAATTAAACCGAAAAATGCCGGTACCCAAATTCCCCATATTCCTTCACATTTTCAAAAACTTCTCGAAAAAGTGCTCGGGAAAAATACGGCGCCTTTTTAGCACCGAGGCGACAAAAAATGTCGAGGAGTTTTGGCCGCCCCGGTGCTAAAAAGGTGCCGAAATTACGGCACCTTTGTAGCGCCGAGGCGACATTTTCATGAAAAATCCATTATTTTAACATACAATTGACTCTTGTTTTCTTTTCATCGAAATTTTCCGCACTAAAAATGTAGCAAGCGTGTCCGAGTGGATAAGAGGATGGGTTGTCATTGTTTTGACCCAAGTTCGATGCCTCTTTCCCGCACCTTTTTTTTATTTTTTTCGTCTCACTGGCGCACCATTTTAGCGCCGGTGCGTCTCTTCGCGCGCCGTTTTAGCGCCGGTGCTTTCTCTCTGCGCACCTTTTAAGCGCCGAGGCGAGAACACTTCCCGCCTTGGCGCCCCAGAATGTCGCCTTAGCGCCCCAGGATGTCGCCTTGGTGCCGTATTTTTCCCGAGTGGAATGTTCCATATTTCGGGGATGGGAAAATGTGCGGGAATATTGTGGGGAATTGGGTACCCGCGCATGGGGAACCTATGCCCAAATTTTGAATTTTTATTGGAATCTTGGAATTTTCGTTCTAAAATAGTTATCTGAAAAATGCCGGTACCCAAATTCCCCTTATTCCTTCACATTTTCAAAAAATCCTGAAAAAGTGGAATGTTCCATATTTCGGGGATGAGAAAATGTGCGGGAATATTGTGGGGATTTGGGTACCCGCGCATGGGGAACCTATGCTCAATTTTTTCTTGAATTTTGACACCAGGATGACGTGATCAACCTCACTACAGAATAAATACACATTGAAAACACGTGTTATCTTATAGTACAAAAAAGTGCGTTCTTCTTCTCATCAGTTTTTTTTTGTTTAGGGGGCGCATTGATCATAAAATGATCTGTATGGGGTGATTTTGAACTTTCCACCTTTTTTTGCCCAGTTTTCGTTAGAAGTTCTAAAATTTGAACTTTTTCTTATGAAATTGTCTGTTTTCAAAATAGTCTTTGACAAGGTTCTTCACAGTTTTCTAGAAATTTTGAATTTTTTCTGTCCTAAAATTCGAAATTTGTTCACATGTGCTAAACTACATAAAAGAACACTCAAAAAGTTTTCCATTTTTGATAAGAGCGACGAGATTTTTATCAGTTTTCTTCTCTCTTTTTTCGTGTAATCTAATTTTCGTTAATTGTTCGATGTTGTTGAACTTTTTTGTTGAAAATCTGAGAATTTTTCTTTTTTTTAGCCAAAAAATTTCACGATCCTCATATTTTCATCAAAAAAATTAACCCGAAAAATGCTGGTACCCAAATTCCCCTTGTTCCTTCACATTTTCAAAAAATTCCCGAAAAAGTGGAATGTTCCATATTTCGGGGATGGGAAATGTGCGGGAATATTGTGGGGATTTGGGTACCCGCGCATGGGGAACCTATGCCCAAATTTTCAATTTTCATTGTGAATCTTGGAATTTCGTCTTAAAATAGGAAACTGAAAAATGCCGGTACCCAAATCCCCCTTATTCCTTCACATTTTCAAAACATCTCGAAAAAGTGGAATGTTCCATATTTCGGGAATGGGAAAATGTGCGGGAATATTGTGGGGATTTGGGTGCCCGCGCACGGGGAACCTATGCCCAAATTTTTCTTGAATTTTCAGCCGGACTTCCCTCAAAAAATCTCCAAATTTTTCCAGAAAAATGACAAATACGGAACATTTATCGCCGGTTGGAAATGGAATGAAAAAAATCGACTCATTGAGCACAATTCCATACTGGTTAGTTTTTTTTTCAAATTTTTTCAGCCAAAAAGTTCTGAAAAAGAAACATCAAAATTTGATCTTATCAATATATTATCTCTCCGCCTATCGACTAAAAAAGACAAAAATACAAATTAACCCATAAGGTCGTATCTTCTCATTTATTTTTGGGTTTTCTATCCAAAATCATGTCATCTTCCGACTTATTACAACTAAAAATCGCAAATTTAAACATTTCCAGGTGAAAAATCACGATTTTCAGCTCAATTCACCCCAAATATTGATATTTTCAGCGGAAATTCACATGCTAGCAGTGACAGCGAAGTTGAAACATCACCATGGCCAATCAGAAATCAATACGAAGCTCTTCACGAGAAGGTGAATCGTCGAATCGCTGATGGAACTCCGTTTTTTTCGCTCGAATTTTTCCCGCCAAGAACTGCTAATGGTGTCGCCAATTTTTTCACCAGGTAAATTCTGGAATTTTTCTCTGAAATTGAAAAATGCCGGTACCGAAGTCCCCCTTATTCCTTCACATTTTCAAAACATCTCGAAAAAGTGGAATGTTCCATATTTCGGGAATGGGAAAATGTGCGGGAATATTGTGGGGATTCGGGTACCCGCGCACGGGGAACCTATGCCCAAATTTTGAATTTTGAGCTAAAATTGTGAAAAATACGATAAACGAAAATGTTCATTCAGAAATTATCAAAAATTTAATTTTAGGAGGATTTCTATTGGGGTGATTCAGGTCGAAAAAAAACTGGAAAAAAAGATTTTTAACAAAAATTTTCTGTTCAGAAAGTGTCAAAGAACTATGATACACACGTCATATCTACATCAAAAAAATTCTAGAAAAAATTAATTTTTCAGGAATTTATGAAACGTATTTTTTGCGGGACTTTAAAAATTAGTATTTCAGGTTGAATTTCACTGAAAGTTCCAAAATTACCAGAAAATTCCCAAATTTCTTTCCAGACTCGATCGTTTCAACGAAGGTGGTCCCGTCTTCGTCGATATCACTTGGCATCTCGGAAGTGACCCATCAAACATGTCAAAAGAAACCTCAAGTTCATCAATAGCGGCCGGATGTTTGAATTATTGTCGAGTTGACACAATGTTACACATGACATGTGTACAATACGCAAAAGAGCAGACCTTGAAGCATTTGGAGCAGGCAAAAGCGATCGGATTGAGAAGTATTTTAGCACTTCGCGGAGATTTGCCACCAGAAACATCTGAAGAATCGCCGAAAACTGTTTATCAATATAGAGCTTTGGATATGATTCGATGGATTAAGGAGGCGCATAATGATTATTTTACGATTGCATGTTCGGGATATCCTTTAGGACATCCGGAAGCGCCGAGTTATAGAGCGGATTTGATGTATTTGAAGGCGAAAGTTGATGCTGGAGCACAATTGATTATCACACAATTGTTCTTTGAGGCAGAGGTAAGAGAGATTTTGCGCTAAAAAGTTTGAATTTTTGTTCGCTTTGACCTGAATTTCATGAAATCCTGATAATTTAAACTTAAAATGAGTTTTTAGGCTAAAAATTCTCAGGATCCTTGAGGATTTTGAGCCAAATATTAATAAACCTGAAAATGCCGGTACCCAATTTCCCCTTATTCCTTCACATTTTCAAAAATATCTCGAAAAAGTGGTATGTACCATATTTCGGGAATTGGAAAATGTGCTGGAATATTGTGGGGATTCGGGTACCCGCGCACGGGGAACCTATGCCCAAATTTTTCTTGAATTTTTAGACAAAACGCTGGTTTTTGTGTCTAGTTTGATCAGATCTTATCAATGTATCTTTTTTATTTTCTTTGTTTTGAAACCAGATTTTTCATCTTTGGAAATTAAGAATGAAACAAAATATAGGAAAAAAAAATTTTAACCAAAAAATCTAGAATTTTCCCAGGTTTTCGAGCAATTCGTCAAAGATTGTCGTGAAATCGGAATAACAGTTCCAATAATTCCTGGAATCATGCCAATTATGGGATATGATTCAATTCGAAGAATCGCAAAATTATCCGGATTAACAATTCCCGAAAATATTTTGGCTGATTTGGAACCGATAAAACACGACGATGATGCTGTGAGAAATTATGGAAAAGTGAAATGTGTTGAAATGTGCAGAAGATTGTTGCAAAATAAATCGGCACCGTCGATTCATTTGTACACAATGAATCGAGAGGGAAATTGTCGGTAAGCAAGGGTTTTTGAGTGAAAATTGTGAAAATTTGATGTATTTTTATGTAAAATTGAAAAATGCCGGTACCGAAATCCCCCATATTCCTTCAAATTTTCAAAACTTCTCAAAAAGTGGAATGTTCCCACACCTCGGCCAAGCCGTGGCTGGCCAGAGTACAATTTTTGGAAAACTCTGAATTTCAGTTTTTAGAGGTCAAAAATTGAAAAATTCACAATTTTTGTACTGTAAAAATCTAGCGTACAACTTTTTATTGTGGAAACCACGATTTTGGCCGAGGTGTGAATTTTCCATAATTCGGGAATGGGAAAATGTGCGGGAATATTGTGGGGATTTGGGTACCCGCGCACGGGGAACCTATGCCCAAATTTTGAATTTTTATATCAAAAAAATTCCCATTTTTCCAGTGAAATCCTCCAAGAACTCGGACTCTGGCTCAAAAGACCAATGAGAACTCTACCCTGGGAACCACACGGTGCAAATCATCCAATTCGATGCAAAGAAGATGTTCGACCGATTTTCTGGAGTGCTCGACCGAAAAGTTATATCTACAGAACTAGAGATTGGGACGATTTCCCGAATGGAAGATGGGGAAACTCTTCTTCGCCAGCTTTTGGAGATTTGGCTGATTATTATTTGTTCCATTTGAAGGTACGGTGAATTTTTATTCAAAAATAGTGGAATCGAAAAATACAGGTACTCAAATCCCCCTTGTTCCTTCACATTTTCAAAAAATCTCGAAAAAGTGGAATGTTCCATATTTCGGGGATAGGAAAATGCGCTGGAATAATGCGGGGATTCGGGTGCCACGGGGAACCTATGTCCAAATTTTCTCCGAATTTTGACACATTGCTCATGTTAGAGCTTATTGTTAATTTAATTTTAGGAGTAAGTAATTCTGTATCAATAAAAAATCAAAAATAATTTATTAATGAATTTTTTGAAACGTATTTTAACCGAAATTGTTCAGAAATTTAAAAAAATGCCTAGAAAACTAAAAAAAAAATTTGATTTTGGTTCAAAAGGTCTGGGGTTCGAATCCAGCTTGAAACTTGATTTTTGTTGATATTTCTGACCTTGCTTTGGGTACAGAAAAGAAACTTTTTTTTGATTATTGAACAGTTTTTTTTTTCTGAAAAAAAAATATAGAAAGATAAGAAATATGATCATTTTCTGTTTGTTTTCTGATTTTCGGAGAATTCAGAAGTTCTCTGTTCAGAAAATCATGGTTTTTCTGGAATTCTAGATTTTATTATTGAAATATCAAATTTTTCGATATTTTTAGTTTTGGACCTAAAATTCTCACGATTTTCAGTCAAAAATAAAGAAAAATGCCGGTACCGAAATCCCCTTATTCCTTCACATTTTCAAAAACATCCCGAAAAAGTGGAATGTTCCATATTTCGGGAATGGGAAAATGCGCGGGAATATTGTGGGGATATGGGTACCCGCGCATGGGGAACCTATGCCCAAATTTTGAATTTTTTCAGAGTCAAACCGCCAAAGAAGACCAGCTCGCAATGTACGGCGAAACCCTCCAATCCATTGAAGACGTTCAAAATGTTTTCGTAAACTATATCACCCAGGAGCCCAACACAAAAGGTGTCAAAGTGACGACTCTTCCATGGACCGAATCAGAATCCGGTGTTCAACCTGAAACCAAATTAATTAACGAGCAATTAGTGTGGTGTAATCAACACGGTATTTTAACAGTCAATTCGCAGCCAAGTGTAAATGGAGCTCCTTCACAAGATCCATTGGTTGGATGGGGAAAACCGGGTGGTTATTGTTATCAAAAAGCTTATCTCGAATGTTTTATGTCAGCGGAACTTAGCGCAACTTTGCTGGGAATAATTGAGGAATATTCGCCAAGAATTAATTATCATGTGATTAATCAAAGCGGAACCATCGATTGCTCGAATTCCGAGCCGACGACTCCAATTGCGGTAACTTGGGGAGTCTTCCCGGGAGCGGAAATCGCGCAACCTACCGTCGTCGATCCGCTAAGCTTCCGCGCCTGGAAGACGGAAGCCTATGAGATGTGGTTGAATCAATGGGCGAATTTGTATCCGAGAGATAGTGCAAGTCGTGGAGTCATTCAGAATGTTCACGACACATTTCATTTGGTTAATCTGGTTGATAATGATTTCCAGAAGCCCGCCATTATTTTTGAGATTTTGGCACGGTGTGTGGAATTGATGGGAGGAAAATAAGAGAAGTAGAGGGAAAATTTGGGATTTTTGATCTGAAATTCATGAAAATTTCGAATTTCCCACCAAAATTGAGCCCATTGCTCATGTTAGCTCAATTTCCAATAAAATTCGATAAATTGTGATTTTATTTGAGAAAATTTGAGCATTACTCATGTTAAGCTGAAAGTTTTTCAAAATACCATATTCTTGGCTCAAAATTCTGGACATTTTGAGCATTGCTCATATTAGGCGAATTTTTAGCTCAAAAATTGGATTTTTTGAGAAAGTTCGAAAATTGCTCATGTTAGATCTGAAATTTTCTGTTTTTTTTGAGCCAGAAATCGAATTTTTGATAAAATATAGGCATTGCTCATGTTAGACCTGATTTTTGGCTCAAAAATTGGATTTTTGAGAAAACTGGAGCATTGCTCATGTTAGGTCTGAAAATTTCTGTTTTTTTTTTTGAGAAAATATAGGCATTTCTCATGTTAGACCTGATTTTTAGCTCAAAATTCAGAAAAATCCGAAAATTTTGGTTCGAAATTCACAAAAATCGTAAAATTTTGAGCATTGCTCATATTAGGCCTATAAAATTTGAAAATGATCCAAAAATCCCAAAATTTCCCGAAATTTCCCCAGTTTCTCGATTTTTCCCAAAAATTAGTTTTTCTGTTATTTTTTCTGTACCCCAGGTTATTTTTTTCATTTTTCCCCCTCATATGCTATTAATTTATTGATTTTTTGTGTCCTGAATTTGATTTTTGAAATTTTGCGGTTTTTGTGTCGTATTATTTTTTTTCTACATTATCTGGTGAAAATTTGAATTTTTTTTATTTAATAAAGTTTTTCTTGGTTTATTGATTTTTGAAAATTTAATTTCAGGGTGAAAAAAATTTTTCGATCTACCCGCGCAAAAAATTTGTTTTTTTTTTAATTTTTGAAAAAAAAATCAATTTTTTTCAGGCAGACGTTTTTTCTTTCATTTTTTCCTAATTTTCGAATTTCAACAGACCTACTTTTAATTTCAGGATGCTTTCCAAATTCGCCATCGTATTTCTAACAATTTTGCTCACACAACAACAAGTTCAAGGATTCACAGAACAAATCAAATCAGAGAAACTTCAGAGTTTGCAGTTTCGATTCCAATTTGTGAGTTAGGCTAACCTTTTTGCCCCAAAAATCAATATTTTCAGATCGATTATATAATGGAAGAGTCGCTAGCAAAGATGAAAAATCAAGGAATCGATACAGATGAACTGGAGATGCTCAAGCAAGTTACTGGGACAGTGATGAAATTTCAAGCGGTGAGTTGGCGAAATTTGAATTTGGCGGGAAATTTGGGCTTGAATGATACCAAATAAGCCTAGGTTTTGGGCTGGGCCTAATTTAGGCCTGGTTCATTGAATAAATTAGGGCTAGGCTTGTTTGGTGTCAAAAAATCACAAATTTTGCGCTGAATTTCAAAATCCGGAGAAATTTTGCTTTTTTCCATGAAATTTGGAGCCCAAAGACACTAAATAAGCTTAGGCTTCGAGCTGGGTTTAAATTAGGCCTAGCTCAGTCCTTAAATTAGGCCTAGGCTTGTTTTGTGTCAAAAAATCACAAAATTTGCGCTGAATTTGAAAATTCAGGCAAATTCTGCTTTTTTCAAACAAATTTGGAGCCCAAAGATCATAAAAATTCCCATTTTTCCAGCTCCGCGATGAATTATCCGAAAATTTCGATATTTGCCAAGTAATGAAAGATGGAGCAATTCTCCACCCAAACTCCACAATGTCCATCAAAAAATCGAAATCAAAGAAGTCCAAGAAACATTCGCCACGTTTTTCAACTGAAAAATCGAATTATGTTTTTCCATGAACACTTTTTGTTGTTATTTTTACACTGTACTTTATATTTTGCTGATTTTATGAAGTTTTTTTCTTCAGAGGCTATTTTTTCAACAAAAACAAAGTTTTGCTTGCACCGGGATTCGAACCTGTGACCTTTTGATTCACATGCAAAAATGCTAACCACTCGAGCACGCAGGTATTTTCGAATTACATCGAAAATCGTATCAAAAACCGGCCGCACCTCAACAATTTTCCACGCCGGAAACAAATGTTGTGTGTGTCCGAGTGGTTAACATGTTTGACTGCGGTTCAAAAGGTCGCCGGTTCGAACCCTGCTACCATCTCTTGATAATACCCAATGTATTATTGAGCGTACTGGCAGGTACATTAAAATTAGCACTTGAGAACCGGAAAATGCATGATTGATGGATTTTCTGAGGATCCCATCGTATAGAGATGGTGCACATTTTTTGTTATTTTTAGATTTCCCTCAAAAACTGCTCCCAAACTCAAGTATTTATTTGTTTTCTTTATTTTTACACCCAAAAATCACTATATAAATAAGCCTAAGTCTAGGCCTAAGCCTAACTTTAAAAAATGACTAGAATTCGGTTATTTTTAATGATTTTTGGTGAGTTAGAGTAACTCTACAGTACCTCCCCGATTTTTTGCAGCATTGCTCATATTATCCTGCAATTCTCAAATCCACGTGCAATACTGTGACTCCTTATGCTTGCCTAATATGAGCAATCATCATTTCGACGTCAATTTTTGTTGTGTGAATCGCAATTTTGTGTCGGGAATTTGTCGGGATTCACAAGCTTGGTGTTTGCATTAATTAAGATTTTAATTAGCCAATTAACATGAGTAATTATGAAATAAAAAATTAGTTGAGAGAAATTGAAAAAATCCGATTTTTAGATGGTTTTTTGCAGAAAAAATGCTGAATTAGTTCCAGATATTTTTGACGAATTTGTTGATTGAAAATTGGAAAAACTATGGAATTTAGGACGTAGGAGAAGAGATCGAAGAAGTTGATCTGGAAAAAATCTACAGTACTTTAAAGGAACATAGACTTATTTGGTTTCAAAATGAAGCTCTGGGTCTCGCAGCGAACTACAGTACCCTAAAGGGACATACACTCGCTCCGCTCGAGCCGCTTGCGCGGAATTTTCCGCTTACACTCGCGCTTCCGCGCTCGAAGCTTGTTTAGACGCAAAATAATCCTCTAAAAGCAGCGATCTACAGTACTTTAAAGAAACATGGGTTACTGTAGCTGAATTTAAAGGGTCATGGGCTTATTTGGTATCAAAATAAAGCTCTTGATATGAGGGTTACTGTAGTTAGGGTCCCGCAGCGATCTACAGTACTCTAAAGGAACATGGCTGAACTTACCAAATATTTCGTCTCCACCGAACTCTCCCATCCATAAAAATTCTTCAAATTCACCACCAAATTCATGACCAAAAACGGGATTTGAAAAGAGCAAATCCAAAGTAGGCCAAACTGGGCTTTCCGAGCCTCGCGTTGCACGAAAATTTTGCGAATTCTCAAATAAGTTGCGGCTGAAATTGTAGAATACAACATCAGAAATGCGATTCGAAGAAGAATACGATCTTTCCGGAGATCTGAGCTGGTAAGTTCGGAACCGGTTTCGGCTTGGATTTCAGAATCAGTGGAAAATTTTGGAATCGAATATAGTGTTGATAGTCCGAGACTTGTGAAATAATAGATTTTGATGTATAATTCATCCCAAACTAGAGTGTAGTTAACATAAGTAGCGGAATATCGATTGATTGCGAGTAAAATATGCATGGCACTGTTGACATTATCAAATATACTGCCAAAAATCAATAATTTTGAGATTGTTGGCTGAAAATCGAAGATCTGAAAAAAATTCCGGAATTTTTTTTGAATATTCAAATTCTCGCGCCACAAAAATCCACGTGGCAAAATTTTTGAAAAATCAAATTTTCGCACCACAAAATCCACGTGGCAACATTTTTTGAATTTTCAAATTTTCGCGCCACAAAAATCCACGTGGCAAAATTTTTGAAAAATCAAATTTTCGCACCACAAAATCCATGTGGCAAAATTTTTGGAAAAATTTTTCTTCACCTGAAAATTGATAAAAATCTGCAAAAAATCGATAATCACAAAAATGTAGCCAGAAATCAGCTCGGATAATCCCAAAATCCAAACACAATAGAAGAATGAGGTGTCGTGGCGGATTTTGTGAATAATTTTGAAAATGAACATTGTGTAGTGAAGTTTTAGAATTAAATTCAAAATTTTCAGCGGAATCATGTCGATCTCGAACATTGTTTTTTTGTTTTTGAATTTTTTGGGGAAGAAAAATAATTGGGGGCCTTTTTTGAATTGGTTTTATGGGTTTCTAGAAACATGGAGATTTTTTCAGGGGTAAAATATAGTTTTTAAAAAAAAATTTTGAGGGACCAATACATTTCTCAGGTTAAACTATTTCGATTTATTTCATCTACAAAAAAAATCGGATCTTTTTGGCACATTTTTCAAAGGGTACTGTAGATTCTGATGATCTACAACATTTTGGAAATTTTTTTGGATTCCGGGATTACTGTAGATTTTTTTGATATACACAAAATTTTCGCACATTTTTTCCAAGGCACAGAAAAATGGGCGTGGCCTAATTTTCGCTTCTAAAAAATCAAAGTGCAGTGCAATTATCCAAAGTACTTCTCTAAATTCTAAATTTAATCTAAAATTTATTCAATTCCAAAACCATTACTCATATTAAACTGGAAAAACAAATTTCATTGTTTTCGTAATTTTTCCTGGAGAAAAACAAATATAAAATTGTTTTTTATTTGAAATTTTGAGCTACGGATTTTAGAGAAGCCCAAAATAAGCCTAAAATTAATTTCAGGTTGAAAAATCCGGGAATTTTCCAATTTTCTCATATTTTTTCGAATATAATGTGGTCCGGGCTCGGGAAAAAGTCAAGTCAAAAGAGCCAAGAGCACAGCATCTTTTCTCACACTTTATTTTTTTGTTGCTTCTTCGGCTTTCAATTTTTGCCTTGTGCATTTTCTTCTTTTTTTGTGCTCTCCGAATAAGAAGAGGAGGCGCAAAAAATGTCTCGTTTTTCCGCTTTTGCTTAGCGAGAGAGAGCATCTTCTGTGTGAGCTCATTTGTGCTCCAAAATTTAGAGGGCCTGGAATCATTAAGTAGTTTGGTGCTTGATTTTGGGAGATTTAGCGACCTAGAATCAAGTTTCTAGCTTCTCTGGGCTCTAACCCTAGATTCTCTGCGTCTCTAGTCTCTAGAATATTTTGTCTAGCTTCTCTAGGTGTAGTTCTCGAGGACTAGGCCTTAAAAATTCAAAAAATCCCAATTTTTGGCCTAAATTGGTCAAGAATTCGTGAAAACCCTTCGAAATTTGAATAAAAACCTTTGGCGCCTTTCAAAAATCGTTGCGAGACTCAATTTTGTGTAGTTCTCGAGGACTACGCCTTCAAAATTCAAAAAATCCCATTTTTTGGCCTAAATTGGTCAAAAATTTGTGAAAACCCTCCGAAATTTAAATAAAAACCTTTGGCGCCTTTCAAAAATCGTTTCGAGACCCAATTTTGTGTAGTTCTCTAGGACTACAGCCAAGAAACCCGATTTAAAACCCCGAAAACCCGGCTGAAAACAAAAAACACAAAAATTTTCAAGCGCGCGCGTCAAACATCGCTGCAAGACCCGTTTTCGTGTACTTCTCGTGGACAATTTTTGAAAATTACTTTTTTTTTGTTTTTTTTCCGAGTTTTCGCCTGAAATTGGGCATTTTCAAGGAAAAATGGAGGGTTTTTTTGTGAGGAATTTGTGAAAAATATGAAAATTCACCTATTTTTTCCAATGCACCTTCAAAAATAAATCACATGCACCTTTAAATAGCACACCATATTTAACGACTTCCCCCCTCAATTTTCTCGATTTTTTATTTTTTATTCTCTTTTTTTTTGAAAAAAAAACGAAGAAGCAAAAAATTCGCTATTCAGCACCTAATAAATTATGTGTGTATCCATGTATTATGTGTGTGGTCTTTTTTCATATTTTTCTCCATTTTTCCCTTCGTTTTATTTCAAAATTCCAAGCCCTGAGGCCTTTATTTTCATATTTTTTTCTCAAAAGAAAAATTGAGAATCCTAAGTATTTTTTGATTGAATTTCTCGATTTGAAGTGGGTTTTCAGGGGGTGGAGATGACAGAATAGGTGAATTTTCATATTTTCCATAAATTCCCCACAAAAAACCTACCGATTTTCCTTGAAAATACCCAATTTTAGGTGAAAACTCGAAAAAAAAACAGAAACACGCACACATTCAGGCGGCAGTCCACCAAAAACACTACTGTCTGCAAAGACAAAAAGGTGTAATTGTGCGTCGCCGTGTTTACACCAAAATTCAAAAAAAATTCAAAAAATTGTCTGCGTCTCTCTGTTTTCAACGCTATTTTTTCAAGGCGCAACTGTTCGAAACTTTTTTGGGTCTCGAAGAACTACCAAGAGAAAAAACCTCAACCATTCACCACCAGAAGCACTATTCTGGGGTAGAATTAAACGGGGATTTCAGTGGTGTAATCAGTTTTTTATGAAAAGAAGTTTTTTCCACTGAAAAAGACTGCAGAAGGTTCATGTCCCTTTAAACGGTGGACTGCCGCCTTTTGTTTTGCAAATGTGTGCGTGGAAAAAAATAATTTTCAAAAATTGTCCGCGAGAAGTACACGAAAACGGGTCTTGCAGCGATGTTTGACGCGCGCGCTTGAAAATTTGAATTTTGAAAATGTGTTTTTTTTGTTTTTTGTTTTCAGCCGGTTTTTCATGGTTTTCAACCGGGCTGTAGTCCTCGAGAACTACACAGAGAAGGTCTTGCACGGAATTCTAACCTAATCCTAATAACTTTAGTGTTTGTTTTGTACCTAACCTGTGAAGTATACTTGATAATGTCGGGCGGTGCACTTGACAAATTTGCACACAAAAATCTCATTTTTCGAACCAAAATCCCAATCTTTGCACTGAGAAATCAATCAAAATCCCAAAAAAAAATTTCTGCTCAATTTTTTTCGTCCCGAAATGCTTGTACTAGACGCGTCAGTGTTATGTTAAACAAATGTTGAGTTGGGATAACATAAAATAAATTTCTCATCATCATTTTTGTTATCTTTTGAAGAGTGCACCTGTTGCCTTTTCCCGTTAGCAATGCAACAAAAAAATGTTGCGGAACAAGATTTTTTTTGATCTACCCGCGAAATTTCTGAGAATATTTATTTTTTTTTTCGCGAAAATTTTTTCGTTTTCTCGAATTTTCGCTCATTTTAACCCTTCTAGCCGGTTTTCTTGAATTTCCAATCAAAGTCCTCGAGAACCACGAAATTGAGTCTCGCAACGATTTTTGAAAGGCGCCAAAGGTTTTTATTCAAATTTCGGAGGGTTTTCACGAATTTTTGACCATTTTAGGCCAAAAATCGGGATTTTTCGTATTTTTAAGGCGTAGTCCTCGAGAACTACACAAAATTGGATCTCGCAACGATTTTTGAAAGGCGCCAAAGGTTTTTATTCAAATTTCGAAGGGTTTTCACGAATTTCTGACCATTTTAGGCCAAAAATTACGATTTTCTGAATTTTTAAGGCGTAGTCCTCGAGAACTACACAAAATAGAGTCTCGCAAAGATTTTATTCAAAAAATTTGGGCAAAAATCCAACATTTTCGGGTTTTTGCTCAAAAATCTGTTCGTTTTTCTGTTTTTCGTCGAAATTTTTGTTTATTTTATTTATTTTCGTCACACGAAATCTGCTTATTTTCTTTCGTGAACAAAATTTTTCGCCTATTTTTCCAGAGCCAAAAAACGACGAAAATAAACACACCGAATGCATGATACTTTTCATTCTATTTTTGCTGATTTTGGTGGGTTTTTTGGCCTGAACAGGGCCTATTTTCAGCCTGAAAATGGCATATTTTCAAGCCGAAATTGAATATTTTCAGCCCGTGTGTCAAACTTCAAATCCGGTGGTTTTGGAGACGAAATTGGGTGATGTGCGAGGAGAGGAGTTCTATTTTTTGTCCACCAAGATTCGCACGTTTTTTGGGTGCGTTGCGGTCGCGCGGAGCGGCTTTGCGTCGCGGTTTTCACACAAACACGCGACGCACAGCCGCAACGCAGCTAAAACTACGAAAAATACGAATAATTTTTGGTTTTCTTCAATTTTCCTACCTATTCATCAAAATTTATAGGTTTTTTTTCTGAAAAAGAGGAAGGAAAACAATTTTATGATTCAAGCTATGACGTGGAATCTTTCTCTGACTTATGAATTCTGATTTAAAATTTGAAATGAGAAAAATTTTGAAATTTTTGAAACGTGAACTTTAATTTTTTGTGAAAAAAAAACGTGGAAAAATGGTCATTTTTTCATTATTTGAATCTGGAAAAGGCAAAAGCTCCAAAAGTGAGTTAAAAACACGTTTTTCATGAAATTTGGGATTTTTAGGACAGAAATATGTCACAAAGAAGGAAATAGGTGGATTTTACGGGTCCTGGAGTGAAACATCGATATTTTTCGCTTCAGAACCTGATTTTTAAGGTCTTGGAAGGAAACATAGGTTAAAATCTATGTTTTTTGCTCCATGACCTGATTTTCTGGGTCTTGAAGCGAAAAGTCGATAATTTTTCGCTCCAGGACCCGATTTTTATGGTCCTGGAGCGAAAAATAGGATAAAATCTTTGTTTTTCGCTTCAGGACCTGATTTTTATGGTCCTGAAGCGAAAAATCGATATTTTTTCGCTTCAGAGTTCCATTCGCCGAACCGCCCATCGACGAAAATCGCTTCAAAATCCCGCAACCCAAAAAATCATGGGAAGGCATTTGGGACGCCACCGAATTGTCAAGAGCTTGTTATCAGGTACAGAAAATTCTGGAATTTTCAGATTTTTCATGAAATTTGGGTTCTAGAGATAGTGAATAAGCCTGGAATTGATTTTAGGTGGAAAATTTTGGTTCTAATGATACTAAATTAGCCTAAATTTAAAAAGTTTCATCCTAAAATTAATTCCAGGCTTATTTAGTATCTCCCGAACCCAAATTCCATGAAAAATCTGAAAATTCATGAAATTTGGATTCTAATGATACTAAATTAGCCTAAATTTCAAAAGTTTCATCCTAAAATTAATTCCAGGCCTATTTAGTGACTCTAGAACCCAAATTCTATGATAAATCTGAAAATTAACATGAGCAATGTTTTTCAGACACGCGACGACTATAATTCCTCATTTTGGGGAAGTGAAATGTGGAATGCGAACACGGCCATCGATGAGGATTGTTTGTATTTGAATATTTGGGCGCCAGCTGATGCATAGTGGGTTTTTGGGTCTAGAGAGTCCGAAAATTGGAATTCTGATCAAATTTTGGCCCAGAAAGCCCCCGAAAACGGGCCCAGGGCTGAAAAATCCCCAAAAATTCGAATTTCCAGCAATCTGACAGTAATGGTGTATATTTTTGGCGGTGGTTTCTACGCCGGTTCACCATCTCTAACAATGTACGATGGACGAGTTCTAGCGGCCACCCAAAATGTTATCGTTGTAAATATCAATTATCGATTGGGACCTTTTGGATTCCTGTATTTGGATCATCCGGATGCGCCCGGAAATATGGGATTATTGGATCAGGTAAGGATTTTTCGATGGATTTGACTGAAAATTCGAGATTTTTGATGGAAATTGACCTAGAAAAGATGAAAAAATTACAAATTTCAATAGCGGGATCGAACCTGCGAACTTTTGATTGGTAGTCACATCTCTAACCGGCTGAGCTATCCGAGAAACGATTTTTTTGGTTTTTCATGAAAGTTTGACTTATGGGATGTCTTTTGAAACCGAATTTTGAGAGGAATCTGAAATTTTTTGGGAAATTTTGGTTCTAGAGATGCTAAATTTGAAATTTTCAGTCAAAACTATAAGGTTTGCTGAAAATTTCCCGAATTTCCTTCGTTTTTCCACTTGATTACCCCGCCCAACAAAACAATGGTTCGTTAGAGCTAATTTGCATTTTCCCCCAGTTTTTAGCTTTTTTTCAAGCCTAGGATTTTTTGCGCGCACTAACAATTCACCAAGTTCACATCAAAAGTTCGATCCCCACTGTCTGCGGAGATTTTTTTATCTGTTTTTTTCACCAAAAATTGTCCAATTTAGGCTCTTTTTAGCTTCAAATGTTTTGAAAAATTTGAAAAATTCTGAAAATTTTTACAGCAATTGGCTCTTCACTGGATTCGTCAACACATTGTCTCATTTGGCGGAAATCCGGAAAAAGTTGCGGTTTTCGGACAATCTGCGGGAGCTGCGTCGATTGTTGCGCATTTGGTGGCTGGCGGATCGAAAAGGTGGGGATTTTTGGATTTTTGAGCAAATTTGGAGCATTTTGAGCTCAATTTTGGGGTTTTCATGAAAATTGGCTTTAGAAAACACCCCATAAGCCTAGATTTCAGATTTTTGACCTGAAGTTTCAGGTTTTAAGCAAATTTGGAGCATTTTGAGCCAAAATATGGCATTTTGCGCTCATAATTCAAAACAAATCACCAAGATCACATCAAAAGTTCGATCCCCACTGTCAGCGAACAATTTTTTTTGTTCCTCAAAGCATTTTTTCCCACACACAAAAAAATACTAAACAAATTTTGCCCTTTTTTTGTTCGTTCACTTTTTTTTGAGGAAAATTCAATAAAAACTGAGGATGAATGAAAAAGGCTAAAAACTTTCGTTTTTTTTTTTTTTGAAAAAAAAATTTTTTTCATTTTTTTCCTTTCCGCATCGATGAACTTTTCAAAAAAAAATTTGACGAAAAATTTTTTTTTGGATTTTTTTGATTGAAAATTTGAGGTTTTTGACGCCTTAATTGTTTTAATCAAATTGAGCTTCAAAATGCTCCAAATTTGCTCATTCGGCCCAAAAAGCCCCCCTTGGCCCAATTAAAAGTCCAATTTTTGCAGGCTTTTCAAAAATGCCATAATCCAAAGTGGAAGTTTGGACAATCAATGGGCAATGAATTCGCCGTTTCGAGCTAAACAAAAATCGCAAAAATTGCTGGAATTGGTGGGCTGTAATAAGAGTACGGTAGGTTTTTGATTGAAATTTCTGGAATTTTTAGATTCATCATGAAATTTGGAGCTGAATGAGCCTATTTTTAATGGAAAACAAAAACTTTCGCAGGCAGCGGGGTTCGAACTTTTGATGTGAACTTGCTAAATTTTGGGGCAAAATTAGCGAAAAAGCCGTGTTTGGGCTCAAAACGGTCCAAATTTCATGAAATTTGGCCACCTGAAGCCTGAAAAAGCCCCCAAAAGCCCATATTCTTCTTCCAGGTCGATTTATCGCTCTCCTGCTTGCGATTAGTTCCACCTGACGAATTATCGGCAAAAATTTGGAAAATTCAACTCGTTTTTCTGGAATTTCCGTTTGTTATTGTGTCTAGGTTGGTTTTTGCGGTGGGAAATTTGGATTTTTGGAGCATTTTGAGCCCAAGAAACGTGATTTTCAGCATTGCTGAAATTTAACATGAGCAATTGTGTATTTAGTTTGATTTTTGGCCAGAAATTGTTGTTTTCCCAGTTCCTACTACGAAAAAAATCACGTTTTTCCCAGGGATCCAAATTTTTTCGGCGATTTGGATGGATTTGCCGCAATTCGAGAGGGAAACTACAATTCGGATGTGAATTTGATGATTGGAATGAACAAGGATGAAGGTATGGGCTTTTTCAGGCTTTTCTGGGCCGAAATTTGAAAAATTGACGATTTTTGGAGCATTTTCTGAGTTTTTTGAGCCTAAAAATGCCGGAAAATTGGAATTCTGAGCATTTTTTGACCTGAATTTGAATATAGGCTTATTTTATACCAAAAATCTGAAATTTCATGAAAAATCCATGAAAAAGGTCGGGAAATTGAATTTTTGAGCATTTTTTGACTCGAAATTGAATTTAGGACTAATTTATGACCTATTTTTCACACCACTAAATTTACTTCCTTTTTGCCCCACAAAAATCCATTATTTTTTATATTTATGTTTATTTTTATGCCTACTCCCCCCAAAAAAATTGGCTGCAATTGACATTTTTCGCCGCAAAAATATGCCAATTTTTGGCACCCCTCCCCCAAAAAAAATAGACTAAAACGCAAGAAAATTGGTTTTATAATGAGAAATGAATGTGTCAGTTTCAGGCAATTATTGGAACATTTACAATTTGCCGCAATTTTTCGACAAACAACGACCGCCTGAGCTGACTAGGTTGGTTTTTGGGGCTTTTTTGGGCTTTTCTGGTCGATTTGTAGTGGATTTTTGAGTTTTTTGGTGAAAAATAATTGTATGTTTCAAAAATTTGATAAGTTTCCAGAATTTGTTGATTTTAATGATGCGCAAACTGAATGTGGTTCAAAAAAATGGATGAAAATTTTAGGAAATTATAGTTCTAGGGATATTTTTGAGCCCGAATTTCATGAAAATTTTAAAAATTAACATGAGCAATGCTGAATTTTCAGATTTTTCGCGAAATTTGGGATCTGGAGATAGTAAACAAGCCTGAATTCCAAATTTTTATCCTAAAATTATTCTAGAACCCGAATTTCATAAAAATCTTGAATTTTTAGCCGAATTTTCAGATTTTTCATTCAATTTCAGTCTATGTTCAATTTTTAAAGCCTTCAAAAAATTCCCGAAAATTGTATGTTTCAAAAATTTGATAAGTTTCCAGAATTTGTTGATTTTTTGATTTCTCGTACATGTTATGTATTTCAAAAAAATGGATGAAAATTTTAGGAAATTAGAGTTCTAGGGATATTCTTGAGCCCCAATTTCATGAAAATTTTAAAAATTAACATGAGCAATGCTGAATTTTTGAAATTTTCATCAAATTTGGGATCTGGAGATAGTAAACAAGCCTGAATTCCAAATTTTCATCCTAAAATTAATTCTAGGCTAATTTAGTATCTCTAGAACCCGAATTTCATGAAAATCTTGAATTTTCAGCCGAATTTTCAAATTTTTCATGCAATTTCAGTCTAGGCTCAATTTATAAAGCATTCAAAAAATTCCCAAAAATTGTATGTTTCAAAAATTTGATAAGTTTCCAGAATTTGTTGATTTTAATGATCCGCAAACTGAATGTGGTTCAAAAAAATGGATGAAAATTTTAGGAAATTATAGTTCTAGGGTTATTTTTATGCCCAAATTTCATGAAAATTTTAAAAATTAACATGAGCAATGCTGAATTTTTGAAATTTTCATCAAATTTGGGATCTGGAGATAGTAAACAAGCCTGAATTCCAAATTTTCATCCTAAAATTATTCTAGAACCCGAATTTCATAAAAATCTTGAATTTTTAGCCGAATTTTCAGATTTTTCATTCAATTTCAGTCTATGTTCAATTTTTAAAGCCTTCAAAAAAATTCCCGAAAATTGTATGTTTCAAAAATTTGATAAGTTTCCAGAATTTGTTGATTTTTTGATTTCTCGTACATGTTATGTATTTCAAAAAAATGGATGAAAATTTTAGGAAATTAGAGCTGAATTTTTGAAATTTTCATCAAATTTGGGATCTGGAGATAGTAAACAAGCCTGAATTCCAAATTTTCATCCTAAAATTAATTCTAGGCTAATTTAGTATCTCTAGAACCCGAATTTCATGAAAATCTTGAATTTTCAGCCGAATTTTCAAATTTTTCATGCAATTTCAGTCTAGGCTCAATTTATAAAGCATTCAAAAAATTCCCAAAAATTGTATGTTTCAAAAATTTGATAAGTTTCCAGAATTTGTTGTTTTTAATGATGCGCAAACTGAGTGCGGTTCAAAAAAATGGATGAAAATTTTAGGAAATTATAGTTCTAGGGATATTCTTGAGCCCCAATTTCATGAAAATTTTAAAAATTAACATGAGCAATGCTGAATTTTTGAAATTTTCATTTTAAAAATTTTTGAAATCTCAATTTATAAAGCATTCAAAAAATTCCCAAAAATTGTATGTTTCAAAAATTTGATAAGTTTCCAGAATTTGTTGATTTTAATGATCCGCAAACTGAATGTGGTTCAAAAAAATGGATGAAAATTTTAGGAAATTATAGTTCTAGGGTTATTTTTATGCCCAAATTTCATGAAAATTTTAAAAATAAACATGAGCAATGCTGAATTTTTGAAATTTTCATCAAATTTGGGATCTGGAGATAGTAAACAAGCCTGAATTCCAAATTTTCATCCTAAAATTAATTCTAGGCTAATTTAGTATCTCTAGAACCCGAATTTCATAAAAATCTTGAATTTTTAGCCGAATTTTCAGATTTTTCATGCAATTTCAGTCTATGTTCAATTTTTAAAGTCTTCAAAAAATTCCCGAAAATTGTATGTTTCAAAAATTTGATAAGTTTCCAGAATTTGTTGATTTTAATGATGCGCAAACTGAGTGCGGTTCAAAAAAATGGATAAAAATTTTAGGAAATTATAGTTCTAGAGATATTTTTGAGCCCAAATTTCATGAAAATTATAAAAATTAACATGAGAAATGCTGAATTTTCAGCTTTTCCGTCAAATTCGGGTTCTAGAGAGACCAAATTAGCCTATAATTAGTTTTAGGATTAAAATTTAGGCTAATTTACTATCTTTAGAACCTAAATTTTATGAAAAATCCCCAAATTCAACTCAAAATGCTCCAAATTTCCATTCAGGCTCGAATTTTCCGCACTAATTGATCAAGTCTTCTCAATTCATCCGGAAATTATCCGCTCCGCAGCCAAATATACATATAGTGATGAAAATTGTACGGATCATGGTAGATCTACGCGATTCTATGCGGATCAAATGAACAAAATTGTGGGCGATTATTATTTTTCATGTGATTCGCTTTGGCTGGCTGAACAGGTTGGTTTCCGGGCTTTTTGGGGGCTTTTCAGGCCGATTTTGGGCTTCATTTTGAGGCCTATTTTAGGTTGAGTTTCAGCCTATTTTCTAGGCTTTTCAGGCTCCCTTTTCAGATTTTTCCCCCAGAATTTGTTGAGCTGAAAATACTCGCTTTTTAATAATTTATTATAATTTTGCTAGCCAAGTGTATTTTAATTAGCCTCGTTTTTTCTTCTATTTTTTTTCTATTTTTTTTTATTTCTATATTTTTCCAGCATTTTCGAAGGAATGTATTTGTTTATTATTTTACGCAAGCTTCGAGGTTGGTTTTTTGGGGATTTTTGGGCTGAATTTGAGCTCCAGGAGCATCTGGCGAGCATTTTGAGCCCAAGTTCGACATTCTGGAGGGCCTGGGGAGCGTTTTGAGCCCAAATTTGGGCACAAAATGCTCCCCAGAAGCTCAAAACCCCGATTCTGAGCCCATAATTTTTTTTCCAGCGCAAATCCTTGGCCTAAATGGACTGGTGCAATGCACGGCTACGAAATTGAGTATATTTTTGGAGCCCCGTTGGTCTATCCGAAAATTTATAAAAGAAGAGAGCAGATATTCTCGAGGAAACTCATGCAGTTTTGGACGAATTTTGCGAAAACCGGGTAATTTTTGCGATCGTTTTGAGACCCAACACGATTAGGGTTACTGTAGTTTTTTGCGCGCACGAAGATTTGAAGCATTTTGAAACCAAACAAGCCTAGGATTACTGTAGAGCCTAGGCTTGTTTGATCGCAAAACGCGTCAAATTTTTTGGCGCCAAAAATCTACAGTACCTCTATGTTTTCCTACAGTACCCCATCGCTTCGAAACCCAAAACACACTGAAGTCTGGCCTCGCTACAACCATCCAAAATCTGAGCGAAAATGGATGCAACTTCGCTCCGGCTCGAATATCCGCCCCATAAAACCCTGGAAATCTCGACAGTGTCAATTTTGGCGAAATATCAAGGATACCGAATACACGGCATACTGTAGGTGTACTGTAGTTACAGTACCTTCTATAATTTTCTTACAGTAACCCAAGAGTACTCGAAGTCTTCAGGCATTTTTGGATTATCGATTTTTTTCCGGATTTTTTTCATTTTTCACATTTTTTTGCGGGTTTTCCAATGATCTCTCATAAATTTGCGTCATTTTTTTTTGATCTACCGTACCTCTTTCTCTATTTCTCTCGTCTTACCGTACTCTTTCCTTACCGTACTCCTTTTCCCTTTCCCTTTTCCTTACTAATTGTGTTGTGTTTGAGGTTCTACCATCCACCAAATGCGCCCCATTGCACTTCTTCTATCAACTGTGCTCCTTTATTATAATACTCAGGTACAGTACACCTCCTACAGTACTCCTACAGTAGTACTAACTGCTTGCCTATACTAATTACTAACCATTTTTTAAAGGCGCAAGAGGATTCGGAAGTGATTGTTGAAACGCGGCTGGGAAATGTGAGAGGTGTCGAGCAGCAGCATGGACAACAAAGAGTTCGATCTTATTTGGGGTGAGTTTCGGGGGGTACTGTAGATTACTGTAGAGCCGGAAATTTGCGGTTTTTTGAGACCAAACATGACTAGGGTTACTGTAGGTTTTATACCGGAAATTTGCGGTTTTTTGAGATCAAATATGACTAGGGTTACTGTAAATTTCGGGGTCAATTTTCTGGGAATTTTTGGGCTTCAGTAATCCTGGCAGGGAGTACTGTAGAGCTCGGAAATTTTCGGATTTTTTGATACCAAATATGCCTAGGGTTACTGTAGATTTTATGCCGGAAATTTGAACCATTTTGACATCAAATATGACTAGGGTTACTGTAGATTTTGGGGCCAATTTTCTCGGATTTTTTGAGGATACTGTAGAATTACTGTAAAGCCGGAAATTTTGAGCGTTTTTAGATCAAATATGACTAGGGTTACTGTAGATTTTGGGGCCAAAAACCTACAGTAACCCTAGGCTTGTTTGGTCTCAAAAAGATCCAAATTATGTTCTGGCGCCAAAAAAAAATTCAAATTTTTATTTTTGCAGAGTTCCCTTCGCCGAGCCACCCACCGGCTCGCAGCGCTTCAAAATCCCGCAACCCAAAAAATCGTGGGCTCGCTCGTCGGGCACCATAAATGCCACCCAATTGTCGCCAGCCTGCTATCAAGGTCGCGATGGATATGGAGACGCTGTTGGCGGATTTTGGGGAAGTGATATGTGGAATGCGAACACGCCGGTCAGCGAGGATTGTTTGTATTTGAATATTTGGGCGCCAGCTGGAGCAAAGTGAGTTTTTTGAGAGCCCAGGAAATTTGGAGCATTTTGATACCCCACAAGCATAGGGTTACTGTAGCTACTGAAAATTTGGAGCATTTTGAGACTAAATATGCATGAGGTCTTGTAGCGAATTTGTTACAGTAACCTGGATTTTTGGCCGCGTAAATTTTTATTTTCAAAAAAAAAATATTGACGTGGATTTTTGCGAAAAATTGCGAATTAAAAAAATTGAATTTTGGCTCATTTTTCATAGAAAAACATGGGAATTTCAGAGTTTTTTCAGAAAAAAACCTGAAATTAGGTCTAAGTCCAGGCTTATTTGGGCTCATTTTGAGCCAACTTTCGGGGTGAATCTGAAAATTTAGTTAAAAATTTCAGAATCTTCGGATTCAGCTTAGAAATTGGAACAAAATAAGTCCAAACAAGCCTAGGTTCAGAAAAAGGCCTGTAATTAGGTCTAAGCCTAAGCCTAGGCTTATTCGGGCTCATTTGAAGCCAAATTTCGAGCTAAACCTCATAATTTAGTTCAAAATTTCAGAATCTTCGGATTCGGCTCAGAATTTGGGGCAAAATAAGCCTAAACAAGCCTAGGCTCAGAAAAAGGCCTGAAATTAGGTCTGAGCCTAGGCCTAGGCTTATTCGGGCTCATTTTAAGCCAAATTTCGAGCTGAATCTGAAAATTTAGTTAAAAATTTCAGAATCTTCAGATTCAGCTTAGAATTTGGGTCAAAATGAGTCCAAACAAGCCTAGGTTCAGAAAAAGGCCTGAAATTAGGTCTATGCTGAAGACTAGGCTTATTCGGGCTCATTTGAAGCCAAATTTCGAGCTAAACCTCACAATTTAGTTCAAAATTTCAGAATCTTCGGATTCGGCTCAGAATTTGGGGCAAAATAAGCCTAAACAAGCCTAGGTTCAGAAAAAGGCCTGTAATTAGGTCTAAGCCTAAGCCTAGGCTTATTCGGGCTCATTTTGAGCCAAATTTCACGCCAAATCTGAAAAAGGTCAAAATGAGATTTTTTCCAGAAATCTCACAGTCCTTGTCTGGTTGTTCGGAGGTGGTTTCTACTCGGGTTCGCCATCACTAGGCTTATACGATGGAAAAGAGTTGGCGACACGTGGAAATGTGATTGTAGTCAATATCAATTATCGTGTTGGACCTTTTGGATATTTATATTTGGGACACGAAGATGTGCCCGGAAATATGGGAATGTTGGATCAACAGCTGGCGTTGTACTGGATTCGCGATCATATTTTCACGTTTGGCGGTGATCCGGGGAGTATTACTTTGGTGGGAGAAAGTGCGGGAGCCGCGTCGATTGTGGCACATTTGATTGCGCCGGCGTCGAGAGGGTAGGTTTCTGAGCAAATTTGGAGCATTTTGAGCCCCCACAAAACTAGTTTTTGAGAGAATTGTGAAATTTGGAGCATTTTGAGACCCCACAAGCTGTATTTTGTGATTTTCCATGAAATTTGGAGCATTTTGAGCTCTCACACGGCACCTTGAAAGAAATTTGGCTCAAAATGAGCCCGAATAAGCCTACGTTTAGGTTTAGACCTAATTTCAGGCCTTTTTCTGAGCCTAGGCTTGTTTGGGCTCATTTTGAGCCAAATTTCGAGCTGAATCGGAAGATTTTGAAATTTTTAATTGAATTTTCAAATTCGGACCGAAATTTGGCTTCAAATGAGCCCGAATAGGCCTAGGCTCGAAATTTTCAGCTTTTTCAAGTATTTCAAGCTTAAAATCGGAAATTTTAGAGCATTTTGAGCCTATGCTTGTTTAGGCTCATTTTGAGCCAAATCTGAAGATTTTGAAATATTCAAGTGAATTTTCAAATATGGCCAGAAATTGGGCTCAAAATGAGCCTAAAATTGGAAATTTTGGAGCATTTTGAGCCTAGGCTTGTTTAGGTTCATTTTAACTCAAATTTTGAGCTGAATCCTAAAATTCTGAGATTTTTAACTGAATTTTCAGAATCAGCTCGAAATTTGGCTCAAAACGAGCCCGAATGAGTCTAGGCTTAAGCTCAAACCTAATTTCAAACCTTTTTCTGAACCTATTCTTGTTTGGGCTCATTTTGAGCCAAGTTCTGAGCTGAATCTGAAAGTTCTGAAATTTTTAACTAACTTTTGAGATTTGGCTCAAAATGAGCCCGAATAAGTCTAGGCTTGAAATTTATAAAGGTTTTCTGGAGCATTTTGAGATCTCAAAAGGCTAGGTACATTTAAAGGAACATACCGTACTATTTCCAGCCTCTTCCAAAACGGCATTCTTCAATCTGGAAGTCTTGACAATCGCTGGAGCATGGATTCGCCCAAAAGAGCTCTCGAAAAATCGAAAAACCTGGCAGATTTGGTGAATTGCAATCAAACCGAAATCAAATCTCAAATCGAATGTCTCAAAAACACACCAGCTCAAGATTTGATTGATCAAATCTGGAATGTCGGCCTGAATTTCCTCGAATTTCCATTTGTCATCACTTCAAAGGATGCGAATTTCTTCAAATATTTTGATGGTTTCGATGCGTTGAGACATGGCAATTATTCGACAGATGTGAATCTGATGTTTGGAATCAATCATGATGAGGGAAATTTTTGGAATATCTACAATCTTCCCAGCTATTTTGATAGTGTTAAAACGGAGCCGGAAAGACAGAAGAAGCCCAAGTTATCGCAAGTTGATTTTCATGAATGTGTTAACACGGCATTCGCATTCCAACCCGAACTAGTCAGATCTGCTGCAAAATACATCTATTCGAATCCGTCTTGCAAAGATCCGAATCTGAAGGAGGAGTTCTATAGCGAGCAGGTGAATCAGATGGTTGGCGACTATTTTTTCACGTGTGACAGTGTTTGGTTGGCGCATAATTATCCGAAATTGGCTGAGAAGCGGGGAGATCAAAGCAAAGTTTTTGTCTATTATTTTAATCAACCGTCGAGGTGAGGATTTTTGGGCTGAAACTGGGCTCAGGGGGCTTTTGAGGAGTATTTTGAGTAAAATGTTTGGATTTTTGGACGAAAACTAGGCTAGCGCGCTTCTACGGGGTCTGGAGATGATTTTGAGGCAAAATTAGGCTTCCGAAGGGCCTGGGGAGTGTTTTGAGCCAAAATTTCAAGAAAAACTAGGTTTACGGGCTTTCTGGAGATGATTTTTAATCAAAATTTTGGATTTTTTTCACGAAAACTGGGCTTTAAGGCTTTTGAAGATGATTTTGAACCATAAATCGACATTTTTTGGTTAAAACTAGGCTTTCAGGCTTCCCAAGGGACTGAGGAGTATTTTGAGCCAAAATTTCAACAAAACAAGGCTAGCGGGCTTCCGATAGGCCTTTTGAGCGCAAAATCGAGGTTTTTGGGTCGAAACCAGATTTACGGGCTTCCGAAGGGCCTGGAGATGATTTTGAGCCAGGAATTCCGATTTTTTACGGGATTTGGAGCATTTTGAGTGCTCGAAAGCTCTATTTTGCGAATTTTCGGGGTTCAAACCAAAATTTGACATATTTCACCTCGAGACCAAATTTTTATCGAAATTTTGAAAAAAATTGGTTATTTTCAAGCTCCGCAGAAACTTCAAAAGGAAAAAATGTCCCTTTAAACTGGTCCCGTAGCGAAAATCTGTAAATAGTTCATTTTTGGGCTCAAAATTATCACCTGAAGCCTTAAACTTCGTTTTCTACCCTCAAAAACCCTTAATTTTTTTCAGCGCAAATCCTTGGCCAAAATGGACTGGTGTAATGCACGGCTATGAAATCGAATTCGTTTTCGGTGTTCCGATTTACAACAAAACTGCCGCCTACACGAAAGCTGAAGTGAATGTCGCGGAAAAGGTTATCGATTGGTGGACGACGTTTGCCGCAACTGGGTAGGTTGATTTTTGAAATTGCCACGTCACGGGCTATCGATTGATACCCATTTTGATGTGGTTTTGGGAAGAATTCAGGTCTTGCCACGTGGAGATTACTGTACCTCCCTTTAAATATTCAATTTTTTTTTCAAAAAATTTGAAAATATTTCATGTTTGGTATCATTCTACTTCAAACTTCATTTTGAATCTAAATATTTGGGTCTTGCCACGTCGCGAGTACTGTACCTCCCTTACGAAGGGAATTTTGGCGTGGCGGGACCCGAAAATGAAATTTCTTGAAAATATGGACTTAGGGGTGTCTAACAAAGCGGAATTTCGTGGAGAATTCGAATAATGATGTCTCGCCACGTGGAAATTACTGTACCTCCCTTTAAATCGCAATTTTTCCGCTGCAAGACCCGATTTTGTAAAATTTCTCATATTTGGTATCATTCGAATCCTAATTGTTTCCTGAATTCAAACTTTTATAATTTGCCACGTGGCGAGTACTGTAGCTCCCTTTAATCCGTATTTTTTTGCAGTGTCCCGACTCTCCGAAACTCTTCTTTGTCTTCGAAAAAAATCACCTGGGAACAATACGACGGTGTGAATCGCACAAAATGGCTGAACATTCAAGCTGGCGCGTTCGGAATGATTCAAGAGATCAAAAAAGTCGAATGTGATCTTTGGCGCAACGCCAAAGACATCGAATACACCAACTACAGTAAGATTTTTGGATTGGGCTCAAAATGAGCCCGAATAAGCCTAGGCTTAGGATTAGACCTAATTTCAGGTCTTTTTCTGAACCTAGGCTTGTTTAGGCTCAAATTGACCCTAACATTTTCAAAGTTTTATCGATTTTTTCTTGCAGAAATTGAGCTAACAACTTGCTCATCTTCCACACTTCTCGGATTATCTACAGTACTCCTCTACCTTTTGGATACGATAGTTTAGGCCCCCATTTTTTTGACCTCCCCGAATTTTTGTACATTTTTCTCACAGTCACTTATATACCCCTCTCTTTCAAAACGATTTTTTTGCGAATTTTTTTTTATTTTTGCAGGGAGTAGACTTTTATTTACTAATCTTCTTGATTTTGCAACATTCCAGACTTAGCCTAACTCGATTTTTTTTTACTTTTTATCGCATTTTCCACCTTCTTCTACACTCACATATCATAGAGTTTTAATTTAATTTATTTTTTGCACACTTTTTCTTTTTGCCCATAAATATTTTTAATTGAAAGATTTTCTGGGGAGATAAGGAAACATCTGGAGTTCTAGCGATTTTCAGACCGTGGGATATTGATTTTTGAATTTTCCACGTCACGGGCTTTCGAACGACACCCAGATGTCATATTTTTTGAGGAAAAAAAATTTTGGCGCCAAAAATTCCACCAAAAAATTTTTTCAGCCTAAATATATGATGTTGGGTGTCTAACGAACCGGAATTGAACGAGGAATGCGAATTTTTGGGTTTCGCCACGTGGAAATTACTGTACCTTCCTTTAAATAGTGAATTTTGGCGTGGCGGGACCCGAAAGTTGAAATTTCTTGAAAATATCGACTTATGGGTGTCTAACAAAGCGGAATTTTGTGGAGAATACGAAAATCGATGTCTCGCCAAGTGGTAAGTACTGTATGCGCCTTAAAAATTGATTTTTTTCGCTGTGAGACCTGCCAAAAATTACAATTTTTCAAAAACCACTTTGTTTGGTATCATTTAGCTCCAAATTTCATGAAGATTTTGAAAATTTGCAGTTTTGTCACGTGGCAATTACTGTACATCCCTTTAAATGGGTTTTTTTCTATCAAAATTTTGAGAGAAAGAGCAACTTCCCCTCCTTTTTTCTCTTTCAATTCAAATTCAAAAAAAAAAGAGAGACAAAATGAAATTTCTTCTCTTTTTCTTTTTTTTCTTTTATTTTTTGAATATAAATTTTTTTTTCGAAAAAAAAAGGCCTTTGAAACATTTTTTCCTAGAAAAATGCTCAAAAATTCGGCATTGCTCATGTTAAATTTTTTTGGATTTGGATTTTTGCAAGCAAATTTGGACTGTAATTTGTGCACCAGTTTTAATATTGAAAATGTGAGTTTTTTGAAAATTTTGCTCTGAAATTCAAAATTTTCCAGCACTACGGTAGCTTTTTCGATAATCCGAGAGAAGTACAAAAAAGTTATGTGAAGCGGCAGAATTTCATGGATTGCTCAGGGTAAGTGGGGGAATTTTGGGGAGGCAAAAAAAAATTTGAAAATTTAATTTTAGGAAAAAAATTGCGACACAAAAATGTGATGGCATGTGTTTCTCATTAAATGTTTCGACGAATCGCGGAGAAATTTCGGATTTTGGTGAGTAGGGAAAATATGGTGTGATTTTTGACGGCCAAAAATTGCTGGGTAGGAAAAATATGTCAGGATTTTTGACCAAGTAGGTGAAATTGGTCAATTTTTACGCTAAAACCTCTGAAAAACACCATTTTTCGCCATAGAAAACCTTCATTTCCTGAAAAATCAAAATCACTCGTCATCTCTTGCTGGAACTCCCAAATCGTCCATTCGTGTCATCACATAATCGAAAATCGAGTAGGGAACTTTGAATTTCATGAATTTCGGAGAACGTCCGTTGATGCATGTGTGATAGAATGTGATCTTAGTGGGCTGAAATTTTGGAGCAAAATGAGTCTAGATAAGCCTAGGCTTGGGCCCAAAAGTACCCCTCCAAAAAAAAAATTTTGCACCGGGGCGGGATCGAACCCACGACCTAACGCATGAAAGACGAGCGTGCTAACCAGTCGGCCACGCACACCTTTTTTCCTCCGATGCAAATGTTTGATATATGAAACGAGGAAAAAATGGCTCACCTTCTCAACGGGTCCCATAATCACATCATTGTATCTACGAAACATGCTACAACGCGGATTGATCGTCTCACTTCGATAATACCTATGACCTGTGGAATTGTAGAAATCCACGTGGATCAACCATCGACTTCGATTCCGACAACCCACATCCACGTTCACATTCCATCGGCCAAAAATTGCCGCGGGAAGGAGGAAAATTGCGAAGATTTGGAACATTTTTGATTGGAAAATGAAATTTGTCGAACATTTTGATGTTTTTTCTAGACACTGCACATTTTATAACGTGGGAAACTAAAAGTAGGGGAAAAATATGAAAGGATTTTTGACACTGGGCAAAAAAATTCCCCAGCTCTATAATATACCATTCAAACGCAAATTCCATGAAAAATTCGAAAAAATTTATCAAAAATTCAATTTTCCGCGCGTTTTCCGCACAATACCGCGCGGTATGGTCTGTTGTAGTGTGTATTTGAGACGCACGACATGTCGTAGATTTTTTGATTTGTCGAAATTATCATCAAACAGTGATCGGCCAAATCGCTGGAAAATAGGAAACTGTAGCTACAGTACTAAATATACAGTAACCCAAGCTTACTCTGGCGGTTTACGGAGATAATCTGGATATCCCTCATTGAAATTGTTGAGAGTGAAAGTTGGATCCGTGTTGTGATTCGAGAAATTTTGGAAAGCCTGGAAAACGAGACTGTAGGTATTGGGTTACTGTAACAGTACTCTTAGGAAGTACTGTAGCTACAGTACCTTGTATCCTTGACAATCTGGATCTTTGAATGTTGGTTGATCGGAATAGCATTTGAATTTGCGATAGCCGTCGATTCGAATTAATTGACCGGGTTTTTGGGTTTCCGGGTGGGATTCTGGAATTTTACTTGAAATTTGGAGCACAATGAATCTAGATAAGCCTAGGTTTAGGCCTAACTTTAGGCCTAAGCCTAGGCTTATCCAAAAAAACCCACTAATAACTTGATTCGACTCATAACTATTCTCAAAATTCGAAATCACAGCTCCATCTTGTGCACACAATTCTCGCGCCATTTTTAGCGTCAAATCCGCCGAATTATAGACGATTTTCAGACACCATCCAGAAGTTTGACGATTTTTTGAGCTAGCAGTTCGCTCGAAAAATTGATAGGTTTTATCAGCGCACAATTTTTCAGTGGAGCAAAATTGGAGGAAAATTAGGAGCAAAAATATGGGAATTTTCATGATTTTCATGATTTTTTTCGGCGAATTTGGGGATTATTTATTGAGGGCTTTTATGAGGTTGTTAAAATTTTAATAACAATTAAAAATGCACTAAAAGTAGGGGAAATATGGTGTGATTTTCGACTTCTCATATAAGAATTTGAGACAAGATTTTTGACAGGTGTCAAAAATCACACCATTTTTTGCCTAGGCTATTATTCAACGCGATGTTTTTTGATCTACAGTATCCCAGGGCCTCTGAAAAACCTCCAAAATCTCAATTTCCAGGCATAGCCTACGGTTGCTCATCTCAACTGCTCCCCGAAGACCTCGATTTCACCGGCTCCGCCCCAAATCGTTGCGAGACCCGCACAATTCGTCTCTCCACTTTTCCCGCCTATTCTGTTCAGGCGGAGTACTGTGTATGCGCATCAAACTACTGTAATCGAGTGCAACGCGTTTTGCCGCCTAAAAAATTAAAATTGCACGGGATTTTGAGATCTGAAATCAAGGATGTGAAAGAGATTAGTTTTTCGAGAAATTTTGGGATTTTTTTGAATTTCGTGGTGTTTTTGTTGATATAAAGATTCGATTTTTCATTGAAAACAAAATTATTAATGAAAAAGTGTGCACGAGTTGCAAAAAATCGCGCCGCAGCCGGCAAAAAGGGGCGTGGTCACCCACCAAACATTCATTTCAAATATTTTTCTCAATGTTTTGCTTTTTCCTCGAAATTCAGCGGGTTTCTCGGCGTGAATTTGCAGTTTCGAATTTATTTTCAGTAAAAATAGGAATTTCAGCCAGATCTCAATGATTTTACCGAAGTTTCGACAATTTCTGAATTCGTCCATGCCAACTCTCTTCTTCGCATCTCGTTCCTTTCATTTTCCTCACGAACTTCAAAGAGCTGGCCTGAAAATATTAAATTTATTGATCATTTATTGATTTTTGGCAAAAATGGCCGAGTCGGTTTCTAGGCCAGCCAGCCAGCCAGTCATCTTTTTCTTTTTTTTTTCGTTTTTTGCAGTTTTGCTCGTTTTTTGTCGAAAAAAGGGTTTTTGGTGAGTTTTTAATGGTTTTTTTTGAGCACAAATGTTTAATTTCAGGTTGCACACTTACATTTATATCGTGCAAGCATGATGGTTAGGAAAACAACGACGAAAACCATCTCCATGCAAAGAAGAAAGAGCATCGTGAAAATTGGAGGAACTCTGGAAATTGCTCGATTATTGATTGATATTGCGAGGCTGGAGGATGGAGAAGCGAGTGAAAACAAGGTTCGGAAGAGGGAAAATCATGCGATTCGTGGGGAAAATCGATGGTTTTCGAATATGGGCGGTATTTTGCATCATTTATTGATTTTTTTTACCAAAAAACCTCGAGTTGCATGTAAAAATCATGAAATTTGACGAAAATTGTCGATTTTTCCCCGAATTTCGTGATTTTTTCGAGGATAAGCTGGATTTTTGAAAATGACGTGGAATAGAAAATTCGAATTTTTGATTTTCGCGCCAAAATGTACTGTATCATCATATTTTTATTGACGAAAAAGTAAAACATCAAGTGAAATTCAGAAAGGCACCGGTGATAAATAAAAAAAAACAATTTTCTAGCGGGAAACACACGTTTTGGTTGGGTTGGGTTGGGAATGGGAAATTAAAAAAAAAAATTTAGGAAAATTTCGGGTAACTGAGAAAGTTTCAAGGGTTTTTTTTTGATATTTGATGAAAATAGAGAGGGGAAACCTGAAGAAGATTTAAAAAAAAAAGAAAAAATTTTTGGGCAAAACAAAAAATTATGAAGAGCATTTGACGCATTCGAGGCTGACGGGTAGTAGAGAGTCGTGGATTTGGGTGGCGACTTCTTGCGGACATTTATCGTCGGATAATACGTCGCGGGTCATTGAGCACTGAAAAATTTCGGAATTTTCGAATTCGGTTCGAAATTTGGAGCATTTTGACACCCCGCAAGCTATATTTTGGCGAAATTTTGCAAAATTTTTTTTTTAAATTTTTCACAGTAAAACAAGTGGCACCCATATTTTTCCAAAAAAAAAACTCACAATCTTGGTGTTTCCGTCGAATTTGGCCATGGTACACTTGATATCGGCACATAGTTTAGCGCACGCTTGCACGTTGTCCGCCTTCTCATGCGTTTTCATCGCGGGCATTGTGCGCGTTGGTGTGATTGGGCGAAGATTGTAGGTGCAGGCTGCAAATATTGATTTTGTGGGCGGATCTAGAAAACCCTGCCGCAAACTCACAAGTACACTGTATACACGACACAACAAATGGATGCAATGCGGCGTGTTGCGGAACGAAATCCGCCAAATTCCCGCACACCACGTCATCGGAAGTCAGCAGGCAAACGCCTTGCGCGCTTATTCCGGAAGGAGATGGGATGAATCCGGCAGTTTTGCAATGTGCGGTCTCGAAGCACTTGCGCGCGCAATCCGCTGGCGAACTTGCCGGCACATCGTTGGTGATATTGAGTTTGGGAAGGGAGGCGACTGGAATGACTTGGAATTCGACACGACCATTTGAGCATTTCGAGCTGACGCCTTGATCGATTGGAGTGGCGGAAGCGGACGAGTCTTGGGTTTGCGATGCTTCATCCATTGAGAATTGTGTGATGTCGTGCGATTTTTTCGGGTCTTCGGCTGGAAATTCGCGATTTTTTGAGGGTAAGTAAGGCGATATCTGGGCTCCCCAGGTTCTCCCGGTCATTTTGAGACCCCACAAGCCTAGAGGATACTGTATGAGCCTTCAAGGTGAGACTGTACCATTGTGTTTATACTCAAAAGGCTCCCAATTCCACGTGGCATCTCATGAAGAGAATTATGGGGGGATTTCTATACTCTCTAGCTCCTACTGGTCATTTTGAGACCTCACAAGCCTAGAGGATACTGTATGAGCCTTTAAGGTGAGACTGTACCATTACGTTTATACTCAAAATGCTCCTAATGCCACGTGGCATCAACTTGATAATTATTTGAAGCCCCAATTAAAAATTAATTAATTAATTAATTAGTCCACATCACACCCGAATTTTAATTATCATACATACCACACGTGACACATTGTATCGAGACAACTTGGTTGATTTTAGTAAATCTCCACGGCATGTTATTAGAAGAAGTGGTAGAGTTGTTACACGGTGTTATCTCATCCTTATTATCGCCAAAGTGCATCAAACAGACAGGTCGTGGGAATCGTGTGAATGCGGCTCGCCGGCATCCCGTCTCATAGCACATTCGCGCGCAATGATCCAGCGAGAATGCGGTCGCGTCGCGGTCGAAGCGGATTGAGAGATCGGTGAGTTCGGAGGTGGTGTAGTGGATCAGGCCGTTTTTGCATTCTTGAAATCGGGTTGGATTAGTGGATTGACTAGAGTGTAGTTTGGTGAGGACTAGACTAGACTATAGTTTAGTTGAGGTAGGGTGATATAGACTAGACTCTAGTTAATTGAGTATTGTTTATTTCACCATAGTAAGGTATTCAAACTAGAATTTAGTTATGACGGTATGGACTAGATTGTAGGCACAAGACTACACTATAGTTCAAAAAGTCTATATTATAGTAAAGCAGGTAACTGGGTCAAACTAGACTATTGTTTTGCTTTGGTTATCAAATTAAAACTAGACTATAGTTCAGTAATTTTATGAAAACCAAAATCTTCCATGGTTAGATCAAACTAGACTAAAGTCTAAAGCAGCTAGGTCAAACTAGAAAATGAACTGCACATTATCTTCATGCTTCTGGGTATCATGATCAAACTAGACTATAGGATATAGCTAGAAAGAATATTTTCTACGAAAGCAACTAAAATATTAAACTAGACTCTAGCTAGGCCAAACTAGAAAATTAGTGTTGATGAGTTCAAAGTACAAACTACAAACAAATTAGTGTGAGTTCAAACTACATATAAAAATACAAGCGGTTAGTTTGGGACATACCATGTTTCACAATCTCTTCCGGTAACAAACGTTGAATTGGACCTGGAATTTTGGGTTAGCGTGCACACAATTCTGTAGCTACAGTACCTCCTGCAGATTACTGTAGTGCCTGTCACTAATTGTAAAACCTACCCAATTTTTTGTTGATCAGATCTTCGGCCGCTTGCGATGTTGGTTTTCTCGGCCGTCCCAAAATGAAATCTAGGCCACCAGCAGCCAACGCATCAATCAGATCCTTCACGAGTTGAACTGGGGGTTCAGTTGTAGTTTGGGCTACTGTAGTTGTAGTTGGGAGTACGGTAGAGGATGACGTGGCACTTGATACATTATCTTCGTAATCATTCTTGGACTCGGCTTCCTCTTCTTCTTCCTCAGATGTTTTAGGCTTGGGTTCGGAAGAGGGCACAAATCCGACATTGTTCGGTAGATCTTCACGATGTGTGTTGGTCAAGATGGTCTTGTTGAAGAGATCTTCGGAATCTTCTACAGATTCTGTGGAGTCTAGTGATTCAGGTGGATCTGGAGCGGTGACAAAGGCATCGAGAGGTGTGGTGGTTTCTTCTGCGCTTTTGGTGGAGTTGGAGTTGTTCTCAGCGGAATCTTCGGTCTTGATGGCGGCGATCACGTCGTCTTCGGAGCCTGAGGATTCGGGGAGCTCTCCAGAAGCTTCGGATGTCTTGGTGGTGACTTCAGGAGATTCTCCAGAGGCTTCCGAGCTTCCAATGGTAGATTCAGATGGTTCCGATGTTGTAGCTGATTCTCCTGATCCTTCAGAGATTTCAGTGGTAGATTCTGATGCTGGTGAGGATCCTGATGATTCTTCTGATGTAGCTGAAGTTGTGGCTGACTCTCCAGAAGCCTCAGAGCTTTCAGTAGTGGCTTCTGATGGCTGCGAAGTTGTAGTTGATTCTCCAGAGCTCTCAGTAGTGGATTCTGAAGCTGGGGAGCTTTCTGATGATTTTTCTGATGTAGCTGAAGTTGTGGCTGATTCTCCAGATGCTTCTCCTGAAGTTGGAGATGGTTCCGATGTTGTGGCAGACTCTCCCGAAGCTTCCTCATCTTTCGATAACTCGGTAGCCACCTTGGTAACCTTCGCCGGCTCCTCTGAGCTCACAGTAGTAGCCTCAGTCACCCCATCATCAGTCACAAATGCAGGCGGCTCGATCGTAGTGATTTTGGCTAACTCGGCTGCAAATTGCTGTCCGACCTCCTTGGCCAATTTGCTATCCTCATCTTGATCTTCTCCAGATTCCTCAGGCTTCTTCACCTCCTCCTTTACATCTTCTGAAGTCAGGGATGATACGGTGGTGCTCGAATCATCCTTCTGATTTTCCGAATCTGATGCACCATGTGTCTTCTTCTCGAATTGCTCTTCCGATGTTTCTGGAGCATCGGTGGCCAGATCTGTAGATGTTATCGATGCTTTTGGAGTGATTGTTGGGGTGTTTGGATCGGGTGTGGTTGTACCGTGCGTGGGAATGTCGATCTCACCTGAATCAGTCACAAAGGCGGCTGGTTCGGGGGTGGATTCTGATTCTGATTCAGCTGGAGTTGTGGTGGATTCAGATGACTCTGTGGATTTTGAGGCATCTTCAGATTTGAAGAATTCTGCGCCAGAAGCATCGATGGTTGTTGATCCATCTTCTGAAGTTGGAGCGGTTGTGGACTCTCCAGATGATTCCCCAGAAGCTTCGGAAGCCTTGTCGTCGTGAGATTCATCGGTTGGAACTTTGGTGACTTTTTCTGATGGTTCTTCTCCAGATGATTCTGCTGAAGTTGGAGCTGGGGTGGTAGATTCAGAGTCTCCTGATCCTTCTACTGATGTTGTAGATTCTCCTGATGTTCCAGTGGTGCTCTCGATTTCTCCTGAAGCTTCCTTGAACTCGAATGGAAGGGTGGTTGATTCTCCTGATGATTCTTCCGATGTTGTTGATTCAGTGGTGCTCTCAGATTCTCCAGATCCACCTTCCGAAGTTGTAGCCGATGTTGTTGATTCAGCATCTCCTGATCCCTCCTCCGAGGTTAACACAGTGGTAGCTTCAGATGTTTCTCCAGAAGCTTCAGTGACCTTTTCGTCTTGGGATTCATCAGTTGGAACTTTGGTGACATTCTCAGATGGTTGTTCGCCAGAAGATTCAGTTGTACTAGATTCTCCAGATCCTTCTTCAGATGTTGTGGCTGATGTTGTAGATTCTCCAGATGATTCTGTGACTTCTGAAGCCGTAGTGGTTGTGGATTCTGAATCTCCTGATGATTCTTGACCTTCAGTAGCCGCGCTGGATGCTGGAGCTTCTGATGTTGTTGTAGATTCCTCTCCTGAAGCTTCCGATGATCCAGTTGTGGTTTCAGATTCCCCTGATCCTTCAGAATCAGCAGCCTTGGTTGTGGTTTCAGCGCCTTCGGAATCTTTTCCAACACTTGATTTCACAGCTGGCTCTTCTCCAGATGATTCAGAGTCTCCTGATCCTTCCGATGTTGGGGCTGATGTTGTTTCACCAGATCCATCTTCCGAAGCTGCGATGGTTGTGTTGGAATCTTCAGAGGCAGAGGTGGTGGATTCTGATTCTCCTGAAGCTTCAGTAGTTCCCTCAGATGTTGCTAATGTGGTTGATTCTTCTCCAGATGATTCTGATGAAGCGGTAGTAGATTCAGATTCTCCAGACGATTCTACTGGAGCTGTGGTGGATTCTGATTCCGATTCCGGAGTAGATGTTGTAGATTCTTCTCCTGATCCTTCTGGAGTAGTAGCTTCAGATTCACCTGATCCTTCAGAAGGTGTGGTTTCGCCTGAAGCCTCGGTAACCTTGGAATCTTGTGATTCTTCAGTTGGAACTTTAGTGACCTTCTCAACTGGTTCTTCGCCAGATGATTCAATGACTTCAGAAGCGACGGTGGTAGATTCTGATTCACCTGATGATTCTGGGGCCGTAGATTCTTCTCCAGATGATTCTGATGGTGTTGTTGATTCTTCAGAAGGTTGAGTAGTTGTTTCAGATTCTCCCGATCCTTCTTCTGGTGTAGTTGAGGCATCAGTCGATTCTCCCGATGATTCTGAAGTTGCTGATGTGGTTGATTCTTCTCCAGATGATTCAGTGACGGCAGCGGTAGTGCTCTCAGATTCTCCAGATCCCTCTTCCGAAGTTGTGGCCGATGTTGTAGATTCTGTAGATTCCCCAGAAGCTTCAGTGACCTTGGAATCTTGCGATTCTTCTTTGGTCACTTTTTCAACTGGTTCTTCGCCAGATGATTCTCCTGATCCTTCTTCTGAAGTTGAAGCTGAAGATGATTCTAAGCTAGGCGATGTTGTAGATTCTTCTCCAGAAGCTGCTGTGGTGCTTTCCGATTCTCCAGATGCTTCTTCAGAGCTTGCAAGATCAGCGGCCAAGGTGGAAGTTTCTGATTCTCCAGATGATTCTTGAGATTCAGAAGATGCAGTAGTGGATTCGGTTTCTCCAGAGGATTCTGAGGCAGCAGTTGAAGTCTCCCCTGATCCTTCTTCAGAAGTTGGAGCTGTTGTAGATTCTTCACCAGAAGCTTCAGTAACCTTGTCATCTTCTGAATGTTCAGTTGGAACTTTGCTGACCTTTTCAGCTGGCTCTTCGGGCTCTCCAGATGATTCTGAAGCTATGGTTGTGGATTCCGCTTCACCAGAGCTTTCTGTGACTTCTGGAGCAACAGTTGTCGCATCGGATTCTTCTGAAGATTCAGCTGGAGTGGATGTTTCTCCCGAACTCTCTTCTGAAGTTGAGGTTGTGGTAGATTCCTCTTGTCCTGATGATTCTGGAGCTTCGGAGGCTGATGTTGTAGATTCTCCTGAACTCTCTTCCGATGTTGGAGTTGTGGTAGTAGATTCCGATTCACCAGATCCATCTTCAGAAGCTGAAATCGTTGTAGACTCTTCTCCGGAAGCTTCAGTAGATGTTGCAGTAGTGCTTTCTGATTCTCCCGATCCTTCTTCAGATGTTGTAGCTTCTCCAGATGTTTCAGGGGTGGTGGCTTCAGTAGATTCACCAGATCCTTCTGAATCCTTTCCCACGTTGGATTTTATAGCTGGCTCTTCTCCAGATGATTCGGAAGCTTCAGTGGTGCTGGCTGAAGTTGTTGTCGATTCAGAATCTCCTGAACCTTCAGTTTCACCTGAGGCATCTTCAGAGGCAGCGATGGTTGTGGATTCTATTTCACCTGAAGATTCAGTGACAGCAGTGGTGGATTCAGATTCTCCAGATGCTTCTGAAGTTGTTGCTGATGTTGTGGTGGATTCCTCTCCCGAAGCTTCAGTGGTTGATTCTTCTCCTGATCCTTCACCCGAAGTTGTGACTTGTGGAGATTCACCAGATGATTCTGATGGAGCTGTTGTTGATTCAGATTCTCCAGAGCTCTCAGATTCAGCAGCCAACGTTGTAGATTCTTCTCCAGATGATTCTGAAGGTGCGGCTGATGTTGTTGATTCCTCTCCAGAAGCTTCGGTGACCTTAGAATCTTGCGATTCTTCAGTTGGAACCTTGGTGACCTTCTCAGCTGGTTCTTCAGTCTCACCAGATGATTCTCCTGAAGATTCAGCAGCAGCTGTAGTGGCTTCAGATTCTCCTTCCGATGGTGTTGTCGAGGAAGATCCAGCAAGATCAGCGGCTAATGTAGATGTTTCTGACCCCTCCTCGCCAGAGGATTCTGTGGTGGTAGCTTCAGATGTTTCACCTGACGATTCTGGAGCTAATGTAGATGTTTCTGATTCTCCAGAACCCTCTTCCGATGTTGTGGCAGCACTGGTTGTAGATTCAGCATCTCCTGAACCTTCAGTTGTTTCGCCAGAGCCCTCTTGATCTTTTGATTCAGAAGTTGTTGGTGTAGTTCCCTCTTCACCAGAAGATTCGGATGTGGCTGTGGTAGATTCCGACGATTCTGGCGCTGATGTTGTGGCTTCAGATTCACCAGAAGATTCTTGTGGTTCAGTAGATGTCGATTCACCTGATCCCTCATCTGAAGTTGGTGTTGTAGTCGATTCTTCTCCAGAAGATTCAGCAGCCTCAGTAGTAGTTTCAGCACCTTCGGAATCTTTTCCAACACTGGATTTCACTGCTGGCTCTTCTCCAGATGATTCAGATTCTCCTGAACCTTCTGATGTTGGAGCTGAAGTTGTAGAATCAGATGTTTCACCAGATCCATCTTCCGAAGCTGCGATGGTTGTGCTGGATTCCGGGGTTTCGCCAGAAGCTTCAGTGGCTGAGGTGGTGGATTCAGATTCTCCAGATCCCTCTTCAGAAGTGGCAGTAGTGGATGTTGGAACATCGATTTCACCAGAGGATTCTGAAGCGGTGGTCGTAGCTTCAGCATCTCCTGAAGCTTCAGTTGTAACATCAACGTCTCCAGATCCTTCAGATTCTCCAGATCCTTCTTCCGAACTTGCTTTGGTGGATTTTCCAGCAAGATCAGCAGCTAAGGTAGAGCTTTCAGCATCACCTGATGATTCAGTAGATTCTCCAGATCCTTCTGCTGATGTTGGAGCTGTTGTAGATTCTTGTCCAGAAGCTGCATCATCATTTGATTCATCTGTTGGAACTTTGCTGACTTTTTCTGGCTCTTCTCCAGATGATTCTGATGGAGTAGTCGTGGTTTCAGATTCTCCGGACGATTCAGTGACTTCAGAAGCGGTGGTGGTGGTTTCTGATTCTCCAGATGATTCTGAAGGCAAAGTAGATGTTTCTCCTGATGATTCTGGGGCGTCTGAAGCAGCAGTGGTGGTTTCAGATTCCCCTGATCCTTCTGGTGCAGATGTAGATGTTTCACCAGATCCTTCTTCTCCAGATGATTCAATTGGGGCGGTGGTGGATTCAGAATCTCCAGAGGCCTCCTCTGATGTTGTAGCTGAGGTTGTAGAATCGGTCTCTCCAGAAGATTCTGATGGAAGTGTGGTGGTTTCAGATTCACCTGAGGCTTCAGTGGTTTCTCCAGAAGCATCTTCGGAGGCAGCGATGGTTGTAGACTCTTCTCCAGAAGATTCTGAAGCTCCAGTGACTTCAGATGTAGCAGTTGTGCTCTCTGATTCTCCTGATCCTTCTTCAGATGTTGTAGCTTCTCCAGATAATTCAGGGGTGGTGGCTTCAGTAGATTCACCAGATCCTTCGGAATCATCTTTTCCAACACTTGATTTCACGGCTGGCTCTTCTCCAGATTCTTCTGGTACTGAAGTTGTTTCACCAGATCCATCTTCAGAAGCAGCGACGGTTGTAGGTTCTTCCCCTGAAGCTTCAGTAGATGTTGGGATGTTCACATCTTCTCCAGAGGCTTCGGTAGCAGCGGTGGTGGATTCAGATTCACCTGACGATTCTGGAGCATCGCTGGATTCTCCAGATCCTTCTGATGTTGGAGTAGTTGACGGTTCCTCTCCAGAAGCTTCAGCTGGTGTGGATGTGTCTCCAGATCCCTCCTCCGAAGTTGTGGCAGCACTGGTAGTGGATTCAGAATCTCCAGATGATTCTGTAGATTCGCCAGACCCATCTTCTGAACTGGCAATAGTAGTAGATTCTTCTCCAGAAGACTCTGAAGGTGTTGTTGTGGATTCAGCGTTTTCTCCAGAAGCCTCAGATGAAGATTGAGTTGTAGATTCTTCTCCAGAAGATTCAGTTGGAACGGTAGTGGCTTCAGATTCTCCAGATCCTTCTTCTGATGGTGTGCCTGGTGTTGTGGATTCAGATGGTTCTCCAGAAGCTTCAGTAGATTCACCAGATCCATCTTCAGATGCTGCTACAGTTGTCGTTTCTTCCCCAGAAGCTTCAGTGACTTCCGATTCTCCAGATGATTCTGCTGGGGTGGTGGCTTCTGACTCCCCAGAACCCTCCGAAGTTGTGGCTGAAGTCGTAGATTCTGTTGATTCACCAGAAGCTTCAGTGGCTTCTGATTCTCCAGATCCCTCATCTTGATTTTCCGATGTTTCTGGGGTGGTAGATTCAGCTTCCCCAGAAGCTTCAGTGACTTCAGATGTTGTTGGAGTAGTCGATTCCTCTCCAGATGATTCTGCTGGTGTTGTGCTCGATTCAGCGTCACCAGATCCCTCTTCCGAAGTTGTCGCAGCTGTGGTGGATTCACTAGATTCTCCAGAAGCTTCAGTAACTTCAGGAGTTGTCGACTCCTCTCCAGAAGCTTCAGAACTAAGAGTAGTAGTCTCAGATTCGCCAGATCCCTCCTCCGAAGTTGTTCCAGCTGTGGTGGATTCAGTAGCCTCTCCAGAAGCCTCAGTAACTTCAGGAGTAGCAGATTCCTCTACAGAAGCTGGCTCAATAATTCCAGAAGCTTCATCATTATTCTCGGAAACCTTTGCATGTTTCAAAGGTACACACGACAAACAATGAATCCATCGAACTCCATCAGCTCGATCGATATTCACCAACTTAGCCGAATTACAGAATGGTTTATCTTCATAAGCCAAAGAGCATTGTTGACTGGAAGGTGTGAAGCGAGCAGCTGTGCAACCATCCTACAAAAAAGAGGGTTACTGTATGTTCCTTTAAAATCTAGTTCATTTTACCGTACCTGATAACATCGATGCGCACAAATTTCCGCTGTCTCCGTCTTCAAATTCAACTCAAACGGCGCTACAAATTCCGAAGGCCTCTCCTCAATATTCTGAGCCTGGAAATGCACAACACAGCCTTTCAGCAGACTTCCCTCATCATCATTTTCTTGCCCGATTTTTGTCAATTGCGTTGTTCCTTCTTCACTGCCTACTGTAGTTGTTGATTCGCCTTCTGGAGCTTGGGTTACTGTAGTTGTCTCAGATTGGCTTACTGTAGTGCCCTCTGGTTGTTCTCCTGAAGATTCTGGAGTTTCTGAAGAAGTTTCCGAGGCTACTGTAGTAGCTTCTGATGGTGATTGAGTTACTGTAGTTGGTGGAATTATTGGTTGATTTTTGATGGCGTCTGGAAAAATTCTGAGATTTAGCCTAACTTTGCTTAGGAACTCTGAAGCCCTGGGAATTTTCGATAAAACAAAATTCGGGTTCGAAAGACACCTCAAGCTTATTTTCTTTTGAATTTTCGAATTTTTCGTGGCGAGATCCGGATTACTGTATCTAGGGCATTTAGGGCTTCATTTTAAGACGAAATAAGACTATTTTTGGATTTTTCATAGAATTTGTGTTCGAAAGACACCTCATAAGCTTATGTTCCTTTGAGTTTTGAATTTTTCGTTGCGAGACCCGGATTACTGTATCGAAAAGTTTTCCCAGCTCAAAAGTATTTAGGTTCATTTTGAAGCCCTAAACATTAGCTTCAAGTTAGCCTAACTCTACCAAAACCCTATCATATTTAGGCTTATTTTGAAGCCCTTTGAAATCTATATTGTTATGAGTTACCTTAACTCCCTCTCCCTCCCGCACTCACAACAATTAACACAATGAATCCACGTCACCTCCTTGGCCATATATTGCAAGAAAACATCGCCACGCGCACAATAATGCTTCTCATCATAACTCAAACTACACAAATTCCATACTGGATCAAATCGGGCGCCTGAACATCCATCCTGATAACATCTGGTCGCACAGATCTCAACCGATCCAACTTTGATCTCCTTCTCGAATTTCGCCGAAAATTCCTTGGGTCTTTCGGTGAGCGGGCGAGCTTGGAATTTGATGAGACATCCTCGTTGGAAATCTCCGTCTGCGCTGGGTACGGTAGTTGTTACAGTAATCGGGGATACTGTAGTTTGGTCGGCTTGTGGGGTTGATTCCTCAGATGATGTGGTTGTTGCAGTTTCTCCACTTGGTACTGTAGTTTGATCTTCTCCTGGAGATACTGTACTTTCCTCTGAGGCTACTGTAGTTCCCACTGGTGCTACAGTAGTCGTGCCGGTTCTGGCCTCATCGATGTCTGAAGGTTTCACAGTGTAACAATTTACACAGTGAAGCCACGTGGCTTCTTTGGCCTCGTAGTGAATGAAAACATTTCCACGAGCACAGAATTGAGGGTCGTCGTAGGAGAGTGTGCATTTTCTACCGACTGGCTCGAAACGTGCGCCAGAGCAACCGTCCTGAAATTAGGTTTTGAGTGATCAGCTCGAAATTTCACGTTTTTTGACATACAACAAGGCTAGGTTTAGAAAAAAAATGATTTTCGGGCCGTTTCAGGCTAGGCCAGGCTATCCAAATTTCCCTACCTGATAACATCTAGTCGCACAAAGTTCAATAGAATCCACCGGAACATCCAACTCGAATTTGGCTTTCAGATTTTCTGGGCGTTGGGTGAGTGGCCGGGCTTGGAACTTGATGACGCAATCTGAAAATTTCATTTTTTTTAGAAAGCCTATAGCCTAAAAAAGGCCCAAACTCAGGCTTAGACTACAGTCTAGTCATGCTTACGTTTCCTTTGTGTGGTTTTGACACCAGCATTATCTTTGGCTAATTCTACTTTTGTAGAAATTGCAGGTTCTGGATCGGAAACTTCTGAAATTTCCGGTGTAGTTTGATCAGGAGAAGTTGTACTTTGCTCAGATGATTCTGATGGGTTTGTAGTTTGATCAGCGCCGTCTTCTGGATTTTGTGTAGTTTGATCTTGTCCTTCTGGTGTAGTTTGCTCATCAGAAGAACTTTGTGTAGTTTGATCTCCTGCCCCTTCTGGAGCATTTGTAGTTTGCTCTGCGGCTGGTGTAGTTTGATCTACCGATGATACCGTAGTCGAACCTTCGACTTGGAAATCTGTGCTAGCAACATGCTTTCTAGGACCTGCAAGAATTCGTGCTTTTGGGAATTCCTAGGGTTCCTTAGGAATACCTTAAGGACCTTAAGGCTTCCAAGGATTCTCTAGAGCACTCTAAGGTATTTTAGAGCTCCCTAATATCCCAAAACTCAAAAAAAACTATATAACCAAACCAAAATCAACTCAAAAACTAACTGCAACGGAAGCACTGTAATGCCACGTCATCCTGTCCCTTGTACCCAAATTGATTCGGTGTCTCTGTGCATTTTTCGCGACGATCCCGCCCCAAACGACATTCGCCACTTGCCGGCGAGTACACGGCGACTGTGCACAAACCGACGAAACAGAAACGAGCGCATGCGTTTGCACTGCAAAATTATAGAGAGAACTCAAAATTTGTTTGAACTGAAAATGGCGGCAGGTTGAAGGAGTTTTGAGTGGGACTGTGGTGATTTACGTGAAATTATGGTTTGAAAGACATACAACAAGGCTAGGTTTAGAACATTTGATTTTTAGGGATCTTAAGGCCCTAAGAAGTGGGTTTTTAAGACTTTTTATTTGAAGCATCGTGATCAGCACAGAATTCCGGTTCGTTAGACATACAACAAGGCTAGGTTTGGGAAAAGTCAATTTTTGACCCCTCCTGGAAAAAAAAGTTCAGGGGGGGGTCTCGAAATTTCTTAAATTCATAGAACAAAGTCTTGTTGTATATCAAAAAACTCCAAATTCCATGCTGATCACCATAAAACCCACAAAATTTTAAAAATCTCAGTGGTCCCCGCTCGAAACTCCACCAAACTCAACTCCAAACCAAAAATAAACAAACCTTTTGACAGTTTTCACCGCATAATGCTCAAATCCTGGCTCGGGTTTTTCGACTTGGAAATTAATATAGCATGCTAGAAAAAATCATAATGAACAGAAGAAAAGTATAACATGAGCAATGTTGTCTAAAAATCTAGCTCAAGCGAACTGAAAATGTCGAAAAATAAGAGGAAAGCAAAGCGAATTCACCTGGATAATAATTACCTTTCGGCGTTTCTTCGGCTTGTTGTTGACCGATTTTTTGTTGGGTGGCTGCGGCTTCTGTGGTTGGTGCAGCTTGTGTGGTGGTTGTGGTGTCTGCGGCTGAAATTTTGGTGATTTCATGATGATCAGCACAAAATTCCACGTTTTTTGACATACAACAAGGCTTGGTTTGGAAAAAAAGGATTTTTGGGGCCTACAGGCCCGAAGAAGGCCTAAGAATCAATTTTTTCCAAGTCCAGCCTTGTTGTATATTAAAAACGTGGAATTTCACGCTGGTCATCGTGGTGTTGATGATTTTCCTTGAAAACTTGATTTAGACTTTATTTCATCAGAAAAACGGAATTTTCATAGATCAGAAACCGGGTAAAACCAAATTTTCATCAGGTTTCAATGGCAACATCATAATCAGCACGAAATTTCACGTTTTTTGACATACAACAATGCCTGGTTCGGAAAAAAATGATTTTTGGGGCCTACAGGCCCGAAGAAGGCCTAAGAATCAATTTTTTCCAAGTCCAGCCTTGTTGTATATTAAAAACGTGGAATTTCACGCTGGTCATCGTGGTGTTGATGATTTTCCTTGAAAACTTGATTTAGACTTTATTTCATCAGAAAAACGGAATTTTCATAGATCAGAAACCGGGTAAAACCAAATTTTCATCAGGTTTCAATGGCAACATCATAATCAGCACGAAATTTCACGTTTTTTGACATACAACAATGCCTGGTTCGGAAAAAAATGATTTTTGGGGCCCGAAGAAGGCCTAAAAATCTACTTTCTCCGAGTCCAGCCTTGTTGTATATCAAAAAACGTGAAATTTCACGCTGATCACGATTCAGCTATCAAAAATCCAAAGTTTGTGATTTTCAGTGAGTAAAAGCTGAGTGCAAAAACATGCATACCGTGACATTTCAAGCAATCAATTTGCACCGGCTCTCCTGCCACGTCATAACTTGAATCTACCGTATCGCGATGATTGCTACAGTACTCCTCATCCACCATTCTTTCCGTATCCACAGTGAATTGACACGTGGCAGTTTGCGGGTCATAGTAAGCGGACTACAAAAAAACATAGGCTTAGGCTAAGTAGGCTTAATGGGGGCCACACATACTCCACATTCGAATTCAAAACAAATTTGAGCACATTGAGCGAGTGACGTGGCACGCGTGGAATTCACGTAGAGTTGCACCAACTCCTGATCGACACGTCGTTCCACGTGGAATTTGAGATTTTCGCCGGCGCATTTTTGAGTGGGCTCGAAAATTGGACGCCAATCTGCAAAAGTGGGTGCAAAAATCATGCGAGGTGCTGGTTAAAATTGCCACGTGGATTAATTGATTGATTAGTTAATTACCTGTAGTTGTATCCGACACTTGAAGATCTACAATAGCTGTGGCTGAGTTAGGTGAAGTTGTGGTAGTAGATTCTGAAACATGTATTTTTAATGCCACGTGGATTCTTTGAAGGCACATACCCAATTTCGAATCGATATTATGAGTGATCTCTTCGACGAGCGGTTTCTCGATGAGTTTTTCGCCTTGTTGACCGTGAGCGGTGATTGTTTGCTCGGTTAGACTGGTGAATGGTGGAGCGGTCACTGAAAATTTCGATTTTGAGGTGATTTTCATTAGCACCATGATAATCAGCGTGAAATTCCACGTTTCTAGACATACAACAAGGCTAGAAAAAAAATTATGGAAAATCAGGCTTTCCGGGCCAAAAAGGCCCGAAAACAAAATTCTAGCAAAGATAGACTTGTTGTATATCAAACGATCCAGAATTTCATGAGAAATCGCATGGTGGTATTGAAAGTTTGGAAAATTTTCATCTTGACCGGATTTTATAGTGAAAACAGGATTTTTAGGAGGTTGATAGGGGTTTGCAGTCATTTTGACGGATTTCCATGACTTTCATGATAATCAGCGTGAAATTCCACGTTTTTAGACATACAACAAGACCATATTTGAAAATCAGACCTTCCAGGCCTAAAAAGGCCCGAAAACAAAATTCTAGCAGAGATAGGCTTTTTGTATGTCACACGAACCGGAATTTCATGAGGAATCTCACGATGCCATAGAAATTTCCCCCAAAACTCCCTGGGACCACTAAACTTACCAAAATCGCCATTTGACGGACATCTCAAACAATCAATAGTCAAAACTCCTCCAGAATATTGTACACTTTCAGCCGGCACCAATTGTTGTCCAGTACAATTATAGGCGGCAAAATAAAACAGCGCACAACTGTCAGATTTTGAGCTGTCGAATTGGAGAGAATAGCAAAATTGATTGCCAAAACATTTTTTGATACAATCTTGAATTGACGGCGATTTGATTTCGACAAATGTGTAGGGTGTTCGATCGGAGACGGTTTGATTTATATATACATAAATGTTGTCGGCGCAGGCTGGAAATTATGGTTTTGAGAGCAAAATTTGAGGTTGGGAGAGGATTTGGAGCATTTTGACACCAAACATAGCTTGGGAAAATTTTCCCGCCAAAAAATTCCGAATGTTCCCTTTTTCCCTTATTTTTCATCTCTTGACCCTCTTGCAAATTAGGCTAACTAAAATTCCATTGAATTTTGTGGTAGTTCCAAAAAAAGCGTTGTCCAATGTCAAATCAATTTAGAGATTAACACAAATATTTGGCAAATTTTTATAATAATTTTTCTTCTGGGAAAAAATATTGATCGATATTTCAATATTTTTTGAAAAATATAGAGTAATTCTGAGAGATTTTGGTGCTAAATTTGAAAATTTCATTCCGAAATCATATTTTTCTAGTTCTCGTTCTCATTTTTTGAACTATAAATTATGAATCAGCCAAAAAACTTTCATTTTTCGGTCATTTATCAAATCGGAAGAAAACTTCAAGGTCTTCTTTGACAAACACAAACAAAAAATAAATAAATATGAAATTTTTTACACACGGAAATGACAATCAACTTTTTTTGGCGCCAAAATTTGAGAATTCGAATTTTTTTTGGAAAAAATTTTGAAACGTATTTTTTCCACATACATTGCTCATATTATAGCTCAAAATGCTCAAAATTTTAAGGCGAATTTGAGAATTTCAGAAAATTCTTTTGAAAATTTGAATTCGGGTCTAAATTTGGGCTAGAATGATATCACATAAGTCTAAATTTTGAAAAATTCAATTTTAGCCTAAAATGATCCAATTTTTCTGATGTTGCTCATATTAAAGCTGAAAATGCTCTTAATTTTAAGGCGAATCTGGAAATTTCAGAAAATTCATCTGAAAATTTGAATTCGGGCTGAACTTTGGGCTAGAAAGATACCTCATAAGTCTAAATTTTGAAAAATTCAATTTTAGCCTAAAATGATCCAATTTTTCTGATGTTGCTCATATTAAAGCTGAAAATGCTCTTAATTTTAAGGCGAATCTGAAAATTTCAGAAAACTCTTCTGAAAATTTGAATTTGGGCTGAAATTTGGGCTAGAAAGATATCTCATAAGTCTAACTTTTAAAAAATTCAACTTTAACTTAAAATTCTCCAATTTTTCTGATGTTGCTCATATTATATTAGAAAAATTTCGGCTCCTCTTCAAAAATAGTTTCCAAAATTTTCTCACACGCAAAAAATCATGCATTTTCCTAACCTTGTCCCTTTTTTTTTGGAAATTCTCTGTTTTTTTGTTCGAATTTGGACATCTTTGGACAAATGAAATGAGCCGTGAATTTGTTAATCTAACAACACACAAAATACCTGGGAATTTCTCAAAACTAAGGTTTTTTGGCATTCAAAAAAAAGTGGGTCTCTAATTAATGCATGGAAAAAGTTATTCAGGTATGAAATTGGACACTTTTTTTTTGGGTTTTGGTAGGCTTTGAGTTAGGCTAAGAAGATCAGTAAGGTCAAATCTCCTTTTTTTCGATACCAAGTTTTGTAGTTCTCGAGGAGAAGATTTTTTTCTTGGGTTGGAAAAATCCTCCTCGAGAACTACAGGTTGAAAAAGTTACCTTGAGAAAATCGGGCCCCAAAATTATTCAAGTAAATAAATCAACTCACTAATAGTCTGTGGCAAATTGAAGGGTTTGGCGAGAATTGTTGGCACGGCGCCTAAAAACACCGCCAAAATTGCCACCAAAAGCCCGCGAGGCTTCATTTTTGTGTGGTGGTGGTGGTGGTAGCCTGCAAAAATTTGAAATCGAATTTTTTGGGCGCCAAAAAATGTCTGGTAGATCAAAAAGAAAGAAGAAAATGGTTACGTAAGAGCGGCTTTTCTATACACATAATCCGCCGGAATTTTTTGTGGCGGAAAAAAGAAAAAGTGAAAAATGATGACTACTACTACCTACAATACGGTGTTCCTTTGAATTCTATGGGGTTTTTGGTATTACACAATTTATTTTCTGACCGTTTTCATTGAAAACTGGTAGAAGCATGTGAATCAGCGTGAAATTTTGATCAGGAATGTTGAAAGGCGAAAATTTCCATACCAACATTTGAATTTGAAAATTTTTGGTATGGAAAATCAGCTTTTCCGGGGGAACTACACAGAATGGTTTCAGTCAACAAAATAAACGGTTTATATCTGAAAGTTTCAGATTCTGAAACTAAAGACCAAATTTCAGCAGTGAACGGAATTTTTCGGAAAATAAGAATTATGATATCAAAAAATGTGACCTCCAAGTTATTTTTTGCGCGGTCCAAAAATGATATCAAAAATAAATAATAAAATAAAATTTTGGGCGGAGACCGACAAAAATGGAATTGAGGTAACCTAACAAAAAATCCGAGGTCATTTAGGCTAACTCCTATTTATCTAGAACATGTACAGTAATCCTTAGGAGTAAAAGTGTCATAGAATAACAAAAAAATGTCAGAAAATGAGTGACAGTTACTGCATAAGTGAAAAAAACTGGAAATTTGCTGAAATTTTCGAAAACAAACATCTGAAAAGTAACAAGTTAGGGAGATTTTGGATTTAGATAACTTTTTTTCGAAATTTTCTGCACTAATTTGTGTAGTTCTCGTGGAGAAGTTGAAATTTTTCAGACTTTGATCGCTGAAAATAAATACCTGAATTTAACAATGTTTGATAAAAAAAGATAAAATAAATTTTGTGGTCAAAACAAAAAACAACAATTTTTAGCGGGGTAACCTTAACCCTAAAAGGTAGATCAAAAAAATAGTTAACAAAAAACATGAAAAAAAAATTTTTTGAGATGTACATACATAGAAGAAGATTTTGTGAATTGATAGCGCGCGGGGCGCGCGGCAGAAAAAAAAACTAACCAAAAAATCTGTTTCCCTATGGCAGGTAGAAAAGAAGACAAAAAAAACTCGATTAGAAATCGGGCAAAAAAAATGATAGGAAAAATCTCTGTTCACAAAAATGTGTAAAATGATTTTTTTTTTGGCATTTTGTTTGGTTAGGCAAAAAACTAGGAGAAAAAAGAAAAATACTGTAATTGAACCCCCAAAATAATATAATTGTTACAAAAACGCAGAAGAATGTGACATTTTTCCTTGTGACATTGATGGTTTTGTCCGAGAGAAGTACAAATATTGGGGTGGAATTTGAAATTCCTTGTTTTTGAGGAGTGTGGCGAAAATTTGAGACCAAAATTTGTAGTTCTCACAGACAAAATGAATTTTGTAGAGAATTTTAGGAGCTGTTCACTAAAATTCTTGAAATTTGGCTGAAAACCCCGGAAAAACTCGAATTTCAGGATTTTCAGCCAAACTCGAAAATATTCTAGAAATTTTGAAAATGTGAGTTTCAAAAAAAATTTGAGAATTTTTGAAAATCTGAAAATTACGTCTGAAAATGACAGGTTGATTTTTCCATACCAAATTTTGTAGTTCTCACGGACAAGGCGATTTTCCATATAAAATTTCAGGTTGGAAAATTTTTAATGTTGCGCGCTTCTCCGCAAGAACTACAAAAAATGGTATGGAAAATGCGAAAATGCCATTTTCAAGTGTCCAAAATGGGTAATAAAGAAGTCGTGAAGAAAAAAAAGTGGTGACAAATGACCTACCCACAAAAAAACACAACAAAAAAATTTTGGTTATAGCAAAAATAATGTAATTTTTCTTCATTTCACCTCTCCTCTTGACATTCAATTGTTCCATTTTTTGTAATAGAACAAAATGATCGAATTTTTTTTGGAATTTCGAAATTTTTGCGGGCACTTGAAAGGTGACATCTTCATATATGAAATTCCGAAAAAAATTGATTTTTGGCGTCAAAAAATGCGAAAAAACGTTTAGTAAGTACTTGTTGAACAAGAAAAGGCTTAAACGCGCGCGACCTTCAGAAAAAATTTCAAGAGAAGATCAAAAACAAAAATTGGTTTCGGTGGGTGGGTTCTCATTAGATACTCAGCCAGGTACGCAGCCAAAAAATCCACAGGAAAAATATAGCAAAATAAAAAAGATGACTAACCAAGTTAGGAAAACTACCATAGGCTCCGCCCACAAAATTCCATTCAACCTTGTTTTTTTTTGAAAAAAAAGAAAACGGCGGTATTTTTATGGTGTGAAGAAAAAGTTAATTTCAAGGAGGTTAGAGAGAGAGACGCAGAGAAACACATTTTCCACACCAAAATTTTTTGGTGTGGAAAATGCTTGTCCTCGAGAACTACAAAAGTATCTATTCTTCGAACTAAACAAACAAAAATCGAGAATTTTCAAGAAAAAGTGAAATTTATATATTTATATCAGTGGAACCGCTCTCTGAAATTTTAATTGAATTACATGAAAAAATTGTATATATTATATATTATTACAAAAATTCTGCTGCAATTTATCATAACTAGAACGAAATGATATTATCAGAAAATAGATTTTCATCCGATAATATAAAATATATCGTAACAAAATTTTGACGCAATAGCAAAAAAAATGCATAGGTAAAACAGGATTCCCCCTATTTTATCCATTATCAATTAGATGAAGATAAACAAATGGCAAAAAATGTGAAAGTTTCGGGTGTTAAACCGTATATTTTCATGGTTTTTTCACAAGGAGATAGGAAGAGAGAAAACGTGTGAAAATTCGGAATTTTTTGATGTAGCAAACGTTTTGTAGTTCTCGAGGAGAAGCGTTTTCCACATCAAAATTTGTTTTTCTTTTCAGCCCAAATTTGGGTTGGAAAATTTCCCGCTTCTCCTCGAGAACTACAAATTTTTATGTGGAAAATCGCGAAAATCAATCAAAAAACTTCCTGAACAAAACAAAACCAAAAAATGTTGCAAAATGGTATTTCCTTGTCTCTTCCACAGAAAAAACACTTGATTTTTTCTGAAGTGGTCAAATTTTTATCTCTTTTTCCTTCCTTTATATAAATTTTTGTTCCAGAGAGACGAAAAATTATTTTTAGCCAAGAATTTTCGACTTTTCACATGACCCAAGATTTTATCTTTAAGTTCCTCACAAAAATTTTATGTGATGTGTTGAAAACTGTTATGTACTGTACCGCAAAGTTTTTTTTGTTTGTCACGGTCATTTTTTTCTCTTACACATTTTATGATGTTCTCCTCGTTTTTTTCACTGAAAATCATAAAAACCTAGTTTTTTTGCCTTCCAAATAAAAGTTTTATGATCTGAGTAAAATTTTTTTTACAAATCAAAAAAATGTTGCTTTAGAAAAGTTCCCAAGATTGGTTTTTCATAATAATATATGTCAAGGTTTAGAGGGAAAAAAGTCCAAAAAAAGTAGTAGAATAATATATTTATTGTATCTATTTCATATTTGATTAGTTTGAGAAAAGTCGGACGGATGAATTGCGATACTTTTTTTTCAATGAGGCTTCGCAGAATGGAATTGGTTTATCGCCAGAATACCTGCAAAAATTTTTTGGGGGTCAAAATTAAGTCATTTTTTCGGATTTGACTCGAAATTTTGATCTAGAAATGATTTTTTGGTAATTTTGGTAGTTCTCTCGAAGAAAATCTGGTATAGAAAATATTTCCGTGTAGTCCTCGAGGAGAAGCCTAAACTTTAGGCTAAGCCTAAGCCTAGGCTTCAGATTAAGCCTAAGCTTTAGGCTAAGCCTAAGCTTAGACCTAAGCCTAGGCTTCAGATTGAGCCTAAGCTTTAGGCTCAGCCTAAGCCTAGGTTTCAGACTAAGCCTAAACATAGTTCTACGCCTAAGCCTAGGCTTCAGATTGAGCCTAAGCCTAGGCATATTTAGTCTCAAAAAGTTCCAAATTTCAACCCGAACCCTAAAATCCCTCTCACCATTCACAAATCAAAACCGCCAAATCATTCTGAAATCCCTGCAACTTCACCAAGCTCACACCATTCACCACAACCCACGGAACAAATTTGTGTTGCTCAGGCCAAACTTCCGAAGTCGCTTTGGCGGCCTGAAGTTGGAGTTGAGTTCCCAACTTCGAGACCAGGCAACTTTGTGTGAGTCGCTGAACATCTCCGCCAATTTGCAATTTTTCGAAACACTGTTGAACGGCGTCGGCGAATTCGACTTTTTTCGCCAGATTTTCTTCGATACATGCGATTGCTGGGAGTGGGTTTTGATCGGCCATCGAATCGATGAAACAACTTTGGAATTTGTTGATTGAACATTCTTGTTCACCGTGTTGACATTGAATTGTGCCATCCTGAAATTCGGGAATTTTTCTAGACTTAGGACTAGACTTAGGCTTAACCTCAAAAAAAAAAACAAAAAAAATTTGGAATTTTTTGACACTAAACAAGCCTAGACTTGGATCAGGTCTAAACTTAGGCCTAATCTCAAGCCTAGGCTTAGGCTTAGCCTAAAGCTTAGGCTTAGCCTAAAGCTTAGGCTTAGCCCAAAGCTTAGGTTTAGCCTAAAGCTTAGGTTTAGCCTAAAGCTTAGGCTTAGCCTAAAGCTTAGGCTTAGGCTTAGCTATCTAGAAACCTACAGGCTTATAATTTTGAAATTTCAAAATTTTGATTTTCGCGCCCTACAGTAATCCTAGAAGATTTTCGCGCGAAAATTTGAAATTTGAAAATTTTACCTGCAAAACTTTGGCATTTCCAAACGGGACCAATTGAATATTGACGTAATCCGCGAAATTCTTAAAAATCACCGGATAAAGTTGTTTGGTCAAAAATTGCTGACAATCCGGACACAACGCCTCAACAAGTACGGTAATGTTCAATTTGTGTTGTGACGTGGCAATCTCGTGCTTTTTGCACGGCTCCGTAAATCCACATGTGCTTTGAATAGTTGGATTTGCGCACCATAGACTTGGTGGGATTTTTGCGCAATCTGGCGCGGCTCCAAGAGTTAGACTAAGTCCGGTGAGAAAAATCAAAAGACCCAACATTTTTTGGGGGGAAAAATGAGAATGAGAAAATTTTTTTTGGGAAGGGAAAAGAGGTCAACAACAGGTGTTCTATGATTTATTGGGAAGGTTTTTTGCAAGGAAAAATCAATTTTTAATGGTTACTGTAGGTAGATCAAAAATTAGTGGCGCCAAAAAAATTATTTTTGAATTTTTTCAAGAACAAATTTTTTTTTTCGAATTTTCTAATTTTCGCGCCAAAATTTGTTGGGATTACTGTAGAATTTTGGCGCTTCGAAAAAAATGTAAATTTTTCAATAGTTACTGTAGGTAGATCAAAGATCAGAAATAGCGCCGAAAAATTGATTTTTGAATTTTTTCAAAAAAAAATTGTTTTTTTTTCAAATTTTTGAATTTTCGCGCCAAAATCATATTAGGATTACTGTAGATTTTTGCCTCCGAAAAAATGAAAATTTTTAATGATTCGATTTTTGATGACTTTTTTAATGAGCAATAAAATAATTAGCGTAAAAATGCTAATTTTAATGGATTTTTTTCATGAAAAAAATCATGATTTCCCCATTTTTCCTGATAATTTTCACTCTACACGGCATTTTGAGTCAACAAGATGAGCTTTTGACAAAAAACTGCAAAATCGAGGCACTTGGTGAATGTTCGCAAAGTTGTGGCGGTGGATATCGATTTTTCAAGTGGATTTGTGTGGAGGCGGCTGAAAATTGCGCGATTTGCCCGTGAGTTTTGAAATCAGCGTGAAATTCTGATCTAGAATGATTTTTTGAGCTTAATATGAGCAATTTTTCAAATTTCCATGTTTCTAGGCTTAAAATTATCGATTTTTCATGAAAAATAGGTGGATTGCTCATGTTAAACTAGAAAAATCGCTAGAATTTTGCAGCTCCCAACTCATGATCTACCAATGCAATAACAGACCGTGCTTGTCGAAAAATGCGACTTTGGAGCAGATTTTCGATGATGCAGAAGATCAAAATGAGGAATTGAGTTCGGTTGAATATTATGAATGAAGAATTTTTTTTTGGGGAAAATTTTTGCCCAAAATCTTTATTATCAAATATAATTTCCCCGATTCCTCGATTTTTTCGGTTTTTCAAAATGTTCTTCTTCTTCTTGTCCATGTTTTCCATCACAATCGATCTGACGTCTTGAATTTATCCGAAATCTGAATCCTGCAGTAAATCCAGCCACATTAATAGTTCGCATTCGAATAATTTCTCCTTTTCTGGTCCTACAAAATTTGTAGTTCTCGAGGACAAGTTCAGGCTTGACTTACCTAAACTTACCTAAATTCCTCATCCATTTGATATCGAAAAAAATTCCTCTGATGTTGCATAACACTTCCAATCTGAACGGTTCGATGCGAAAATCGCGTCAAAAACGCGCCGTACTCAAACGCGCTCAAATATTTGTGACAATTCCAAAACGTGAAATCGTGCGCGAGATATTTGAGAAACCACGTGGGAAATGGATTGTTGAAATTGTGGATGATTCGAGTTATGTTATTTTCAGCGTAATGAATATGATTGTCAAAAGATGTTTGTGAGGAGACACAGGAAAATACAAATATCAATAAAAACAAAAACATTTTGAAAAAACAATTCTTAGAATTTTTATTTTATAGTTTTATCTGTGGGAAAATGTCTTGAAACACGTTGCATTAGACGCTGAAAATCGCGATTTTTGAAATCAGCAGGGCTGATTCACGAACGAAAAAATGTTTTTTTAACATCAAAAGATCAATTCACGAAAAGTCAATAAATGTTTTTTCGAGTTTTTCAGCCAAAAATGATGACAAATCAATATTTTTGAAGCTTCTGGAGTGATTTCTGATGAAAATAAGATTCGAGAACCTTATTTTGCTTTATTTATGAATTTTTTCGAAATTCATCAGCAAAAACTTCTGAAAAGTTAATTCCAAGGTCAATTTTAATCAGAAATTACTCCAGAAGCTTAAAAAATATCGATTTGTCATCATTTTTGGCTGAAAAACTCGAAAAACTAATGTTTTTTCGACATTTTTTGACTTTTTGTGAATTGATATTTCGATGTTGAAAAAACATTTCTTTACAAAAATTTGAAATTTTTAACATTTTTTCACGTCAAATTTTCCACGTGTCGCATTTTTGCATTTCAGTTTTTCGAAAATCTCCAAAATGAGTGAGTTTTTTGGGTGAAATCGAGAAAATTTGTGGATTTTTAGAAAAATTCACAGAATCATATGGATTTTCGAAACACATGAACTATGAGTGAGTTTTTTTGGGAGGGAAAATATGAAAACTCATGAAAAACCCTCATATTTTCATATAAAAATCATTTTTCGTCGATTTTCCTAACAATTTCCCATTCCACCATCGCAAAATCAATCAATAATCCATTCCTATTTCCAGAGTTCCTCCAATGTTCGACATTTGCATCGGTTTGCTGATATTCTTGAACTTGGCCAATATTTGCACATTTTTCCTCTATTTACGGTATACGCGTGAGTTTTTGCAGCTCGAGAGACCTGAAATTGAAATGTTTTTGCTCAAAAAGAAGAGATTTCATGGAAAAACCTACCGCAAAACCGTTTTTCCCGAGAAAAAAGGCGAAAAACAAAAAAAAGAAAAGAAACATGGCTGGCTGGCCTAGAAACCGACTCGGCCATTTTCTCCTTTTTTTTTCGAAAATCAATCAATCGATATTTGATTTTCAGGGAAACTCGCGAAACTGCGCGTACAAAATCGATTGAATGCGATCATGTTGAATGAGGTGGAATCGGAAGACGATTCGGGATTCGAAAGTGAATTTGGCGATTTTCAATGATGTTTTCCTCGAGAACTACAAATTTTGGTGTGGAAAATGAAAATTTGAAGTATGTTTTATCTTTTTATGCAAAAGTCACGAAAATCCAAGTTCGCTCTAATGCAAACATCGATTTTTTTCTGAATTTTTGAGCGTTAGAGCACACTTGCTGTCTGAATACACTGTATTTAGTGTTATACATCATTTTGCAGGAAATTTCATCAGCTTTCTCGAGAAAACCAAAAAAAATGCAAATGTTCTGCTAATAAGTCTAGGGTTACTGATTTTGGCGCCAGAAATTTCTTTTTTAGAGCTTCTAGACAAGCTATAAACATTTCCAATTCTCATATTTGTCTTCGAAAATGAAAATTTTCGATTTTTTCTCAATTTTAAATATTTTTGGACTAACTTTCGCTGGCCATTTTCATGGTGGAAAATGGTTCAAAAAACGACCTATCGTAGAAATTCAAGAAACCACAACTATTGAGCCAGATCCGATTCTGGAGCAGCCAACTCAAACTCTAACATCTCAAAGTCTTGCAAATATGATGAGAATTGGTGGAGGATAAAATAAAGCTGGATTGAACATAAATTTAAAGTTTCGAAAAGTAAAACAACTCTAACATGAGCAATGTCATTTTTATTTCTCAGGCTCAAAAATCAATATGTCAAGTCAAAATTGGTGATTGTCAAATAATCAGCCGCATCTTCTGTGGCAACTTTCCAATCTTCTTCGGTCATTGAGTATTTTACAGTGTCCATAACCTGGAAAAATTTGAAAATTCGAATTTTGGCGGGAAAAATTGGAAATTTTCCACCTTCTGCCCGAATTCCACGTTGAAATAGGTTTGCATTGTGCGAAGTATGGTGGAGCGCACTTGCACAGCTGTCATATTTTGAGCGCGCGCTTCGGCGCGAATCTCGACACGATCTTTTTCCATCGAATCTCCCATGAATTCTTGGACAGCGTCCAGAGCGTGGAAGAATATGATTTTGAATTGTTTAAGGCCGCCGAAGCTGGAAAATTGGGCTTTTTTGTAACCTGAGCAATGCTAGCATTGCTCAGGTTATACTGAATCTTGAACTCACCCATCTTGCGCTTTTTGAATCGATTTCCAGGCTTGTTCCCTTTGTGCAGGTGTAAGTGTCGAAATTATGGGTTTCGTCATTTGCCGCGCGATTTCCTCCAAAGTATGAGCGGTTTTCAGAACGTCCAAAAGTTCTTCGAAAAGCTGGAAATATTGGTTGTCATCGAGAAGTACACGGAAAATTTGAACAGACATGTCGCTGCAGGCCGGGCCGGCCGGGCCGAGCCCGAAGTAAACACAAAAAATCGGGCTATTTTCAGCCGAAGCCCGATTTTAACATGCGCGGCTTTCGCTGGCCCGATTTTGGGGCCCGCTTATTTTTTTCTTCGATTTTTTTTCATTGAAAAAATGAGTTTTTCGTGGTCAAAAAGGAATTTTTAATGAATTTCAAACATTGTAAAGAGTAAAAATAGTAAAATAATATGTGTGTGGAAGAGAATTCACTTGAATTTTGAAATTTTTGCATTTTATTTTTCGATTTGTTACTTATTTCTATTTTTATAAGCAAAATATCACATTCTAATTTGATTTTTCACTCATATAAATACAATCCAACATCGAAAACATCAAAAAAAAATTCTGAAATTGGCCATTCAAAAATATTGTTTGGGCGAGGCCAACCCGGCCGCTTTTAAATTTTCATAAGGCCGGGCCAGCCGGGCCCGTGATAAATTGAGCGGGCTTTAGGGGCCCGAATTCAGCAAAAACGACATGTCTGATTTGAAATTTGAGAATTCTGGAATTTCACGCGCCAAAATCTCTAGGATTACTGTAAATTTCGAATTTTTGACTTTTCGAAATTTTCCCGCCGAAAATTGATTTGAAAAATTTGTCAGGCTCTCTTAACATGAGCAATATCAAATTTCTATACAAAATTATTTTCTAAACCTGAGCAATCCTAAAATATTTTTTTAAAAAATTTAGGATTTTATTTAATCTGAGCAATACAATATTTGAAATTGGCTAAAATTAAAGCGCTTAACATGAGCAATGATTTATTTAGAGTCAAATTAAAGCTCTTAACCTGAGCAATACCTTATTTACTGTCAAATTGAAACTCTTAACATGAGCAATGCTTTATTTAGAGTCAAATTAAAGCCCTTAACAGCTTACTGTAAACTCACACTTCCAATTTGATCCTTGCTCAACCAGGTAGTAATTTCCGGATAAACCTGGCTCACGAGGGTCTCGAGACGATCCTCATAACCTAGGGTTACTGTAATTGGCGTTGCCGATAATAATACAGTAATCAAAGGGACAGCAAAAAATAAAGTTTTGAACATTTTTGTGAGGTTTTTGAGGTTTTCAAGGGATTTGGGGGGTTTTATATGTTTTTTTTTCAAAAAAAATTTTAATCTGCCTAAATTGGGGTAACCTGAACCTTTTTTCGACGAGAAAAACAAGGGGAAAAATTATTTTCAGAAAAATTTTCAGGTAAAAATGACGCCGGCTGAAATTTTGCTGAAATTCGAAGATCTCAAAATGAAATTGTGGAATTTGGACGCTTTTGTACATAATCACACTGATTTTCGGAACAAGTTTATAAGGTACGGTTTTTTGGCGCGAAAAATTGATCTCCTACGATTACTGTAGATTTCTGAGCGCCAAAATAATATTTTTGAATTTTCAAATTTTCCCGCCAACCTCTTAACATGAGCAATACCTTATTTAGTGTCAAATTAAAGCTCTTAACATGAGCACTACCTTATTTAGGGTCAAATTAAAGCTCCTAAACCCACGAAAAATTATTTTCAATTTTTTCCAGATATTCCGCCCCAGCAATTGTCAAAAAATGGCCAGTAAGTTGATTTTTTGCATTTTTTTTCCTCTTTTGCCCCACGAAAAAGTAATTGAAACCTTTTTTTTTTCATTTCCGTTTTTTTCACTCAAAAAACTAAAAGAGAGAGAGAGAGAGACGCAGAGAAAACGGAGAAAATGTTTCGAAATTAAATTTGCAAGTTTTTTTGCATGAAAAAATTAACAGATGTTGAAACTTTTGCTAAAATTTCGAATTTTTTTTGAAAATTTTACGACAAAAACTTTAATTTTTGATCTAATTTCTCAATTTCCACTTGACACCAAAAAAAAATCAAATTTCCTTCTCAAAAAAAGTGTTTTTTTTCTCGCTTCTTTATTTCGGGGCCCAATTCCCCAAAGTGAGTACTTTTCGACTAAATTTTCCCTTTTTTTTGTGTGGGACCACAAAAATCTTTTTCTATATTTTTTCTAAAAAAAATTCCAAAAAATGATCAATGCGATTTTGGAGAAGCATTATTTTCAGGTTGGAACTTTTTTTTTTTGAAAATTTAATTTTTTTTATATGAGATTTCGCGGTGAAATTCGAAAATTTGAAAATTTATTGGAAATGCCACGTGGCAATTTTTTTTGAAAAATTTTAAAATTTCAATTGTTCAGAAATTTAATTTAAAATTCCGTCGAATCTTGAAAATTCAAAAATTTGACAAAAACGACACGTGGCTTCAAAATTTAATTTAAAAAAATGAGATTTCGGCGCGAAATTCGAAAATTTCAAAAATTTATTGGAAATGCAACGTGGCAATTTTTAAAAAAATTTTTTTTCAATTCTATTTTGCAGAAACTTAATTTAAAATTCCGGCAAATCTTGAAAATTCAAAATTTTTACAGTAATCTAATGAGATTTCGACGCGAAATTCGAAAATTCAAAAATTCAAAAACTTTGTAATTCTCTCGGAAAAGTGGCTTGTCCTCGAGAACTACAAAAAAAAAATCAAAAAAAAAAAATTGATTTTTCGCGCCTCACCGAAAACAATTCCCCAGGGGATTTCGAGGCTTTCCGCAAAAAAATCCCCCATTTTTTGTGGTGTGAACAAAAAAAATTTGTATTATTTTCGCTTCTTCTTCGCGCCGTTGCTATGGATTAGGATTAGATTATTTTTCCTCGCAATTTTTATTTTTATGAGTTTTCTGTTGTTTGCGCGATGAAAAGATACATTTTCAGTTTTTTCAGTTAAAAAAAACGAAAAAAAATTTTAGCTCGCAGGTGGGGTCGAACCCTGGCTGTGAGAACAATAGACCCGCGCGCTAACCATTCGGCCACACGCCTCTGCGTTTTTCTTCGCGAAATTGTCATATTCAAAAGGCGCGTTCGGAAAAATCTTTCATGTTTGCCACGTGGCATTTTTATTGTTGTTACAAGTCCAAAGGGGCGTGAAAAATGTGCGAAAAGTACTAAAATATCGAATTTCACTGCCTTTTATGGCTCAATGAGCTTTTATTTTTTCTTGTGTTACCTTACGAGACAATTTTATTTCATTTTCAAAAAAATTTTTTCGGGCGCCACAAAACTCTAAAAAAAAGTTTTGTGACAAAATCGCGTGTCCAAGAGCTTCCTTTTTCTCGAAAAAAAAAACAGAAAAATGTGTAGTTCTCGAGGACAAATCAATAAAATTTCAAAATTCCAAATTTCGCGCCTAGTAGATCAAATTTTCCACGTTTTCCAATTTTCCTGCGCATTTTTTTCTCTGCGTCTCTCACTCTCTCTCGCCCCCCTTTGGGGGCTCATTTTTTACCTGCTTTTTTCTTTCAAGCACACATTCTTTAATTGACGAGAGAGTATTCGGAGCGGAGAGACGCAGAGAAAATGAGGTATTCATTGTGTGAAAAAGAAGAAGAAGAAGAAAGCCGCGCGAGCAGTAGAAAAATTTATTTTACATTTTTTTTAGAGCCGGGGCTCGGCTTTTAAGAAGCGGGGCAGCGCGAAATGAGCAACCATGTGTGAAGGGCGGATTTTCTTGGTTGCTTTTTCTATTTTTTTTTTTGAAAATCTCAATTTTGGCGGCCGAAAAAATCTACCGTAATTTTGATGGCGCGAAAAATGGAGAATTCAAAAATCTGACAATGTGGCAATTTTTGGGCGCCAAAATTTGATTTTTGAAAATTTTCCCAAAAAAAACCACGTGGTTTTTGACACCAAAATTTTTAATTTTAAGAAAATTATTTTTTCGCGCCGTTTTTTAATTTTCAAAAGTTGCGAAACATTTTGCCACGTGGCAATTTTTGACGCGAAAAATTTTTAATTTTAAGAAAATTTTCAAAAATTATTTTTTCGCGCCTCTTTTTTATTTTCAAAACTTTCGAAACAGTTTGCCACTTGGCAATTTTTGGGCGCCAAAATTTGATTTTTGAAAATTTTTCCATAAAAATCTATGCCACGTGGTTTTTGACACCAAAATTTGTAATTTTCAAAAATTATTTTTTCGCGCCTCTCTTTAATTTTCAAAACTTTCGAAACAGTTTGCCACTTGGCAATTTTTTGACGCGAAAAATTTGAATTTTTGAAAATTTTCCCATAAAAATCTATGCCACGTGGTTTTTGACACCAAAATTTGTAATTTTCAAAAATTATTTTTTCGCGCCTCTCTTTAATTTTCAAAACTTTCGAAACAGTTTGCCACGTGGCAATTTTTTGACGCGAAAAATTTGAATTTTTGAAAATGTTCCCAAAAAAATCTATGACACGTGGTTTTTGACACCAAAATTTGTAATTTTCAAATATTATTTTTTCGCGCCGTTTTTTAATTTTCAAAATTTTCGAAACAGTTTGCCACGTAGCAATTTTTCAACGCAAACATTTTTAATTTTCAAAATTATTTTTTTTTCGCGCCAAAAATACCTTTTTGAAAATTGCAAAATTTTTCCATTTTTTTTTTTGAAAAAAATTTCAATCACCATAAAACCTTTCCTTAGTTTTTTTTTTCAAAAAAAAGAAAAAAAAAGAAAACAGAAAAATGTAATTTCTTCCAAAAGAAACTCATTTTTCTTCTTTGTTTTTCCATTTTTCAAAAGTTTTCTGTTTTAAGAAAAAAAAAACTTTTTTTTTTGAATTTTCAAATTCTCTTAACATGAGCAATCCTAAAATACTTGAATTCAGATCGAAGAGCAAAAAACCGGGATGGACTACATTTCAAGTTTCGATATTCGATTGAATAAAGATGTTTATTACGCGGGAGAAACGATAAGTGGAAGTGTTTTGCTGGAAAACACGGAAAACATCAAAATTCGAGGTTAGAATTGGATTTGGCGCGAAATTTCCATCTAGAAAAGTTTTTTCCCGCGCGCGAAATATAGATTTTCAACAAAAAAATGTTTTTTTTAGGAATCCGCGTGTTGCTGCGCGGAAAAGTTCACGCAACTCTAAAAGTCGTCAAATCCGGCGAGCGCCGGACTCTCAAAGACGATCAATACGTTTTGGATGAGAAACAACTTCTATGGGGCAAGGATAAGAATGATGAGAGTGAGAGTACGCCGATTTTGGCGCGTGGTGTACACCAATTCTCTTTTAATTTTGATCTACCACAAAGTGCGTTGCCTTGTTCGTTGGAAAGTCGACATTGTACTATTCGATACTATTTTAAGGTGGGTTTATTGATTAATTAGCAAAAATTGCGTGAAAAACGGTTTTTTGTGGAAAAAAATAGGGAAAAAACAACGACACTCCGCTATATTTTTGGCGTGCCTGTGGTTTAGCAGCATTTTATTACTTATTTATTCAATTAGCTTGATAAATTAGCAAAAATTCCGAGAAAAACGGTTTTTTGTGAAAAAAAATTAAGAAAAAACAACGACACTCCGCTATACTTTTGGCGTGCCTGTGGTTTAGCAGCATTTTATTACTTAAATATCTAATTAGCTTGATTAATTAGCAAAAATTGCGTGAAAAATGGTTGAATTTTCGAATTAAAATCAAGTTAGACGTTTTTCAGTGAAAAATCGAAGCAAAAATTGAGAAAATTGAGGTTTTCTATGATAAATCCATTTTTTGCTGAAAAATTTCAAATTCCCCGCCGAAAAAAACCTACGTCCTTTGTTCTCAACGGCAAATTTCCAATATTCGTATTTCCCAGCGGCAAATTTGAATCTCCAGGTCGAATTTCGAGTGCCAAGCCGGCATTTTCCTCTGAAATTAAAAATTCACTGAAAAATGTAAAATTCGGAATCTTAAACCGATTTTTTTCGACAAAAAAGGAAAAAAAGAAAACAAAAATCAATTTTATGATGGTATTTCAATAAAAACACGAGAAAAAAAAACGGTTTTCTGTGAAAAAATTGAAAAGAAAACAACGACACTCCGCTATACTTTTGGCTTGCCTGTGGTTTAGCAGCATTTTCTTTTTTTTCGAAAATAATTTTTTTTTCTTGCAAAAAAGCGTATTCTAGTTTCCAAGGCAATTTTTGATTTCCCGTGTAGTTCTCGTGGACAAAAATCCCCGCCAAGTTCAAAAATTCAAATTTTTGCAGGTAATCATCGATATTCCCTATGCTTCCTCACCCCAAGGCGTCAAATATTTCACAATCATCGGCCCCCACATCGACAGTATGGAAGAGAAATACCTGAGCCCACTAACCGCCCAAGATCGCAAAGTGACGTGCTGCTGGTGTTGTCAACGGGGCGCACTTGCTCTTCGTGTAATTCTGGAGAGAACCGCCTATGTCTGCGGGGAGAATGTGCGAATTCGCGCGCAGATTGAAAACCGCCAAATTAGCGCACAATCGCTGGTGATTCGCCTGCAGCAACACGTGGAAATATTTGTGGAGAAGGGGCTGTTGGGCGAGACGAAAATGATGAGCGCCGTGGTTTTTGAGCACAAATCGCCGGCGGTGGCGGCGAATTCGCAGGGCAAATATGATTCGACGTTGGAGCAGCCGATTAGGTTGCCGGTTGTGCCACCGACACTTGTCGGGGTTTGCCGATTGATACAGATTTATTATATTTTGAGGGTGAGCAACAAAAAATGCTGAAAATCTGAAATTTTCAGCTTTTTCTCAATCCAATAGCTTGAAATATGAGAATTCTTGCTTTTGGGTTGAGGAAAAGCTAAATTTTCAGCCAAAAATGTTGAAAATCTGAAATTTTCAGCTTTTTTTCAACCCAATAGCTTGAAATATGAGAATTCTTGTATTTGGGCTGAGAAAAAGCTGGATTTTCAGCCAAAAATGTTGAAAATCTGAAATTTTCAGCTTTTTCTCAACCCAATAGCTTGAAATATGAGAATTCTTGTATTTGGGCTGAGAAAAAGCTGGATTTTCAGCCAAAAATGTTGAAAATCTGAAATTTTCAGCTTTTTCTCAACCCAATAGCTTGAAATATGAGAATTCTTGCTTTTGGGTTGAGGAAAATCTGGATTATCAACCAAAAATGTTGAAAATCTGAAATTTTCAGCTTTTCCTCTGAAAATTTCAGATTTCAAGCATTTTTGGCTTTTTACTACTAAAATTTAGGATTGCTCAGATTATATCAATTTAAGGAAGAGTTAGGCTAAATGACAATTTTATCTCTAACCTGAGCAATGAAGCTTCAAGCCTTTTCTTTGAATTAACATTGCTCAGATTATAGTTTTACCCAAAAATTAACTTATGAATTTCAAATAGAATCTAATATTTTCAAAAAAAAATACATTGCTCAGTTTATTAATATAATCTGAGCAATCCTCTAAATCTCTGATTTTAGTGAAACTCTAATCTGAGCAATGATTTTGTTTTTGAACATTTTTTTAGACACACGATTGCTCAGGTTATAATTTAGCCTGAAAATGAAAAAAAAATCATTGCTCATAATTAATATAATCTGAGCAATCCTTAATTAGTGGAAATTGTGAAATACTATAATATGAGTAATGTTAAACTTCATTGCTCAGAGTATGCTTCTCTGCGTCTCTTCTAACTGAACTTTTTGTAGTTCTCGAGGAGAAGTTCACACAAAACTGTGTAGTTCTCGAGGACAACCCGACTATTTTTTGCAGGTTTGCATGGAAGATGAAAAAGGCAACGAATGTCTTCATATGGATTTTCCATTGACAGTTGCAACCCTGCCCTACCGTATTCCAAATTGTCCACAACCGCCAGTTGATTACGGTAATTTTTAGCCCAATTTTTAGGCTTTAGGCTTCCTTAGGGTCTCTAAAATCCAAATTTTCAACAAAAAAAGCATGTTTGGGCTCTCTGGACTCCAAATTTCATGAAAAATCCCGCAAAAAATTGCAGATTTTTGCTCAAACCACGTGGAAGGCGGAAAATACGTGTCACCCGAATTTCGGCTCGGTCAAGTTTACGACGGTGAAAATAGTGGAGAAATCGGCAAAGAGGAGGAGATCGTACTGTATCGACCGGTTTATGTGAAGATGGCCGAAAGGAAATTGGGCTCACCGCATGTTGGAACTGGTGGATTTGGGGGTGGCAAGGATTTTAGAAGTGGATCGGTGGGTTTTGAGGGGAAGAGGGCGCGATTTTTGAATTCTACGTGGAATTTTGGTCTAAAAATGGTGAAAAAATTTTAATTAGGCGCGAAAATTAGAAAATTCAAAAAAAAAACTTTTGGGGTCGAGATTAAAAATTCAAAAAATTGTAATTTTGAAATTCAAAAAATTTTAATTTCGCGCGAAAATCTAAAAATTCAAAAAATTTTAATTAGGCGCGAAAATTAGAAAATTCAAAATTCTGTTTTTCGACGCGAAAATCTAAAAATTCAAAATTCTGCTTTTTCGCGCGAAAATTTAAAACTTAAAAAAAATTGAATTTCGAAATTCAAAAGATTTTAATTTGGCGCAAAAATTTGAAAATTCAAAAAAAAAAATTTGGGGTCGAAATTTGAAAATTCAAAATTCTGTTTTTCGACGCGAAAATCTAAAAATTCAAAAATTGTAATTTTACTGAAAAATCCACGTGGGAAAATAACAGAAAAAATTTTTTAAATCAATTTTTTGAACCATCAAAAAATCTAGTTTGAAAATTTGCCACGTGGATTTTCCAGTGAACATTCAAAATTTTCTGAATTTCAAAAATGGCGCGGAAAATTTGAAAATTCAAAAAAAATTGCAACGTGTCAAAAATTTCTAGACATATTTTTGAACCACCAAAAAATCAAGTTAAAATCCACGTGTCAAACAAATTTCTAGATAAAAATTTCACGCAGATCTCAAATCTCGCCACCATCTCAATCAATTTTCATTACAGTTCACCCGGATCGCCGATTCAAGCCTGGCTCTGGTCACCGAGCCAAACGGAGCAAGACGACGAAGTATTGTGATCGCCTCGAATCCGTGTTTGGCAATTCGAGACGAATCGATGGACGAAAAACTGTTGTTGAATGAAAATGATCCGCTTGTCAAGTGATTTTTGGGTGAATTTCGTGATTTTTACATTGAAAAATATATATTTTTCATTTTTTTCAATAAAAATTCCATTTTTTGTAGTTCTCGAGGAGAATTTTAGCCTGATTTTCACTAAAAATAACGTTCTTAAGGTCCCGAAGCGATTTACAGTAACCCTAGATTTAATTGATATTTTTAGCCAAAAAAATGTGAATTTTTAATCACAAAATTGGCTGCGTATCACATTTGATACTCAGCCCAAGAAATCGATTTTTTGTCTCTGAGAATTCTGTCTGTGAGAAAAAGAAATCGCATAAAATCAATTCTCAACGCTCAAAAATCACTCAAAAAATGAATTTTTTGCAAATTTCCATCCTATTGCTCATATTAGTCCAGATTTCTACGAGTTCTATTTCTTCAAACGAACATAGCACAGATCCGGAACATGATCAGATTTTGAAAAATGAACATTATGGACGGGCGGCTGAAAATGAGGCGAGACACAATTCGACTGGAAATAATTGTACTCAAAGTTAATACAAAAATAAATATTGCTCATGTTAGTTGTTGGCTGAGTATCAAACGTGATACGCAGTTAAATTCATAATAGATTTTGTTTCGAAATTGGACTTTGTATCTTTTTTCTGAGTATATTTTACGTACGCAGTTGAATTTATTTTAACTTAGTATAAAACGTGGTACGCAGCCAATTTTCCCGCAAATTTTGCCACGTTATAGCCCATTTTTCCTGCTAAACAATTCATTTTTAATTATTGCTCATATTGTTTGTTGGCTGAGTATCTAATGTTGTACGCAGTTAAATTGACTTTTCAAAATTATTTATTCTCAAATCTCAAAAAAAACCTTCACTCAAGCGAAGTAAGATTTGATTTGACTCCATGTCAAGTTGAATCCAATGTTGCTTATTAAGTCGAAGTAATTGGGTTTGTTGCAGTTAGCAAAGGGGATTTCGGCAGAAGTAGCCAAAGAATACCGCTTATGAACATTGAGGAATTTTACGAATACGTTGATTTCAACGGCATTCAACTTCTGAAATTCGAAAGTCATCGAATGTTCTCATTTTTTGAAAACTCACTTCAATAACAAATTATTCGAACTGTTGGTCAAAATCATGAGTGTGGCATGTGGATTTTTCTTCCAGTTTTCGATGATCTTTTTACGATTGATTTCCGAAATGATATCGAATCGGATGCAAAGATCCATCAACACGTCTCCAAGCTTCGAATGGGTGAATATCCAATAAAACGAGGCATTGAAAAACTGCAAAAAACATTGTATTTTTATGTAACTTCAAATTCAACCTACTTTTTGCCAATTGCAAATCAATTCGCTTTTTCTCCAAATCACTCGACATTCGAACATTGGCCACCTCATATCCCAATAATTCTATTGCAGCTTGCAATGCGAAAATCTGAAAATTCGAATATTTGATTATCAGCAAAAATAACAATAGGCTCAAGCTTCTAGAAAGTTTATTACTTACCCTGGACAAACTTGTTGGACGTTGAAGGCTCGCAATTCTGTTTTGAAAATTTCCAATCATATTGTTTTCGTTTTGAGCAATAATTGTGTCAATAGTTGGCCTGAAAAATTCGAAATTATTATATTATTGAAATATACTCAATCTAAACTCACAAATTATTGATTTCCATTATTTAGCAGTTTCACCGAAATCAAGAAAAAAATCAAAAAAAAATGGTCGATTGCATCATTTCTTGTCTTTTTATACCCATTTTTTGGGATACGTGGAAAAATCACGTGGATTTGTTGGCGGCCTAGTTTTTCACGTTTCATAAATTAAAAATATTCATCTTTTTTGTGAAATAAAACCATGTGAAAAACAACTTTAGCTCTACAGTAACCCAATAAAAAAATCCGATTTTTCGAAATAAACTACAGTATTTTTATTGTGAGAATTCAGGTGATATAATAGATGGGAAAATTCGATTTTCATAGGAATTTTGGTGGTTTATTTTTCCTTTTAAAAAGGTTTTTCCAAACCAGAATTGACACCATCATTGGCAACAAGTGATTTTTGGGTGAATTTCGTGATTTTTACATTGAAAATATGTATTTTTCATTTTTTTTTCCGATAAAAATTCCAATTTTTGTAGTTCTCGAGGAGAATTTTAGCCTGATTTTTTATTCAAAATAACTTTCTTTGGGTCCCGAAGCGATTTACAAGAACTAGATTTAATTGATATTTTTAGCCAAAAAAAATATGAATTTTTAATCACAAAATTGGCTGCGTATCACATTTGATACTCAGCCCAAGAAATCGATTTTTTGTCTCTGAGAATTCTGTCTGTGAGAAAAAGAAATCGCATAAAATCAATTCTCAACGCTCAAAAATCACTCTGAAAATGAATTTTTTGCAAATTTCCATCCTATTGCTCATATTAGTTCAGATTTCTACGAGTTCTGGATTTTTTACTTCAAACGAACATAGCACAGATCCGGAACATGATCAGATTTTGAAAAATGAACATTATGGACGGGCGGCCGAAAATGAGGCGAAGCGGAATTTGACTGGAAATAATTGTACTCAAAGTTAATAAAAAAATACATATTGCTCATGTTAGTTGTTGGCTGAGTATCAAACGTGTAATACGCAGCCAAATTTTGCTCCCAAAAATATTTATTCTTTGATTATGTAAAAAAAAAACTATCCCATACCCATCATCAAATTTCTTTTTTTACTGTTTTTCGAATTTTCCACATAATTTTGGCCTGGAGCCGAAAATACAGAAATAGTTGAAGCCGAAATCAGAAAAATCCAAAAAATTCGCATTTTTTCGAATAAAATTTCGATTTTTTGATTGAATTTTGATATTTTATAGGGAAAACCATCATAAAATTCATGATTTTCTGGCCATTTTTTTGGCTAAAAATAGTTTTATGATCCTTTAAACCAGCGAGTACTGTAGATTTTTCTAGGGTTACTGTACTGTAAATCGCTTCGGGACCTTTAGAAGGTCATTTTGAGTCCTAGGATTACTGTAGTTTAATATGAGCAATGCATATGTGCCTTTAAATTTATCTCTAAATGAAATGCAAAAAACTTTATTCAATATTGTAGTCAACGCAAAATTTGAACATGTAAAGCGAGTACTGTAGATTTTAAATGAATTTCGATGGAGTACTGTAGTTTAGATACAGTAGTTTTAATTCGAAATTTTTAATCGAAGTTCGTCCATATATTGTCCTGGAATGGTGAAAAATCTGAAATTTTCAAATTTTATCTGAAAATTTTAATAGAAAAATTTCAGGCTTACCTGGATTACTGTAGAATACTGTAGATTTAAACGAATTTCGAAAGAGTACTGTAGTTTAGGTACAGTAATTTTTATTTTATAATTTTAACGGCTGTGAAGTTTCCTTGATCTTTGATCGCCACTTTTCTGAAAATTTCAAATTTTATTTGAAAACGTTGGAAAAATATAGGCTCACCTGGATTACTGTAGAAATTGAAGAGTACTGTAGATTTAATTGATTTTTTGAAAGAGTACTGTAGTTTAGGTACAGTAATTTTTTTCCAAAATTTTTTATCCATAATTTGCCTTGAGAGAACCTTCCGTTTTTGTGAAAAATCTGAAATTTTCAAATTTTACTTGAAAATTTTGGAAAAATTTTGGCTTACCCAGATTACTGTAGATATTGAAAGTGGTCTGTAGTGGTGTGTAGTTAAAACTACAGAAAAATAATAAAGAAAAGAGTACTGTAGTTTAGATACAGTAGTATTTTCGGAACAATTTTTTTCTTCGAAAAAAAAAGACACAACAAAAAACAGGCGTCTTTTCAATGTGTGCAAACACCGTGACGCAAAAGTGCACACAATTTTTTTGAGAAAAAAACTAATTTTTTTGAAGAGAGGGATTACTGTAGGGTTACTGTAGGTTTGCGAAAAATAAGAGGGTTACTGTAGATGTTATTCTAACTTTCTAAATTTTCTGGGTTACTGTAGGATTACTGTAGCACTTCGAAAAATTTGCAGAAAATTATGAACGTTTTCAAACGTGAATTTCAGGATTACTGTAGGGTTACTGTAGTTGGGGAAAGTTGAGAGATGTTTAAGGGTTACTGTAGATTTACTTCTGATTTTCATGATAATCTGGATTTTCTGGGCTACTGTAGGACTACTGTAGCTATCCAAAAAATAAAACTTTTCCAGGATTACTGTAGGCATACTGTATTTCTTTTTTCAAAAAAAAATCAATAATTTATTCCGGTCCGATAAGAAAAAGAAAATCTATGAAGATAATTACATTTATGTACAGTACTGTAGCCACGTGGCACCAATTTCTTCCTCACAATCATACAGTAATTCGTCGCTGGCGTCGTCGCAAAGGTTTTGCGTCGCCGCCGTGACGCGACGCCGTGCGGCGGAAATCCTGCGATTTTTCGTCGCGCGGCATTCGCGCCGTGATTTCGCCGGATTCTTGATGAAAGTAGTGGGGGATTTGGATGTGCATCATTTTTTTGGGGGAATCTGGAAAAAAAATGCGTCAGGCTACAAAATTCGCGTCAGCAAAATGTTGAGCTACAAAAAATGCGTCAGTAAAAATTGAAACCTTTAGAAATGTGTCAGGTCCTACAGAAAACACGTCAGTTGAGTTTGGGCCTACAAAATCTGCGTCAGAAAAATATTGAGCTACAAAATTGCGTCAACAAACTTATGAACTACAAAAAAATGAATTTTTCTCAAAAATGCCAGGCTTATCACAAGAAAAATTGGGAAAATCAAGAATTTATTTGGAAAAATGACCGACACGCCCATTTTTCCTCGTATTGGTCAAAAAAAGCACAAAAAAAGTAAGTGAGAGCTAGAAAAACTACAAAAAATGCGTCAGTGAAAGTAGAGGGTACCTGAAATGCGTCAACAACTTTCAGAGCTACTAGAAACGCGTCAGCAAAGTTAAGAGCTACTAGAAAAGCGTCAGTAACATCCTGAGCTGCCAGAAATGCGTCAGCAAGGTTGTGAGCTGCTAGAAAAGCGTAAGTAACATCCTGATATACTAGAAAAGCGTCAGTATCTTCCTGGGCTACCAGAAACGCGCCAGCAACTTTCTCAGCTACTAGAAAAGCGTCAGTAGCTTTCAGAAATACTAGAAAAGCGTCAGCAAAGTTAAGAGCTACTAGAAAAGCGTCAGCAAGGTTGTGATCTACTCAAAACGCGTCAGCAAAAAATTTTTGACCAGACCAGCTACAATATAAAAATTTCCACGAGACCTCGAAAAATTTTGCGATTTTTGCAAAAAAAAAAGTCACGAGAAAATGAAATGTGTGACCTTTTTGATAAGGAAAAACGAGAAATTTTTAGGCGGATTAAAAAATGGAAAAAAAATTTTGGCGGGAAGTTTGCTGACACAAATTTTGTAGGCTAGAGATTGACGTGATTTTGGTAGCTCCAAATCTTGCTGACACAGATTTTGCAGCTTATGAAGTTTCTGACGCGTTTCAGGTAGCTTAGATATCTGCTGACGCATTTCCAGTAGCCGTGAAGGTTTGCTTGCGCTTTTCTGGTAACTTATGAAGTTGCTGACGCATTTCTAGCAGCTTGGAAATTTGTTGACGCATTTCCAGTAGCTCTAAACCTTGCTGACGCATATCCAGCAGCTTGGAAATTTGCTGACGCATTTCTCGTGCTGGCGCATTTCGGGTACAGCAAAAAAAAACTTCATCTCGGATTTGACATTGGGCACAATAGAACAAAACAATAAAAACATGGTTAAATGACGGGAAACGGAGCATTTTTGGAAATTCAAATTCAAATTTTGGCGCGCGAAAAAATTTGGCGCCAAAATTATTACAAATATTTGACAAGAGACTAGGTGCCTAGATTTTTCAGAAAAAAAATTGAAAAAAAATTTGGGGGGAAGGAATTTAAAAAATGAAATTGTTATATATCACAGGAGGGCGGGAAATTTGAAAATTTAAATTTTAAATTCAGAAAAAAAAATGGGGAAACCCGCAATTTTCGAGACAGAGAGGATATGAGATTTTAATGATTTTTGCGCTGAAAATTTCAGATTATGTCTGAAATTTTCAGTCATCGTGATCTTGGAGCTCTTCAATTTGGTCCAGAAAATCTTGATTTTGTGGTTGAAAAATTGGTAGACCGTTCATTTGTTGGAATTGGAGCTGAAAATTTTAAAAATTTCAGATTTTTTTATGGAATTTTTGAAATTCGCGCAAAAATCCACGTATTTTCATATCAAATTTGGTGGCAAACAAGAAAATTTGAAATTTTTGAATTCGACGCGAAAATCCACGTATTTTCATACCAAATTTGGTGGCAAACAAAAAAATTTGAAATTTTTGAAATTCGCGCAAAAATCCATGTATTTTCATACCAAATTTGGTGGCAAACAAAAAATTTGAAAATTTTTGAATTTGGCGCCAAAATCCACGTATTTTGATACTAAATTTGCCGCCAAACAAAAAATTTGAAAATTTTTGAAATTCGCGCAAAAATCCACGTATTTTTGTACTAAATTTGGCGCCAAACGAGAAAATTTTAAAATTTTTGAATTTGGCGCCAAAATCCACGTATTTTTATACCAAATTTGGCGCCAAACGAGAAAATTTGAAAATTCAAAAATCCCACTCACCAAATATGGATTTCTGACGACAGGCGGATTATTCGCGGCTTGCCGCGCAGCAGCTTGCGGTCTTCTGCGCGGTCTTGCGGCAGCCACGCGGAATCGCCCCACTTCATCTTCCTCATTCGAGCTGCTCTCCTCGTCGTTGTCGGCGCCGGCGCCTTGCGGTGCGGCGGCTTGCGGAGCTGCCGCAGCTTCGCCCAACATTTCTTGGAGGAAGCGGATGTCGGCCGGATTCACGTTGTCCGCGTCTCCGCCGCCGTTTTGTTGCTGTTGTTGTTGGAGATGACGAGCGACTTGATTGATTCGGGCATTCTGGAAAAATATAAAAATGGTTTCCGGAAGGTTCCGCGTGGTCGCCGCGCGGAATCTTGCGATTTTTCAGATCCTGATCAAGTTGAGGCTCAAAATGGGGCTAAAAATCTGAAAATTTCAGCTCAAAATCGAAATTTCCTAAGTCTAGTCATGTTTGGACTCAAAATAATGCTGAAAATCTGGAATTTTCAGCGGAAAATCAAAATTCCTGCAGTCTAGACATGTTTGGGCTCAAAAAATCCAAATTTTCAGATCCTGGACTCAAATTAACCCAAATTTCATGATTTTTCGTTTTTAGGCTCAAAATTGAGTTAGAAATCTGCAAACATCTGGAAATTTCAGCTTAAAATCAATTGTCCAAGTCTTGAAAATCTGAATTTTTCGAATACAGTGATGTTTGGGCTCAAAAAATCAGCATTTTCAGCTCCAGACCAAAATTAGGCCTTTTTCCGAGCTTGGTGATGGTTAGACTCAAAAAATCTGGAATTTTCAGCTCAAAATCAACATTTCTAGAGTCTAGTAACGTTTGAGCTCAAAAAATCTGGAATTTCCAGCTCAAAATCAATATTTAGGCTCAAAATGTAGCTAAAAATCTGATTTTTCCGAGCTTGGTGATGGTTAAAAAAAAAATCGAAAAATCTGAATTTTCAGCTCAAAATCAATATCTAGGCTCAAAATGGAGCTAAAAATCAGAATTTTCACATCCTGGTCATATTTAGACTCAAAACAACAAAAAACTCACACCAGCCGGCGGTGTTCCCTCAATCGGCGCATCCAAAAAGTCCCAAATCAAAATGGTATCATCATGCGAGCTGGAGACTATTTGAAAATCATCAAATTGCAATCTGAATACTCTGCCAGTGTGTTGCATGAGTGACGAAAGACAAATATCGCCGGGCATACTTCGCGGATCCAGTGCCGCTTTCAAATCCCACACTTTGATTTTTCCGTCGTAGGCTCCGGAAACGATGCGTTTATCATCAAAGCGGATGCAACGGACCAATTCTTCGTGACCTTCGAGAACTCGCAAACAAACACCGGAATGGATATCCCAAAGTCTGCAAAAAATTGGAGGTTTTGGGGAGATTTGGAGCATTTTGAGCCCAAACATGATGCATTTTGGAGCAAAAATGCGATTTTCAGAATCCTGACAGCTCCAGGAGCATTTTGAGCTCAAATTCAGTTGGATTTGAACCAAAAATGAAATTTTCAGAATCCTGGAGCCTCCATGAGTATTTTGAGCTCAAATTTGGCTAATTTCTCATCAAAAATGTGATTTTCAAAATCCTGACAGCTCCAGGAGCATCTTGAGCACAAACTAAGTTAGTTTTGAATCAAAAATGTGATTTTCAAAATCCTGAAGGCTCCAGGAGCATTTTGAGCTCAAATTTTGCTATTTCCTCATCAAAAATGTGATTTTCAGAATCGTGAAGGCTCCAGGAGCATTTTGAGCTCAAATTCAATTAGTTCTGGAGCACAAATGAAATTTTCAGAATCCTGAAGGCTCCAGGAGCATTTTGAGCCCAAATTCAGTTAGATTTGGACTAAAAATGTGATCTTCAGAATCCTCAAGGCTCCAGGAGCATTTTGAGCTCAAATTTGGTTATTTTTAAAGCAAAATGTGATTTTCAGAGTCCTGAAGGCTCCAGGAGCATTTTGAGCACAAATTCAATTAGTTCTGGACTAAAAATGTGATTTTCAGAATCCTGAAGGCTCCAGGAGCATTTTGAGCTCAAATTTGGTTATTTTTAAAGCAAAATGTGATTTTCAGAGTCCTGAAGGCTCCAGGAGCATTTTGAGCACAAATTCAATTAGTTCTGGACTAAAAATGTGATTTTCAGAATCCTGAAGGCTCCAGGAGCATTTTGAGCACAAAATGTTCAGATTTGAGCCAAAAATGAGATTTCCAGAACATTTTTTTCAGGCTCCTGATAGGAATCGGAGCATTTTGAGCCATAATTCAAATTTTATATAAAAAATTGTGAAATTTCCCCAGAAAAAAAGTCAAAAATTTCAGGAAAAATCAAGAATTAGAGCTCAAAAGAGCTCAAAAATCATAAATTTGGTGTCAAAATTCATGAAATGCTCTGAGGAATCTCATAAAAACCAGGAAAATCTATTCTAGGGTTACTTTAGGCCAAAATCATCGAATTTTATATCAAAACTTCGCTAATTTTCCCAGGAATCCCAAAAATCGCCAAAATTCACCAACCTAATAGTATTATCACTACTTCCACTAACAACCAATCTTCCACGATATTGTAAACAAGCGATTCCTCTTCGATGTCCGGACAAAGTTCGCAAAAATTCCAGCGTGTCCATCGACCAAACTTTGATTGTTCGATCTCCGCTGGCACTGACAATATATCGATCATCGAAATCTACAACATTTACAGCGGCTCGATGTCCGGCCAAAACTCGGCGAATATTGATTTCTCGTGGCGAGACCATGTCCCACACCGCTATTGATCGATCTTTTGAGCTGGAAAGGAGCATTTTGAGCCAAAAAATGAGGATTTCTGTGAATTTTTGAGATTTTCTAGATTCCGAAGAGCATTTTGAGCACAAAAATGATAAATTTTGTGCATTTCTGATATTTTCTAGGTTTCGAGGAGCATTTTGAGCCCAAAAATGATAAATTTTGAGATTTTTGATATTTTCTAGGTTTTGCGGAACATTTTGAGCACAAAAATGATACATTTTGAGATTTTTGATATTTTCTAGGTTTTGCGGAACATTTTGAGCAATTTTCATGGATTTTCAACAGGAAAAAAATTCGCCACGTGGATTTTTGGCTCTTTTCAGTTGACTTTTTTTTTAGAAATAATGCGATTTTCGAATCAATTTTGATTTTTCGAAAAAATTATTTCAAAAAATAATGAAACGTATTTTTTACGGAAAAATAATGGTCATTTTTTTGAGTGGAACTTTTTGGAAAAAATCTGAAACAAGCTAAATTTTAACCTAAAATTGGTCAAATTTTGAGGATTTTGAAAATTGCACAATTTTGGAGCCAAAAATGCACCAAACCTAGTCATGTTTGGGCTCAAAATGCTCCAAATAACCTCAGGAGCATGGAAATCCTCTTCAAAACTTTATAAATCCCCAGAAAAACCCACCATGTAACCATAGTTCCATTGCTGAATCTCAAATGAAGAACCGCTTCACAATGATGAATTAGAGTTTTGAGACATTCACCGGTTTCCACGTCCCAAACACGTACTGTGGCGTCTGATGAACCTGGAAAAAATTTGGGGTGACATTTTGGGGCTAAAAAACAAAATTTGAGCATTGCTCATGTTAATTTTTGAATTTTCCGTGTAATTTCGAGTTTTTTGACACCAAATATGGCGAATTTTGGTGAAAAATTCAAAAATTAACATGAACAATGCTAAAATTTCTTGAAAATTGTCAAATTTGATGTCAAAAACTCAAAATTTCGAAAATTAACATGAGAAATGCTAAAATTTCTTGAAAATGGTCGAATTTGGTGTTAAAAGCCACCAAAATTCAAAATTTCATCAAAATATATTAAATTTGGTGTCAAAATGCTCCAAATCTCCTCAAAAATTCAAATTTCCCCCAACTCACCCGAAATAATGACACGATTATCGTACTGTAAACACAAAACACTTCCCGTATGTCCGGTCAATGTCATTCGACACGAATAGTCTTTTCGATCCCATATTTTGATGGTATTGTCGCGGAGTCCCGACACGATTTTCTCATCGTCATACTGTAGACAATAGACGCCTTTCGAATTTTCCGAATGACAATTGACACGTGTCAATTTGTAGTTGCCACGTCGCCAATTTATATCGATTGTTGAAATGTCGGCGATGACTTTTGGATAGAGCTTTCTGGAAGAAATATTAGACTTTGATTGGCGTGTTTGTGGTGCTGGCGTGGATTTTGTAGGTTGTTGGGAACGTTGGAGAATTTGCTGACGCATTTTCTGTACTTTATGAATTTGCTGACACATTTTCTGTAGCTTATTAATTTGCTAGCGCAATTTTGGTAGCTCATATGTTTGCTGACGCAATTTTTCCAGCTTATGAATTTTCTGACGCATTTTTTGTCGCTCTGGATTTTGCTGACGCAATTTCTAGCAGTTAATAACTTTACTGACGCATTTTTGTAGCTCCAGAGCTCAGAAAATCGATACTTTCATGATTTTCAAGCTCCAGAACTCAAAAAATCAGGTTTTCCAGCAAATTTTGAAAGAAAATCCAATTTTCAAGCTCATAGGACTGGAAAAATTAATATTTTCATGATTTTCGAGCTCAAGAACTCTAAAAATTGAATTTTCCAGCAAATTTTCATCAAAATTCCAATTTTCAAAGCTTAAGGGCTTAAAAAATCGATGATTTCATGATTTTCAAGGCCCAGAGTTCGAAAAATTGAATTTTCCAGCCAATTTTTTTCAAAATTCCAAATTTCAAGGTACAGAGCTCAGAAAATCGATAATTTCATGATTTTCAAGCTGCTAGGCTCAAAAAACCTCAAAATCTTCGAAGTTTACCCCAAATTTTCGCCCCCAAAATCCTCACCTATAAAAAACATGCAACAACATCATCATATCAAATTTGCCTTTGAAGCTTCCTTCAAAATCATATGCGAATTTCTCGCAAATCCTTTGTCCAGCCAATTCTCGACTGATATTCAAAAATCGATCCCAATGTCGTTTTTCGCTCAAACCACGCCACAACGAATCGGTTCGCACATTTTTCTCAATCAATTTTTTCCAGTGTTGGCCACGTGCCAGAGCGCAACGCCAATTTACGCTCACATTTTCGCATGATTTCAAGGTTTCGGCGTTGACGTTGAAGAGGATCATTTCAGCCAAGTGATCTGAAATTTTTCAATTTTTTTGAATTCGGGATTTTTGGCGGGAAATTTGGAACATTTTGAGCCCAAACAAGCCTATATTTAGGCCCAGAAATTCGACGCTTCTGGGCCTATTTTCAGGCTTATATTTGAAGCATTTGGAGCCCAAACAAGCCCATGATTAGGCCTGAAAATCCAAGGCTTCTAGGCCTGTTTTTGGCTCGAAATTTGGAACATTTTGAGCCCGAACAAGCCTATGTTTAGCCCTAGATATTCCAGGCTTCTGGGCCTATTTTTCAGACTTGAATTTGGAGCATTTTGAGCCCAAATAAGCCTGTGTTTAGGCCTGAAAATCCAAAGATCCTAGGACTAATCTCAGGCTTAAATTTGGAGAATTTTGAGCTCAAACAATCCTATGTTTAGGCCTAGAGATTCCAGGCTTTTGGGCCTATTTTCAGGCTTGAATTTGGAGCATTTTGAGCCTAAACAAGTCTATGTTTAGGCCTAGAAATTCCAGGCTTTTGGGCCTATTTTCAGGCTAAAATATCGATTTTTGTTGAGAAAATTGTGATTTTCATCAATTTTTCACTATTTTTAGGTAAAAATGATCAAAATTTTCGAAAAATTTCAAAAATTACCGGGTAAATTGGCGATAAAATCGCGCTGCAACATTGGTCGCAAAAAATTGTCGACCCGTCCCAATTGATAGTGTGTGAGGCGTTGAACGACCTTCTCCATGAAATCCAACTGCTCGTGCTCGTCCCAACCCAAAACTTCCTGAAAATTATGGATTTTTGAGCTATTTTGTGTCAAAATTCATGGAATTCAGTGAATTTTGCATCAAAATTCATCATTTTTCACGAATTTTGACCCAAAATCCACCAATTTCCGCTCCAAAACCCCCACCTTCATCACTTTCTCGTACGCCTCAATATATTCTTCGGATAGCGGTTTGTTGGCGTCATCGTGCTCATCTTCGGTCAATGAGAGACCGGCTAGAAGTTGAGTTGTGGCGGCTCGATTTGTGGAGGATGAGGAAGATGACATTCCTGTAAAGGAAAAGGGAATATTGATTTTTAAGGGAACATGTTGAGGTTAAGAGGAGCTACAGAACGAGTATAAATAAGGCTATGCGCCTTTAAATGGGTCTCGGAGCGATTTTTGCTTCAAAATAAGTCTAAACAAGGCTATGCGCCTTTAAACGGGACTTGAAGCGATTTCTATCGAATTAACTCCAAAACAAGGTTTTGCACCTGTAAAAATACCATAAAAATTGTCTAAGCGAGGCTATGCGCCTTTACACTGGTCTTGAAACGACTTCGATGATTTTTAAAGGAGCATAGCCTATAGTAAGTGATTTTTAACAGATTTCTCAATTTTACCCGCGGAAAAATGGCGAAATTTGAATCATGTGATCAATTTTCATCATTTTGTTGCGAAAAAACGGGTTTTCACAAAAATTGCATCAATTTTTGTTGCGAAATTTGAAAAATTAGATCTTTATGGGGAAAATGGGTGGAATTACGAGGTTTTCATGTGGTGAGAACTGGAAAATACTACGATTTTCGTTGCAGGACCTCAAAAACCCTGCGAAACCATACAAATTGAATTTTTTCGTGGCGGGACCCGAAACTGAGCTTCAATAGAAGATAAATGTGGTTTTGAGACCTCTAAAATGTTTTTGAGAGCCAAAACGCTTTAATTCAAGATAATTCACCAACCACCAAAAAAAATCAAAAATTCTTCGCGTCAAGACCCAAAACAGGTGATTATTACACACTTTCAGCCCTCGGAAAATCAATAATTTCACACCGAAAAACCCTGGGCTTTTCTATTTCGTAACCTTACATCAAACTAAAAACAAAACAGAAATATCTTCAACAAAGTTTAAAAAAACACAACAAAAACAACAACAAAAATAACTAAAAATAATATATTATAAACAACACAAAAAAAACGGCTGACTTTGCCATTTTTCAGCTTTTCTTTTCTCTTTCTTTTTTTTTCACAAAAAAATGTATATATTATTAGAGGGTGCTAGAGAAAGAAAAAGAAAAATCGAACTACTATAGTGAGGCGAGAGAGTGTGGGGTTGGGTGGAGACGCAGGCATTTCCCTCGTTTTCTCGTGAACACCGGATTGTTCGGTGGAGCGTGGTTGGTCGATTTGACTCGAGGGAAGTTGCGCGAACTTTGAAAACGAAAAAAGCGCTTGAAAAAAAGAAAATAAAAAACAACATACCGTAGCCTCCATCAAAGGCGCACAACAAACATCATTGGGTCTTGCGGCGATTTTCATTTTTGAATTTTTCTGAAATAAATTTTTTATTTTTTTTTTTGAAAAAAAAAGATTTTCACGTATTTTGGGGCTATGACGTGGTAATTTTTGAAGATCCACTTTTTTAATCTTCAGAATCATTTAAATTTCAATTAAACAGCAGACATCTAAAACTTGATAGTGATTTTTTTCATCTCAATGCCAAAATTTTCAATAATCCTGTTTTATCTCATTCATTTCATTTATCAGAAATCAGAAACACACGAAATTATCAATGTTCGTGATTTTCTTTCTAATATTCCTATTTCAATTTAATATTTGCTATTCTTGTATTCCTACACAGACTCCTGAAACTATTACAACCACTACAACTACGACTACGACTACAGCAACCACAACAACAACCACAGGAATCTGGAGCTGCCCAAGTTCCGCCTGGACAATGTTCAACAGAGGGCTTATTATTGGTGTATGCGCCCGGCTTATGGAAGTGTCTTCCTAGGAAATGCTGGGCTCCTCTGCCTCACTTTGGATAGCTCCGCAGTTCTCAGCGGCTTCCAGAATCTCGCAGAACTCTCAGCAATGTCCAGCGAAGTTGCAGCTTATGACAGTTCTATAATATATATGGCAGTTGGTGCGATTCGATCAGATAATTGTAAAACCCAAGCAAGTCTGAGCACCGCCGCTTGCTCACAGACAAATATTTTTGTATGGAGTGATGGGCATACAACTGGAAGTGCTGGGTTCGATTGGTATGTGAATACACCGAATGGTTGCTTCAATACTGGATGTGATATTGCGAATTGGGCGATTGTTTATCCGAGTTTGGCGAAGATGGATGATTTTCCGGCGAATTGGGCGGTTGGTGGATCGATTTGTGGAATGGAGGCGACTTATTCATGAAATTTTGATTTTTAAAACAGAGAAATACGGGATTTCTATCATTGCTTAATAAAGTGTTTTGTTTTTTGCGCAATCTTTGATTGAAACTGGATCTTTTTGCAAGATATCAAAACTTGCTAATGTCACGCAATGAAAAATATAACTATGGAGTGATAATTAACAATAGGTACCAGTGTTAAAGATATGACGTGGCAATTTGAATAACAATTTAGCTGTTTTTAGTCTTAAAATTGGTTGCGTTATAAATAGGACATCTTCTTATGTCCGCTTATCAAGTTTTTCATAGATCCTGTTAACTTTTTGATCTATGATACAACCCCTAGAGAAAAATCTTTATTAATTCCCGTATTCTCTATAACAAGTTAAACAACCCAACTTAAATTTCATGAATAAGTTGCCTCCATTCCACAAATCGCTCCACCAACCGCCCAATTTGCCGGAAAATCATCCAACTTCGCCAAACTCGGATAAACAATCGCCCAATTCGCAATATCACATCCAGTATTGAAGCAACCATTCGGTGTATTCACAAACCAATCGAACCCAGCACTTCCAGTTGTATGCCCATCATCCCATACGAAAATATTTGTCCCTGAGCAAGCTGCGGTGCTTAGACTTGCTTGGGTTTTACAATTATCGGATCGAATCGCACCGATCGCCATGTATAATATAGAACTGTCATACGCTGCAGCTTCGCTGGACAATTCTGAGAGTTCTGCGAGATCTTGGAAGCCGCTGAGAACTGCGGAGCTATCCAAAGTTGTGCAGAGAGATCCGGCACTTCCAAGATAAGCATTTCCATAAGCCGGGCGCATACACCAGGAATAAGTCCCCCTGTCGAAGATTGTCCAGTCGGAATCTGGACAGCTCCAGATTCCCGTGGTTGTTGGTGAGGTTGTGGTAGTGGTGGTAGAAGTTGTGGTGGATGTTGTAGAGCTCGTTGTGCTAGTAGTTGTGCTATAAACCTCTTCAGCAGTTTGCGTTGGAATGCAATTGTCAGAATATAGAATGATTTCGAGAAGAAGAATCAATAAGATCAGCATCTTTTCGGAGAAAATTCTAGAATTTTATTTAGCGAAATGCAATTTGAGACATATTTAATGATCTTGGCAAATGAATGAAAACACAAAAAGATAATATTGCGTGATCTTATCAAGTTTTTTGTTCTGACTTTGATCCTGTTCGCTTTCAAGCTAGACACGTTTTGTTTTGATTTTTGAGCGATGAAATCTCAACTTTTTTGCATTAATCATTTATTTCAATCAATTTTCATAATACTCGAACATCACATATGGTTCTAGCCATTCATAGTTACGCTCTCTTAAAGCATAGCGAATATTTTTACCATTTTCCAATTTGTGATTCACATCAATTCGATCTTTTCCCAACACAGCTTTCAATGTTTTCGGGCTTGCTCCCTCAAGAATCACAATCTTTTTCTTCTCAATATGCCACGCGAACATTTTACCACTAGTGCCGTTAATTGCTCCAACTCTATAATTCAGATACTTCGGAAAGGAGTGTGGGAAGATTCGATTATCATGATTCTTAATTCGAATCTTCCCACCCTCCTCTCAAAACACTACTTAAATCATATCAAAATGTTCCCAAAAATCATAAAATCATGAAATACCTGATCTTCCTCCTCTTCACCATTTCTTCGGGAAAAGCTGGAGCTCCAGAAGAAATCGCAAATAAATTCGAAGCCGACCTCAAACATGTTATTGCCACAAATACTTCATTGGTGTATAAATTTTTAACCTATGGTGACCTTAATTATAGAATTGGAACAATTAACGGGACTGATCCTAAAATGTTTGGCTGGCAGATTGAGGAAAAAAAGATTGTGATTCTTGAAGGAACAAGTTCGAAAACATTGAAAGCTGTGTTGGGAAAAGATCGGATTGACGTGAATCACAAATTGGAAAATGGTAAAAACATTCATTATGCAATAAGAGAGCGTAAGCCTGACTGGAAATGGTTAGAACAATATGTGATGGTCGAGTATTTTGAAAATTAATTTACATAATTTTTTGGTTCGCCGAATAAATGTTTATCGCAAAATTTTATTTCACAAAAATGTCAAGAATATTCAGCGACCATTCCACAAAAAGATCCGCTAACTTCTAATTCATACTGATAATCATCCACTACTCTAGTCGGAACTACGGCTACTAAGTACATTCCATCCGCACAATTTGGATCACGAATACATCCGTTCGGTGTTGATGGATTCCATATAAAAGCATCGGTTCCAGTTGTATACCCATCTGTCCACTCGAACATATTCAATGGTGTGCAACTTGCTGCGCTCGCTTTAGTTCTACAATTGGCTGATCGAATACCGCCTATTGCAAGGGAATAAATAGAACTATCATATGCTACAACTATATCTGACATAGTAGCCAATTCATTCGCGTTTTGGAAGCCGGTTAGCACTGAATTTATACAAAGCGATCCTCCGTTACCTAACTTAACTCTTTCATAAACTGGTTTTATACACCAATGATAAGTATCTCTATCAAAAAGTGTCCACGTGTCATCTAAACAATGCCACGTTGGCGGGAGTGTTGTGGTTGAAATGGTGGTAGTGGAAACTGTGCTAGTTATGCTGGAAGTTATGCTAGACGTTTCAAGTAAAATTGTTTTTCTTCAAAGGGACATAATAGATTATTGGGAATTCATAAAATTATTTTAAAGGCGCAAGGCTTGTTTATACTCAAAATGATCCTCTCCGGGTCTTGCAGCGATCTACAGTACTCTAAAGAAACACTCTAGCCGCCTTCCTGACATTTTTGATCTACACTCAAAAAAAAACACCAAGAAAATCTTCATTCGATAAAAAACTTATATTTTTTTTGTAGTTGATTCAACGGCTACTGTGGACGTTTCAGTACTAGCGGCAGTTGTTGATTCTGCAGTGCTTCCAGCTTCGGTAGATCCTCCAGTTGTAGATTCTACAGTACTTCCGCCAGTAGCTGAAGTTCCTCCGGTTCCTGTAGAAACCGGAACACCTGTAGTCCCACCAGTTACAGTAGATCCACCGGTTACAGTAGATCCTGAGACTACAGTAGTAGTCCCCGCGGCTACAGTAGTACTTGGAGCTACAGTAGTACTTGGAGCAACAGTAGTATAAACTGGAGCCGAATAACAATGATAACTTGAGATGCTCAAATTTTGGAAGCACTTGATAGCGTCGAATAAGAGTTGGGCAGTCTGATTCGAGTTGTCAGCACTGGTCTGAAGTACGGTAGCATTTTGGGTTACTGTAGTCAGAGTTTGGCCAAGTGATGTGGCTTGCGCTTGAACCGGGATGATGGAATTGTTGAAGGTTTGGGTGAAATTGGTGAGACTGTCAGTGTTGGCTGGACTGTTGGCGGTGGAATTGAGAGCGAGAAGATTTGAGGAGATTTGTGAGAGTTGCGAGGAGAGTTGAGCTTCGTCGATGAATTGCGCGACTTCCTGAAAGTTGAAAAAGTACTGTAGATCGCTGCGGGACCCAAATTACAGTAACCGGTTGATCAAGAGCTTCATTTTGAGACCGAACAAGCCTATGGTTTCTTGGATCACAATTTTTGAAAGTTGGGTTTTTTTTTAGGATTACTGTGTGTCCCTTTAAATCGAGGTACAGTAATCTAAGGGCTTCTGGAGTACTGTAGATATATTTTGAGACCAAACATGGCTAGGGTTACAGTATTTTTTCGCGCCAAAAACGTGATCTACAAAAATTACAGTAACCCTAGGCTTATTTGGTCTCAAAAAGATCCAAATGTTCGGTAGATCAAGAACTACAGTAACCTAAAACACTCACCTTTGGCACAATCAACTGAAAAGCACACCTGCCGGAACTTTGGCAACCGTATTGAAAATTCGATTGAAATGCGGTGCTGGCGCCAAAAATCGCCACCAAAATCGCGAAAATCAGCATTTTTCTGCAAATTTTTCGGGTTACTGTAGGTGTTTTTTCGGGGCGCCAAAATGTATTTTTTGTATAGAAAAAGAAAATGAAACGGTAGCTCGAGCAAATTTTTTTTTGTGATAAAAATTGACACGTCAAAAATTTTTGATAAAAATAATAATAATTCGAAACGGGGCGAAAATTTGATTAATTTATGGCTCCCGAAAATGAGTTTCTTATCAATTTTCTCTCAAATTTTTTCTTCTCCTCCTAAATTCAAAATTCCTAGCCACTCCCCATTTTTTTGGCGCCAAAATGACGTGACCTAGGAAAAAAAATTCAAAAAAAAATTCCAAAAATCCGAAAAATGCTCATTTTCTGATCCAATACCCTAAAGTAAAATGGGAGCTGAAGCTATTATCAAAAATATGATTTTTGGGATTACGGTAGGTTCGAAATCGTGTTGAGACCCAAAGTACAGTAATCGGTAGATCAAGAGCTTCGTTTTGAGACCAAACACGCCTGGGGTTACTGTAGATAATTACAAAAATTCTAATTTTCGCGCCAAAACAGAGTATATCAAAATTCCGGGAATGTCCTTTTAAATCCAGCTACAGTATCCCATGTTCATTTAGAATACTGTAGATTGCTGCGAGACCCCGAGAAGATCACCAAACAAGCCTTCGAGCGCGCTAGCGCGAGTGTAGATCAAAATTCCGCGTGAGCGGCTCGAGCGGAGCGAGTGTGTGTCGCTTTAAACTCTGAAAAATCGTGGCGGGACCCAAAGTACTGTATCCGGTAGATCAAGAGCTTCATTTTGATACCAAATGTCCCTTTAAATACATCTACAGTACACCATGTTCCTTCAAAGTACTGTAGATCGTTGCGAGACCCAGAGAGGATCATTTTAAGTCGAGCGGCTCGAGCGGAGCGAGTGTGTGTCCCTTTAAATCTAGCTGGATCGCTGCGGGACTCAAAATACAGTAACCTCTAGATCAAGAGCTTCATTTTGAAACCAAATAAGCCTATGTCCCTTTAAAGGCACCTACAGTACCCCCAAATTTTTTTTGCAGATCGCAAATGTGGCAGTATTTCTAGAAACCATGACACCAATTCCCAAAATCAAGCCATTTGATCTATTTGGCCTTTATGGAACTGCAATCGGTTTCACGGCATTTTCCACAATTATCTGGTGTATTGTTGCGGTAATCGCTTGCGTCTCGCGATTTTCGCAAAAAGTTTCCGCGTTGATCAAAATTATATTCGTGGCGGTCGCCGCCGCGTCACTTTTCATCGCCGACATTTTGTTTTTGAGCTATGCGCTGTCTGCTGAAACTACGCTGAAATTTGGACCGCTCAGGGTTAATTTGTATGCTATTGTGGTGAGTTTTGAAGAGAAATTTGAAAAATTTGACAGCAAACACGCTATAGAAACTAAAAAAAACATTTTTCCCGCCAAAAATAAAATCCCGGCGGGAAAATCAAAAATTCAAATTTTTCCAGACCGCTCTCGGCATACTTTTTCTTTATTCAATGCTAGTTATCGGATTGTTGTTCATCAAAAGAAAAGATAAATCTGAAGATGATGAATAAACATTTTTTTTGGAACCCTGCCAAAAATTTTTCTTGGAAGCTTGTCAATTTCGTTTTTTCTGCTCTATGACGTCATTTTTGCACCCTGTGACGTCATCAATTCAAACACCTGTTTTCTTTGTTTTGGGTGACCTTAATTTAAAGGTACATGCAATTTTTAAAGGCACAGGACCTAAAATTTCGTAAAAAAATGTTTTTCATCTTCTTAGTCCATTAAAAACATCTTGGCAAGTCGCCAAGGATAATTTCACACCATCTTTTGAAACCGTGCCAAGCTCCACCCCCTCTTCCCGCATCCTCTCAAATTCCCCCACTCTCTCACCATCTGGCCATGTGCCAAGCTGTTTGCGCGCGAAAATTGCGGGGCGTCTGTCTCCTCTCTGCTGGATTTGTTATATCTTGTGGTTTACTGTGTGATTTTCTTATTTTCTCCATTTTTTGTTGCTCAAAAAAAGAAAAAAAATGAGAAAAATTCAAATAATTTTGTGAGGGACTACGGTAGAATGTGTGCAATTTCATGTCGCGGTGTTGACACACGCGTTGGCGCCAAACACACATTTTCGCGCATTTCGCACCTAAATTTCGTCATTTTCCGTCGGGTTTTCGAGAATTCCTAGTAATTTCGACATTTCAGGCACAATGGCACCCACCTTAACCCCTAAAAAATGCACCGCGTCCCCGAAAAAAGTCGCCAAAACACCAACACGAACATCGCCTCGGAAAAAAGCTTGGGCAACACCGCCGAAAGCCGTCAATTCGTTGTTGAAAAGCGATTTATTTGTGAGTTATTTAGCCTAACTTCTTCTGAATTTCTATTAAATATTGCAGACCGAACAAGACTTTGCGGATTTGTCGAATCGCTCGTGGGCCGAAATCACTGAAGAGGATCCGGACGTGGTCAGCGATTCAGCGGATCTCCGCTGCAAAAGTGAATCGCGTCGCAAAGGACAACCGCGTCGGTTGAATGCCACGCAGACAAAACCGAAATTTGTGCGATCGCTGGAATTGACCAATGAGATTTTTGCGTCGTCAAGTGCGACGAGAAGAAGCATGCGCAATAAGACAACTGTTGTTTTGAATGAGGTGCGCAAGAAGAACACATTTCTGGGTTTTGGAGTGAAAATAGAAGCTCTGAAGCTTGATTTTAGTTGAGAAACCGTAGATTTTGGCCTAGGGGCGGTAAAATTGCTCCCAAAGCTAGAAAATATGGATTTTTCGTTCTTGAAGAGGACATTTTGCTTTGTGAGGTGGAAAAACATGGTTTTCTTGTTCTTCGGGCTCAGGAACCATGTTTCAGATCTGAATTCAGCTTCGGATCATCTTATGGACTCGAAAATCAGAGATTTTCGGTCTTCGAGAGGAAATCTATCATCTAGAGCTAGTAAATCATGATTTACTCATTTTTGGAGCGAAAATCTAACTCTAGGAGCTCGGAAACATGGTTTTCTTGCTCTGAGAGCTTAGAAATCATTTGTCAGAACTAGATCTTGTTCTGAGGCTTGTTTTCGTCGTGCTGGAGCCAAATTTTGCAATCTGAAAGCTCTAAATTCTTGTTTTCCATATTTTGGAGCAATATTTGGCTCATTTGATCTAGAAAATCCTATTTTTCTCGATTCTGAAGCTGGAAAACCATGATTTTTCTAATTTTACACCTGAATTCCGCTGAAAACACTAATTAAAGCTAGAGTTTGCTCCGGACCGCCTGTATTTCGCTTCGAGAGCTAGAAATCATAAGTTTCTTGGTCGCAAAGCAAAATTTCATGAAAATCTGGAATTTGCAAGTTCTAGACATCAAAGTCATGCTTCAAGTCCCAAAAAATCGTGGAATTATCGATTTTTCAAGCTCTGGAGCTCAAAAATCATGAAAAAGTTACAAAATGATGCAATTATCGATTTTCTAAGTTCTAGATCCAAAAAACCATGAAAAATCCGAATTTCCCATTCCCAACTCCTAAAAATGCCATTTTCAGACCCAAATCACCGCCTCCTCTCCAAAACTCGAAGCAATTTCGCGCAAACGTTGTCTTTCGAATGCCTCCACAATCAACGAAGATGTTTCGCCATCAAAACGTCGCCAAAATCAACCGGAAAGCGGAAAACCGGTGCGCAAAAGTGCACGCGCGTTGCGCGCCTTCGACGGTGCGGAAAGTGTGACGAGCAGTCCGTCGCGTAAAGATTATTGGGAAGAACCGACGTTGGGATGGTGTAGTGATGAGAATACGTTGAAGAGAAGAACTAGGGTAAGCATTTTTCACCGGAAATCGCCTACTTGACCAAAAAATCACCGAAAACTGCCTACCTAGGTGGATTTGGTAGGAAAATCTGGTCATTTTGATACCGAATAAGCCGCCTGTCGAAAATCACACCAAAAACTGCCTACTTCAGAGCTTTTTGATTGAATTTCGGATATTTTCATACCAAATATGATTTTTGACGAAAATCACACCGAAAAATGCCTACGTAGGTGGTTTTAGATGGAAAATCTGGTCATTTTGACGCCAAATTAGCCGTCTTTCGAAAATCACACCGAAAATTGCCTACTTTTCAAGACGACGAAAATAACACTATTTTTCACCTACTTGAGCTCTTCTGGGTGCGTTATGTTGAAAAACTAATTTTCAAGTTTTCCAGACAAAAATGCTGTCAAAAATCTACCTGCCTAACTCCTACTTTAGCTTATTTTCCATCAAAAATAACACTATAAAATCCCTACTTTTACGATGTTCAAGGCTGTCAAAAATCCACCCTCCCAACTCCTACTTTTCCACGTTCACAATCCTGAAAAGGCTGTCAAAAATCCACCCTCCCAACTCCTACCCTTTTTCCAGGAAATCGAACGTGCCAAAGAGAAGTCGGTGTATCAAAAGTACACAAATGAGGTGGCGATTCGTGATCGAATGAAAGGCGTTCATCCAAGAACACCGAATAAGCTTATCAATTATAGTCGAAGAAGTTGGGATCAACAGGTGAGGAATTTGGCTGAAATTTGGCTGAAACTGATGAATTTTAAGCTGGAATTTGAGAATTTTGATGGAAATCGGATTTAGGCCAAGTTCGGCCTCAAAAACATCCAATTTTCCCCGATTTTTAGGTCAAAAATGGCCAGAAATTTGAATTTTGCAGATCAAAAAATGGAAGCGTAGCCTCTACGATTGGGCCGGTGAAGAACCATCAGATTCCGTCAACACGTCATTCTGTAGTTATACATCTGATGAAGCGATGAGTGGAAAAGAAGATGAGGAGGCGAATTTGGAAAATACGCCAGTTTTGAAGGATTTGGATATTCCGGTAAGTTGAATTTGGGGAAAATTGATGAAAAATGAGCCAAAATTCGAGATTTTTGCTCAAAAATTGAACCAAATTACTTGAAATTCTGGAAATTTGTTGAAAAATTGAACTAGAAGTGCAATTTTCAGCTTCCAATTTGAAAATTTCACCAAAAATCAATATTTTTCGAGAAATTCAATTTTCCTAGCCACGTGACACGTTTAAAAGGTCAAAATTGAGCTAGGGAGCTTGAAAATTTGAAATTTTGATGAAAAAAGTTGAAAATCGTATTTTTGGTAAAAAAAAATAACCCAATTTTCATGAAAAATTGATCTGAAAATCATATTTTCAGCTTCCAACCCCAGAAAATTCAAAATTTTTACTAAAATGAATTTTTTTGCCACGTGGCACTTGAAGAATTTCACGTTTTATTTTATTTTATTTTTGAAAATCTGTTTTTTTTTTGGATTTCCCTCTCAAAATTGACCAAAATTATCAAATTTTCACTCAAAAATCTTGGAAATCCCATTTTTGCACTGAATTTCAACTTTCTAGCTCAAAAAATTCGCTAAAAACTGGATTTTGTTTCAGATTCGCCCAGAAGCCGACAATATGGCCTCACTTTTGGGAAAATTCGACATTGATTCACAAATGGGAATGGCCGAAGAGAGCACATTAAAAGCCTCAAATCCCAAAATCGATCCATCAGCTCCTATCGATTTTTCGAATTTATCCTAATTTCAGCCGAATTTTTTAGCTGAAAATCTGGCATTTTCAGCCCAATCTGTTCCATTTTCAACTTTTCCCCGAATTTAAATTTTCAAAAAATCTCAAAAATTCCCCGTTTTCTCCTCGTTTTTTTTGTTGTAAATTTCCAAATAATTTTCGTAATTTTTCCCCAATTAATTTAAAAATTAAAATTTAAAATCTAATTTTATCCAATTTTTTCCAAATTGCCACAAAAATTGTGTGTACTTTTTTTTGTAAATGAAAAGATTTTTTGAATTTTCATGATTTTTTTAATCCCCGGCACCCCCAAAAAATTTCATTTTTTGTCCAATTTAAATCGGATAAAAGGGAGTTATCGCAACTTTCCCCGCATTTTTTTTGAAATACCCTTTTTCGCTCCTAAAAATGCTGAAAATTACCGTAGTCTTCATGGTCTTGGCGATTTTTGCCGTCAAAATTGAGGCTAATATTGATGCGTCGGATTTTGGTGAGTTTTCGGGCTTGAAAATGGGCCGGGCCTAAAAAACGGGCCTGAAATTGGTTCTAGGCCTGAAAATCAAGCCTAGGCCCAATTTTAGGGCCGAAAATCAGCCTAACCTTATTTTTCTACAGGAGTTCCACAGACAAATCATCAAGAAGGATTTGGAGCCCAAATTCAGAGTCTAGGCTTGGCTGGTGAGTAAAAAATTTGAATTTTTGAATTTGGCGCGAAAATTTGAAATTCAAAAATTTTTCAGATGAGGGACAATCCTCTCTTCAATTGGTTGATGAGGAACCGGCTCAGGATAGTCCAAGTGAGTTGTTTTTGGCGCCAAAAAAGAGTACTGTAGGTTTTTTGGCGCGAAAACTTTGAAATTCAAATTTTTCCCCAAAAATTCGATTTTTTTCAGGTGCTGATGTGAATCATGTTAAAGAAAGTGAGTTTTTCTGTTTTTTTTTTTTGAAATTTTGAATTTGCCGCCAAAAAATCCACATTTTTTTACATTTTCAAATTTTTCCAGTGTTCGCCAACGCCTTCAACAGCATTCAAGCACAACGTGAATTGGCACAAAATTCGACAGTGCCTTCAGTTTAATATGAGCAATGCTATTATTGATTTTCTAGGCCACGCCCACCTTATGTTTAAATGAAAAAGTTTGCTGAAAATTACAGATGAGCAATGTTCTTCAGAAAAGAACTAAAGTACAGTAGCCGTTAGATCAAATGTGTAACATTTTCAAAAAACCAGAATTTTATTTTGTTTTTATTAGCAATTATAACTTTATTTCAGAATACGGGATTGTAAAATAATTTAAATTCAATACAAATACAAATTAATTTATAAAAAAGAAACCGAAGGACAATCTGTTGCAAACAATGAGTATAATATAATATAGAATATATTTAATGTGGAGAAATATCAACAAAAACTTCTGTTTTTCAAATAAAACTTTTATAAAAAAGTTCAAGGCGCCATCGGTTTTGAAATGCGCTCCGATCACGAATTCCGCGATTTGTCCGCTGATCAATCGTATTTTTCTCGCCGATCAACATTTTCAAAACACAGACAGAAAAACTTTTTGAACAAAAAAAATAGTTTTTTTCGCTGTGAGAATGCAAAGCTGCAATTATGTGGCGAATTTCAAATCGATTGAACGCACAGCAACGAGAGGTTTGAATTTTTCACTCTTTAAATCTGTTCTGTTATTATCTCAATATTTTTTGCAAATTTTCAATGCTAATTTCCTCATAGATGTCGCACACGTTGTTCAACATTATGTTCAAATTTTTATATATAATATAGAATTTTTGAAACGTATATTTTCCTGGCGCACATTGCCTTGTGTGGCGGGGTCGGTTTTTTCTCTAATTTATCTCTCACTTGTGTGTTAAAAAATACTCTCTCGTTTGTGTGTGTTTTTTATTTTCTTTTTTTCGTGATGCGCAATTATTTGGAAGGATGTTTTGTGTATGAAAATTGTTGTGGACAATATGAAATTACATTCTCTGTGTTCAAAATGATCTCCTCTTTCGATTGATGTAACGTATAAATAACGAAATCGACGTACAACGACAAAAATCGTGGAAAACTGAAAATTTTGAAAAAACAGGAAAAATGCACTTTACAAATGCACAAATTGCTCATCTTTGAAAACACCAAATATAAATATCTTTCATAACATTTGTTCAGTTTTTTCTTGGCTACAAACTGGTATAAAACTCTTTTCATATCGTTTCGAAAAAAAAACCTCTGATAGCGATCGAATGTGATGACAGGTGGCGAGATTGCGTCCTTTCATTTTCAACTTGATAACTTAGCTTTCCGGCACTTATGGAGAAAATAATGGCATATGAAATGTGGATTTTGAAATGGAGATCACATCCTAGAAAACCGTTTTCAATTTGACCATCGAAAAATTGAGTTAAAAGAGAGTTTGCATTTGTAAAGTGCATTTTTTTCTTTCTGTTTTTTCAAAATTTTCAGTTTTCCACGATTTTTGTCGTTGTACGTCAATTTCGTTATTCATACGTTAGGCGGTGGGGCAGATTAGTTTCTCCCCCGGGAGAAATGGGGAGAAAGAGGAGAAAAGTGGTGCAGCAACGCGGGGAGGAAGAGGAGTTCCTGCCTTTTCTCCTCCTACAGTATCCGGCTCATCGTGTCGAGACCATTTATCGATAAGACCGATATAGTTCCGTATTTCGACTCGATTAAAGGCGCAGAGATTTTCCAGGAAGGGTCTCGGCACGATACGGTTTGGGAGAAAAGGCAGAAACTCCTCTTTCTTCCCGCGTTTCTGCACCACTTTTCTCCTCTTTCTTCCCATTTCTCCCGGGGGAGAAACTAATCTGCCCCACCGCCTTACATCAATCGAAAGAGGACTCGGTTAAAGTGGTGCGCCATTTGGGGCGACGTCGCACGCTAAATTTGACAAAAAATTTGGATGCGACGTCGCTCGAAACAGCGCCTCATTTGATGCGCTGTTTGTGGCGACGGCGCGCATTCCGGCGCTATTTCGGGCGACGGCGCACACTCGCACTACGGTAGGAAACAAAGTGTGCAAGCATTTTATATGACGCGCACCCGTTTATTTTTCTTTTTTTTGGGCGGCCTCTTTTTTGTTTGTGTTTTTCGATAGTTTTCAGTATTTTTTCAAAAGAAATTGTAGTAAAATGATGAAAACCACGTTGATTTTATCTATTTACATGTTATTTGCTGCCGAATAAGTAGAAAGCTCGGCTATATTAAGGGGAAAATGATTTTCAAAAAGTTTTGTCATTTTTCGATGTATTTTTTCAAGCCGGAATATTTTAATAAAGTATTTAGATTTACGAGAAATTTTCTGGCAAGATTTCATTATTTTTACGTAAACATTAGACGTCATTTCATTTTCAGTTAAATTCTTGATCCTAGAGTCAGTTTTTTGTTTCTCTTTCTACCCAATGGCAATTTCCTATTCGTCTGGCTTGTTTCTGCGATAAGATAGTTTTCAGATAACCGGAATCGGAAGTACGACAATAAATAACCAATACAACATATGGTGGCGTCACAAAAATCATTTTGTTTTGCGCGCTCCTCAGGTTTGATTTTTATGTATTGTCTTTCGAAAATTCAAAAAAAATCGTAGGTTAACTGATTGATTCTAGATTGGAACAATTGAATGATCAACATCGAGACGGTCGAAATGGAAACAGATCGAATGGCCAATCGACTAGGAAAACAAGAAATGGTAAGTGTTTTTCGATATGAATCTCGAAATACAGACAATCAAATACGTAAAAAGATAGCGAACCAGCTGATCTGGCATACCTTCCTGTCGTATATCAACATTTGACGAGAATTAGAATTTAATAATTTGATTAAATTTCGAATTTTTCATTAAAAAAATTCCAATAGTTTTCGAGCTGAAATACATAAAACTCATGGTTTTCAGCTCGAAAACTAGCATTTTTCTCGAAAATCCCTGAAAATCGCGATTTTTCAGCTGAAAATTGTGATTTCCAAGGATTTGGGCAGAAAATATGAAATTTGGCTTGAAATTTGAAAGTTTGCCTTGAAATTCACGTTTTTTTGGATGAAATCGCAACTTTCTAGGTGGTTACTAAGCCTAATCCTGAAGTGATGTTGAAATTTTGAAATAATTCTTATACTTTCAACATCATGTTCAGGTTTTAGACTTAGACTTAGCAAACCCCCTAGAAAGTTGCGATATGTCCCGAAAAAACATGAATTTCAAGCCAAACTTTCAAATTTCAAGCCAACTTTCAGATTTTCTGCCCAAAATCCTTGGAAATCACAATTTTCAGCTGATAAATCGTGATTTTCAAGGATTCTCAGCAAAAAATCTGAAAATTTGCTCGAAATTCATTTTTTTTTCGCGAGAAAAAAAGTTTCAGCCAAAATTTGGAATTTCAGCCCAAAATTAAGAAAATTTGGAATTTGCAGCTTTGCCTTGACCCGGAACCTTGAATTTTCAAATTTCAAGGTTTCCAGCGAGGGAAAAGCTGGATTTTCAGCCAAATTTCTAGAAACATCCTTTTTTGGGCCAAATCAGACCGTATTTTCAAGAAAATCTGTAATTTTGGGCCCTGAGTCTGGTTTTCAACAAAAATCGGAATTTTTGACAAAAAAATGGGAAAAATTTGAAATTTCAGTCAAATTTCTGAAAAAAAATCCAAATTTTGGGCCACATTTCGATAAAAAGGCCAAATTTTTGAAAAAATCTGTAATTTCGGGTCCATTTAACTTTTTTCGAACATTTTCGCAAAAATAGTGGACACGTTTTTGTTGACTTTTCCTCAATTTTCTTTCATTTCGAAATGGATTCAAAAATGAGCACCGAGTTTGAAGCACGAGTCAACAAAGCTCAAATGAGTTCTATTATTAGAAAATTAGCCTAGATAAGCCGAGTTTTACTAAAGTTATTAGAGTATAGGAAGATTATGAAAGTTCATATCTTACAATTCGCAGAAGTGCTTCGCTATGTTTATACCAATACCATTTTTCAGATTGCGGCACGAGATTTTCAATCAACAACAAGCTGCCGCAGAGTCAAAAATAATTAGTTATGTTATAACTTCTGTATTTAGAGTAAATAAATATCATTGTTTCAATATATGATGTTAATTTAGTATTCAATTCAGCTTTTCTAGCGCTTATCGAGCTTTTTCTGGTCCAAAAACGCATTTTCGAAGGTTTGCTGCGCTATTTTGAGCGACGGCGCGTCAATTGATGCGCTATTTCGGGCGACGGCGCGTCGTTCTGATGCGCCATTTCGGGCGACGGCGCATCATCTGAGGCGCTGTTTCGGGCAACGGCGCCCGGCTGTTTGATGCGCCTATCGCCCCAGATGGTAGCAACAGCGCCCCAGAAGTCAGCAAGTGGCGCATCACTTTATCCGAGGAGATCATTTTGAACACAGAGAATGTAGTTTCGTATTGTCCACAACAATTTTCATACACGAAACATCCTTCCAAATAATTGCGCATCACGAAAAAAAGAAAATAAAAACACACACAAACGAGAGAGTATTTTTTAACACACAAGTGAGAGATAAATTAGAGAAAAAACCGACCCCGGCACACAAGGCAATGTGCGCCAGGAAAATATACGTTTCAAAAATTCTATATTATATATAAAAATTTGAACATAATGTTTCAATTATAAATGGGCCTAGAACAGCGTGTGCGACAACTTTGAGGAAATTAGCATTGAAAATTTGCAAAAAATATTGAGATAATAACAGAACAGATTTAAAGAGTGAAAAATTCAAACCTCTCGTTGCTGTGCGTTCAATCGATTTGAAATTCGTTGTTCTATCTTCACAAAATTCATCCGATGGAATAAAGCTGTCACCTAGCAAAACAATAGAAGTTATATGGAACACGTAAGAAAACGTGTTCCATAATTAATTTTTTCCGAATTTCAGTGGTGCAAAAAGTGATTTTTAGTGGTATTTGAGATTTGGGGGTTTTACTCCCATTCTAGTGGTTGATATAAATATTACACACAAAAAACGTATAATTTGCCAAAAATAGCTTGCTTGCAAAATGAGCCAAAAAAGTTTACGTTTTTGCAAACAGAATTATCGAGGTCAAATTCGAGCCAATTATTCAAAGTGCAAAAAAGTGTGTTTCTTTGCTCGGAAAAAAAATGGAAAAAATTGGTGGAGATCTTGTTGTTTTTCACTATAGAAACCAAAAAATTGGAGAAAAAAATTGATTTTTTCTGGTGTTGATCTTTATAAATTTTTCAGACATATAAAAAGTTTGAAAATAAATTAGTTTTGAATTTTTTTTGAATTGAAAAGTGTGCCAGGCATGCAAAAATGGGCGGAGTCCATCAAAATCCTCATATTATTTCCCAGACAAAAAAATGGGCGTGGCTTATTTTGCGAGTCTGGCACATTTTTCAGACACTTTCATCCTACTACCAGAAACTACTACCAGAAAAAATGCTCATAAAATTTATGCACAAAAAAAAAACAAAAACGTGACGTGCTCTAGTTTTTCCTAAAACCCCACATAAAATTTTGCTCATTTTTTATTTTTTGGTTTTTTTGAAATCAACGGCATAATAACTACTATTAAAAATGAATGCACATTCCGAACTTCTTGATCAAAATGGATATATTTATGTAAGTAAATTTCAATTATTCATTAATTTTTGATTTATAACAACTCAATTTTCAGCCCTTCCAAACATCTTGGTTCGATTTACCCTTGGAAATGAGAGAAATGGTGATTCTTGAGATGGATTTGAAAACCCGATGCAATTTCTCAGAGTGCTCAAAAACTTGCGGAGAAGAAGTTATAAAAATTATGACATATGATCTGAGTGTTCACTCAATTTTAACATACAATTCAAGGGAGATTTTGAAATTTGAAATAAACCATGATTTCGATGATTGTTATGTGTTTGAATTTGAGAAATTCAAAGAGAAGCAAACCATTGTCAGATTTGTGTAAGTTATTTTTGGAAGGAAATATTTAATAATTCAATCAAATTTCAGTTACGGTTCTCATACAACAACTACTATTGTCAATGAAAAACCAATTGAAATTCGAACGAAATATTTGAACTATTTATTCAAAAAATATAATCATTCGATTTGTTGGTGTAATCTTTTGGTGAGTACAAATTATCATTCTTGCCCTCCGCAAAAATCATTTTCTCAGGATCAAAATGTATCTACAACACTTTCTGGAATCAAAATCGATTTATTAACAAATTTGGATGAATTTGAGCTTCAGATATGGCCACGAACATTGGAATCAATTTATGAGGCTGGTATTATAACTGAAGATAAGGTAGGTTTTGAAAAATTCAAGAAATTTTTTATTAAATCCCCAGTTGTTTTCAGTTATGTCAAATCAAGACTATAAAATTGGACATTTCTCAAAATGACGCCTACAAGATCGCACTCTCTTTCAAAGGGAATCAGGCACACATGGAATGCGAGAGGACTTTTGATATTAATTTGTTTTATCAGTTTTTATTTCAATTGAAAAATGAGGGAACGAAAGAATCAAATTCTGTCATCAAATTCTGTTTTGATGGGAGAATTATTGATTATTCAATTTTGATCCGCGAAATTTTTTATTTCTCTATTATAAATACTTGGGATGAAATCGATCATGATGGAACTATTTGTGAAATATTTGAATTCGAAACAGAAACATCACAGAGAATTCGTGTTATTTGGAAAACTTATGAAATCGATGTAAAATTTTGATTTTTTATTTCTCTATTTTTTTACTTGTGGATAAACATTTTTTGAAATTATCAAATGGGTAGGTTTACCAAGGAAGGTTACTGTAGATTCGCTATGAGACCAGAACAACAAACGTGTTGATCTTTTAGACTAAAGTAAACTACGGTAGTTTATTGTTGAAGATAGCTTGAACTTTTCCCACAAAATAAACAAGGTCAAATTAAAGCCAATCATTCCAAGTACAAACAATATTTGTGTTCATTTCTTTGCTCTGAAGAAAATGGAAAAAACATTTGGTGCAGATCTTTTTACATTTTTGCTATATAAAACAAAAAAGTTTAATTGAAAATATGTACCAAGATTGCAAAAATGAGCGGAGTTCATCAAAACCCTCATACGGTTTCCTAGAATAAAAATGGACGTGGCTTACTTTGCAGGTCTGGCTGCGATCACGAATTCCGCGCGTCTTCATGTGGCATTTGAACTGAAAAGTGTTTTGTTTGGAATAAAGCCACTTTCAATTCAAGTCACCCCAATTTTCAGCTTTAAATTCACATTTATGCAGTCTCTAGATGTAGTTTCAAATAATTCCCTGTCTAAACCTACCTGGCTTTTTGTGTCATTTTGACTGAAGTTCAAATTCATCGCATTTTCACATTTTGTACATTTTGGGCGGTGCAAGAGCTTCAAATCAACCATTCCAATTGTGAGCTTTTTTTGTCTCTAACAATACGTGATACTTTCCATCGTCTGAAATCTGTTGATTTAGGAAATGAGACACGTTTGAATTTTATCACAACTGGCAAAATACGGCCGAGCTGCTGCAGGTCCGCCACATATCTGCAGCTTTGCATTCTCACAGCGAAAAAAAATTTCTTCGCTGTGATCAACTCAAAAATAATGCGGAAAAAAACTTACATAAATCGGGTTCAGTTGACGACAAGTCCGGAGCTTCACTCATCTCGAAATCATCATTTTCTTGCTCTTTTTTATCCATTGATTTCTTCCTCATTCAATCCCATAATTGACATTGCTTCAAAAGTTTCGCCGAATTCTTTTAAGACCTTAAAGTTTCCAATTTTGTCGAATTTTCTCTGTTGATATAAGAATGAGTTTTGGTTCTGGATTGGCTAGTTGTTCAAAAATTCACCAGTTTTTGCATAAAACATATATGTTGGCTTATTTGTTTTTTCTCAACTAAATAGTATGAAATGCATATCATTTTGTTCGTAATGAAATTTCAAATTCAATGGTGCAAATCATTTTTCACGAAATTGGAATGTAGTAAAAAAGAATAAATAAAAGAGATAAAAAGAATAAATCTTTTTATATTAATTTATTTTCACGTGCACGTGTGACGTGGCAGAGGTGGCGGCGTAGAGACCGCCTATCTTTTTCTGTTTCTGTTTTTGTATTTGCAGTGGTCTGCAGTTTTATTAGGTGTTTTGTGCGTTGTACATTTATTAGGCGGTTTTTCATTAGGTTTTCTTCGGGTCAATTTCCTAGGTTATTTTAGCTGTCTTTTAGCAATTGTAAATTGCTTTGTCTTTGTATTCTAATTGTGTATTGTAACTTTTTGTATTTTAGTCTTTCAATAAATTTCTATTATAAAAAGGTCGCAAACACAACACTTATACTAGCCGTGCGCAAAAATCAAATAAAAACAAAGGCGCACACAATTATTTTCTTTGGTCCTGCGCGGAAACGCGTTTGTGTGTACTTCTCACGGACAACTTGAAAATTTTTTTTTTCGTTTTTTTTTTTCATTTCGTTGTTCTGCTGTGTTTTTTGGGAGTATTGTGTGTACCAATTCGTGGCATTGCTAAACTGACGTTGCTTTCTTTAGCCACAGCTAAAAAAAAAGAAGAAAATTCATTAAACACTTTAGTTACGGACTCCCCCCTTTTTTCCAGAAAAAAAAAGAAAAAAGTAGGCGGTGCCCATATGTTGATTGTGCCACGGGCGAAAAAAAGAAACAAAATTTGTGATTGCGGACCGTTGCCACGACAGTGAAACGTGTCACTCATTTCGAAAAAAAAGAGCGATTTCACCCATCCCAGCCAATCACGTAATTACACGTAGCTAAAAGGTACATGACACGCCCCATTTTTTTCTGCCAAGTCCGCAGTGAGAAAAGTGTGCTTTTTTTGTTTTGTTTTTTCGCCCGTGATTGTGCGGCGCGTGTGTTTTTTGTTGCCGCACAGTTTTTTGTGTTTTTTTTTGTTCGCAAGAGGCGACGCCTCCCCTTTCTGCAAACACCGATGCATACCGTATCACGGTAACAAAAAAATCTTTTTTTTTTGCTGTGTTAGCATTATAAAAGCCGTCAGACTCGTCATTTCTCGCTCTTATACTTATTATTCTAATAAGCTTTGTATTTTAGTTTTTTCTCATCTTCGGCAGTCACCGTATCCAACCCAAGGATACAACACCAAGTGAACCAAAAATGTCCGACTTCGACATGAAGTGAGTTTTCTAGAATGTTTCCAGTTAATTACTGTTTATTTCAGCCCTGATACCACACTTGATTCCATTCTTCGAAAGTTTGGGAATGACGAGCGTGTGATACAATTCGAGAGGTCGTTTATAAGGGCATCGGAAGTTGAATTGAGATACAAGGTAAGTGTAGTGAATTAATTGTTTGATAAATAACTTCTATTGTTTTTCCAGGTGACAGATTTGCTCCACATGCTTCCGTTGCTGAACATCACTTTGCGGAAATTCCATCAGATGCATTTTGTGAAGATTGAACAACGAATATCAAATCGATTGAACGCACAGCAACGAGAGGTTTTAATTTTTCACTTTTTAAATCTGCTCTGTTATTATCTCAATATTTTTTGCAGATTTTCAATATTCATTTCCTCAAAGTTGTCGCACACGCTGTTCTCGGCCCATTTATCATTGAAAATTCAAGAACGATAAATATGCGCCATGAATCATTCAATCAATTATACTCAAGTTTTTCAATCAACCCCATCGCAACTATGAATATTTTGAAGAGGTCCCACACATTGGCCATAGACCAAATTGAAATTGTAAGTAATTATTGTACTCAGACACTAGAAGGGTTTTCCTAACAAAAGAGGTGTGGAATGCTGTGTTATTCCTATTTTTCGAAACGGCAGAGGCTACAAATGAAAGTTCCTGCGAAATATCAAACAAATCTAGAATGTTTAAATGATGTCTTTTCAGGTAGTCGAAAACTTGCCAACGTGCGAAGATCTTTCGCATTTGAAAAGAAATGGTTGCATGGCGAAAGATTCAGCAATGTTTATTTATAAACATAGAACATCGCCAACACTCAAAGAATTCCTTCTGTGAGTTTTTGAAAAAAAAATTCTCAGAAAAATAGGAATTTATATTTTTACAGGCAAATGACAAAACGGCGGCGAAAGTTGGCTCAACTCGAACAAGAATTCAGCGACTTCATAATGCCAGCTACCACGGCTTCTGTGAGTTTTTGAAAAAAAATTCTCAGAAAAATAGAAATTTATATTTTTACAGGCAACTGACAAAACGGCGGCGAAATTTGGCTCAACTCGAACAAGAATACAGCGCCTTCATAATGCCAACTACCACGGCTAAAAAAAGAAGAAGAGATTTTTTTGCTTGTTTTTCACTTGTTTTCGAGAAAAAAAGTGTTATTCCCCTTTTTATTGCTTTATTCTACCACTTTATTGATATTTGTCCCCTATTTTGAATGCTTGTTATTGTTGTTAAATATCATAAATTGTTGTTTTGTCTCGCGATGAATTGTGGTTGCTGGAAGTGGTTTTCTCCACTTAAAAATCTTTCTAAGTTTACGTAGTCAACGTAGACTGATAACTTGGGGGCCGAACTTATTTGCAGAATCCAGGAGCGACTAATCAAGTATCCGCAATTCGCCGAAGGCTACAAATAACCAAAATATGGGTGACAACGACGATCGTATGGAAGGAGGTGAAAAACTTGAGGTGGAAGGATTGCGATTGGAGGTAATTGAAACATGGGAAAAAACAAATGCGGAAAGTTTGCAAAGTTGGCGCAACTCAATTGCTGAAGCTGATTCATTGGCGCAAAGAGTATTCCATTTATCTGACAAACAACGCACCAGAATTTTTAGTGCGTTTTTTTGCTGGAAATTAGAGTTGTTTTCATAGCTTGAAGGTTTTTAAAGATTCTCCATGTTTTGCTGATAATTTTGATATGAATTTTTCTAGAAAATGATGAGTTTTGAAGAAAAATTGGTTTTTCGCGATGTTTTCTGCGAAAATCAATATTTCCAAGGCTCTAACCGATTTTATAACTTCTCGAAATTCATGAAAAACTGGTCTACTTCAAGATTTTTAGCATATTTTATATCAAATGATCAGAAGAAACCTTCTTTTCATCAAATTTCCCATTTTTCCAGAAGAAATGGCCGCTCTTCGCCACATGGCTCAATTCCAAAAATCGCTCCTCCTCGCCGGTTCAGCTCCACGTCTCAACACAATGATCATCCGATCAGCCACAACTCTCAACGACGGAGCCAGCAAAGTGCACGATCATTCGGGACACTTCAAATTCGAGCGTTATTTCGCCGCCGGTATGGTTAAAAATTTGAAAATCAAACTTGCCAGACCCAAAATCACCAATTTCTGAGCATTTTTTCATGTAAATTGCAAAAAATGAGCAAAACTCGGTGATTTTGGCTCCCGCGCAGGGAAATCTATGCCAAAATTTTGAATTTCAAATGACAGCGCATTTATTTAGTGCAAAAACGTGACCTATAACGTGCCCGGCCCAAAATCATCAATTTTTGAGCATTTTTCAATAAAAAATGAGCAGAAACTGGTTATTTTGGCTCCCGCACAGGGAAACCTATGCAAAAAATTTAGAGATGAACTTGCCGGACTCAAAATCATCAATTTTTGAGCATTTTTTTTCATGTAATATGTAAACAATGAACAAAAATCGGGGATTTTGGCTCCCGCGCAGGGGAACCTATGCCCAAATTTTCATTTTCGATTTTTCCAGAAATGGTTCACGCAGAAGAATACGAAAAGAAGGCTCTGGATCGTAAACTCCGATTCCAGAACCAAAAAAAGAAGAACAATATTTTCAAAGCTCGCCGAGTCAACAACACCAAAAAGCGCTTATCCCCAACAGCAACAACAACGAAGCAAGAAAAACCGGAGTTTTTTGAGGTCAATACTAGAAAAATATTGGAAAATCACATGGATTTGGGCATTTTTTGAGCAAAAATAACTCTTGCCGGACCCAAAATCACCAGTTTTCGAGCATTTTTCATTGAAAAATATAAAAAATGAGCAAAAATAGGTGATTTTGGCTCCCGCGCAGGGAAATCCATGCCCAAATTTTGAATTTTTAATGAAAAATGTAAATTTGGCGTAACCTCTGACGTGGCAATGTGAAAATTATCATTACTCAACTAAAAATCTGAAGATGAACCTGCCGGAGCCAAAATTACCAATTTTTGAGCATTTTTCATGAAAAAAATGAGCAAAACTTGGTGATTTTGGCTCCCGCGCAGGGGAACCTATGCCCAAATTTTCATTTTCGATTTTTCCAGAAATCCACCAAAGTCATTTTGATAGTCGATCCACCATTCGGTGTTTTCATGGAACCTCTCCTAAAATCAATCGATAAAATGAAGGATCGATTTGAGAAGACGGGAAAAGTACGGTCGAATTTCTATTCAATGATTATTTTGCCGATTTTTATTCGAAAATATGTTTTACACGACGAATTTTGGATGTCGGATTATCGCGTGAGTTTTTTGGCGGGAAAACGGGGGAAATTTGAAAAATTCGCGAGATTTTTACGCGAAATTCGGATTTTTTGTGAAATTTTGAGCATTGCTCATGTTAGAGATACGAAATTTTGAAATTTTAACATGAGCAATGCCTGAAATAAAAGTTCTCGCTAAAAGGCTCCAGATTTTCTCATAAACATGAGCAATGCTCTAAAACCCCTGTATTTTCAAGTTTTAACATGAGCAATGCCTCAAAATCCCCATTTTCCAGGTCACCTACAGTAATCACAAGCTCTACAGTTATCCCGAAAAAACGATTGTTCGAATATTCACCAATTTGCCCAAACCAACGATGAATCTCAAATTTCTGGCTCCCGACTATAAATATTGTGCTCCGTGCCAAAAATGGGTGACGAAATCGAATGATCATTGTGAAAAATGTGAAAATTGCACGAATGTTGTGAGTTTTATTTGAGAAAAATTTGAATTTTTTGAATTTGGCGCCAAAACCTACAGTAATCTTTAATTTTTGGCGCCAAAATTTGAAAATTAAAAAAATTTGCCAAATTTTGATATTAAAATGAAGATTTTTGGATAATTTTGAGAAAAATTTGAATTTTTTGAATTTGGCGCCAAAACCTACAGTAATCTTCAATTTTCGGCGCTAAAATTTTGAAATTCAAAAAATTTGCAAAATTTTGATGTGAAAATGAGGATTTTTGAGTAATTTTGAGAAAAATTTGAATTTTTAAATCTTCGCGCCAAAACCTACAGTAATCTTCAATTTTTAGCGCGAAAATTTGAAGATTCAAAAAATTTGCGAAATTTTGATGTGAAAATGAGGATTTTTGGATAATTTTGAGGGAAATTTGACTTTTTAAATCTTCGCGCCAGAACCTACAGTATTCTTCAATTTTTAGCGCGAAAATTTGAAGATTCAAAAAATTTGCGAAATTTTGATGTGAAAATGAGGATCTTTGAGTAATTTTGAGAAAAATTTGAATTTTTAAATCTTCGCGCCAGAACCTACAGTAATTTTTGCGGCAAAATTTTGAAATTCAAAAAAAATTCCAATTTTCCGCGCAGGTCCGCCGCCACGTCACAAATTCCGCGTCGCAACGCTCCTCAACAATCACAAATCCATTCGAAGACGACGATTTCCGCTCCTCGGTCTCAAGAACCATGTCTACAGTATCCACTAGAAGTACAGTACCCCAGAGTACTGTAGGTCAACAACCAAGGAATCCATTTGATGAACCTGCCGCTGGAGGAGGAGGAGCTACAGTACCAAACTACAGTAACCCGGTTGGCGAGGATTTTTGATTTGTAAATTTGTGCAATTGTGATATTTTTACTTAAAATTGTGATTTTCAGCTTTTTTTGGAGCATTGCTCAGATTAAACTTTTGATAAATTTTTTTTATTCAGAAAAATTACTATTCACAGAAATTATCAAAATATGCGTAAAACTTGTAAAAAAAGGAAAACTGACGCTTTTTTTTATTTTTCAAATTTTTTTTGGATTTTCAGTTTTTTGCAGTTTTTCCTGAGGCTCCGGAGCTTCACTCATCTCAAAATCATCATTTTCTTGCTCTTTTTTGTCCCTCATATTCTTAACAACTACGACACTGAGCCTCCGAAAAAAACACAATCATTATGAGGGCCAGGAAAATATACGTTTCAAAAATTCTATATTATATATAAAAATTTGAACATAATGTTTCATGACGCATATTTATTGTTGTTGAATTCTGAATTATAAATGGGCCCAGAACAGCGTGTGCGACAATTATGACGAAATTAGCATTGAAAATCTGCAAAAAATATTGAGATAATAACAGAACAGATTTAAAGAGTGAAAAATTCAAACCTCTCGTTGCTGTGCGTTCAATCGATTTGATATTCGTTGTTCAATCTTCACAAAATTCATCTTACACTATAATAAATTTGAGAGTTTTCCTCATTTTTTCAGTGCTAAAATTAGTACAAAATTCTATGATGAAATCAAAACGCTCCGATGGTTGATTAGTTTTCGGGAACAGCTCTGAAAAGAAAAGTTGAGAAAGATCAATTAATTGTATTTGTTCATTTAACTTACCGAGCTAATTTTAAAAAAAAATAGGACCTTATCGGTTACTGTAGACACTATTTTTTATCTACCATTTTTTTGCAGAACATCAAATTGCACTACGTGGAAGAAAGACCGAAAATGGCGATGTTTTGGTGATGGTACATAGATTTCCGGAATTTGTACTAATTTTAGCGCTCAAAAAATGAGGAAAAGCTGAAAAAACAAAGAAAACTCTCAAATTTATTATAGTGTAAGATGAATTTTGTGAAGATTGAACAACGAATTTCAAATCGATTGAACGCACAGCAACGAGAGGTTTGAATTTTTCACTCTTTAAATCTGTTCTGTTATTATCTCAATATTTTTTGCAGATTTTCAATGTTAATTTCGTCATAATTGTCGCTCACGCTGTTCTGGGCTCATTTATAATTCAGAATTCAACAAAAATAAATATGCGAGAGGAAACATTTTATCAATTATGTTCATATATAATATAGAATTTTTGAAACGTATATTTTCCTGGCGCACAGGAGCAATATTTTTTGCAGATTTTCAATGCTAATTTCGTCATAATTGTCGCTCACGCTGTTCTGGGCTCATTTATAATTCAGAATTCAACAAAAATAAATATGCGAGAGGAAACATTTTATCAATTATGTTCATATATAATATAGAATTTTTGAAACGTATATTTTCCTGGCGCACAGGAGCAATATTTTTTGCAGATTTTCAATGCTAATTTCCTCATAGATGTCGCACACGCTGTTCTGGGCCCATTTATAATTCAGAATTCAACAAAAATAAATATGCGAGAGGAAACATTTTATCAATTATGTTCATATATAATATAGAATTTTTGAAACGTATATTTTCCTGGCGCACAGGAGCAATATTTTTTGCAGATTTTCAATGTTAATTTCGTCATAATTGTCGCTCACGCTGTTCTGGGCCCATTTATAATTCAGAATTCAACAAAAATAAATATGCGAGAGGAAACATTTTATCAATTATGTTCATATATAATATAGAATTTTTGAAACGTATATTTTCCTGGCGCACAGGAGCAATATTTTTTGCAGATTTTCAATGCTAATTTCGTCATAGATGTCGCACACGCTGTTCTGGGCCCATTTATAATTCAGAATTCAACAAAAATAAATATGCGAGAGGAAACGTTTTATCAATTATGTTCATATATAATATAGAATTTTTGAAACGTATATTTTCCTGGCGCACAGGAGCAATATTTTTTGCAGATTTTCAATGTTAATTTCGTCATAATTGTCGCTCACGCTGTTCTGGGCCCATTTATAATTCAGAATTCAACAAAAATAAATATGCGAGAGGAAACGTTTTATCATTTATGTTCAAATATAATATAGAATTTTTGAAACGTATATTTTCCTGGCGCACAGGAGCAATATTTTTTGCAGATTTTCAATGTTAATTTCGTCATAATTGTCGCTCACGCTGTTCTGGGCCCATTTATAATTCAGAATTCAACAAAAATAAATATGCGAGAGGAAACGTTTTATCATTTATGTTCAAATATAATATAGAATTTTTGAAACGTATATTTTCCTGGCGCACAGGAGCAATATTTTTTGCAGATTTTCAATGTTAATTTCGTCATAATTGTCGCTCACGCTGTTCTGGGCCCATTTATAATTCAGAATTCAACAAAAATAAATATGCGAGAGGAAACGTTTTATCATTTATGTTCAAATATAATATAGAATTTTTGAAACGTATATTTTCCTGGCGCACAGGAGCAATATTTTTTGCAGATTTTCAATGTTAATTTCGTCATAATTGTCGCTCACGCTGTTCTGGGCCCATTTATAATTCAGAATTCAACAAAAATAAATATGCGAGAGGAAACGTTTTATCATTTATGTTCAAATATAATATAGAATTTTTGAAACGTATATTTTCCTGGCGCACAGGAGCAATATTTTTTGCAGATTTTCAATGCTAATTTCGTCATAATTGTCGCTCACGCTGTTCTGGGCTCATTTATAATTCAGAATTCAACAAAAATAAATATGCGAGAGGAAACGTTTTATCATTTATGTTCATATATAATATAGAATTTTTGAAACGTATATTTTCCTGGCCCTCATAATGATTGTGTTTTTTTGCAGGCTCACTGTCGTGGTTGGTTGATTCGGCGTGTTAAGAATATGAGGGATAAAAAAGAGCAAGAAAATGATGATTTTGAAATGAGTGAAGCTCCGGAGCCTCAGGAAAAACTGTAAAAACTGAAAATCCAAAAAAATTTCCTTTTTTTACAAGTTTTTACGCATATTTTGCTAATTTCTGTGAATAGTAATTTTTGTTTCGAAAACTTCAAAAATTATCAAAAGTTTAATCTGAGCAATGCTCCAAAAAAGGCTGAAAATCACAATTTTAAGTAAAAATATCACAATTGCACAAATTTACAAATTAAAAATCCTCGCCAAACGGGTTACTGTAGTTTGGTACTGTAGCTCCTCCTCCTCCAGCGGCAGGTTCATCAAATGGATTCCTTGGTTGTTGACCTACAGTACTCTGGGGTACTGTACTTCTAGTGGATACTGTAGACATGGTTCTTGAGACCGACGAACGAAAATCGTCCTCATCGAATGGATTTGTGATTGTTGAGGAGCGTTGCGACGCGGAATTTGTGAGATTTTGAGCAACGTGGCGGCGGACCTGCGCGGAAAATTTGAATTTCACGGGAGATTTGTGAAAATTTGAAAAATTCTGAGAATTTTGGTGTAAAAATGAAGAATTTTGGATAATTTTAAGAAATTTTTGAAAAAATTTGAATTTCAAAATTTTGCCGCCAAAAATTTCAGATTACTGTAGGTTTTGGCGCCAAGATTTAAAAATTCAAATTTTCCTCAAAATTATCCAAAAATCCTCATTTTCACATCAAAATTTCGTGAATTTTTTGAATTTTTCAAATTTGCCGCCAAAAATTTCAGATTACTATAGTTTTTGGCGCGAAAATTCAAAAAATTCAAATTTTGCTCACAAATATCTAAAAATCCTCATTTTTACATCAAAATTTGGCACATTTTTTGAATTTTCTAATTTTGGCGCCAAAAATTAAAGATTACTGTAGTTTTTGGCGAGAAGATTTAAAAATTCAAATTTTTCTCCAATTATCCAAAAATCCTCATTTCTACATCAAAATTTCGTGAATTTTTTGAATTTTTCAAATTTGGCGCCAAAAATTGAAGATTACTGTAGGTTTTGGCGCCAAATTCGAGAAAAATTCAAATTTTCCTCAAAATTATCCAAAAATCCTCATTTCTACATCAAAACTTCGCAAATTTTTTGAATTTTCAAAATTTTTCCGCCAAAAAATCTACAGTAACTCACCTTTGCGCCTTTTCCGCTCTCATTAAACAATCCGCGCTCCAAATACGTGGAAATCAATTCCATGGCATCGGGACACGTGGCAAGCTCGGCTTTGAATTTCGAATAGGCGGCGCGTTGATCTACAGTACCCGCAGCTACCGTACCACCACCATTCGCTTCCACAGCTACCGTACTCTTTTGACTGCATGCCGGACACGTGTCGGGCGTGTCGGCTTCTGTGTAGCTCTCGAAACAATGCACATGATAAGAGTGTTTGCACAGAAAGTGTACGGTGGGTAGTTGGAGCCCGGTGTCGCACGCGGAGCATTTTGACACCTGGAGCACTTGGGCACTGAAAAATGGGCGTGGCTTAGGATTTGGAGCATTTTAAGACCTAATAAGCCTATATTTTGAAAAAAACTGTGCGGCAAAATTGCAAAAAGGGGCGTGGCTTAGAATTCAGAGCATTTTGAGACCGAACGATCCTATATTCTGGGGAAAAACTGTGCCAGACTTGCAAAAAGGGGCGTGGCTTAAGATCTGGAGCATTTTGACACCAAATAAGGGTATTTTTGGATAAACTTGGGAAAAAAAACTGTGCCAGGGTTGCAAAAAGGGGCGGAGCTTAAGATTTGGAGCATTTTGACACCAAATAAGGGTATTTTTGGATAAAGTTGGGAAAAACTGTGCCAGGGTTGCAAAAAATGGGCGGAGCTTTGATTTGACACAGTTTTTATCGTAACATAAGTTAGGCCACGCCCCTTTCTGCAACCCTGGCACAGTTTTTCCCAAATCCCTCTAAAAATATTCAAATTTGGTCTCAAAATGCTCCAAATCCCAAGCCCCGCCTATTTTCTGCAATTCTGCGGCACAGTTTTCTGAACTCACTTAAATTTCAACGATTCAATATGCTCGTCCAATTCATCCATTTGTTTCTCGTTTTCTTTGATCGTTTTTCGATTTTTCAAAATTTTGGACTCTTGTTTTTTGAGCCAATTTATCACGTATTCTTTGATGGTGGAAATTGTCAGATTTTGCGATTTTGATAGGATTTCGAGAACGACGAGAGGGTGAACAACTTGCGATTTTTCGATTCTGGAACATTTTCAGACAATTCCATGTGGATTTTCAGACTCCCCGTGTAATTCTGATCCAGAAAAGTGTGAAATTCAAAAAATTTGGCCAATGTTCACTAGCGGGATCGAACCCGCGACTTTCTATCTGCAAATTTGGCTCAGGCGGTTAGAGATGAAATTATTAATCTAGAGGTGGCGGGTTCGATTCCGCTAGTGAACATTTTTCGATTTTTGTACTTTTCCGGGTCAGAATTTCACGAGGAATTCGAATTTGACATTTTTGACGCGAAAAAACCAAGGGGTACTGTAGAAACTCACTCGACAAGCAAATATTTGATCATTTCTTCATTGCACATTTCAGCCGAGCTTTTCGAGATAAAACTGAGCGCATCGAGCCACATTTTCTGACGTCTGAAAATAGAAAAATTGAGCATTGCTCATGTTAGATAAAAATTATCGATTTCTCACTGGTTTTCTGGACAATTTTTGCAAATTTCCACAATTTTCGGCAAATCTCCGATTTTTTGATAATAGTTCATCAATTCGCGGCTTTTTCCGGATTTTGTTAGGATTTTTTCGACGATTGGTGAAACGTTGAAAATTTGAGCCAGGTGCAGGGTTTTTGATGTGTTTTCAGGTGTCAAATGGCGCAGGATTTGATCTTCGATTTCTTCGGGGGTTGTCTGGAAAATCAGATTTTTTGGCTTCAAAATGACACCAAACATGGCTATTTTTGATTCTGAAAATTTTTCAGCCTCTGCCACGTGGATTTTCAAATTCCCCATGAAATTCTGACCCGGAAAAGTACAAAAATCAAAAAATGTTCACTAGCGGGATCGAACCCGCCACCTCTAGATCAATAAAATCATCTCTAACCGGCTGAGCCAAATCTGCAGGTTGAAGGTCGCGGGTTCAATCCCGCTAGTGAACATTTTTTGATTTTTATACTTTTCCGGGTCAGAATTTCAGGGGGAATCTGAAAATCCACGTGGCGAGGGCTTAAAATCAAGAATTTTCTAGGAAATTACAGATTTTTAATAAAATATGTCATGTTTGGTATCATTCTGACCAGTATAATCTGAGCAATCCCAAAAATGCTCACCTTTTCCGCATCATACGCTCTCATCCGCAATTCCATACACCAATCGGCGAGTTGCGGATTGTCTTCCGCTTGCGCGCAGAATTCTTGCGCAGCTTGCGAGTCGCCGATAAAAATCTCGAAAATTTTCTCGATTTCCGCTCCGGATTCCGCGCCGCGCAGCACAATGTCAGAAAGAAGAACAAGGGTTTCGGCGCGACATTTTTCGAGCAAAATTCGACCGAATTTTTCGAGATGTTCGAGGGCCTGAAAAATTAATATGAGCAATGCTAATTTTTTTGGTGAAAATTTTGAAAATTTCAGATTTTTTAAAGTAAAATGAGCCAATATTGATGAAAATCGGATTATTTTTTGAAAAAGTGTGATTTTCTGGAAGATTAACATGAGCAATGTTAATTTTCATGAAAAACTGGATTTTTAGCTCAAAAATCAGAAAATTAACATGAGCAATGCTAATTTTCATGAAAAACTGGATTTTTAGCTCAAAAATCTGAAGATTAACATGAGCAATGCTAATTTTCATGAAAAACTGGATTTTTAGCTCAAAAATCAGAAAATTAACATGAGCAATGCCAATTTTTCATCAAAAACTGGATTTTTGGGCTCAAAATGCCTCAAAATTTGAAATTTCCCAAATTTTTCATTAAAAACATCGAAATTTTGAGAATTTTCCAAACATTAACATTAGCAATGCTATTTTTTCAGCAAAAATTGGGTTTTTGAACTCAAAATCTCAATTTTTAGCTTAAAATCTCAAATTTTCCCAATTTTTTCATTAAAACCATCAAAAAATCCCGAATTTTCCCAAAAACCCACCTTATCAATGGGCCGTTTCGCAATATATTTCACAGCCATTTGATAATTGTGCATATGTTCAATGATTGCGGTCAGAGCTTCATCGTGCATTTCGAATTTTGTGGCCAAAAGCGAGGCTTCGGGTAGATAGTTCCAATCGACGAGAATCTGAAGAAAAAGTGTGCGGGGAAATTGCAGAAAAGGGGCGGGGCCTAATTCAGGAGAGAATTCTGAGCAACTTGATACCAAATATGGGTATTTTTGGATTTAAAAAAGTGTGTCAGAGTTGCAGAAAAGGGGCGTGGCCTAATATGGCTGATAATGTGGAGAAGTGTGCGGGGAAATTGCAGAAAAGGGGCGGGGCCTAATTCAGGAGAGAATTCTGAGCAACTTGATACCAAATATGGGTATTTTTGGATTTAAAAAAGTGTGCCAGGGTTGCAGAAAAGGGGCGTGGCCTAATATAACTGATAATGTGGAGAAGTGTGCGGGGAAATTGCAGAAAAGGGGCGGGACTTAATTCAGAAGAAGATTTGGAACAATTTGATACTAAATATTGGTATATTTTGAGAAATTTGGGAAAAAGTGTGCCAGGCTTGCAGAAAAGGGGTGGAGCCTAATTCAGGAGAGAATTCCGAGCAATTTGATACTAAATATAGGTATTTTTGGATTTAAAAAAGTGTGCCAGGGTTGCAGAAAAGGGGCGGCGCCTAGTTCTGAAGCCACGCCCCTTATCTGCAAGCCTGCCACGGTTTTTCCTAACCATGTTTGGTCTCAAAATAATCCTGAAAATCAGAGGATATAGGCCACGCCCATTTCTGCAAGCCTGGCACATTTATACCTTAAAAACATCGCGCATATCACAATTTTTCCGCTCCACAACGCGATTCACAAATTGCATCAATTTCTTCTTCTCATTCCTTCTGGCATAGGCGTTTAAAAGAATATTTGTATGATTTTGATTGTCTTTTTGCTGCTCATGAATCGCCTCCAAATATACGCAGAGTTGCGCTAACTTCGAGCCATCCAGATATTTTTTGATGACGTAGGATGGTTCGAGCATTCCAATGGTTTCTTTGTATTCGTTTATTGCATTGTCGTAGTCGCCTTTTCTGCAAGAAATTGGGTTTCGGCGCGAGAATTCGGGGTTTTTTGACGCTAAATTCAGATTCCCCGTGAAATTCTGACCCGGAAAAGTACAAAAATCGAAAAATGTTCACTAGCGGGATCGAACCCGCCACCTCTAGATCAATAGATTCATCTCTAACCAGCTGAGCCAAATCTGCAGGTTGAAGGTCGCGGGTTCGATCCCGCTAGTGAACATTTTTGATTTTTATACTTTTCTGGGTCAGAATTTCATGGGGAGTCTAAAAATCCACGTGGCGAGGGCTGAAAATCGATTAAAAAAAATTAAAAATATAGTTTTATTCGATTTCCACCGTTATAATATGAGCAATCTGATGAAAAATTCAAATCTCACGAAAAAATTCAAAATTTAAAGGAACATGGCCTTCTTTAGTGTCAAAATGAAGTCCTTGATCTACTAGGTACAGTAATCCGGGTCTCGCCACGAAAACTTCAAAATTTAAAGGAACATAGGCTTATGGAGTGTCTTTCGAGCCCAAATTTCATAAAAAAGGCATATTTGGTGTCAAAATGCTCCCCCAGAGCTTCTGAGTACAGTAATCCAATTCCCAAAATTTAAAGGAACATACCCATACAAATAATCGGCATATTTGCGATGAATCCCCTTCAATTGTTCCCCTCCATCTTTGCTATTTTTCGCGATTCCAATAGCCACGTCATACAAATTCTTCTTGATCAAAATGTCCAATTTTGTCATCAGATTTTTCTCGGCCAACTCGGAAAGCGTTCCATCTTTGCCCAGAATGAGCATTTGCGCTCCAATGACAAAAAGGCGGCAGAGATTCGGGAGAGAGCAGGAGAATCCGATGTATTGACCTTTGACATCGTAGACTGTCATCATTGTCATGAATTCGGCGTCTTTTCTGGAAGTACGGTAGTTTAAATAGGGTACTGTAGTTTGGAGCGATCTACACTAGTTTAAAGGAACCTAGGCTTGTTTGGTATCAAAATGAAGCTCTTGATCTGAGGGTTACTGTAGTTTGGGTCCCGCAGCGATCCAGCTAGATTTGAAGGGACATACACTCGCTCCGCTCGAGCCGCTTGCGCGTAAAAATCCGGATACACTCGCGCTTCCGCGCTCGAGCATGTTTTATATCAAAATGCTCTCCGGGTCCCGCAGCAATCTACAGTACTCTAAATGAACATGGGGTACTGTAGCTGGATTTAAAGGGACACACACTCGCTGCGCTCGAGCCGCTTACGCGGAATTTTCCGCCTACACTCGCGCTTCCGCGCTCGGGCTTATTTGGTGTCAAAATGATGCTCTCGGGGTCCCGCAGCGATCTACAGTACTCCCCAGCTTACTGTATCAATGCGTTCTGCTTGGTGAGCAGCGCCAAATATTGTCCGGCGGCCACCAATTGCAATTTGTCGTGTCCGCGTCCCAGCTGCAAACATCTACCGACACCGCCGTCAATATCCACACTTTGATCCGCGTCGTAGAAATAGACCTGCAACAAATTTTGCTTGTTATGCTCCATTAAATCCAGCTACAGTACCCCAGACTACTGTAGATCGCTGCGAGACCCGGAGAGGATCATTTTGAGTCTAAACATGATAGGGTTACTGTAGATTTTGGCGCGGAAAACTGAAAATTTAAAGGAACATAGGCTTATGAGGTGTCTTTCAAACCAAAATCTCATGAAAAATCCAAAAATAGCCGAATTTGGTCTTAAAACGAAGCTCTAGAGATTCTGGTTACAGTAATCCGGGTCTCGCCACGAAAAATTCAAAATTCAAAGGAACATAGGCTTATGAGGTGTCTTTCAAACCAAAATCTCATGAAAAATCCAAAAATGCTCGAATTTTATCAATTTTGGGTCAAAATGCTCCAAATTTCATGAATTTTAGGTCAAAATGCTCCAAATTTTACAATTTCAGCCCAAAAACCCACCATTTCCCTGCTGGCCACAATCAACTGTCCAGTACTCTCATCAAAAGTCCAGCAATCCGTCGTCGCTCCGTTTGCCTCGTGTTTTTTCTTGCTGATAACTTGTCGATTTTCGAGCACATAGGAGAAGACGTGTTTCGGAGTTATGACAAATATCACAGTTTTTCCGCCCGGCACAAATGCGATCGCTAATCCGCTGACCGCACCTTCGATGACGGAAGACTCGCGGATTCGTAGCCAACGGGACGAGGAGAGCGACTGAAAATGCGTCAGTGATGAGTTGGATTGACGTGTTTTTGGTAGGGGCTGCTACTGGAAATGCGTCAGCTAGTGTATAGGGTTTGCTGACGCATATTTTGTAGGTTGCTTCGGTGAGGGTTTTGCTGACGCAACTTTTTGTAGCCTAGATATTTGCTGACGCCTTTTTGTAACTCCTAAAGCTCATAGGTTTGCTGACGCAAATTTTGTAGCCTCGAAAGCTCTAGATATTTGCTGACGCATATTTTATAGCAATTAAATCTCTTGACGCAAATTTTGTAGCCTCGGAAGCTCATAGTTTTGCTGACGCATATTTTGTAGCTCCCGAAGCTTATAGGTTTGCTGACGCAAATTCAGTAGCCTCGAAAGCTCTAGATATTTGCTGACGCATTTTTTGTAGGTCGTGATATTTGCTGACACATATTTTGTAGCCTAGATACTCGCTGACGCATATTTTGTAGCCTGAGAAGCTCTAGATATTTGCTGACGCATATTTTGTAGCTCCCGAAGCTTATAGGTTTGCTGACGCAAATTCAGTAGCCTCGAAAGCTCTAGATATTTGCTGACGCATTTTTTGTAGGTCGAGATATTTGCTGACACATATTTTGTAGCCTAGATACTCGCTGACGCGAATTTTGCAACCTCAGAAGCCCATAGGTTTGCTGACGCAAATTTTTGAGTTCCGGAAGTTCATAGGTTTGCTGACGCATTTTTTGTAGGTCGAGATATTTGCTGACACATATTTTGTAGCCTAGATCCTTGCTGACGCAAATTTTGTAGCCTTAGAGACAAATAGTTTTGCTGACGCATATTTTGTAGCACTAGAATCTCTTGACACATATTTTGTAGCCTCGAAAGCTCTAGATATTTGCTGACGCAAATTTTGTAGGCTACCAAAAACACGTCAGCACTCCACACACTGACGCATTTCACGTACCTTTTCGCCCATCACATCTCCCTGATAAAAAAGCACCGATCCATCACCATAACCAACAGCAATTGCGCTCAAACTCGAATGTACCGCGCACGAACTCGCAGGAAACGCGGAAGTGGCGAGAAGCGGCGACATGCGGACGACGCGTCGCAGTTGCGGCGCGTTTTTCTCGCCAACTTGCGTCGGGTCCCAGATTTTCAACAGCGAATTGGTGGTCTCCTCGTCTTCGCCAATCGAGAACAGATATTTGTCGGCGGAATGCAGAGAGGCCAGCGATTTTTGATAGGCTTTCCAATAATCATCGTCCTGTTGTTGGGTGAGTCTGCAAATCCTGTTCCTTTAGAGTACTGTAGATCGCCGCGAGACCCGGAGAGCATCATTTTGAGACTAAACATGCCTAGGTTCGCGGAAATGCGAGTTCCGCGCAAGCGGCTCGAGCGGAGCGAGTGTATGTACCTTTAAATCTAGCTGGATCGCTGCGAGACCCAAACTACAGTACCCCATGTTCCTTCAAAGGGACATGGGGTACTGTAGCTAAATTTAAAGGGGCATACACTCGCTCCGCTCGAGCCGCTTGCGCGGAATTTTCCGCTTACACTCGCGCTTCCGCGCTCGGGCTTGTTTGGTATCAGAATGAAGCTCTTAATCCACAGGTTACTGTACCTAGGGTCTCACCGCGATTTTTTTTTGAATTTAAAGGGACATACACTATGAAAAGTTTCAGATTTTTGAAGTTCAAATTAGAAAATATCGAAAAGGTTTCAACTATCATATTTTTCGGCAATTTTGAAATTTACAGATATTTTGAAACGTATTTTTTCGCGCAATTTTTTTAAAATGAAAAATGGACAATTTTCATGAATCTAGCTACAGTAATCCTTAAAAAATCGCTGCGAGACCCTAACTACAGTAAGCCTTTGATCTGGAGCTTCATTTTGATGCCAAATAAGCCCGAGCGCGAAAGCGCGAGTGTAATCGGAAAATTCCGCGCAAGCGGCTCGAGCGGAGCGAGTGTATGTCCCTTTAAATCTAGCTAGATCGCTGCGAGATCCAAACTACAGTAGCCTGTGGATCAAGAGCTTCATTTTGATACCAAATGTCCCTACAGTACCCGCATGTTCCTTTAGAGTACTGTAGATCGCTGTGGGACCCAAAAAATTGCAAACCTAAAAACTCCGCCCCTCGATTCGCCCAAAAACACCGAATCACCAGATCGGCACCAACAATCCACATTAACATCCTGAAATTAATTTTAGGTCTTAAAGGGAGGTACAGTACTCCTGCTCACCTTGAGACCCAAAAATTTCTCCTTGGGCTTCTCCTTATCCAAAACCACTGATTTGTCGAAGAAATTGAAGCGGCGCCAGCCGGAATTCCAACGTCATTTAGGACCTTAAGGTAATTTAGGGTAATTAACACAATTCGCCCTAATTTAGGGGTAAAAAATCCGAATTTTAAGGTATTTTTAATGACCTTAAGGACATTTTAAAGTAAAAAATCAATAATTTTTGTACATAAAGCTTTATTAGGCAAGATTCACAACCACATGACAATATTTTTGAGATAAGATAAATAATTATTATAAAAAAAAGCCAGCCCAGTCCCGCGCCAAAACCGCTCCGCATCTCCGCTAGTCGCGTTGCGTACGCCGCAACATTTCGCTGATATTGCGCACCACTTGCGCCTCATCGCCATAAATCGTGCTCATCGGTTGATGAATGTCTTCGAGGAGCTCTTGAGCACTTTCCCACGCTTCGCCGGCTATCATAACCTGAGCAAGACCGTATTTGTGGTACAGTATTGCCACGTCATTTTTGTATTGGTATTGTTTTTGGAGGTCGAGCAGTTCGATGCCGTATTTTGTGCAGTTTTCGAGGCTGGAAAAATGGAGAGTACTGTAGATCGCTGCGAGACCTGGAGAGGATTATTTTGAGACCAAACAAGCCCGAGCGCGGAAGCGCGAGTGTAGGCGGAAAATTCCGCGTAAGCGGCTCGAGCGGAGCGAGTGTATGTTCCTTTAAATCTAGCTGAATCGCTGCAAGACCCAAACTACAGTAACCGGTAGATCAAGAGTTCATTTTGATACCAAATGTTCCTAGCTACAGTACCCCATGTTCCTTTAGAGTACTGTAGGCGTATTTGGTATCAAAATGAAGCTCTTGATCTACCGGTTACTGTAGTTTGGGTCTCGAAGCGATTTTTTTGAATTTAAAGGGACATGATCTGTGTCTACAGTACTGGAAAAAATTGTTTATTTTCCTGATTTGCAAAAATTCTGAAACGTATTTTTTTCGAGTTGAAATATAGGCATTTTCCGAAATTTCTAGAGATTACTGTGGGTACAGTAGGCAGACATGTCCCTTTTTTTACTGTAAATCGCTTCGAGACCAAATGTTCCTTTAAATCCAGCTACAGTACCCCATGTTCCTTCAGAGTACTGTAGGCGTATTTGGTATCAAAATAAAGGGAATTTTCGGGAATACAGTACCCCATGTTCCTTTAAAACTTACTCTTGTCTAAAAAGTGCGGCTCCATACAAAAGTCTCAAGACTGGCAAACGCAGAACATTGTATTTGTGCAAAGTGTCGGCCATCAAATAAATCAGCTGAAAAAAAATGCTCAAAAAACCGTGCCGCAAAATTGCAAAAAGTGGGCGGAGCCTAGGCTTGTGGGGTTTCAAATTGAAGCGCTTTTCGAAACCATGCCGCAGATTGCAAATCCAGGCTTAGGGCCCCAAAAACCGTGCCGCAAAACCTCACTTTTTCGGCCAAATCGTTCCTGGTCTGAAGTGGAACATCATCCCTTTGCAGCGTGATTCGAGCATTTTTGGTGGCCTCTTCAGCGAGGCGACAAGTCTCATAATGATCAGGCGTCATGTCCCAGCCACATCTGGAAAATTTCAGATTTTTCCTTTTTTTTTTGGCTGAAAATCATCGATTTTAGGTGAAAAATCATGGTTTTTGGGCGATTTTCAGCCAAAAAACGTGGATTTTCAGCGATTTTCAGCAGCTTACAATTCACAATTCGCTCCCTGCGTGTTTTTCATCCATCCATCCACACAAATTCCACAATTCCACGCTTCCATTCGAGAATTTCGATTCTCGTCACAACAACCCTCGCAATTGCATTCGAATTGGTATTTTTGCTGGAAAAAGGGGCGTGGCTTAGAATTTGGCGCATTTTGAGATCAAATATGGGTATTTTCGGATGAACTTGGAAAAAACTGTGCCAGGCTTGCAAAAAAGGGGCGTGGCTTAGAATTTGGAACATTTTGAGACCGAATATGCTATATTTTTGGGGGAAGTGTGCCAGGCTTGCAAAAAAGGGGCGTGGCTTAGAATTTGGAACATTTTGAGACAGAATATGCTATATTTTTGGGGCAAAAGTGTGCCAGGCTTGCAAAAAAGGGGCGTGGCTTAGAATTTGGAGCATTTTGAGATCAAACATGGGTATTTTCGGTTAAACTTGGTAAAAAATGTGCGCGGCTTGCAAAAAAGGGGCGTGGCTTAGAATTTGGAGCATTTTGAGACCAAATATGCTATAAATTCGTTAGAAAAAACTGTGCCAGGATTGCAGAAAAGGGGCGTGGCTTAAAATTCCCCAAAATATATCAAATTTGGTTTCAAAATGACGCAAATTTTCGCGCGCCAAAAACTACCGTACCCTCAACATCTTCCGTCTCAACGCAATCGGTTGCAATTCATCAATATACGAATGACATGCCGTGTCGAAGTTCTTGGGCGGTTTGCGGCGATTTGTGGGCACAAGGCATGCGGCACGGTTGCGGAAGACGACGCGTGTCTGCGGTTTGCACGAGTGATTGACGCAGCTGAGTTTGATGCAAAGGGCGATGCCGATTGGTGAGCCGAACTCGTTTCCCACTGCGAAACTGTTGATCGCCACTTTTTTGAACATTCTGGAATTTATTGGGGTTTAATATGAGCAATCCCTGTGAAAATCTGATTTTCTCAAGATCTGGAAAATCTAGAAAAGATTTTAACCTGAAATTAATATTTCAAAAATAAAATCAGGAAATTCAAATTCTCATTTTTTCAAAAAAAAATGTTTTCACGTGAAATTTTAGCTCAAAAAACGTGCTCCAATTTTTTCTGCACAACAAAAATGAGCCTCCCCAAAAAAATTCAGTTTTATATTTGCCACATTTACAAAACCGCAATCTAAGCTAAGTTAGCCGAAATTCAAGAAAAATGCAACAACAACCACAAAAACCGCAAGACGCCGTGCAAAAACGAGGCTCTTCTCAGCTCCAGAAGGCACCAACCACCAATAATCCACCGGCCGCCAATAATTCGTCGAAGAGTGTTTATGCATCGGCGATTTCGCCGATGCCGCGCAGCTCGATGCAGAATCAGAAGCGAATGATGAAGACGGCTAGATCGCCGGTGGTTGAGGTGAGCAAAAATGCGGGAATTTTGATACCAAACAAGCCTACAGTACTTTGAAGGGACATGGGATACTGTAGCTTTTGGTATCAAAATGAAGCTCTTGATATGAGGATTACTGTAGTCCGGGTCCCGCAGCGATTAAAGGGAGATACACTCGCTCCGCTCGAGCCGCTTACGCGGAATTTTCCGCCTACACTCGCGCTTCCGCGCTCGCCAAAACCTAGGCTTGTGTGGTCTCAAAATGAAGCTCGCCGGGTCTCGAAGCGATCTACAGTACTCTAAAGGAACATAGGGTACTGTAGCTAGGGAGATTTGGTATCAAAATGAAGCTCTTTATCTACCGGTTACTGTATTTTAGGTCCCGCAACGATTCAGCTAAATTTAAAGGGAGATACACTCGCTCCGCTCGAGCCGCTTACGCGGAATTTTCCGCCTACACTCGCGCTTCCGCGCTCGCCAGAACCTAGGCTTGTGTGGTCTCAAAATGAAGCTCGCCGGGTCTCGAAGCGATCTACAGTACTCTAATGGAACATGGGGTACTGTAGCTAGGCACATTTGGTATCAAAATGAAGCTCTTGATATGAGGATTACTGTAGTTAGGGTCTAGTAGCGATCCAGCTAAATTAAAGGGAGATACATTCGATCGGAATGTTGATCTACACTTGCCAAGGCATTTTTAGGGTCAAAATGATTCTCTCCGGGTCTCGAAGCGATTCCTATGGTCTCGCGACGATTCAGATTACTGTAATCCTCTTTGAGACGAACAATCTACAGTAGATCACAAAGCTACAGTATTTTTGAATTTTCACTACAGCAATCAAGGGATCTTGGGCTTCAGAGGTCCTACAACGATCTAGGAGAACAACAGAAGTCTCAAGAAAAACTGAATAGGGTCTTGCAACGATTTAGACTACAGTAACTTCAAAAATCTAAATCTAGGGTCTTGAAACGATTGTAACTACAGTAATCTCTAGACATTCTAATTCAAAATGTAGATCAAAGAAGCCTCTAAGGTACAGTAGTCCAAAGGTGGAAAATAGGCCTAAAGGCCCGAAAAAAAAGCCTGAAACCAGGGAAAATTCAATTTCCAGGCACCGAATTCCCGCCCATCCGGCACAAATGTCAACGTAAACAGTCTCGCAAAAAACCGGCGTCGAATCGCCAAAAAAGCGGCGACAGTATCGTGCGAATCGCAAGAACTCTCGCCGCGCGACAATTTAAAGACGCAAGAGGAAGAAGTGTCGCTGGAAGAGGACGTGAGCGACACGCCCTTTACCAAGGACTCGAAAGATCAGCCGAAGGCGAAAAACTATTGGCAAACTGTCAAAATCGAGATAGCCAAGGAGGATTTGCCGAAGTTGTATGAGATGTTTATAGTGAATCGAAATATGATCTTGGAGGCGGTGTCGTTCGATGGAATGCCATATTTTATATTCGGTGATCAGATTCATGAAGTCAATGGGCATACGGTACATACGAGGAGGTATTTTGAAGCGATTTTGGCGAAAGTTGCCGCATCCGGACAGGTAATTGGCGGAGTGTAAATGCGGAGTGTCGTTTGAAATTTTCCTTACAGCCCCTGGTGATCACCGTGATTCGAGCGTGGAATGTGAGATGTGCCACGAAGGCTCAGCTCTCACTTTTGCCTACGGTGAATGAGCAATGCAGTTATTTTATAGTTCGTAAGTCGCAAGAACTTTCCGCCTGCGCGGAAGCTTGCGGAAAACACCTCTTTTTCAGGTGTCCACCGCTTCTTCAAAACGCAAGGCTTCGTCATGAAGTTGCACAAAAAGAAAATCAACGTGCAGGACGTGCGTCCGGGCTCAAATGGCTCATTCGCCTTCTTCCACAACGACCGCATTCTGGACGTGGAGAATTCGAACGCAATCAACGGAGTTTCCGGAAAACCGGACGTCAAGAGTCTGCAGAAGCTGTACAATAAGGGGATGAAGGAGCGCGGATATGTGGAGTGGGTTGCGGAATCCGCGCGCGCGGAAGCTTGCGGTCTGATCCAAAAATTTTGTTTCCAGCGTTTTCGTCAGTCGAGTCATTGGTGCTCACACTTCGCCGAATCCGAGTATTCAGGGAGAGCTCGAAAATGCGCCGCCCAAGACGACGCAAGGTCCGCAAGTGCTTACGGCGGATAAGAAGGGTGAGTACGGTAGAGAGAGCCGCTTACGCGGAAAAATCCGCCTACACTCGCGCTTCTGCGCTCGGACTTGTTTGGTCTCAAACGATAGCTCTTGATCTACCAGATACTGTACTTGTGGTCTCACATCGATCTACAGTAACCCAGGCTTGTCTGGTATCAAAATGAAGCTCTTGATCTACCGGATACTGTACTTGTGGTCTCGAAGCGAAATGACTACAGTAACCTAGGCTTATTTGGTTTCAAAAGATAGCTTTAGATCTGCTGAATACTGTACTCAAGGTCTTGAAGCGAAGTGACTACAGTAACCTAGCCTTGTTTAGTCTCAAACGATAGCTTTTGATCTACTGAATACTGTAGTTTGGGTCTCGCAGCGATCTACAATACTTTAAAGGAACCTAGTCTCAAAATTCCAGTCATCGACGCAATCGACTTGCCGCTCGAAAGTGACGCAGTGGAAATTGCGCTCCGCGAGCTCTACCGCATTCAAATCCTGACGCAAACAACGGAAGGCGGACCCGTCAAAGTGGTACGGTAACATGCGGAAAAACACCGCGCGCGGAAGAAAAACACAATTTTTGCAGCCACCAACCAAGAAGGGCAAATCGCTGCTACGTCCAATCGTAACAATTCCATCGCCGCAAGCGGCAGCTGCGGCGGCGCCCTCTGCGGAACCGACGCGGAGCATCTACAAGGAGCAACCGAATATGGAGAAGTCGTTGTATGAGCCGTACGCGAAGATGCCGCGAACGAAACGCGGAAAATGGACGAACAAGAAGAATGTGCGACAGTCGACGATTAATTTCAAGGTGAGCAAGTGCGCTCCAGTGAACCAGGGGTCGAAAAATGGCCTAGACGCCCAAAAAATGGCCTAGAAACTCGAAAAAATGGCCTAGAAACCCAAAAAATGGCGTAGAAACTCGAAAATTGGCCTGGAATCTCGAAATTTGGCCTAGAAACCCAAAAAAATGGCCTAGAAACCCAAAAAATGGCCTAGAAACTCGAAAATTGGCCTGGAAACTCGAAATTTGGCCTAGAAACCCAAATTCAGGCCTAGAAATCCAAATTCTGGCCTAGAAACCCAAATGTCGACCTCCCAACCTGAAATTAATTTCAGGAAACCACGGAAACGTCGAAAATTTTGTCGGATATTCCGGATGACGTGGAATTGAAGAAGGTTGATGCGCGGAGCGGAATTGTTGCGTATATTCGCAATGCGTTTGGTGGAGAGAAATAAACGGATTTTGCGGCATGGTTTTGTGGGCGGAGCCTAATTTTTCAATCAATTTGAGTGAAAATGAGCCAAATTTGAGCCTAAAATGAGCAAATGCGCTCTATTGAGAAATTGGCGGTTTTTTGAAAAATTCAAATTTTTAGAAAGGTTGCACCCATGGAAAATCCCATTTTTCATCAATATTAGGTCAAAAACCTGAATTTTCAGCCAGAAAATCACTTTTTCATCAATTTTTCATCAAATTGTGTAATTTTCAGTGAAAATTGGCCAAATTTGACCCTAAAAGTAGCAAATGCGCTCTATTGAGAATTTGCCGGTTTTTTGAAAAATTCAAATTTTTAGAAAGGTGGAAAATCCCACTTTTCATCAAATTTAGGTCAAAAATCATCATTTTCAGTCAAATTTCCCAATTTCCACCCATAAAATGCTCACTTTTCCACTTTTTCCTCCTCAATTCGTCCAGCTCCATCGAAAAACTCGCGAAATTCGCGCAAAAACGTCGCAGCTTCGCCGTTCGGATCTCCTTCCCGCTCCTGAAGTGTCAAAATCGAGCGATTTTCCGCGCCGGCGGATTTTCCGGAGCCCTGAACTTCGCCAAAGTCGCCATCGTTGACGAGGGCAATGAGACGAGCGACAAGACGGTGTCCGTCGTCGCAAATTGCGCTTTTCGCCTGGAAAAAAAGCAATTTTGCGGCATGGTTTTCGAAAAAGCTTCAATTTGATACCAAACAAGCCTAGGTTTCACCCATTTTTGCAATTTTGCGGCATGGTTTTCAAAAAGCTTCAATTTGATACCAAACAAGCCTAGGTTTCACCCATTTTTGCAATTTTGCGGCATGGTTTTCAAAAAGCTTCAATTTGATACCAAACAAGCCTAGGTTCCACCTATTTTTGCAATTTTGCGGCATGGTTTTCGAAAAAGCTTCAATTTGATACCAAGCAAGCCTGGGCTCCGCCCATTTTTGCAATTTTGCGGCATGGTTTGTTAAAATTTAAGATTTTTTGGGCGAAAAAAGAGATTTTCATGATTTTGAAGTGAAACTTGATGATTTTCAGCTTAAAATGAGCAATGTGAATCATTTTGAAGCTGAAAATCATGATTTCCAATAAATTTTCATGATTTTTTGATTTTCAGATGAAAATTCAAATTCTAGAGCTTAAAATGAGCAATTTTCATCAATTTTGGTTGAAATTCATCAATTTTTATGAATTTTAGCTTAAAATTCATCAATTTTCATGAATATTAGCTCAAAATTCATCATTTTCCACCCAAAACCCCCAAACTTTCACCTTAATCGCCTTGCACTCCCATTTGTGCTGTCGCCAATCCTTCTTCTGACAATCCGTCGAGCAATACACCAAACTTCTGCACGCCGCGCATTTTTTCAGCTCTGCCACGTCACGTCGAATACAGTAGTTGCAGTAGCTCAAGCATTGCTCTTTGGAAAGAGCTATGGCGTAGGCTGAGGGCTCAATGAGCTCCGGGATTAGAGCCATCCTGAAAACACCAGTTTCAGGTTGTGAAGGCATTTGAAAAATCTGAATTTCGCAATTTTCGAGGCACAGAAATGTGGGAGGAGCTTCGAGAACAAAATTAGAAGGATTTGTGGGCGGGGCTTATTTTCAGAAGGGTTTGAGAAAGCTGTGAGGCACAGTTTTAGGGGCGGAGCTTATTTTCAAAAGCCCTAATTCAAAATAAGCATTTTTCTGGTTTTCAGCCAGAATCTGAAATTTCCAAAAATTAATTTTAGGCTAATTTTGAAGCTCTTGAAATTCTCTACAAAATAAGCCTGAATTTGAGTTTTGAAAATTTCAGATTCTGGTGGAAAATCAGGGTTAGGCTGAAAAATCTGAAATTTTCAAAACTTAATTTTAGGCTTATTTTGAAGCTCTTGAAATTCTCTACAAAATGAGCCTAAAATTAATTTTTGAAAATTTCAGATTCTGGCTGAAAATCAGGGTTAAGTTGAAAAAGTCTGAAATTTCAAAATTCAAATTCAGGCTCAATTTGTAGAGAATTTCAAGAGCTTCAAAATGATCCCAAACTTGACTTTTGAAAATTCAGAGTTTTTCAGCTTAACCCAGATTTTCAACCATAATCTGAAATTTTCAAAAATTAATTTTAGGCTTATTTTGAAGCTCTTGAAATTCTCTACAAAATAAGCCTAAAACTTCTGGGCTTCTGAGTTTTAGCCCGGATTTTCAACTAAAATCTGAAATTTCCAAAACTTAATTTTAGGCTCATTTTAAAGCTCTAGAAATTATCTACAAAATGAGCCTAAAATCATTTTTTGAAAATTTTCAGATTCTGAATGAAAATCAGGGTTAAGCTGAAAAAATCTGAAATTTCCAAAAATTAAATTCAGGCGCAATTTTTAGAGAATTTCAAGAGCTTCAAAATGATCCCAAACTTGACTTTTGAAAATTCAGAGTTCTTCAGCTTAACCCAGATTTTCAACCATAATCTGAAATTTTCAAAAATTAACTTTAAGCTCATTTTATAGCTCTTGAAATTCTCTACAAAATAAGCCTAAAACTTCAGGGCTTCTGAGTTTTAGCCCGGATTTTCAACTAAAATCTGAAATTTCCAAAACTTAATTTTAGGCTCATTTTAAAGCTCTAGAAATTATCTACAAAATGAGCCTAAAATCATTTTTTGAAAATTTCAAATACTGGCTGAAAATCAGGCTTAAACCAGGCTGAAACTAAAAAAAATTGGTACAAATGAAAATGAAAGCGGGCGGCGCTTATAAAGGGTACCAAAAAGTGGGGGGCGGAGCCTAATTCAATCTTATTGTTCGCTGTGCAAAATTAGCATTTCATGTCAGAAGCCATCAATTTTCATCTGTACGAAAATTGAGTGGCAAGAAAGAAAGGGCCCCCGAAATTGGATTTTTTTCTGGTACGCCCACGGGTTTTTTGACAAGCTTCTCTATTCCATTTTCCCCATTTTTAATTGGCCAAAAACAAAACAACCAAGACGACAAAAAAGGGCGAAAAATCATAAAAATTTATGTGTTTTTGTGTGTGTGTGTGTGCTAATATGTTAATGCGGCCTACACATGCGAAAAAAATTGAGAATGGGAAAATGACACCACCACAAAAACCGTGCCGCAAAATTGCAGAAGGAACTACAGTAATCGGTAAAACCCATAGACGCATCAATTTTCAAAAATTCAAATTTTATTTTTAACCAATTTTTGAAACGTATTTTTTTCTGGAAAAAATCTAGAGTAGTCAAATTGGGTCTCAAAACTCTCCAAATTTAAAGGCGCATAAAACTACAGTAATCTTCTTAGGATTACTGTATTTATAACAATCCAAACAATAGACGGATCAATTTTCAAAAATTCAAATTTTATTTTTGACAAACTTTTGAAACGTATTTTTTTCTGGAAAAAATGTAGAGTAATCTATCTACAGTAGTCAAATTGGGTCTCAAAACGCTCCAAATTTAAAGGCGCATAAAACTACAGTAATCTTCTCAGGACTACTGTATTTATAACAATCCAAACCATAGACGGATCAATTTTCAAAAATTCAAATTTTATTAATTGCAAATTTTTGAAACGTATTTTTTTTTTTTGGAAAAAATTCAGAGTAATCCACCTACAGTAGTCAAATTGGGTCTCAAAACACTCAAAAATTTAAAGGCACATAAAACTACAGTAATCTTCTTAGGATTACTGTATTTATAACAATCCAAACAATAGACGCATCAATTTTCTAAAATTCAAATTTTATTTTTAACCAATTTTTGAAACGTATTTTTTTTTGGAAAAAAGCTAAAGTACCTACAGTAGTCAAATTGGGTCTCAAAACGCTCCAAATTTAAAGGCGCCTAGAACTACAGTAATCTTAGTAGTTTTATAGGATTACTGTATTTTTTTGGAAAAATTAGAGTATTCAGATTCAAATTGAAGCAATTTTCTGTTCAAAAACCATGCCGCAAAATTGCAAGCCACGCCCACAAAAATGTGTGCCCAAAATACAGAAAACTATGATTTTTGAACCAAAAATTAATCAAACTGAAATGTTCTTGAAGTATACTAGGAACTAGGGGGAAAATCCGGATTATTTTTTTGAAAAAAAAATTATGACGAAATTTGTAGTTTTAGAATAAAGCAGGAGTTAGAAAAAGTCTAGTTTAATATGAGCAATTTCAGGTCAAAAACAGGTATAAAATGAGCAATCAACTCAATTTTTAACGAAAAAAAAAATCCAAAAATGAGAAATACTTTAGAACAACAGCGAAAAAAAATAGTGAAAAAATCCAAGTGATAAAATAAAGTTAACAGAAAGTTAGTGAAGTCCAATTGAGGTCCACAATTTGTTCAAAAATCCCTCGTTTTGAGCCTGATTTGGGCCGTTTCGAGTAGCGTTTTCGGCCTGAAAAATGGGGCTTTTTAGGTGTAATTTCGGGCCCGAAAAAACTCACATTATAGGCTGCCAATGGACGCATTCCAGCTGCTGAGCGAACCGATAATCGAGAAGAACTGCAAGAGAAAAATCGATAATTTTTGTTTTGTTTATTTTTTGGAAAAAAATATGTATTAGGTTACAAAATTTTCGGGAAGCCACGCCCACTTTTTGCAAGTTTGCGGCATGGTTTTTTGAGGGCTTTAATTTGAAACCAAACAAGCCTAGGCCCCGCCCATTTTCGCAATTTTGCGGCATGCTTTTTGAAAAGCTTCAATTTGAAACCAAACAATGCTAGGCTCCGCCCCTTTTTGCAGTTTTGCGGCATAGTTTCTCATCAAAAATGTGTATTTTCTAGGCTCAAAAACCATGCGGCAAAATTGCAAAAGTAGGCGGAGCCTAAGCTTGTTTGGTATCAGATTAAAGCTCTCAAAAACCATGCGGCAAAATTGCAAAAAATAGGCGGGGCCTAGGCTTATTTGGTATCAAATTAAAGCTCTCAAAAACCATGCGGCAAAATTGCAAAAATGGGCGGGGACCTGTGGTTTTTTAATATCAAAATATTCCAAAACATATTGTTCAAAGAACATTTTTTGAAACATAATTTTTCGGGGTTGAATTTTGAACTGAAAAATTTGGAAAATTCGACGTATCAGGGTCAAAAATCATCAATTTTCAAGATTTTCAGGTTTAAATTTCAAATTTTCAGCATTTTCAGCCTGAAATTAATGGTTTCCGGCTGTTAAATGTCTCAAGTTTTTTAAAGACCAAAAAAAGAATATCAATCGTTCAAAAAAAATTTTCGAGAATTTCAAATTTTTTTGAAACGTAATATTTCGGGGTTCAATTTTCTGGGTCAAAATTAATCAATTTTCAAGATTTTTGATTCAAAAATCGCCAATTTTCACGATTTTCAGCCTGAAATTCATCAATTTTCACTCAAATTTTCAGCATTTTCAGCCAAACTCACTTCAACGACGTGTCAAATTGCGACGCATTCAAAAATGCACTTCTGTTCGCGGCATGCGGAACTCCCGTCAAATTTTCCGGCTCCTCCTCTTCTTGTTGTTCAATTATCGATTGATGATGATGCATGGCCGGGGACGAGGAGAACGACGCGTTTTCTAGGCCATTCAAATTTAGGCCAGCGCTACGTAAAACTATTCCCGATGCGGTTCCGTTGATGATTTCCTGGAAAAATGGGGATTTTGGATTTCGGAGAGCACAGAAAAGTGGGCGGAGCTTCTTATAGGTTAAAATGAGCATTTTTGTGCTGAAAATCATGATTTTCATGAATTTTAGGTTAAATGAGCAATTTTAGGTCATTTCTGAGCTGAAAATCATGATTTTCATGAATTTTAGCTTCAATGAGCAATTTTTACTAATTTTTTTTCAAACTTAGGTGAAAAAGAGCAATTTTGGAGAATTTTTGAGCTGAAAATCGTGATTTTCATGAATTTTAGGTTAAATGAGCAATTTTAGATGATTTTTGATGAACTTGAGCAAAAATGAGCAATTTTAGGTCATTTTTAAGCTGAAAAACGGGATTTTTGATAAGTTTAGGTCAAAATGAGCTATTTCGGGTCATTTTTGGCCAATTTTCATGTTTTTTGGCTCATTTTCAACCAAAAATCAATATTTCTGGCTGATTTTCATCAAAAATTTGATCAGGAAAGAAAATACAAGGTTTTTGGTTTGGGATAAAGCTTCGGAATGCTTTTTAAGGCAAAAAGAACAATTTTAGGTCATTTCTGGCCAATTTTCATGTTTTTCGGCTCATTTTGAGTCATTTTCAACCGAAAATCAATATTTCTGGCTAATTTTCATCAAAAAATTCGAAAAATATACCTTACAACTGCACGGCATCACCCCAATCATCGCGTTCTGATCAAAAAGCGTCGCATTTCGGCTGAGAGCTTGATGGGCGTGTGTGACACACGAATATCGGATGTGAATCCAATTTTTGTTGGGCGGCGCCTGATGGCTGACAACTTGTCCGTGGCGCGAAAATAAATTCAAAATTGCCGGGATTTGCGCCGCGGATTGGAATCCGAATACGGTAACCCAAGTGTCGGCTGTGTCTTGTGGGGAATTTTGGAAGATTTGTTGGGTTGTTGAGGAGAAAGTTGTTGTGTTTGGGTCTTGAGACGATTCTTGGGTTACTGTAGTTGATACGGTAGGCAATGGAACTGGAAAAAGGAAATTTATCGATGTTTTAGCTAGAAAACTTGAAGTTTTGCTAAACTTTGTAGTTTTCTATGAAATTTAACTGAAAATAGTCTGAAAATGCTGAAAATTGACTGAAAATTCAAGTTTTTCATGAGAAATAATGATGTTTAGCTAGAAAATCGGAATTTCTTCAAATTTTAGCTAAAAATTCGAGTTTTCTAGCTAAAAATGGAGATTACCATGGAAAACTTGGATTTTCAGCCAGAAATTCAGCTTCTTCACGATTATCAGCACAATTTACTTGTTTAAAAGCTGAAAGTCCGAGTTCTTCGCGAAAATTTGCCTTTTCAGCTAAAAAATTCAGCTTCTTCGCCATTTTAAGCACATTTCATTTGATTTTCCGGTAGATTTTATGGAAAAGATGATTTTTAGCTGAAAATCTGCATTTTCAGCCAGAAATTCGAGTTTTCCAGCTAGAAAGCGAGATTTTCAGCTACATTTTCGATTTTCAGCCAAAACTGAAGGATTTCTTCAAATTTCAGCTAAAATTCGAGTTTTCCAGCTAGAAATCGAGATTTTCAGTCATTTTTTTGATTTTCAGACAAATTTTCATTGTTTCTTCGATTTTCAGGCAAAACTGAATATTTTCTTCGAATTTCAGCTGAAAATTCGAGTTTTCTAGCTGAAAATCCGGATTTTCAGTCAATTTTTTGCATTTTCAGACGAATTTTCATTGTTTCTTCGAATTTCAGCTGAAAATTCGAGTTTTCCAGCTAGAAATCGAGATTTTCAGCAACATTTTCGATTTTCAGACAAATTGTCATCGTTTCTTCGATTTTCACGCAAAACTGAAGGTTTTCTTCAGATTTTTGCTGAAAATTCGAGTTTTTTTAATTTAAAATGCAGATTTTTATTGAAAACTTGAACTTTCAACTATTTTTCATCATTTTTTAGATTTACAGCTGAAAAATCAAGTTTTCCAGCTAAAAAACCAGATTTTCAGCGAAATGTTCGATTTTCAGACAAATTTCCAGCTTCCCACCCCAAAAAACCTCACCATTTCTTTGCGCCAGTGGCGAGCTAACATGTCCGCTTCCTCTTGCAGCAAAAGTCGCTCTGCGCGACAACTTTTTCGCCGGCTCCAATTGATCGCGCAGCGAACGCAACGGTGGTGCAGCAGCACCAGCGGCAGCTTGCGGAAAGCCTGCCGCAACTTTTGCCACCTCATTTTGTTGTGTTGGCGTCGCGGAAGCCGCGTTTTTCTGTTGAACTAAGGCTGGCGACCAATGCACGGATTTTGACGCGTGTTGCGTTGCGGCAGGTGACGCAAAAATGTCCGCGGAAGGTGCGGAAGCTCCGAAACTAGAGTTTAGTTGAGTAGGAGCCATGCTTTTCCGCTTTCCGCCTCCAAAAAGATATGCGGGAGTGGATTGATCGATTGGTTCGCCGATTGAGGAGATTTGCGTGAAATCCAACTCTGACGGTTGATTTTCGCGTGAAAATGAGGAGGAGAACATCTGAAATCTGAAATATTACCTGTTTGAAACTTCTTCCGAGCTCCGGAAACGCGGAAAATACAAGAGCGCGCGCGGAAAAACGAGAAAAATGGGAATTCGAATTTGTTCGTGGCGGTGTTTGCACACACTGTTGCGTACCTTGGCATTTTATTTGACGCGCAGTTATTTTTATTTTTTTCGAGGGGAAAACGGTTTTTCGTGGTTTTGCAGCTGAAAATTGGAAAAAAACTGAAATTTTCATCTCAAAATCAATAATTTTTACACAAAATTCACAAAAATTGTCAAATTTAAGCGGCCACTTGTTTTTCGGGATGATTTAGTGAATTTCGCAAGTGTCGAATTCGTGACTTCAAAATATCCCAGTCAAAATAGCATCCGGTCAAAGTTCGTGATTTTCCGGGCGCGTTGCGGAACGCGTCGCGTGTGTGCAGCAGACGTTTGTTGGCCCAGAGTACGGTGTCGCCTGGAAGATAATTTGTGACGTGGACTATTTTTGGGCGGGAAATTTGAATTTTTCAAAATTTGGGTGTTGAAAAACTGCGTGGATTTTTGGCGCGAAAATTGAATATTCAAAAAAAAATCATCGCCACGTGAATTCAAAGCAAAAATTTGAATTTTCGAATTTACCGCCTGAATTTTGCAACGTGGAGTTTTTGGCGCGAAAATTGAATTTTGAAATTTTCAGAAAAAAATGTTGACACGTGGATTTTTTTGCTAAAAAACTCAAAATTTTGAATTTGAAAAATCAGGCGCTAAAATTTTAAAAATTTTAAATTATTAAAATTTCCTGCCTGAATTTTGCCACGTGTATTTTTGGCGCGAAAAAATATCAGGCGCTAAAATAAAAAAAAATTGAATTTATTAAAATTTGGCGCCAAGTTTTTCCACGTGGATTTTTTGGTGCGAAAATTGAATTTTCAAATTTTCAACACCCCGTTTTTGGCGTCAAAGATCAATATTTCAAATTTTTGGCTCAAAAATTCAAAAATTTTGAATTTTCTACTTTTGGCGCCAAACATTGCCACGTGTATTTTTCGACGCGAAATTCAAAATTTCAAAAATCTCACCATCATCCAACGCAAACTTCAACACATTTCGCTCCTGATAACAATACTCTGTGAAAATCTTCATCGCCCGATAGATCTCCTGAATCTTGTCCGGTTCACAATCATAAAACCAACTCCTCATCGCATTTCCAAACTGTATCTCGCAAACTTCGCCCAGCTCATTAAGCCTAATCACTTTATGCCGTGCACACATATCATAATCGAAACGTTGCTCCGCAATTCCGTTTTGACCTTCATGAACATCATAGCCCCGCTCAATGTATTCCATGGAATATTTCGTGAGCACTTCGAAGACGTCCGGTTTTTCCGCGCGCAGCTGTTGTGCCACGTGGAATCCGTCGACGAACAGCGAGTTGCCGCCGGTTTCCGCGCGCTGGAGCATGTGAAGAAGCTGGAGTTGCGGAGGGTTTGCGAGCGATGGGAAATCGGTGTGAAAGGGGAGACTGCCATTGGAAGCGTAGGCCATGTTGGAAGCATCGGATTTGGTGGCAACTTCGAAGACTGTGCTGGAAAATTTAAAGGAACATGGGGTACTGTAGCTGGATTTAAAGGAACCTAGGCTTGTTCGGTATCAAAATAAAGCTCTTAATCGACCGGTTACTGTAATTAGGGTCCCGCAGCGATACAGCTAGATTTAAAGGAAAATACACTCGCTCCGCTCGGCCGCTTACGCGGAATTTTCCGCTCACACTCGCGCTAGGCTTGTTTAGACTCAAAATAATTTTCTCCGGGTCCCGAAGCGATCTACAGTACTCCAAAGGAACATGGGGTACTGTAGTTGGATTTGAAGGAACCTAGGCTTGTTTAGTATCAAATTGAAGCTCTTGATCTACTGGTTACTGTACATAGGGTCTCGCAGCAATTCAGCTAGATTCAAAGGGACATACACTCGCTCCGCTCGGCCGCTTAGGCGGAATTTTCCGCCTACACTCGCGCTTCGCTGGAACCTAGGCTTTTTTGGTCTCAAAATAATCCTCTCCGGGTCTCACAGCGATCTACAGTACTTTAAAGGAACATGGGAAACTGTAGCTAGATTTAAAGGCGCATATCTTACTGTACCTACCCTAATTGACATGCATTTTTTGGTTTTGTTGAAGAAAAAATATTATTCAAAATATAAGGTTGTTATTTTCTTTAAGCCAAAATCTACAATTGCGACAAGTTGAAATTGAAAATCTTTTTATTCCAACGTTTCGACGTATAACGTCATCATCAGGGATAATACTGAAAAAATAAAATGGGTTATTTACAATGTATAAGTTACAAATTTTTGAAATAAACTTAAAAAACCAAAAATCTCGAAAAACCAACAAAAAATAAAATAAACCTGCTAAAGTGCGTCGAGGATTGGCTATGGGGAGCCGCCTTGCACCAATGTTAGCAGTTATTTACATGGATTCTATTGAATTTCCAGCTCGTAGTCTTTCCAATATCTGTTTCTATCGTTACATTGACGATATAATTGTTCTGGCTGCGTCAAAGGAGGATTTGAATGAGATTTTCCAATGTCTCAATTCACAATCCAACTTCATAAAACTAACAAGGGAAGAGCCTACCAATGGTTGGCTTCCTTTCCTAAATTTCGAATTACGCATCCAGGACAATTCTATTGTTCATCGCTGGTATCGGAAACCAAGTAGTAAGAATTTGCTGGTACGGTTTGATTCTTTTCATCCCATCAAACAAAAGTCGAATATCGTAGTCAATACGATTCGAACAGCAAAATCTTGCTCTACTTCGGATAATAAGTCCTATTCAGAAAATTTGGCGTTAAGAGTATTGGAGAAAAACGGATACAATATTTCTAAACAAAAATCTAATAGACCTTTCTATCAAAAACGAGTATCCGTTCAAACCAATGTAGATCATTGTATTATGACTATTCCTTTCATGGGTGATATGGTCACGAAACGGATTCGGAACATTCTGAAAGAATTTGAACTGGATACACAAGTGGTTGAACTCAAAGGGAGGTCACTTAAAGATATCTTGGTCAAAAACAGATGTTTCGAATCTACCTGCAATCATCGTGACTGTAGAATCTGTGAAAAATTCGGAATAGGAAAATGTAATGTGAAAGGCGTAATTTATAAAATCACATGTGACTGCGGGGAATTTTATATTGGAGAAACAGGCCGACCTTTTGAGTCTAGGTTTGCGGAACACAGACGTGCCTGCAATAAACCTATGACTAAGTCTTATAGTTCGAGTGTTTGGGCAAAACATTCTAAGGAAAAACATGGTGGAGAGGCTTTGGTGATTGATGTTGATATTCTGGAAGTCGAACGCAATACTAATATTCGGAAGATCAGAGAAGGGGTTTTGATAAAACATCACAATCCTTCATTAAACAATAAAGAGGAACTCTCGGATATGATCACAAGGCTTGGAACAATCCAAATACCAAATTCTTTCTAACTAACATCAATAAAACACAAATTCTCATCTAAATTCATTTCAATTTCAATTTCACAATAAAAAAACAAATCAAAAGAATAAAAATTCTCCTAAAGTACTAACAACACTCCGCCTACACGCACTTTAGCAGGTTTATTTTATTTTATTTTTTGTTGGTTTTTCGAGATTTTTGGTTTTTTAAGTTTATTTCAAAAATTTGTAACTTATACATTGTAAATAACCCATTTTATTTTTTCAGTATTATCCCTGATGATGACGTTATACGTCGAAACGTTGGAATAAAAAGATTTTCAATTTCAACTTGTCGCAATTGTAGATTTTGGCTTAAAGAAAATAACAACCTTATATTTTGAATTCAACTAACAATGCGATTGATTAACTTGTTCCCACTCAAATTTACGAAAAAATATTAGAAATAATTTTTTTTTTTGAAAATTTATGATTTTTTTTTGGAAAACTAGGTCACGTGAAAATGTTTTTTTTTCGCGTCAAAACCTACAGTAACCCTGTCATTTTTTATATCAAAAAATTCCCCAAAGCGATCTACAGTACTCTGGGTACTGTAGCTAGATTTAATGGGACATTTTGGTATCAAAATGAAGCTCTTGATCTACCGTACTCACCCAAAATGCGTCCTTTTGATCATTCCAATCCTCTCGCCAATCGCCTCAACCGCTCCGCGTCTTCCCTTTTTTGCGCCGCTCAACACCGCAATTCCGTCGCGGCAAACTGCCGCAAGGAAATCATGAGCAATGCGGTCATCGCGCAAAAACCCGCCATGCTCAAATCGCTGCAAGCTCCCCAACTTTTCCGCGCCCCACGTCTCGCCGGGCGCCAAATAGACGCGTCGACGAGCGGCGCGGCTTTCCGCGTTGCTTGGGTCGCGTAAGCGGAGCCACGCGGAAGGATAGGTGGAGATGAGCTCTTGGGAAGTCCATTGGATGTTGAGGGTGTCGGATTCAGAATCCAGCCAGATTTTCTGGGCGGTCTGTTCGACGTCGAATGTGTTCATGGTGAGATTTCGGGCGGTCATGGCGGGAGTTTGGGTGTAGGTAGAAGGATCGGGGGAAGTATCGCGAAGCCAGATCAATGGGAAGGTGCTCACACGTCCTGCAAAAATGAGGGGTACTGTAAATTTAAAGGGACAGCATGAATCTACCCTATAATGTTTGGACTCAAAATGATCCTCTCCGGGTCCCGCAGCAATCTACAGTACCTTCAAGGAACATGGGGTACTGTAGCTAGATTTAAAGGGACATACACTCGCTCCGCTCGAGCCGCTCACGCGGCATTTTCCGCCTACGCTCGCGCTTACGCGCTCGAGGACTCAAAATAACCCTCTCCGGGTCTTGCAGCGATCTACAGTACTCTAAAGGATTATGGGGTACTGTAGCTAGATTTAAAGGGACATACACTCGCTCCGCTCGAGCCGCTTACGCGGAATTTTCAGCCTACACTCGCGCTTACGCGCTCGAGGCTTCTTTAGACTCTTCTCCGGGTCTCACGGCGATCTACAGTACCCCTAGGCTTGTTCAGACTCAAAATAATCCTCTCCGGGTCTCGCAGCGATCTACAGTACTCTAGGTTACTGTAGCTATATTTAAAAGAACGTTCATTCCCAAAAATTTTACCGCCGAAAATACGTTTCAATTATGTAGCTAATATTTTGGACCGAAATTGATTTTAGTATTTTTGTCTCTAACGATACATAATCCTCTCTGGGTCTCGCAGCGATCTACAGTACTTTAAAGGAACATGGGATACTGTAGCTAGATTTAAAGGAACATACCGTCATTCCACGTCACTTTCACCAAACGATCCTTCGTCTCTTGCACATTTACAAGTTGTCTAGAAGAGGCGAAAAATCTTCTGAAAATTTAATTTTCTGGAATTTTTTTTTTCAGAGATTCAGAATTTGGAAATCAACTGACCTGCTAACAAACTTTGAAAGCATTTTTTTTTGAAAAAAAATTTTTAGACGCGGAAAATCAAATGAATAAAGTGTAGCGTGCAAAAAACAAATAGGCGAGAGAGTGCGATAAGGGGAGACGCAGAGATAAAAAAAATGATTGGACTTTGATACATCATTTTGGGAAGTTTTGCTTTGGGGAAAGCAGCGATCTACAGTACTTTAAAGGAATATGGGGTACTGTAGCTACATAGAGTTAAAGGGACATAGGCTTATTTGGGATCAAAATGAAGTGCTTTATCAAAGGCTTACTGTAATTTAGGTCCCGCAGCGATTCTGCTAGATTTAAAGGGACATACACTCGCTCCGCTCGAGCCGCTTACGCGGAATTTTCCGCCTACACTCGCGCTTCCGCGCTCGAGGCTTGTTTAGACTCAAAATGTCCCTCTCAGGGTCCCGTAGCGATCTACAGTACTTTAAAGGAGCATGGGGTACTGTAGCGGGATTTAAAGGTGCCTGCGTCGAGATTTTTGGAATTTTCTGGATAGGGAAAATTTGACAGGATTTTTGACAGCCTCAGAATTTTAACCCTAAAACCTACTGCATTCTTGTTGTCAAAAATCACATCACTCAAATCCTACTCAAAAATTCCTGATGTCAAAAATCCTGACATATTTCTCCTACCTCAACATATTTGGTGTCCAAAAACCGCAAATTTTCCGATGCGTCAAAAATCGCACCATATTTTCCCTACCCAAAAAATTTTTCTGCAAGAACTCATCACTTTTTTTTGTGCCCAGCTGTTTTCCAGATGTGTTATTTTTGCGGCCGAGGCAAAAAACTTAGGCCACGCCCACTTTTTTCTAGGCCACGCCCCTTTTCTCATGCTTCATCTTTTTGTGTGTGTGAGCTATTCATTTTTTCCCTCGTTTTTTTGCTTTCGCACCAAAAACTTTAAAAAATGTGTCTGATTTTTCTGAAAATTCTGATATTCTTGAATTTTTGCGCTAAAAATTACCACGTGGCAAAAGCACAAACTTCTAACGACTATATCAATTTTGATTATGACGAAGGCGATTGGAAAATCGACGAAGTTAGCCGAATTCTCAAGTCTCATGGGAATTATAGCAAAAATGACTATCCGATGATGGATCGAGGTGAGATTTTTGGGAAAAATGGGAAAAAATCCGATTCTCCTTGTGATTACGGTCATTTTGACACCCATATTTCCTATGTTCCTTTAAATTTTCTTAAAGGCGCATAGGAGGGTCTCGCCACGATCTCCCTTTAAACCCAACATTTTCCCAAAGAAAAACATACCATTAGATTTAGAATTCTGAGATCTACAAGATGCACTAGATCTCGCAGCGAAACAAGCTTTTTGGGAAGAAAAAGTGACCCCCTCCCTTTAAGGTCTGACAGTTTTTACTCTAGACACATGATAAATTTTGCCACGTGGCAATTTTCGCGCTTTAGAACTCTAAGAATCTTTCACTCCAAACCAATAGCATCATTTTGACACCCATATTGCCTATGTTCCTTTAAATTTTCTTAAAGGCACATAGAAGGGTCTCGCAACGATCTCCCTTTAAATTCAATATTTTCTGAGAGAAAAATATACCATTTTGCTCAGAATTCCGAGCTCTACAAGATGCACTAGGTCTCGCAGCGAAATCTTGATTTTTTGGAAAAAAGGTGACCCCCCCCCCCTTTATGGGTCTCGTCACGATCTCCCTTTAAATCCCATATTTTCCCAGAGAAAAATATACCATTTTGTGCAGAATTTTGAGCTTTACAAGATTATCTGGGTCTCGAAGCATAAATCTGACATTTGGGGTATTTAGGGTAACTTCCTTGTGTGCCCTATAATTACAGTATCCTCTTTATTTTCCAGAATCAAGAAGAAAAAGTGCTGGCCATTTTTCTTTCTCCGTGAATAATTGACTCAATTTAAGTGAGTAAGAAGGAAAAAACGGGAAAAAAGTAGCACTCTTCCTTTTTTTCTTCAGCTTCTTCTAACTAATTTCCTCGCATTTTTTGCTGTGCGAGCCTAACAACACAATAAAAAAAGGAGATGAGCCAGGAAATTTGATTAATATTATATAAGTAAGAAAGGAATGCGCAATAAGTCGAGCGAAAGGAAATTTGATTATGTGAGAGGTGTTCCTTTAATCAAGGGGTACTGTGGATTGAGTTATCCCAAAATTCAGATTTCGCTTCGAGACCTAGCGCATCTTGTAGAGCTCGAAATTCTGAATCTAATGGTATATTTTTATTTGGAAAATTTCATATTTTAAAGGGAGATCGTGACGAGACCCTCTCATGCGCCTTTAAAACTTTTTCACCTTTTCTCCCAAAAATCATGCTTTCGCTGCGAGACCTAGTGCATCTTGTAGAGCTCGAAATTCTGAATCAAATGGTATATTTTTCTCTTGTAAATTTTGGATTCTAATCGTGACGAGACCCTCCCTGTGCCTTTAAAAATCTAACTTTTACCCTGAGCAATATGGGTGTCAAAAACACCGTATTTTCCACCACAAAACTACAAAGTCTATCAAAATTCCTCAAAATTTCTTCTCAAAAATCGCCCCAGGGGAATATATGTTGTATTGTGTGTCCTATCAATCCACAAAATGTCAAAAGAGGAACAAAATTTTTTGAAAAAAAAATTTTTTGGTGCTGGGATTCTCCACCATACATACACCAATGAGCATTTTCAGCAAAAAAAAGCTGAAAAAATTTTTTTCGTCTGTTCACGGCTCAACGCGTTTGGGGAATCCTATCCGAGCTAGTTTTTTTGTCAGGCGCCAAAAAAACTCAAAAAAAATTTTTTTTTTTTGAGTTGAGTTGCGCGCGAACAAAAAACACAAAGGAGACAATTATTATAGCCATTTTTGGGACCAAAAATTGTCGGAATTTTTGAGGAAAGGGAAGCTGTGTAGTTCTCGAGGAGAATCCGGAAAAATTATCGATTTTTTGAAAATTTGAAAAACATCAGATTTGGCGGGAAAAATCCTTGTGGCATAGATTTTTTGAAAATTTCAAAAACTCAATTTTGGCGCTTAAAATCCAAGTGGCAGAATTTTTTTTTGAAAATTCAGATTTTTCCGCTTAAAAATGTGTGTAGTTCTCGAGGAGAAGTGAAAATTATCAACAAAAAAAAATTTTTTTTTTGCAGATAAACCCACAAATGTGACAATACAAATGTACGTGGAGGGAATGTCGTCGTTTCGCGCGCAAACTATGGTAGGTTGAATTTTCGGCGCCAAAATTTGATCTACCGTATTTTTTGGCGCCCAAAATAGACCTTTTGTTTTTCAAAAAAAAAGTTCACACCTCAAAAATCCGGGGATTTTTGAGCAGAATAATTATCGGACCTTGAAAAAATGTTCTACTTTTTTTGTTTCCTGGACAAAAAAAAAACTTTTTTCCTTGTACCCAAGTTTTCATGAATTATTCAAAAGGCACAGAAAATAATTATTTAGGGGACCTTTTTTTTCTCAAAAAAAAAAATTGTTTTTTTTTTGATAATTTTATTACATCGTAATAAAGATGACAGATGCTAGTCTCCAAGAAAAAATTTTAAAATTTTTGAAAAATGTTTCGTCGGCGAGATAATTGAAATGATTGACAAGTGACAAAAAATTTGTCTGCGGCGGGATTTTTTTCAAGGAAAAAATCGTTTCAGTGGTCCTTAGGGGTTGAATTTAAGAAAAATTCATAGAATTTCGCGTCAGGACCCAGAAAATCCAAAAATCTAGGTGCTCACGGTCATTTTGACATCCATATTCCCTAGGTTAGGAAAAAAAAATTAAAGGCGCATAGAAGGGTCTCACCACGATCTCCCTTTAAATTTCAGATTTTTACATCGTGAAATATACTGTTGAAATCAGAATTCTGAGCTCTATAAAATGCACTAGGTCTCGTAGCGAAATTTCGAATTTTGGGAGAAAAGGTGACCCCCCCTCCCTTTAAGGGTCCCACCACGATCTCCCTTTAGGCTCAAAAGTTTCGAGAGAAAAATATACCATTTTAATCAGAATTCTGAGCTCTACAAGATGCACTAGGTCTCGAAGCGAAATCATGATTTTTGGAAAAAAAGGTGACCCCCCTCACTTAAGGGTCATACCTCGATGTCCCTTTAAATTCCAGGATTTCATATCGTGGGGTATACCGTAAGATTCAGAATTTAGAGCTCTACAAGATGTACTAGGTCTCGGAGCGAAGTTCTGAAATTTTCTGAAAAGTGACCCAACCCCCTTAAGGGTCTCACCACGATGTCCCTTTAACCTCAAAAGTTCCGAGAGAAATTTATACCATTCAAATCAGAATTCTGAGCTCTACAACATCCAAAATCAAAAAAAATTCCAGGATTTCCAACTGGACATCTACTTCCAAGAAATGTGGGACGACCCTCGCCTACGTCACAACAAAACCAAGCGAATTCTAGTCAAAGATCCGAAAATCTTTGCACTTCTCTGGCATCCCGATCTATATTTCGCAAATGCTCGCACAGCCAGTTTTCACGACGTGACCCAGCCCAATTTTTTGGTATGGATTTATCCGAATGGCAGTGTCTGGTATGATTGTAGGATTTCGTTGACCGTTTTGTGTATGCAAGATTTGTCGAGATATCCGCTAGATACTCAGAATTGCGGGCTACGGATTTTGAGTTGTGAGTTTTTTGGTGAATTTCATGATCTTTAGGTGATTCCGGTCAGTTTGACACCCATAACGCCTTGGTTTCTTGAAAAAAATTTTAAAGGCACATGGGAGGGTCCCGCCACGATCTCCATTAAAACCGAATAGATTCCCAGAGAAAAATACACCGTTCGACGCAGAATTTTGAGCTCTACAAGATGAGCTAAGTCTTGTGATGAAATTCGAAAATTTGCGAGAAAAGATGACCCCCCTCGCTAATGGGTCCCGCCACGATCTCCCTTCAAACCAAACAATTTCCCAGAGAAAAATATACCATTCGATCCAGAATTCTGAGCTCTACAAGATGAATTAGGTCTTGAAGAAACCCCCCTCTCTCTTCAAAAGTTTTCCGATTAAAATCGCATCATCTAATCCTAATTTCCAGACGCCTACGACATCGACGAACTGATCATAAATTGGGCTGCGCCAGACAAAGACGCAGTCGTAGTCAACAAGAACATCCGAATGCCCGATATGAAGCTGATCGCCCAGAAGATCTACACAAAGAACGACACTTATGCTACAGGTAGGTGTTGATGATTCGAATCAGAATTCGAAATTTCTTGATTTGGGGAGGAAATTTAATGTGATTTGATTTGTGCACTATAAAATGCGTGGCGAATTTGGAAGAAATATTATTTTTAACCATGAAGTTCCTGGTGTTGGTTTCGATTGTCAGCGGATTGTCAGCACTCAATGTGACAACAACTCCGGAAGCCCCGAGAAATATCAGCAGAAAGGCTGTGAATCTAGCTGGAAACCTGTCATCTACCCTACCACCAAGGAGTTCGGGAGCTTCACAGAATGTTAGCAGAAAGACTCGAGCTGGAAACCTGTCTTCCACTCTTCCACCAAGAAGTTCGGGAGCTCCGAGAAATGTCAGCCGAGCTAGAAACCTATCATCTACCCTACCACCAAGAACTCCTGGAGCTCCGAGAAATGTCAGCCGAGCTGGAAACCTGTCTTCAACTCTACCCCCAGCTTCAGGAGCCCCAAGAAATGTCAGCAGAAACACTCGAGCTGGAAACCTATCATCTACCCTACCACCAAGAACTCCTGGAGCTCCGAGAAATGTCAGCCGAGCTGGAAACCTATCATCTACCCTACCACCAAGAACTCCTGGAGCTCCGAGAAATGTCAGCCGAGCTGGAAACCTATCATCTACCCTACCACCAAGAAGTTCGGGAGCTCCGAGAAATGTCAGCCGAGCTGGAAACCTATCATCAACTCTACCCCCAGCTTCTGGAGCTCCGAGGAAAGTCAGCAGAAAGTCCGTCGATCTTTCGAGTGCCAGCACTGAATCTCCAATATCTGCGTCTTCATTCGCATCAGTTCTCAGCGGAATCGCTTCAAACTTGGTAGAAAGTAGCTCAGCTTCATCAATCGTCAAGCAAATCGCACAAACTCAAAGCGGATCTTCGCCAGTCCCATCAGACAGAACAATTGTCAACAGTTTACTCGAATTCCTCCGCAAATCTGCTTCCAGCCGTCGGACTGCTGCATCTACCGTGTTCACCACCGAAAATCCCAGCACAGCTAAATAATTTGTGGAAGAGTAATATTTTAATAAATGATTTCGAGAAAATTGGGTGAAATTTAAATTCGGCTTGGATCTAGGCTTGGGCTTGGGCCTGTTAGGCTCGTTTTGGACCTGGACTGGGGCATTTTAGGCTCGAACATCTTACAAGGCTTTTTAAGCTCTAAGAGTTTAGGCATAGACTTGTCAGGCTGGTTAGGCCTGCAGGTAAAAACTTTGCTAAGCCTGAGCTTAAGGTCTAAGGTAAGCCTAAGCCCAAGCCTAAAAAAATGGAAGTTACCAATCAACCTTAAGCCTAAGGTATTGGCTAAGCCTAAGCCTGAGCTTAAGGACTGGGATAAGCCTAAGGTCCGAGCTAAGCCTAAGGTGTTGGCTAAGCCTAAAGTCCGAGCTGAGCCTAAGGTGTTGGCTAAGCCTGATTCCGTCCGCAAGCCCAAGGTTCAGGCTAAGCCTAACTTAAGGACTCTAGGACCTAGACAAAGTTTAGGCTTACCAAGCTACCTTAAATCCCTATTTTTGCCACGTGACATCCCCAACCTCCCAAATTTTCTAGGTATCTGGTCGGTAGCCGTGGTAGAATTCCACGTGGAACGCGAAATCACCCATCACATCATCCAATCCTATATTCCCACCTCACTTATCGTCATCATCAGTTGGTTCAGCTTCTGGCTGGACGTGGAAGCGGTACCCGGACGGGTTTCGCTATCTATAACCACGCTGCTCACATTGGCCACGCAGAGCAGCGCTGCGAAAATGGCTCTGCCACAGGTAAGCCTGGGAAGGTGCTTCAGAAGCTTTAGAATCCTCTTACAGTACGAAAATCCGAAATTTCCAGGCTTCCGACGTCAAAGCCATCGATGTTTGGATGGGAACTTGTATGGCTTTTGTGTTCTCGGCAATGATTGAGTTTACGGTGAGTATTGAGCTACAGTACACCCTTCAATCCAGTTTTTAGGCCGTGAATTATTGTGTTCGCCGAAAGCCTCGCATGAAGCCCAAGTCGAAAAGTTTATCGGAACAAGTTCAAGATCTGGTCTCACAGTACAAGGAGAAGAAGGCGGATTTTGTGAGTTTTTTGCTTCAAGACCTAGATTATCTTGTAGAGCTTGAAATTCTGAACAAAATCGTATATTTAACAATGGGAAAATCTAGGGTTTAAAGGGAGATCGTGTCGAGACCCTCCTATGCGCCTTTAAAAACAAAAATTAAAATTTTCACTAAACCTAGGCAATATGGGTGTCAAAATGATCGTAACTACCTGGAGAACAAAAAAAAACAAAATTTTGTAGTTCTCAATCTCGTGGAACTTTTTTCTCAAAAATTCAGAATTTCGTCTCGAAACCTAGTTCATCTTGTAGAGCCCAAAATTCTGAACAAAATAGTATACTACACTATAAGAAAATGATGGATTTAAAAGTAGATCGTGTCGAGACCCTCCTATGCGCCTTTAAAGCCATAATACAACATTCTACGGAATATAGGCAATAAGAGTATCAAAATGTAGCAAATTTTTGCAGTTCTCCAACTCTGCGAGCTACGAAATCACAATGCAACCAGCTCAAGTGCTAGTGGAAGAAGATCCAAAGCTAGCAAGAAATTTCGAGAAGAAGGAGGTGCGCGAAATGAATCAGGCTCCACTATTTGTGAGACGGAATATGCTACCACAAAACAAGCGAAAAACAATTGAGGAGCGAATAAATCGAGTTGAGGAAAATCGAAAATATGCGCAGAGTATCGATCGATGGAGTCGGATACTGTTTCCGATCGCTTTTTTGATTTTTAACGGGATTTATTGGAGCTATTATTTGGTTTATGTGAATTGTGGAATTCCGGATTTGTTGTTGTGAAAATTTGAAGCGTTTTGGGTCATTTTCAGTCAAATCTGACGAATTTTCAGATTTTTCAACCTAAAATCAATTTCAGGTCAAATTTGATCCAAAAATCCCCCATTTTTCTGTTTTTTGGGAACCCTCCGGGTATTTTTTCTAAATTTCATCATACATTTTCAGGTTTTTCAAATTTTTAATAAATTTTTTCTCAAAATTCTGGAAATTTTCTCTGAAAATCCGGAGATCTGCCAAAAATCAACAAATTTCATCAAAATCAACAAAAATTCAAAAATGCCCTCAACAAACTTATTTCCCCTGATAACCCTGAGCAATGCCACGTCTTCCCTCCTCAACTACAGTACTCTGGGTTACTGTAGCCGCCGTGTCATCCAACCCCTTCCAACTTCTTTCAGCAAAATAGTCACCAGCTGAATAGAGGGCTACCGTAGTCTTTTGCGCTTCGGGACCTTCTCCATTTTGGATAATTTCGGGCCGGGCCCGAACTTTTCCCGAAATTAGGCTCACGTCTCCTTCTTGGACTTCTGGATTACTGTGGGTGGCGATTTGGTCTTGAAGATGTCGGCCGAAATCGGCCCGCCAGCCCGAATCTGCGGCCCAGTGGGATTTGGAGGGATTTAGAGCGATCTGGAATGGTTTTGGGTTGGAATTTGGAGCTGGGGAGGGATTTTTGGCGCCAAAATTTGAAAATTCAATTTTTAGAGGGATTTTTGGGGCAAAATTCCTGAATTTTCGAATTTTTCTGAAAATTTTGAGAAATTTGAAAAAACTTTAATTTTTTCAGCAAAATTCAAGAATTTTCTTGAAATTCAAAAAATTCGAAATTTTCAATTTGGCGCCAAAAAATCCACGTGGCAAATTATTATGAAATTTTCGATTTTTGGCGCCAGAAATTTGAAATATAATTTTTTTGAGTAAAAAATTTTACATTTTTCAAAAGAATTTTTCTGAAGCTCAAAATTTCAAAAAATAAAAATTTTTTTTTGAATTTTCAAAATTTAATTTTTGAGAAAAATTATTTACTGGAATATATTTGATTTTCAAATTCAAAATTCCAGGTCCAAAGTTCTACAATTTCCCATTTCACTAATTCAAAATGTGATTTTTTTTCAAATAAAAATAATTTGCAATAAAACTCCCACACATTTCAATTTTCTCACAGAAATGAAAATCTTGATTTCCATTGTCTTCTTCCTAGTTCAATTCCACCTGGTTTCAGGGTTATCAGAACTAGAAAAAATCAGAACTAGAAAATTCCGCTCAAGGGTTTCTAGTCTCCTATTATAAGCATAACATGTTTCGGGATCCTTCTATTTTCGATCCCAGTTATAAAGGTTTTCTGAAGGGTGATCAATTCGAGACTTATGGTAAGTTTAGGTCATATTAAAGTATTATTGTAGAGGTTTTTAACGTCTATTAGGGTACTATTTTAGAAATACTTTAAGGCCCTTAAGGTTCAATTAAAGATAAAAAAATTTACCCACTTCTCAAATTTTGATAATTTCAGAATACACCCCCACTGCCTTATACCATTATAATGGGGGGGGGGCAATTTTACAAAAGTGGGGGGCTTTGCCGAGCCCGGGGGGACATAATCAGGTGGGGGGGGGGGGCTGTTCTGCGTTTATACAAAATTTTTGAATTGAAGGTATCGAAAAAATTAAATTCTCAATTTTTATCAGAAAATTTTGAAACATACATTTTCCTTGGAATTTTGGAGACAAAAATTTGTGTATTTTTCAGAGGCCAAATTTTTTTGTTAGTCAAAAGAATATAAAATTTTCAGAATTTTTATCAAATTTCCCCCCAAAAACACCCACCTCAGCTTCAAAAAACGACAAAACCGGTCGATAATAATCTCCAGAATCCAACAAAACTCCAAACGGACATGAAAGAAGCACAAAAACATCGATGTCCGATGAGAAATTCGACAATTTCGGCACATTTATCTGGAAAAAATTGGATTTTTGGGGAAAATCCGAGGGGAAAACCAACTTTTCCAACTGAAATCACATAGATTTTCTTGCCAGCCGCTTTGCAAAGTTGACGCATTCTTTGGACGGCTTCTCTGAAAGAAGGGTGAGTTTTTAGGGACCAAAATAACGCTAGGGACCTTAAAACCATGAAAATTAACCTAAGAACATTGCATTTAGGGTAAAATGACCCCGGGGACCTTAAAAACCATTAAAACTGACTCAGGAACGTTAAATTTATGTTGAAATGACCATAGGAACCTAAAAAATCATGCATATTGACCTGAGAACCTTGAATTTAGGTTAAAATGACCCTAAGGACCTTAAAACCATGAAAATTGACTCAGGAACGTTAAATCTATGTTGAAATTACCTTAGGAACCTTAAAACCATGAAAATTGACCTATCAACGTTAAATTTATGTTAAAACAACCCCAGGGCTTAAAAACCCCCGATTTTTACCCTAAAATACCTTAGAAACCACCAATTTTTACCCTAGATACCTTAATTAAGGCCTTAAAACTCACTTATGTTGATCAACACCAACACTTCCAACCACCAAGCCAACAGTATTTGCATCCTTCAATTTTTCAACCAGAAATAGGCGACGGCGAAGTTGACGGCATGAACGAGTGCTGAAAAATGTATAGATTTTGCGGTGTTCAGGTGAACATAGGGTGGTTAGGGTTAAAATCGTCATTTGGTAGTCACTACGAATTGACGATTTTTATATTTAGCTCAATTTTTATGGATAAAAATGATAAATCGTCATTTGGTAGTTACTACAAATTCACGATTTTTATATTTAGCTCAATTTTTATGGATAAAAATGATAAATCGTCATTTGGTAGTCACTACAAATTCACGATTTTTATATTTAGCTCAATTTTTATGGATAAAAATGATAAATCGTCATTTGGTAGTTACTACAAATTCACGATTTTTATATTTAGCTCAATTTTTATGGATAAAAATGATAAATCGTCATTTGGTAGTTACTACAAATTCACGATTTTTATATTTAGCTCAATTTTTATGGATAAAAATGATAAATCGTCATTTGGTAGTCACTACAAATTCACGATTTTTATATTTAGCTCAATTTTTATGGATAAAAATGATAAATCGTCATTTGGTAGTTACTACAAATTCACGATTTTTATATTTAGCTCAATTTTTATGGATAAAAATGAAAAATCGTCATTTGGTAGTTACTACAAATTCACGATTTTTATATTTAGCTCAATTTTTATGGATAAAAATGATAAATCGTCATTTGGTAGTTACTACAAATTCACGATTTTTATATTTAGCTCAATTTTTATGGATAAAAATGATAAATCGTCATTTGGTAGTCACTACAAATTCACGATTTTTATATTTAGCTCAATTTTTATGGATAAAAATGATAAATCGTCATTTGGTAGTTACTACAAATTCACGATTTTTATATTTAGCTCAATTTTTATGGATAAAAATGATAAATCGTCATTTGGTAGTTACTACAAATTCACGATTTTTATATTTAGCTCAATTTTTATGGATAAAAATGATAAATCGTCATTTGGTAGTCACTACAAATTCACGATTTTTATATTTAGCTCAATTTTTATGGATAAAAATGATAAATCGTCATTTGGTAGTTACTACAAATTCACGATTTTTATATTTAGCTCAATTTTTATGGATAAAAATGATAAATCGTCATTTGGTAGTCACTACAAATTCACGATTTTTATATTTAGCTCAATTTTTATGGATAAAAATGATAAATCGTCATTTGGTAGTTACTACAAATTCACGATTTTTATATTTAGCTCAATTTTTATGGATAAAAATGATAAATCGTCATTTGGTAGTTACTACAAATTCACGATTTTTATATTTAGCTCAATTTTTATGGATAAAAATGATAAATCGTCATTTGGTAGTCACTACAAATTCACGATTTTTATATTTAGCTCAATTTTTATGGATAAAAATGAAAAATCGTCATTTGGTAGTTACTACAAATTCACGATTTTTATATTTAGCTCAATTTTTATGGATAAAAATGATAAATCGTCATTTGGTAGTTACTACAAATTCACGATTTTTATATTTAGCTCAATTTTTATGGATAAAAATGATAAATCGTCATTTGGTAGTTACTACAAATTCACGATTTTTATATTTAGCTCAATTTTTATGGATAAAAATGATAAATCGTCATTTGGTAGTTACTACAAATTCACGATTTTTATATTTAGCTCAATTTTTATGGATAAAAATGATAAATCGTCATTTGGTAGTTACTACAAATTCACGATTTTTATATTTAGCTCAATTTTTATGGATAAAAATGATAAATCGTCATTTGGTAGTTACTACAAATTCACGATTTTTATATTTAGCTCAATTTTTATGGATAAAAATGATAAATCGTCATTTGGTAGTTACTACAAATTCACGATTTTTATATTTAGCTCAATTTTTATGGATAAAAATGATAAATCGTCATTTGGTAGTTACTACAAATTCACGATTTTTATATTTAGCTCAATTTTTATGGATAAAAATGATAAATCGTCATTTGGTAGTTACTACAAATTCACGATTTTTATATTTAGCTCAATTTTTATGGATAAAAATGATAAATCGTCATTTGGTAGTTACTACAAATTCACGATTTTTATATTTAGCTCAATTTTTATGGATAAAAATGAAAAATCGTCATTTGGTAGTTACTACAAATTCACGATTTTTATATTTAGCTCAATTTTTATGGATAAAAATGATAAATCGTCATTTGGTAGTTACTACAAATTCACGATTTTTATATTTAGCTCAATTTTTATGGATAAAAATGAAAAATCGTCATTTGGTAGTTACTACAAATTCACGATTTTTATATTTAGCTCAATTTTTATGGATAAAAATGATAAATCGTCATTTGGTAGTTACTACAAATTCACGATTTTTATATTTAGCTCAATTTTTATGGATAAAAATGATAAATCGTCATTTGGTAGTCACTACAAATTCACGATTTTTATATTTAGCTCAATTTTTATGGATAAAAATGAAAAATCGTCATTTGGTAGTTACTACAAATTCACGATTTTTATATTTAGCTCAATTTTTATGGATAAAAATGATAAATCGTCATTTGGTAGTTACTACAAATTCACGATTTTTATATTTAGCTCAATTTTTATGGATAAAAATGATAAATCGTCATTTGGTAGTTACTACAAATTCACGATTTTTATATTTAGCTCAATTTTTATGGATAAAAATGAAAAATCGTCATTTGGTAGTTACTACAAATTCACGATTTTTATATTTAGCTCAATTTTTATGGATAAAAATGATAAATCGTCATTTGGTAGTTACTACAAATTCACGATTTTTATATTTAGCTCAATTTTTATGGATAAAAATGATAAATCGTCATTTGGTAGTTACTACAAATTCACGATTTTTATATTTAGCTCAATTTTTATGGATAAAAATGATAAATCGTCATTTGGTAGTTACTACAAATTCACGATTTTTATATTTAGCTCAATTTTTATGGATAAAAATGATAAATCGTCATTTGGTAGTTACTACAAATTCACGATTTTTATATTTAGCTCAATTTTTATGGATAAAAATGAAAAATCGTCATTTGGTAGTTACTACAAATTCACGATTTTTATATTTAGCTCAATTTTTATGGATAAAAATGAAAAATCGTCATTTGGTAGTTACTACAAATTCACGATTTTTATATTTAGCTCAATTTTTATGGATAAAAATGATAAATCGTCATTTGGTAGTTACTACAAATTCACGATTTTTATATTTAGCTCAATTTTTATGGATAAAAATGATAAATCGTCATTTGGTAGTTACTACAAATTCACGATTTTTATATTTAGCTCAATTTTTATGGATAAAAATGATAAATCGTCATTTGGTAGTTACTACAAATTCACGATTTTTATATTTAGCTCAATTTTTATGGATAAAAATGATAAATCGTCATTTGGTAGTTACTACAAATTCACGATTTTTATATTTAGCTCAATTTTTATGGATAAAAATGATAAATCGTCATTTGGTAGTTACTACAAATTCACGATTTTTATATTTAGCTCAATTTTTATGGATAAAAATGATAAATCGTCATTTGGTAGTTACTACAAATTCACGATTTTTATATTTAGCTCAATTTTTATGGATAAAAATGATAAATCGTCATTTGGTAGTTACTACAAATTCACGATTTTTATATTTAGCTCAATTTTTATGGATAAAAATGATAAATCGTCATTTGGTAGTTACTACAAATTCACGATTTTTATATTTAGCTCAATTTTTATGGATAAAAATGATAAATCGTCATTTGGTAGTTACTACAAATTCACGATTTTTATATTTAGCTCAATTTTTATGGATAAAAATGATAAATCGTCATTTGGTAGTTACTACAAATTCACGATTTTTATATTTAGCTCAATTTTTATGGATAAAAATGAAAAATCGTCATTTGGTAGTTACTACAAATTCACGATTTTTATATTTAGCTCAATTTTTATGGATAAAAATGATAAATCGTCATTTGGTAGTTACTACAAATTCACGATTTTTATATTTAGCTCAATTTTTATGGATAAAAATGAAAAATCGTCATTTCGTAGTTTCCTCTGTTTTCTCAATTTCCGTTCCAGCATCAAAAAACCATCATCCCTTTCTCTCCCCCGAAAAAAAAGGGAATCAACAAAGGGCATTACACCGCAACACATTATTTACTACTTGAACAAAAATCATTAGGAAGGTTAAAAAGGGGCGGGGCCGAAGCCTAGGGGTTTTGACCACTTCCCCCAGGGGTATAAAAACCAAGAGTTCGGGTAACTCGGGCATCAGATCATCATGACTGGTTCGACTTGTATCGGTTTCGTCGCCGGGATTTCCGGCATCTTCGTGATTGGAGCTATCATTTCATGTGTTAATATCTATAATGATATTAATAGCTTTGTTGATAATGCTCACAAGGAGCTCGGAGAGTTCAAAGGGTTTGCCGATGATGCGTGGAACTCGATGATGGTTCAAGACTCCACAAGAGTTGCTCGCGCTGTCTTCCAACATCGCCGTCAAAAGAAGCAAAACTCGCAATGCAACTGTGGACCACAGGCTAACAATTGTCCAGCCGGGCCACCAGGACCACCAGGACAACCAGGAGATCGTGGACTCGACGGACAACCAGGACAAGCTGGAAAGCCAGGACTTCCAGGAATCGCGATTCCAACAACAATCAAGGGTGGAGATTGCATCAAATGTCCACAAGGAGCCCCAGGAGCACCAGGAGCCCCAGGACAACCTGGACCAGCTGGACCAAACGGGCAACCAGGAGCACCAGGATTCGGAGGAGGACCAGGGCCAGCAGGACCACCAGGACCACAAGGAGATAGCGGAGCACCAGGAAACCCAGGAGCTGCCGGACAACCTGGACAAGCCGGGCAACCTGGACAACGCAGTCGTGGACTTCCAGGACCAGCTGGACCAGCCGGGCCACAAGGACCATCAGGAGCACCAGGACAACCAGGAAATGCCGGAGGCCCAGGAGCCCCAGGAGCACCAGGACCAGCCGGACCATCAGGACAACCAGGACAAGCCGGAGGGCCAGGACAACCAGGAGCACCAGGAAACCAAGGAGCTCCAGGATCGGACGCCGCTTATTGCCCATGTCCATCGAGAAGCGGATCGGCTCCAGTCACCGGCGGAAGTGCTACTCAAGGATATGCGGCGCGTCACCGCAACGTTGCTCGTCGTCGCGTTGTTCGCAAACGTGTCGTCAAGAAGGTTCGCGCTGTTGCCAGACATGCTTAAGTTTGACTTTTGATGATGATAATAAAAGATTTACACTGCATTTCGTTTTTTTGGGTTATATTTTCAGCGAAAAAATTTCAGTCAAAATTTTCAGATTCTACAGATCTGTAAGAATAGTACCTACAATATTCTTTCAGAAATAGAGCTACAGGCAGAAAAAATATCCAGGAATACTGTAGACCTCTGAAACTACAGTGTAGTAGAAAAGCAGTATTTTGGACTAGAGTAGGTTAAGTTACTGTAATTTTCAGTTGGAAAAATGCATGAACATTGAAAACCTCTGAAACTACACTGTAGTACTGAATTACAAACTATACTCTAGTTCAATGACTGAAACTATACTCTAGTTAAAGGATTTGAAATAACTGTAGAAAAACGGTGTTTTTGAGTACAGTAGGATATTGGTTACTGTAATTTTCAGTCAGAAATACTTTAAGATTACTGTAGACCTTTCTGAAACTATACTCTAGTTCAAGACTAATTTTCAAATTTCCATTTTTTTTGCAATTTCAGCTTCAAATTTAATATCAAAAAATTCAAAATTTTCCGAAATTTTTGAATTTTTCAGTGATTTTTTTCTAAAAATCCCGAAAATTTTCCCGGGAAAAATTGTTCCTTTTTGTTGTTGTTGCTAATCAAATCAAGGTCATACACACAACTTTCACTAGGATTTTTCAGAAAAAAAACGGCTGCGCGAGAAAAATCAGGTTGTAATAACTAGCAAAAAAAATTTGGGTTGGAGAAAAATTGATTTGAAAAATTAATTTCAGGTTGAATTTTCAGATTTTGGATTTTTTTTTGCGATCCGAAAAAATTTCAGATTTTACATCAAAATCTCTGAAATCGGATCAATTTTTGAAAAAATCACTACTTTCAGCCAAAAAATTCCAGATTTTTCCCACAAATTTTACCAAATTTTTTATCAAATTTCCCATTGACCAAAAATGATCAGGAAACTATTCACTTTTTGCCAAAAAAAAACTTTTTTTTTTTGGAAAAAGTGACCTTGGCAAGAAAAAGAAAATGGCAAGAAAAAAACCGAAATAATAAGGAACCTTTTTTTCTTGAGATAGGTTTGATAGGAAAAAAATCGAATTTTTTTTGATAAAAAATTTCGAGAAGGAAAATTTGAGAAAAAAAATTGTGGGGGAAAATTAGGAATTTTTTGAGCTACAGTAATCTAGGAACTTTCAGATTTCTATCGAATGGCACCAATTTTTGCAGCCAAAATGATGATCTACTGAATTTTTCAGAAGAAAAATCAATTTTTCTCCAAAAAGAACAGAGAATTTTTACACCTTTACAAACTGTCCAAAAAAGTGTCCAATCAACCAATTTTTCCCGAAAAAATTGGGAAAAAAAACGGTTTCACTTCTCTTCCCAAAAGTTAACCAGTTTTTCAAAAACTATAAAAGCCAAAGTCAGGCTAACTTACAATATCAGTCTTCCAGGACAAAAATGTCTTCGACATTTTTATCGGTGGCCGCCGGCATTTCGGGAATTGTTGTGATTGGCGCGGTTTTTAGCGTTTTTCACATTTTCGCCGATATTAACAGTTTTGTTAATGATGCTCAGAGGGATTTGAAGGAGTTTAAGGTAAGATTTAGGGGTAGGCTTAAGGGCTTTAGGGCTTTAGGCTTCTTCATCTCACGAAATTCTAGGGCTATGCGGACGACGCTTGGAACTCGATGATGGTCGAAGACTCGAACCGCTTCGCCAGATCAGTCTTCCGTCAACGTCAACGCAAACAAGCCTCAAACCCCAACTGCAACTGCGGACCACAAGCTCAAAACTGCCCAGCTGGACCACCAGGACCTCCAGGTCCACCAGGAGATCGTGGACTCGACGGACAACCAGGTTCAGGTGGAAAGCCAGGAGGTCCAGGTATCGCTGTCGCTCGACCAGTCAAGCAAACTGCATGCATCCCATGTCCACAAGGTTCACCAGGAGCTCCAGGACAACCAGGACAACCTGGACCAGCTGGACCAAACGGGCAACCAGGAGCCCCAGGATTTGGAGGAGGACAAGGGCCACCAGGACCACCAGGACCACCAGGAGACAATGGAGCACCAGGAAACCCAGGATCACCAGGACAACCTGGACAACAAGGACAATCTGGACAACGTAGTCGTGGACTTCCAGGCCCAGCCGGACCATCGGGACAACCAGGACAACCAGGAGCCCCAGGGCAACCAGGAAACGGCGGAGGCCCAGGACAACCAGGTTCACCTGGACCAGCCGGACCATCAGGACAACCAGGTCAACCAGGACAACCAGGACAACCCGGGCCACCAGGAAACCCAGGTGCTCCAGGATCGGACGCCGCCTATTGCCCATGCCCATCGAGAAGCGGAAGCGTACCGGTTAGCGGCGGATTCGCCACTCAAGACTACCGCAGACGTGCTGCGGTTCATCGCAATGTTGCTGCGGCTCGTGTTGTCAAACGTCGTCGTGTTGCCAAGAAACGTGTGGCAGCCAGAAGACATGTTCAAGCCTAAGAGTTATGCTAAGTCCAGATGATTTTTTCGAGCACAAATAAAGATTTTCTATATGTAGAAATTGTTGTCCGAGCGCTCTGCGCGAGTGTAAACCGCAAGCTTCCGCGTAGCGGCACTGTCTTCCGCGAAGCGGCCAAGCCTTTAACAATGTCAGGTTCTGCCTTAGGCATTAATATAAACCTAAGCCTAAGATTAGCCTGAGCTTGGTCTAAGCCTAATCCTAAGTACCTTTAGCCTAAGCCTAAGCCTAAGCCTAAAAAAAATCTCAAATTCCTAGCTTTTTATTCCCCAAAAAACCGCAAACAAATATCCTTATCAGATTTCCCCAAACTTTCACTTCTCCCCCAATTTCTCTCTCGACTTTTTTTCAGCCATTTTTTTTCGCCTGCTGGATTTCATTAGGTCAAATTCGCGGCACAAAAAGTGGTCTTGGCGGGTTTTCCGCAGCCCCTCATATAAAACCATGCATAGTTTCATTTTCGGATTCATTTCTCTCTGCTAAATCTATAAGGCCTATGGTAAAACTATATTATGTGGCCGGCGGGGCCACGGCAGTTTGTATTCTACTTTTGAGTTTGGCTATCTCGTCTACCGTGTATTTGTTGAATGATTTGAGCGAGTTTTATCAGGAGGCACAGAATGAGTTGGGCGAGTTTAAGGTGAGTACTGTCGGGGATTTTTTGGAGTCTAAACATGCTTATGACGTGGAAATTTTTTGGCTACTTGACATAGAAGCTCTCAAGGAGCGTTTTCTAGCCACAGTGAATCTCAAGAAGATAACTAGGCACTATAAAAAAAAATTCCAGGACTTGGCCACCTCAACCTGGGACTACATGATTCTCGACGCGACTCCGGAAGAGCTCCGCGATGCGGAAAAACTCGACGCTCGCCTCAAGCGTGCCTACGATGATCCCGATGCGGGAGAGAGTATGAATGTGTACGGTCGAGACCCGCCAAAGCCCACCAAGGCACCTCCAGGTACATACGATGGATTCACCGCTCCACACATCGGTCCACCAAGTCATCGACCAAGAAAACCGCAGCCACCCACAATGCCTCGAACAATTCAGGGATTCCGAGCTACTACCACAACTCATAACGGATATTACGATCCAAGCGAGACATCTACAACTTCACCGGGACCATCGAAAAGTCCACATGGGTACTACGAAGCTCCGTCGAGTACACGTCGCCCACCTACTGCGACTCGCGATCCTTTGGTGACTATCAAGCTTCCACCTGGAGCTTATGATATCCCATCACAGCCTGAGCCCCCAGTGGGATATGATGATATTTCACAGAGTACTCCTGGGCCTCGCGGGCCTGGATTTGGACCACCCAAGCAAGTTAACTATGGTGGTGAGGTGGAGAATCCTTATGACACTGGGGCCACAGGAACAACACGAGGAGGGTATCCAGAAGATGTTACGACTACAACACAAGGATACCCAGAGGGCCCAACTGGAAAATACCCAGAGGACGAAGTTCCAACTACTACTCAAGGCTATCCAGAAGATCAAACATCTAGATCTTATCCAGCTTCACCTTCAAGCACTCAAGGATATCCGGAAGATAGCACAACTCAAGGATATCCTGAACCATCAACCAGAAATCCACAAGGCCCAGGATTCGGCCCACCAAGAATCTCGAATTCTTGTGAGCTTTGCGGACAGCAGCCTAACAATTGTCCAGCAGGTCCACCAGGTCCTCGAGGGCGTCCAGGGCCTCCTGGATTCCCAGGTCAAGATGGCCCACGTGGATTGCGAGGGCTTAATGGAGCATTGGACACACCACAAGTTACAGAAGAGCCTGAGATCGGATGTGTGCAATGTCCAATCGGGCCACCTGGGCCACCCGGACTTGACGGATTGGCAGGGCCAGCTGGTGAGGATGGAATGGATGGCGAGCAAGGTGATAATGGGAAAGATGGTTCGCCAGGAGTTCCAGGTGCTCCTGGAAATGCAGGGCCTCGCGGGCCATCAGGTCGTCCGGGGCGACCAGGAGTTCCGGGTCGAAAGGGTCAAGCTTGTCGTGTCGAGCCAGGTCCACCAGGTCAACCAGGCCCAGCCGGAACACCTGGTAGAGATGGTGATCCAGGAATCGATGGGCAACACGGGCAAGACGGAAGTCCAGGAATACAGGGTCCGCCAGGTCGTGATGGAGCAACCGGGCCAGATGGTGAGCAAGGAAAGAGTGTGCCAGGTACACCGGGAGAGGATGCCGGCTATTGTATGTGTCCGAAGCGCCCGCCAAAATTCGCGTTGGGCGATCGACAAGACGCGTCGGATCGACGCAGGCCATACGGGTCACGCGGCAACTACGCGGACGAGGATTACGCGCCGCCACGTCGTCCACCTCGACCACCGCCACGTCCAAGAGATCATGCTACCGACATTGACAAGGGTCGCAATCTTCCCTACGAATATCCACCGGAGCCCGAAGAGCCACGTGGATATGGTGATGAGGTCGACACAGGATACCAAGGTCGTGCGGAGGATAACGAGTATGGCGGTGGGCCGAGTAGGCCGAGGTATGAGGAGCATCCGAGAAGGCCACAGAACTATGGAGATCAGGATCGTGAGCGGGAAGATCGTAGACCAGAGAGACGGCGGCCGAGTTACGATGAGAATGAAACAGAAGGTAAGGTTTCGAGTTAGGCTCCGCCCACAAAACCGCGCCGCATCTCATACAAAACTTCCAGATCGTCCTCCACAAAGACATCATCCAGAACCTCCAGGCTTCCGCAAGCCAAAAACCACCACTCCATCTCCGCCACGTCATAACCAAGGGACCTACGAAGATATCTCAAATCCACCACCAATGCCAGCACCGCGAAAAACACCAAACCGGTTCCAGGAAGCGGAATGGGAGCGGAATGGCGAGAGACGCAGCGAAGGTGAGAGACGCAGAGGAAATATTTAGGGTGAACTTATCGAATTTTGCAGATCACAAGGATTTACAAAGCTACAGTTTCTACACTAATAAATACTACGATAAAATGCTCAAATTATAGAAGATGTCCCTTTAATAGACATGTCCCTTTAATAATTTTCGAAAATTCTAATAAAAATTTGAAATTTACCTGTCCTGAGTCATCGATTTTTCCGCAGGATCATAATGATAGACTTGTGTGAAGTTGGGATAACTCAAAATCCACAGTGGAAGTAGCGGAGTGTCGTTTGCACCGATAAAAATCAGATTCTCCTCCTGGAAATCCCAAGTGGCTCTTCCAAGATAGCTCGAACTTGCATCGTTGGAAATTTGCGCCATTTTCGAATTGGCTCCGAAAATTTCGGTGATTTGGGTCTCGAGGTGAGAATAAATCGAGTCGGTGAGGATTACGGTAGAGTTTGGCGCCAGATTTTGAGCGTCTATTGTGGATTTGAGATGTTGCAAGTCGATGGGCATTTTTCCGAGGACGTACCTGAAGAAATTGGGATTTTCATTCATTTTTCACGATTTTCACTGAAAAATTCGAATTCCAGTTAAATCCGACGATTTTTGGCTGAAAACTGCATTTTTAGCCAATTTTTCCCGATTTTCAGCTAATTTCAATCAAATTTCAGGTTCTGGAGCCTGAAAATGATTTGAAACGTCTGAAATTAGTTGAAAATCATGGAAAGTATGAATGTTCAGCTTTTTCAGCTCAAAATGCTCATTTTAAACCATTTTTCTATGATGTTCAGCTAGATTTGATAGAAATTCCGGTTTCGAAGCCGGAAAATCATCAAACACCTGCATTTTCACAATTTTGAGCTCAAAATTCAAGTTCAAAATGAATTTCTCATGATTTTCAGCAAATTTTGATGAAAAATATCATTTTGAAGCTAGAGAATGATTGGAAATCTCGATTTCCAGCTTTTTCAGCACAAATCTCGATTCTACAATCAGTTTCTTACGATTTTCAGCAAATTTCAGGTTCTAAAGTCAAATTTTTGGCTAAAAATGTTGAAAACCATGATTTTCAGCAAATTTTGAAGCTTAGAAACTTTCACAGGCTCAAAAACTAGCTGAAAACCACGAAAAAACATGATTTCCGTCAAAAATTTCGAAATTTCCATAACCCTCCCCCAAAATCTCACCTAACCGGAATATTCCGCGTCGGCGCGCTCAAACACGCTTCCCCAAAATGAATCAACGCATCACACGTGGCATGCGCGGCGGCAACTTCATCAATACAACAACTTCGATACGAGGTATCAGCCAAAACAAAAGTCTTCGCCAATGTTTCCGCTTCCAACGCAACCGCAATCCTCCGCGCAAAAATCAGGAAGCCGTCCGGAAATTGGAGTGCAACACGTTGCGCTGACAATTCTCGAATCCATTTCACACAATCCGCCACTTCGAAAAACTCCAAAACTTGCGATTCCGTCAAATTCTGCAAAATCCTCCATTTTCCATGGTTTTTTTGGGGAAAAAACTCACTTTCAAGTAGGATTTGAGCTCAATTTGCTCAGCCGGATGCTCTAGAGGTGTTGAAGATGTGAAAAACGTTGAAGACGCCATCTAAAACAAGATTTTCTAGCGGGAAAAAGAGATTTTCGAATTTTTTGGGAAAAATAAAAAATTGTCCGAGAGAACTACACAATGCAAAACTTCGGCCATGGCCGAGTTTTTTTTCGCTTTTTATTTATTTTTTTTGCACGGCAAAAAAATACAAAAAATGACGAAAAAAAATCGATGAGCTTTGTTTATTTCGCCAACAAAAATATAAAAATATTTAGCGGGGTAGATCAAAAAAAATTTTGATAAAAATTTCTTTTTGTAAGGCTTTTTTCTTTGAAGGAAAGAAAGGATTCTAGAAAACCACTACAAAAAACTTTATTCACAAGAAGAGAAGCTAGAAAAAGGTGAATCAATAAACTGTGCACAAAACTGGAGCCTCATGAGCATTACGAATTTCCATGATATCGTAACTCGAAGGGTTTTCGGCGAAAAACAAAAAATCCGCTTTTCTTTCAGCACAATGGCCGTAGTGAGATTGAGAAGTATAACTGTACAATGAAGAAGTCATTGATGGCATTGCATTACAAGAAGTCTGAAAAATATGCAAAATTTGCTGCAAAAAAAAACAATTCAACATACCGAAGAGGAGGCTGCATAATAATATGTGATTCTCGCATGGTAATTAGTGCGTATGTAATTGCCATAACGGTCACGATCAATTGTCTCATAGCAACACGAGTACACGGGAGCATAGGCGAAATTGAGCGATGTTTTAACATCCGATTTTCTCATATTTTCAGCATTTACCAAAGTTGGTTGCCAAACACTGATGGCAACTGTGTTAGTGAAAGCTTTCAATGATTTTTGACAATATTCAATAGCTGCGCTATAAGTTGAATACTTCCTGGAAAACAAAAAATTATTTTTCTCGTCAAAATATATAAAAATCAACTCACGTAAAGCTAAACTGATTGGCAGTTCGTAAAACAGCCACATCAGCATGACGAACGTGTGCAAAATAATAGGGTGCCAGCATTTTTGCCTTCAAATCAAAGCTGAGCGCAGTTTCCGGCGCACGGTAGACACACATAACTTGAGCGCGGGAATTGATGTTGGCGCGGATGAGAGATCCCGGTCCCACGTTGTAATGTGCGGCCATTCCGTAGACTACAGCGTAGTGTTGCTCATTGTTGTCGCCAGTGTAGGCGATGTCTTCGCCGTCGAAGTTGTCAGAGCGCGGTGTGAGCCAAATTGCTTTTAGTTCGGCGAAGTACACTGAAAAAAATAATGAAAAATACTACGGTAGAGAGCGTTGTGTGCAATTGCGCGTCAGCGTGTTTGCACACAATTTTTTTACTTTTATTTATTTTTTCGTTTTTTTCGGGAAAAGCTGGTTTTCGGGTGTTTTTTCGATGAAAAACCTAAATAAAAACACTACGGTATACAGCGTTGTGTGCAATTGCGCGTCATTTTTGTTTTTTTTTTCGGGAAAAGCTGGTTTTCGAGATTCTTCAACTCACACTCAAAAAGTCGAATCAAATCGATATCGAACAAATTGACCAACTGCTGGTTTTTCGCCGCACATTCGCCAAAAGCCGCATTATAATCCATCAACTCCTCGGTGATGATTTTATAGCAATGCGCGTGAATTTGAGTGTAACCATCTGCACAGCTATAAACATTGATGTAGACGCATTCTGGATGTTTGCTCTCAAGTTTGGCCGATTTGACGGGATAGGGTGCCATGTTTTTGCAATGCCATGCTGCATCCTCCTGAAAATTGCATGATTTTTGAGGGTTTTCTTGAAGAAAACGCAAAAAATATATAGAACTCACATCAGTTGTCTCGAACTTCCACATTACTTTGCACTCAGTTCCCTCAAAATCGGTGGCTTCAGTTGTTTGACCTCCGACTTTGTCGCAAAATGTGTTGAAACTCGCGTCAGTCGTCGGTTTTTGCAAAGTTTCTCCGATGAGAATTGCGAAGATGAAGATCAATCGATATTTCTTCTTGATCATTTCGTTTTTGTGCAAAGAATAGTTGGAATAATACAAAGTGATGGGTAAAAATGAGCGAATCGCGTGTTTAAGTAGCCATTGGGACGTGGCAAATTGATGACGTGGATGAGATAAACATCTGGAACACGTTTATTTGAATAAGTAAATACTTTTGCTTTTTTGCACATTTCTTGGAAAAAAAATAATGAGAAAATACTACGGTAGACCGCGTTGTGTGCAATTGCGCGTCAGCGTGTTTACACACATTTTTTTTACTTTTCTTTTTTTTTCGTTTTTTTTCGGGAAAAGCTTGTTTTTGCGGTTTTCGGGTTTTTTTTTCGATAAAAACTACACAAAAATATTTTTTTTATACTACGGTAGACCGCGTTGTGTGCAATTGCGCGTCAGCGTGTTTGCACACAATTTTTTTACTTTTATTTTTTTTCGGGAAAAGCTGGTTTTTGCGGTTTTCGGGTGTGTTTTCGATGAAAAACTACGCAAATTTTTTTTATAAATACTACGGAACAGCGCGTTGTGGCCAATTGTGCGTAATTTCTGTTTTTGTTTTACTTTTTTTGGGAAAAGTTATTTTTTGGTTGTTTTTCCGATGAAAAATCTAGATTTTTCAACTTTTATTTTGAATATCAGTAAAATTTCTTCATTTCAATAATAATTTACAAAAACAATTTAACAAAAATCATTAAAAACGCTACAGTAATCCCTGATCGACTACTGTATTGTGTATACAAACTCGAATCACAATATTGATCATTTGGTAAATCGGGTTTTGTTTGATCGGCAAAACCTTGGAGCACACTTAGGCTACAGTAATCTTGACCAGCTGGACAGCCGTCGAGTTCGGAAGTGATTACATCGAAATCATCACCGGCTTTGTCGTGGTAGAGCATCTGAAAATTAAGATTTAGAGCTGAAAACGCTGAAAATGCTGAAAATCAATAATTTCAGCATTTTCAACCAAGACTACTGTATGTACCTTGAAATAAGCCTGTTGATCCTTGGTATCCCTGTAGAGCTCAATTTGCACACAAGCAGAATACTGTGGATAGGACCCGGCTGCAGGTTTGACAGCTTTGGTCTCGATGAGAAGAGCCGAAAAGAAGGCGTAAATTGTAGTGTCGTGCTGGAAAGGGGTACTGTACTACTGTATACTGTAGGTAGATCAAAAAGTACTTACCACCGAGTACACATAATTCTTCAAATTATTGATCCACGTGCAATTTGACGTGGTTTTTCCGGCACACGCCAATTTCAAATTCATATGCATCGCAATATCGTTCAAAATCGGTCCACCACGAATTTTTCGCAACAAAAGTCCCACATCGATACCGTTCACCATGTTTGGATTGGTGGCTGCAAAATTCTAGATTTTGGATGGAAAAAGTGTGCCAGGGTTGCAGAAATGAGCGTGGCCAGGGAATAGCGCTTCGAAAGGTACCAGGAGAAAGTGTGCGAGGTTTGCAGAAAGGGGCGGGGCTTGAGAAAAGGCTGCAATTTCGCGGCAGCTTGTCTCATTTGAACCCGAATTTCAAGCCCCGCCCATTTCTGCAACTTCCGCACAGTTTTTTCCCCAAAATTTCTCACCGAAAATTCCATTGTTGAAAAGTTGAACCTGATCGTTATAAGCGTCCAATGTTGCGTACATTTCATCGGTAAACCACGGATTTGCAGTTCTCAAAGTGTCGTTGTAGTAGATTTGCTGGAATTTTCAGATTTCTGGCTGAAACTAGAGTCTAGTTGGAAAATGTCTATTACTCCAATTAATAAAACCAATGTCTAGTTATAACTAAAAAATTTTATTTATGAACTTATTTTTATTAATGAAACTAGAGTCTAGTCTTAAACTAAACTCTAGTCTATAACTAGAGTCTAGTCTGCTCACTCACCTCAATGAAAAACGCGTTGGCAATAATCCACAAATTGTCAATATTCACCTCCTGTCCACAATTTTTGCTCAAATTTCCGAGCAAATTTTGGAAATCTGGAGCATTGATGAAGGCTGCAACTTCTACTGAAGTTTTAGCCAAAGCCCAAGCTTGATCTTGAAGTGCGCAATCGCTGTCGACGTTTCCGAGCTGAAAATGTCAGAATTTTAGCTGAAAATTGGCCAAAAATCATGATTTTTCCGGTAGATCAAAAAGTTCCCCGAACTTACATGATCTGTCTCGTCGGGTACTGTATGAACTGGAATTGGGACGAAACCTTTTGGCCAACCGGCGACTGCTGGATAATCGATACCCGCCATTGATGATCCGTCGTCTTGACCGTATTGGCCTAGAAGATTTGACATGGCAGAGATCAGGGTTCGATTGACATCAGTGGAACGGACGTAGATCTGAATTTCTCGATGTTTTCAGAGGAATCAGCGTGAAATTTGGGTTTGTAGTATAGAAACAATTTTCTAGACCAAAATTTCGTGCTAGAAATGCTGAAAATGGCTAAAATATCTGAAAACCCACCTGTTTCGAGTCATATTTCTTCGGATAAAATCCCATTTTATCCACATATCTAGCCCGAATCCGCTTTCCCAAGTTCAAATGTTGTTCCATACCAAGTGGAGATAGTTGTCCCCATCCACCACCACCAAAAGTCCAATTCCCTTCTTGAAACGCGTCGGTTTTGAAGGTTTTGGTGGGCGAACGATCACCATGACGCCAGAGCTGGAAAATTTCGCATTTTTTGAGCCCAAACACCCTAGAAGAGTACTTACCGTTTGCACAAAGAGCAACTCTTTGGTGCCATCCAAATACGCCTGAGCCACGCCGAAAATCAGTGGAAGCAGGAGCATCCTAAAGTCCAATTTTTTTGTTAGAAAAATGAAAAATTTTATCACAAGAAATAACCCAAAAAAATTTTTTTGGGAGGAAAATCGGCTTATCAACACTTTTTTTCACTCGCCAGCTCAGACAAGTTTGATTTATTTTTGAAACGCAAATAGATAGAAGAATCGGGTGATAAGCAAAAAATAGTTTGAGTGCTCATTTTGAAAAAAAAATGAGCAAAAAGTTTGCCGCCAGCAGGGGTCGAACCTGCGACCTTGGGCTTATTAGACCCACGCTCTAACCGACTGAGCTATGGCGGCCACATTTTCTCGTTGTGAAAATTGACTTTTTATACCTGACCCGGTGGTCATGCACGTGTTTGGTTCGTTGAACTTAGCGGAACTAATTCATTTTCCCTTCAATTTAAGTTCGTTAAATAATTCGAGTGAAACCTGAGTCTTATCTGATTGAAAATCAGATATTTGTTCATTGTTTCAAAGAAAAATTGCGACAATTCAAAGATCGAAGTGCTTTTTGAAAATTTCTTTCCTGATAAGAGGAAAAAAATGGTTTTTCGCATATTTCAAGGAATTAGTGACACTTTCTCCGTCAAACTGCCACGTCATTAGAGCAAAAAACATGAAAAAACGTGAAAAAAAGAAGAAAAAAAAATAAATAATTCAAAAAGCGCGGGTGTATGAGCATCGTGAACGCGGAGTGTCGTTGGGAAAATAAACAATGTTTTTCGGTGACAATTAATAGTTTTTATGAGAACATTTGAATTTTCCGAAATATTCAAATTTTTCTATGATTTTTGAATATTTAAAAGGTTTTTTTTTCTGACTTTTAACTGAAAAATTAAGAAAATTGTTTGTTTTTGCCCAAAGTTTCAGTAAATATTTGATTTTCCACTCTGAGTTTGTAGTTTTCCAGGTGTTCGTGTGTAACATTGAATGTTCTTTGTACTGCGAAGCATCATTCCTATGTTTTCAGCTGCGGCGCGGTATGCGTTGCGTGTTCAAGGCGTGTGAAGTAAAATAACGTTTATTTAAAATAAGAAAAATACTTTCAAGGTTGGAAAATCTTATCATCCAAAACAACATTATAGGTGAAAGAAGCAATTGGCGTGGATGTCGGAACACCGTCAAACTGTTTTCCGATATATCCCAAGTCACTTCTATTTGTCAAACAATTATGATAAAAGTTAATGATCGGTTCATAAGTGAAGTCCTAAATGTTATCAATTTGTGTGAAATCACCACATCTAACAGTAAAACTCACAAAGTATCCATCACCTTCGCTATAAGTTCCCTGAATAGTATAATTATGAGTTACGCCCGATGCTTTATTGATCAATTCCTTTCTTTTTATCGTGTCATCCCATGTGAACTCATCAAATTCTTCAAGCACCAAAGTGACGTTGAACTTTTTGCGAATATTGCATCGGATTGTACCTTTCACGATGAATTGGGTTGGTGTGGCTTGATAGATTATAACACTGAGCAACAATAAGAGCTTGATCATTTTCTGTTGTTTAGTTGTTTTCTGGTGATTGGGGAGGGTTTTTATACATGTGGTTCCAGGGATGATGGGAAAGTTTCTCCAGAAGCTTTGTTATGATAATTTTTAGGTAATGTTTGATGTTGTAGAATGGAATTGAGATGTCGAGATAGAAGTAATAACTGAAATAGGTATTGTAAATATTGTCAGACTTCTCCGAACTTTTGAACTTTTCCTGAATATCAGAAATTTGCATAACAGAGGCTGAAAATTTATATTCGAATTCAATTCATTCGAAGTTCTATTTAAACCCCCCGCTCTTTCACAGTCTACCAATTCCCGATGTTCTTCCTGACCCTTCTTATTTCCCTTATCCCTATCTCAATTTCCACCGAATTCTACATGCAAGGCACAATTCGTTGTAACCTTCACGACACTTTCACCGCCTTCATTCAAATCGTAGAAGAAGATTCAAGTTATACATTTTCGGATATCATCAAGGAGAAAGTATGGACCAATAAGCCATCAAATATTACACATAATTTTTCGATCAGAGGGACTTATGAGGAAGGAGATGGGCTTTTTGTGAGCTAAACTTGGATCTACGTACTTTACCCCAATTTTTTCCAGGACGATGGGATGTACGAACCATTGCTCTTCATTCGTCACACTTGTATGGATCAAATAAACCGTGTCGGAAATGTCTATCGAACTTTCAAACCGGTTCCACAAACTGCGGCTAGTGCCAATTTCACAGGATTGACCATTAAGTTAGATAATCGGGAAGATTGTTGTTCATAGATTCCTTGAGTAAACTATAAAGCATCAAAAAGCAAGTTCTCACATAACAAAAAGCACATTCCAAGGATTCTTTCTATAGAAGTTGAAAAATCACTATAAAAGCATACGCCTTGTAGCTTCTTCTAGAAATTATGAAGCTCCTCCTGATCTTGTTGATTTCCCAAGTCTCATCTACCATCATCACAGTCAAGGGAACAATTCGATGCAACTTGTTCTCATCATTTAATGCCACTATAACACTACAGGAGAAAGATACGTTAGGTTCGGATGATATCAAAATAAAAGTATGGAAAAACAAGCCGTCGAATGTTACACATAATTTTTCGATCAAGGGGGATTTTACCGATGGTGACGGAATTTTTGTGAGCTTTCTAAAAATTAAAAGAGCAGTTTGAGTTGTCTGAATTTTGTAGGACGGGGAATACGAACCTGCTTTGTACATCGTGCACAATTGCCGTGACATTGGTTTTTTGAATGAATATCGGTGAGATTCGAGAGGAAACTAAATGATTTTCAATTTTATAGGGGTGAGGCTAACATAGGTCGTACAATGGGTACAATCTACATCCTTGGAAATGTTTATCGAGAGTTTAAAAGTGTCCCCATAACTGCTGCAAGTGCGAATTATACTGGGGTGACTATTAAATTGGACAATAGAGTTGATTTGTAACATTTTCGTGGGGTTAAATAAATTCATTTTGAAAGTTGTACTGAAATGTAACCGCTACGCATACGCAACGTGGGTATAAGGGTTTTCGCAAAAATTCAAATTTATGTAATTTTTCATAAAAGTTTTATATAGATGCGTAGTCAACATCCATACGATCATCCAATTTGAAGGTTAATCCTGTGAAGTTCACAGCTGGTGTTGTAATCGGAACAGATTTGAATCTTCGCAGAATATTTCCGGTTCCAGGTCTAGACATACAATTGTGATAGATCCTCAATAGTGGCTCATATTCATCGTCCTGAAAAACTGATTTTGAAAGTTCTATTTTCATCTAATCTAACTTGGACTTCACTATGCTAGTCCTAAGTTTCCGTAACTCACAAAAATCCCATCTCCTTCATCCTGAGTTCCGCGAATATTAAAATTGTGTGAAACATTCGACGCCCTAACTCCCAAATTTTTCGATTTCATCAAATCCCAACCCGATTCAAGTGAATCCTCTTCCCATAATTCGACAGTAGCCTCGAAGTTCGAGTTCAGATTGCATCTCATTGAACCTTGAATGAAGAATTCGGTGGATGAAGTTAGAGAAATCAGGAGGAATATTGGTAGAATCGCGAAAATCATGATTTTCTTCAATTTTTGTGCGGCCTGGGGCCTTTAAATGATCTTAAGAAACTTTTGTTATGCAAATATATGAAGACCCTGAGAAAGTCAAAGACTAAATGGCCTAGGGCATCACCCCAACCCTTTAGCTACGGAAATTCAAAAAAAGGCGGAGTTTTCCATATCCCTTTTTCGTCTCGCGTCTCTTCACACACTCTCGTTGTGCAAACACGTACTGTTGAGAGAGAAAACGAGAGAGTGTGTGTGCAGAAGAGACGCGAGACGAAAAAGGGATATGAAAAGTCCGTGAATTTTCTTTTTGCGTTCAAACTACAAATGTTCTACATCAGAAATCAAGTTCTCACATAACAAAAAGCACATTCCAAGGATTCTTTCTATAGAAGTTGGAAAATCAGTATAAAAGCATACGCCTTGTAGCTTCTCCTAGAAATTATGAAGTTCCTCCTGATCTTGTTGATTTCCCAAGTCTCATCTACCATCATCACAGTCAAGGGAACAATTCGATGTAACCTGTACTCAACATTCAATGCAACTATAAAATTACTAGAAAAAGATGTTGCCTTTTCCGATGTCATCAAAACCAAAGAGTGGATTAATAAACCATCAAATGTTGCGCATAATTTTTCGATCAAGGGGAATTTCACAGGAGGAGATGGGGTTTTGGTTAGTTTTCCGTTGGATTACATTTTTAGTTGTCATAAGTTGCTTATAGGACAACGAATACGAGCCAGCTATTCAAATTGAGAGCACTTGTAGTGACATCACTTGGGTTAACGGCGAGCAATTAGTGGGAAATGTTGTTCGAGAGTTGAAAAGTGTTCCGATAACTGCTGCTAGTGCGAATTATACTGGATTGAGTTTCAAATTGGATAACAAATTTGACATTTGATTAGGTTTCGCGTTTTTTTGGGCATAAAAGTTTATTTCAAAATCACAATGGTGTGGTATTCAGATCTTTACGATCATCCAATTTAAAAGTTAATCCTGTCAAGTTCACCGCTGGTGTTGAAATTGGAACTGATTTGAATCTTCGCAGAACATTTCCCACTGCTCCAGGTGTGCTCATACAATTGTGATGGATTATTAACATTGGCTCATATTCGTCGTCCTGGGAAATTTTGGGGTTTGGAGGATTCAGAGTTTTCAGCGCAAAATTTTGATCTAGGAACATTTTCAGGGTTCTGGAAGGCTTGTTGAATCGTTGTGATCTATTCTTCAAAACTTCCTGAACTTCGCTAAAAATCACTTCTAGACCCAAATTTTGCGCTGAAAACGCTGGAAACGCTAGGTTTCGTTGAAAATTAGTGTTTCCAGCATTTCCAGCACAAAATCCTGATCCGGCAACATTTTTAGGGCTCCTGAAAGTCCAATTGAAACTTTCGGATCTATTGTTCAATACTTTACTGATTTCCCAAAAATCACTTCTAGACCCAAATTTTGCGCTGAAAACGCTGGAAATGCTAGGTTTCGCTGAAAATTAATATTTCAAGCGTTTCCAGCCCAAAATTTTGATCTGGGAACATTTTTAGGGCTCCTGAAAGTCCAATTGAAACTTTCGGATCTATTGTTCAATTCTTTACTGATTTCCCAAAAAATCACTTCTAGACTCAAATTTTGCGCTGAAAACGCTGGAAACGCTAGGTTTCGCTGGAAATTAGTGTTTCCAGCATTTCCAGTGCAAAATTTTGATCTAGATAAATTTTTTATGGTTCTGGAAGGCTTGTTGAATAGTTATGATCTATTCTTCAAAACTTCCCAGATTTCCCCAAAAATCACTTCTAGACTCAAATTTTGCGCTGAAAACGCTGAAAATAGTCGAGATCTCTGAAAACTGATATTTCCAGCATTTCCAGCGAAAAATTTTGATCTAGAGAAATTTTCTGAAAATTTTGGAAAAAAAAGTTTCTAGACCCAAATTTTGCGCTGAAAACGCTGAAACTCACCAAAATCCCATCTCCCTCATCATAAGTTCCCCTTATATTAAAATTGTGTGATACATTCGACGCCTTAACTCCCAAATCCTTCGATTTTATCAAATCCGAAGTGGCATAAATGAGATCTTCTTCCAATAGTTCAAGACTAACTTCGAAATTCGAGTTCAAATTGCATTTCATTGAACCTTGAATGAAGAATTCGGTGGATGAAGTTAGAGAAATCAGAAGTAATATTGGGAAAATCATGATTTTCCTGATTTCTGTACAATTTTCTGGGGCTTTTTATCATTTAAAAGACCGTGAGAAAAGCAAAAATCGAAAAATAATTTATTGAAATTCAAAAAATAGCACTTTGTGTCAAATTATTATGCTCGGGCTCTTTTTTGCAATTTTTTGTGGGCTCATTTTCGCGGGCCGGCAATCCGAATACACGTCCTTTTAATTTGTAGCCATCGGGAAGGTTCATTTTGTTGGAGATGTCGGATAAATCGACGACCTGGAAAATGAAGGGTTAGGTTTAGGAGCTCCAGGGGCTTTCTAAAGGTCCTTAGAGGATTTAAGAAATCTAGGAGCTCCCTAAAGGTTCCTAGAGGTTTTTTAAAGTTCCTAAGGTATTTTTAAGATTTTTCTTAAAAATTTATAAACTAAAAACACTCCTAGATCAAAATTTTGCGCTGAAAATGCTGGAACTGTCAGTTTTCGGAGATCACAGCTATTTTCAGCATTTCCAGCGAAAAATTCGAGTCTAGGAGTGATTTTTGGGAAATCCTGGGAAGTTTTGAAGAATAGATCAGAAAGTTTCAACAAGACCTTCCGTAGGTCAAAAAACACTTATAGATCAAAATTTTGCGCTGGAAATGCTGGAATTGTCAGTTTTCAGAGATCGCAGCTATTTTCAGCATTTTCAGCGCAAAATTTGAGTCTAGAAATGGTTTGTGGGAGTTCTGGGAAGTTTTGAAGAATGGATCAGGAAGTTTCAACAAGACCTTCCGAAGGTCAAAAAACACTTCTAGATCAAAATTTTGCGCTGAAAACGCTGGAAATACTGGTTTTCAGAATTTCCCAGAATTTTCAGCGCAAAATTTGAGTCTAGAAGTGGTCTTCGGGAAATCCTGGAAAGTTTTAAAGAATAGATCACAAAGTTTCAACAAGACATCCAGGAAACCTAAAAAAACACTCCTAAATCAAAATTTTGCGCTGAAAATGCTGAAACTATCAGTTTTCCAAACCGATTTACCTTAAATTCCTTGCTCGCCATCCCATCCAACACGCGCATGTCCTCCTGGCTCAATTCAAAATCAAAAATCTGCATATTCTCAGAAATCCTCCCAAAATCGGTGCTCTTCGGCACCACCGCATTTCCCTGCTGAATATTCCAACGCAAGCAGATCTGTGCGGCGGATTTGCCAGGATGCCGCGCGGCAATTGCGGAAAGCCGCTCGTCTTCGAGGTAACGACCTTTGGCAAGAGGACAGTAGGCCTGAAAATTTGAAAAAAAAAATTTTCAAGTATAATATGAGCAATGCATCAAAATTCGTGATTTTTTAATATAACCTGAGCAATGCATCAGAAATCGCGATTTTTTGAGTATAAAATGAGCAATGCATAAAAAAATAGGGATTTTTTCACTTGAAAAATTATTTTTAAAAAACCATGCCGCAAAATTGCAAAAAGTGGGCGGAGCCTAAGCTTGTTTGGTATCAAATTAAAGCTTTTTCAAAACCATGCCGCAAAATTGCAAAAAGTGGGCGGAGCCTAGGCGTGTGGGGTCTCAAAATGTTCCATTTTCAATTTCCCACCCACCTACAGTACTTTAAAGGTACACATACCATCGTCAAAATTCCCAAATCGTCACAAAACTCCTTGAGCCGCCTGTCATGATACCAGGGATGATATTCGATTTGATTGACGTGTGGCATAATGCTGGCAAATTCGCCGAGTTCCTCGATGTCCGATTGCGAATAGTTGCTGACGCCAATTGATCTGACGTGGTCTGAAAAATATTTTTTTTTTGAATGGAGAGTACTGTAGATCGCTGCGGGACCCGGAGAGCGTTATTTTGAGTCTAAACAAGTGTAAGCGGATTCTTCCGCGCAAGCGGCTCGAGCGGAGCGAGTGTATGTCCCTTTAAATATGACTACAGTAACTCATGCTCTTTTAGATTACTGTAGTGCGCTGCGGGACCCTGAGAGGATCATTTTGAAACCAAACATGATCATAATGTAGATTGCTCAGATTATAATCATGTTTAGTGTTAAAATGATGCTCTTCGGGTTTCGCAGCGAACTACAGTACTTCAAAGGAACATGGGGTACTGTAGTTGAAATTATAGGAACACACACTCGCTCCACTCGAGCCGCTTACGAGGAATTTTGATCTACACTCGCGCTAGCGCGCTCGAAGGCTTGTTTGGTCTCAAAATGATCCTCCCAGGGTCCCGCAGCGAACTACAGTACCCCCCAGAAGCTCACCATCCTCATACAACAATTCCATCTGCCTCCACGTCTCCTCTCGACACTCCTTCTGATTCGAAACCCAATCCGGCAACTGCGGCATATGAATCATATACAAATCCAGATAGTCACTTTTCAACTTTGCGCAACTCTTCCGCGCCGCTTCGCGCACCGCTTTTCCGCAATCTGATGGCCAAAGTTTGGTGCACAGGAACAGTTGGGATCTATCGATTTTTGAGTCCTGCAAAATTGTTTTTTTTTTTTTTTTGGAATTTTTTTTGATGATGATTTTTGTTGGGTCAAAGTGCACGGTATCTTATCAGTTGTGACGTATTTTTTTGCGAAAATAATTGATTTTTTGGTTTTTGAACGTTTTTCCGATCAAAAAGATACCCTAAATTGCGAATTTTCAGTTTTTGGACAGTATTGCTCATGTTTGGGCTCCAAATGCTCCAAATTTTCTGAAATTGCTCATATTATAGCTAAAAATGCTTCTAATTTCAAGGAGAATCTGAAAATTTCAGAAAAAACAATCTGAAAATTTGAATTCAGCTAGAAATTAGGGTTTGAAAGATATCTCATAAGCCTAAGTTCTGAAAAATTGAATCTTAGTTCAAAATGCTCCAAAATCATCAGAATTGTGCTCAAAATGCTCCAAATTTCAAAGCAAACCTGAAAATTTCAGAAAACATCATCTGAAAATTTGAATTCAGGCTGAAATTTGGGTTTGAAAGATATCTCATAAGCCTAACTTTTGAAAAATTGAATCTTGGCTCAAAATGCTCTAAACTTTTCAAATTTGAGCTCAAAATGCTCCAAATTTCAAGGCGAATCTGAAAATTTCAGAAAATTCATCTGAAAATTCGAATTCAAGCTGAAATTTGGGTTTGAAACATATCTCATAAGCCAAACTTCTGAAAATTGAGTTTTAGCTCAAAATGCTCCAAATTCATCAGAATTGTGCTCAAAATGCTCCAAATTCCAAGGAGAATCTGAAAGTTCCAAGAAAATCATCTGAAAATTCGAATTCAGGCTGAAATTTGGGTTTGAGAGATATCTCACAAGCCTAACTTTCGAAAAATTGAATCTTAGCTCAAAATGCTCCAAATTTTCTGAAATTGCTCATATTATAGCTGAAAATGCTCAAATTTCACTTTGAGCCCTAGTTCATCTTGTAGAGCTCAAAATTCTGAATCTAATGGTATATTTTGCTCTGGGAAAATCTTGGATTTAAAGGGACATCGTGGCGAGACCCTTCTATGCGCCTTTAAGAAAATTATCAAAATTTCCCTTCATCTTGTAGAGCTCGAAATTCTGAGCAAAATGGTACCCTTCTCACAAATTTTTGTGGATTTTAAAGGGACATCGTGGCGAGACCCAAAATATATCTCTATAGGGATTTCTATGCGCCTTTAAGAAAATTTCAAGGAACATAGGCAATATGGGTATCAAAATGACCGTAATTTTACGTAGATCAAGTATTTTTGAGTCTCGAAGAGATTAGGAGTACTGTAGTGACGTGGCAACCCACCTCAATCGCCTGTCCCAACAATTCCTCCACACCATAGCGCTTCGCCGTGTCCACCATCCGATATTTGCCACGTGTCAACGCGTGCACTACCGTATCATGATACCAACCGCTCGAATGCGTCGTGCCGAGACCCACCCGGGGAATTTGTAGGTTGTTGGAGAGAGTTAGCGAAAATGACGTGCACGGGTCCATTTTTGCGCTGAAAATCCGGGAATTTTGGCTGAAAATCGGGCCGGAAAGGGCAATTTTGCATGGGGAAAACTGCAAAAAACAAAAAATAATAAAAATACATGAAAAGTTTTCTGGTTATCTATCTTATCTCATTTTCCCGCCCCAAAAAACCCATGGAAAAACACGTGGATGTCATGTGTGCGAGAGAGTGCAGAGACGCAGAGAAAATTGTACACATTCTTTCTTTAAAGATTTTTCTCTTTTCGAGAAAAAACACACGGCGAGAGAGTGAGAGACGCAGAGAAATTGGTTGTTTTTCTGAGTTGGAGCATTTCTAGTTTTTTCGCATAGCAGCTGTTGAAGTATACAATTTCACGTGCTTCAAGGTGCTATGTTCCTTTAAACGTCACTACAGTAACCACAAGAGCCACGTATTCTTCTTCTCCGCGAAATTCCCGTCATTTTGACACCCATATTGCCTATGTTCCTTTAACTTTTCTTAAAGGCGCATAGAAGGGTCTCGCCACGATGTCCCTTTAAAATCACTCAAAATTACATCATTGCTATAATATGAGCAATATTAGATGATTTGGAGCTCAAAAACTTGAACTAGGAACTTGAACTAGGAATCATGTTTTTTATAACTTTGTGAGTTTTTCACAAAATATGAAAATCGACATATGTAAATGATCCTTAGTAGATTCCTAACAATCTGCATAAAAAATATTGTGGAAATTTTTCTTCTCTCGCTGAAAAACTGTAAAAAACTGAAAAACCAAAAAAAAATTTCGAAAAATAAAAAAAAGCGTCAGTATTCACGTGACCCATTTCTTGAAACCCCGCCCACAATCGCTGATTGGATGACGTCATTTTTGTCGTATTTTTCTCTATGTGTGCTCCATTTTCGAAAATTTGCATCATAAGAAATGGGCAAACCCAAACCCAAACCGAGAAAACAACCAAATGATGAAAAACCGAAGACGATTTTGGACAAAATCAAGAACAATAAATTGAAATTCAGTTTATTGCTCATATTAATCATTCTACCATGTTTATTTCTTCCGATTTCGATTTATTTCACAGTGAAAGATTCTGATGTTCAATTTGTTGAGAGTGATATGCAAAAAACAGCCAAGGGTACGTTTTTTTCAGATTTGATGTTTTTATAGTTAAATCTTTGTTTTAGATGTTGATCAACGATTGAAAAAAATTCAAAATACAGTTCCGGACAAAATTGATGAATTAGAGGTGTTATATTTGCAACAATCGCGCGGATTTTTTGAAAAATATCGAGAAAAACTTGGAGTGAAGCAACTCAAAAGTGTAAGACAAATGATAATTGATTTTAATGAGTCAATTATTTTTGCAGATTAATGCTATTGAGGATGGCGAAGTTCAGAATATTTTTGATAAAATAAATTCAGCGGATGTGAAAAAATGTGATGATATCGCAAAAAATATGGATGAAAAAACATTCAAGGATATATTCTCGAATTCGAAAAAATCAACAGATTCTCTAAAGCGTTATGTTACACTTGGTTCAGCAAAAACGAATTGGGATTTAATTGCTGATAAAGAAAATGAAAAATATGGAATATTAACGAGGAAAGTTATCACTGAGCATTTGAAAACTATCAAGGATATATTGAAATTGTTTTTGGAATATGCTAAAGAAAAAGTGAGGAATCCTGATGTTGAGAAATATGATAAACAGAGAGATCAATGGAAAAACACAAAAATATGGAACCATACCAGTTTATTTGTGTTTTCAATAGTAGGAGCTATACTATATTGGTCTTTAGTCGTCACAAGATGTCTGTTTGTATCTGATAAAATCTCGAAGAATTTATACAAAATATCAAGTTATATTCAATTAGCATCTGCAATCGTTTTTCTGATTATTTTGCTTATTTTTACAATATTATCATTTACATCAACTGGAAGCTTTGAATATTCATGTAATATTAGCGCTGATTTTGATTCCGGAAACACCAGCAGCATTTGGTATACTTTCAATAGAGAGAAAATTAGTGAGAGGTTTGTTGAAATTATGAGAAATTTATAAAATAGGTTTTATAAAAAAATTTCAGGAAAATCACATCAGTTTGCGAAAGTTCGAATAACAAAGTTTTGGATGAATTGGGAATGATGACAAATGAAAAAACAGTGATTTCCAATCTGGACAAATATCAAGCAACTATTGAAAATTTAATGACTATTATTACGAATCCTGCATTTGAAAAATTGTCCGAAACTTTTGGAAAGAATTTGAATAAAATGAAAGATGTGAATGAAAGAATGAAGAAGATCGAGAGCGGAACTTGTGCCAGTAAAATAATCATAGAACAATTGAAATATTCTCGGGGTCCACTTAAGAATTTGATCACAGAAAGTGATGAAATTTGGAAGATTGCAAATGAAATTGTTGTGAAATGGAAAGGCGAGGCACCCAACATGAAAGCGGATTTGAAAGAAAATGGAGAAAAACTAAAGAAGTTGTCTCTGAGTTTGTCCGCATCATTAAATGTTAGTTTGATTCAATTGATCTTGTTCAAAATGTTCCTTGTTTTCAGGAAATTCTCGAGAAAAGTGATATAAGTTGTTCAAACTTCAATGGAAATGCTGATGAATTTTGTGGAATCACTGTTCAAAAAACTTCAATGACTTATCCAATCACATATTTATCGCTTGCAGTGGTGTTCATCATATTTATCATTATTTGTATTCTGCTTATGCTTGATTTGAGTGAGAAAAAATCCGCGAAAAAAGATGAAAAACCGAAGAAAAAGGTAACCGAAGGCTTCACAGGAGTTACTGCAATTACAATTTGAAGTATAAACTGTAAAATGAACTGACTGTGCAGAAACTATAAACACTACTTTTTCAAAATTCAAAAAAAAACCGTAGGGTCAACCTACATAATTATCTATTTTTAGAACTTTTTAAAATCAAATGAAGCATATTTGGTTTTATCTTCCACGATAGAATTTGTGTGGGAGGATATAGACAAAAACAGTTCGAAAAAGTGCACTCCAGAAACTATAAATTTTCAGGGAAAAAAGAAAAAAAACAGGCGCCTAAGATATAAGGACCACACCGGAAAGTTGTGTTATTATCTCGTAACTGAGGAATTAAAAAAGAAACATGAAACTAATAAAGCAGATTCGAAAGCAGAAGAAGCGAAAACGAATCTTGCAATTGAAAAAATGGTTGCCGAGCCAAATATTAAATTCAAAAACGAATATCAGCTTGCGGATATTGAGAAAATGTTTGGGAAAATATCGAGAAATGAAGAGCCGGAAGAACTTGTGGTATTGGACAAAGTCACTTATGAACCATCGATGAACGAGATGTTCAATTGTGATTATGAGCATGATGAGATTGAAGAGACGAGCAATCGTTCGGTATCCAGAACAAGTAATTATTCAACATCAACAACCAAAACTAAAACTTGTACAACTGAACAATAAAGAAGAACTTGGAAAATTACTCGGAAATATGGTGCTATTTACTTGGTGAAGAATATTTTCATACAAGTACTCAATGAATTTTTCATGATTATACTCAAAGTCCTCCAAATTTCATGACAAAATCGAAACTCTACAATTCCACGTCATCAAAATCGCTGCAAGACCCAAGTCCGCCAGGGAATCTTGCTTGGTATTGATAGGAATAAGGTGCTCCTGGAAGGTTCCAGTTTCAGAAAAAAAATCCAGTAGCAACTCAGCCCCCAAACTCATAGCCTGAAAATGTGACCTGGAAAAACCCTCTGGAAAATATTCCCAATAAAAAAGGTCCTGAAAATAAATTGAAAAATTGAAAAAAAAACTATTTTTGAAACGTGTTCCACATATTCCAAAAAACAATAGATAATTTTCACTCTTGAATTTCGAATCCACACATTTTCGTGAGGAAAAACATCAAAATTTCTTACTGCAACAACATGAGTCTAGTTGATACCTTCGATATTTTGTCATTCTTATTGAAACACTTGAAACCTTCAGCTTGGAAAAACGATCGGCCAGTAAGTGAAAAATCCGAATCTCGTGTCCTAAAACCCAATTTTTCCAGCAATCTTATAACTTCGAAGAACTAAAAGTGTTGGCAAGAATGGCAACGGAAGTTTTGAAAAATGATAGGAGTTTGGAACGAGTAAATCCACCTTGTACAATTGTCGGTGATATTCATGGACAACTGTCGGATTTGATTCGGATTATCTTTTATAATGCCGCAACTGGAAATTTGGGGTTGGATGATTTGAAGACAGGAAAGTGGGTGATTTTCTGAAACTATTTCGACCTGGTGACGACCGAAAAACAATAAAAAAAAAAATGTTGCGAAAAATTTCGAACTCGCATAGCGTGACCCTGCGCTAGGCACCTCACATTTTTTAATGTGTTTTTTTCTCTCCATTATTTCGTTTTTCTTTTTTCGCCAAAATCTTATCCGTATATCAATGTACTGTAAAAATTTCAACATGATTTGAAGTGTTGAGTAAAAAAAGGTTCCCTTGTTAGAGTTGTTCTGGAGGCTCGATAAAGATTTTTCAAAAAAGTTTGGGATCTGAAATTCACTCTGAATACTGTGAACAAAAATAATTTCTCAAAAATTTGTGATCTTTTTTTTCAGAAGCTTTTTTTCTTGAAAAATCATCGGATTTCAGAAAAACCGTCTGTAATCGAACCTACAACCCTAAGTCATCAGATTCTTGACCCAAAGTCCCGATTTTACGCAATGTTCCAAGTTTGCCACGTCATAACTCTACGACAAAGGAATCAGAATGTCGAAAACTACTAAAAAACATATAGTCCAAAAAATCTCGGTTTTAAGTTGAAAAATTTTTCATGTGAACACATTTGTGGCATCAAAAATCTAACAAGGGAACCTTTTTTACTCAACATTTAAAAACTTGATGAAATTTTGAGAATAGCAAGCTCGGAAAACCAGTCCGACTTTTATTTTTCTCCCAATCGACCTTGGAGCCCAGTTCTGAGCTCTCAAAAACTCAAAAAAGGCTCGTTTCAAGAATAATTTTTGGGAAAAATAAAGTTTCAGATATTCATCAGCATAGTCGATTTACCAAACGTACATCAATAAAAAAGTTTTTTTTCGAAAAATTTTGGAAATTTTTACTTTTCCGCTGAAAATTCATATGCTCATACTTTTTTTAAAAATCAAAAAAAATTTTCTGAAAATTTATTTTATCCATGCATTTTGAGTGAATCGACTACGCTGATCATCATCTGCTACTCAGTTTTTCACAAAAATCATCGTGAGCTGAGTTATGATGACATTTATGAGCCAATTTTAAAACTTTTGAGAGCCCAGAACTTGGCTCAGGTGTCCATTGGAAGACTAAAATTTTTAGGATGTTCTTTTGACCCCAAAAGCTGTCTCTGAACCAAATTTCATCATAATTTGAAGTGTTGAGTAAAAAAATCAGCAGTATTTCAAAAAAAATTTTTTTTTGCAGTTTTTTGTTCCTTGGGGACTATGTTGATCGTGGTGCAATGTCGACTGAATGTATTTGTGTGTTATTTTCGCTCAAATTAATCTACCCAAAAAAATTCATACTTCTTCGCGGAAATCATGAATGCGCGGATATCAACCGAGTGTATGGGTTGCATCAAGAATTGATCGATCGAATTGGCGAGCAAAATGGGGAGGTTATTTGGCATTTATTCAACGAATCTTTTGCACATTTACCTTTGGCAGCAGTTGTTGGTATGAGAATTCTTTGTATGCACGGTGGAATATCACCACATTTGAAAAGTTTGGATGACATTCAAAAAGTGAGTGATCCCTCCCAAACCTGAAGAAAACACAAAAAAATAAGTAAAAAAAAAATGTTGCAAAAAATTTCGAACTCGCATAGCGTGACCCCAAAAGCCAACGCGCTACCACTGCGCTAAGCACCTCACATTTTTGAGTGTGTTTATTTCTCTTCATTATTTCGTTTTTGTTTTTTCGCCAAAAGATTTTTTTCAGCTGTGTTGGTTGCAAATTCCCTCAATAAAAAAATCAATATTTCCTAAAGTTTCTCCAATTTTCAGATATCGCGTCCGATTCGAGAAGTGAAATCTCATCAACTTGCTCAAGATTTGTTATGGTCAGATCCAATGGATCAAGCAAGTGTTCTCAACTCCTCGAATCACCCGACTTAATCGGAAAATTGTGTTCGCGGTTTATCCTGTATGTTTAACAGCAAAGCAATTGAAGAATGTTGTAAATTGTTGAGAATCGATATGATTGTGCGAGCCCATCAGATGAAACAAAATGGATTTGAGTTTTCCGATAATCGAAAATTGGTGACAATTTTTTCGGCTCCAAATTATTCGGGAAGCAATACAGTGGGTTATTTGAGGCGAATTTCTTTGAAATATTTTGAATCGGACCAAATTTTTATTTTTTTTTCAGAATTTAGGTGCGACTATGAATGTTATGGCGAATGGCAAAATCAGCTTCAACCTTCTGAAAAACCATCAGAAAATCGACAAAATTGCTGAAAAATCATCGTCGATCACAGGAAGTGTTGATTAAAAACTCGGTTTTATCAGCTATGGAAGTATTATCCATTTTGTAGTATTACTTGTGTCTGATAAAATATGCATTTTTTTATTTCAGGTCTGAAGAAAACGTATATTTTTTTTAATTTTGCTCCAGTTTGCTCCAGTTCCAAAAATATTTTCTGAATTCCCCGTGTCAAAAAGCCAGAATACTGTGAATCAGACCTGGGAATTTTTTACGAGGCACCGTAAAACGTAAAACATACTTTTTACGGTTTTGAAAAACCGTAAAATTACGAGAAAAACGTAAAATTTTGTTACTCAATCTTTTCACTGAAAAACAGAAATAATTTCTTCAGAAATAGCGAGTTGGTAACTTATCGTAACTCCAACACATTTTTAACTATATTATTCTTCATATTTGTCAAAAATTAATCAGTTAGGATTAAATCAAAATTTTCTTTGAAAAATGTTGTGTTTTTTTTTTTGACTATAGTTAAACTATATTTAGTGATTTTTTCAAACGAATTATTTTACGATTTTTTGAGCGGTAAAACCGTCAAATGGATTTTACGGTGAAATCCCGTAAAAACCGTAAAACGATAAAAACGAAAACGTAAAAATTCCCAGGTCTGCTGTGAATATATGAAAATTTACTTCTCATAAATCAAAACCACAATTTTGTGAGAAAATTTGATGATTTGGAAGTTTTCTACAGAAATTTTGGATTTCTCGTGAACTTTGCAGCTTTTTGATATTAAACATGATGAACTTTGGAGCAGGATAAATATTACCTACAGTTTGGGTCTTGCAGCGATTTTGATGACGTGGAATTGCTCGATTTTCATGAAATTTGGAGCATTTTGAGCTGCAACAATTTCGTGGCAAGACCCATTTTTTGGTCTAAATTTGGTTACTGTAGGGTCTCACCACGAAAATCTTCAAAAAACTTTAATTTCGGGGTTTTTGGATATGTAATCCCCATATCTAAAAACCCCGAAATTCCCGAATTCAAATTTTCAGAAGATTTTTTTTTGAAATTCGGAGCATTTTGCTCAGAATTTCGAGCTCTACAAGATGCGCCGGGTTCCGCCGCGCAAAAAATCCACAGTAACCAACAAAAAATTTATTATCACTCGACAAGAAATCTGACTATACTTGATTACAATATAAAATAGAGGACTAGAAAAAAAAAACATTTTCACCTAACCAAAAAATTACAGTAAGACAAACTTTTAAAGGGACAGACACCTCCTGAGGCTGGGGCAAAAATGAACATTTTGTTGAAAATTAAAGAAAATCTGGGAAAAAATGAGCTGGAATGACAGGAAAAATTCGAAAATTTCGCAAAAAATTGAAATATGGAAATTAAAACCCGCTGATTAATTGAAATTTGAAGTTTTTTAGAATTAATTAATTAATTAGAAGAAAAATTAGATAAAAAATTGAAATCCTATGAAAAAATTTGATTTTCAGGAAGCCTGGAAGGTCCGCGGCCGAGCAATTTGTAAAAATAGTCGTTCTCCGGAGGCTTTGACGAAAGTGACGGCGGAAAGCTGGAAAAAATCGGGATTTTGGGTGGGAAACCGTGCCAGGGTTGCAAAAAGGGGCGTGGCTTGGGAATCAGCTCGAAATTCCGGTTCGAAAGATATCTCACAAGGTATAGAAACTGTGCGGATGTTGCAGAAGGGGGCGTGGCCTAATTTTACTTTAAAAAGGGAGAAAACGTGCCAGGGTTGCAAAAAGGGGCGTGGCTTAGGAATCAGCTCGAAATTCCGGTTCGAAAGATATCTCACAAGGTATAGAAACTGTGCGAGGCTTGCAAAAAGGGGCGTGGCCTAATTTCACTTTAAAAAAGGAGAAAACGTGCCAGAGTTGCAAAAAGGGGCGTGGCTTGGGAATCAGCTCGAAATTCCGGTTCGAAAGATATCTCACAAGGTATAGAAACTGTGCGGAGGTTGCAAAAAGGGGCGTGGCTTAATTTCACTTTAAAAAAGGAGAAAACGTGCCAGGGTTGCAAAAAGTGGGCGTGGCTTGGGAATCAGCTCGAAATTCCGGTTCGAAAGATATCTCACAAGGTATAGAAACTGTGCGGAAATTGCAAAAGTGGGCGTGGCCTAGCCTTATGAGGTATCATTCAAAAGCCCTCCTCGAGTAGATCAAAACCCTGCGGCACAAAAAAGTGGGCGTGGCCTACCTGATCCGTGACGGGCAGCGCATTCACCGCCATAATTCGATCGCCAACTTTGAGTTTTTCCGCTGCAGCCGAGCCTGGCTGCAATGACGTCACCAGAATGCCACGTGTCCGCTTCCCAATGCCCATTCCAAGTTGTTGATCGACAGCCTGGAAAAACTACAGTACCTGCCTGGACTACGGTAGCTACCGTACCTTTTTGAGCTCCACGAGCATCGTATCGCTTCCCTCCTCCTTTAAATCATGAATTATATCGATGGCCAGTGAATTGTTGTTATTTGCAGTGCTGGTTTTGGGTTGCGATTGGAGCGAACTTGCTTCTTTTGGTGGCTGCTCCTCCTCTTCTTGCACACTCTTCTAGAAAAATGACGTCATGTTCCTTTAAAAAGGTCCCAAGACGAAAATTGAAATTTTCAGGAAACCCTGTACATATGGGTGTCTAAAATCCCCAAATTCCACGAAAAAATCAAAAATCGCTACGAGACCTTGTGAAAATCGCTGGAACTCAGGATAGGTACGGTATGCGCCTTTAAAAATCGAAAAATTAAAAAAAAACGATGTGATATATCAAAAAACTCCTAATTTCATGTGGATTTCAAAAATCGCTACGAGACCCTTTGAAAGTACGGTATGCACCTTTAAAAACTCAAATTTCTTAGAAAATCCTATAGGATAGTCATGTGGGGTGTCAAAAATCCCCAAATTTCACGGAGAATTCGAAAATCGCTACAAGACCCAATGAAAATCGCTGAAACTTAGGATAGGTACGGTATGCACCTTTAAAAATCCGAAAATTTCAAATATAGTCATGTGAGATATCAAAAAACTCCAAATTTCCCCTAGATTACTGTATGCACCTTTAAAAAACTCACAAAATCCGTTCCGCTGCTCGGCTCCTCCGTGACCGGGCTCAATCCAACACTTTCCTGCTGCGAAATGTCACAACCATCCGGCGCGGTATGCGTTATAATTGGACGCGGAAGCATCGGCGGCGCCGGGGGCGGCACATCTTTTTCCGCGTTGGACTGCGTTGCGGTCTGCGTCGCGGTTCGTGACGTGGAAGGCGGTGATGTGGGTGAGGTTTCCTGGTTGTTGGATGGTGTATTGTTGTTTTCCGTGATAATTGGTGGTTGCTAGAAAATAGTTGGGTTACTGTACCTCCCTTTAATCAAATTTGGATACTGTACCTACAGTACTACTACTGTAGCTACAGTATCCCTAGGTAAGCACGTGCAGAGAATTGCCCAAAAAATCATAAAAAAACATGCCAGTGGTGTAAAAAATCAGATGGTGTGTTCAAAAAACCAAAAGAAAAATGTTGTTGATCTACAGTACCCCTACAGTACTCTAGATCTACAGTAATCCGAGAAAAAAATCAGGCTTCTTCTACTTCACGTGTCTCACCTGTCGTCGACCAACCCGTGGTGTTGTGGCGGATTTCGCCAGCGCTTCTGTGGCGGCATGAACACGGTTTGCGGTTTCGGTGATCTTCCAGCGGCCGAGCTGCAAAATTTTATCGATTTTGGAGCTCCTGGGGACCATTTTGATACCCAATTTGATATACTTACGAAAAACCGTGCCAGACTTGCAAAAGTGGGCGGGGCTTATAGTTTTAAGCTTATTGAAGGGCAGGTGAATTTTCAGAGTGACCTGAGGATTCGAAAAACATCCAACACTATAGGGTTTAGTGATTTTCAAAAAACCGCGCCGCAATTTGCAAAAGTGGGCGGGGCTTAGAAATTTACTATTTGAAAATGCTAGGAGAAGCTTCAGAATGTCTCGAGGATTCGAAAAACACCCAACACTACTAGATTTGGAAAAAATTCGAAAACCGCGCCGCAATTTGCAAAAGTGGGCGGAGCTTAGTTGTCTGCGGCGCGGTTTTTGAAAATATTCAGAAATATGTCATGTTTGGTGTCAAACTGAAGCTCTCGATGAACCCTGAAGGAATTTGAAAAGCTCTGAAAATTTTCCTGCAATCCTGGCACAGAAAAGTGGGCGGAGCCTAATGAATTTCAAAAAATGGGTCATGTTTGGTGTCAAACTGAAGCTCTCATGAAGCCCCGCCCCTTTCTGCAAGTCTGGCACAGTTTTTCGACCTACCTTCAGATGAACTTTCCCGGTACAGGTCTTCAAAATGGCTGCCACATCCTCCTGCATACAACCCGACACATCTTTGCCATTGACTTCGAGAATCTGATCGCCTGGCATCAGGCGACCGTCGGATTCCGCAGCTCCGCCTTTCACAATTTCGCTGACGTAGACTCCGGGCTCATTTTTTCGACCGACTGGAAAAAAATTGGGGTTTTTGGGGGTTGCCACGTGGAATTTCAGATTTTCAGGCTGAAAATTTGGAAATTTCAGGGTTTTGAAGGTTTTTTTTGGGGATATTTTTTGAGTTCGAAAAATTTTCAGACATTTTTTTGCATTGCTCATATTTGCCACGTGGAATTCATTTCAGAAAATTTCCAGAAGTTTCCCATTTTTTCAAGAAATTTTCTGAATTTAAATTTAAATTTTTCAAAATTTCAGAATTTTTTGCATTGCTCATATTTGCCACGTGGAATTCATTTCAGAAAATTTCCAGAAATTTCCCATTTTTCCAAGAAAAATGGGGAATTCCTGGAAAAATACTGAAAAATTCATGAGAATTCCAGAGACGATTTTTTTTCTGGAAAAAACATTTTTTTTTTCAAAAAATAATTTTGCCACGTGGAATTTTTAGCTCAAAATTTCATATTGAAATTTTTGAAAATTCAAATTTTTCACAAATTTTTCCACGTGGCACAAGATTTTTTTTAGCTGAAATTGAACATTTGAAATTTTCTACAAACTTAGGAATTTTTATCTGAAAAATTCAAATTTCAAATTTTGCCACGTGAATTTTTTTGGCTCAAAATTTTCAAAATTTAAAAAATCTGAAAATTTTCAGGAGAGTTTTCAGAATTCAACAATTTTTACTGATTTTTTGAGTTGAAATCAATTTCTGAAATTTTCTACAAAATTAGACATTTCTGAAATTTTTATTTGAAAAATTCAAATTTCAAATTTTGCCACGTGGCACAAGATTTTTTTTTAGGCTGACAAAAATGAGGCATTCGGGTATTTCTATACACTAATTTTATTTTTACACGTTTGCAGAAATGCCCGAATACACTTACACTTTTACACTATATACATTTTTACAATAATACACGAATACACTATTTTTGCTCCGGCTTGGAAAAAAGAAAATAAATGTCAAAATCTCAATGTCGAAACAGACCAATGGTTTCCTAAAGTGAATAAAAGAGTTCTGTTCGAAAATAAAGGATTTTAGAGTAAGAAAAAGGTTTTTTTTCGAATAATAAATAGTTTCAGAAAATGAAAAAGGAATATAAAAACCTGTTTAGAAAATGAAGAAGTCACATTTCTTGGCATTTGGGTTAGTATAACTCTGATTTTCAGACTTGAACAGAAAAAAAACATTGAAGTATCAATTTCTCTGTGATGTTATGCTTTGGCTCTGCTAATTCTCAAATAAGGACTGTTTTTTCACTATTTTTCAGTCTATTTCGGCACTTTCAACAACTTTTTTCCAGAAAAATAGTGTAAAAGTGTAAAGGTGTAAAAGTGTAGCCTTATAAATAAAAATAGTGTAAACGGGCATCATTTCTAAAAACGTGTAGTGTAAATGGGTAAGCCATTTTTGAGCATTTCTGAAATGAGTGTATTCGGGTAATTTTTTGCCAGCCTATTTTTTTTTTAGCTGAAATTAAAATTTTTGAATCCAGAAATAAAAAAAAATACTTTAGAAAATCTGGAATTTCAGATTTTTTCTGGAAAAAAATTTTGCCACTTGGAATTTTTTGGCTCAAAATTTTTTTTTAGAAAATTCTCAGTCCCTGAAATTCATTTTTTGAATTTCGGAATTTTCTGAAAAAATTAATTTTCAAATTTTGCCACGTGGCAAAATTTTGAGGCTTAGTTAAGCCTAAGGCCTAGCCTAAGCCTAAGGCCTAGGCTTAGACTAAAGCCTAGGCTTAGACTAAAGCCTAGGCTAAGCCTAAAGTTTAGGTTAAGCCTAAATAAAGCCTAGGCTAAGCCTAAAGCCTAGGCTAAGCCTAAAGTCTAGGCTAAGCCTAAAGCCTAAAAAACCGTGCCAGAGTTGCAGAAAAGTGCCCAAAACCATATCATGTTTGGTGTCAAAATGAAGCTCCGCCCCTTTCCTGCAAGCCTGGCACACTTTTTTCTGTCCACCAACTCACCAATACTAATTCCCAATCCGCGTCCCGCTTTTTTCGCCAAATCAATCTCAAACATATTATAAATCTGTGTCGGATCCAAAAGTGACAATTGCAGATTGACATCCCTGTAGATCAGCAGTCGAACCTTCGGCGGAGTCCTTCGCAAATACGCAATCGACTGATCATGCGTCACACCGCGCAACGACACTCCGTTCACCTCCAAAACCTGATCACCGGGTTTCAAACGTCCGTCGTGAGCGGCAGCTCCGTCCGGATAAACTTCGTGAATGACTACGGTACCGAGTACGGTATCCGCACCGCCCACAATTGATAAACCCAAACCTTTTCCGTCTTTGTCGATTTCGATCATTGTTTCTTTAGCGTTGTCGATTGGAGCGGTTCTTTCGACGGAAAATGATTTTTTTCGACCTGAAATTGAATTCAGGATTGGCTGGGAGTGGGAAATTCAAATTCTGCGCGATTTTTTGATCTGGGAACTTTTTTGGATGAAAAAATCGGGGTATTTCGACCTGAAATTAAATTTGGAATTGATTAAGGGGCTTTTGGAGCAAAAATTAGGATTTTTCGACCTGAAATTAAATACCGGATTGGTTGGGGTTGCGAAATTCGAATTCAGTGGGATTTTTTGATCAGGGAACTTTTTTGGATGAAAAAATTGGGGTTTTTTCGACCTGAAATTAAAATTTGAGCATTTTCTGATTAAAAAATTCGAAAATTTCCTAATTTTTCAATCAGATGACTTTTATACGGAAAAAATTCACAGTTTTTTTCACCTGAAATCAAATTAGGGATTGATTAGGGGGCTTTTGGACCAAAAATTAGGATTTTTGGACCTGAAATTAATTTCAGGTTTATTTTTTTAATAGCAAATTTTGAGCATCTATTCAAACTCTAGCAATTTCAAAAATTCATCAAAAAATATCAAAATTTTTTGAAACCTATTTTTTCGCGGAAATTTTTTGGATGAAAAAAATGGGGATTTTTCAACCTGAAATTAAAATTTGAGCATTTTCTGATCAAAAAATTCGAAAATTTCCTAATTTTTCAATCAGATAACTTTTATACGGAAAAAATTCACAGTTTTTTTCACCTGAAATCAAATTTGGGATTGATTAGGGGGCTTTTGGACCAAAAATTAGGATTTTTGGACCTGAAATTAATTTCAGGTTTATTTTTTTTTAATAGCAAATTTTGAGCATCTATCCAAAGTTTAGCAATTTCAAAAATTCATCAAAAAATATCAAAATTTTTTGAAACCTAGTTTTTCCCGGAAATTTTTTGGATCAAAATTTTTCTGGAATTTTTAAAGGGACATTGGATTTTTTGAACAAAAATTTGAAATTTTCAAATTCTTCTGATTCGAGAACATTTTTAAATCGAAAACTTGGGATTTTTTCGATTTGAAATTAACTTTTGAAATTTGCCACGTGGAAAAAATGCTCCAAAATTTGTGGCTCAAAAATTCCACGTAGCAAATTCGAGCTCAAAATGCTCCAAAAAGTGTGGCTCAAAAAATTCCACGTGGAAAATTCGAGCTCAAAATGCTCCAAATCCCATGCCACGTGGCATATTCACTATCAAAATGCTCCAAATTCGGGCTCACCATCACTGGATCCGGTCGAAATTTGCTCGCTAGTTTCAACAGCCGTCGGCGGAGCCATTTCTTGCTCTTTTTCAGCTTCTTCTTCCTCTTCTTCTTGCTCTTCTGGAGATTTTTCAGCTTCCGAGTTGGGCTGGAAAAAAATGCGTTTTTGTGAGCAATTTTCAGCTCGGCTCCACAAAGACAAAAGATTTTTTTTGTGGGCAAAAAAATGCATTTTTGGGAAGAAAATTAGGGGGGTGGCGAGAGATGGAGAGACGCCAGACGGTTAGAGTTTAATTAGCGCGTTTTGCTCTATAGAAGAATGGAGGCAAACTTTGCTTTTAGCCCGGGGAAAATGGCAATAAATGTGGCCAGGGACGAAAATCTAGGCCACGCCCACAAATCTGTGCCGCATTGCAAAATTTAGCTGGATTTTTTTTTTAAATTCAGAAATTTCATCAGTTTTTTAAGCCTAAAATTAGGAAAACTGGAAATAAATCTGAAATTCAGAAAAAAAAACATCAGAGTTAGCCTAACTTCAAAATTTCAGAAAATCTTCTGAGCCCAAAGCTTAGGAGGACTTTAATAAACTTCAGATTAGCCTAAATTGAGTCTAAAAGCCTAGAACCCTAATTGTAGGCCTAGATCCCTAACCCTAGCCCAAAAACCTAAGCCTAACCTCAAGCCTGAAAATCCTGAGCCCAAAATTTTAGAAGCCTGAATCTGAGATGTCTAGATCCCTAAGCCTAAGCTTTAAAGGTAAGCCTAAGCCTAGATCCCTAAGCCTGAACCCAAAACCTAAGATCTCTAAGGCCCAAAATCCCTAAGCCTACATCTAGAGCTTCTAAGGCCCATATCCCTCCTTTAAGCTAAATCTAAAAAGCCTAAAGATCTCTAGACCCTTAAAATCCTTAAGCCTAAGCTTTCTAAGGTCCAAATCTCTAACCCTAAGCCCAAACCTAAGATCTCTAAGGCCCAAAATCCCCAAGCCTATATCTTGAGCTTCTAAAGTCCATATCCCACCTTTAAGCTAAATCTAAAAAGCCTAAAGATCTCTAGACCCTTAAAATCCTTAAGCCTAAGCTTTCTAAGGTCCAAATCTCTAACCCTAAGCCCAAACCTAAGATCTCTAAGGCCCAAAATCCCCAAGCCTATATCTTGAGCTTCTAAAGTCCATATCCCACCTTTAAGCTAAATCTAAAAAGCCTAAAGATCTCTAGACCCTTAAAATCCTTAAGCCTAAGCTTTCTAAGGTCCAAATCTCTAACCCTAAGCCCAAACCTAAGGCTTCTAAGGCCCATATCCCTCCTTTAAGCTCAATCTAAGAAGCCTAAGGATCTCCAGACCCTTAAAATCCCTAAGCCTAAGCCTAAGCCTAAGCCCAAAAAAAAAAAATCCCCCAAGGCCTGAAAAAAACGCGCAAAAAAAACACAGCGCTACTACTTTTACTCATCGTGGCTCTGCTTTTTTTGCCTGCTCGCGCGCCAAAAAAAAAAATACTCACACACACACACACTCACTTTTTCTCTAACGGGTAAAAAATATGTGCCTTAAAACTAGAGAGCGAGAGAGTGAGAGAGTGGCAGACAGCGAGAGAGTAGACAACAACTAGTTGAAGGGGGCTCTTTATTAGGAGAAGGAGAAGAAGGAGCTGTGTGTGTGTGCTCACAGAGCTCTAGAGCTCTAGAGCAGCTGAAAATTCAGCCAACTTTTTTTCTCTGGGGGCCAAGCTCCGCCCCCGGGGCTCCGCGAGCAGCAGGCGACGTCGATTTTTTTTCAGCGACAGCGCAAAAAAAAAAAACTCGGCGCGGAGAAAGAAACAAATTCTGATGAAGAGGCAGGAAAAATAGAGGGGGGGGCTCAAGTTTTTTTCGCGATTTTTTTTGTGCGGCATGGAAAAGTGGGCGGGGCTTAGAAATTTGAATGCGGCATGGTTTTGTGGGCGGAGCTTAGAGCTTATTTCAGATTTTTCAGAAAATTGTAAAATTTTGATCCTAACATGAGCAATGCTACAAAAATCTTCAAAAATTCAAATTTTTGAGAAAATTGCAAAATTTTGATCCTTAACATGAGCAATGCTACAAAAATCTTCAAAAATTCAATTTTCTCAGAAAATTGTAAAATTTTGATCCTAGAATGAGCAATGCTACAAAAATCTTCAAAAATTCAAATTTTTCAGAAAATTGTAAAATTTTGATCCTTAACATGAGCAATTCTACAAAAATCTTGAAAAATTTAATTTTTTCAGAAAATTTTGAATTCAGGCTGAAAATATAGACAATTTTTCAGAATTTTTTCGAAAAAATGTGCAAGTACACAGAAAAGGTGTCAAATTTCAGCCGGAGAAAAAACATAGGAGAGAAATCCGAGCAGTTAGAACTTAGCCTAACTAATTAGCGAGAAATGGCTCATTTTTCGGGGAAAAAAGCTGGAAATGCTCAAAAATCTGAAATTTAGGCTGAAAATACTCAGAAAATCTAATTTTTATCAAATTTAGGCTGAAAATGCTCAAAAATCTGAAATTCGGGCTAAAAATTCTCAAAAATCTGAAATTTAGGCTCAAAATGCTCAAAAATCTGAATTTTGGGCTCAAAATTCGCAAAAAATCCTATTTTCATCAAATTTAGCTATAAAAACTCAAGATTTTTGAAATTAATGCTGAAAATGCTCTAGAAATCTGAATTTTGGGCTCTAAATTCTCAAAAACCTGAATTTTCTATAGAATTTAGGTAAAAAACTCAAGATTTTTTGAAATTTAGGCTCAAAATTTTCAAAAATCTGAAATTAGTGCTGAAAATGCTCAGATTTCTGATTTTTCATCAAATTCAGGCTGAAAATGCTCAGAAAATTCTATTTCTCTCAATTTTAGGCCAAAAATTCTCAAAATTCTGAAATTTGGGCTCAAAATGCTGAAAATTCTGAAACTTAGGCTCAAATGCTCAGAAAATCTGAAAATGCTCGAATTTAGGATTGAAATGCTCTAAAAATCTGAAATTCATGCTGAAAATTCTGATTTTCTATAAAATTCAGGCTGGAAATGCTCAAAAATCCTATTTTGCTCAATTTCAGGCTCAAAATGCTCAGAAAATCTGAAATTCCGGCTGAAAATCCCCCGAAAAACTCACAATTTCCCCACTTCCGCTTCCGCATTTCAAACTATCGCCACGTGGCACCGCACACTCGTTGACCGCGCCGTCGACGCGTCGGAAGAGCACAATTTCGACGTGCGGATGTGCGTCGCAGCACTCGCGGACGATTGCGGACGCGGTGACATGCGATATTCCGCGCAGAACACGTCCGTTGATCTGAAACGATGAAAATGAATTTAGGCCACGCCCACAAAACTGTGCGGCGATCATTTTGACACCAAACAAGGCAGGGTTTTAAGCCACGCCCACAAAACTGTGCCATGGCATGTTTGGTGTCAAAATGCTCCAAATTCGATGGGAAATTTGAAAATCTGAAAATTTTCAGTCAAAAATTTTCAGCTCACCTCCAAAAGTTCATCACCAACTCGAATTGCCAGCGGACACGCCGGTTTCACCAGAACCACAAAAACACTTTGCTTTTCTCGATTTCTGGAAACAAATGGGGGTCGGCTGAGTATCAAATGTGGGTAGGTACGCAGCCAATTCTCTGCTTTTTTACTTGACTGAGTATCTAATGTTAAGATACGCAGTCAAATTGAATATCAAAATTAGTCAAAAATTCGTGTTGGCTGAGTATCAAATGCCCAGATATCAGGCACGCAGCGAAATTAGATAGCTGAGTATCAAACGTATTTTTTCTAGGTACGCAGTGAAATTAATTTTTAGTCTGAGTATCAAACGTACGCAGCCAAATTTTACAGCTTAAATTAGACAACCTAGTAGATCAAAAATTTTGTTGACTGAGTATCAAATGTCCAGATATCAGGTACGCAGCCAAATTTTCATTTATTAGATCAAAAATTGTTGGCTGAGTATTCAATGTGATTGGGTACGCAGTCAATTTTCTGATTTTCTCAAAAGCTGAGTATCAAACGTATTTTTCAAGGTACGCAGTGAAATTATTTTCTAGGCTGAGTATCAAACGTACGCAGCCAAATTGTGCAGCTAAAATTAGACAACTTACAATTAGTAGATAAAAAATTCGTTGGCTGAGTATCTAATGTGAAAGTACGCCGCCAATTTTCAATTTTCATTAGCTGAGTATTCAACGTACGCAGCCAATTTTCTGGTTTTCTCAAAAGCTGAGTATCAAATGTACGCAGCCAAATTAAACAGCGAAAATTCGTTGACTGAGTATCAAACGTAGTAGGTACGCAGCCAATTTTCGCTCACCTATTTCCAGCCAACGAAATGCCCAATCCAGCTTCGGGTTTCTCACAAGCCACCATCAACAATTCGCCAATCGCCGGATTACTGTAGTCCTCCAAACTACCGTATCTCGCCTGAATCTTGGCTCGAGTATAGAAGAAATGCGACGGTTTGTCGTCGCCTGCGGCCGAATTTCGCCGCAGCGGGTGGACGCGTGCGGCCGAATCGTCGTGAATTCCGAGTTCGGATAACTTTTCAGCGCTTGAGGTGGATGGTTTCTCCTGATCTTCTTCGAGATCTTCGTCGATGACAGCTTCGGCTTCTTCGTGGATTTCAGAACTGCTCACATCGGACACGATTAAAGGCACAGTCTGCGGAAAAAATGGGGATTTTGTTTTGGAATAGGATTGCTCATATTAAGGTTTTCTAAGAGTTTCTAAAGAAATTCATAGGATTGCTCATGTTAAACTATATGGGATCGCTGATGTTAAACTTTATGAGAATGTCTCCTGCTAAAAATTATAGGATTGCTCATATTAAACTCAGAGAACATTTCTGAGTATTTCCAGCCTAAATTTCAGATTTTTGAGCACTTCAAGCCTAAATTTGTGAAAAATTCAGATTTTTGAAAATTTTTAGCCTAAAATTGAGAGAAATAGGATTTCCTGAGCATTTAAAGTCTAAATTTAGATACTTTAAAGGATTGCTCATGTTAAAATTTATAGGATTGCTCATGTTAAACTTTATGGGATTGCTCATGTTAAAATTGATAGGATTTCTCATGTTAAGCTTTGTGAATCTACAGTAACTCATTAATTTTTGACTCCAAATAATGATCTACAGTAATTCTACAAACTTTAAAGAATTGCTCATGTTAAACTCAGAAAAAAATACAATTTTCGACGCGATGATTTGACCTACAGTAACCCTACAACCTACATAGGATTGCTCATGTTAAACTATGAAAAAACCCAATTTTCAGCGCGAAAATTTGACCTACAGTAACCTTAGAAAATTATGAGATTGCTCATATTAAAAGACTAAAAGAAATTGATATTTTTTGGCACCTACAGTACCCCTATAAACTACCGTACACTCACCTCATTCGACGGACTCTTCCTCAACGAATCCCTCTTCTTGACACTTCGCAAACTCTTGCGGCTCTCCACACTTTCCTGCTTGCGTATAGCTGCGGAAGCGGAAGCGGACGCAGATTCCTTCCGCCTAATCACCGTATCCTCGCGCTGACATCCGTCCGGCGAGGACGCGGAATCGCACGACGAAGTCGTCGGTGGATCCTGGGTGGGCGGGACCACAAATTGAGCGGGTCCGGAGCCCATCATAGGCTTGAGGGGGGTGGTGATCTGCTGTGGAGCCACGGGCTCTTCTCGGGTCTCGAAGCGAACCGAGTTTACTGTCGAATTCGACGCGGAGTTCACAATATGATTCTGCGGATTTGTGTGCAAGCTCTGGAGCACAAAACGCACCGGATTTTCGGCATTTTTGATCGCATTAACCGCTTGTTCGTGCGTGGCATCACGTAAATCCACGTCATTCACACTGATCACACGATCTCCCATATTCATTTGACCACTTTTGCCGGCCGGCGAGTTGGGCATGACGGATTTGATGAAGATTCCGCACACAGTGTTGCCGGTTCCGGGAAGACCGCCTTTTTGCGAAACTTCGACACGGCCACCGACTATTGAGATGCCGAAAGATTTGTTGGGCTCGCGATGGAGGATTACGGTACGGGCTTCACCCCAGTATTTTGAGCGGGCTAGTTGACGAGCCTGGAACTTGAATTGCGATGGTTAGGGCTCAGGGAGCTCTAGATTTTCAGATTCTCCATAAAATTTGGAGATTTCTGACACCCCACATGACCTATTTTTGAAATTTTAATTTTTGAAGCATTTTCAGGGCCCTCTGAGCTCTGGAACCAGAAATCCAGAAAATTCCAAGCTTCAGGACCCTGTTTTTCAGATTCTCCACAAAATTTGCAAAATTTCGACACCCCACATGCCTTGGTTTTGAAATTTTCAGATTTTGGAGCATTTTCAGAGCTCGCGGAGCTCTGAAACTTGAAATCTAGGAATTCCCAAGCTTCTAGACCCAGTTTTTCAGATTCTCCACAAAATTTGCAAAATTTAGACATCCCATATGACCTATTTCTATGGAATTTGATTTTTGGAGCATTTTCAGAGCTCCGCGAGCTCTAAAACCAGAAATCTAGAATTTTCCAGAGCCCAATCCCAGATTTTCCAGATTCCCCACAAAATTTGGAGATTTTTGACACCCCACAAGCTTAGGTTTTAAATTTTCAGATTTTGGAGCAATTTCAGAGCTCGCGGAGCCCTAAAAATGCTCCAAAATCAACATTTCTCAAAACCTAGGCTTATGAGGTGTCAAAAATCCCCAAAATTCGTGAAAAACCCAATTTTCCTAATCTGTGTCCCTGGAAGTTTCTAGAAATCTAGTTTTAGAGCTCTCGGAGCCCTGAAACTGATCCAAATTCAAAAGTTTTCAAAACTAGGTCATGTGGGGTGTCAAAAATCCGCAAATTTCGTGAAAAATGAGACCCTTGCGGTGAAAACTCTCAAAATTTCAGTTCAGAGCATTTTTCGAGCTCTCGGAGCCCTGAAAATGCTCCAAAATCAAAATTTCTCAAAACCTAGGCTTATGCGGTGTCAAAAATCCCCAAATTTCGTGAAAAATTCAAAAATCCCCGTAAAAATACCTGATTCTGTAGAGTTTCGGATCCTGTAGACGGAGTTCTCGACGTGACTTTCGACATATTACTATTGTTGTTGGAAATCGGCAAATTTTTGGGTTCAGAAGAGGCAGCAGAAGTGGAAGTTAGACCAACTTCAGCAGGTTCACTCAAATTATCGCTAATTGGAGCTGTCAGTTGGGCTCGCGGAGCATTTTCCTCAGCTTCTTCCTCTTCTTCTTCACTATTTTCCAGGGGTTTTAGAGCACCGGGTGAAATTGCGGGCGGTACGGAATTCAGCGGAGTGTCGTTGGAAATTTCGATTCTTGTGTTGGAAACTTCTTCTTCGGTTGACAAAATGTGAAGTTGCGAGTGTCGCGAGCTGGTCGCAGGCGGCGGTTCGCTGTCGCGGCGAATTAATTGGTCGCGGAAGATTGGGGCGACTGTGGCGGTTGGTGGTGGAGGGGGTAGGGGCTCCTGAAACGATTTTTTTTTGATTTTGCGAACTTTTTTGGAATCAAATCTGGATTCTCCATGAAATTTGAGGAATTTTGACACCCCACAAGCCTAGGTTCAAGTGATTTTTAAATTTGGAGCATTTTCAGGGCTCGCGGAGCTCTGAAAATGGAATTCTGGGAAGTATTAGCTACTCTAAGCTAGGAATTTGGATTCTCTATGAAATTTGGAGAATTTCGACACCCCTCAAGACTAGGTTCAAGTGATTTTTAAATTTGGAGCATTTTCAGAGCTCCGCGAGCTCTGAAACTCGAGTTCTGTGAATTTTTATGGTCCAGGAGCAGGACATTCCGATTTTCCATCTGATTTGAGGAATTTTGACACCCCACAAACCTAGGCTTCATCAAATTTCACATTTGGAGCATTGTTGTGCTCAGCGAGCTCTGAAAATGCTCCAAATCTCAAATTTCAAGATTTTTTTCAAAACAAGTGCATTTTTCAAAAAAATTGGAGAATTTTGATACCCCACAAGTCTAGAATTGAAGAAATTTTGAGTTTGGAGCATCTAGAGAGCTCGCGGAGCCCAAAAATGCTCCAAACTCAAAATTCCTCAGAAAAATATCATGTGAGTTGTCAAAAATCTTCAAATTTCATGGAAAATCTGGAAATCGTGATGAAAATCTCGAAAAATCGAAAATCAGAGCTCCAAAAGCTTGTGAGGTCTCAAAAAATCGCAAATTTTCCCCAGAACTTCAAAAAAGCTCCCAATTAGTGCTCACCTCTTCCTCTTCCGCTTTGGGTTCCGCTTTGGGCTCCAACTTTTCGCTTCCGCTTCTAGATGATGAAATTTTCGTCCAATCCGCAGTTTTGTGAACCACACTCAATTCTATTGCGGCATCCGCAATTGCTTCCTGAAATTATAGAAAATTTCAGATTTTCAGTCAAATTTTCAGATTTTTCATGAAATTTAGAGATTTTTGACACCCCATAACCTAGCTTTTTGAATTTGGAGCATTTTCAGAGCTCGCAGAGCACAAAAATGCTCCAAAAATCTAATTTTTCAAAAATATATCATGTGAGGTGTCGAAAATCTTCAAATTACATGAAGAATCCGATTTTCCTGTTCACGGACTCCTAAAACTTCTATAAATCTATTTTCAGAGCTCGCGGAGCACAAAAATGCTCCAAAATTATTATTTTCAAAGAAATATCATGTGGGATATCAAAATTCATCAAATTTCATGAGAAATCCACTAAAAATCATTAGCGCTTCTGAAAATTCCAGATTTTTTCAATTTTCAGCCAAAAAAATCAATAATTCCAGAGCCAAGTCAAAAATACTAGGCTAGCTCAAAAAATTGGCTTAAAAGTGGCAGGGATTATCAAAAGAAAAAATGAAGAGCTGCCGGAAGAAACAAGAGAGAAAAAAAGTGTGAAAAAACACGAGAAAAAGGAGGAGCTCTAGGATTATTGATTCAATTTTTGAATAATGAAAAGAAGAGGGCATTTTCAGGGCTCCGCGAGCTGTAAATCTCGAGTTCTAGCAATTCTGAGCTGCTCAGAGTACGAAATTTCAATTTTCCATGAGATTTGGAGAATTTTGACACCTCACAAGCCTAGGTTCAAGTGATTTTTTATTTTGGAGCATTTTGAGGGCTCGCGGAGCACAAAACCCAAAATTTTCTTGATTTCTAAAAATTCTCACTATGTTTTTTAGCTTTTCCATAAAATTTGGAGAATTTTGATACCCTATGAGCTAAACTTTTGAATTCGGAGCATTTTCAGAGCTCGCGGAGCACAAAAATGCTCCAAACTTCAATTTTTCCAAAATATAACATGTGGGGTATCAAAATTTCCCAAATTTCATGAAAAATCCAAAGTTTTTAGTTATTGACGCTGAAAAAGCCTGAAACTCGAGTTTTAAAGAATTTTCAGAGCTCAAAATGCTCCAAATCTCAATTTTTCCTAAATATATCATGCGGGGTGTCAAAATTTCCCAAATTTCATGAAAAATCCAAATATTTTAGTTATTGACGCTGAAAAAGCCTAGAACTTCAAATTTGGAGCATTTTCAGGGCTCAAAATGCTCCAAATTTCAATTTTTCGAAAATATATCATGTGGGATATCAAAAATTCGCAAATTTTCTGAATTTCCCGCCAAAAAACACCGTACCTTGATCAAATCGCTAACAAAACAATCAATTTCAGTTCCATCAATCAATCTTCCCATTCTTTTTCGAATTTCTTCAGCTTCTTCTTCGGGTACTGTAGAAGATGTTCCTTGGGGCGCATTTTCAACATCATCAATCATCTGAAATGCAAAAAATCGATATTTTCATGGGGGTTACTGTATGTACCTTTAATTTCGCCACTTCTGACATCGAATCCGTCATTATTGAAGGCGCTTCTGTGACGTCATCATCTTCCGGGTCTTGACGCGCTCCGCCGGATAGATAAGGACTACGGTAGAATTTCGGGAAGACTCTGGAAACATTTTTCTGATTTTGAGCAATTTTGGGCTCATAAAACTCTGATTTTCAGATTTTTTAAGAAATTTGGAGATTTTTGACACCTCACATGGTATATTTTCGAGAAAAGTTCATTTTGGAGCATTTTCATAGCTCGCAGAGCACAAAAATGCTCCAAATCTGAAATTTCAGAAGCTGTAGCAGTTTACGCCGGGTTTTACACGGAATTTGGAGATTTTTGACACCTCACACGGTATATTCTCCAGAAAATTTCATTTTGGAGCATTTTTGTGCTCCACGAGCTCTGAAAAATGCTCCAAAATCAAAATTTCTCAAAACCTAGGTTTATGGGGTGTCAAAATTTCACAAATTTCATGAAAAATTCAAATATCATGGTCTCAGACATTGGAAATCTCAAGAACTCCAGTTTCAGAGCTCGCGGAGCACAAAAATGCTCGAAAATCAAAATTTCTCAAAAATATGCCTTGTGAGGTACCAAAATTCCACAAATTTCATGAAAAATCCAAAATTCATGGTCCCGGAGCCGCAAAAAAAACTCACTTTGGCGATAATCGATTAATCATTGGCGACGAAGTTTCAGCCGGTTTCTGGAATCGTTCTTTCCAAGTTTTCGCGTCGGCCGATGTGATATAAGTGACACTGAAATTAATTTCAGATTTTAAGATAAACAATTTTTGGCTGAAAAAATGAAACTCACTTGCAAAATGTGCCTACAAGATTGGTTCTTTTCAAAATTGCGCGAGCCTGCGAATTTGTCGCGTTTCGCAGCGATTCGGTGTTGATTTTCGTCACGAAATCGCCGACCTGGAAATTTTCGAAAAAATTACAAAATTTCTGAAATTTTGAGCCCAAACATGACATATTTTGATGAACTTTGAAATTTGGAGCATTTTCAGAGCTCCGCGAGCTCCGAATCCAGAGTTTTGGGAATTTTCAGAGTCCGAGATTGAAAAATTCGAATTCTTCATGGAATTTGGAGATTTTTGAGCCCAAACATGACATATTTTGGAGCATTTTTTGATTTTTGTGCTCGCGGAGCCCCGAGAATGCTCCAAATTCAAAATCATTCAAAAATAAGCATGTTCGGTCTCAAAATTCCTCAAATTTCATGAAAAATCCAAAAATCACCGCTATGGCACTTGAAACTTCTCAGAACTCCAGCTTTAGAGCTCGCGGAGCCCCGAAAATGCTCCAAATTCAAAAATCATTCAATAATAAGCATGTTTGGTCTCAAAATTCCCGAAATTTCATGAAAAATCTAAAATTAACAGATATAGCTCTTGAAACTTCTTAGAACTCCAGTTTTAGAGCTCGCGGAGCCCCGAAAATGCTCCAAACTCAAAAATCATCCAAACCTAGTCATGTTTGGTCTCAAAATGCTCCAAATTTCATGAAAAATTCAAAAATCATAGGCTAGAGCATCTGGAACTTCCCAGAACTCCAGTTTCGGAGCTCGCGGAGCCCTGAAAATGCTCCAAACTCAAAAATCCTCCAAACCAAGTCATGTTTGGTCTCAAAATTCCTCAAATTTCATGAAAAATCCAAATCCGGTGCTCTCTTACCTGAATTCTTCCATCCAGTGCCACCGCCTTCTTTCCACATATACTTTTCACCACACATCCATTCACACCCTTGTCTTTTTCCGAATCCAAAACCACACCAAGCGGGAGGGGCCCTTTTTGCAATTTTACAGTTCTTTCGAGATGTGCGGGTAGGAAAATGACGTCATAGGCCCAAGATCCTCTAAAATGAGCAATTTTAGGCCCGGGCCCGGGCTTAAGGCCTACCTGAGTGAAATCGGCGATCCACAAGGTGAAACAGATCGTGTAGAACAAGGCGACCAAGACGTCATCGAAAATTCGGACTGAAATGTTTATTTTAGGCTTTTCAGGCTTTTCTAGGCCTAAATTGGCCCGTTTCGGCCCAAAAAACCCCGAAAAAAAGCCCCAAAAAGCCCCCAAAAGCCTAGAAAAATGAAAAAAAATTGTCATACATCTGCCAAACTTCGTTCACTTCGGGCCGTTGATGGACTTCGCGACGGATAGTAGGCCTGCAAAATTTGTTTGGGCCGAAAAAATAAGAGAAGCCAAAAATCAGGGGATTTTTGGAAGCAAAAAAGGACAGAAAAAAAGGGGCGGAGCTTAGAGTGCAAGTGCGGCATGGTTTTGTGGGCGGAGCCTAATTTCACTCTGTGCAAGTGCCGCACACTTTTGTGGGCGTGGCTTAATTCGAGACAATTTTTGAAAATTTGCAAGTGCGGCACACTTTTGTGGGCGTGGCTTACTTTTAGATAATTTTTGAAAATTTTGCAAGTGCGGCACACTTTTGTGGGCGTGGCTTAATTCGAGACGATTTTTGAAAATTTGCAAGTGCCGCACACTTTTGTGGGCGTGGCTTAATTCTAAATAATTTTTGAAAATATTGCAAGTGCCGCACACTTTTGTGGGCGTGGCTTAATTCGAGACGATTTTTGAAAATTTGCAAGTGCCGCACACTTTTGTGGGCGTGGCATAATTCGAGACAATTTTTGAAAATTTGCAAGTGCCGCACACTTTTGTGGGCGTGGCTTACTTTTAGATAATTTTTGAAAATTTTGCAAGTGCGACACACTTTTGTGGGCGTGGCTTAATTTTAAAAATTTGCAAGCCTGGCACACTTTTGTGGGCGGAGCTTAATTCAAGATACTTTTCGAAAAATTTGCAAGTGCGGCACACTTTTGTGGGCGTGGCTTAATTTTAAAAATTTGCAAGTGCGGCACACTTTTGTGGGCGTGGCTTAATTCCAGATAATTTTTGAAAATTTTGCAAGTGCGGCACACTTTTGTGGGCGTGGCTTAATTCTAGATAATTTTTGAAAAAATTGCAAGTGCGGCACACTTTTGTGGGCGTGGTCTATTTTTCTCCAAACAAAAAAAATGGCAAAACAAAGGTGATAGAAAAAAGAGGTAAGCAAACTGCGGCACAGAAAAGTGGGCGTGGCCTGCAAAAAATTACCTGCGGGTGCAATTTCCGATATTGTTCAGCACTTCCGATCCAAACTGTCTCTTGGCTGGAGGTGGTGCCAGAAGTCTGCAATTTTGCGGCACGGTTTTTTTTCTGGCGCGCGAAAAAAAATTTCCAACTCACGTATCGTCGCCTGCCACGTGGACTTCTTCCTCTCGCCAACAATCTCTCGCTTCTCGAGCAAAGCGGAGTGTGTGCGGTGAATTGTGACTGAAAAAGTTATTTTTCAGACGTTGCCACGTGGATTTTCAGATTCCCCGTGAAATTCTACCCCGGAAACATGTTTTCAACAAAAAAAACTTTTTTTTTAAGTGCGGGCACCGGGGATCGAACCCCGGACCCCTCACTTTGTTTGAGATGGCTCAGGTGGTTAGGGATAAAACTAGCAAGTAAAGGGTGGCGGGATCGATCCCGCTAGTGAAAATCTGCCAGATTTTTTTGATTCTTACACTTTTCCGGGTCAGAATTTCACGGCGAGCCCGAAAATCGATACGAGAATTCAGGAAAACTCAGGGTTAGCGCAAAAATCCAAGAAAAACAAGTCTAACCCTAAAAAACAACATTATTAGTTGTATTAGGGGAAAAGGAAAGTGGCTGGCTCGCAAAAAAAAAAACTACTTCATAGAATATTCAATAACTACACCCTGCTCAGGGGGGGGGGGCTGAAAATCAACAAAAATATAGGATTTTCGGGTTTGGAGCATTTTTGAGGACCTAAAATTGGGATTTTTCTTTTTTCCATGAAATTTGATGATTTTTGACATCGAAAATGTCAATTTTTGAAAAATTTTGATTTTCAGAGCTCGCGGAGCCCTGAAAATGCTCCAAAATCAAAATTTCATGAAACCCAGGCTTATGGGATATCAAAAATCCCCAAATTCTCTGGTAAATCCAAATTTCATACTTTGAGCACCTGAAACTTTTCATAGCTCAAGTTTCAGAGCTCGCGGAGCTCTAAAAAATGCTCCAAATTCGCCTAAACTTAACAAAATTCGTCAAATTTCCACTAAAACATCCAGCAAAATTTGGATGTTTTGCAAAAATATAATTATTCATTTTGCATTCTGCAAAACATTGACAAAAAATTTTTGGCAATATAAATCGAAATTTTGAAACGTATTTTTCCCGATTTTTCATTTTTCAATAACAATTTGACTTTTGGGCTGAAAATTGACTGAAAATCGGATTTTTTCAGACTAAAAAGTGGAAGAAATGAGGAAAACTCAGAAATTTCAAATTTGGAGCATTTTTTGAGCTCGCGGAGCCGTGAAAATGCTCCAAAATGAAATTGTCACGAAACAAACCATATGGGATATCAAAAATCCCCAAATTTCCTGGTGAATCCAAATTTCGGGCTCACAGTGTCCAAAAACCGCCCGAAATCGGAAATTTTCAAAAACCAGGTCATTTTCGTCCAAAAACAAAAAATACATGAAGCTCGGGGAGGAAAACGAAGGGGGCATAAAAGGAGAAGCTCGAAAAAGGTGTGTGTGTGGCGAGAGATTGAGAGACGGCAGACAGGCTAGACGTAGGATAATCCGAGAGAGGTTGACAGAGAAAAAAAGACTGTGAAGATGGCGGGCAGAAAATGTGGACGGATTATGTTGTTAGTAGTAATAAATGGAAGAAGGGGCGGACATTTTGTGGACTTTGAGGCGAAAAACGCGGAAAATTCGAGGGATTAGTGAAAGGGAGGGGGATTTTTGCACTTTTCGACAGGAAATTACGACGGAAAATCACCAAAAACTGCATTTTTCACAGTCCCCTAGAAATTTTCAGATTTTGCCACGTGGATTTTCAGATTCCCCTTGAAATTCTACCCCGGAAACATGTTTTCAATAAAAAAAAATTTTTTTTGGAGTGCGGGCACCGGGGATCGAACCCGAGACCCTGTACTCAGATGGCTCAGGTGGTTAGAAATGAAACTAGCAAATAACGGGTGGCGGGATCGATCCCGCTAGTGAAAATTTGCGATTTTTCTTTGATTTTTGAACTTTTCTGGGGTAGAATTTCGAGAGGAGTTCAAAAATCAAGGTTAGAATTCAGGAGGAGCTCGCGGAGCTCTGGAAATGCTCCAAAATTAAATATTGGCTTGTGAAGTGTCAAAAATCCCCAAATTTTGTGAAAAATCACAAAAAAATGAACTTTGGATGAAAATGAGGGCGAAATCTTGAAAATTCAAAATTTTCCGAGAAAAATCCAAAAAATCTGCTCTCAACAAAAAGTTTTCTCGTGAAAAAAGCGAAAAAAAGGCACGAAGAGCACATCCTTCCGTTATCCCTTCTGACAACACAAAAAAAGGCAACAAAATTTTTTCTGAGAGGGGGAGGGGAATTTTCTCTGTGTCCACCCTCAAAAAAAAGCACTCAAGGCCCAATAAATTTTTTTTTCAACTTTTTGAGCTTCTGGAGCTCTGAATTTCGTTTTTTTCGAGTTTCAGCACGATTTTCAGATTTTTCATAGAATTTGGGGAATTCAGACACCCCACAAACCAAGGTTTTGAAATTTTAAAAATTTTGGAGCATTTTTAGAGCTCGCGGAGCTCTGAAAATGGTCAAAATCCAAATTTTCAGGAGTTTTTTTGGCCAAAAATTTTTTTAATGTGAAAAAATTGTGTGAAGCAAAAAAAGCGACGAGGAAAAAAAACAATAATGCGTCAGACACAAAATTTATGACGGGCAATTTTTTTGTTGAATTTTTGGATGAGAAATCAAATAAAATTTCGAAATTGGGAAAATTGAGGGTTTTGAGGCCGAAAAAATCGGGAAAAAAATATGTTTTTTGGAAAAAATTTCAAAAGAATTGCGTGAAAATTTCAAATATTCAATTTTTTGCGCTAAAATTCGGGAAAATGTCAAAAATATCACCAGAAAACTCCTACTTGTCAAAAATATCACCAGAAATCTCCTACTCAACAAAAATAACACCGAAAGTACCCCTTCAGATCAAAAATCACACCGGAAACCTCCTACCTGTCGAAAATAATACCAGAAATCTCCTACTTGTCGAAAATATCACCAGAAAACTCCTACTTATCAAAAATATCACCAGAAGTCTCCTTCTGGTTAGAAAAAAGCCCCAGTGTCAAAAATATCACCGGAAGTCCCCTAACCGACCAAAAAACCACCCACCTGATCAACGGGAATCGGTTTCGCGATTCCAAGCCTAACAGGTCCCATTCTCGCCGCTTTCAGCACAGCCACAGCTCTTTCCAGACTCGAATTTGATAAATCATGATTGTTGACAAAAAGCAGGCGATCTCCGGGTACAATTCGACCGTCGGCTTGAGCAATTCCACCAGGAACCAGCGATTGAACAACTATTACACTTTCGTCACGGTGTGTTGGATCCTGGAGTGAAATTTGGGATTTTTTGGTGAAAATCCGGGAAAAATCGGATTATTTTGAGGTATTGTTGAGAAAAAAAAATTGATTTTTTTTCCAATTTTTTCTCAAAAATTCAAATTTCCCGCCCCAGAAAACCGTACCTTATAATCGACAATTGAAAATCCTAAACCTCTCGAATCCTTGTTCAAATAAATCACCAGCGGAACACAATTCCAAACCGCCAAACCATGGAAATTTTCCAGCGATTTTGAACGCAATTTTCGAGCAACCTGGCAAAAAGAGCATTTTTGACTCTAAATATGATATTGCTCATGTTAAGAGCATCGAAATAACCTAAACACACTCAAACCCCTCACAAACAGCCTAGTAACCAAGTTTTCCTGCAATTTTCTTAAAGGAACATAACTCAACCTGTAGTCGGGTCTCGCCACGATCTCCCTTCAAATCAAATAATTTCCCAGAGAAAAATATACCATTCGATTCAGAATTTCGAGCTCTACAAGATGAGCTAAGTCTTGTGGTGAAACTCTAAAATTTGCGAGAAAAGGTGACCCCCCTCGCTTATGGGTCCCGCCACGATCTCCCTTTAAACCCCACAAATTCCCAGAAGTTAAAGTACCGTTCGATTCAGAATTTCGTGCTCTACAAGATGAGCTAAGTCTTGTGGTGAAACTCCAAAATTTTCGAAAAAAGGTGACCCCCCTCGCTTATGGGTCTCGCCACGATCTCCCTTTAAACCCCACAATTTCCCAGAAGTTAGGGTACCATTCGACTCAGAATTGCGAGCTCTTCAAGATGAGCAAGGTCTTGAGCTCTTAAAATTCCTCAAAATCACTCACCCGATGCAATAAATGTGTAGTTTCGGCTCGAGTTCGTGTCAAATCCACTTCACTTTTCGCTTTCACCCAAGTTTCTTGATTTGCCGCCAAAAATGAGAAGGATAGCGGAAGTTGTTTGTCCAATGTGGTTGGTTCGAAGACATGAAGGTGTTGGGATCTGGAAAATATTTGGGATTACTGTACATAGATCGCTTCGGGACCCAAAAAGACGCATTTTGATATCAAATAAGCCTGGACATTTTTCTAGTCAATATTTTTACGCTGAAAACGCTGGAAGTACCCTTTTCCAGTAAAATTTTGGTTTTCTGAAAGAAATTTCAAATTTGAGTCTAAAAGATCAAAATTCCCACATTAGTATGCAATGAGCAAACTAGAGAAAAATATAGGTCAAACTAGAAAACCTAAACATGTTTTAGGACCAAAATTTCGCGTTGAGAACGATGAGATCGCTGGAAATAGATGATTCCAGCGTTTTCAGCACGAAAAATTGGTCTAGAAAACTTTCCAGGGTGATTATTGAGTATTTTGTTGAAAAAAGTGGTCACCTTATGTTAGTGTAGGGAGCCATTTTCAGTCAAGAAAATTTTTCTGGATCAAAATTTCGCGCTGAAAACGCTGGAAACACCTATTTTCAGTGAACTCATCGTATTCAGCATGAAAAATGAATCTAGAAAAAATTACCGTAAAAATTTGACCCCCTCTGGTCTGATGAATGGGGGGTACATTTTTAACCTAAAGCCTCCCAAAATATTTCTAGATCAAAATTTCGTGCTGGAAACGCTGGAAATATCTATTTTCAGCTAGCTCATCGTTTTCAGCATGAAAATTTGGCCTAGAAACATTTTCTGGGTAAAAAAGTGACCCCCCTTAACGGTAAGTAACAGGGGGGGGTCACCTTTTTTCCACCCAGGGCTCCAAAATGTTCCAAAAACATTTCTAGATCAAAATTTTGTGCTGAAAACAAAGGTTCCACTCAAAATGAGCAATTCCAGTGTTTTCAGCGTCAAAAACTAGCCCAAAACCAACCTTCTTCCAACAATCAACGTTACAGGTGCTCCAGAATGTACAGCCCGTGTAAGTGCCTGCCGCACAGTCACATGCGACTCCCCGTAAAGTGGGCTGTGATTGACTTGCAGTAACTCGTCGCCAGCTTGAAGTACACCAGTTCGAGCGCACGGTCCATTGTGTCGAATTGATTCGATGTAGTGATGTGGACACAATTGCGCTCCATTGAGAACGTCTACAGTACCTTCGAGGGATATTCCGAGGCCACCGTCGGTTGATTGAAGATCGGGTTTGACGACGGCGTGGAGGATTTCAATGTCTTCGCCGATTTTCGATTTCCATTCACGGACAAGATCCGGGTTTGAGAGTTTGACATCGATTACTTGAGTTTCGGTTTCCTGAAATGGGAAATATTGAATTGTTCAGGGCATTTTGGTTCGGGATAGTTTTCTAGACCAATTTTTCATGCTGAAAACGATGCGCTAGCTGAAAATCAACATTTTCAGCATTTTCAGCACAAAAAACTGGCCTAGAAACCTTTTTCAAAATTATTTGTCCGAAAAGTTTAAAAAAAGGTGCAACCCCCTCAAAACAGGGGGGGGGGTCACAAAAATGTTTCTAGATCGATTTTCCGTGCTGAAAACGATGAGCTAGCTGAAAATCAACATTTTCAGCATTTTCAGCACAAAAAACTGGCCTAGAAACCTTTTTCAAAATTATATCAGTCGAAAGTTAAAAAAAAGGTGACCCCCTCAAAAAAAGGGGGGGGGGGAGGTCACAAAAAAGTTTCTAGATCAATTTTTCGTGCTGAAATCGATGGAACTCATCATTTTCAGCCAGCTCATCGTTTTCAGCACAAAAAACCGGTCTAGAAACCTTCTCCAGAGTCAATTTAGTCAAAAGTTTGAAAAAAAGGTGAACCCCCCTCAAAACAGCTGGGAGCACAAAAATTGTTCCAGATCAATTTTTCGAGCTGAAAACGCTGGAAATCATAATTTCTAGCAAGCTCATCGTTTTCAGCACGAAAAACTGGCCTAGAAACCTTTTTCAAAATTATTTGTCCGAAAAGTTTAAAAAAAGGTGAAACCCCCTCAAAACAGGGGGGGGGGTCACAAAAATTGTTCTAGATCAATTTTTCGTGCTGAAAACGCTGAAAATCATCATTTTCAGCCAGCTCTTCGTTTTCAGCACGAAAAATTGATAAAGAAAAGGTATCGGTCGAATATTAGAAGCCCGTTAAACCAAAAAATAATCAAATTTTCCCCTACTAATTTTTCTAGACCAATTTTTCATGCTGAAAACGCTGGGCTAGCTGAAAATCATTATTTCCAGCATTTTCAGCACCCAAATTACCTGCTGCTGCAACATTTTCAAACATTGCGCTTGCGGTGACGTGGATTGAAACCTAACGAGTCGAAGTTTGACCTGATCTCCGGATTTGACCAGAGTTCGAACGCTGTCCGCGTGCGACATGTGCTCCAAACTTGTCGAATTCACCTGGAAGAAACACATGAGGTTTTGGGGAGTACTGTAGGTACTGTAGATCGCTGCGGGACCCAAAATGGATCATTTTGAGATCAAACAAGTCTAGTGCGAGTGTAGATCAAAATTCCGCGTAAGCGGCTCAAGCGGAGCGAGTGCATGTCCCTTTAAACTCAACTACAGTATCCCATGTTTCTTTAAATTACTGTAGATCGCTGCGGGACCCAAAATCGATAATTTTGATATAAAATAAGGCTAGATTAGTTGAGGCTGTCAAAAATCCTGACATATTTTGCCTACCCATAGGTGAAAATGCTCAATTTCGGGCTCATTCTGCTCGCCATGATCCCGGCAAGCTTTTGGCGCTAAATTTAGCGTAACTCACCTCCAAAATCAAATCGTGCACTCGAATCGAACCACTCAAACTGGCAGCACTTCTCGGCACAAGTGACTTCACGAAAATTCCGCCAATTTCTTCTGGAAAAAAAAAATGTGTGTGTGTGGGGGGCGAAAAAATGCAGATATAATTCAATTTTTTGCTGCCGGCGCTTCTTCTTGTGTCAAAATTCAATTTTGGCGGGAAAATGCTCGAAAATATTTTTATTTACTTATATTTTAGAATTTGTGGAAGGAAAATGAAGTGGGGAGATTTTCTGGGCTGAAATTTCGTGCTGAAAACGATGAGCTCGCTGAAAATGAGCAGTTTCAGCGTTTTCAGCACGAAAAATTGATCTGGAAGTGTGATTTTGGGGTAGAAAATTGAATTTGAAAAAAAGTAACCCCCCCCCGGGTTCCCCAAAAACCTCCAAAAACTTTTCTAGACCAAAATTTCGTGCTGAAAACGATGAGCAGGCTGAAAATGAGCAACTCCAGCGTTTTCAGCACAAAAAATTGGTCTAGAAATTTTTTCAGGCTCAAAGATGACCTCCCCCCTTGGACATACTGTAGAGGGGGGTCACCTAATTCCTCCAGGGTTCCCAAAAAATTTTTCTAGATCAGAATTCCGTGCTGAAAATAATAAAATCGCTGAAAATGAGCAATTCCATCATTTTCAGCGCAAAAAATTTATCTAGAAACATTCTTAGGCTCAAAAATCACCCAAAAAATCATTTCCAAGCCAATTTTTTCCCGCCAAAAATCCCCCTACCGTACCCTTCTTATGCACATATCCAGCTACCGTAATCCCCAAGCCAAGTGCCGGATCTCGTTGCAGTTCCACATCAATTTCCTCGAATTTTTGAGCCTGCCAATTTTCGCGCAAAAATACGGTAAGCGCCATTTCCTGCAGTGATTTTAGGGAGATTTTCGATGTTTGGCTTGACGGTGTTTGCAGTTCTTCTGTAGCTACAGTATCCTGGGGTACTGTAGGAGGGTCCGAGGGTACTGTATTCCCATTCACATGATTATTCTCATCTCTTCTATTATAGTTCGGAGCACAATCACAAGGCTTCCTGGAAAAATTTGATCTACCTACAGTAATTTTGGCGCCAAAAACTACCGTACCTCAAATCCACGTGTTCCTCCGCTTGCGGCAACGCTTCCGTCTCCTTTTCCGCTTGCGGTTCTTCCGCAATCGGTGCGCAGCTCACGGACGGTGACATGGTGTTGGGGGTGGGCAGGGCGGCGGTACTTGGCGCTGACGTGGCCATCTGCAAAAATCCACGTGGCTCAGTTTTTGGCGCCAAATTTTGCCACGTGGCAAAATTCGACCTACCTGTCGCTGAATGGCTTCGTCGAGTGTTTGAGCGCAAAGCGCTGCTTTTGTCGCCAGTGTGAAGCAGTCTGGAAGAAATATGAGGTTGAATTTGGCTGCGTACGTTTGATACTCAGCCAAGTTGACAATTCATTTGACTGCGTATTTGATAGATATTCAGCTAAGGAAGGAGGAGAGTTTTGGCTGCTTATATACATTTGATACTCAGCCAAGTAGAAAATTGTCTATTTTAACTGCGTACCTATAGACATTAGATACTCAGTCCAGTCCACTTTTCGAAATAACAGGTAAATTTCCAGTTTCCATTAAAAATCATCAAAATTTGATCTACAAATAAAAATTGGCTGCGTATCTCTAAACCTTGAAAAACATTTTATACTCAGCTACGCAAATAATTTGGCTGCGTACCTCTAGACATTAGATACTCACTCAGGAACTCAAGAATTTGCCTGCGTACCTTTAGATATTAGGAAACATTAGATACTCAGTCATGAGTTTCCTACAATAAATTTCAAAAAATTTGACTGCGTACCTCTCTGCATTAGATACTCAGCTCAAAAAAGTTTGTCAAAAAGAGGTAAAAAAGGGAAAAAAAAGAAGAGCCGGAGACAAATTGAATAAAATTCAATTTGAAATTGTTATGTGTTGTGGCGGGTGGCTCAGCCTAGAAAACTATATAGTTTTTTCTTCTTTTCCAAGTTGCCTGAGTATCAAACGTAGGTACGCAGCCAAATTTTCGCTAAAAACTGACGCTAAAAAACGATTTTTAAGGCCAAAATTGCGAAAAAATGAAGAAAAAAATTTTTTGGGGGACACGAAAAGGCAAAGATGGATAACAAGATGAGCAAAAAATGGCACAAAAAATGGCCGCTCCGAGAAAAAAAAAACGAGAAAACGAAGAAAAATTGGAGAAGATGGCCATATTTATTTATGTATATACATATATATGTTGAAAAATGGCAAGGAAAAAATGTGTAGGCTGAGTATCTAATGTAAGAGGTACGCAGCTAAATTTTTTGAAAAAAAGTTGATTTTTTGTAGATCAAAATTTCCCGTTCACTGAGTATCAAACTTATTTTGTAGATCAAAAAACGCTTAACTGAGTATCAAACGTACGCAGCCAAAACTACAGTAATTCGAAAAAAAAAGAAATCTAATATATTTTTGTCTAAAATGGGCACCTATTTATTTATTCATTTTTGTTGTTTATTATTTTCGGGAAGGGATTTTCCGGAAAAATTTTACGAATAAAAAATTGGCTGCGTATCTTAGATTAGATACACAGCCAACTGGAATTTGGTCAAAATTTGGTTAAAAATGGTCCCCAGGTCCAAAAAATCGCCAAAAAATGGTCCCAAGCCCAGATTTTCATGAAAAATCTATTAAAAATGGTCCCAAGCTCAGATTTCCATGAAAAATCGTTTGAAAATGGTCCCAAGCTCAGATTTTCATTAAAAATGCTCCCAAGCCCAAATTTTCATGAAAACCTCCCCAGCTCTGTTTCACTACCAGGAGTAGTTGTGGCACAGTTTGCGGATGACGTAAAAATTTTCTCATCCATAAAAAACCGGAAGGATTCTGAAAACCTGCAGAAATCCATAAACAAAGTGGTTTCTTGGGCCGTTGAAAATAAATTGGCATTAAATGGCGATAAAACAAAAATACTTTCTATACACACAAAACCAACCAAATTTGAGTATAAAGTAATGGACACAACAATAAACAGAACATCGGTTATGAGAGATCTCGGTTTTTATATCTCTGAGAATTTGGATTTTAGTGACCACTGGACTACATTCACAAAAAAATCTAATTCCCTTTTATATCTTCTTTTTAAGTCATTCACTACCAAAAATCCAAAATTATACTTATCCCTGTATAAAACACATATTCGCTCAATTCTCGAATATGGTTGCGTTGTCACTTCCCCTCCTGATAAATCCACCTCGGATATGATAGAGAAAGTGCAGCGTAACTTCACGAGAAAATTATATGGTAGAGTGACCGGTAAATTCATCAATTACCGAGATCCAGGCTATCTTACTTATGAGGAGAGGTTGGATGTGTTTGAGTTGGAGAAGTTGAGTGACAGGAGGAGAAGATTTGATCTCCGTATGCTTGAAGACATTCTTTCGGGTAAATCTAAAGTAAATTATAAACCCCTCTTTCAAATTCAGAAAACCTCATCTAGATCTCGCCTAAATCTTTTATTCAAAGTCCCCAAAAAGAAAATCCGAAAAAACTTTTTTTCCATGAGAGTAATCCCGGAGTTTATTAAAGGCATCAGACAATATTCAGATGAGTTTCTGGATACTATTACTAGAGCTTCTAACCACTGATCCGAATCTTGATAAAATTAAATTCTAAATTTTAATTTTAATTTTAAATTTAATCCTTCTAAAAACAAGAGGAAAAACCTTTGTGTCTCACAATCAATACTCAAATTAAAGCCATTAATTCATTATAAAAATTTTTGTGCAAATTCCAAGATCTAGTACCACTCCAAAACAGTCAAACCAATGTGTCATTCCCTTTCTTTTTATACGGTTTCTCTTTTTGTTTTTCTTTCTAACTTTCTTTTTTTTTTCCTATTCCCACCCCCCCCCCCATATTATTATTTTTTTCCTTTTTTCTTCTTTCTCACCGCCATCATAATGTAAATAATTCTTAAAAATCAAACCCTACTGGTTAAATTGTGATCACCGCACCCGTGATATTGCTATTCATTTTATCACTTTTTCTCACGATGTACTTTTCCTCTCATCGTAAATAAATAAATAAATAAATAAATAAATAAATAAAAATCCATTAAAAATGGTCCCAAGCCCAGATTTTCATGAAAAATCCATTAAAAATGGTCCCAAGCCCAGATTTTCATGAAAAATCCATTAAAAATGCTGCCAAGCCCAAATTTTCATGAAAAATCCATTAAAAATGCTACCAAGCCCAAATTTTCATGAAAAATCCATTAAAAATGCTACCAAGCCCAGATTTTCATGAAAAATCCATTAAAAATACTCCCGAGCCCAGAATTTCATGAAAAATCCATCAAAAAATACTCCCAAGACCAGATTTTCATAAAAAATCCATTAAAAATACTCCCAAGCCCAGATTTTCATGAAAAATCCATTAAAAATGGTCCCAAACCTGCAGTATCAGTGGGTTTATCAGCATAGGCAATCGGTCTTCCAACAATCATCTCAACTTGTGGATGTTGATGTCGTAGAATGGTGGCAACTTGTTGACTCGACATTCCGTGCGTGTTAATTGATCCAATTTGAAGAATATGGTCGCCGGGTTGAAGTCGACCATCCTGAAATTAAATTTCGAAGGTTCTAGATGAAATTTTCGAGTTCAGCGTGAAATTTTGATCAAAAATGGCTCAAAATTGACCTATTTTGGCTCAAAAAAGAGCATTTTTGAGCAAATTTCCACCCAAGTTAGCCAAACTCACTTTATCCGCTGGACTTCCTGGTAAAATCGTCTTGACCACCACGCCGGTACTTGTTCCACCAACAATTCCGAATCCTAATCCACCTTGATCGGTGCCGAGTCGAATTACTTCAACTTGGGTCCAATCGCCGGACAGCTGCAAGCAAATTTGGATAAAAATTTGAATTTTCAAAATTCCCGCCGAAAACTCTTGAAAAAAAAACTTGAATTTTTTTTAATTTCCCCCCAATTTTTTTGAATTTTTAAATTTTCCCGCCGAATTTTTTTTTTTGAAAATTTAAATTTCTGAATTTTCCCACCAAAAAAATCTTTTTCAAAATTTTAAAAAATTCAAATTTCCCGCCAACATTTTTTTTTAATTTAAAACTTTAATTTTCCCGCCAAATTTTTTGTTTTTGAAAATTCAAATTTTTAAATTTTCCCACCAAATTTTTTTTTTGAAAATGTGAATTTTTAAAATTCCCGCCCAAAAAACTATCCCAGAAATTTTGAAAATTCAAAATTCCCGCCAAATTTTTTGTTTTTGAAAATTCAAACTTTTAAATTTTCCCGCCAAAAAATCTTTTTGAAAATTTGAATTTCTGAATTTTCCCGCCAAATTTTTTGTTTTTGAAAATTTTGAACTTTCAAAATTCCCGCCCAAAAACTATCTCAGAATTTTTTGAAAATTAAATTTTCCCGCCAAATTTTTTGTTTTTGAAAATTCAAACTTTTAAATTTTCCCGCCAAAAAATCTTGAAAAAAATTTTTAATTTTTTAGTTTCCCAATTTTTTCGAAAATTAAATTTTCCCGCCAAAAAAATATTTTTGAAAAATTTACATTTTTAAATTTCCCGCCAAATATTTTTTGAAAAATTTAAAAATTCAAATTTCCCGCCAAAACCCTACATTTCCACGCGAGACCTGATAATTCATTTTATCGATCACAAATTGCTGTTTTTTCGTCGACATGCTCCTTTAAAATTTGGAATACTGTAGATTAGAGTAAAAATTCAAATTTCCTTTAAAATCAGAGACGAGAGAGTATACAAAAATGAGAGAGGCAGAGAAAAAAAGCAGAAAATCATATAATGATAAGTTATCAATCGTTCAACTAGCTTCATCTTCATCTTCCTGAAATTCGACACTTTTTTGTCGACAAAAATTAGAGAGCACATGGAAATGAGAGAGTAGGTTAGAGAAACATCGAGGAGAGATGAGACGGAACACTTTTTTGTACACAATTTGTGATGTTTTTTGTGTGATCTGGGAGATATGAGTTAGAGAGCATGAGAAATGAAGAGACGCAGAGAAAAATTGAGATTTTCATGATTTTCAGCACAAAATTTTGATCTGGAACATTGTTTCGAGCTGAAAATCTGAAATTTTCTCGTTTTCAGAGCAGACTTCAAATATGGAACTGAAAATCTGAAAATTCCAGAATTTTCTTGATTTTCAGGAATTTTAGCGGGAAAATCTAATTTTTGAAAATTTTCAATTTTCCATATTTTGAGCCACAAAGTTTCTAGGCTTAAAATTATCGAATTTTTTTTGCTTTTTGGCCTAAAATTACGGAAAATCTGAAAATTTGAGATTTTCTTGATTTTCAGCGTAAAATTTGAGTCTAAAAACATTTTTTCAGGAGAAAAACGGAATTTTTCGAAAAATTTCAAATCTCTTTAGTCAAAACAGTTTCTAGACCGATTCTTCGCGCTGAAAACGATGAGATGACTGGAAATAAGCTATTCCAACGTTTTCAGCAGAAAATTTGGGTCTAGAAACCTTTTCTGTGAAAAATTTGGTGAAAATGAAAAAAAATGTGACCCCCTCCCCTTTTCTAAGGTCAGGGGGGGGTCACATTTTCAGTCAAAAAATTTCCAGGCCCAAAATATCGCGCTGAAATCGATGAAATCACTTATTTTCAGCTATTTTATCGTTTTCAGCGCAAAATTTGGGTCTAGAAACATTTTCTGTGGAAAAAATGTGACCCCCCCCCCTTTTCTAAGGTCAGGGGGGTCACATTTTCAATCAAAAATTTTCCAGTCCCAAAATTTCGCGCTGAAATCGGTGAAATCACTTATTTTCAGCTATTTCATCGTTTTCAGCACAAAATTTGGGTCTAGAAAAATTTTTTACGAGAAAATTCGAACTTTTTGAGCCAAAAAGGTTCCCAGGGTCAAATTTTCTCATTTTTCCCAATATTTGGCTTAAATTTTTCCAATTTTCAGCCAAAACCCCGAAAAACCAACTCACCACCATTGGTGTCGTTTCTCGAACACAAACAAATCCTACAAATTGCGCGGCACCGTCCAATTTTTCGAAAAGCTCGTTTTTCCGGTGGCAGATATCGATTTTTTGTTGCGAATCTGGAAGAAATTTTGAATTTTCAACTAAAAAATCCCATTTTCCTCCTCAAAACGGAACTTTTTTCCACTAAAAAACATTTTTCGTCGTTCAAAAAAAAGTAAAGAGTAGGGGGGAATCTCTTCAGCCAAAATTGGCACAAAATAAGATTTGCGCGGGCCTCTTTAAAGGGACACTTCTCTCTTTTCTTCCTATTTTTAAAAGGTCGAAAATTTGATTAACTTGAATTTGAGAGTAAGGAAAAAAAGTCCGCGAAATTCGTGATTTTTAGGGTGGAAAATTCAAATTTCTCACCAAAATTTCACCAAAACTCACCAAAATCCTTGACGGCCGCATCGATTGCCAACAGGATACAATCGCCGATTCGCAACTTCCCGGAGCTTCTGGAAAATTGAAAAAATTAATTTGTTATGCTGAAATTATCCAAGAAAAAATCGAATTTAAGTCACAGACCCAGTTTTTCATGCTGAAAACAATAAAATCATCAGATTCCAGCAATTCCATCATTTTCAGCACGAAAATTCAGTCCAGAAATTTTTTTGAAAGAAAAAAAAAGAAAATGATTCAAATTGCCACTCTTGGGTCTCGCCGCGACAGCTCTCAAAAATCCATGCGCCTTTAATCGATTTCATTTCAATTTTTTATTTTTTCGGGCGGTTTGGGGGTTTTCCACGTTTCTAGGCTGAAATTTCGTGCTGAAAACGCTGGAATCAATGAAAATCAACGATTTCATCGTTTTGAGCATGAAAAACTAGTCTGAAACTATAGAATCAGGCTGGAAATAGGGTTTCCAAGAGAAAAATTGATTTTGGTGATAAATTAAAGTTTCTAGGCTGAAATTTCGTGCTGAAAATGGTGGAATCAATGAAAATTAACGATTTCATCGTTTTCAGCGTAAAAAACTAGTCTGAAACTATAGAATTGGGCTGGAAATAGGGTTTCCAATAGAAAAATTGATTTTAGTGATAAATTAAAGTTTCTAGGCTAAAATTTCGTACTGAAAACGGTGGAATCGCTGGAATTTCGTGATTTCATCATTTTCAGCACAGAAAAGTGGTCTGAAACTTAAAATTTGGCTGAAAATCGGGTTTCTAAGAGAAACGCTGATTTTGGAGGCAAATTAAATTTTCTTGGCTAGAATTTTGTGCTGAAAACGCTGGAATTGCTGAATACATCATTTTCAGCATGAAAATCCAGCTAAAACATTGGTTTCCTTCAGGTAATGACAGACGAGTTCAAATTGTCAGGTTATTTTAGTTTTCTGAGTTATCATGTCACGTCAGACACTTACAAATTGGATGATATTGAATGGTAAGTTGACCAAAAGCCTAGCAAATCAATCAACGTCATAGTCATATTTCAGGATGTTCTCTGTGAGCTCAAAAGATCGTCAAGTTTTGAATGTTCTAATTCACAACAGTAATTCAAGCAATCTCCAATCTTTTGACACCAACATCAAAATCAATTTGAAGTATGACAACGGAACGAATTTGGAGAAAACTTTCGATGTCAAATTCGACTACAAAAACAACACACATTGCATCGATTTCGTTTCTATTGAAGAATTCGAAAAGCATCAAAATTATTTTCATCCTTTCACAATGAATGTAGTTATGAAGGTTTCGAAAATTGCTCCAATTCGAAAAACCACCGACGAAATTGATTTATGCGAAAAGGATTCGGTATTCAATGATATTGTTTTGCAATTCGAAAATTCTAAAGTGCTATATTCAAGCAAAGCGATGTTATCAATCCATTCAAAAGTTTTCAACACAATGTTCAATTCAAATTTCGAGGAGAAATATCAAACCAAAATCAAACTTGACGATGATTTTGAAGAATTCAAGACAATGTTGATGATTATCTATCCATCAAAGAATGTTGTCAATAGCAAGAACATTGAGATTCTCATGAAATTAGCGGATAAATATGATATGTCACAATTAATGGATAAATGTGTTGCGTTTGTAGAAAAGGATGGAAATGTTCAAAATGACTTGAGATTATTGTTAGCTGATAGATATAATCTCCCAAAAGTTCATGTGAGTTTTTTCTTTTTTGAAAGAAAATAACACATTGAAAGTTATTTCAGAATAAATGTATTCGAAATTTCAAAGATATGGAATCATTGGAAAAATTCGAAGAATCTGAAGTTTTTGGAAACCTCACACAAACAACTCAAGTAGCAGTTCTCAAAAGAGCATTCGGACTTTCGAGCCAAGAAAAGAAGGATGGAGGACCGATGGCTAAAATTAAACGAGCTCAAGAAAAAGGCTTTAATTAATGATTTTCATGTATGGATTGTTATATTGCATGAATAATTAATGTTTTTGGGGAAAACATTGAAAAATTGGTGCTTTTTAACGTGAAAAAAGCGTTATTCCACAAACTATCACCCAGTTTTCCATGCTGGAAGCGTTGAAATCGTTTTCAGCACAAAAATTCGATATAGAAATGTTTTTCTGGCAGAAATATAAAGAAAAATTCAAATTGCCACCCTTGGGTCTCGCCGCGACAGCTCTCAAAAATCCATGCGCCTTTAATCGATTTCATTTCAATTTTTTATTTTTTCGGGCGGTTTGGGGGTTTTTCACGTTTCTAGGCTAGAATTTTGTGCTGAAAACGCTGGAATCAATGAAAATTGACTGTTTCATCGTTTTCAGCATGAAAAACTGGGCTGAAAATTTAAAATCAAGCTGGAAATAGGGTTTCCAAGAGCAATTTGATTTTGGTGATAAATTAAAGTTTCTAGACTGAAATTTTGCGCTGAAAATGGTGGGATGGCTGGAATTTTGTGATTCCACCATTTTCAGCATCAAAAACAAGTCTGAAAATATGGAAAATGGCTGAGAATCTTGTTTTCATGAGAAAAAATAGTGAATTCCTACGGGAATGACAATTAGCCCAAAAACAAGCTGAAAAATGGGAGAAATTATTGATTTTCAGCAAAAATCCCAGAAAAGTACAACAAAAAATTAGAGAGCTTGAATAAAAAATCTCGTCCAATGTAATTTGACACCAATTTCTTTAGCTTTCTTCTTTCTTCTAAGCCTAGCCTAAATTTTTCCCAAAAAAAAGGAAAAATAATAAAAATGCTCAAAAAAAAATTTTCCACACCGGAACACACCAAAAAAAAAAATAAATATATAATATCTCAAAAAAAAACGCGACATTTTTCACTTTTTGCATGTCGAGACAGTTAGAGACGCAGAGAAAAAAGACAACCAAAAAACGTGTGTTGGCCACTTTTTTGTAGTTCTTTCGAATGGAAAATTTGAGCTCGTGTGAACAAAAAAATGTGACATATTGAATTTTTATGCGATTTTTTGGAGGAAGCTATGGAGATAGTTAGAGATGTAGAGAACAAAGAGATTCAGATCATTTTTTCGTGCTGAAAATGCTGGAATTCTCGATTTTCAGTAATTCCAGCATTTTCAGCACGAAAAACTGGCCTAAAAAGGTTTTAAGAGAAAAAAGTGATCCCCCCCCTTTAAGTAAGGGGTTTTTTTTAGCTCTGCGGCTCCGAAAATGCTCCAAAAATTGTTCTAGACCAAGTTTTCGTGCTGAAAATGCTGAAACTGTTGATTTTCAGCACGAACAACCTTCATTTTCACCGCTTTTGAGTCAAATTTTGATTCAAAAATTCGAATTTTTCAAAACCAAAAAAAATACGTTTCAAAATTTTGATATAATTTATTATCAATTTTTTCAATGCTGAGCGTACAATCGATTTGAATCAAAAATAAAATTCTCAATCCCATATTTTTCAAGCCAGAACTAAACAAAATCAATTTTTCATGGTGAAAAACTGGTCTGAAACTATAATTTCATGCTGAAAACCGGGTTTCCCCTGGAAATCATGGAATGAACGCCAAAAATCCAGTTTCAGACCAATTTTTCGTGCTGAAAATGCTGGAATTGTTGATTTTCAGCAATTCCATCATTTTCAGCACGAAAAACTGGTCTAGAACGGATTTTGAAAAAAAAGTGAGCCCCCCCCCCTTTTTAAGTAAGGGGGAGGGCGTCACTTTTTAGCTCTGCGCTCCGAAAATGCTCCAAAAATTGTTCTAGACCAATTTTTCGTGCTGAAAATGCTGAAACTGTTGATTTTCAGGAATTCCAGCATTTTCAGCACGAAAAATTGATCTGAAACTGGATTTTCGTACTGAAAACGTATTTTTCGAAGAAAATCCCGTATTTTTCAAGCCAAAACTGGACTAAATAAAGTTTTCGTGCTGAAAAAGCTGAAACTGTTGATTTTCAGCGATTCCTTCATTTTCAGCACGAACAACCTTCATTTTCGCCGCTTTTGAGTCAAATTTTGATTCAAAAAATTCGAATTTTTCAAAAACAAAAAAAATACGTTTCAAAATTTTGATATAATTTATTATCAATTTTTTCAATGCTGAGCGTACAATCGATTTGAATCAAAAATAAAATTCTCAATCCCATATTTTTCAAGCCAGAACTGAACAAAATCAATTTTTCATGCTGTAAAACTGGTCTGAAACTATAATTTGATGCTGAAAACCGGGTTTCCCCTGGAAATCATGGAATTAAAGCTATAAATCTAGTTCCAGACCAATTTTCCGTGCTGAAAATGCTGGAATTGTCGATTTTCAGCAATTCCATCATTTTCAGCACGAAAAACTGATCTGAAACTATAATTTGATGCTGAAAACCGGGTTTCCTCTGGAAATCTTGGAATTACGCCAAAAATCCAGTTTCAGACCGATTTTTCATGCTGAAAATGCTGGAATTCTCGATTTTAAGTAATTCCAGCATTTTCAGCACGAAAAACTGGCCTAAAAAGGTTTTCAGAAAAAAAGTGACCCCCAGCTCTGCGCTCCGAAAATGCTCCAAAAATTGTTCTAGACCAATTTTTCGTGCTGAAAATGCTAGAGTTCTTGATTTTCAGCGATTCCGGCGTTTTCAGCACGTAAATCTGGTCTGAAACTATAATTTGATGCTGAAAACCGGGTTTCCCCTGGAAATCCTGGAATGAACGCCAAAAATCCAGTTTCAGACCAATTTTTCGTGCTGAAAATGCTGAAACTGTTGATTTTCAGCGATTCCTTCATTTTCAGCACGAACAACCTTCATTTTCACCGCTTTTGAGTCAAATTTTGATTCAAAAATTCTAATTTTTCAAAAACAAAAAAATACGTTTCAAAATTTTGATATAATTTATTATCAATTTTTTCAATGCTGAGCGTATAGTCGATTTGAATCAAAAATAAAATTCTCAATCCCATATTTTTCAAGCCAAAACTGAACAAAATCAATTTTTCATGCTGAAAAACTGATCTGAAACTATAATTTGATGCTGAAAACCGGGTTTCCCCTGGAAATCATGGAATTAAAGCCAAAAATTCAGTTTCAGACCAATTTTCCGTGCTGAAAATGCTGGAAGTGTTGATTTTCAGCACGAAAAACTGGCTGAAATTCCAAGAATTTCCCACTATTTTCAACAAAAAAAGTGAAAAAATCCATTTTTCCAACAAATGACTTGAAAATGGGAGAAAAAAGGGAGCTTAAGTGAACAAAAAAACGACAGCGAAAAAAGTGTATGTGTGATTTTTTTTTCGAAAAAAAAACATCTTTTTTGTTTTTTTTATTTTGGAACTGACATCTGTCGGCGGTCAAGAAAATACATTTTTAATGCGATTTTTTTTTGGCGAACGAAAAAAAATTTGGGAAGACATTTTTTGCATTTTTATGGGAAATTTTGAATTTTTAATGGGCCCTTTTAGGGCTGAAAAACTGAAATTTTCAGATTTTTATGTGGAAATCTGGAATTTTCACTAATCTGAGCAACTAGTTTTCACAAAATTCCTAAACTTGAGACTACCATTGCTCAGGTTAGGCAAAGACACTAACCTGAGCAATGTTCTTGGGCTAATGTTTCAATTTTTGATGAAAATATAATCTGAGCAATGTTTATTTCAAAAATTGTATAGAATCAAAATTTTAGGAAAAAAAGTGAGAATTTATAATCTGAGCAATATTTTTCATTGCTCATGTTATAAATTTCAAGCTTTTTTGTGCCAAAATATTGATTCTATACAATTTTTGAAATAAACATTGCTCAGGTTATATTTTCGTCAAAAATTGAAACATTACCCCAAGTTTTCAAGAACATTGCTCAGATTCAGATTTCTGGGCTATAATCCGATTTTTCAGCCAAAAAAAAAAACCTGAGCAATGCTATTTTCTCAACAAAAAAATTTCCAAAAATTCCCCAAAGTCTATCAAAAAAACTTAACACAAAGGGGGCATTTAACTTTTCAACCAACAACAAAAAAAACAGCAAAAAACTTTACGAAAAGAAGAAAATAGATTCTTTCGACCCCAATGCAGTCAGTATTTTGTGTGGCCGCTCCTCCAAAACTACTAAACAAGGCACTAAAAAAAACTGGAGAAGAAGAAAAAAAGACAAGTTGTGAAATAATTGACGAAGAAAAAAAAATAGAAAATAGGAAAAAAAAAGGGGGAGGGAAACGAAAACGAGCTCTAGAATGGAGGCAAAAATTGAAGAATTGAATGAGGATTACTTGCGGGTGACAAGGGGAAAATCTTGAAAATTTGCCACGTGGCGTAGGAAAATCGCTGCGAGACCCAGAAATTCATGAATTTCACGTTGAGACGAAGATTTTGAATATAAACATGCTTAGGGTACTGTAAAATTTTCAAATCTCAAAATTTCCCGCCAAATTTTGCCACGTGGCATCGGAAAATCGCTGCGAGACCCAAAAATTCATGAATTTCAGGTTAAGACAAAGATTTTGCGTATAAACATGTTTAGAATACTGTAAAATTTTCAAAACCCGAATTTTCGCGCCAAATTTCGCCACGTGGCATAGGAAAATCGCTGCGGGACCCAAAAATTCATGAATTTCAGGTTAAGACAAAGATTTTGCGTATAAACATGTTTAGAATACTGTAAAATTTTCAAAACCCGAATTTTCCCGCCAAAATGTTGCCACGTGGCATTGGAAAATCGCTGCGGGACCCGGAAAATCAGAAAATTCAGAGTGAGACAATAATTTCGAGTATAAACATGCTCGGGTTACTGTACGATTCGATTTTGGCGCCAAAAAATCATGACACGTGGTTTTTTGGCGCCAAAATTGAAACCTACAGTACCCTAGTCATATTTATACTCAAAATTCTGGTCTTCATCTAAAATTTTTGAATTTCTGGGTCCCGTAGAGATTTTCCGATGCCACGTGGCAAAATTTGGCGGGAAAAATTGAGTTTTGAAAATTTTACATTACAATAGCCATGTTTATACTCAAAATTCTCGCTTTTAGATGAAATTTTCAAATTTTCACGCGAAAACTACTGTAGATCGCTTCAAGACCCAATGTCCGTTTGAAAACCACACCTTGTCTTGATATCCTTGGGTCCAACAATCAACAATCGTGATTTCTTCTCTTTCGTCTCCAAAATCTGCGTCTCTTTGACCAATTTCGCCTCCAACACACCAAAATGCAATTTTTGGTTGGATTTGAGCTCGAAATCGGGATTTTCGGCCAAAAATCGATTTTTGAGACGAATCGAGAAATCCGGGTCTTGCGGGGAAGCGGTTTCAGCAGAGTTAGTTGAAGTTGTGGCTGATGGTGGCGTGGATTTTTTAGGAGGTGAGATTGGTTGCTGAAAATGCGGGAATTGCTCATTTTAAGCTAGTTTATCGTTTTCAGCGAAAAATTTTGGTCTAGAAACGATTTTCTGAAAAAAATGGACCCCCCCCCTCGCTTTGAGGGGGGTCTAATTTTGCTAACCCGGCTCCCAAAACTTTTCTAGATCAGTTTTTCATGCTGAAAATGCTGAAATTGCTAATTTTAAGTGAACTCATCGTTTTCAGCACGAAAAATTGATCCAGAAACAAATTTTCGGGATTTTTAAGCCTTTTCTGATATAATATTCTCACAAGAATTATTGTAGATCTGTAGGGAGTACTGTACATACCGTAGTCATTTTCCACTTCAAAACCAGCCTTTTCGAATTTATTGATTTTTGAGAACTGAATTTTTTACGGACACGTCATTTTGTTATTTTTGAACTGGGTCACGTGAAAATTATATAAATTTTTTATTTTTTGGACTAAAATTTTTTCTAGATCAATTTTTCGCGATGAAAACGCTGGAATTGCTCATTTTCAGCCGGAACATCGTTTTCAGCGCGAAAAATTGAACTAGAAATGTTTTTGGAGCATTTCGGAGCCCGGGGTGGCAAAAAGGTGACCCCCCCCCCTGTACTTACGGTTAAGGGGGTCACCTTTTCTCCCGGAAAACGTTTCTGCAGTTTTTCGTGCTGAAAATCAACACTTCCAGGATTTTCAGCACGAAAAATTGGTCTGAAACTGAATTTTTGGCTTTAATTCCATGATTTCCAGGGGAAACCCGGTTTTCAGCATCAAATTATAGTTTCAGACCAGTTTTTCAGCATGAAAAATTGATTTTGTTCAGTTTTGGCTTGAAAAATATGGGATTGAGAATTTTATTTTTGATTCAAAAATCAATTTTTCGTGCTGAAAACGCTGGAATTGCTCATTTTTAGCGTTATCATCATTTTCGGTACGAAAAATTGATCTAGAAAATTTTTGGGCTGAAAACTTTGAATTTTTGAGGAAAATGTGACCCCCCCCCCCCTTTTAAAGGGCATCAAAATTTAAAAAAAATCTCAGAAACTTTTCCATGCTTAATTTTAACGCTGAAAACGCTGAAATTGCGCATTTTCAGCCAGAACATCGTTTTCAGCGCAAAAAATTGATCTAGAAACTTTTCCTCGGGAAAAGGGTGACCCCCTCCCCTTAAGTAATGGGGGGGGGTCACTTTTTTCGAGACAGGGCTCCGGAAGTTTTTAAAATCGATTTTTCGTGCTGAAAACGCTGGAATTGCTCATTTTCAGCCAAATCATCGTTTTCAGCACGAAATTTTGGTCTAGAAACTTTTCCTCGAGAAAAATGTCCCCCTAAGTAATGGGATAGGGTCATCTTGTTCAAGGCAGGGCTCCAAAATATTTTTCTAGATCAATTTTTCGTGCTGAAAACGCTGGAATTGCCTATTTTCAGCCAACTAATCGTTTTTAGCGCGAAAAATAGATTTTTTCACTTTGGAAATCCCCCACCTGACACGACAATTGTTTGAAAAGCGGGTCTCGCAGAATCCGTTCGATTCTCTCAATATCCTCCTTCACGTCTCCGCCCTCTTTTCTCGATTTCAATTCGCGTAGCACTTCACGTATTCGCTCTTCTTCGGTTTGTTGTTGCTGTTGCTGTTCTGTTGGCTGGAAAGGCATCGGCCATAGGCCACCCGTGCTGCCTGATGAGCACCTGAAAATGGGCAATTTTGGTGGAAAAATTTGAGATCTACTTAAAAAATGCGGAATTTTGAGACCAAACACGGTCTATTTTGTGTAGAGCTCAAAAAGGAAAAAGGGATTGCTCATATTAATCTGAAAATTCCTGTGTTTGGTTTCAAAATGCTCAAAATTCTTTGAAAAATCCAGAATCCCCTTCAAAATTTCAGAAAAATACCCTAAAAAATCAAAGGGACCATTAAAATTCCTAGGGACCATCAAAATTTTTTTGTTTTATATAAACATTACACATTTTTTGAAACACACACGCTCTCTTTCTTTTATATATATTTTTAGCTTTTATTATTCCTAGAGATTGGAGAGTGCAGAGAAAAAAGTTCCAAAATTTTTTTTTGTTTTTTTTTCAAAACAGAAAAACTTTCACACACGGCTTAAAATATCGAATTTTTGGCGAAAAATTCGATTTTTCTTCGGAAAAAAATTTTTTTTTCCGAAAAAGCGAAATAATTGGGAAAACAAAAGGAAAGCACTTCAAAAAAAAAGCAGAAGGACGGAAATTTGGAAAAAATTTCGTCGCAAGAAAAAAAAAGTTTTTTTTTGAAGAAAATACATGAAAGAAGAAAAATGGGAAAAATATTATTAATGAGTTTTTTGAAGCTTCGGCTGAAAATGAGGATTTTCAGCGTTTCTAGATCAATTTTTCGCGCTGAAAACGTAGAGCTGGCTCAGAATGAGCGATTCCAGCGTTTTCAGCGTGAAAAATTGATCTGGAAAAGTTTTTGAGCCCTGGATTAAGAAAAGGTGACCCCCTGTACTTACTGTAAAGGGGGGTCACCTTTTTCTAGAAAATGAGTTTCTAGCTCAGAATTTCGTACTGAAAACGTTGAGATAGCTGAAAATGATCAATTCCAGCGTTTTCAGCGTGAAAAATAGGTCTAGAATATTTTTAGAAGTCTAGAATCTAAAACTCATAAGGCAGGGGTCACATTTTCCTCAAATATTCAAAATTTTCAGCCAAAAACTTTTCTAGATCAAATTTTCATGCTGAAAACGTAGAGCTAGCTCAGAATGAGCAATTTCAGCGTTTTCAGCGCGAAAAATTGATCTAGGAATGTTTTTGGACCGTTTTGGGCCCCTGGATTAAGAAAAGGTGACCCCCTGTACTTACTGTAAAGGGGGGTCACCTTTTTCTAGAAAATGAGTTTCTAGCTCAGAATTTCGTACTGAAAACGTTGAGATAGCTGAAAATGAGCAATTCCAGCGTTTTCAGCGTGAAAATTAAGCCTGGAAAAGTTTCTGGGAATTTTTTAAAAAATTTTGATACCTCCTGAAAGGGGGGGGTCACATTTTCCTCGAAAATTCAAAATTTTCAGCCAAAATTTTTTCTAGATCAGTTTTTCGTGCTGAAAACGATGAGCTAGCTGAAAATGAGCAATTCCAGCATTTTCAGCGTGAAAAATAGGTCTAGAATATTTTCAGAAGCCTAGAATCCAAAATTCATGAGGCAGGGGTCATATTTTCCTCAAAAATTCAAAATTTTCAGCCAAAAACTTTTCTAGATCAGTTTTTTGTGCTGAAAACGATGAGCTAGCTGAAAATGAGCAATTCCAGCATTTCCAGCGTGAAAATTAAGCTTGGAAATTTTTTTGGGAATTTTTTTAAATTTTGACGCCCTTTAAAAGGGGGGGGGGTCACATTTTCCTCAAAAATTCAAAATTTTCAGCCAAAAACTTATATAGACCAAAATTTCTCACTGAAAACGATGAGCTAGTTGAAAATGAGCAATTCCAGCATTTTCAGCACTCAAAATCGCTCCAAAATCTGAACTAAAAAAGCCGGACACACAAAAAAATGTTTCTGGTTCTTCTTTTTTTCCTTTCTTTTTTTTCTCGGGATGGATAATTGAGCTATAGATAGAAAGATAGAGGAAAAAAGAGTATAGAGAGCTGAACTAAAGGAAAAATAGAGGAAAAAAGAATTTTTCGTATTTTTTTCGGGAGAAGAAGAAGAAGAAACCCCCTCATCATCATCAAACAACCAGCTGGTGTCCACATAAAAAAAATAACAACATTACTTTTTTCTGCAGTTGGATTGGGTACTTTTGAGGCTAGAAATGTGGGTATTGCTCATTTTAAGTGGTATTATTGAATTCGGCGCGAAATTTTGATCTAGAAAATTTTTGGGCAAAAATTTGAATTTCTGAAAAAAAAATTGACCCCCCCCCCCTCCATTAATTAATGTAAGAGTTCAAAAAATTTTCCAAATCAATTTTTCGTGCTGAAAACACTGGAATTGCTTATTTTCAGCCAGTTCATCGTTTTCAGCGCGAAAAATTGATCTAGAATATATATACAGAGGTCAAAAGGTCAAAAGTTCAACTCAAATGAAAATGACTTGATTTTTAAGGGCTCCAAAACTTTTCCAAATCAATTTTTCACGCTGAAAATGCTGAAATTGCTTATTTTCAGCATAACCATGGTTTTCAGCACGAAATTTTGGTCTGAAACTATAATTTGATGCTGAAAACCGGGTTTCCCCTGGAAATCCTGGAATGAACGCCGAAAATCCAGTTTCAGACCAATTTTTCGTGCTGAAAATGCAGAAAGTGTTGATTTTCAGCGATTCCCTCGTTTTCAGCACGAACAACTTTCATTTTCGCCGCTTTTGAGTCAAATTTTGATTCAAAAATTCGAATTTTTCAAAACCAAAAAAAAATACGTTTCAAAATTTTGATATAATTTATTATCAATTTTTTCAATGCTGTGCGTTTAATCGATTTGAATCAAAAATAAAATTCTCAATCCCATATTTTTCAAGCCAAAACTGAACAAAATCAATTTCTCATGCTGAAAAACTGGTCTGAAACTATAATTTGATGCTGAAAACCGGGTTTCCCCTGGAAATCATGGAATTAAAGCCAAAAATTCAGTTTCAGATCAATTTTTCGTGCTGAAAATGCTGGAAGTGTTGATTTTCAGCACGAAAAACTGCAGAAACGTTTTTTTTTGGAGAAAAGGTGATCCCCCTTAACCGTAAGTAACAGGGGGTCACCTTTTCTCCACCCAGGGCTCCAAAATGCTCCAAAAACATTTCTAGCTCATTTTTCATGCTGAAAACTCTGGAATTGCTCATTTTCAGCTATCTCATCGTTTTCAGCGCGAAAAATGTGTATTTAATGGAAAAATCCATAATTTTCCCACAAATTTTCTCATTTTCTTTCAAATTCAAATTTTCGCATTTTTTTTTTGAGCAAGAAAAAAAAACAGAAAAAACAAATAAAAAGTACTTTTTAGAGGCCTAAAAAAGGAAAAAGTTGGCGAAAAAAAAGGGAGGAATGCATAATTAGTGGACAGCGAAAAAAACTGGAAAAAAGGAGAAAAAAGCAGCTCATTGAGCACATTTTGCTATTTTCAGCTCGGCGAAAAATGAGGCTGAAAATTGCAGAGAAAAACATATATTTTTGATTAAAAATTGGAAATTTTAATAAAATTTTCTGAATTTTTAAAGACTAATATGAGCAATTATTGAAAATATTGAAAATTCTCGAATTTTTGAGCTCTAACATGAGCAATGCTTCAAAATTCACCAAATCTCTCGAATTTTGGCTCAAAACATCAGAATTTTGAGCTCTAACATGAGCAATGCTAATTTTTTCATTTTTTCGCGTTGGGACCCAATAAAACTCACTCATTTTCCATTGCCATTTCGTCTATCTCCTCAAATATCATAAAAACATCCTATTTTCGCGTGTTTTTCTCCAGAAAACCTATAAAATATATCTTAGTTAGTACAAAAAAGGAAAAAGAACGAAAAAAAGATGGGGAAATGGGGGGGGGGGGAGAAAAGGCGAAAATCTTCTAAAAAGATAAGATGAGCAATCCCCCGGGGAATTGCTCCTTTTAGCTTTAAAAATCCAGAGTCTGGAGCAGTTTTTGAAGCTGAAAACGCTGAAATTGCTCATTTTAAGCCAACTCATCGTTTTCAGCACGAAAAATTGATCTGGACATTTTTTTCAGAGAAATTGGACCTTTTGAAAACACCAGAATTTTGAAGCAGGCTCAAAATGGTCCCAAAAATTTTTCTAGATCAATTTTTCGTGCTGAAAACGACGAGTTTGCTGAAAATGAGCAATTCCAGCATTTTCAGCATGAAATTTGTGGCTGGATGGATTTTGGGGAATTTTTTGGATGAAAAGTTAGAAAAATTGACACCCTGCTCTTTTTTGGGGCTCAAAAATTTCAGAAAAATTTTTCTAGATTAATTTTTCGCGCTGAAAACGCTGGAATTGCTCATTTTAAGACAGCTCATCGATTTCAGCACAAAAAATTGATCTAGAAAATTTTTTCAGGGAAAATGGACTTTTTGAAAACACCAGAATTTTGAAGCAGGCTCAAAATGGTCCCAAAAATTTTTCTAGATCAATTTTTCGTGCTGAAAACGACGAGTTTGCTGAAAATGAGCAATTCCAGCATTTTCAGCATGAAATTTGTGGCTGGATGGATTTTGGGGAATTTTTTGGATGAAAAGTTAGAAAAATTGACACCCTGCTCTTTTTTGGGGCTCAAAAATTTCAGAAAAATTTTTCTAGATTAATTTTTCGCGCTGAAAACGCTGGAATTGCTCATTTTAAGACAGCTCATCGATTTCAGCACAAAAAATTGATCTAGAAAATTTTTTCAGGGAAAATGGACTTTTTGAAAACACCAGAATTTTGAAGCAGGCTCAAAATGGTCCCAAAAAATTTTCTAGATCAATTTTTTGCGCTGAAAACTATGAGCTTGCTGAAAATGAGCAATTTCAGCATTTTCAGCACAAAAAATTGATCTGGAAATTTTTTTCAGAGATTTTTCCCTCCGAAAACACCAGAATTTTGAACAAGGCTCAAAAATGGCCTAAAATGTTTCTAGATCAATTTTTTGCGCTGAAAATGACGAGCTTGCTGAAAATGATCAATTCCAGCATTTTCAGCACGAAAAATTGATCTGGAAATTTTTTTCAGAGAAATTGGACCTTTTGAAAACACCAGAATTTTGAAGCAGGCTCAAAATGGCCTAAAAAATTTTCTAGATCAATTTTTCGTGCTGAAAACGACGAGTTTGCTGAAAATGAGCAATTCCAGCATTTTCAGCGCAAAATTTGGGTCTGGAAGAATTTTGGGGAAATTTTTGGATGAAAATTTGACCACCTTCGATTTTTTTAGGGTCAAAAATTTCAGAAAATTTTTCTAGATCAATTTTCTTGCTGAAAACGCTGGAATTGCTCATTTTAAGCTAGCTCATCGTTTTCAGCACGAAAAATTGATCTGGAAATTGTTTTCAGGGAAAATGGACTTTTTGAAAACACCAGAATTTTGAAGCAGGCTCAAAATGGTCCCAAAAATTTTTCTAGATCAATTTTTCGCGCTACAAACTATGAGCTTGCTGAAAATGCGAGCAATTCCAGCTATTTCAGCCCAAAATTTGAGCCTGGAAGAATTTTGGGGAATTTTTTTGGATGAAAATTTGACCATCTTTGTTTGGGGGTCAAAAATTTCAGAAAATAATTTTCTAGATCAATTTTTCGCGCTGAAAACTATGAGCTAGCTTAAAATGAGCAATTCCAACGTTTTCAGCACAAAAAACTGGTCTAGAAAAATATTTTCCGTCAAAAAATGCTCAATTTTCAACTATTGCTCATACCAACCTTGAAATTCCAATATTTCCGCCAAAACACAATGATTGCTCATGTTAAAACATTTCCAAACCATTTTTCACGCTGAAAACGCTGAAATTTCTCATTTTCAGCCCAAAAAAACTGCTTCCAGGGGTCCAAAAAATCCCAAAACTTCAAATTTCAATTCGAAAACTGATAAAAAATATGATTTACACAAAAGAAGGAAAAAAAATCAAAAAATAATCATAATAAAAAGAAAAAAAACACAAAATCTACAGTACCCAAGAAGGAGAAAAAAACAAGTGGTAGATCAGAAAAAAATGGGGAGAAAAAAGTGGGCGGAGCCTATTTTTGGGGTGAAAAGAGTGGGAAAAAAGAAGATTTTTTGGAAAAAATACGTTAAATCTATTGTACAGTGTGAAATGAAAAAACAAGGAATTTTTAAAAATAGAAAAAAAAAAATAAAATAAAATAAACATTTTTGAATGCAACAAATTTTGGAGCATTTTTTGGTGGAGGAGAAGAAGGCAAGTCGGAATTGTTGTACATTTCATATATTCGGACTGCTGCAAAAAAAATTAATTTCAGGTTGAAATTCCAGTTTTTCTGAAAATTCTGGTCGTTTTGAGCCAAAATTTGAGTTTTTTTAATGAAAATTTTAATTTTAGGTGATTTTCATCCAAAAAAATTCTGAATTTTCTTAAAATTTTAAAAATTTGAGTTTTTTATGAAAATTTGAATTTTCATGTCATTTTGGGTTAAATTTAGGTCCAAATTCCACACATTTCATAAAAATTTGAACTTTAGCTCATTTTTAACTAAAAATTCCAGTTTTTCTGAAAAATCCCGTCGTTTTGAGCCAAAATTTGATATTTTTCATAAAAAATTCTGAATTTTTAGAAAAATTAGAGCAAAAATTTCAGATTTTCTGATGAAAAATTGAATTTTTGGCCATTTTCATGCAGAAATTCTGAATTTTCAGAAAATTTGGGAAATTTCAAGGCAAAATTTCAGATTTTTTATCAAATTTCTATTTTTTTTAACTCTAACATGAGCAATGCTCGAAATTTTTCAATTTTCAAATTTCTAACATGAGCAATGCTCAAAATTTCAGATTTTTCATCAAATTTCTAATTTTTCAAACTCTAACATGAGCAATGCTCAAATTTTCTCAATTTTCATGAATTTCGGCTCAAAAATAATTATAATATGAGCAATGCTCAAAACAACTCAATTTTCATGAATTTTGGCTCGAAACCCTTCAAAATTCTCAAATTTTCAGATTTCTAACATGAGCAATGCTCAAAATAGCTCGGTTTTCACAAATTTCGGCTCAAAAACCAGTATAATATGAGCAATGCTCAAATTTTCTCAACTTTCACAATTTTCTGCTTAAAATTCCAAAATTTCAGATTTCTAATATGAGCAATGCTCGAAATTTTTCAATTTTTACGAATTCCGGCTCGAAAACCTTCAAAATTCTCCAATTTTCTGATTTTTAACATGAGCAATGCTCAAAATTTCTCAATTTTCACAAATTTTGGCTCAAAAACTTCCCACTCACCTCTCAAATATCAGTTACACGTTGTTTTTGTTGTGGTTTAGGTGGCAACAACGTGGGCGGTTTTGCCATTGTTGCGGAGGCGGCGGCGGAATTCGAGCAAGTTGGTCCAAGAGCTGGCTCCATTTCGGAATGCGATGAGAAGACGGTTTGACGACGAAGGGTTTGATTTCGATTCAGTGTTCGATTCAGAAATGTGGCCGATGTTAGGCGAGCTCTGGAAAAAATTTGGGAAATTTCAGAAAAATTTGAATTTTCATAAAATTTGCATACGTCGCATGTTTGGGGTAATCGAGCCGAGGAGGGGTTATCACTCACCCCAGTTTTTGGAAGTGGGTGTCATTTTGAGAAAACATTTTGAAGAAATTTTCTAAACTTTGTACTCTATAACTTATTGGAAGTGCATTAAAATTTCCACGAATTTTGATTCAAAAATGGATTATTAGTTTCAAAATGTTCATCCAAATTTTGAGAATTTTGGTTTTGATTTATATCCGAATGTCAACAGGGAAGCATTGAAAAAATTGATAATAAATTATATCAAAATTTTGAAACGTATTTTTTTTGTTTTTGAAAAATTAGAATTTTTGAATCAAAATTTGGCTCAAAAGCGGAGAAGATGAGAATATTTGACGAAATGAAGCAATTTTGAGCTAAAAGTTTATAAAAATGAAGATTGTCAAGTTTTTATAGCTGAAAATTAAAAAGGAAAAGGGGGGGGGGGTTATCCCTTTTGGCAGAAATTTTCAAAAATAGGGGGGTGCACTGGCGGATTTGAAACGAGGCTATGCGACGTATCAAAAAATGCTCCAAACTTACCGTATTCCACGTTTAGGCGTCGATTCGCTTTCCGCGTTCCGCATTCCGCCGACCGACGTCATATTTGCCAACGCCGCTGGATCGCAAGAGACACGTGGCGAGGCCATCATTGACGAATTTTCGTCTGTAAAGCAAAAAAAAATAGAGTTAAGGTAACTCTGGGTAAAATTAAGGTCATTAGGCAACCCTAATAGGGTTGAAATTAGTGTCGTAAATAAGGCTTAAGGTAATTAAAACTTAAACTTAACACTAATTAGCCTATTGTGTCAAAATTAGTGTCTTAATCAAAGTCTTAAGGTAATTTTCATCCTAAATGATCCCTAGGATAAAATTAGAGTAATTTTAACGTTTCTGGGCTTAAATTTGAGTAAAATAAGTGATTTTAGGCTCAAAATTAAGGTCTTAAGGTAATTTTCACCCTAAATGATCCCTAGGTTAAAATTAGTGTAATTTCAACGTTCCTAGGGTGAAATTTGAGTAAAATTAGTGATTTTCGGCTCAAAATTAAGGTCTTAAGGTAATTCTCACCCTAAATGATCCCTAGGATGAAACTAGAATAATTTTAACGTTCCTAGGGTCAAATTTCAGTAAAATTAGTGATCTTAGGCTCAAAATTAAGGTCTTAAGGTAATTTTCACCCTAATTGTCTCCTAGAGCCAGATTCGACCGTTTTTAACGTTCCCAGGCTCAAAATTCATGAATTTTCACATTTTCGAGCTCAAAACTCACTAATTTGGCTCAAATTGGTGCGACTCTGAAATGGTCGGCTAAATCCAAATGTGGTGGCCAATGTGATTTGTGCATTCGAGAAGGCTCGTCGCATTTTACTTTGCGATTGTTGCGGATTTGGAGCGGCAAACGGATTGTCATTGTGATGATGATGATAGTGATCCTGAAATTAATTTTAGGGTAAAATAGGGTAATTTTTAGGTAAAATAAGGTATTTTAGGTGAAAATTCAGAATGTTTTGTTGAGAACATGCTCTTGAGCTCATTTTTTGCCAATTTTTACAAATGTTGGACCAAAAAATCAAAATTTTCAGATTTTCAAAAATTTTGGCTCATTTTGGACCAATTTTTACAAAATTTATACCAAAATATCAAACATTTCGAAATTTTTCAGATTTTTATGGTTCTAGGCTCATTTTGGACCAATTTTCAAGAATTTTGGACCAAAAAATCAAACATTTTGAAATATTTCAGATTTTCATGATTCTAGGCTCATTTTTGACCAATTTTTACGAATTTTGGACCAAAATGAGTCAAATTTCACGATTTTTCGATTTTAGACTCAAATTTCATCAATTTTCACGTATCCGGGCTCATTTTTCCCCAAAAAATCCCAAATTTCGGCTCATTTTCACCCGCAAAACTCACATGATGATGATGTCTGGGTGTTCTTTCACTAAACGACACATTCGTCGCCGATCCATGTTGATGTGTTGCCATCAATTGTCGTCGGAAATATCGCATCGCCAATTCAGCCACGTGTTCACTTAGTACTGTACTTGGTTGACATTCGCCAGAGTAGAAATATCGACCGAAATTGCTCAAAGTCTGCAAAAAATTGGGGATTTTTGGGTGAAATTGATCATTTTTGATGCAAAATTCATGGAAAACTGAAATTTTCAGCTAAGTTTAAGTCTTGATTACTATAGTTTTGAACTTTTAGCTCAAAATTGCTTCATTTCGTCAAATATTCTCATTTTCACCGCTTTTGAGCCAAATTTTGATTCAAAAATTCTACTTTTTTCAAAAACAAAAAAAAATACGTTTCAAAATTTTGATATAATTTATTATCAATTTTTTTTTTCAATTGTTCTAATTTTACTTCCGAGAATAAATTTTGACCGAAAATTCAAGAAAAATCGAAATTTTTGAACAAAAACTTGGCCCCTACGAAAAAAATTCCACGTGGCAAACATTTGGCGCAAAAAATTCAAATTTTGCTCAAAAATCTCGAATTTTAGCTCATTTTCAGTCAAAAATCATTAATTTCAGATTAATTATGCTCGAAAATGCTATTTTTCATGCTCCAGAGCTTAATTTGACTTAAAAATCTCGAATTTCAGCTTATTTTTAGTCAAAATCCGTGATTTTCATCAAAATTCTGAATTTCGCGTCAAAATTGACCAATTTTGATCAATTTTAACTTGAAAATTCAAATTTTTAACATCCAGAGCTCAATTTGACTCAAAAATCTCAATTTTCAGCTAATTTTATGAAAACTGATCAAGTTTCATCATTTTTAGCTCAAAAAATGAATTTTAAAGCTCCAGGGCTCAATTTAGCTCCAAAATCTCGAATTTTAGCTCATTTTCAGTCAAAAATCACTAATTTCAGTTTAATTATGCTCGAAAATGCTATTTTTCATGCTCCAGAGCTCATTTTTGCTCAAAAATCTCAATTTTCAGCTAATATCATGAAAACTGATCAATTTTTATCATTTTCAGCTCAAAAATGCAATTTTTCAAGCTCCAGAGCTCAATTTTGCTCAAAAATCCCAATTTTAGCTCAATTTCATGAAAACTGATCAAGTTTTATCAATTTTGGCTCAAAAATCGCATTTTCAAGCTCCAGAGCTCAATTTTGCTCAAAATTCATCATTTTTCAAGCTGTCGAGCTCATTTTTGCTCAAAAATCCCAAATTTAAGCTCATTTTCAATCAAAATGCATAATTTCATCCAATTTTGGCTCAAAAACCAATTTTTCAAGCTCCAGAGCTCATTTTTGCTCAAAATTCATCATTTTTCAAGCTCTAGAGCTCAATTTCGCTCAAAAATCTCAAATTTTGGCTCATTTCCCGTACCTTAATATGAATATCATCGAAAAATTCGACAACCTCTTCTTCGGTGTCAGCTTCGAATAGAGTTTCGGTATCACCGCCTTCCAAGTCTCGATGAATCATACACCACAAAATCGGTTCGTTTTTTGGAGCCGTGCCAGATGTGGTGGTGGTGGAGCCTGGAGGAGCAAATGGCATATTTTCGATTCCACGCCAAAAATTGTCGGGTGCACGGATTTTGAGGCCGCTTCGCATTGATGATAATGGAATTTGCTCAATGTATTTGTACCTGCAAGAAATTTGTGATAATTTTGATACCAAATAAGCCTAGGCTCCGCCCATTTTTGCAATTTTGCGGCATGGTTTTTGAAAAAGCTTCAATTTGATACCAAATAAGCCTAGGCTCCGCCCATTTTTGCAATTTTGCGGCATGGTTTTTGAAAAAGCTTCAATTTGATACCAAACAAGCCTAGGCTCCGCCCATTTTTGCAATTTTGCGGCATGGTTTTTGAAAAATCTCGAAAAATTCAAAAATTCTCGATTTTCTGAGCTCTAACATGAGCAATGCTCAAAAATCAGTGAAATTTGTGATTTTTTGAGCTCTAACATGAGCAATACTCGAAAATTCAAAAATTCTAAATTTTCTGTGCTCTAACATGAGCAATGCTCAAAAATCAGTGAAATTTGTGCTTTTCTGACCTCTAACATGAGCAATGTTGGAAAAACTCAAAAAATTCTCGATTTTCTGAGCTCTAACATGAGCAATGCTCAAAAATCAGTGAAATTCGTGCTTTTTTGAGCTATAACATGAGCAATACTCGAAAAACTCAAAAATTCTCAATTTTCTCAGCCTTAACATGAGCAATGCTCGAAAAATTCAAAAATTCTCGATTTTCTGAGCTCTAACATGAGCAATGCTCGAAAAACTCAATAATTCTCGATTTTTTGGGCTCTAACATGAGCAATGCTTCAAATTTCACCAGAAAATCCAAATTTTGGCTCAAATTTCGCGCTTTTTTCAACTTCAGGCTTATTTTGACCAGAATTTACCAAAAATTTCAAATTTTCTAGCAAAAACTCACGGTCTTCTGGTTCTCGAGTGCAAACTGACAAAAGAGGCGTGGCGGGCGAATCGTTGCATCGTATTCTTTTGGCTTCGAATTTTTGTGATCTGAAAATGTTGAATTTCAGTGAAAAATATCAATTTCAGGTCATTTTGAGCCAAAATTCAGGAATTTCAGGTCATTTTTGCTCAAAAATCGCAATTTTCATGCTCTTGAGCTAAAAAATCTCACATTTTGGTTCATTTCAGCCGAAATCGTGAATTTTTCAGTTTTAACTCAATTTCAGCTCAAAAAATCGCAATTTTCATGCTCCAGAGCTCAAATTTGCTCAAAAATCTCAAATTTTGGCTCATTTTCTCCCAAACTCACCAACAAGACATCGTGAAAGAGAAACAATTTCATTTGATTGAATTGTTGAAGGCGCGGAGCGGTTGAGGCAATCGGATTCACAGTCATATCGCGGATGAACATTCGATTTGAGGCGACGAGATGAGGCTGCAAAAATCGGGATAAAATGAGACCAAATAGGACCTAGGTGTACTTTTGGGGCTAAAATGAGCCTAGAACTACGAAAATCGGAAAAATCTTAAAATTTGACTCATTTTGGTCCAAAAATTGTGCAAATTGGTCCAAAATGAGCCTAGAACCATGAAAATCTGAAAATTTTCAAATTTTTTGATTTTTCGGTTTAAATTTTGTGAAAATTGGTCCAAAATGAGCCTAGAACCATGAAAATCTGAAATATTTCAAAATTTTTGATTTTTCGGTTTAAATTTTGTGAAAATTGGTCCAAAATGAGCGAGAATTCGAAAAAATAGTCACATTTTCAAAAAACCCAAAAATTGTACGTTTCAAAATTTTCACATAAAAAATTGCAAAATTGAAAATTTTCGATTTTCGTATTTATTTAAGAAAAAAAAACTTCGAGATTACTGTAGTTTTTTTGGCGCCAAAAAAAATGACCTACCGGTACATTTTCGATATCCGTAAATTTGCTCATATGTTGAATCAAATGATCGTTGCGCTCTCGAGTTTTATTAGCAATTCTGGAATAAATTTCAGATTTTTTGGCTGAAAATCTGAAATTTCCAGATTTCTAGACTAACTTTGGCTGAAAATCTCAAATTTTCAGCCAAAAATCAGGGAAAAAAACACACTTCAAAACTTCATCAACCGATTTTGCCGCCTCTTCTGCACTGCTTTTCAATCGACTCGATTCCGATTTTTTGAGCATTTCTGGAAAAAATCGATAATTCTAGAATTTTTGGCTGGAAATCTGAGAAAATTAGCTGAAAATTAAGATTTTTTTTGTAAAAATTGATTAAAAAGTGAAATTTTGAGCGTAAAAAAGCCACGTGGCGGATTTTTAGCTGAAATTTCACAAAAATCCATATTTTCAGTCAAAAATTCAAAATTTAACATGAGCAATGCTAAAATTTTCTGGAAAATTTAAATTTTTGAACTCTAATATGAGCAACGCTCAAATTTCCATGAATTTAAGCTAAAAAACCATAATTTCTCAAATATTAATATGAGCAATGCTTAAATTTCTCGATATTTCACAATTTTCGACGTCTAACATGAGCAATGCTTCAAAATTCACCAAAAATTCAAATTTTCAGATTTTTCCCCTCTCCCAGGCTCAAAATTTTCCAATTTTTTCAAATTTTCAGTCAAAAATCTGAAAATCCTCACCTTTCAACAACAAAATGACACTTGGCAATCTTTGCACCGGTTTCACCATCAAATCATTCAATTTTAGGCGTCGAAAATCCGGATTACTTTCTTTGGCCTGGAAAAATCTCAATTTCAGTTTGAAAATATCGATGTTTAGGCTGAAAATTATGGGAAAATCGATATTTTCAGCAAAAAATAGTCAATTTCGGCTGAAAAATCAATTTTCTAGCTCAAAATTAGTTCAAAAGTTCAATTTTCCAGTCAAAAATCACCCCAAAACCATGAAAAATCAAAAATTTCCCTTCAAATTGAGCAAATGTGCTCCATTGACAATATTGTATTTGCAGGTGATTTTCAAATTTTCTGGCTCATTTTTTGGTGAAAATTCAGCTGCTAGGATCATTTTTGACCAATTTTCAGATATTTTCAGCCAAAAATAGTCAATTTTGACTGAAAACTCAATTTTCTCGCTCAAATTTAGTTCAAAATTCAATTTTTCAGTCAAAAATCACCCCAAAACCGTGAAAAATCAAAAATTTCACTCCAAATTGAGCAAGTGCGCTCCATTGACAATATTGCGGTTTTGAGTGATTTTCAAATTTTTTGGCACATTTTTTGGTGAAAATTCAGCTCCTAGGGTCATTTTCAGCCAGATTTCATGATTTTTGGCTGAAAATTTCAAATTTCCCGCCCAAAATTCGCAAAATACCTTGCAAAACGTATGAAACTTGGCATTTTCGCGGTCCAATTGATCGAAGAGCGTTTTGGCAGTGTCGTACGAGTTCAAATATGGCGGGTAGACTTTTTTCATCTCCTCTTTCATATCGATCCAAATCTGAAACAGAAAATGATTGGAAATTGAGCAATTTCAGCTTTTCAGCGGGAAATTTGTCTGAAAATGAGCCCAGTGTTGTGTATAGAAATGATTATGATATACACGTGAACGTGCAACGTCATTTGGGTTATCTATTTGTGCCATCTATTATGCCTGTGTATAAAAGAAGACCGACTAGAGTTCTAGTGAGTTGAGAAGAGCCAAGAGGTTCTACGGAACTGAAACTAATTCTTATTCTTTCTTTCATAATAAAGACTTTACTGTCTAGTCTTGTCTACAGTAATAACTGCATCTTGTTATACAAAACATAAGAGATCAGAGTATCTCAAATACATTACATTGGCTTAGGAACTTTACAGTGGCGATCAGGATGTCGAAGTCAAACACACGAAGTATAGACTCGAGAAGGAGAGGTCGTTCAGGATCTTTACAGCGATCCAGATCGACAACAACTATGAAAATCGTCGATGGAAATACATTGGTAAAACACATTCCTGAAAACACAATTCTTCGCGAATTACGGAGATGTGTGGAGCAGTTGAAGAAGAAAAATATGAACCTTCGACAACAGCTGGAGAGACGAACTAGCAACTCGTCAATATCGTCGATGGAAAGGGAAAGTGGAGAGATATCAGTCAATGGTTCTACTGGATTGATATCTGGAAGTATACAAGAAGTTGAGCAGTTGAAGAAGAATAGAGAACACACGAAGTCTTCTAGTCAGAAGCAGAAAGACACACCAAAAACAAAATGCACCAAGAATAGTTGGAAGGAAAAACGCAAGGCAGTTTGTGGGTCCACTATTAAGGCCAAGGAGAATCAAGAGCACACATTGTTGGAACGATATGAAGAATATCGGGAGTGCCTAGGATTCGTTGGTGATCGTCATTCGGAGGAGCGAATAGTTGATTCGTGTTGGACCGTGGCGAGGGGTACTCAGAGTGAGGACCGAGTGGTGACATGTTGGGTGGATGTGTATGATGGCGAAAGTGCCAAACGTTGTGGTGGCGGAGAAGTAGCTGAGGATGTTGGACACAAGCCGGTTGATGTTCCAATTGGGCTGCCGTGTGATATCAAGATATGGAATCTTGATATGGCCAAACAACGTCGAGAGGAGCAGGAACATCGGAATAGTACGATGGCTACCTCGAATATGAAAATGGATGAAAGAGTCCATAGTATATACAATAGATACACCAAGATGGGTGAAATATCTCGTGGTATATACAACGATGCGATGGTTCGTAGCAACGATTGGTTTATCGTGCGAATGTTGAAACATCGAGTGTTATTCGTTATACGGACATCAGTTTGGTCAAAACTTGTCGTATTATCGAAGTTATGGAGTTGGTGGAAAACAACCGAAGTGAATCGGTCATACTTCTTGAAATACTGGGAGAAGGTTGCAATATTTGGAACTGTGGTGTCTTTCGTGGACAAAATACATCAAGTGATATTATTATCTGGTTTGATCGTAGTATTGGTTCGCAAATGCAGCTTCTATGATTGTATTGGAAAAAGGAGAAATGGCGATGACTGGAAACACTGTGGGCGAAAAGAATGTATGTCAACGGATCCAAAGAATATGAGTTATGATTTGGAATGGAAAGACAACATTGAGATTACTGTTTGTTGGATGGATGCTAGTAATTGGTATGAATACAATTCATACAATGAAACAATACACTTTGAGAACGATGGAGGAGTGGTCTACGTGAGCGTGACACTGGAAATAGCATATCTATCTAGAGCATCGAAGGATGACGTGGAAAACATCAGTAGAGAAGAAGACTCGCATACACAGTATATCGGGGATGGAAAATACGATATTTGGTTGTATCAAACTAACTTGGATTGCTGCAAGCAAGTCGAATGTGTGTCGGATCTCATTCATGAGTTGAAATGGGAAGACAGCATTAGATATGTGTGTTGGATCGGTGCCAAATCAAAAGAGCCTGGAGTTCCAGAGCATCTCGTAGCAGACAACGAAACGCAATTGGTATCTGATGAAATCAAATACACATGTGAGGAGTTTGGCATTAAACACGCTTATACATCAGCTGACAATTCTCAACGTAATGGAGAAGCAGAAATATTTGTCAATAATCTGAAACAAGGATGGAACAAGCTGAAGGGAGATGGAAACACAACTGATACAATGCGAAATCAGCTTATCTCGTGTTCAATTCTTGATACATCATTATTTGGTGTGATACCTGCTGCTGACAAGTATATTGGTTATTGTTGGAGCAAAATATTCTCATTGATTCCGAAAGGGGAAGAGGAAGGTGTGAATGCAGACAAATACAAGATACAAGCTGATGAAAAAGCGACTATTATCGAAAATTCAATCGGTACCACGCGCTCTACCGCACAAACGCGCGCGAAAACAAACAGATGTTTTTCATTTGAAAATTTGTTTGTTTTTATTTTCTTTTTTCGTCATTTTCTTTCGTTCAACTTATGTTTTTGTTGTTATATTTGTTTTTCTTCGATAAATTCTTGGTTTTGGATGGAATATCGGATGATATAGGTGCTAAATATGCTAATCAATGGTTTTTTCAGTTGGATATTCATTGATACGTGATGTATGAAGCGAGTGAGATGGATTTTATTGTATTAATGACTTACTCGAATCGAATCCTCAAAAATGCAAGTCATTTATGATGTGGCAGTATGAAATGTGAGAATATTTTCGTTTGAATAACCCGAATGTTATGATTTTGGATGGATTTATGTCAACTTATGATTATGTTATGATTTTGGCTGGATTTATGTCAAATTACGTTTATGTTATGATTTTGGCTGCACTTATGTGAATTGCTGTTTATGTTATGATTTTGGCTGCACTTATGACAAATTTAGCAAATGTTAGATTGCTGAATTTATGACAAATGCCGTTGATTTTATGCTTTAACCGAAATTGAAATTGTTGCTGTGATTTTGAGAAGATGTGAAAAAGAGAGATTGAAGAATCTATGAATGAGAAAAAGAAGAAGAAGAAGTGTGTTGAAAGTGGCCCGTTTTATTCGAAATGTGATCTTGATTGTGATTATATATTGAAATTGTGATTCTCATCGAAAAATAAATGTAAATTTTTTAAACAATTTAATAAAATATGAGGTAATAAAAATAAAAAACAACAAAAACTAACTAAAATTCAAAAAATCTATAACAAATTTTCAATCTCTAATTAAATCTATGATCTATCAAGTACTGGCATATCATCCATATCATCATCTTCATCTTCATCTGAATCAAAAAACGCATCTGGCAATTCACCGTCAGAATCCATTTCTAAAGTAGGCATATCTAACAAATCCTTTTGTTTTTTCTTCTCAATAAGTGCTCTCAGATCATCTTCTTCTCTTTTTACCTTGTTAAACAGTTTTTGACTTTGTTCTGGTGTGAATTTCTTCATGAAATCCAGCATTCGAAGACGCACCTGTCAAATCACAATTGTTTCAGTTGTTTTTTTTTTCAAAAGATAATTACCGTTTCCACTGTGCACTCCAAAGTTCCTAATGATCGAGCATTTCCCTTCAATTGGCTCCAGAATAATTCGATAGCGTTGAGAAAACAGTGGTATGGAGGGGTTCTTATAATTCGAACCTTGTGCATCTCCCATGCCCAAAAATCTAATTCATACACAATAAATCTCTGTCTACCTCCATTTTCCCTAACAAATTTTCTGCTCAATTCCAAAAGTTCAGGTTTTTTCAAAGATGAATCAAAGTCAACGTTCCACTTGTTCAAAAAATCTTTGATCTCGCCAACGGTGTTCGAGCTGATTGGTGGCTAAATATTAAAAGTTGTTAATTTTTTATGAATTCTTGAATTTTTGGGAGTTAGTATGCATATAATAGTTTTCTAATCACCTTTTCTCTCATTCTATTGTGATATGGAGCGTTATCTGCCACAAGATACGCCTCTCTATTTTTAGCAGCCGCAGCAGCTGCCACCAAAGGAATCACTCTATGCATATATTGTTCTAGTTTTGCGCTATCCATATCTTGATGATAGTCTTCAGATTGTACTTTATTTCCAGATATTATGATTTCTTCAGATCCCGGAAGAATACCATCTTCGGTCAGAAGTCCAAGAACAATACAGCGTTTTCCTCTTTCCTTTCCTTTTGGTGGCCCTTGAATCGGCGCATCTAAATCAGCCATTCTCGCCTTTTGATACATGTCACCATGCCCAAATTGCCAAGCATAAATTTCAACCATTGCATTAAATCCCCAAGTTTCATCAGCATAAACCAAATATCCATCTTTATCTCGAATCTTTTCAATTTCTATCAAAAAGTTTTTCCTCCATTGGATAATATCTGGTCGTTCTTCAATTATTGTGTTTCTCTGTTTTTTTTTGAACACGTAACCCATTCCGCCTAAAACATATCCAAGAACATATTTTCCATATCTAAAATCAGTTTTTTTATGAATATGATCCAACACAATTCCTAATGTTACACGAGTTTGATTTTTCCAGGATTCTTGAAGAAATGTGGCAATTTCTCTTTTAACACTTTCACTAGTTTTTGCAGCGGCCTCCCTCTGTTTTTGCCTTTTGGTTTTCACAATATGTTTTGGGGACGGAAGAGGAACTTCTTCGAATTTTGGCAAAGTTGTCATTGTTTTTACAGATACTCCACTCAAAGTTGCTGCCAACAAATTGAAGTTATCGAATATCGATGATCGAGCTGATTTTCCGAGAGCTTCTTTCAAAATCCTCAAGTTTTCGCGAATTGTAATTAAAATGTTTTCTGCTCGTCTCTCTATAGGTAATCTCAAAAGATCGGAATGTTTTTTGAATATGTTGAGACTGCAGGCAAACATCGATTCTCCCAAATCTTTCCACTTTTTCATATTCTACAAATAAATGAAGTTCTCACTTTTTTCTCTATATTTTCTGATTTTTTTTGTAAATTTTGTCAACATTTTGAAAAAGAAAAGTTTTTTCATGAATTTTTCCAGACTACCCGAACTATATTGATGAAAACATACACGCTCGTCCTCTGTTTGAAAATCCCGCAAGTCGTATTGAGTCGAAACGTCTTTTACTTCTGGTTTTACTTGGATACCAATACTTTGTGTAGGGTTGAGCAGACTGTCAGTTTGTGTTTTTTTAACCCGAGTGTTTCGTAGAGTTTGATTGGAAAAATCATTTCTATTCGGAGGATTGTTGGGCGGCTCTAAAAACTCCCAAAAATTGTTTATGTGCACGAAAAATAACAATTATTCATCAATTCAATATTTCTTACCCATTTCCTCGCGATTTCTAAACCAGTCGAACATTTTTAATGCTGATTTGGAAGTATAACTCGAAAAAAAACTTTTTATTGAAAATAAAAACAATAAAAAACAAATGAATTCAAATTCCCTCCTTTTTTGTAACGCGACGCGGTCGCGCGGCGCGTGTTTTGTTCAATGGGGCGCGTGGTACCGATTGAATTTTCGATAATATCAGACACTATGAAATTATGGTGGAATGGTTCGTCGAACTATACAAAAACAACAAATGGTTTTGGCGGGCTAGAATCAGGATGTTGGAGATCAGGATACAATGGATCAGAAGCTGTAATAGGAACATTACAGTGAAGACCAGGAGCTGTAAGTGGACCTTACAGTCGAATATCTTGTCAATAGGATTCGGGATTATTGATCGTGGATCAATTTGGTTGATGGCTAATGTTTATCATTGCCTGATGCATGAAACATCTGTGACTCGTGATCTGGACGAAGAGACAACAAATATCTCGTCAATTGTATACGGGGAAGGTGTTGTGTATAGAAATGATTATGATATACACGTGAACGTGCAACGTCATTTGGGTTATCTATTTGTGCCATCTATTATGCCTGTGTATAAAAGAAGACCGACTAGAGTTCTAGTGAGTTGAGAAGAGCCAAGAGGTTCTACGGAACTGAAACTAATTCTTATTCTTTCTTTCATAATAAAGACTTTACTGTCTAGTCTTGTCTACAGTAATAACTGCATCTTGTTATACAAAACATAAGAGATCAGAGTATCTCAAATACATTACATTGGCTTAGGAACTTTACACCCAGAATCGAAAAATCTTGAAATTTGGCTCGTTTTGGTGCAAAATTCGTTGAAAATTATGAAAATTGAGCTAAAGGCTTTTCCAGGCTGAAAATCCACGTTTTCAGGCCAATTTTCAGCCAAAAATCCCAATTTTGCACTCAAAATTCCAAATTTTCAGCCATTTTCAGCCTTACCGCCGCAAAATCCAAATTCTTGTCATCCGTTTTTTTGCCCTGACACGTGGATAAAATCGAGGTGGCCTCGTTGAGCAAAGTGTTGAGATTGTTGAGGATTTTTTGATGGACCTGGAAACAAAATATTTAAGGGGTACTGTAGGCGTGGCGAGACCCAAAAATTCAATTTTCGGAGAAAATTTGGAGATTTTTGATATAAAATATGGTTGGGGCACAGTTTTGTGGGCGTGGCTTCAATTAGAGACTAAGCCACGCCCCCAAAACCATGCTCTATGCAATTTTGGTATCAAAAAACGTGGAAAAATTAGGCCACGCCCCCAAAACCGTGCCTTAAGCAAGTTTGGTATCAAAAAATGCGGAAAAATTAGGCCACGCCCGCAAAATCATGCGGGGTCTCAAAATGACGCAAATTTTCCATTAAAAATTAGGCCACGCCCCCAAAACCATGCGGGATATCAAAATGCTCAAAATCACCTCCAAAATCGGCTCCAATTTTCCAAAAATCATGGCCACATCGGATTTTTTCATAAATTCGTTTTGCGCAATTTCCTGCTCCAACGAGTTCTTCAATTTTACAATCAATTTCATTTGATTCACATAATTCGTCTCGGTTTCGACCATTTCCATACAAACTTGAAGGCGTTTTGAGACGACACGTGGCGATTTGCAAACTTTTTCCATATCGTCATTTGAGTAGATGTAGTCAGGTGTGGCTGAAAAATCGATAATTTCAGCATTTTTTGGCCAGAATTTCAGATTTTTAGCTCAAAATTTGGATTCCTCATGAAATTTCAGACCTAAATACATCTAGAAAATGCGAAAAATCAAATTTTTGAGTAGAAAATGAGCAAATGCGCTCTATTGACCACATGGTAATTTTATAAGATTTTTTCGAATTTTCTAGGCATGTTTTTCGTGAAAATTCAGCTCCTGGGGTCATTTTTGACCAATTTTCATGATTTTCAGCTCATTTTCAGTCAAAAACAACCCCAGAACCCCGGAAAAATGAAATTTTCAGTCAAAATTAGGCAAGTGCGCTCCATTGACAATATGGTGTTTTTGTGATAAATTTGAATTTCCTGGTTCAATTTTTGTGAAAATTTGGTTCCTGGGGTCATTTTCAGCCAATTTTCATGATTTTCAGTCAAAAATCTCGAATTTTGGCTGAAAAACAACCCCAGAACCCTGAAAAATCAAACATTTTGGTTTGAAACGAGCAAGTGCGCTCCATTGACAATATGATGTTTTTCAGTGATTTTTCAAATTTTCCAGGCCTATTTTTCGTGAAAATCCGGGTTCTAAGGTCATTTTCAACCGATTTTCATGATTTCTAGGTCATTTTCAGCCAAAAATCCCGAATTTCAGCTCATTTTCAGCCAAAAATGCACGCACCATTCAACGACGGTCCTTCACCGCTACAATCTCTCATCGATGAAACACTTTTCGATAGTCCACTTCTCGGATTGGCCGTATTTGTTGAATTTCGATTTGAGAGCGGAGTTGAGGCCGAATTGATCTCTTTGTCCTCTTGTGCAAACTGAAAAATGGAGTTTTTTTCGATTTTTGGAAAAAATTTGAATTTTTGAGGTCAACACGTGGGAATATTAAATTTAGAAAACAATTTTAAAATGAGCAATGCCTGATTTTTCATGAAAAATTTAAATTTCAAGCTCTAGAACTAAATTTCAACTTGAAAATTTATGAAATAACCACTTTCAGCCAAAAATCCTACTTCTAGACCTACTTTTGACTCAAAAATCTCGAATCTTAGCTCTAGAATGAGCAAGTGCGCTCCATTGACAATACGGTGTTTTTGTGATAAATTTGAATTTCCTAGGTGGATTTTTGTGAAAATTTGGTTCCTGGGATCATTTTTGGCCAATTTTCATGATTTCCAGCTTGTTTTCAGCCAAAAATCTCAAAATTCAGGTCTAAAACAAGCAAATGCGCTCCATTGTCAATATTGTGTTTCTGTGATAAATTTGAATTTCTAGATTCAATTTTTGGGGGAAAATGTGGTTAATAGGATCATTTTTGGCCAATTTTCGTGATTTTCAGCTGAAATAGTCGAAGTTTGACTGAAAAATCAATTTTTTAGTTCAAAATTAGGCCAAAATCACGTTTTTCAGTGAAAAATCACCCCAAAACCGCGGAAAATCAAATTTTTCACTAAAAAACGAGCAAGCGCGCTCCATTGACAATATGGTGTTTCTGTGATAAATTTGAATTTCTAGGTTCAATTTTTGGGGGAAAATGTGGTTACTAGGATCATTTTTGGCAAATTTTCATGATTTTCAGCTAGAATAGTCACTTTTTGACTGAAAAATCAATTTTTCAGCTCAAAATTAGGCCAAAATCACGTTTTTCAGTGAAAAATCACCCCAAAACCGCGGAAAATCAAATTTTTCACTAAAAAACGAGCAAGCGCGCTCCATTGACAATATGGTGTTTTTGTGATAAATTTGAATTTCTAGGTGGATTTTTTTCTGAAAATTCGGCTCCTGGGGTCATTTTTGGCCAATTTTCATGATTTCCAGCTTATTTTCAGCCAAAAATCTCGAATTTTGGCTCATTTTCAGTCAAAAATGCTCACTTTTCGTCGCAAAGTCTTTGTGGGCAACGCAAAATTCTCCTCAAACGCACAACTTCCACGATGCAAGCTAACCCAATACCACTCTTGTGTCACATGCATTTGATTGGGTATATTCGGCAAAAATCGTTGCGGTTCCTCTCCGCTTCCGCTTCCGCTTTCCGCGTTCTCCTCATAGCTCGAATTATAGACAACGTGTGTGGCTTGTTCAATGCGATCCGCCACAATTCCTTCCGAATCTTTGAGACTTTTCACCATATCATCAATGTCTTGTTTTTTGAAACCGTGAAAATATAGGCAAAGTCCTTCGAAAACTCGCAATTTGTATTTGGCTAGCAGTTTTGTGTCGAACACGTCATAATATGGATTGTCACGGTGTTTCCAGCATTCGTGAACCCAACCTGATCGCAAAATTGGAATATCGATGAAGGTCGAGAATTTTCCGGCAGCTTTTCCGGCTATCAGCACGTTGGTTCGTTGGATTGTCTGAAAATTTGGGGAATTTTTGGGTGAAAATGTGAATTTTTAGAGGAAAATGGGGGTTTTTTGGTGAAAATTTGGGAATTTTCGGGTGACAATGGGATTTCTAAAGGTTCTAGACGATTTTTCGGATCAAAATTTGAACTTTTGGGTGAAAATCAAGATTCCTAAGGTCTTTAGGGTCTTTTTAAGGTAATTTTCATATTTTTCAAGGTTTTTAAGGTCATAGGTTGAAAAATACGGTATCTGCGCCGTTAAACTTCAATTTTAGGATCCCGCAACGATTTTTGGATAAAATTTCGAATTTTCACGTGAAAATCAAGATTCCTAAGGTTATTAGGGTCTTTTTAAGGTAATTTTTAGGTCCAAGGTGGAAAAATACGGTGTCTGCTCCTTTAAACTTCAATTTTAGGGTCCCGTAACGATTTTTCGAATAAAAATTTGAATTTTAACGTGAAAAAGAAGATTCCTGAGGTCTTTAGGGTCTTTTTAAGGTAATTTTGAGGTCCAAGGTGGAAAAATACGGTGTCTGCTCCTTTAAACTTCAATTTTAGAGTCCCGCAACGATTTTTTTGGTCCTAGGTTGAAAAATACGGTCACTGAACCTTTAAACTTCAATTTTTAGGTCTCGCAACGATTTTTGGATCAAATTTAGAGATTTTCGGGTGAAAATGAGGATTCCTAAGGTCTTTAGGGTCTTTTTAAGGTAATTTTTAGATTTTTAAAGGTTTTTGAGGTCTCGCAACGATTTATTCATCAAATTCAGAGATTTGAGCGATTTTCCTGTGAAAAACCGTCGAAAACCGTTATTTTTGAGTTTCAGATGGAAAATTTGAGCTATGTTCCTTTAAAGTTCGATGCCACGTGGATTTTTTCAAAGGTACATGGGTCTCGAAGCGAAAAATCAGATTTTTGGCGGCAAGATGAGCATTTTCCGTTTTGAGAGCCATGCGCCCTTAAAAACTCCACGTGGCAAATTTTGTGGCTAAAAACCCTTTTTTCTAGGGTCTCGCAGCGAAAAATCGGATTTTTGGCGGCAAAAATCAGGAATTTTCGTCTCTAGACCAAATTGGAGCGAAAAAAAACTTGAAAATTAAGCTGCAGCCCAAAATTCCGAGCAAAATCCATGAAAATTGTATTCTACTAGTACAAAAGTACATTTCGGCTGCTAATAAGCACAATTTTTTCAAATTTTTCGATTACGCACATCTTTTCTGACACTTCCACCCATAAAATGGACCATTTCGACCAATTCGCGTTTCGCCGTGACTTCCGACGACAATTTCATTGTCACATTCTTCATCAGTTCGCAATATAACGGGCGGCACGGTCGTAAACTCATCATTTCCTGCAAAATTGGGAGGTTTTTTCACGCGGAAACGTTCCGCGAGCTTCCGCTCAGCATATTCTCTAGTCTGCATGATTTTGAGTGGAAATTTTTGGTTTTAATGCTATTCTTAGGATAGACAGGACTAAAACAATTCAAATGATATAAATTTTTATGACTTTACCTTAACCCTAAGTTGTTTAGCGTCGCCTAAAAATCGCTAAATAACTTAGGGTTAACTTCTAGCACAGAATTTTGCGCTGAGAATCATGAATTTCAGTGTTTTTCAGCATTTCCACGAGTTTCAGCGCAACATTTTGCCCCAGAAACCTTCAATTGTGAAAAAGGTACCCCCCCCCCCTGGCATTATAGGGGAAGGGTACCTTTTTCGATTTCTGGGGCAAAATGTTGCGCTGAAACTCGTGGAAATGCTGAAAAACACTGAAATTCATGAGTTTCAGCGCAAAATTCTGTGCTAGAAGTTAACCCTAAGTTAATTAGCGATTTTTAGGCGCTAAATCACTAATGGTTAAGGTAAAGTCATGAAAATTTATATCATTTGAAATGTTTTAGCCCAAACTATCCTAAGAATAGCATTAAAACCAAAAATTTCTACTCAAAACTTGAAGCTGCGCGAGAAATTTCCAGACCTGATTTGTCTGCAATCTGTGTCTCAAAACAGCCGGTCCAACAATCAAATTCGCATTTTTCTCGCCATTCTCTTTTTCCGCACCATTTTCACCGGCTTTTGTCAATCGATTATACAATGGTGAATGAAATTCGCCGCAGAAAAACGTCAAATCCGCCCAATCGCCTTGCAGATCCTCCAACTTTTCGAACAGCACAACATCGATTTTTCGACTCTGTCTTTGCTCTTTCAATAGATCGAAAATGTCCTTATAGTTTCGCGCATCTTCCACCGAAACTGCTAGTTTTTGCAACTCTTTTTGTCGTTTTGACGGTGATTGTATCATTGAAACGTCCATTGTCTGCAAAAATCGCTGATTTCTCACGATTTTTATATCTCAAAATGACAAGAAGATCAGAGTGAGATAGTGTGTCACGTGAAGAGACGCAGACATTTTAAAGATCTAAAATACGTGGATTCCACGAGGAAAACAAAAAAAACCAAGTTGCCGGTTCAAATGAGAAGTGTTGGCGCTCCTATTTCTGCAAACACGGTGACGCGCAATTGCGGAGTGCGCGAGGAGAGAGTGTGTGGATTTGAGAGAGGCAGAGAAAGAGAGAGATTTTTGTTTTTGTTTTTTTTTCGTGAGAAAGTGAAATTTTCAGGTTGTAGGGTGGAATTTGACGCTGAAAATCGTGGAAGTGATGAAAATTGATGGAAATCAAGAATTGCACGGTTTTCAGCGCTAAATTCTGGTCTAGAAGTTGGAATTTTCTGATTTTTTTGAAATTTTTTCTTTTATTGGGAAGTTAAAAGCTTCCGGGTCAAAATTTCGCGCTGAAACTCGTGGAAACGCTGAAAATTACTGAAAATCAAGAATTTCATGATTTTCAGCGCAAAATTCTGTGCAAGAAGTAAATTTTTCACGAGAATATGCTATTTTTTTCTTCCATAAGGAATCTAAAAGTTTCCAGGCTGAAATTTCGCGCTGAAACTCGTGAAAATGCTAAAAATCATTGAAATTCATGATTCTCAAGAGTTTCAGCGCTAAATTCTGGTCTAGAAGTTGGAATTTTCTGATTTTTTTGAGATTTTTTGAATTTTTTCTTTTATTGGGAAGTTAAAAGCTTCCAGGTCAAAATTTTGCGCTGAAACTCGTGGAAATGCTGAAAATCACTGAAAATCAAGAATTTCATGAGTTTCAGCGCAAAATTCTGATCTGAAAGTTGAAATTTACTGATTCTTGACAGATTTTCCAATTTTTGCCTTCGAGAGGAAAAGAACAATTTTCTAGATCGAAATTTCGCGCTAAAACTCGTGGAAATGCTGAAAATCACTGAAAATCGAGATTTTCATGATTTTCAGCACCAAAATCTGATCTAGAAATGTTATTTTCAGCTTCCCAGCTATTATTTACGAAAAAAAGGTACCCCTTCCCTGTAATGCCAAGGGGGGGGGTCACTTTTCAACAATTAAAGGTTTCTGGGGAAAAAATTCGCGCTGAAACTCGTGAGAATGCTGAAAAACACTGAAAATCGAGGATTTCATTATTTTCAGCGCAAAAATTAGCTAAAAATCTTTATATAGGAAGTATATACAAGTAAAAAATTTACAGACAAAAGAAAAAAATTTCGAAAAAAATCAATAAAATCATTATTTAGCCGCTGGGTGCAATTGCTTGATTGGTGTTAATTTAAAGCTCATATAGCTGCGTTTTCCCTCCACCGATTTCCTAAAAGTCGTATCCGTATTATGTAACCGATCCAATAATCCCAAGCCAAAACACTCGTTAAAAACTTTGTGATGATAATCATGCGGTTCGGGACTTGGCATAAATGGAAAATGATAACCGGAATGTGAGAATGTTGTTGATAGAACTGCAATTGTTGCCCAAATCCATAGAGTTACCACGTGACTTCGACAAACTATTGAGCCCAACATTACTGGGCTCAGGTTACTTAGCGCATGTTCGATTGGGTGGGCGTAAATACTGGTGATGGCTGGAAATTTTCAGTTTTGGAGCTGGAAATCAGTTTCAGCGCAAAATTTTGACCCAGAAACTTTTGATTATGAAAAAGTGACCCCCCCCTGGCATTACAGGGGAAGGTACATTTTTTCGTAAATAATAGCTTGGAAGCTGAAAATTCCACTTCTAGACCCGATTTCTGCCCTGAAAACGCTGGAAATCACGATTTTCAGCATTTCCATGAGTTTCAGCGCAGAATTTCATCCTGGAAATTTCTAGATTCCTTTTGGAAGAAAAAAATAGCATATTCCCGTGAACAATTTACTTCTAGCACAGAATTTTGTGCTGAAACTCATGGGAATCTTGAATTTCAGTGATTTTCAGCATTTCCACGAGTTTCAGCGCGAAATTTTGACCCAGAAACCTTTGATTATGAAAAAGTGACCCCCCTGGCATTACAGGGAGGGGTATCTTTTTCGTAAATAATAGCTTGGAAGCTGAAAATTCCACTTCTAGGCCCGATTTTCACCCTGAAAACGCTGGAAATCACGATTTTCCGCATTTCCATGAGTTTCAGCGCAGAATTTCAGCCTGGAAACTGGAAATTTTCCAATCAAAAGGTCTGGGGATCAATTTCAGGTGGGTGCGAATTTTTTTATTTTGACCCAAAAAGTTTCTAGCCTAAAATTTCACGCTGAAAATCATGGTCCCACCCATTTTCAGCCAAAATTTCAGCCAAAAAACTTACAAACAGGCGCAGTCCATTCATGATGTTTCTTATGAATATACTTATAGATTTTGGGATGATGAAAAAGTCGGTGGGAATAATAAAATCCAATTTCTTCGAACAAAATGCAGACTAACACGTCGCGGAAGATTTCCGCACCGGAAGGAAGCGGAGCGGAAAAACTGATGTCTGGAAATTAGATTTTTGTATACTTCGTCTCTCATCTCTAGTTATCCGCGCGGTAGAGCGCGGAAGCTTGCGGAAAACATTGTCTCTTATCACTTTTTGTATCAAAGACCGAAACTTGATCAAGTTTCTTTTCTCTCCCCTCTTATCACCTTTATTTTATATGCGCCTGACTATTTTTGTCTAGACTTTTCTTTTTTGAGAAAGAAAAATTGATTTTGGCTGCAATTTTGTGCTGAAAATCATGGGAATTTTGAAAATTCATGATTTCCAGCGTTTTCAGCGCAAAATTCTGTGCTGGAAATAAATTTTTCACTGGAATATACTATTTTTAGTCTTCCAGAAGGAATCTAGAAGTTTCCATGCTGAAATTTCGCGCTGAAACTCATGGAAATCGTGATTTTCAGTATTTTCAGCGCAGAAATCTGGTCTAAAAGTAGAATTTTCAGCTTCAAAGCTATTATTTAGGAAAAAGGTACCCCCCCCCCCCCTCTGTAATGCCAGGGGGGTCACTTTTTCATAATTAAAGGTTTCTGGGTCAAAATTTCGCGCTGAAACTCGTGGAAATGCTGAAAATCACAGAAAACCATGATTTCCAGCGCAAAATTTGTATCTAGAACTTCTTAATCGCTGAGTAAAAGGTCAGGGGATCGAGGCCGCATGGGAACTATTTTTTTTGAAAAAAGTGTTGCTAGGCTGAAATTTTGCGCTGAAACTCGTGGAAATGCTGAAAATCACAGAAAACCATGATTTTCAGCGTAAAATTTTGATCTAGACCTTCTTAATCGTTGAGTAAAAGGTCAGGGGATCGAGGCCGCATGGGAACTAATTTTTTTTTTTTGAAAAAAAATGTTCCCAGGCTGAAATTTTGCACTGAAACTCTTGGAATGGCTGAAAATCCCTCAAAACCTCGATTTCCAGCGTTTACAGCACTAAAATCCACCCAAAACCCCTCAATTTCCAAAAAAAAATTTTAAAAAAAAGTTCCCACCGGGGCTCGATCCCCCGACCTCTAGATCAAAATTTCGCGCCAAATCCGAATTTTCGCGCCATTTTTCTACTCACCAAGATATTTCGCAGGAATGTACCAAAATGCCGTGACTAGCGGTCCGACCAAAATCTGATTTGGTAGAATCGTTTTGAGCGATGACAAATACTTGGAAAGTGTTGGCTGGAAAGGTTACTGTAGCTAGGGTACTGTAGGAACCCCTGAGTACTGTAAGAATCCCTTGGGTTACTGTAGGACCCTTTAAAGTACTGTACTACCGTACCGTACCTTTTTCTCATCCTGAATTTTGTACGGCTGAACCCAGGCCGGATCCAACATATCAATAATAATGAAAAATGTGTTGAAGATCCAAAACATCGTGTTGACAACTACAGTACCACCGATAACACTGCAAAAATTGAGAGAGTTAGAGAAAGAGAGGCAGAGAGTGTATGTGATGGTGAGAGACGCAGAGTGCGCCGTGATCCTGATCTCTCTTTGGTCGTTTAGTTGGCTTATCAAATTTATTTCTGTGTGTGTGTGTGTGTGTAAGGTTGTACGGTGGAAAAAAAAAGTTGTGTGTAGTTTGATCGGGCCCGGAATTTTTCACGGGCTTTTTTGGGCCGAAAATTGAAGTTTCCAGACTGAAATTTTGCGCTGAAACTCCTGGAAATGCTGAAAATCACTGAAAACTGATAATTCCAGCGTTTTCAGCGCAAAATTTCAGTCTAGAAAACTTGGAATTTCTACCCACAAGGTCGGGGGATCGAGTCCACATGGGAACTACTTTTTTTGTCCAGAACAAGTTTCTAGACTGAAATTTTGCGCTGAAACTCCTGGAATAGCTGAAAATACCTGAAAACTGATAATTCCAGCGTTTTCAGCGCAAAAATCTGATCTAGAATCTTCGTTTTTGTACCCAGAAGGTCGGGAGATCAATTCCACATGGTAACTACTTTTTTTGTCCAGACAAAGTTTCTAGATCGAAATTTTGCGCTGAAACTCCTGGAAATGCTGAAAATCACTGAAAACTGATAATTCCAGCATTTTCAGCGCAAAATTCCGATCTAGAAACTTGGAATTTCAGCTTCCAAGCTATTATTTATGAAAAAAGGTATCACCCCCTGTAAAGCCAGGGGGGGGGGGTCACTTTTTCATAATCAAAGGTTTCTGGGTCAAAATTTTGCGCTGAAACTCCTGGAATAGCTGAAAATCACTGAAAACTGATAATTCCAGCATTTTCAGCGCAAAATTCCGATCTAGAAATTTGGAATTTCAGCTTCCAAGCTATTATTTATGAAAAAAGGTACCACCCCCCTGTACAGCCAGGGGGGTGGTCACTTTTTCATAATTAAAGGTTTCTAGATCGAAATTTTGCGCTGAAACTCCTGGAAATGCTGAAGATCACTGAAAACTGATCATTCCAGCATTTTCAGCGCAAAAATCAGATCTAGGCGCCAAGAAGCCGTCAAAAACTCGTTTTTTTCAAAGATCACTATCATTCTCCCCGAATTTAATTTGATTTGATAGCATAAGACACACAAATCAGTTTCACCCCGATTATTTTTCCAATTTTTTGCTACGCGTAGCAAAAAACACATGATAAATCAAAGTAACTTACTATATCATGAAATGATCACCATCGAAATAATCGTACACTTTTTGGTAGGCTGATTCGAGCATTTTCTGGAAGAAAATGTGGATTTTGTCTGGTTTCTCTGCGCTCCTCGTGATCTCTAGCTGTCTCTGGTATGTCTGCGTCTCTATCATCTCCTGGACCTTCTAGCTGTCTAGCTTGTCTGCGCTCTCTGAGGTTCCTCGTGCTCTCTAGCGGTCTCTAGCTTCTCTAGCCTCTCTAGATTCTCTGCGCCTCTCTACACCCTCTTCGTTTCTCGTGCTCTCTAGCTTCTCTAGCGTCTCTAGGCTCTCTGAGGTTCCTCGTTCTCTCTAGCTGCCTCTGGTATGTCTGCGTCTCTATAGCTCTCTAGACTCTGTCTAGCTTGTCTGCGCTCTCTTCGTTCCTTGTGTTTTCTGACTGTCTCTAGCTTTTCTGCACTCTGGGTTTCTCTGCGTCTCTCCATTTTTTCGTGCTCTCTAGCTGTCTCTAGCTTCTATAGCTCCTCCAGCTTCTCTAGCCCCTCTAGCTCTCTATAGTTTCTCTGCACTCTCTTCAGGTCTAGTTCTCTCTAGCTGTCTCTAGTTGTCTAGCTTTTCTGCACTCTGGGTTTCTTTGCGCCAAGCTTCTCTGCACTCTCTTCAGATCTAGTGATCTCTAGCTGTCTTTAGTTGTCTAGCTTCTCTACACTCTCTATGTTCTCTGGGCTCTCTAGTCTCTCTAGGTTCTCTGGGCTCTCTAGCATCTCTAGCTTCTCTGGAGCTCTCTAAGGCTCTCTAGCTGTCTCTAGCTTCTCTGCACTCTGGCTTTCTCTGCGTCTAGCTTCTCTACACTTTCTTTAGACCTATTGCTCTCTAACTGTCTCTAGCTTCTCTGCGCTCTCTAAGATTCCTCGCGCTCTCTTGCCGCCTCTAGCCCCTCTGCGTCTCTAACCAACCTGTCTTTATACTGTAGTTGTAGCTCCAGAATATATGTAGAATACAACTAACTACACAATATTCGGGTATTTATACCCTCCATGCATTTTCAAACATAACTAACTGTAGAGAGTCAAGACGCCACGCCCCGCCCCCCAACTAAACTCTAGTTGATGACGCCCGGACTAGACTGTATTTTTATGTGTTGGTAGCCGAATACACTGTGTGTATGTGTTATCAAATTGAATGATTTTTTGTTTATCGTATCGTGTGTCTCCCTGGTTTTTGGTGTCGAAATATGGAATTTGGCGAGGAAAACGTGACGGGGGATAACAGACTGTGTAGCTAAGGTTTCCATGGGAGGGATTTGAGGAGACGCAGAGAAGCTATGGGAGTTTTCTCTGCGTCTCTAGCTTTTGATGAGCTCTCTACGTCTCTCCAGTAGCCATGCTATTTACCTAGCTAGAGAGTGTGGGATTTCAGACAGACGCAGAGAAATTTTAAGGATATTCTCTGCGTCTCTTATTTTCCCATGCCCTCTCACAAGGTCTAGCTCACGTTTCTCTGCGTCTCTAGTTTTCCTATACTCTCTAACCTATCTCCTAGACAGTATAGTAATTAGAGAGACGCAGAGAAGTATTGAAGTTCTCTGCGTCTCTAAAAATTCTATGCTCTCTAATCTCTAGTATCTCTGCGTCTCTAGTTATCCAACACTCTCTAACTTCTCTAGTTTCTCTGCGCCTCTCTCAAATTCCTATGCTCTCCAACGCCTCTGGTTTCTCTGGATCTCTATAAACTTCATGCTCTCTAACTTCTCTAGTTTCTCTGCGTCTCTCTCAAATTCCTGTGCTCTCTAACGTCTCTGGTTTCTCTGGATCTCTATCAACTTCATCCTCTATATCATTTTCTGCGTCTCTAGTTATCCTACACTCTCTAACGTCTCCTGTTTCTCTGCGTCTCTCACAAATTCCTGTGCTCTCTGACGCATCTGATTTCTCTGCGTCTCTTCTTCTCTTCTTCTCATTCCGCAAAAAATCAATAATTTTCCAATTCCACGTCATATAAAAAAAGTGGGCGGAGCCTCGTGGTTTACTGTAGAATCTTCTCTCTCAGAAATTTGTCCAATAAAAATTTGATCAAACATTTTTTTCGGCTGGACTTTTTGTCCAATTTTTTTTCGCCAAAAAGATTTTTGAATTTTTAAAATTTGAAATTCAAGTTAGAGAGTAGAGACGCAGAGAAAATATAGATGCTAGAGATGCAGAGAAGCTAGAGACTAGAGAGCATCCAAAAAATCTATAGAATTTCTCTGCGTCTCTCAGCTCTACATGCTCTCTAGTCTAGCCAAGTTAGAGAGTAAGAGACGCAGATTTTTCATTTTCTGAAAATTTTTAATGGGTTTCTAGCCCTATCGATCTACAGTACCCTAATTTTTCGCCGCAAAACATTTTTTCGTTGACAATTCCATTTGTCCCTTATCTTTTCTTCACAGCCAAAAAAAATTGATGGGGAAAACTATTTTTTTTTGGGGGCACTACAGTAACCCACACACCCTTTTTCAGTATTTAGGACAAAAATGTCTGAAACTAGAGTGTAGTTCCAAATTTTCAGCCGAAAAAAGTTGGAAAAAAACAAGTTTGTGAATTGATAATAATAAAGAATGAAAATAGGGCAATAAACTTTTGAAAAAAATAACAGTAATTTTTTGAAAATCACGTTTTTCGCGGGATGTACAGTACTCCTTGGGGGGTACTGTAGTTTGTTGAAGTTTGAATTTCGCGCGATGTTTTTCTTCACAATTTTGTAGAAATCCCACAGTACTTCTCAAGGGTTACTGTAGTTGATAGAAATTTCATTCTTCAAGAGTAAAATCGCTGTAAGACCCAAATCATGTTTAAACTTTGTTCAAGTTTTCCACAGTAACCCACCTAGTTTTTCCCATTTTGTTTATAGATTTTTGTACGTAGATCAATATTTTGCTCCGTAATTTAGTAATTTCTACAGTATTTCCGAGGGTTACTGTAGTTTTTGAAAGTTTGAATTTCGAGCTTTAAAGTCTTTTTTTTACAGTAATCCTGACTCATTTGTTCTTTTTAAATTTTGTAGATCAAAAAAATAATGATCCTACAGTAGCCTTTAAATGGCGAAATTCCTCTCAAAACCAGATTTCTGAATTTTTGATTTTCTCTATCCAATCATGTTCCTTTGAACTACCGTAGTTTTGTTCTTAATTTCATTTTCATTTCAAATGAGTTTCATGTTCCTTTAATAATCTACAGTACTCTAACTCATTTTTGCTAATTATTTCAAACCTATCATATTTCTCTAATCTACACACACACGTTTGAAAAAGAAGAAAGTTGTGCAATTTTCATCGCGCATCCGACAAAAACGGTGCAACGCCTAGCGGTGTAATTACCCCCACTTCATCAAAAACAAAAAACATAGCGAAAATCAGCGTATCGAGATCTGTGCGAATGACTTTGTTTGGAATTTTTAGGGGTCCTGGGAAGAAAGTTAGCCTCCGCTGCGAGACCAATCGAAATTAAAAACACATGCGCCTTTGATACCGTACCTCTTTTTTTTTCAAAATGAAAAATAGAGAGCGCGGCAAACGAGAGAGTGCGAGAGATGTGTGAGAACAAAATGTGTGCAAACACATGTCCGCAAACACCGTTGTCACTGCTTACCATGACTCTTCATTGCATGGGAAAAACGTGTGTGTACAGTAATCCTATTTTTGTCCAAATTTCCCAAAAAATCCCATGTCCCTTTAAAAACTCGGTCCAAAGTATCCTCGTATTGACCACAAAAAAATTTTCCACACACAATTTTGTGTCCAAACGATAAAACTAAACTCTTGTTTCTCCAAAAAAAATAATACAACTTAATGCCTTTTTTTGCAGGCCAAGCAATTTTTATCATGAAAAAAAAATTTTTTTTCTTTTTTTGTTCACAAAAAAGTCAAAGTACGTCAAAGTTTGTAGGTTGATCTGACCGCAAAAATGCAAAAAAAAATTAGTTCTCATGGGGAATCGAACCTGAGCCTGTAATTTTGGAAATCTCATCTCTTACCTGCTGAGCCATCTCTTCCCCCGCGCGCGGTAAATTCAAAAATTTAAATTTTCCACTAGAATCTTTTATTTATTATCACAAATTCATATTTACAATTTTTTCCGGAACTACCACACAAAAATCTGGGTTTTTTGCTCTACCGTATTCCCGCGTGCGCCTTTAAAATTCGACAAAATCGCCGGATTGTATTCGGTACGGGTTTTGAAGTTGACAAAATCCATGCAACACATGGTTTCGGCGATTTCTCCGGACAAAACGACTTCGAGATTTCTGGAAAATTCTTTGAAAAAAAAATCATTGCTCAGGTTAGCTTCAGCTCAATTTTCCGGTCAGTTTGACATACAACATCATATATTTTTAGTCAAAAATTTCAAATTTTTCCGCCTACAGTAACCTACAGTAACCCACCGAAAATCATCGATCAACGAAAAATAATAGAACAAAATCGCCACAATACAAACATATTCAGCGATCGCATTTTGAATGGGTACTGTAACAAATCTACAGTATGATACAACCTACAGTACACCTACCGTACTCCTGGCAAGGTTTATTCAAGAGGAAATCGTTGTGTTGCGTCAAAACTAGCGGAAATGCGGCGGCGAAGAGGAAAACTGCGGTGATTCGCTCGAAAAAACGGGTTTTCTGGAAAACTTTTTGCGGGGTGGAAGGTCGGGGGATCGAGCCACGGTGGGAACTAATAATTTTTTTTTAAGGTTTTTGTTTTCTGGGGTGAATTTTTGCGCTGAAAACGCTGGATATGCTGAAAATCTTGGAAAACTAACAGTTCCAGCATTTTCAGCACAAAATTTCAGCCGGGAAACTTTTTTAATACAAAAAAAAGGGAAAAGTTCCAAGCGGGGTTTGAACCCGGGCCAAAATTGTTCTAGATCAAAATTTTGCGCTGAAAACGCTGGAAATGCTGAAAATCTCTGAAATTCATCAGTTCCAACATTTTCAGCACACAAATTCAGCCAATAAACTTTTTTTTTTCGAAAAAAAACATATTTCTCAAAATTCCTGAATTTTTTCAGCCAAAAATTGTTCTAGGTCAAAATTTTGTGCTGAAAATCGAGAAATCTGTAATTTTTTCTGAAAATGAGCCCTGAACTCACTTTTTTCAAATTATCAAAATGCTCCAAAATCGAATACAAACTTGAAGAAATGATAAAACTCATGGCAAAAATAGTGAGCGAATGATCGACCAAAAATTGCACTGGAAAGGAAAAAAATTTGAATTCAAAAACTACTGTAGAATTTGGCGCCAAAATGTGTGCTTACTTGACGTGTCACGATCCACGTGTAAAACTGTGACAAACATGGCAAAAATCGAGGTGGTCGCGTCGAAAATCACACAAATCCACGAGAAAATTTGCAATTTCCACGAGGCTTTTGGAGTTTGACGCGATTTTATGTCGGTTAGATGACAGAATATTGAGAAAAGCTGAAAATTTCAGAGTTTTTGGCTGGAAATTTCAGCCTAGAAGATGATTTTTGGGTTCCGGAAAGTCTAGTGAAATTGTTTTGATCCATTCTGAAGACCTTTCCGGAAGTCTCAAAAATCTCAGAAAATTTTTCCAGGCTGAAATTTTGCGCTGAAAACGCTGAAAATTACTGAAAATAATGATTTTTAGCATTTCCAGCGCAAAATTTCAGCCTAGAACAATATTTTCAGGGTTCCCGAAAGTCTAGTGAAATTGTTTTGATCCATTTCAAAAAGCCCCCAGGGCCCCAAAAAAATGTCAGAAAATTTTTCCAGGCTGAAATTTTGCGCTGAAAACGCTGGAAACGCTGGAAATCATCAAAAATAGCCATTTCCAGCATTTTCAGCGCAAAATTTCAGCCTAGAACAATATTTTCAGGGTTCCCGAAAGTCTAGTGAAATTGTTTTGATCCATTTCGAAACAGTTTTCGGAACCCTAAAAAATCTCAGAAAATTTTTCCAGGCTGAAATTTTGCGCTGAAAACGCTGGAAATGCTGAAAATTGACAATTCCAGCATTTTCAGCGCAAAATTTCAGCTTAGAAGATGATTTTTGGGTTCCCGAAAGTCTAGTGAAATTGTTTTGATCCATTTCAAAAAGCCCCCAGGTGCCCTAAAAAATGTCAGAAAATTGTTCTAGGCTAAAATTTTGCGCTGGAGACGCTGGAAATGCTGAAAATCGACAATTCCAGCATTTTCAGCGCAAAATTTCAGTCTAGAATAAAATTTTCAGAGTTCCGAAAAGTCTAGTGAAATTGTTTTGATCCATTTCAAAAAGCCCCCAGGTGCCCTAAAAAATGTCAGAAAAGTTTCCCAGGCTTAAATTTTGAGCTGAAAACGCTGGAAATGCTGAAAACTAACAATTCCAGCGTTTTCAGCGCAAAATTTAAGCCTAGAAAAAAATTTTCGCCCCGAGCATTCCTCGAACCCTCGCCCTCTCACTCCACATTCAAACCTCTAACCGCCTACACCATAACTCATAACTCACTCGAATAGTCATCGAAATCAAAACAGCGGCGCGGAGGCAAGCTTGCGTCAACGCGTTGAACGCGCATTTCCGCAACAAACTTGGAAAATTGATCGAATTTGGATAGGGAAAAATGTTGCAGTGATTGTAGAAGGTGGTGCCGAAACTGTAGCGAAGAAGACGACGATCGTGGAGTTTGTGCAGGTAGTTGAGAGGATTTATAGCCTCTATCAGCTGAAATTCAAGAATTTTGGGGATTTTCAGCGTTTTCAGCGCAAAATTTTGATCTAGAAAAAGTTTTCAAGGATTTTTGAAACTTCTCTGAAATGGATCGAAACAATTTCACTAGAGCTTCCGGAACCCTGAAAATATTTTTCTAGATCAGAATTTTGCGCTGAAAATGCTGGAAATGACCATTTTCAGCGTTTTCAGCGCAAAATTTCAGCCTAGAACGATTTTCCCGGCATTTCTTGGGTTCCCGATAGTTCTCTGAAATGGATCGAAACAATTTCATTAAACCTTCCATAATCCAAAAAATTGTTTCTAGACTGAAATTTTGCGCTGAAAATGCTGGAATTGACCATTTTCAGCGTTTTCAGCGCGAAATTTTGATCTAGAAAAAGTTTTCTGACATTTTTTCGGGATCCCGAAAGTTCTCTGAAATGGATCGAAACAATTTCACTAGAGCTTCCGGAACCCTGAAAATATTTTTCTAGACTCAAATTTTGCGCTGAAAACGCTGAAAATCTTCAAATTTCAGCACTTTCAACTTTTCCAGCTCAAAATTTTGATCTAGAAGAATATTTTGAAGCATTGGAACCTTCTCTGAAATGGATCGAAACAATTTCACTAGACCTTCCAGAATCCCAAAAATTGTTTCTAGACTAAAATTTTGCGCTGAAAATGCTGAAAATCTTCAAATTTCAGCATTTCCAGCCCCAAAACCCACCTCATCAATATGAATCCTTGTATTATTGGTCAAAAGTTTCCTCTCCTCATGAAATTCGGGCAGCCAGTTATCATTTTCAGCATAAAATTCGCGACTGGAAAATAACAGAGCCAAAGATCCGAAAAACATTGAGATCAGGAACGTTTGAATGTAGACTGTGGAAATTCGAAAATAGCAATGAGCCCACGATTTTTCCTGCTCACCGGATAAGCGCAGCATGTTTTTGTGCATTTTTCTGGAAAAATTTGGGAATTTTTAAGGTTTTGGGGGAGATTTTCACGCTTGAAACGCTAAAAATTACTGAAAACTGATAATTTCAGCATTTTCAGCACAAAATTTCAGTCTAGAAAAATATTTTCAGGGTTCCGGAAGGTCTAGTGAAATTGTTAGGATCCATTTCAAAACAGTTTTCTGAACCCTAAAAAATCTCAGAAAAGTTTTCCAGGCTGAAATTTTGCGCTGAAAACGCTGGAAACGCTGAAAATAGTCAATTCCAGCATTTTCAGCACAAAATTTCAGTCTAGAAAAATAATTTCAGGGTTCCGGAAGGTCTAGTGAAATTGTTGTGATCCATTTCAAAAAGCCTTCAGGAACCCAAAAAATGTCAGAAAATTGTTCTAGGCTGAAATTTTGCGCTGAAAACGCTGGACACACTGAAAACTGATAATTCCAGCATTTTCAGCACAAAATTTCGGTCTAGAACAATATTTTCAATGTCCGGAAACTCTAGTGTAATTGTTCTGATCCATTTCAAAAAGACCCCAGGGGCACTAAAAATTGTCAGAAAATTGTTCTAGGCTGAAATTTTGTGCTGAAAACGCTGGACATGCTGAAAACTGACAATTCCAGCATTTTCAGCACAAAATTCCAGCCTAGAAAAATAAATTCAGAGTTCCGGAAGCTCTAGTGAAATTGTTAGGATCCATTTCAAAAAGCACCCAGGGGTCCTAAAAATTGTTCTAGGCTGAAATTTTGCGCTGAAAACGCTGGACACACTGAAAACTGATAATTCCAGCATTTTCAGCACAAAATTTCAGTCTAGAAAAATAATTTCAGCGTTCCGGAAGCTCTAGTGAAATTGTTAGGATCCATTTCAAAAAGCCACCAGAGGCCCTAAAAGTTGTCAGAAAATTGTTCTAGGCTGAAATTTCGCGCTGAAAACGCTGGAAACGCTGAAAATAGTCGATTCCAGCATTTTCAGCGCGAAATTTCAGTCTAGAACAATATTTTCAGAGTTCCAGAAGCTCTAGTGAAATTGTTAGGATCCATTTCAAAAAGCCCCCAGGGGCCCTAAAAATTGTCAGAAAATTGTTCTAGGCTGAAATTTTGCGCTGAAAACGCTGGACACGCTGAAAACAGTCAATTCCAGCATTTTCAGCACAAAATTTCAGCCTAGAAAAATATTTTCAGGGTTCCGGAAGGTCTAGTGAAATTGTTAGGATCCATTTCAAAAAGCCACCAGGGGCCCTAAAAATTGTCAGAAAATTGTTCCAGGCTGAAATTTCGCGCTGAAAACGCTGGGCACGCTGAAAATAGTCAATTCCAGCATTTTCAGCACAAAATTTCAGCCTAGAAAAATATTTTCAGCGTTCCGAAAGCTCTAGTGAAATTGTTGTGATCCATTTCAAAAGGGCCCTAGGGGCCCTAAAAATTGTCAGAAAATTGTTCTAGGCTGAAATTTCGCGCTGAAAACGCTGAAAATCCCCAAAAATCGCATAAACAATAGAAAATCGCAAATAAATTGACCTAAAAAGATAAAAATTATGATTGAAAAGTGGATTTTCCAAGGGAAAAATCTCTCTTTCATTTTTGTTTGCGGCAAAAAAAGGGCAAGCTTCATCTCTTTCCAATTCTGTGTTAACAACAATAAGAAAAAGTGTCCTTGAATTTTTTCCGCGCGGAAATCTATTGCGCAACACTCACATAATCATAAAAATCTGGTTTTGGATCCAAAAAAAAAATTTTTGTTTTTTTTTTTTTTTGAAAAAAAAATTCTCATTTGACGAATTCTTTCATTGAAAAACAGTCTAGTTTTTCAGAAAAATTTTTTTTTGAAAATTTATTTAAAGGGAGGTGACACGTGGCAACAACAATAAAACAAAAAAATTTAAAAAATTTTATGGGAAAAATAATTTTGGATAGAAATTGGATAGAAACTGGATAAGAGACCTGAATGGATTTTTCGGTCAAACTAAACTACAGAAATCGATTTTTTATTGGCTTACAAGCATCTGAGAGGAATTTCAGCATTTTCAGCGTTTTCAGCGCGAAATTTCAGTCTCGAACAATTTTCTGACAATTTTTAGGGTCTCTTTGAAATGGATCAGAACAATTTCACTAGACTTTTGGACACTGAAATTATTTTTCTAGACTGAAATTTTGCGCTGAAAATGCTGGAATTGACCATTTTCAGCGTTTTCAGCTTTCTCAGCGCAAAATTTGAGGCTGGAAAAGTTTTCAGAGGTGTTTTGGAGATGGATCAGAACAATTTCACTAGGCTTTTGGACACTGAAAATATTTTTTCTAGACTGAAATTTTGTGCTGAAAATGCTGGCATTAACCATTTTCAGCGTTTCCAGCGTTTTCAGCGCAAAATTTCAGTCTGGAACAATTTTCTGACAATTTTTAGGGCCTTTTGAAATGGATCAGTACTATTTCACTAGACTTTTGGACACTGAAAATATTTTTTCTAGACTGAAATTTTGTGCTGAAAATGCTGGAATTGATCATTTTCAGCGTTTCCAGCGTTTTCAGCGCAAAATTTCAGCCTAGAACAATTTTCTGACAATTTTTAGGGCCTTTTGAAATGGATCAGTACTATTTCACTAGAGCTTCCGGACACAGAAAATATTTTTTCTAGACTGAAATTTTGTGCTGAAACTCGTGAAATTGCTGAAAATCGCTGAAAATCAACATTTTCAGCGTTTTCAGCACAAAATTTCAATCTAGAAACAATTTTCTGACAATTTTTGGGGCCCTTTTGAAATGGATCAGAACAATTTCACTAGACTTTTGGACACTGAAAATATTTTTCTAGACTTAAATTTTGTGCTGAAACTCGTGAAATTGCTGAAAATCGCTGAAAATCAACATTTTCAGCGTTTTCAGCGCAAAATTTCAGTCTAGAAACAATTTTCATGGTTTCCGAGTAGTATAGTGAAAATGTTGGGATCCATTCCCTAGAAAATTGTTCTAGACTGAAATTTCGCGCTGAAAATGCTGAAATTACGCATTTCAGCACAAAGTTTCAGCTAGAACACGGAAGCTTAAAGTCCAAAGGTTCTTCCCACATATTTTGTTACGAAATCAATCGAAAATTGTCAAATCGAATCATAAAACATAAAACCCCAGCCAAAAATCCAAAAATTCATCAAAAAAATGAAAAAATTGCTCATTCTTCTTGCCACTATTCAATTGTGTTCTACAACACAATTCAGCGTGTCAACTAACTTCACATGTAACCTCGGAGGATCGCGAAAAGTTCAATTGGGAATCTGGGAATCGGATTTTGCTGGCGTCAAAGACAATAAGATCGGAGTTGATGATCTAGATTTCAAAGCTTTTGGAACAAGTTCTGTTGAAGGACAAACATCGAAGGATCATCCAAGTGATGAGGTAATTTTTCAGCAAAAACTTCCACTAAATTAATGTTTTTTGCAGAAGGAATTCTTCATTTACGCGTGGATTTATCATAACTGCACACCTTCAGGAGAATCAGAATGTCTTTACAATTATTTGGGAAGTTCGAATCCATCTCTTGAAAAAGTTGAATATAAATTTTCGGCTAATCTGAGCAATAGTACACTCCAGAAATGCTCATATTACCCAAATCTTTTGAGTCGTTATTCTTAATGTTTTATTTTGATAAAAATGTTTCATTTCAGTGATTTTCAGCGTTTTCAGCGCAAAATTTCAGCCCAGAGAAAGAGTTTTTGAGATTTTTTGAGGGCTCCGGAAACTCTTATAATTGAAAAAATTCACTAGACCTTTCGATACCAAAAATTCATTTTCTAGACTGAAATTTTGTGCTGAAAATGCTGGAATAGACCATTTTCAGCGATCTCAGCATTTTCAGCGCAAAATTTCAACCTAGAACAATTTTCTGACAATTTCTAGGATCCTTTTGAAATGGATCAGAACAATTTCACTAGACTTTCCGGACACTGAAATTATTTTTCTAGACTTAAATTTTGTGCTGAAACTCGTGAAATTGCTGAAAATCACTGAAAATCCATACTTTCAGCGTTTTCAGCGCAAAATTTCAGTATAAAACAATTTTCTGACAATTTTTAGGGTCCCTTTGAAATGGATCAGAACTATATCACTAGAGCTTTCGGAACGCTTAAAATATTGTTCTAGACTGAAATTTTGTGCTGAAAATGCTGGAATTGACTATTTTCAGCGTTTGCAGCGTTTTCAACGCAAAATTTCAACCTAGAACAATTTTCTAACAATTTTTAGGGCCCTTTTGAAATGGATCAGAACTATTTCACTAGACTTTTGGACACTGAAATTATTGTTCTAGACTCAAATTTTGTGCTGAAACTCGTGAAATTACTGAAAATCATTGAAAATCCATACTTTCAGCGTTTTCAGCGCAAAATTTCAATCTAAGCCTAACCTACGCCCGAAAAAAGGAAGAAAATAAGAAAAAAAAAACTATTTATGAAAACATGATTTAGAGAAGTAGAGTAGATGAGAGAGTGTGGAAAATGAAGAGAGAATTAGACATAGATAGAGAGGAAGGAGAAGTATATTATTCAAAAAAAGTAAATTATTAATTGAGCAAGGAAACAAACCGCAACGAAGAAACACAGAACATTTTTGAGAGAGTGCAAGACATGACATTTTTGTCAATAGAGCGCACTTCCATTTTTACTTTTATTTTCTTGTTTTTCTTTTTTTGTCATCGCGTTTTTTGTTGTTTTTCGATGAATTTGAATGAAACTTGTTGTAAAATGCATATTTATCGATTTTTCCATTAGAAATAACACAATTTCTGTTGATTTTCGATAGTTTTATACTAAAATTGGTGCTCAAAGAGTAATTTTATGAAAAAATGTGTTTTCTTGAAGTTTTCTTTACTTATTTAACTTTGATTGATTTTTATTTTACAGGAAAACACGTCAGCGAAGCGAATTTCAGTTGAATTATTTGGAATTTTGAGGAAAATTGGAGGAAAAGTGAGTTTTTCTTGAAAATTTGAAGTTTTGAGTTTGAACAACTCTAAA